AACAATAAGTTAAATAATTATTCATTTTAACTGAATATCTGTTTACTTTTCTTTTATAGATGTTCCGTCAGACCTAAACCTTAGTTTTTAGTTAACACATCTGCTTAATTCATAGTTTTAATTCTCGAGACAAGTTTTGTCCTCACTGCCCGCCAGAAGTACACGCACATGTGACTTGTGTCCCAGGCAAAAGTGGCAAACCAAACATGGGCAAAGTGAAGTACGATGTCGCTGATAAACAATTACGTCGAAGGATGAGTGGCAAACTTATCAATACTTACAGTTGTTAAACTTGTCGAACTCGTAATAAATTAGTCTTTTGAAGGATTATCGGCTTAACAAATACTGGGTTGTTTTTCAGCTGTACGTTAAACATTGTCGAAAAAAGTAGAAAAAGAAGGACAAAGACTCTTTTGAGTTTGAATGACTATGTCAAAAGACGATATATGTTTGGCGAGTGCCGATAGCTAGCTATAGCTTGGAGTTTTACAATATGCTAGTATAAGTGGATGTAATTACAATGACAATATTGAAACAGAAGAAGTCGCAAGTATTAGATAATTATACATTAAAATGCCGACGACATTGGTCGTTAAAATTGACTTCATCGTCCGCGTGAGTCCCACACGTGCCTTGGCATGTGGCAATGGCTAATATAAACTCCGGACAGCTGATGTGGAACATCTATAGTTGCAACTGATGGTTGGCAGAGGACCTATATGAAACAAAATCTATTTCTCTCAAGCAAATCGCAACAGAAACTGTCTTAAAACAGCAGAATTCTTCTCCAAAACATGGGACATGTCGAAGAAATAAGAGTCTTCTACAAATCAAACACGCCTGAAATGGAAGGTCAGACAACAAAGTTTTATGTTGAACTAGAAGAAAGATGTAAAAGAAAAGCTGCGAAAGAGGTGAGCGAGTTAAAACTAGAAGACGAGATTCAAGTTGACAGACGGTTGAGTAACGGTCAGGAGTTGACTGTTACGCAGCGAATCCCAAGATATTTAAAAGGCGAAAACATGTCCAAGATTGAAGCACACTTGACTGAATATTATATGGAGGATGTATATCAGAAACTCTGGAAAAATGCACAGAATGCCGTGTTTGGAGCGGCATTTATGTGAGCCGAAAGCTGGAGCAGTTTAACAGAGAAAGAGAAAACTGAACTTCGCGACTGATATTGGTTCGATATTGGTCTTCTAGCTGCAAGCATGTGCTGTCATAGACATATAGGCATGGCATTTCGAAAAAGAACAATTATCTTATTCCACACTAGGCAAAACAATTCCGTATATATTTCGTTAAAGAAAAAAGAAAGGAAATGATTATTATTATACAGTTTTATGTAAACGCAAATAACAAGAGAATTGAAATGTATATATATATATGAAAGACAACCCCTGTAATGCACACTGTATGTATATATATGTATATATATGTATATATAAATAAATTGATTGAAAATTATGACAAAGTTTAAAATTACAATTACACGACTGCTTCCAATCTGTTGTTAACTTTCTTTCATTATATATACCCATTATACAAAACTAAGCATTAGTTTTTCATAAAAATATCAATCATTGGCAAGTAGTATACTCGGATAATGAAACGCGATCTAGCATAATAACGAGATCGATACAAATGAAGTTGAACGGCGTGAAGAAAGTCATCCAACGTAGTTGTGAAAAGAGTATGAAAACACTAAAAGCATCTTATTGCCAGTTTTACTTCTTGCATGAAAATTTCTCGTGTTATTCTACTATTTTTCAGTATTCATCGTAGCCGGTTGCCACACGTATGCTCATTAAAATTTCAGACCATTTTAATAATCTGATCTGGAAGCAGCTGAATTCTTGATTTTCGTGTAGAAATGTATAGAAACCGTCAAATCGATCAGCTCATTTCCAGTCAGTTTGTGGCTGCATGTATGAAATATTTTGAAAACGATCTGTTATATATTTTTAGCTACTTTTTCTCTTGAATAAAACTTGCATCATGTCATGCATAATTTTAAAATTCAGACATATTTACAGACACCTCGCAGACTTTTAAGCGCCGAAAGTCTCTCGTCTGTGTAATGCAATGAAATCAAAATTGGAAAAACTGTTGTTTTCAAAATAGATATAGCTTTGTGTTAGAATTCCAATTAGCATATATATGTGTTTTTTTTCTAACAAAAATCGTGAGTTGGGAAGATAAGAGTTAAAGAGCATCGCAAGCTGACAGATGGCTAAAACTCGAGCGTTAGTTAGTTTAGTAACAGCGTTGCATCATAGTGATGCGTTATGCAGTGTAGTGTTGCCCATATTTTTCGTTGCAACAATATTCAACAATATTCAACAATATTCAACAATATTGTTAAAAACGAATCGTGTGAGCAATGTTATTCATGCAATGTTGATAAACAATGATTGACAGCCCAAGTGCGAAACATTGTTCAAACCTGTTCACATATTGCAACAACCTGGTTTTTTAACAGGGAATGATGCAGTTAATTTTAGTAACTTCTTACTCAGACATCGTGTTTGTGTGAAAACGTCTGTTTGCTGGCAGGATTATGAATCGATCGATCTTTTTGTTTATCCTAATGTCACTTGCTATGCGCCCAAGCTTGTCTAGTAGTAAGATTTTGTCTAGTAGTAAGATTTTGTCTAGTAGTAAGATTACTCCCGTCTGCGTCAACCGCTGACAAGAATGATCGACTGAGATCTCGAGCAGGAATGACGTCAGCTCTTGTCACACACATTCTCCTTATAGCGACACGAAGTTCCTTTCTGAACTTAATATTCAACAACGGATTGATAACAACGCTAAGATGAAGTATTACGTTGGACATGGCGTCAATCAGTGGCGACGTACGAACTGGGGTGACTTGTAGAGACCTGGTGACCAGCACAGGCAGCCAACATAGCAAATACGTGCTTATTATCCAGAATACCATGCAGGCCACACGTCGTTCTTGAGCTGACGAATAGAAATTCTCGGATTAATACCAGATTGATTGAGTTCAGCTTCTCATTACAACAGATTTACGCGCCCTACGCTGAGCTCAAGGGCCGGTTGTTAAAACTCTTTAGAACTACATAGTTAAATCCTAGTACAAACTCACAAATACACGCCTCTGATTGGCGAATTCTGTCCTAAATTACAGTTAAAAGTTAACTAGTTTTTTATAGAACTGCCCCCTACTAAATTTTCCTGACTAGCTCTAACTATCATCATCAATCATCATCATCACCACCATCATCATCAAAACAAATTATGACCAACTTCCTTGCATTACCTTGCCTTGCACCATCTTTACCATCGCGCTGATGATTTGAGATTACACTTAATCCTCTTGCAAACACGAGTTGGTTCGCAAACACACGGTTCTGTTTTCGCAATAATCGAACCAAGTTCAGGTTCAAAACTGACAACAACACGAACGGAAGAAGAATGTGAGTGCTTGCTACGAACACGCTGACTCCTATATGTTTGTCCCAGAGAATACTACAAGAAGCGGAAAGTTTGTTATATCCAACACCAATTATTAGACCAAACACAAATGAGAATATCGTGGCATGTAGCCAGGTGTACGCGATCATGAGGGCGATAAGTTTTCCAGTTATTTTCGACTTGTATTTCAGTGGCGAATGGATTGCATAGAAGCGGTCAATACTGATGCAAACCATGCTAGCGACAGTGACGATGTAAAACGGATAGGTCAGTACCCCGATGAGTCGACACAAAGTTCCTTCATCTCTTGCAAGAGTTGGGTTCGTGTAGTGAGCTACCAACTGCAGAGGAAGCACAAGAAGCGCTGTGAGAAGCTCACTGAATGTCATGTTGACGAGCAGAAGATTCGAGGGTTTTCTACGAGCTGATTGGGATGTTAGATAGCCAAGAAGGACGAGAAGGTTAGCAGGAACAGAGACAGCCATGATGAGAACTGTTGCAGCAACCAAAACGGAGACTTCTTTCTGCGTATAAACATCCGTCACTGTTTCATTCAAAACCATTTTCATCTACTTTGCGATGGTAGACTGAATCAGTATATCACTAAATTGCTAAGTCTAAAATTCAACTTTTCCGACACGAGTTTAAACTTCAGTCAAGTCCCCGACAATACCAGGTTGCACAAGAAAGTGCAAATTGATTAAACTGTTATAACATTGTATAGCAGCGTGTAGACCTGACCAATACATGCAACGTTGATCCAATTACATACATCTCCCAGCAAATTAGAATTCTTTTTGCACAAAATTTACTCAGTCAAAAATAAGACAGGCAAGTTCATCTTTTGCACGATCTCTGAAGAACGCGTAACGCCAAATAAGCAATCATATTTATTACCCTCGCAAATGCGACAAGTTTCAAAGCGTAGTGAACAGTAATTACCTTATTTCCTCACTGCTAGGATACGAGCTATGGCTGGCCACTAAAACCTCAGAAAAATTAAATTTGTTTACTCAGCTCTGAACTGAAACAAAAGGAATTCTCATTTCAAATAAAACACAAATTTCGTAATTTGTCACACTATGAGGAATTTCATACAATTTAATTAAAGGTGGCAGCGTTATATTTTCATTGAGAAAACGCAAAGAACGTTGCCTTAGATTCAGAATCAAGACAGCATGTGCAGGGTCTTTGAATAATTCAAAATAAACTATCCTTATACAGTATTTAGGTAGAACAGTGAACGAGGCATGATCAAATATTTGTACACAGTTTCTTTATAGTACAAATAGAGGTTCTTAAATGAAAGTTGTCTTTTGAAATCTGATATGATTATTTTTGATGTCATGTCATACGAGTTGTATTAATGAACGGAATAACGGCAAAACATTAAAATATTTAATCATTATTGTGATTACACTAAAAAAGATCACCTTGATTAAATTCGACAATAGCGGATAAAGAAATTTTTCCAATACGACAGAAATTTCTCGTGCGTGTAGCCCTCAGGCAAGTTCCTTTCAGTTTAAGATATTTTTGCTTTATCTCAACGGGTAGTCATGCAACATGCAAATCACATCTTTTGTACATAACATGGATTCATTATTCCAAAAATAGTCTTCGTACTTGTAGTTATTAAAATCTAATTTATTTTTGCTTTCGACCTCTTAAATGCAAGGATGCATTCAGTGTAGGAACAATAGGTGTATATATACAGTATTTGCTGTCATCCAGTTTTGCTTTCGTGTGTCAGGTCCCCAAAAGCTCTTCTTCCTCACGACGTTCCCAGGACTGAAATTTCGTCGCCTTCAGGATTTTATTTCGTGAGCACTAACACTCTAAGGAGATACATGAGGTTCTCGATGGCCGCGGGGAAGACTTAGCGGAGGAAAGCCGAACTTTGCGCGACCTATCATAAAATAATTTCACCCGTTTCAAAGTGGCTTAAGTGTTAACGGTGGGTGATATAACGGCGGCATTGGTTCAGCCAATTTTCCGAATTCTCGTTCCTTGGTCGCACAAATATCTTTGTGTTTTTGCATCGATTACCGCGTGGAACAACACTCGCGCCAAGATTCAATCTTCCAGTTTGCAATGTGATACTCTCATTTCTTTTTCGAAGTATTAAACGTTCCAATGTCGTTCTCAGATCTTTTCTGAAGACGAGATTGAGCACGGGGTCTATGACCACGCTCAGTTGCAGACTTGTCGTTGCGAAAGTGCAGAATACTTGTAAAGTTGGCTTCGAGAAGATCACCCATAATCCCCTGGTAACCAGGTATGGTAACCAGGATACTAAGAAGGTGCATATAATCCAGAATACAAGACACGTGATCCGGCGTTCTTGAGCTGCATGGTGGAGAAAAATGAACGTGCTTGTCAGAAATATTCAATTATCAGGGGCCGGTTGTTCGAAAGGCGTTTAGCTTAAACGGTGGATAGGCCAAAGTTTAAAAATACTCTCATACATCTTGTAAATAAATTATTGAACCTACACCTTATGCATTAAATATGTACTTTCATTGACAATTAATCTATTTACATCGAAATAGTTCGGCTCGAATAATTTTGTTTTTCATTTTGAACTTATCCAACGTTTAAGCTAAACGTTTGTCTTTCGAACACTATATTGCCCACATGAGTACACATTTGTAGTCGTTATTAAATTTTTAGTTCAGCTGTAGGTGGGAGTCACTTTCCTACAAACTATAACCTGGGAATATTAAAAACTACAAAAACATCTGCAAAACCAATGTCAATAATAGTGAAATATCAAATATCTATATTAAGACATAAAGTAAACATTATCGTACGTATTATGATGCGTTATAAATCTTTCAAACATCAAAACAACTCTATATTGCACGTTCTTATTATTATAATCGCTAAAAACGTTTGCCTACACTGCTACACAATAAAGTCTGGAGAAAATAACTTCGAAATATATATTTGTGACATAATTTAAAATGCATTTTTAATGCACTTGCTGCTGCCAAAATGGCAAAAACTGCTCAGATTTGTTAAACAATGTTATTGAAAACCGTTGTTCAGGCTATTATAACCTACTTTAATGAGTTTTTAAATAGATTTATATCAGTATCATATACATTAAAGTGTATTATAAACGTGTAACAAACACGAATTTCAATATTGTGAGATGTTTGCACCTGTCTTTGTCGTTGTTGCTTTGGCTTTTGGAATAAATTTATATTTATATATATATACCAAGAAATCAACAATTTATATATATAAATAAAGAAAATTCATCAAAATTAGAATAAACCTTCGTCAACAATTCTTTAAGCTCTAGCCTCTAATTTTGAAAATAAAAATCTCTTAAAGATGCATCGAGATAATATTTAAGATTAAACGAAAAACAACTAACTTCCTGCGTAAACAAGAAGATACTGGAAGGGGCTAAAATACAGAATCCTGATAATTATACTAGCTGCAGATATGGCAGCAGTCGATAATGATTCACAGAAAAACAGTTGCTACAATTTACAGTTGCTACGCAATTTGATGCTAAAGTTTGTTCAAAACTGGCGTTCGCAAAAACAACCGCAACTTTTCAGTGATTTCTGTCTGAAGACCGGCACAAAATGAGCGAAATACACTCTGATACAACCTGCTGTTAGCCTTTATCAGTAGATGATGCATTTTTTCACCAAAATCCCCCCTCACATTGCCTTTGAGTGAACAAACAAACATACCTTGTCGCGTCTTCCAGATCTGACCCTGTCGATAATCCAGGTTGTTTACAGCCGTACGATTCTGGTTCCTGAGGGACACTACCAAGTTGATATTCAGAGCAAGAAGTAGAAAAAACGGCAGCAAAATATGGGTTACGGCTGCGACAGAGCTGACAATCATATTGTTGTTCCAAAGAACACCACAGACACCCAAGTGTGCGTCGTATCCAACTCCTAACGTGCATCCAAATCCAGCTATGAACGCAACAGAATGAAGCCAGGAATATCCAACCATGCAAGCAATTCGGCTTCTTCCCATCATGAATTTGTACTTGAACGGTGCTCGGATGGCGTAGTACCGGTCCACGGATATAAAAATCATAGTTATAGTCGCTGCGATGTAAAACGGATACACCAGGATCCCAACAATCACACATGAAGCGTCTGTATCGTTCAAAAATCTGGGTTTGATGAAATTTACCAACAATTGAAATGGAATTACTATTATTGACAAAATAAATTCTAAGACTGTGAGATTTATCAGAAGATAGTTTGCAGGTTTCTTTAGCGCTGAGATGCCTTTCAGGTAGCCGACGAGAACCAGGGTATTGGCAGGAATAGCAAGAACAAGAATTGCTATCGTTATCACAGTCACACTGACAAATACTGGTTCAGAGAACGTTGGAACAAAGCTTTCATTTACAACGGTGGATGAGACTGCAACATGACTGATGTTAGATGACATTATTATGCACTGTTAGAGCAGCTTCAAACCAGCTATTCAAGAGAGCAGTTACAAAGACAGTCAGTGCATTGGAGACAAACACACAAGTGTCTATTTCGTGTGCTTCTCTTTAATTACACAGGAATGTGATTCGGGGCAGTTTTCATGCGGATGACAATATTTACTTTTCACGATCACATTCACCAATCATATATCTTTAATACAATTTGTAATAACAGGGGAAATCCATCGCAAAGTGACATTAACGTCAGCGTCATTTCTTAAAACTTCAACGAGGTAAAATATGCTATGAAAAAAAATCATTTTTCATAGTACATCTCACTTCCACCGGCATGCTTGTAAAACTGAAAGATGTTACACGATATAATTTTGCAGTAATTTAACGAGTAATGACAGGATTTTGCTCTTATCTTGGGACATGAATTTTTAATGTTTTCCTGCTAGACATTCATGAAAGACGACAAGGAACGATAAGGCAATGATTATTTATTTCTTTTATCTTATTCAGACATGGACTTTGAGATATAATGACATTGAAGGCGTTTATCTACGCATGTTGAGCGTTCTAATTTCCATGTTTGTTTCAGACATGACAAGAAACTCCCACAAAAAAATCTAAAAACATCAATACTCGCCCCCACGCCCGTCGCGCCTTTCAACTCGGAATCTCAAGCATGACGGGAATGAGACTGAGATTATCAATGAACTCCGTGAATTGGATAAAGTCGGATTTCCATAAACTACCACAATGATAAAAAGAGTTTTTACTTCATTTATTGCATCGTTTAAATCTCCTATTTTTATTAATCTATTTTTATTAAATTTGCGTTTAAGAGTTTACAATGAAAATATGAGAAATATTCCACGTTATGTTTACGAGGGATGCGTATAAAGTATATATAAATTTCAAAATGATCTCTGGCAAGTGTTTTAGTGAGTTGATATCGATGTGAAAGGGTCTTTTAATTCTCTTGTGCCATCAATTATGATCCTGTGATGTGTCTCGTGCATTTACAGCTCTATTTGCTTGTGCACGTTTTGCAAATTTCCACTTCAGAGTGAATTTGATGAATCTCACCAGCTCATCTCAAGACTAATTTATGTGCTTACACAAATAATATCAAAAGGTGCTATTCAACAGAGAATATTTGTGCCACATCTTTAACGATGTCCAGGATGGACAGAAGAAAGGATATTTTTCTCTCTTTGAGGCTTGATTTCATTCCTCACATGGAAGGTTCGGGCAAGCCTCCGTTTGTGGCCGCCACTCCACCCATTCTAGATGAACCACCGTCACTGCGTGATGGTGACCTTTCTGGAGTACCCTCGTTGTCCTCAATTGTCCCACTATCGTCTTCGTTATCATGAATGTCTTTGTCATCATTGACGTTATTATCCTGCATGTTATCACTTGTGGCGTCATCATCTTGTGCTACATCATCATTTTCATTATCATTCTCGTTGCTATCATCCTGTTTGTCATCTTCATCATCCTGTTTGTCATCATCATCATCCTGTCTACTGTCTTCATCATCCTGTTTGTCATCTTCATCATCCTGTCTGTCATCTTCTGTCATCTTTTTCCCAGTTCTTTCTTCGTCTTCCGCACCTCCTCCATCCTCTTGTACGTCCTACAATAATGGAAAGAAATGGTATCGTTTTAAATCAAAAGTGAAAATAAACATCGACTTCGACGACAATCCAAAACTTCGGAAACGGGAGTTTACGATTAGATCGATTAGATTGCAACCCCAAAGACATACACAAAATAAAGAACCTACGCCCGTATTCATAAAGCTCACTCACTGTCACATTCATTGAGTGTAACATTTCTGTTATCACTCATCAGTGGGACAGTCCTTTCTTAATTTCAATAGAGATATTTGAAGTAAATCATTAGAGCAAAAGAAGCTCTATTTGGAATAGAAATACCGCAAAGGAGTCGCTATGAGGTGATTGAGATCTCCCACTCAATGAGTTTGAGTGTGAGTGGGCTTTTAGAAGACAGTCGTAGGTCTAGAACATAAACAGCTGATAACACCCACCTGATTTTCACAATGTTCTGTCGTTTTCTCCTGACCAATCTCTTCTTCAGCCCGTGGGAGGCTACCGCGTGATTCATGCCCTTGTAAATCATCCTCACATTCATAATTCCTTGGATCATATTCCTCTTCGTCGTTGTATTCATCAGATGAACTTTCTCCAGTGCCCCCCTCATTCTCAGATGATTCAGAAGTCCCCTCCATATTAATAGCTACATCTCCAGGGGGGTGCTGTCCATCCGACTCCTCGTCGGAATCATCCATAATCAATCTTGGTCCCTTTGCTGCCGCGTCAGTGACGAAAGCGCTCGTGGCGATTTGTTCCTGCGCAAAAGACGTTCTCGCCCAGTCGTATTTCGCCATCTGACGTTCGTTAACTTTAGGACGTTCGGTGAAAGTCATTGGGAATTCAGGAGGAGCTGCTTCTATATACAGGAAAATAAAAATTCAGGGAGAAATTTGAATGGATAGATACAGAAGTATTGTGTATAATTCAAGAATAGTGAAAAGAGTTCAAAGGTGTAATGGTGAATTTAATTGTTCAATCATTTACAAAACATTTTGTAGAAAGCTAGGATTAAAATGTCACTCACCTTCCTCGTCTTCTACAACAACAACTGGTTTTTCAACTTTTGGTTTCACCTTGTCGCTGTTAAACTCTGTGTATTTCTTTTTGGTTAAATACCAGGAATGGGCGCAACACGTCCCACAGATGCACGCGACAATCAAGAAAGTGATCACTGCCACAGATATCATAAATGGCGTGTAATCGATGACCAACGGCTGAATCTTTGTGGTCTTTATCGTCGGTGTTGTCGCTGTTTTCCTGATGTAATGTTGTGATACAAGACTTGTGGGAATGGTGAGATTGAAGTCGACTTGAATCCCCAATGTGAGTGGCAAAATATTGCTGTTTTCTACAGGAACCTTAAGAGAATCTGTTTTAACCAAATCTGCTAACTTCAGAAGCGAAGTATTGAGCGTGCTGTTGGTTCCATCCGGAGAAAGAAGAGTGAAGTTGACTACGATACTACCACAATAGGCGATCATGTTAGTAATTTTGCCTGTTGATATATTTAAAGCAAGTGCGACGCTGTACTTGGTTGAGTTTAAGAAGTTAGCTTTGGTGGTCTCGTTGGAGAGAATACTGCAGTCTGCGTCCAACCTCAGAGAGAGTCGTGCCTCTGGGTCGGGGATTGCAGGCGGACTGCCACCTGGATTCTCAGAACCAGAATTTCCGCCGGAGTTGCCACCTATAAAAATAGAGCAAGCCCGGTTAAGAGCTAGAAACATTCATGCAAATAATGATTTGGATTCTATTTAAGTTTGAGCCCAAGCAAACAGTTGAAACAGTAGAAAGAATAATTCGTGAACTTTTGTAACTGCTTACATCAACGTTCTCTGCAAAAAAGTGTTGTGATAACAAACAGAATAAAATATTTTCAATTACCGCCATTATTCCAAGGTCCTGAACCATTTTGACTGTTAGAATAATCAACGTAAACAGTGAAATACCCAAGCATCGAGCAGTTGCATCTCACAATGTTTGTTTGATTATTCGATATCAAGGTTTGGTTGGTCGTACAGAATGATGTTGACCATTGCATAGCGTTGAACGGACGGCCAACACACTAAAGAAGAAAATGAGTAAAAATTATAAATGATGGATAGAGCTATATAAATGAAAATATGATAAATAATAATTAACTATAAAATAAACAACGTTCAACGTCAGACATGTCAAAATTTATACTCCTAACCATAAATAACAACATAAACAATAATTATATAAAGAATATTAGCTTACCCATAATTTAAACGAACGAGAAGTATTTGGCATCTTTACTAATGGCATCTCCAAATGAACGGACTCTTCTCCACTTAGATTAACAAAACGCATGTTCTTATCAAAAAGTGACAAGGACAACACGTCTGTTAGCCTGGATGAACTCTGTTCCACGATTTGAAAATCATCTGCAAATCTCGATCCCGCCAAACAAGATGTAGCGGTTTCATTTTTGAACACAAATTTTGCTGTGGGGGAGGTGCTTGTAAGATTAGGACAGGACAGGCAGGGAAAATTTAGTTTCTTCTCCATGAAACTTGTTTTATTCACGAGTTTTACATGAATAGACACGAGAGATGTATCAACGACAGAGGTTTTATGCTTTGTTTCGTTGTGAGTAAGGTTGAGACAAAGTCCAGTTTCTGAATTTTGAACTTTTGTTAAGAATGTTCTTCCTAGGGTAAGGTTTAATGGTTTCGAGAATGAATTCAGTAACGTTGCCACCTAGAGTGTTAAGATAGAAAACAACAGGTAAATATGATAAATATAAACTTCGAGTGTAGTTCATTATAAGGCTTCCACTTTTACATCTCAATTCTCAAAGTTACATACCTCGGAGCTCGTTTGAGGCACTTGGGCATTTGAAGATAACTGTTGACAGCAAAACACTAAAAATGAAAAGTTTCATTCGTAACTTGCGAGGTAATTAGGTAGCGTATATCTTTACAACAACAATACGTTGATTGCTTTAGAGTTTAGTAACACGACATGAATCTTTTCTCCAGTATCAAAGTTTCTGTTTTACAAGTGTCACGTATGTACTCCTATTTATTACTAAATTTTGCAATGTAATAATATGAGAATTTTTGAAAAATATGCATGATTATTCATACTCAGAGTTCCAGGTAGACTTTAGACACGAGACAAACGTACCTGTAAATACTAGAACAAAGACTGGATGCACGTTTTCTGCCATTCTTGTCAGGATTTCGTCAAGCCAAAGTTAACCGTATCCTAGCTTCAATAGCAGTTCCATTTTGATAACGTTTAAAAAGACTTCGCCATATTTTTATTTCATAAACCAGTTACCACAACATACGGCAAAATAATAATGTCGCATAGACAACTCCGAAAAGCATAAATAATTAATGTGCAATTTATAGCAAGGTCAATTATAAAACGATTGGAGAAGAATTGTTCGAAAAAGTGACGAGACCGGACGACTCTTAGTACAAAAGCAATGTTATTCAGCTATTAAAGAAATTATTGGGACTTCGGCTTAAGAGCAAACAGGATAATGTCCTGTGTTTGGACCACCAGTTTGTATACGTCAGAAAGCGAATTGAGGACAGGGAGAAGCCATAAATGTTTAATGAAAATTACCACTTAAATCAGGTGGCAATAAAGACGGGTATGACATAAACCAGTTTAAAACAGGTTTTTCAAGTATACTTTATACAAGCGGATTATAATTACAATACTCTAGCTGCTGTAAGTTTCAAAGTCGAACATAGAGTAATGTTCAGCAATTGATTAGGAAATTTTCACTCCAATATGTTTACAAGTCTATTACGAACGGTCGGTTTTTATTACCACAAGAATTGTTTTTTGCCCAGCAATACCATTACCATCCACATTTGAAGTCGCCAAGACCACATGCAAGACAGACTTGGCCAACGAATGGCGTCAATTACATTAGAAAGACACGATTTAAAATCGTGCATCTTATCAGGAAAACTCTGTTCAGTAATATTCATAAATCCATACCTGACTATCTTGAAACATTTTTGATATCGAGAATAATGTATTCCTCTCTCCCCCCTCTCTCACTCTTGTTTTAATATGGCTATTCTTAGTCGTCCCATCACACGTTTACAACGAGATCTAATTCTTATCCTTGCTTTTGAATTATTTCATTCAAAGGCTACAGTCGGAATCGAATTCTTGAGGATTACGCTGTCTGATTGTATTTGACATTTGCAACAAGGCGGCGGCGTTTCTGAAAGCGAAATTAATGGAAATATAGGGAGGAAAGAAGTGTAATGGTTTAGAGGAACGATTCCTGAGAAATGTTCGTAGTGGATTTAGTTCAAGATCATGCACGCTCATCATTATTGGAACCGGCGCTTGTTTGTTTGTTTGTTTCTGAATTGAACAGTTTCATCCAGTTCTACACTAGATGGCTTAATCTATCTTTCTGACATAGAAGCGAATAACATACAATATTCCAGTTACCTTCTGTGATTGTCGAAGTCGCTATAACTTGACTGATGATTTTAATTATCGGTACAATATTTTGAGTAACCTATTGAGAAAAGAGTTACACACGAGTTTACTATTTCATCAACAATAACAAACTTAAATGATCAAGGGAACTGAGCAATACCTCAGGATGTTCGCTGTTAAACAATTGCACGATACAGGAATACACTGTTGTGTTTTCCTCAAAGTCCGCTTTCAATGGAAGACACTGGAGCAACACGGGGAAAGTCTAAAAAACAACAGTTCTCGTTAGAATTTTTTGACAGCATAATGATTATTGTGTATGCCAACAATCGATATTCTACGATTAACCTTGATTAAATATAAGAGATACCTATGAATATCACTGAATGATTATCATTATCTACTATTATCTATGACTATATATACGATAGTCTATAACCTTAAATTTATATAAGACATGATTATCAATGATTATCGGTGATTATCTATTATTATTATTCAAAGCCATCTAAGGAGTCCTCGTGCAACATCTAAGATCTTGTACAAACCTGTTCCATGGGAACTTTACTAATATTTGCACAAATCATGCGGCAAACGGCAGCACAAATATTGTCAACCACACGAACTTCGTGCTCTCGTTTTAACAGGAAAAACAGTCCTTCTAAAATTTCTGGATAATGTCTACAATTATTACGTCAAGGAAGATAGATCCACGACTGTAAACTAAGCGCATGTTTTAAACAGGATCCCGTTCTTCAACAAAGTGACAGTCACACCCCACACCTCCCCCCACACCTACCCCGCACACCTTCCCGCACACCTACCCCGCACACCTCCCCGCACACCTCCCCCCACACCTACCCCGCACACCTCTCCCACAGGCCTCTCCCATGAGGTAAGAAACAAAGGATACACAAATACAGGATCTCCACCATACGCCGCTAGAACTCCAAGAGCATAAGAAGTATTTCCTCGCACTTCGTCATCTTCATCGTTCAGGAGTTTCATAAACACAGGGTAGAGATGAGGAACGAAAGGAACAATTCTTAATTCCATCGCTAGAATAATCTTTGGAAAAAAGAGAGTTTGGTCAGGATGATTCAGGGCGGGCGTACTTTCCTCCGGGAGTAACGATGATTCAATGAGAGTTATAACTCACTCAACCTATCAGTAGGGCAATTTGGAGAGTTTACAAGTGATTTCAGAGACGCTCACCTCCGCCACGGTTCCAACAGAAAACGAACGATCTGAAACCAACGCAGACTTCTAAAAAACAAAACAAAAATATTTGACGACACACCCTATGGTTAGAAGTAACTCACTCATATAAACTACGGTACCATTCGTTTAAGAAACCATGGCAACAAGCTAGCAAAATACGCCACAAATTCGTGTCCAGGTGCAGCGGTGGCTAGCTTAGGAATAACGTCACCAGCATGCTCAATCAACGTTGCGTCAAGTTCAGCTTGTTCTTGATTCTCTCCATCGATATCCTCGTCATCGTTGTCTTGACAACGGGTCTGTAGTAAAAAGTACGCGATGTTTGTAAAATGAGAAGCAAGAAGCATTTCAAAGACGACAAAAGCTCGTGTCACTGACCCACCTTGGACATGAGAACGTTTTTAAGAGCGGCACAAATCCCTTCAAAGTTTCCAGGTCCTTGTAAGGCTTCCTGTTTCATGGATTTTAACATTTCCTCCATACTCGAGAGGATCGCCATCACGACTGTCCTATCCTTGTCTTGGTTGATCATCGTGATCATCGTTGCCACGTAGTTGTTTACAACACCAAATACTGGACGATGAGATATAAAAATGATCAAACCAAGAAATTGATCAAAAGGACGCTTTACTCATCCAAGTTTCTACAGATCCTCCAATATTCATTTTGAGAAAGTGGAAACGTTAAAACTTACGAAACGTCTTATTTTCGTTGATATTGTTTAATATTGAGTGTAGAGACCGACACAGCTGACTCATTGAAGTGACTGAACCTTTCCTAACACCAGTATGAGGAAACTAAAGCAAGCAAGGACAGCACAATGATAAGGAACTTCATATGTCATAATATTCTAAATATGGTACGCACCTGGAGTAACTTCAAGACCTCGTTTATTGTCTCGTCCATAAAACGAAGGAATGCTGCTCTGCGGATGAGAGATGGTAAAATATCACAGCTCATTCATCCACAAGTATGCCATGATTAACACAAATATTCCAGTGAACTTACTGCGTATTCTCAGCTATTTCTCCAACAGCATTGCACGCATCTTCCTTCTCATCCATGTACGCGTTCTCAACTGTATACCTTATACAACAATATTATGACGTCACGCAACGTCATGGGATGTGACGTCATCAAGATAATTTGATACATCACGAGTTGTTACGTGACGTACCGTTATTTATTGCTACGATATATTGAAATATATTACCCTGCTACGGAATCATCGTCGCTGTCATCCCCCTGTTCTTCTTCAATATTTTCATCCTCGATCAGAAAAGTTGGGTCTCCTTCACCATTATAGTAAGTCTGATAGAGCGAAATAAAAAATTCGTTGATTTGACGTTAATTCAAGATGATATTTGATAAACAAGCTTCACAAGGCTTACCACAAAACCATCAGTTGAACGAAGAGTATTCAAAATGTGTGTCAAAATTGCAGGTAAGTAAGTGGCCATGTCTTGTTTGAGAAAGGTTGAGAGTGACGCAAAAAGCCCGTATCTAAATAACAATGCAAAAATTTGAAATTTTCTGGTCTTTTCTTTCCTAGGCTAGTCTCCAAGACTCACTTACACACATCTTCGTACATCAGGATCGTTTAACCTTTCAATTAATTCCTGCATAAGATTGAAAAATAAGTTTGAGATTGAACTGATAAGATACAAAAATTATACCTCAAGAAAAAATATCAGCTTTAAAAATTTTATATCCCTGAATCAACTCACCAAACTTATCTTTATCCATTCTTCCGCAATTGGATAAAAATGTTCCCTGCCCATAACCCGAGCGAGCATACCAACTGTGTCTGGAATGCAAAACACAAAACGTTCTCTTAGCTATGTGCTAAATAATCCTTTTCACTCCACATTATTATCAGCAATATTGTACAGTACTTAGTCTCTACACTTACCAATACACTGAGCTTGAATCTGACTGCCATCAAAAACTGGATTGCATATGTAACTCTGTTCATAATTGAGATAGAAAATGAAATAAAAACACATTATATCATTTTATAATGATGCGATATCAGTCGCCATATCAGAGACCAAAAGGTTTGAAATAAATACCTTGAGGATTTCAATCAAATTTGGAAAATATGGCAACATTTCCTTCCCTGCAGCACTTGCTGAAGGAATGAAAGAAAAGCATGTTGAAAACTTCAACTTTATAGATCGGTTTTTTATCCTACTTTGTTTTAAAATTTCCAGGTGCTATAGATTCAAAATGTTTTCAAACATTCTCACCTGCGGCTCCAACAGCGCTAACCGCCAGTCCCTTGATTCTTTCAGGCTAAAGACAGCAGATTTAGTGATCAAAATGACTATAAACTAAAGGTAGTAAATATTGCAATAGTTTCAAACCTGAGGAGTTGATAATGTGGTTAGCAATTGCTCCATAAGTGCCGGAAGATACGGCAATATTCCTTCACCTGCAAGAATCAACGATGGTTTAATAGCTCTGGTGGACTTCACAAGCACAAATCACTGTTCGACTTCAGAAATATCGTTATTTCTTACCCAAGTTTTCGCAAAATGTCTCCAAAGCGTAATATGTCCGAGATATGCCGGGAGGATCCGATTTACCAACGGCCTGTCCGAGATAGTCAAACAACAAGGGCAGAATAATGGCAGCAAATTTACTGATGTCTGGCTAGAAATAAATAAATTTGTTTGTTAGTATGACATATTGAATTACTTTAGAAAGTAATTCGTGCATAATGTCTAATATATACCGGAGCTTAGCAAGAGCAGTTCAGAACGAATTTAGGTTATATTAGTTACCATTGTATACCAGTTTAGAGCTGCTAACCATCCAGTATAAGTACAGTTATACTTTCGTTCAGAGCACTTGCATTTACAATATGAACAAGCGCACTATTTGTATGTACAGATAGATTGAAAAGCTACAGTGATGACCTTCATATTAATGTACTGTACCAGTGTACCTGTAAGTATTCTGCAAACTGTCCCAATGCAAATAAAGCAGCGTTTCTCACAACAATGTGATGGTCTGATAATGCTGAAATTTAAAAACATATCACTCCAGGTTTTCCCTTCACTGAGAGTTCACTAGCAATAGAATCAATCACTTCACACTGATACGAGAACGATAATAATTACCTTGACATACCACATGAAGGACTGTCTGCAAGTGCCTGAGAAATTGTAAAAAGAATCCCAAATATTTCATAATGAAAATAGGTCTGAAGCATGCAACTTTTACCACACAAGTCTTCTCATGCAGTTGATCGATTGACTCTTACTTCTCTTGCACAAAATCAGCACAGCCTTCAGCCAGAACTGCCAGCGATATTAATGCAGCCTTGCGGTGATATGGATTAGAGTGAGTTAATGCTGGTTCCACAAGCTGCATCTAGAACATCAAGAATCAAAGTGTCACACAACAAATTTCATTGGATTGCAATAAAAGGCTGCAGAATCAGGACATGTACTAGCACTGCAAATACTCACCAATGGTGGAAACAACTTCTCTGGCGCCAAATGAAGAGCAAGAACATCTACCACCTTGACAACAATTCAAAGAAAAATTAAAGTACTGTAATCTAATTATCCTGGCAATGTTCTGAAATGCACCTCATAACGTCAGTACCATGCTCTATCTAATGTCGGACAATTTTCTGAACCATACCTGTGCTGCAACTGCATTTGGTCGGCTGTCTTCAGCTTCAGTCAGACTTTCTGTATCCTCCTCATCCTCACAATCGCCATCAGCAACGTCTTCTTCACCTCGTGTCGCCATGATCGGAAACACGACTGACAGAATTGGAGACAATAACTTGTTCTTTAATATCACCTTAGATTTGACACGTATTATCCAGCTGATGAAGTGGAGAGCTTTAACTCTACTACTATCACCAAGTTCTGTGTTCATTGCAATATACAGACAGAACTCAACAAGGGATTTCACATGAGGAATAACAATTCCAACTTCAGAGTCGACCAACTCATCAAACACGTCCATACACTCACATGCCTTGTCCTAAAACAGAAATAACAACGCTTGCTTTATTACACATGATAAATCCTGTGGATGTAATCATGCAAATGGAAAACAAAACTCTATACCTCATCTGTCTGGACTAGATTCTTGATAATGACAATAATTTTTGGAATTAAAGGTCTTAAAAGATTCTAAAAAAACACAAGCACAGATCAATGAGTTCTGAGCATATAAATTAAATACATTATAGCTTTGCTATTTTTGTATTTAAGCTGGAAGTAAGATTTTCCAAGGAGATTATACAAGTCTAACAATTGATGCTGATTCATACTATTTCATCTTCACCAAGGTAAATAACCAAATTTGTGATAGATCTAAAGAGAAAACCAAAGTGAAAATAGCATATAGTCGCAACATGTCAAACAATTCATGCAGCAATTTGTGAATGAATCAATAAACCAACTTGGAATCGTACAGTACCTAACTGTATAGAAAGAAATATTTTCATTTTCTTGGTCCTCTAATGTTTTTGAAAAAATATGAAACAACGCTGGAAAGTGAGGCCTTAGCTACAAATGAAAAATATTACATTGCATGAATACAAGTAGATGAAGTTGAACAACGTAAAAAAAATTCAAGAGATGACTTCTTTAGATGTATACCTGTTCACCAACTGTTTCAGTAATGATACTAAGAACGTACATCGCCATCTTAAAATATTAAATGTTAATAATTACAAAAGTACTACAACAAGACATTGCATCACATTCACCATTCATACTCAAAGTCATTTATCAATTCTGACATGACAAATCAGCATAGAGCAATAGTCTGTCTCATCGATTACCTCTCTATGTCCTGGTTGTGGACTTTTGATATATTCATTGAGAAATTGAAATAATTGAGGCCACTGTTCGTTTGGTAACTCATGCTTTGCAATAGCACCAATCTATAACAAATTATAGAATTTTGAATACGGACAAGCGCCAGTGAAGTTGTACGGTAAGGATGTAATTTGAATACTGTAAAGTAAAAACCACTCAATACTCTCAGTAAAAACGCTAGTTATTTAACATGTAAGAGGCAAAACAATGTAAGCACACATTACTATTTGCGCTGTTGAGTGGCACACAATTCGCCTAAAAATATAAAACAAAATACAACATATTCTTGTACCATTGGTATTACACAAATGTCTACATGACTGCACTAACTAGTGTAGTATGATTTGGTACCATCAATGCGGTTCCAATGCTACTCACTCTGTTTCCCTGACAAGTACTTGCAAAACCGTAGGTTTCAACCTTTACAAAAAAAAATCCACTTAGAAATGCCAATTTTCAGCTGATAACTAATTGGAAACATTCAATTCAGTGTTCTTACGAATTGCGAAGTTCCAGGTTTAGTTTCAACCATTGTTTCACAACACGACGCCTTAGAAGTATTGCGGCATACTGCCTTGCCTAAATAAGACGCAAGTTATACAACTGCTAGTTCCTTGAGACTGGATCAGCCTTGATGACTATAAACTGGTACCAGCTAAACTAATGGTACTGTCCCCTACAGATACTATGGTATGGTATGGTATGAGATGGTATGGTATGGTGTGATATGAGAGTGTATAGTATGGTATAAGATAGTATGGTATGGTATGGTATAAGATAGTATGGTATGGTATGATATGGCATGGTATGGTATGGCATGGTATGGTATTGTGTGGTATTATAACTATAATTCTTAATTTTAGTGGGTCAAGTGGGATAGCAGTTAGTAACTTCAGAAGAACCTGTGATTGAGGGTCTCCAATAATAAAATATGTCTCCATGCATATTAACGTACACGACACTAGATAGTATCGTACCTGAGGACTTTGAGAAGAACTTAATACAGCCACCAATATTGGCACAATTTGATCGGTAGGATTTTGGAAGAAGGCTCTCAGCTCAGCCGTGGCCTGCAAATATTAGACAAGTAAGTCAAGTAAGATAAATAAGTTTGCACGCAATATTCAATCAATTTGAAACAGATTTCTTCACCTGTTTAATAATAGCGTTATCTGGAACAAGAAGTCTTCCTAAAATTTCTTCAAGTTCGGCGGCCATGCTTGATCCACGTTGTTCTCGTGTAACATAAAGTATTGAAATGGTCTATTTTGTATTTTCGTCTTTTTCGGTGTTGTTCGGGCTATCTTTATTAAAAACATATCGCTTGTATTATTATAAAATTTATAATTATTGAAATCAAGAGTGAAAATAAGACTTATAGATACCCTGAATATGAAACAGAATCAACAAAGATAAAACAATAAAAATGTGAAAGTCCGGTCCGAAGACAAGGAAGTCCAACCCCATATGGTCCAACATCCGCCGATCGGACTATTAATTAAAGGTAATACAACTTAAATCTTGTAATTTCCAAGCGTTTGTCTTACTATTAGGCATTTCCTATGCATATACTTGTTTGAGAGATTTTTGGGATTTTTTACATCCTTTCCAAAATTTTTTTTGCGTCGGCGGCTTTCCAATTTTTTTCTTTTACATACAAAGAAACAATGTTATTTTCATAATTATATGGGACGGATGTGGTTCGAATAAAAAAATTCTGTGAGTTAAAAAGCTGAAAAGTATCTACTCACTTACCCGTAGTTTCCCAGAGAAATTTTCTTGCTCCACAGCTGTCTTATAAAAAAATTTGTGTCGTTTTGCCTGGGGTAATTTCACATTATTTAACTGCAAATGTTTGCAATTATTGAATTCGTTAAAAACGATGTTGTTAATAATTAACTTTCTCATCAACCAATCGCATCAGACCTTGTTGGAGGTGCTACATGACCCTCTTAAAAAAATTGACAATATTTTTAACAAGCGTGTTTTGCCTCATCTTCTCGCAGCTTAAAATCGTATCTGGCTATCCTCGATCCAGATGAAACTTTAACAATGCAAGTTCGTTGGTCTGAACTTCAAAAAAAATTGCCACTTCGTCACTTCGATCGTTAAAGAAGCTGAGCTTTACGCCGTACGCCCACAATTTTTTGACCAGCGCAGACAAAATTCCACTGCAAAATTCCCATCACTGATTCCCACCTTCCCACCTCTCGACAGTGGGTAAATTTTTTTTGTCCAATAGGATTAGTGATTCGTTGTCATGTGACAGTACGAGGGCGAGGCATTTTCAAAATTTAAATTTCGTTAAGTTCTGGTTTGCTGCTTGAGAACAGAATTGCTGTAAAAAGTTTAATAAATTCATTAAATTCAGTTTTTTAAAACTGTTTTTTTAAGGCTGACAAAGAAAAGAGGTATGTTCTTGTGTTTTATTGTAAAGTACTCCACATTCATGGCCTAAAAGTGAAAATTTCTGTGTTGAATTTGACCTCGTGTTCGGCCATATTTTGGCTGCGTCCGTGTTGAAAAATTTTCGACGTTAAATCTTCAGCAATGTTTTTGGTTATTCGCAAAGAAGTGCTTGGATATGATATTCTGATTGTGCTTTAGGTTGAAATTGCTTTACAATAACTGTTAATTTCTGTCGTTTTAGGCTTATTGCGAGCAAGATAAATCGCTTCTCAAAGCTATATTCAAGACTGAAAAAGTCAAATGCATTGAAGAGTTCGAAAAATCATCACTACCTTGCTCCATAAAAGGTAAAAGTTAGATGCTTTATAATGTATATTACATTTCCTTTTCTCGTACTTTATTAGTAAAATATGAAATGGTATTTTTCTTCCCGTTTATTTTTCGTAAATATGGAAAAGACATGGATAAATGTACAACATGTAGTAACTATACTGCTGACTATATTGACTAGTGAAGCGACGAAACTGCTTAGCATAAAATAATTCTTCTTACAAAAGAATTTCTGGCGAAAAAGCCGCTAATGAATTGTAGAATTGTACAAAATCGTGAACAAGAATAATAATCTTTTAATTCGTGGTTGCATATATTTTGTGTAAAGCCGAGAAAGAAATGATTGAGCAGGAGTAGTCTGATGCCCTGGTTTTATTGATTAAACAATTTTGATTCAAAATACTTGAAATGCATTTACATGTAAAATAAAACTTGTGTCTTATTACAGTGAAGCAATTCAAGTAGTGACACATTTTTTGATAAATATATATACGTTATGTTCTGACAGATTACTGTTCAAATGTGCACAACTATCAAGGCCAAAAACTGAAGCGGATGACCAACTCATGATGAGCAACTGTGGAGCATATCAACACAAATCAACCCTGGCAAATGTCGAAAGAAACAATGGAAAGATAAGTGCATTTACAATATTTCATGCAATACGGTTCATTCTATGCTTTTCGTTTCGCTTTCCGGCAGAGTCAATTTTTTCTGTAGCGTTCATTTTTTCGGTAGCGTCCATTTTTCCGTAGCGTTCATTTTTTCGGTAGGTTCATTTTTTCGGTAGCGTCCATTTTTTCCGTAGCGTTATTTTTTCGGTAGCGTTCATTTTTTCGGCAGCGTCCATTTTTCGGAGCGTTCATTTTTTCGGTAGGTTCATTTTTTCGGCAGCGTCCATTTTTTCGGTAGCGTTCATTTTTTCGGCAGCGTTCATTTCTCTAAACTTAAGGTCCCCTGTTAACGGCGGAAGGTATGCTGAAATATGCTACTAGTACTTTCCTGTTTGTTGATATGGCTTTTCGTTTCGCTAAATTGCGGCAGCGTTCATTTCTCCAAACGTATAAGTCCCCTGTTAACGGCGGAAGGTATGCTGAAATATGCTACTAGTACTTTCCTGTTTGTTGATATGGCTTTTCGTTTCGCTAAATTGCGGCAGCGTTCATTTCTCCAAACGTATAAGTCCCCTGTTAACGGCGGAAGGTATGCTGAAATATGCTACTAGTACTTTCCTGTTTGTTGATATGGCTTTTCGTTTCGCTAAATTGCGGCAGCGTTCATTTCTCCAAACGTATAAGTCCCCTGTTAACGGCGGAAGGTATGCTGAAATATGCCACTAGTACTTTCCTGTTTGTTGATATGGCTTTTCGTTTCGCTAAATTGCGGCAGCGTTCATTTCTCCAAACGTATAAGTCCCCTGTTAACGGCGGAAGGTATGCTGAAATATGCCACTAGTACTTTCCTGTTTGTTGATATGGCTTTTCGTTTCGCTAAATTGCGGCAGCGTTCATTTCTCCAAACGTATAAGTCCCCTGTTAACGGCGGAAGGTATGCTGAAATATGCTACTAGTACTTTCTTGTTTGTTGATATGGCTTTTCGTTTCGCTAAATTGCGGCAGCGTTCATTTCTCCAAACGTATAAGTCCCCTGTTAACGGCGGAAGGTATGCTGAAATATGCTACTAGTACTTTCCTGTTTGTTGATATGGCTTTTCGTTTCGCTAAATTGCGGCAGCGTTCATTTCTCCAAACGTATAAGTCCCCTGTTAACGGCGGAAGGTATGCTGAAATATGCTACTAGTACTTTCCTGTTTGTTGATATGGCTTTTCGTTTCGCTAAATTGCGGCAGCGTTCATTTCTCCAAACGTATAAGTCCCCTGTTAACGGCGGAAGGTATGCTGAAATATGCTACTAGTACTTTCTTGTTTGTTGATATGGCTTTTCGTTTCGCTAAATTGCGGCAGCGTTCATTTCTCCAAACGTATAAGTCCCCTGTTAACGGCGGAAGGTATGCTGAAATATGCTACTAGTACTTTCCTGTTTGTTGATATGGCTTTTCGTTTCGCTAAATTGCGGCAGCGTTCATTTGTCCAAACGTATAAGTCCCCTGTTAACGGCGGAAGGTATGCTGAAATATGCTACTAGTACTTTCCTGTTTGTTGATATGGCTTTTCGTTTCGCTAAATTGCGGCAGCGTTCATTTCTCCAAACGTATAAGTCCCCTGTTAACGGCGGAAGGTATGCTGAAATATGCTACTAGTACTTTCTTGTTTGTTGATATGGCTTTTCGTTTCGCTAAATTGCGGCAGCGTTCATTTCTCCAAACGTATAAGTCCCCTGTTAACGGCGGAAGGTATGCTGAAATATGCTACTAGTACTTTCCTGTTTGTTGATATGGCTTTTCGTTTCGCTAAATTGCGGCAGCGTTCATTTCTCCAAACGTATAAGTCCCCTGTTAACGGCGGAAGGTATGCTGAAATATGCTACTAGTACTTTCCTGTTTGTTGATATGGCTTTTCGTTTCGCTAAATTGCGGCAGCGTTCATTTCTCCAAACGTATAAGTCCCCTGTTAACGGCGGAAGGTATGCTGAAATATGCCACTAGTACTTTCCTGTTTGTTGATATGGCTTTTCGTTTCGCTAAATTGCGGCAGCGTTCATTTCTCCAAACGTATAAGTCCCCTGTTAACGGCGGAAGGTATGCTGAAATATGCTACTAGTACTTTCTTGTTTGTTGATATGGCTTTTCGTTTCGCTAAATTGCGGCAGCGTTCATTTCTCCAAACGTATAAGTCCCCTGTTAACGGCGGAAGGTATGCTGAAATATGCTACTAGTACTTTCCTGTTTGTTGATATGGCTTTTCGTTTCGCTAAATTGCGGCAGCGTTCATTTCTCCAAACGTATAAGTCCCCTGTTAACGGCGGAAGGTATGCTGAAATATGCTACTAGTACTTTCCTGTTTGTTGATATGGCTTTTCGTTTCGCTAAATTGCGGCAGCGTTCATTTCCCCAAACGTATAAGTCCCCTGTTAACGGCGGAAGGTATGCTGAAATATGCTACTAGTACTTTCTTGTTTGTTGATATGGCTTTTCGTTTCGCTAAATTGCGGCAGCGTTCATTTCTCCAAACGTATAAGTCCCCTGTTAACGGCGGAAGGTATGCTGAAATATGCTACTAGTACTTTCCTGTTTGTTGATATGGCTTTTCGTTTCGCTAAATTGCGGCAGCGTTCATTTGTCCAAACGTATAAGTCCCCTGTTAACGGCGGAAGGTATGCTGAAATATGCTACTAGTACTTTCCTGTTTGTTGATATGGCTTTTCGTTTCGCTAAATTGCGGCAGCGTTCATTTCTCCAAACGTATAAGTCCCCTGTTAACGGCGGAAGGTATGCTGAAATATGCTACTAGTACTTTCTTGTTTGTTGATATGGCTTTTCGTTTCGCTAAATTGCGGCAGCGTTCATTTCTCCAAACGTATAAGTCCCCTGTTAACGGCGGAAGGTATGCTGAAATATGCTACTAGTACTTTCCTGTTTGTTGATATGGCTTTTCGTTTCGCTAAATTGCGGCAGCGTTCATTTCTCCAAACGTATAAGTCCCCTGTTAACGGCGGAAGGTATGCTGAAATATGCTACTAGTACTTTCCTGTTTGTTGATATGGCTTTTCGTTTCGCTAAATTGCGGCAGCGTTCATTTCTCCAAACGTATAAGTCCCCTGTTAACGGCGGAAGGTATGCTGAAATATGCCACTAGTACTTTCTTGTTTGTTGATATGGCTTTGCGTTTCGCTAAATTGCGGCAGCGTTCATTTCTCCAAACGTATAAGTCCCCTGTTAACGGCGGAAGGTATGCTGAAATATGCCACTAGTACTTTCTTGTTTGTTGATATGGCTTTTCGTTTCGCTAAATTGCGGCAGCGTTCATTTCTCCAAACGTATAAGTCCCCTGTTAACGGCGGAAGGTATGCTGAAATATGCCACTAGTACTTTCTTGTTTGTTAATATGGCTTTTCGTTTCGCTAAATTGCGGCAGCGTTCATTTCTCCAAACGTATAAGTCCCCTGTTAACGGCGGAAGGTATGCTGAAATATGCCACTAGTACTTTCCTGTTTGTTGCTATGGCTTTTCGTTTCGCTAAATTGCGGCAGCGTCCATTTTTTCGGTAGCGTTCATTTTTTCGGTAGCGTTCATTTTTTCGGTAGCGTCCATATTTTCCGTAGCGTTCATTTTTTCGGTAGCGTTCATTTTTTCGGCAGCGTCCTTTTTTCGGAGCGTTCATTTTTTCGGTAGGTTCATTTTTTCGGTAGCGTTCATTTTTTCGGCAGCGTCCATTTTTTCGGTAGCGTTCATTTCTCTAAACTTAAGGTCCCCTGTTAACGGCGGAAGGTATGCTGAAATATGCCACTAGTACTTTCTTGTTTGTTAATATGGCTTTTCGTTTCGCTAAATTGCGGCAGCGTTCATTTCTCCAAACGTATAAGTCCCCTGTTAACGGCGGAAGGTATGCTGAAATATGCCACTAGTACTTTCTTGTTTGTTAATATGGCTTTTCGTTTCGCTAAATTGCGGTAGCGTTCATTTCTCTAAACTTAAGGTCCCCTGTTAACGGCGGAAGGTATGCTGAAATATGCCACTAGTACTTTCCTGTTTGTTGATATGGCTTTTCGTTTTGCTAAATTGCGACAGCGTCCATTTTTTCGGTAGCGTTCATTTCTCTAACGTTTTTTTGGTAGCGTCCATTTTTCAATTAGACCAATAATTTCTTGTTTAAGATTTTTGCTGCGTTTCTGTTGATTGGGTAAAGATATAGAAAGGAGATTGTTGTCATAATGCAGCATTTGCGACAGTGCCGTGGTACGTTTTCGCTAATTACAGTTATGTTTTGCCAGGTTATAACGAAAACAGTAAGAAATCTTATGATGAGCGATCGTGGATCATGGCATCACGAAGAAGAGCTGTACAGATTGGCAAATGTCGAAAGAAGCATTGAACAGAAAGTGCATTTGACCAGAAGACTGCACTAACATTCGCTCTAAATCAAGATTGCTGAAAGGCCACGTGAGATAAGGGAGCAGCATCTTCATAAAATGCTGATATTTCATCTGATACATATAATTAATATTGTGCAACATTGGACGTATATACAGTGCGTCAGAAATAATGTCACCGCGTGAGGAAAGTGAGAATTAAACAACTTTTTATGGAAATACAGCGGATATTACCGATGAAATAAGAAGTTAACAATGCTGGCTATAGCATTTCGTTCCAATTTAGCTGCTATCCATTTATATGAATGACGGTGTAATAAACTTTTAAGAATTGGAAATGGTCAAATCTCAAGTGTATTAAAACGAAATGACTGTAAAGTAAGTTCTCCCCGTGGCAAACATTCATTTCATATTACTGAAATGTGGATTTGAATTGATGCTTTATCATGGTTGCTGGCCAGCTCGCAGCTGAACAACCTAGCCCAGTGGTGCTGGAGTCGTAGACGATAAGAATTAAGTCCACTGCGGGTCGTCGAACGTTGTCAAAACAGTTGCTATACTTGACACAAGCTACTAGCTTAAATCGGAATGGTGGACTTTCTGAATGAGAGCAAACTCGTAAAAAAACATCACCAAAGTACAACAATCTTTTCAACAAAATCCAAGAGTCAGTGCTCTGGCGTAATCCAACAAAAATGTCAAAGTCCCACATGATCCAGCACGACGTGTAGCATTTTGCACATGGCTCAGTTGTGCAAGGAGATGCTCACTTCTGGCCTAATCTTGTCATCGGCGATAAAGCATCAATAAAGCCTGATTCTCATATGTCACCGACGGTCGGCGATGTATTGTTTGTGGTCATTGACGAAGAAGATTTATACAAAATAACAAAGATTCAATATGAGAATCAGGCTTAACGTCAAACAAAGAATGAAGTGTGTTATCGCAACATCGCGTGGAAATCCGAATCAACGGATGGTAAAAGTAAGTTATATAATTGCTTTATATTATTAACAGGTAATCAGATATTTATGAATGTTGAAAGCTGGGGTAAATCAGTTTTATTAACAGTAGAGAATATGTTCGTCCCGGTCTCCTGGATGTTCTTTTAAGAATAATGATAGTTGATATTACAATGTACGGTACACTACGATTGTACTAAGACAAAATACATTTTCGTCAAGAAAAAAATCTTGGAGAATTTCAAAAAAGTGAAAAAAGTAAATTTTTCCGTCTCAAGAAAATCACCCTGTCAAATTTTTGTGAAAAAAATTATTAAGGTAAGTTAAACATTAGTTTTTTAAAGTTTTTGTCAGACATTTTTTAATTTTCAGTCTTTTGCGGAGGCACATGTTTTTAAATTTTTTTTTACTTGTGCTTTTTTTTAATTTTCAAGTACTTTTTTGAAGCAAAGAATTGTTCAAATGTTTCTCAATTTTTTTTACTTCCAATTTTTTTCAAATTTACAGTCCTACTTGAAGACTGAGACTCTTACAAATCATACTGAAATTTTTAAGGCTAATTTTTTTGGCATTGCCAGTACTTGAAACATTTGTGCTATGATTGAGAGACCAAGGTCCTAACCACTAGATCACTGCGTCATTTGTCGAAAGCCTATTGTTCTTTATTTGACCACAGGAACCTGCGGTGAAAGGCTACACTTTTTTATATTACTTAATACCTTTTTGGTAGGATCTTATAATTAGATAATATAACAATTTAAATAAGTTCACTTTAATCTTCATGATTGATTTTCTCTTCTAAAACGCACACAACCTTAAAGCATGCCTGTGCCTTAATTAGAGCACTATCTTTCCATAAGTTAATTACATGCAGCGCAAGTGAAACTAATGGTTACAGTGCGATTGTTTTGTATTTTTGATGAAGTTAAGTCTGATTTCACAGGTCACAAATTAAAATTTGAGGAAAATGTTAATTCAGATTCATTAGAATGTTTCAACACTTGTCACTTATTTCACAGCTGAAATTGTACTCCAAATCTCCAACATAACGCAACAGATATTAAATAACTCTACTTCTCTTAAGCTGCATTTACACAGTACCATCAACATCTTCATTTCGATCATGAAGCGACAATTAGTAAATGCTTATTAATTAAATAGCTAGATTTGGCATATTCAGGGCTCGGAAATTAAAAAAGTGCACTGTCTTTCATAATTTCATTAACTTCCAAATTTCAACCGAAATGGTATGGATGTAAGGTTTCAGCATCGAAAATCATCAATTTTGGCCAAAATGGTAGGGATACATCATACGTACCTGACATTTTAGAAAATCATCAATTTTGAAAGTGAATAAACAATTTTGTTCAATTTATGGAAATTCCTGCCTTACTTGATGGAAATTTCAAATTTGAAAGTGGGAGCATTGACTCGACGACTTTCGAGACTTATTTTGGCCATGTTTTTAAAGTCAACTGAAGAAGCCACACCCTTCAATAACCATCCATGCACCACCATGTCCATGACTCCACCTGATAATTGACGTCACTGAACTCACAGCGCAACTGGAGTTACTGGACTAAGTTTCATTGATGTGAAAATTTTTAAAATATTTCACAAGAAAGGAAGAAAATATTCTGCTAAATTGATTTATAACCTATTTGAATGGCTCAAAAACGTGTCGCTGTTATCGGCGCTGGTGCCGCGGGGCTCGCGATGTGTAGATATCTTGTGAATGAGCCACAAATCGACTTTGTTGCCTTCGAAAAAGCCAACGCAGTTGCAGGAATATGGCGTTACACGAAAGAAAATGGCAAAGCGATTAATGAACATGATATTACCCCGATGTACAAGAACCTTAGGTATTGTTTCATTAATACTGAGGCACTGAGCCCTGTTACAAAATGTGCTACATCAAAATATTAGCATAGATGAACACAAACGCTGGTAGACTGGCTGTCCAAATAATATTTTTCAAGGGTTATTAACTAAAAATTCATGAGAAATGATTATGTTCGATTTTTACAGGACAAATTTACCCAAACAGGTGATGGCGTTTCCTGATTTACCATTTCCAAATGAACTACCATCATTTATAACAAACCAAGACGTGGTGCAATACTTAGATACATATGCAGAATGCTTTGGTCTCAAGAAGTATATCAAATTGAACCATTTGGTTACCTCAGTGAAGCCGATAATTGATGGAAGTGATGCAGAACCAAGTTGGGATGTTGTTGTGAAAGATTTAAAAACTGAAGCAGTTGAGAAATTTGTTTTTGATGCAGTGGTTGTCTGCAATGGGTAAACAGATTGACCTACTTTGTGTGTATTTAGTTTTTTTGGAAGCATTAAGAGCAATTATGTGTGATTTCACCTGATGTTGTTTCAACTGTTCTTTTCTAGCCATTTTGCAGTTCCAAAGTTTCCAGAGTTCCCTGGAATGGACACATTTCCTGGAAATGTGATCCATAGTCTTGACTATGACAAACAAGACAACTACCAAGATGAAACAGTTGTTGTGCTAGGTGCTGGTTCTTCTGGGCTGGATATAGCTATGGAACTTTCACAGGTTTCCAAGAAAGTTTACCTGGTACATTTATATAACAAGATCGCAAGTGAATTGCCAAAAAATGTCCAGGAGATCAGTGGCACGATAACTGCTTGTTTTGCTAATGGTAGTGTTGAGATTAACCATGATGAATTATTAGAAAAAGTGAATGCAATTATTATATGCACTGGCTACCACTATTCATTCCCATTTTTGAAACAAGAATGTGGGATTAATGTAAAAAATAATGCTATCTTTTCATTGTACAAACATATCTTTTGTACAAAATATCCAAGTTTAGCATTTGTTGGAATTTGCATTAGGATATCTCCATTTCCATTCTTCAGTGCACAAGCGCAGTGCATCGCATCAGTTTTATGTGGAAGGAAAACGTTGCCCAGTTTTGACGAAATGGTAAAAGATGAAGAGTCGGATTATCAGGACAGGTTACAACAGGGAATTACAAAACATTTATTAGGCCCTGAGCGACAATTTAAGTACTGTACTATGCTTGCGGAAATGACAGAAGTTCCTTGTGCAATATCTCAGACAGTTCATTCATTATTTGTTTATACTTGCAAAATTAGATCACAAAGATTAGCCACTTACAAAAACTCTAACTTTGTACTTAACGGAAATGAATGGCAAACGGTGAAAAATGTTATATAACATAAATTTGATTAATTAAATTTTGATCATATCTTGGAAGAGAGACATTCATTTAGAGTTTTGTTGGTTGAAATAAATTTTTATTCAAACCATATCCATTCCATATATGTTTATAATAACAGAGGTTTTTTGCATGAAAAAATGATAGATTAGAAAAAAAGTTTTGGAAAGAACGTGAAAGAGATTATCGAGCTTTATGCCACTTGCTGACAGCAATGCCTCAAGGCATGCAAAGACTGGCAAACTAGCTGTGATATTCATATTCATAGATTACAAGCTAACTTGGCAAAGGGACACTTGCTATTCGAAGAACACCCCCCCCCCCCACATTTATTTCACATTCTTTATTGTTTATCTTCTTTGATCGAGACACTATATTTGTACAATTTATTACATTGGATATTTAATTTAAATTTACATGACTAAATTTTAAATGTTAAAACTCTATATGATATTAGTTATGTATAAAATCATGGTACATTGATAGACTTATATAGCTATTTGTGGTAAAATTGTTCTTTGTTCATTTGTTATAGACAATATAAGATGATGTTACCTGAGAGGCGAGATTGGTCTTTCACGCTCCAATTGTGCGGAGAGATCTCTTACCTTTTCTGCCCAATACTCACTGCTCTGTTGCAACTGGGATGAAAGCTGCAGCATAATGATAAAAAAATAAAAAATTATAAACTTTGTTTCATATCAACACTCTTTCTTCTTTCACTACCTGCTACCAGCCACTGTCTCAGAAATAGTTGCAAGTATTACTGCCATTTTTTTACCTCTCCAACACGTTGAATCCAAAATGATTTATCCAGAGTCATGGGATCCTTGACGCCAGTCTTGCTGAGTTCTTTTCGCAATGCATTTCGTATCTGGAAACAAAAATAAAGAAAATATAAGCAACAAATAAAGAAGAAGGAAGATGGCAAATTTTTCTGAAACTGCTACCTTTTCTGTTGATGCAGACTTTGAGCTAAGAAAAAAATAAAATTATTAGGATACAATTTTGGCACGAGAACTATTTAAGATATAAATTAGTATGATTTGTACTAGTAAACCTGCTGTTGTATTTTACTCTTCAAGACAATTAGTTGGTATTTGAGTATTAATGGTTAAACAGGTCCTGCTGATATCCATTACCCATAGTTATATTTTATGTGCAATTGTTATGTAAACTAGATCCACATGAAAGTGCATGCAGAGATAGATCAGTGTCCCACCACAAACCAAGATACACTTACAGTCCTCGTTCTAATGCTGATATATATGCTGAGTCGTTGAATCCAAATGAGTCAAACTAAAATAAGACATGAAGTTATACTTAAAGGATGAGGAATGAAGAAACTTAGAAGTTGGTCATGCACCTACCAATACTGAGTTGTCTGAATTTAGTACAAGATCATCTTTAATATTGTCTAATTGACTCTTCAGATCAAGGATGGTTTGACTTCGAGCATCAAGCTGAAGCATTAGGTTCTAGGTAAGAAGGAAGCATCGTTACATTAGAGTTGTCTTAACCATGTTGAAAAAGAATATTCATAACATATCTCACCTTTCTTGCAGTGCGTTCTCGATCGATTATCTCATTTTGTCGAAGTCTTTCCTTTCCCAAGTTATTTACCTGGCAAAGAGATCATTAAGTAAACAACCAGCCCCTGAACATAAACAATTCAGTTCAAACTCATTTAGATGCCTAGCCAACCTAAATATTATTAATATTATAGTAGTATTTATTATAATAAATAAGCATTATATAACAAATAAGCAAAAACAAAACCAAGGTGAATTTTCAAATCATAATATCTTCAAATTTCAGTAATAATATCTTCACAAAATGAAATGTATGACAAACCTTGATCGTTTTGTGTTTAAACTTCTCAACTCACCCTTTGGTTTAATTCCTTATTTGCTTCAATATTCATCTGAAGTTGATCGTGCAAATCTTCCAACCTTTGAGAGCGATTCATCGCTTCCTGCTCCTGATTAAGACTGTAAAAACATTATTATAACCATAAGAAGATATATTCTCAACATAAGACCTATTTTATATTCTCAAAATGCAAGCATGTGTGTTTCTTGATATAATTCAATCATACATACGCATTTTCTTCCAGGTGAGCGCGAAGCTGCTGGACAACTATCTCTTGCTCAGCTGAGCGAGCTTTCAACGCCTGTAGAGAAGAAATGAAATCGAAAAATACAGAATAAGAACAACGGTTAATTTATCATGCACGGTTTGTGCCTTTATAAACAACGACATTCACTGACCTTATATTGTTCATTCATTAATCGTAGTTCCTCTGCAAAAAAATAGTGTTAAAGTATAGATAATAAATACAGACTATATAATGGTGATTGACTGATATCTGTTATTGAATCATATTAAACTCACCTATCTCAGCCTTGCAAGAGCTGTTGGTCCTTTTCAACGAGTCGTTAGTTTCCATAAGTTGTCTAGTAAATGAAAATACAGAGATTTTTGAAAATCATCATCCGAGGTTCGAACTGTGGGCCTGCTGTGGGTTATAAACATGCAAGTGACAAAAAAGCACAATTAAGAAACTAATACATACTCTTTATCAGCCTGTAAGGACACTATATTTTCACTTTGTTCTCTATAAAAACGAGGAAAGTTAGTCACCCTGATCACTACAATGAATATCATTAACATATTTCTGCATTTATATTCATTTGGCCGACCTTAATTTTGTAGCCAGTTTTGAATTTCCATCCCTAGTAAAATAATATTGAACACAAATAAATAAACAACTGGATTACAACAACTCTTTGTGACACTCTGTTATACACAAGCTATAAAATATTTGATATCAAGAGAGTGAAGAGACATATTTTACTCTTCCAAAAATACGAATTGAAGACAGCTTATCTCCACCTCCCCCCTCTGAGTGACCTCCACCTCCCCCCTCTGAGTGACCTCCCCCTCTGAGTGACCTCCACCTCCCCCTCTGAGTGACCTCCACCTCCCCCCTCTGAGTGACCTCCACCTCCCCCCTCTGAGTGACCTCCACCTCCCCCCTCTGAGTGACCTCCAACTCCCCCTCTGAGTGACCTCCACCTCCCCCTCTGAGTGACCTCCACCTCCCCTCTGAGTGACCTCCACCTCCCCCTCTGAGTGACCTCTACCTCCCCCTCTGAGTGACCTCCACCTCCCCCTCTGAGTGACCTCCACCTCCCCCTCTGAGTGACCTCCACCTCCCCCTCTGAGTGACCTCCACCTCTCCCTCTGAGTGACCTCCACCTCCCCCCTCTGAGTGACCTCCACCTCCCCCCTCTGAGTGACCTCCAACTCCCCCCTCTGAGTGACCTCCACCTCCCCCTCTGAGTGACCTCCACCTCCCCCTCTGAGTGACCTCCACCTCCCCTCTGAGTGACCTCTACCTCCCCCTCTGAGTGACCTCCACCTCCCCCCTCTGAGTGACCTCCACCTCCCCCTCTGAGTGACCTCCACCTCCCCCTCTGAGTGAGCCTCAAACATTCATGCATAATTACTCTTAAACTAAAGATTGACTGTTCATCCCCCTGGGAGTGATTCTTACTTTTGTTCTTTCACCCATTGATTGATATTCTCCACAATGACTTCACTCTCTTTCTGCAGACGATCACGATGTGCCCGAGTGTCGTCCAACGTGTTGTGCAGTGAATGAATCTAAAACAACAAACAACAAACTCGGTTAAGATAATCCACTCTTTCAAACATCGTTCCATTATGCATGTTGCCTGGAAAATCTTGCTTATAGAATACCTCCTCCTGACAGCCGTGATGCTGCTTGGTAAACTCGTGATATTCCTGTCGAGTTCTTTCGCTCTGTCGTACAAAAAAAATTGACATAAATTCGACGCCGGGTTTGCGTGGCTTAGGAAGAGATGTATCCACACATAATGATCCATATGGTACAAGCCCTAGGAAAGCATTTACCTCATCCAACGCAAGACGACATTTTTCTTGCAATGATGCATGTTCAACCTTCAACACAACCATTTGTTCCTGAAGCTGGTTTAGTTCATCTGTTTGGTTCTTGTTTCGCTCTTGGCTCGTAGAAAGTTCACTTTTTAACATCTCAGCAGTACGATTCAGTTTCGAAGCCTTGAAGTGATGAGGATGTACTCCGTAAACCCGTAATCATTTATGAACAATTTTGAAAATTTTTGAAAGTCCATGCAATAAAAGATTTACCTCTTCGCTGGACGCTTTATGCCGTTCTTGAGCTTTCTTAAGATCACTTTTTAAACGCTTTGCCCTGTCATCAACATTCACAATCTGTCACAAAGTTACAAACAAAAGAGTAAAGATGACGTTTAGATTCCTCAGCCACATAATATAGCTGCAAAATTGACGCTAAAGTAGATCGTAAAGTTGTATCTTTTACATGCAGTTGTCTTTAATTTTTACTCAACTTAGCAGTATTGTACGATTGTACCTGCTGTTGAAGACCTGTGTTCTGTTGTTTCAACACAACTAGTTCTTCTCTGGTCGTCGCCAGTTCCTTGAATTTCTCATTCAACTACACGAACCAAAAAACGTCACGAGGACTTGTCAAGTATAACAATAAAGAATTCAAAACTGTTTCATATGTTTGCAAACTTTCATATAAACCTGCGCATTTATTTCTTTGCGATTTTCTTCAGTTTTTATCAAGTGGACTTTAACGTTTTGTAAGTTTCTTTCTAAGATCACAATCTGTAGAGAAAATGTCGAAAAGACAGAATGTCAGGAACTGGTACTAACTACTGCAGGAACAACTCACGTTTCACGTCACTTACTCGTGATTGCGATTCCCGGCTATTTTTGTTTGAACTATCCAACTCTTTCTGCATTTCAAGTAATCTCTCTTCATAACGACTTATCTACGAAAATCATTATCGATAAATGATGATCAATCAATAATGTCAAATGATGATCAATCAATAATGTCAAACATAAATGATGATCAATCAATAATGTGTTCATCAATCAATAATCCATGAATTATATGTCAAATCTTGACGATCAACCCACTTTACCAAGATGAGAATAACAGTCCCTGAATTACCTCGCCTGTGTTTTCTTTGATTTTATTTTGTGCTGAGAGAACGTCAGCCCGCAACACCCGAATATCACCATCCTTTGAACCAATCTACATGACATGCGCAAGAAAATAAAACAGCAATTATAAAACTAGACAGGACTCTATAGATAATGTCACTCTGGAAGAAATTCATTGTTACCTCTTCCGCTAAAGCTCTGTTCTTTTCCAAAACTGAACCAAGTTCGGTTTTCAAGGCGCTCACACTTTTTTCTTTATCCCGGATCTACAAACACAGACAAAACTATTCAGAATGGACACCTATATCTTAGTATAGGATGCATCATGATACGTGCATCAGCGAGGAAGAGTCGCTGCTAGTCAGTAGGAATCCTGACAGCTCAAGTTTATGTCCGTGTAAAGAAACGTGAATCAACTTCACCTCAATTTTCTTTTCCTCCAGTTTTTGAATAAGCGAAGATATTTTTTGTTCCTTCTCTTGCATTGCGTCCAGATAAGTATTAACCTGAAACAGAAACATCTGCCTTAGGAAAAAGTCGTGGAAAGATATCTATTACTCATTGATAGTAGATTATTTTCCTTGCAAATTTAAAGTCGCCATGATGTCGAGTTTATTTCTTTTTCATTCAGCTAAATTCTGTACCTGTTTGTTCATAATCTCAAGCTGTTTATTCGCTTCTTCTAACTTCATCAAAAATCCTCTTTTTTCTTGGGCTTGTGAATCGATCTACACAAAAACGACTGCTCGGGAACCGCGCCAAGTAATTCCGATGGCGAGTCAATAAAAAACAAACGATATTTTCCTTACCTTTGTCAAAAGCGAGTTAATTTCATCTTGGGCCTTCTTAAGCTCATCATCACGCTGTTGAGTGAAAGCTTCTTGTTTTCTCAACTAAAGCAAATAGTTTATAATATAAATATCATCTTTGCTCTTTAGTATCACGAGGTGGAATGACTTACTAAAGCTGTAGTGTCTTGGTGGCGTTCCTGTAATTGATGAAGATCATTTTTCATCTGTTCAAGAAGATCTTCGAGTCCATGAATCTATCAAACAAAGCAGAGGTTACCAGCGGATTGTAGTTGATGGCGAGGGACAGAGATCCAGCGGGATCCTGTGATATCCATTAAAAGAAACACAAAGAGAAAATAACATCAAAAATCATTGAAAACTTTCTTACTTTTTCGTTGTTTACTTGTCTTTCATGGAGTTCTTTGTTAAGTTCCAACTGACTCTTACGATTTATCTTCTCCATCCTCACGAGCTCCGCAACCTTTTGCCGAAGTTGTTCTTCCAAATGAACATTCTTTTGATCCAGTAAAGTCAACCTCTCACTGCTTCTTGCAAACTGGAAATAAATGTTTACAAACCATCTGTGAAAGTCGACGAGATGCACACACACCATGCATGCATGTATCTTCACAATAAACTAGCTAATGATGATTCAGGTAAAACTAAAGAAGAACAACCGCAGAGTTTTTACCTCTTGTGATAGAGTCTTGTTTTGAAGCCTCAGGTTGACGAGCTCTTCGTTGACCAAATTAATTTTCATGTTGGAGTTCTTTCTCTGGAAAAATGTTGAACGTTGTAAGCCATTGATTTCACACGCAAGACTAAAAAAATTAACAATTATTACTTCGTTTACCTCAAGTTCCAATTTCGCGCAATCAGCGCTGGTTACAGCCAACTGACTTTGGAGTTCTTGCAACCTTTCTTCGTACTCAGAAATCTGAAAAGCAAAGATGAAAAATGTAAGTCTATCATTCTTATATTAATGATAGATGTCCACTTATGGACTAACTCACCTGGTCTTTGTGTTTCTTAAGGTCTTTCTCTTTACCGGATAATTCATCCTCGAGAGCTTTCACATTTTTCGTCAACCGCGAAATCTCATCTTTGTTATTTGCTTCGTCGTTTTTCAGCAAACTCAGCTGATTGGTCAGCTCCTCAACTGTATGTTCATACTCTGAAACCTGACAACATACGTTACAGAGTAGTTGATCAAGCATCAAATCTTTATGTGCTGGTAAATTGGCCATTAACGAGAAAACAATCATGATCTTATAAAACCAACCTCGTCTCTATATTTCAGCTTCTGTTCCTCTAATTCGCTGGACGCCTTTCGACAGACTTCATTTTCTCGAGATAGCTATTGAACAAAAATAGAAGATATATAATCTTTAAATTGCCGCCTATAATGAGGTCACGTTGAATGAAAAATAGTTTTCAAGCTAGGCCATGCCACAGAAGAGAGTGCATATTCCTCAAATAAGAAGCATTTTGTACCTTGTTTTCCAACAAACGGTTTTCTTCCCTCAAAGTTTTGATTTCGGAATCATATTTTTGCACTCTTACTTCGTAGTTCGTTGCCTACAAGTCAGTTCGCTACGTTAGACTACGAGTATTTCCCATCGTTGACAAGGAATAAACAAAAGTTGCACCTGTTCAACTCTCTGAGCATGTTGTTCCTTCTCTGATAACAACTCAATTTTCAGTTCCTTTATCTTGCTATTTCTCTCATTCATCTATAAAATAGTAAACAACTCGTTATTGAACCAGGTTAGTTATAATCCAACCAGATAAAATCTTGAATGTCTTACCTCCCTTTCCATCTTTACGACTTTATCTTTCGTGATTTCCAGATCGCCAGAAATCTTCTCAATCCTGGTGTCTTTGGCGCCAATCTCTTGCTGTTTACTTACAAGTTTTTCCTTCAGCGTTTGAATCATTTCGTCACAATGAGAAAGCTGAACAACATTTCAAAAAATTATTTTCATTTCCTCGATAAAATGCTACAGAAAGCCATGACTACAACCCTACCTGGGACTCGCACCTTCCCAATGCATCACGCGTTGTCGACAACTCTGAAACAAGTTCGTCCATTGCCTTATTTTGTTGCTTGTTCTAAAGCCAAAAATATTTATGTTCAAACAACAGCGAGGTTTGAAGTTCTGAATTACAATCCACAAGTGAAATGTTGAACAAACCTTGGAACATTCCAGTTCATAGTGTTCATGCAGTGAATCAAATTCTTCTCGCTTTTGACGAAGATTCTCATGAAGTTCTTTGATAGACTCTTCGTGTCTTTTTACACTCTCATCCGACTGTGACTCGCGAATTTGAGATTCTTCAAACTACAAACAAAACGCCAAACGTCATCATACTGTATTTCACGACAACTACTTTCCCACTTCGATATGTACTTGTTGGCAACGTATCCCTTATTCCTGTCCCCACGTATCCCTTATTCCTGTCCCCACGTATCCCTTATCCCTGTCCCCACGTATCCCTTATCCCTGTCCCCACGTATCCCTTATTCCTGTCCCCACGTATCCCTTATTCCTGTCCCCACGTATCCCTTATTCCTGTCCCCACCAAAACAAGATTTATCGTTGTTTGCGTTGTACTGGATAAAGTAAAAACTACGGCATTCATTGCATTGACTGACCTGTTTCGTTTTAGCATCGGTCTGTTCCTTGTAGTATATCAAACTGGTTGTTAATGCTTTACATTGTGTCTCAGTTTCCTGTAGTCTTTGTTTCAATGCATCACTCTATACAAATAAAATCAACACGATATATATTTCAGAAAACACCTCATTTTCCTGAACTTATGAATCATGCTTGCTGCTTCAAGCAGAGATGAAAACCTGGCTCGCAAGATTTTCCAAATAACATTTAGTTTGTTTAACATCAAACCTGCTTTTTTGTCTCCTCCAATTCTTTCGCCTGTTTTCCTACGGTCTCATCTCGTTCACTCACCTGAAGGAGAAAAAATGTGAGGGTTTTATCTAAAATTTGACAGCATCAAAACTCCTCGAGCATAAGTTACCTTGTTCGTGGCTTGTTTATGGAGACCTTTTAAATGGTCGAGTTCTTTCTTCAGCGCCTCTATTTTCCCTTCTCGTTCTTTTAACTGAAAAATTTGACACGAAATCAACAGGACAGAGAATTTGGCGTCTGACAATGACTGTGATGCAATGGCGTACCTGTGATTTGGTGTTCTTACACCTTCTGTCTCCCTCGTTTATATCTGACTTGAGTTTTGTCACTTCCTTGTTCAGCTCAGTTTTCTGAAAGAGAGAAAAACACGGTCAATAGATGAAGTTTAAGAGAAGAAAATTTCACAAAACCAAACCAAAATCTACCTCGTTTCTGTGTTTTTCCTCTGTCGTTGCTATGGCGGTCTTTAGTTCCTTTATATCCAGGGAAAACTTTGTCATCTGAGGAACAAAAACATCCAATGAATCATTCAGTTTTAATGCAGAAAAACATTTTGTTTTAATAGTCCAACCTGCTCTTCTCGCTGCTGTTTCTCGTTTGTCAGTTGACTAATGTCCGCATCACTTTTGGAGACCTGCAATGAAGAAGAATGTTCTGATAGAAACTGTGATCCTCGTTGGAGTAGAAATAACACCAGGTTACGGTCCTATGCAAAAATACATTGAACACGTTCTTACTTTCACCTCGAGGACGTCATTTTCTTTATTCAAGTTTGCCACTCTTTCCTTAAACGTGGATAATTCCTTGTTTAATTCCTCCATCATTTCCATCTTATCCTTCAGCTCTTCATCTGAAGTCTGACATTTTCCTTCAAGTAACTCCAGTTTCATCTGAAGCTCTGTAAGATCTTCGTCCTTCTTAGAAACCTGCATGGACAAATGCAGTGTAACTCAGGACGGGGTGCCAAAAACTCGCGAGCAATTTTAAAAACAACAGTATTCAAAATTGGGATGAAGAACATATTATTGAAAAGAGTTATTCACCTCCTCGGCACAGGTTTTGTGTTTCTCTTGCGAGACTGCAAGTTTCAGTTCAAGCTGTTCAATAAGATTCTCTTTCTCTGTCAACTAAATTTCAAAATTATTTTCAATAATTCCAATCGTCTATCCATTTAGGACTAACGTGAACCTAATAAACCAGATATACCTGCTCTGTTTTTTGTTCAATATCCGCTCCAAGGTTTTCAATATTTTGATTCAAAGACTCCAACATTTCTTCTTGTTCAATAATCTTGTCGTGGTATTCATTACGAGCTTGCTCAAGCGTTTTCATAGCATCATCTCGCAACACGGTCTACAAATAAAAGGAAAAGATGGAAAGACTCACGAGATGTAGACTGACTTCGCTAAGAGACATCCCTAAATAAATGACTTCGAATATACTCACTTCATGCGAAGATTTCCGTTGTAATTCCGAAAATTCTGTTTGAGAAGTTCTCAAGTCACGTTCTAATTTCTTCACAGCCTCCAATTGACGAAGCACCTGCAAAATATCAAAAGATTTTCTAGAAAATGTACACGTTTGATCCATTTGGACAAACAGTTTTACTTGGCGTTTCTCTATACGCGACCTCCCTGATTTGAAGCATTGTGACGTCATTCTAATGAAGTAAATTACGTCACCTGCTTTTCTTTCTCTTTTTGTTTGGTGTTGAGTAACTTCAAGTCATTATTCAGTTTTTCAATCATCTGCTCCCGACGCCGTAACTTCACAAATATAAAAAAACAGTATCACAAACAACACGTGACACACACGCATCAGTCGATTGCTCGCCATCCTAGTGCGCATGCACAACCCACCTTGTCACCGACCTCCTGCTCCTGACCTCGTAGTGTTTCAATCTCAGTCGACAACTGGACGATGACTTCTTCTTTCATTGACACCTGTCGATGGACAAAACTACTTTAGAAACTTCATACAAAACAACGCTTCAACACTGCATGTTCCGCGCAGTACTTGAGAGTATACAACATCTAACGTCAAGGCATCTTGACTATATTTTCATATCTTGTACTTGCCTGATGGACACAGTTCTTTGCATCGCTTTCCGCAGAATTAATTTTGAAATTTAATTCTTTAATCATGTCTTCATATTCCTCCAACTGAACGCAGTAAAACGTAAAGGATCGTAAAAAACTCTTTAAGGCATCACAACCAGATCACATCACTGCTGAGATGAAACGAAGAATACCGAACCTTTTTATAGCTTCCTAGTGCCTCCTGTTTCACGGCGTAAATCTCATCTTCCAGGAGCGCAATTGATCTGTTACGATCTTCAACCTATGAAAGAAATGGGTAGAAATTTTCACTTTGAAAACTGTAAGTTTTAACTTCATTCTTCATCATGTTATTGTTAAATTTTTACACTGACTTTTACCTCATTCAAGCATTCCTCGTACAGTTTCTTGCAGTTCGCGATAGATTGATCCCTCACTTTTATCTAAAACAATAAAAAAGGGTAATGTTCGACGATCTCTTAACGCTTTCCATAACCAGCCTGCCTGTCTGGACAGTTCGATGGCATTTCCATTAAAAATAGGACCAGCACCTCTTCCTTGTATTTCGTCATTTCCTCTTGAAGGTGAAGTCCTTCAATCTCCAGTTTATGGATTGCTTCATCTCGTCTGCTGATCTGAAGATACAATGAAGTCAAAACAGGAACAGGTAGGATTGTAGAGAATCAAATTATTAGTTCGTACTTCGTTTGTTAAAGCATCGTGTTCACTCTGAGTCGACACACGCTGTGATTGCCAACGAGCCTCTAAACGACCATTCTAAAAAGACCCAGACAATTCTATACCGGAGTGTTTTCAAATTCATCGACTTATATACAAGTATTTCAATATTTCTACCTCTTCTATGGCGTTCTGTTGCTTCTCCTTGGCATCTTTCACTTCTGTTTCCAGATTCTCAATGGCCTCGTCCTTCTTGAATATCTACGTTGCAACACAAACACATTTTAAGCTCGGCTTTGAAATAAATCAAACCTCAGATACAGAGAAAGACTTCTTTCAGAGTTTCTCTTTACCTCATCTTGGGCCAGTCTTGTTTGTTCTTGAGCCTTGAGTAACTCCAGCTCTAACTTCTGAATGGCTTTCTCTCGTCTGGATACTTCATCTAAGCAATCCTTCTGCTGTTGTTGCAATCGTTTCAAAGCTTCTTCCCTGTAGCCAACCTGAAGAATGAAATCCTCGGATTAAGACAATACAGTTCATATACAACTGAGAATGATCAGGCAGCACGCGCTGGTGCGAATGCAGTTGTCCTTTCCATTTAAACGACGTGTCCAACATATTCCTTGAGCTCACCTTTAGCTCTCCCTGAGCGACCTGTTCTTTCAGAGTTGCATTTTCATCCTTGAACTGTCGTATCGCTCCTTCTTTTTCAGCGACCTTCATCGTCAAGGACAGAAACACAACAGAATGATCTACCACCCCAAGAATGCTAAAAAATGATCTCTCATGAAAATAATATTCAAACCTGCTTTGCGTAAGTTTCTGCGATTTCATCGCTAGATTTCTCTTTAAACTGAAGACGATTCCCGTATTCTGATAACTAGAAAAAAAATCATACAACGATAGTCAAGAACAGGGAGCATACAAGTTTGCAGACATTTCACAATCGACTAGCTGCTCTTCTTCTTTTACCTTTTTCTGTGTTTCCTCGTAATCCAATGACAGTTTTTGATATTTTGTGAGACTATCTTCCAGCTGTGAAGCAAATAAACACAGTGGAGGTAAATGAACGGTTTTTATTATTAGAGACTCAATCATTTTTTCATTTCAAATATGAGATCAACCCACCTCTGATGTCTGTTCTTCGCGTTCCGCTTTTATCTGCTTGATCATTCCGTCTCTCTCTGCGAGCTGTATGAGTGAGGATAGTTTATGAATATACTGAGCGCTGAGTCTGAATACACAAAGATATTTGCATCTAAGCTTTACCTGGGTAACAGCAGTACGATGTCGTTCTTCCAGAGACGATAAATCCACTTTTAATTTAAGAATAATATCGTGACGTTCAGCGACCTCGTTGGCTAACGCGTCTCTTTGATCGTCCGCATCTGATTTGTGTTTCCTTATGTCTTCTTCAAGTTTGTTTATCTAGAAATAATGAAATATTTCACATGGCGTGTGAAACGGCGTGTGTACATGCAGGAACCTGGAGTGATGAACAACGCAAGCGAACTTTGCAAACAGAAATTTCTTTACCTGTTCAGTTGCTCTCTGCTTTTGTTCAATGGCGACGTTCTTGTCCTCCTCAAGAATGCTAATTTCTCTTTCCAACTGGAACGAAAAGACGAAAACATGAATGATAGAATCAGAATGGTTCAGCCACGACTAGACCTGCAGCCTAAGTGACAGCGTGTTTTCTCATGACTGGATTAATGTATATCAGTTTCAACCTCACCTCAGTAATCTTGGTATTCTTGTCACCTTCCAGGGACTTCATTTTATACTCCATATCTTGAAGAGAATCTTCACATTCTTTCACCTTAAATAAAAGACGAGAAGACCTCTGATTGATCTGAACAAGACAGGAGTTCCAAGTCTTTCAGATTGAGTTAAGCTACGGATTTTACTGAAAATGTTTTGAGGACCATTACCTTGTTGTCTTGTTGGATATTCTTCATTCTCGTTTCATTCACATTATTTTGTAACTCAACAATCGATTTATTTCTCGTTTCAATCTTTTGCATGAGATTTGATTTCATCTCTTCAGAGGACAACTGCATTCTGCGAATTTCGGTTTCCACCGCACGACACTGCAAACGTAAGATGTTCAGAAGACTTTCAATATCCAGAGCATCGGATGAAACTGATTTTCCAACGCGACGCGTAGTTATTTTACACCGATTTACCTTGTCCTCAAGACGCACTCGATTTTCCTTCTCAAATTTCAGTTCATTCGTCAAACTCTCTCGTAAAACAAGGATCTGTAAACGCGCATTGATAAAAATTTTAATATTTATTGAATGTTCGTTTGCAACTCTTCTCTTTTCAAGTTTTACCTCGTTTATTTTGCTTTCTTTCTCATTCTTAATGGTATTCAATTGAAAATGAAGTTTTTGGATGGTTTCATTGCATTCCGTCAACTACAAGAAAATAAAATAACTTGGTTGGAACTTCGTGAAATAAAATTATCACTGACCTCGACATAATATCATGGATGGTTTATTGTTGTTTACCTTATCACGATACTCCAAATTCACGGCTTTTGCTTCATTCAACTTTTGTTCAAGAGCTACAAGAGTATTTTCTTGCTCGTCCATCTTAATCGTGCAAAAGTAGACTGCAGTGAATATCTTCATCACACCAAATATTATGCCATTATCGCACCAAATATTACGCCATTATCGCAAGGTCTACTACTTATTATGTCTACCAAGGTCTACTACTTATTTGTCAAACTCCCTGGAACGGATTCAAAAGCGTGTTCTATCCATAATCTATCCACAGATGAGTTATTCGGATAGCTTATCTAAATGTGGCATCAAAACTCTGAGTGACAGGCGTATCGATGCATGCGAGAAACTTTTTACTGAAATCAGCACAACACCTGTGGCAAACATGCACGATATCATACCACCTAGATGCCATTCAAGTTACAATCTGAGACATTCAAGAACTTTTGTCCTTCCAAAAACCAAGACAAATAGATTTAAAAACACTTTTATACCCTCATGCGTTAGACATTTTAATGATAAAATATAATTTCTAGATCTTTTTAACTATTATATTAGCGTAATTTTATCCTACAGTTATGTAATTTAAAAATCTATGTGTAAATAGAGTAAAAATTAATTAACTATTTCTATTAATCCATGTAAATTATAGCACGCAATTCAGCCTTATAGGCTGCCATGTGTTATTGTTATTTAATCTATCTATCTATCTAAATGTACCGGTCTATAAACAGCAAACACAGCAGCAGTTACAAACCTTCTTCATCATGGTTTTATTTTCTTGTTGTTCCGACAGCAAATGTTGTGGTAACTCTTGCAGTTTCTCGAGCTAAGAAAATGTAACCAGTAAACATTTTATAAACGTTTTTTACTTAAAGTACAAGATAAGGTCTTCAAGGAAACTACAGTAGCTATACCTCCCTCTCAGCAGTTTCTCTCAAATTCCTTTCATTTTTGAATTCCTCTTTTATCTTATCCAGATAAGCCTTCTCTTGTTCTATCTATCGTTGAGAAAGAAATTATGGAACACAAAGTTTAAATGCTATATCTTCAGTGAGTTTGCCCAGCGCGTGATTTGCTGACCATACATGTAAATCAATGATGAGGTTACCTCGTAAGATGCCTGCATTTGCTGCTGTTGTATTTTTCGAAGTGCATTCTCCTTTTCGTTAATCTTAAAAAGAATAGAAATGGAGTATTTGTAGGACTCTTTCACACATGCATGTTATTGTACCCTGAATCGAATAATCGCATATTTTCTTGGTTACCTCAGCTTTTGCCTCGTTGTAATTTTGATGAAGTACTTCCAATTTCTTTTCCACATCACGAATTGCTTCCTCGCGCTCACGTAACTGCAGATATCATTCATTAAAATAAGATAACAATTTAACACCATATAATCAAAGTTTCGCAAAAAAACTAGTTTATCCAACTCGTGTTCCAAGCAGTCTGTATCTGAAACACAAGGCTGAAGACCTGCTTGGCAAGGATAGGATTAAGAATAAACGTTTTCAGTTATTTCACCTGTTCATCCAACAGAGCTTCATCTTGCTTCGTTTTTTGATGAGCTGAACTCAGATCACGTTTAACCTTCGCAAGCTCGTCTTCAATTTGCCGTCTTTGTTCCTCAGATTTCTTCAATTCTTCCTCTAAAGATTTTGTCTTGCTTGAAACGTCTTCATCAGCATGGCTCGTTCTTATCACAAGCTCGTGATCTTTTTGTTTCAGTTTGTTTTCAAGATCGTTTATCTTCTCGTTTAGTCGAGCAACCTGGGGTTAAATAATGAATATTGAACATTCAACACCCTAATCTGCAAGGCGTGCAGTAAACACTAGTAATAAAGCGAGATGAACTAAACTTATAAATTATTTACTGTATTTTACCTCCAGTTTACTCTCTCTGAAATTGCTTTCCCATGTTTTGATGGCCAAAGTCTTGCTGTTTGCATCCGAACTTGAGATATAATTATCATTTTCCAGACGGCCCATTTCTCCTTGCAAGCGAGCGACAAAGTTTTCAGATTCTTCCAAACTAGAAAGAAGTTCCTTTCTTTGTTTTTCACTCAATTCAAGATCATCTCGAAGTTTACGTATGACCACATCCTTGCTGGTTTGCAAACCACTGTGTTCGTATGACTTGGCATCGCGTTGCACAGAATCAACTCTGCTCTCATCGATGGAGCCTTCTTGTAGTTGAATTTTGTATCTCTGAAAAACAATAAAATACAATTGTCTGTCATGTCTGTCTACATGGATCAGGAATTTGGAATAAATCAAGCTCTCAGTGTTTCCTGGTTCCTCACCTCTTCATTGTCAGAAATAGCATTCTTGAGTTTTACAATTGTTTCTTCACGAGATGCAAGTTCTTTTCTGAGTTCAGAAATGTCTTTATTCAATCTTTCTTCTCCATCATGTCTAAAATAAGAATAAAAAACAGTTCGGGATGCACTGTTTTTCCATGATCACAATCCTAACTAATTTTCAGAAGTCTTACATTTCTTTTGAGGTTCTTGCATGAATATCGAAAAGCCTTCCAGCAGGAATAACTCTCAAACCAAGATCACCAAGCTGCAAGGAAAACCAACAATTTAACAAAATATATCAGATGGCGTAAAGGGGAATACAAGGAGACTAATTTACCTCAATTTTACGACCAGCCATAACACTTCCTATAAGATTTACCAGGATTTCGGTGTCATGTTCAAGATCATCATTCTGTTGTCTGACCTCATTTGATTCATGTTTGATATATTCTTGAGTCTCCTTCTCATTCTGGAAACAAAATAATAGTCATCTTTGAAAAGTGATAATTATGTTTGTTTGCAATCTGAATCCCATATAAATAATTCACCTTCAAATCATTTTCAATCTTCACAATGTGATCTTTTAGTTTCTTCTTTTCTTCCTCCATTTCTTGAGTTTTATGAGCGCATTCCTGTGTAGAAATAAATCAATGATAATTAAATGTGCATAGATGAAACCAGTTCAAATCTATGTTCAAAAAGATTGAACACAACATGCAGTACCTTTTGGGTTGCTTGCAATTTTGCTTCTACTAATGATACCCGCTCATTTGCTTCACCTTCAAGTTCTTGAACAGTTTCCAGCAGAATGTCATTTTTAGAGCTTAGATCATTCACATATTCTTGCAAGGAATGGAGTTGGCTCTAGTAAAAAGATTTGAAAATATGTGAATGTATAGTAAAGGAATAAAAAACATATCTACACTGGGCAATGGTATATATAGTTTACTACAGTATCACTTGATATAGCCTTGAGCTATAACCTTCTCTGTCTTGCTTGGATCAAATATAGCGTTGTACACTACATATTCTGCAGTTTTCTACTATGAAGCTTTACCATTGGAAACTTCAAATAATATCTAACTTAGCATATTTATAAAGAGTAAGATGTCTTTAGTGGAGAGTTGATATGAGTATTGAGATGTTGGATACGTTTAATAGATGGAACGTCGATCTAGGAAACTCTTCTTGTAGTGACAGGTATTTGTTTTGGTTTAAAATCATAAAACGTTAAAGATCAAACTTCAACGTTACATCATGATAACCTACACCACTCTTTCCTAATGCAAAAAAATACGTATGATAAGAATGAAATTTTAGAGTATTAGTTGAATGATTTACTCTGTATGTCTCGTCGTGTTCTTCATCAGCCGTTCCCATCTGCATCAAGTGATGATGGTAGACTCCTTGGAGATCACTTAGCAATCGAGATGGATTAATATCATCGCTATTAATGCTTCCTAAATCATCGTTATCACTGTCATACAACAGTTTTTCCTCCGTCTTGCTTGCGTCTGCCATCTCGTTTCAAACCACCGCAAAACAAGCGCAGGAATCGTCGTTTTGTGAAAACTTTTGGAATCCCTCATAAAACCGTCGTCGCCATTTCTAGTTGTCACGCTACTTGAGAGAACGCTAAATGCGACGTTTTGATTGGTTCACAGCTCCCAATTAATCCTCATTTGTTTAAGTAATCAAATAAAGTTTGTTGCGACTGAATTTGCAGCTGTTTTTGCAGATTTTTCAGCAAAATCTTACAAATCTTTATAAATTTGAAACAAAAACAAGGTGACTCCGATATTCTAACCAGCGCAATTATGTTGCTTAATTTGTAACATTTGAAAATTTGTAACATTTCTGTGTTGTGGTTACCAGGTTTCCATTGCCAGACGCGCGTCTCGCAGACGCGTCTCGCACGTGTATAAATAAGAAAATGGTAGAAAGATTGGCTGAGAATGTGGCGGAATCGAACGAACGGCAATAAATATTTCTCATCGTTTCTCAAAGGATTTTAACCTTCTCACGATGGCCCAGAGCAAAACCAAGAAATCCAAAGGGCAAAAGAGGTGATTTCAAGTGAAATGAAAGAATGATTTAAGAGATATGATTTTTTTTTCAAACTCGACTAATTTTTCGTACCAGGAAAGTGAGTGAAATGGATATAGACGAGTTTATGGCGCACGGTTTTGATTCGGATGTTTCCAGTGGCGACGAAGTTGTTGCAGCTGGCGAAGTACATGATAGCATTAACAGGTAGAGCTATGCATCTATTAGTTGCCAATACGCTTTTGTTTTTCTATCACTCTGTTTATATCCATCAATATCACTTCTCAGTGAGTCAAGCAAGTCCAGAACCCAGGCACATAAAGATCAACTGGCAAGATTGAAAGAAAAAGATCCAGAATTTTTTAAGTTCTTACAAGAAAATGATGAAGAACTGTTGGAATTCAATGACTCAGAAACAGATGATGAATTACGGTCAGATGAAGGTGATAATGATGATGTCGAAGATGCTGAATTAATGTTGCAAGATGAGAAGGTATATGGCTGCTGTAGGGGAGTAATACCTTTAGAATGATAACTTGTATTTGGGGCTTTATTCAATGATAAATTTAGGAAGATCAAGGTGAATTTCCAAGGGATGAAGATGGTGATGAAGATAGCCACCATGATCATCAAATGGATGAAGTGAAAAAAGGGAAACTGGTTACCATGACAATGATAAAGACATGGACCAAAGGATTACAGGTAAGGAAGATGTTGATATTGAATTATTTGGTATGAACTGATGGCTTAAATGACTATTATTTTCTAGAAAAATTCATTAGCCTCACTAAAACAGACAGTTCAGGCATTTGACTGTGCTGTTCAAGACACTCTTGTGACAAGTGAAGAATCAGAAGAGAACAGGACACCCAAGTATAGAGTTGAAGGAAGCAATGGTAATATGTAATATGACGTAAATCAAGTCTGACATTCATTTAATTGGTATGATAGTCTGCCAGTTGGTTATTCCACAATAGTTGGGACCTCTCTTGGTCATTTTGACCTGATGAGGACCACAGATTTTCCAAATCATAACATTTCTTATTTCTTTCATTAGTATTTAATAGCTTGGTTCAAACATGTCTGAAGAATGTTATTGGTGTTATTCAACATCATCTTGGCATTGACCAGAGCAAGCCTTCGAAAGCTGGAAGGTATATATTATGACCTACTTGCATTATAATACTTGCTATAACTGTACACTTTAGTTTTTGGTAAGCATCATTGGATGATGACATGTATTTTGTACGTAGGCTGCCATCAGCAAACAAAAAATGGTCTCAAGTGAAAAAAAAACACAGTGAATATTTTAAAAAGTGTGCTTCAGGTAGCAATTGTTATATCATTGTACACCAATAATCATCATGTGTCTAAAATCTGATCTTGATTTGTTGCATTTCTCCAGATTCTGCGTAAACTCTCAGATCCATCAATGCTGTGTGTTGTACTACGTCATACACAAGCTCTGTGTCCATTCTATGCTTCATTTCCAAAATTATCAAGAGCGTTCATCAAGGTTTGATGATCATCTTATAATGAATACCGTAGGGAGTTTTTCATCAAATTATGACATATCTTTTTCACCTCAAAGAGGATGGTGCGTATGTGGTCAAGTGGTGAAGAACATGTCAGGGTGATGGCTTTTGTTGGCCTCACAAAGTTGCTACGATTAATTTCAACAACACTAGTGGACTTTGCTATTAAGGTATATAATAATGAAAGCAAATGATTGATTGGGTTGCTCTGTATATTGTGTATGCTTACTTTTCATAATTTCTCTCCATAATAAACAATCTTGTTCGTTCATTTCTCTTCCAGCAACTGTACACAAATTTTGTGAAAAACTGTAAGTTCACCTCAGTCAGTACCCTACCACTGATCATCTTCATGCAAAACTCATTAGTGGAAATCTACAGTCATAACCCAAGCTCAACCTATCAACAAGGTTTTGTATATATCAGGCAGTTGGCCATTCATCTACGAAATGCAATGGTGCAAAGAAAAAAGGTATCGGAATTTGATGAAGTTTTCATTTGCAGTTTAGCTATGAACTTTTAACCTCAATTCACTTTTATCTTCCAGGATTCCTTCCAATCAGTCTATAACTGGCAGTTTATTCACTGTCTTTGTCTGTGGAGTCGGGTTTTGAGTGAAATACCCAGCAGGATGTTTTAGAGCCACTTATATATCCTTTAGTTCAAGTAACACTGGGAGCCATCAGGCAAGTGATCATCCTGGAAGATGCTGATCAATATCTGTACAATTTCCAGCAGCAATGAATTAATTTCCCTCTAAACTTTGTTCATATATTTAGGCTCAATCCGACATCAAGATATTATCCACTTCGTTTTCATTGCATTCGTTCTCTCAACAAGCTGTCTCAAGCCACGAATACGTTTATCCCCGTAGCGCCGTTTCTCTTGGAGGTAACCTCATCAAAAAAAGCCTTTAAAACCTTTATCACCTAGCTCTTACTCTTTACCGCTCTTCAGGCAAATCTTTTCCTACGAATAATCTTGTGTCTATATCATTGGCAAACTACCAGCCCGTCCACATTTCTTTTTCTTAAGTTACCTCTACATTTCGTCTTAACTGTCATCTACTTCCCGGCTTTGTTAAGCTATTTCGTATAGGCGCTCTTTCATTTCTTCATATGACATCAACTATCTCTTTTTAGATACTCGATAGCGCGGAGTTTAACAAACCGTCCAAACTGTCGACGGCAAAACCGACAAGTTTTTCGTGTATTTTAAAAGTTTCCAAACAACAATTACACAGCAAAGCATTTCAAGTAAGCTTCTTGCCTGCTTCATTCAAATGAATGCAATCGGTGTCGAACATGTTGTGCGATACGGTCACCTTCAGAAATTGAACTGCAAGGAATAGCTATGCACCTCTACCTCCCTCCCTCCCCCCGTCGATAGCCACTGGTGCAAGCGTAGGATTAGTAATAAAATAAACAAATTACTTACATTTTTTCAGGATTCTGTAGTTGATGAGATTGTTGAGCTGTTGCTAGAGCATTTCTCCACACACGCACATTCCATCGGCTTTCCAGAACTTGTGTTTCCATGTGTTGTAAAGGTTGGTTAGCTGCAAAAAGAAATATTCTCAAGCAATTCTATATACATGGATAACAAATATTTGCTGTGTAATTTTTCTCTCATGCAGATGAGACACTTCGTGAAAACATCCAAAGTCCCGAGGCTTGGAAAACAAATAAAGCAATTGATTGAGAAGTTGAACGAAACTTCGCAAGATGTAACGAAACGACGCTCTACTGTGTCCTTTAGTCCCAAAGACATTGAAGATGTGGTGAGCTGACTTGTAGACCTTACATGACAACAGATCAGGATTTTGTTCACACTTTGGTAGCATGAAAGTGTTCATATCTTTCTGTTCTTTGATTCTATCATGTAGGAAAAATGGGAGACAGAATACCGCAAACAGCCGAACGCAATTGTGCAGTTCTACAACCGTTGGAAAAATATGAAGATCAACACTCTCTCGAAACAGGTACGAATAAGAAATATTCACACTCGTGATGAATGGTAGTGTTTCATGTAGTATCTTGTTTTCTGAAGGAGGAAAGAGCGGATGTAGAGGAAGAGTTGGACGAGGAAGAAACGAAGGCAGGAAAGAAACGAACAAAAACGGACAGAAAACAAAGCAAGAAAAAACGCCGTGATATTGAAAGAAAAAACAAACAAACGAATAATGAAGTAGTCGAACGAGAAGAAACTGAGGCGAATGACGTCGCTGATATTGTTGAAGACTTTCAGTTCTCAGACCTTGACGATTAACGGAAGGAAGGTTGTTGCACTGCTTCGAGATGAAACACCTTAACACTTTAGTGTTTTTGAAACATAATGGTGATTTATTATCGTTCTTACCAAAGTCATTGAATTCTGCTCATTTCCTTTTCCAACGAATCCAAGAAAGTTTCCAAATTACTCGACGAAGTGTTTGCTGGAAAATGGAAAGGAAATATTACCATATTGGTAAACAGTTAATGGGAATTGATCTCTGGAAGTTGAAGCTAACCTGATAGTCTTTCATTCAACCACTGAACTGCTCTCAAAGCCCCACCATTGCTTCCCTTTCTGTAGTAATCAACAGCCACAAAGTTTGCCCACTTTTTAAAGTTTTTATAACAAGTTGTAAGTTTACGTTTTATTTCATCAAAATCATTCAAACACGGCGACAAACTATTAGGAATTGTTGTGAACCAGTTAACCAAGAGTAAACTCCTATCATAGTCATGACTCGCGGATTCAATTCTTTCCTTGCATTCCTATTTTGAGATATAAAGAAACGATGAAATAAAATGAAATAAATAAACACACAACCGAGTAGCTTTATCTGTTTTATAACTCTGCAGCTTTTACTGCCACACACAAAGGAGCCTATTCCTTGTCTTAATACATTCCTGGAAAGCGCAAGTTAAACTTTTGTTACACGCGTTTCCTGAGATCTTTCTAATCTAATCTTTCTGGCTCACGGTGGGTACGTACTATATTGACCATTGAGATTAGGAAGGGGGGGGGGTGAGATAGGGTGTAGTGGGACCTTCCACCTCAAAGTTCTGAGAACAGCCCCTCGCTTTTGACTCACGTGAAAATTCTTCCCAGAACCTCCATAGCGAGTTTCAACAACAAAATTCCACATATTCCTTTCGCTGTAAGGGAATCCCGTAAGACCAACATTATTGAACACGATCAGACGACGACCTAACGAGATCATGTCGGAAAGAGTCGGCCAGTCCTCGTCATCTCTCCAGTGCTCCGACGTCAACACGAATTTGGAGATATCAGCCTCGTCGAACACCTTCGCCAATAATCGTGGATTCCGAAGATAATCTTCGAAAATGATCGTGACGACTTCGTACGGATTTTGGAGCAGGAAATCGCGGATTTCTCTCAACGTGTAAACGAGATCAGCTGAGCCACTCCAGAGACAGCTGGCGTGACACAAACGAACGTCAACATCGCTCCATCCTGAAATTAGAAACGATTTTGTCGACTGAATAGAAGAGAATTCCTGGGGTAGTTGAATGGTAACTTTCTCCTGAGGCTGGAACTGATACAGTGAAAAAGATTACAACGGGTATTAAAAATGGGTTTTGAAACAAAGCTTAACCGAAGACTTCTTCGTGGTAAAACGCACCTGTAAAGATATCCAACATTAGCCCTCTGACACCATCTTGTAGTTGCTTAGCAACGCTATACCTCTGATTACGTGCCCAGACTCCAAAATTAATTCCATAGCTGAACGAATTGTGCGTGACCAAGAAAGCTACTTTGTTGTAAGGCTTTTCTAAATCCTGAAAATAAAGACATTCTTATCCTACCATGAAGAAGACTGGCGTCTGAGAGCAAGTTACATCTAATGATGGTTACATTTGAGCATCGTTATAACGCTCGCCTTCTGACTCAATAGTTCTGGTTAAAACTCACAAGCAAGTGAAATTTTCCTGCCTGTTCCTGAGGAGGATTTTCCAAAGTGGAAACCAGTTCATCTCTTATCATTCTTACCTGTTTACTGAACGTAGGTACCCGCGCCATCTGACAGGTGGCCAGCAGTATCCGACCACAAAGCGAGCACGACAGCGATGGAGCACATTCAAAGCCAGCCGAACATGGCTCGTTTTCTAAACGAGGTTCGTGGTAGCATTTCTGTACCCCAGGATGACACGATAACCCTGGTGCACATGGGTAACCTACACTACATGGTTGACCTGCAAGCCTCGGATGGTTGTAACACACCTGAAAACCGGGTGCACAACTCAGGCCCTTACCACAAGCATATCCTAGTGAGCAAGGTTCATGAAGTCGCCTCGGGACATTAAAACATCTCTGCACACCCGGTTGACAGCTCAAATCTTCCCTGCAAGGTTTCGTCCAGTGACACGACTCTTTATATCCCGAAGGTCCCACGCAGCGTTGTCGGAAAATTTCGCAAACGGCCGGAAACTTACATTGACAGAATACTGAACACTCGTCTCCAGGAACACCATTGTGGTTACCGTGCGGGCAGGAGAATGGCCAAAGGGCGGCCGTGGTTTCCAAGAGAAAAACCAGAAGTTTAAACTTCATATTCTTTGAGCATTTAAACATCATCATAGATTTCATGAACGCTTTAAAACATTGTAATACGAAACCGTACCTATGCAAAATTTTCATAAAATGCCATCTCTTCACAACCCCCAAATGTAGTCCGGCGTCAGATACGCGCAGATAAGGTTTCAGCCAGTAGTTATGTACGCGGACAGTTTTTATAAAAGTTATAATACATGTAGGTTGCTAACTTCATCTACAAAAGATTAAGTCGTTTATTTGTTATGTACAATAATCAATATACTCTAAACATTGACAGGTAGTATTTGTTTAATGTTTAAATAAAGATATGACCGCATCCTTCTCATGTACAAAAACAAGCTTACACGGAACGCGGGACGCGTTTAAACGGAAGGATACAGGGCACGGATAATAGCACAAATTCACACGAGATTGAGATCTCTCTGACTTTCGTCTGATTGGTTATCATTCTTCTTCTTTTGGCTCCGCACAAAATATTTCTCGGGGGATTTTATGTGCGGTAAAGTCCCATCTTTATCACGACAAGAGTCAGTATGACCCAATTATTATAACAACGCGATGATCTAAAGCCCTTTGTAAGCTGAAGTGCTGCAGATATCTAATTTTTTGTTGTGTTGATGCAACTCGTAAATACGATACGGTTCCAAGTGTTTTACACAAGGATTCACTAACCTTTACAGTTTACTCTATGGAGCGTAAAACATTCGTTATCCTCTTCTTTACGCTAGTAACTCGTACAGAATCACTTTGAGACAACAGTTGCTTCCTCATGAGCTCGGAGGTAAATGCAAAGCTACCGCTCCTGTATGAACACGACAGCTCAAGTCCTTTGCATGGTGAAACGGTTTACAGAATATCTGTCTCTCCGTGACCGTCACCCGTAACATTTTATCACGTTCAGTGAACTCGTAGATCCCTCCAACAACGAAGAGTTCTGATTGACCTTCAGCATGATCCCCCTCGTCCCTCGAGGCGACGTTGCATATTCCCACGCCCCAACAGGATACCTCCGTACCCGAGACGACCAACCAACGTGGGTTCAACTTTGGATCAAAACACTCAATACTCTCCTCTAGGTACGTCATCATGCCATTATGCATGTGCGCTCCACCAAACACGTAGAGAGTGTTGTTCACACAGGTCAAACCAAGACATCCTCTTGCATAATTCATGGAAGGCATTGTTGACCATTGATCAAATTTGGGGTCGTACACCTCTACAGTATCCAATGCAACATGAAAGTCCCCACCTCCCACGGCATAGATCTTACCATTCAGAGTCGCAGCCCCCAAAGCACCTCTGGCTGTTGGCATGGGGGTCAGGGTTGTCCACATATTTGTGACAGGGTCATAACACTCAACACTGCACAAACTGACCTTCAGCAAGTCATCTGTACCACCAATACAGTAGATTTTACCATCACATACAGCCACCGCCAGTTGACCTAAACCAAGACAATATTGTGTGTCTCATTACTTCCCTGTTGCTCGCTCAGTGAGGTCAAAAATTATAACAAAGACTGCAGTATCAACCTTACCTTTACACTCACTCATAGGTGTGACATCAAACCACTTGTTCGCCACCGGGTCATACCTCTCAACAGTCCTAACTGAAACATCATCATCACATTGCCCCCCTACAGCGTATATCATGCTATCAAGGACTGTCACACCATGTCGAATACGAGCTGTTGTCATCGGAGCAACATTCAACCAAACCTCATCAACTGTATCATAACAATCAACAGTGTTAAGAAAGTGTTCCTCAACTCTGTCATAGCCACCAATGACGTAGATATAACGTTGGGTGCTCTTTCGAGGTGTGTTGTCCTCGCTACGCAGTAAACATCGTCTTTCCGGATAATCCTGGTATTCACATGCATCCTTGAAAAGTCTGTTACAATCTAAAATCAAAGTAAAAACATTGATACTTGAAGCTCATATATTAATTCACACAGCAAACCTTACCTACACATTAGTTTGAATCAGTTTCTTTTGCTCTATTACTCAATCATTTATAGCAAGCTGATTCAACAGTTGTAAGGCAGTATGTTGGTTGGTTAATTATTTCAAAAGGCAGTGATATGATCAGCTGTTAAACATGAAATTGATATTACCTTCAAGTTTAATGATGTTGTGTTTCATGACATTTTCCCTGAGATAATGTTTTGGTAGCAGCGGTAATCGGACTTGCGAGATAAGAGATTTTACATGTTGTAGTCTTTCAGTTTTGTCATGATTGATCCATCTCTCAAGAGATTCGAAAACTTGCACCTCCGAATTGACATTCAGATTGTCATCAGCGAAAAATGATTTTAATTCACCCACACTGAAGTGCAGAAATGCTACAGAATAAATGAATATATGGGTTTAAACAATTTGTTACTGTAGCTAGCAAACATTCTAATCATCCTGGCTATTATTGCTACTCTGGTTTTAAATAATGAAAGTAATCACCACCCCATGGGTCATGAATGTAATCTTTGTGTGGTGAGTAGCTTCCATGATTGTGATGGATTATGTACCTGGTTGCCGTGAACTATTAACTCAATTTGTAATCTAATTTCGACCACATGGACTGACCATTATTTCCGAAGGGGGGGTGATATGTTATGTTGTGGTAGAAAAAATGATGCAAGCCCATCATTACCTGGTGTTTGAACAACTTTTGCAAAATGCTTGACGATAAAATGATTTACAACTTTATTTAAAGCAATCTGCTGATGGTCCTGTGCTAGTTGCCATATCTTGTGTAGATTCTTAACAGTCACATGTTCCTTAATAAACTGCACGCAAGCTTCCTCAACCTTCTGAAATTGTAGCATATTCGATGCAAGTAATAAACTCTCAATAAAATCGTGTTCCTTTGCAACCAGCTTGGCTTTTCCTGTGTAAGCAAAGTTCAGCAACTCTTCCATAACTCTTGATTCAATTTCACGGATCTTGATTAGTTTCTGATGTGATTCCTGCATATTATGCGAGAACATGGCTCGAAAATAGGGGCTTGCGGAAGCAAGCACGATACGGTGACCTTCAAATGTTCGTCCATCGTCGCATTCAATAACGACATCGCAAAACGAGCCTTCCTTTCGTAATTCGTTCATTTGAACAAAAACTGAACGTACATACTCGAGATTTATACCATCTTCGCATTCCGACGTCAACAACTTCTCCATGTTATTACAACAACTGGAAAACACAATTTTGAAGAAGCAAAACAGAGTTACATCTTGGTAAAGTTTAATTTACCTTTTATATGCAAATTGCAAGTTCGCAAATTTACAGGGAAGATCTACCCCCCGCCCCCTTAGCGTAATATGAAACAACAGGTTAGGACAATAATTATCAATGGCCTTCACTATTATTGAAGTGTTTTAAGAATTTTATAAAATTAATTACATCAAAGTGTTGCAAAAAATGTAAACAGATTTTTGTAACAAAAAGAAAGTTGAAGTAAATTTAAAGTTTTCAAACTATCCTCTCCTCGTCACTCTAAGGATTTGAATATTTTCATGATTTTAATCATCTTCTATATTTAACTTGTATTGAAATATCGAAGCGTCCTTGCTCGGCGGGATTTATATTTCTGTTCTAAGATGGATTCATTTCTACAAGGACGAAACATTCCGAAAGAAAGGCTTGATTCTTTAGTCGAGCAAGCCAGAGACTACGCTGTCACTAATGGAATACTCATGATTCCCAAAGATGCCTCCTCTCCTAATGTATTTTCACAAGCCCCATTCACACTGTTCGCGTCGCCCTTTCCCAAAACACTCTTCAAACAAGGATTTGATGTTCAGGAGGATTTTAATATACTAGTGGATAAAGTTAGCAAAGACTTTGAATTTTTACAGGCATCTTTGGCGAGGTAAGTTATGATGATGTGACAAGAAAAGTGACAATACATAACTGAACATTTGTATTATATGTTACATATTAATTGTAATAATTTTGGGCGTGGAAAGATATGAAAGATATGAAATTAAATGGGAGTATAAAATATATATAGACATCAATTAAGATTTACAGACCAGTTCCAGGTTAGAATGTAATTATTGTAATATGACACTTACTGACATGCTGAAATTAAGGACTAACAAGATACATGATGTACTAATCTCCACTTGTAAAGATGGATGGATACTTCCACATAATTCATATACTTTTGTTAAAATTGAATGAAGCCTGAACTGCAGATTATCACTGCTTGCCTCAACTTTTAAATTATCTCAGTATTACAACCCTTTAACTGCAGTGCAATGGAAGCTGACGTTTTTACCAAGAAACTTTTTGACATTCATAAGATAACTCGGGAAGAAGGAATAGCTCAGGTTAGTCGATCTTTTGAGTTTGCTGTTTGGAGGTTTTAAGATGACCAACATGACATAAATCTTGGTCAGTTCCTTGAGTGTAAATAAACAATTTATCTTTAAGAAATTATCCTTGGGTCTTCTTCGATCTGACTACATGATGAACCCAATCTCAGAAGATACAAAGGATTTTGTGCATGGTTATGAAATCAAGCAAATTGAGATCAACACTATTGCCAGTTCATTTGCTGGCATTGGGTCTCGTGTCACTGGCTTACATAGGTGAGATTACTCGGTCCAACAGCTGATAATCACTCTCTGGAGAGATTGACTAACTAATTACCTTTCTGTACATCCAATTTAGATATGTCCAGGAAACCTATGGTGATGTTGATGCTACAATTGCAGAGAAGGTAATTGTTGTTGTCCCAATAGCCCTGCATGAACCTGTGTGTTATAACTCAATTTATTTCACGCTTGTTAAAAGTGATATGGTAATTTAGACCATGTAATGAGTGTGTTCATATTATGTTCCCAGCTTCCTACAAATCATGCTGCAAAAGGCCTTGGTGAAGTAATAGTCAAGGCTTGGAACTTATTTGGAAATAAAAGGTGAAACATGCATGGCAGTTGCATTTAATTTGCACTATCTTTCTCACCATATTAACCTATCTTAGTGCAATTGTTGTCATCATCGTTCAACAAGGTGAAAATAACAGAGTTGACCAGCGAGTGATAGAATACACAATACGAGACAGGTAAGATATTTTTCATTTTAAACACGAACTTCACCACTCTCTTCCATCACTCTTATCTCTTTTATCACTCCTACTAGCAACCCAGCTGTCAAAGTGGTCAGACGAACATTAAAACAAGTTGAGGAAAATGGTTCATTGCAAGAAGATAAAACACTAGTTATGTCAGTTATCATTCATGTCATCGGAATTTATATTCTGTCCGTACTTGGCAAACAAAATTATTTAAAAAGTAAAATGTTCTTTTCTAGTGATGGTAAAGAGATTGCAGTTGCATACTTCAGAGCAGGTTACACACCAAACGATTATTATTCAGATAAGGTAATCAATGAAAAATGATGATTGCCATTATAGTGAAGCTTTCTGTTGATAATATAACGTCAGGTGTCATCCCCTGTATATGGACGTTAGTCTAAAGATGAAATCCAACCAAACTGGAACGGAACGTTGAATAAGGCTGAGCAATTTTTCATTGTCTTCCTATAAACAGGAATGGTCAGGCAGATTGAAACTGGAACGGTCTCGTGCAATAAAATGTCCCACAGTTGCGTATCAGTTGGTTGGAACGAAGAAGATTCAACAGGTTCTCGCAGAACCTGGAAATGTTGAGAGGTTTGTGCTTGTCCTGGTTGTTCTTTTACCTAAAACTAAACGGTTGCAGGATGAATATAGGGAAGATTGTGTTGATAAATAAACGTTTGTCTTCTGAAGATTTCTGGAGGATCCCGAGAGCGTCGCAAGAATACGAAAGACCTTTGCGGGACTTTTCACCCTGGACAATGTACGTTAATGTTAATGATTTTATCCTGGCATTGTAGGTCTGCGCTGTTTGGTTGCTCTACAATCAATTTGTCTCTGTTTGAACTACAGTTTACAATTGTTCTGTCTTCAACACGCAGGGTGATGAAGGAGACAAGAATGTAAAGATGGCAATTGAAAATCCTCAACGTTTTGTTGTTAAACCTCAGCGAGAGGGAGGAGGTAAAGAGAATAAAATATCTTCTTCATCTAATATCGTGATTACTAACGAAGAATGAAGCGCTTGCTAACGTCAATCCAATTATATATATAAGCGTCCTGCCAGTCACTCAACCTTAGCAAGATCAAGGATAGCTTCAATTTAAGCTCGTTTCTTATTTCCTCTCAGGTAATAATGTTTATGGTGAAGCGATACGTGAAGTTTTATCAAAGAACGATGATTCCCGAACTCAATATGTTCTGATGGAGAAAATCCGTCCTCCGATTTTAAAGAATTACATTGTCCAAGTTCACAAGGATGAGGTCTTAGAGGAAGATGTTGTTTGCGAATACGGAGTGTTTGGAGTTGTGATAAGGTGAGCGTTTTTATCTTTTTGAGTTTTAGCATTTGCTCTAAAAGTGAGAATTGTGCGACGTACAATATCGTGGTTTAATCAATTTTAATGTTAATCTTCGTTTCAGTGATGAAAATGGGATTGTTGAAAACAAGACTGTGGGTCACCTCTTGCGAACAAAGAGCACCATTCATGATGATGGAGGAGTGGCTGCTTTAAGAGCAGTACTTGATAGTCCCTGCCTTGTATGACTGGAACTGACTCAATCTCTTTCTGTATTAACTATTATTGACAACTTTGACAACTAGGGAATTTTCAAGGATTATTTAAATAGGAATATTAATATGAAATTATGAATTGAGGGTTGTTCTGGAGGGTACACGTTTATTCATTACATAGGAAATATCATCATTACTTTCCCATGGTCTTGAATTCCTCTCCGTCGCATGTCAGAAACAAAGGTCGGCCATCCTCCAGAGCGAGGCTGAGCAGACAGCTTAGTATGGTAATCATATTCAACCTCTCGTCCAGCGGCAATTTCTTGGTGACAATCCTCGCGAGTTGCGCGTGGGTCACGAGTGGATCGGGTTCGTCATAAAACCACGCGGGAGCTCCCACGCCATAGCGTTGCATCATTCTGTTGCCGAAGCTCACGTGATACTGCATATCCCAACCCAGAGGTTGTAGTCTCTGAATACGACAGTCTAATGCTTGTAAACGTTTCACCCGCATATTCCTGTCAGGTTCTGACATTATCACCTCCCTAATATCTTCAAGTGGACCGTAATAGACTTGCTCTGAATCAGGATATACATGAAGTATTATGCGTTTTTCTAGCTGTAAGACAATTTCACCAATGGCATGCTTGATCAACTTCCGAGGCGCGTTTAAAACCTACAGCGGAGAGAATGATTGACGCATTCATTCACACAAAACAACACCGTAACCAACAATTTATAAAACCTATAAATCGACTTGGCTTAAGGCTAGTTATCTCACTATCCTAATCTTAATCCTGATTAGGTTATCCAAATCCTGGTTAACCTAATCCCTCTATATAGCTTGATTATTGAGGTTTTATGTAAAAATCAATTCCGGATCAAAAGAGCAGCCAGCCAGTCTTAGTCACCCACGGTAAAAGTGGTTCTCAAATATTAACTTTGTCAAAGGTATTTTATACAAGAAACTACAACACCTGAGGTATGCTCCCATAGGCAAAGATTCCAGTGCTTTTAGCTTTTCTTTGATTGAGATTCCTCCTTGACACGCTCTTCGTTCTTCCACAGGAACATGAGTCGGAAATATGACTTGTACATCGTCTGTCACACGATGAGGCGTTAACTGTCATCGAACGTGCCATCATCCTTTCGTAAAAAGAACGCCTCTTAAACTTCTCCTCAAAATGCCTCGAGGCCATAACTGCTGCTTCCGCCAGCTCTGTTTCCTGTGCTGCAGCTCGACTAGCAAGCTTTTCATCAACCAAGTCACAACTCATATGAGAACTACTTTTAGTTTTGTGATAAAGTTCTCGTATATCGCTTATAAGACTGTCCACCGAGGTTCTGGCAACGTTGTGAGACATGCCTCGCTTTCCTTGTTGTCTGCGTGCGAAAACACTATCATTAGGTTTACATTCATGACGTAATATGATTACTTGCGCTCGCTTTTTTATCATTTACTTAATAAAAAACCGGGAATTACTGTAATTACCCGCAGAGGTGAAGAAGGAGAAGAAAAAGAAGAAGCATATTTGGAAGGAAATTAGAAGAACTATTTGCTATGAGAGGCTTTATCAAAAGTCTCGTGTCATCAAAAGTGACCGTTACAGGACAAACCAGGAACCATCATTAGATTTAGCATAAAGATGAGCATCTCTTTGATAACAACCACTTTTTTTCATAGTATAACTATAAGAACATAGCTAAAGATAGGCTGCTACAGATCCTGCAACACAATTTCGAAATTTCCTGGGTATTTTACTCGCAGTCCCTTATTCAAACAAAGAGATCTTTCCTTTCGTAAGAGTTCCAGTCACATTTTTCCTGTTTGGGAAATTTCCTCCGCTCAAAATAGCGATATTATGCACTTCGTTAGCACTGTCAGGTTCAGTGCTGCCTTTGAAAGACATATCTTAGCCTTCCCCTGTCACAAAGTAGCTTTGTTTACACGAGCTCTTGTGATATTTAACAGAGGCTACGAATCTTGGCGCGCTGCATAAGAGCGATAAGTGGATGAATGTCTAATGTCACCGTGTAGTTTATGTCGTTGAATCTCCACTGAATCTTGTTCTGAAGCCAAAATTTGAATAGCCATTCGCATTGCATTTAAATGTGATGACAAAACAAAAGGAACGACTTTCCTGTAAAGATTTAGTCCGTTTTAGAGTTTAAATGAATCAAACTGACATCACAAAGATTCAATTGAAAAGAGACTAGTATTTTGGCCTGTGTGTTCATGTTCAAAGACATTGCCATGTTAGCCACCCATCTTGGGGACAAATAACCACGAGACTAAGACTCTAAGTGTATATATTGACGCTGATTGGAAATTGCGTCACGAAATGTTTTCCTTTCCTTTTTAACAATGTAATCGATGCAGCAAAACATCAGATTAATGTGAAAATACTGTCACTCAAGTTTAAAAAAAGCTGGCAACGTTTCTTAACCGTGATTTGATCAAAGGAATACAACTGAAATCGGAAGGTTGTTCTTGCATGAGACTCGGAGTCAGAGATAAGATGTGATAAGAAGACGAGACCCACGCATACGACACTTCAGCTATGAACGAGGCTTTAGGTGATTCGTAACTCGGAAGCAAGTAGTGGAAGTCGAGTGTTTGTCTATTTAATTCATATAGATATGTGACCTCCTATTGTTGAACTAAAATAGCTCTTCCGAGTTCCGTCTCCCGCATGCGACCCACTTGAAACAGCGACAAGTCTTTGATTAATGATAGATGAACCAAGCATAATAGTAAATAGATGAGCTAATTATCAACAATATAAAAATATAAGGTCTGCATCACTGGCAGATCAGTATACAGATCCAGCGTAAGTCTTGTTGGTAACTTGCTAGATGCCATGTGGCCCCTGTCGAATTTTACTCGGAATTTTGAATTGGAAATTAGCAATTAGGCCGTGTAATTTATTCCGACTTATCCTGAATCCTTTCATGTATTCTATCTTCCTTTTAAGATATTCCTTTATTATTTCGATACATTACTGGAAAGTATTGCATGACTTGGTACAGTTAATTTGTTTTCATATCAAATTACTCAAACGATGCGGAGGGATAATTAGTATGCAAACGTGCTAGATCACGCCTTCTTCAATATTCTTCTATTACATCCTGTTTGCTCAGTTTTGATGCACAATTTTACACCTAAAATACATCCATAGACATATTTAATCATATTTGTGCGGTAAAATAGCTGAATGGCGAATGTAGAGATTTATTTGGAAATGTGTTGGCATGTTATTGGTTAAAAAGACATTACGTCACCTTTCTATTCATATTACACCATCCATTCTGGTATAAAAAGAATTAAACACAACGTTTGCGGACATTCTAGACAAACACTCGTAGCAGAAATTAGAAGAGTTTTGTGTCGTGTTTTATTCTAAAAAGATCTCGCAAAAGACCTAACGCCAAGTAAGTACAGTATATAAAATCTTAAAGTTTGTACAACTGTATAAATATCGCGTTTTGTGCTAACTCAACTCAGATGAGAGCACACAGCTGCTTGCGCGCTGTTTTGTTTACTAACAAGAAATATGAAGTGGTGTAAATTTCTGAGCAAACAAGGTTAGAATAAGGAATATACTTCTTTCCATTCTCCATGATAAAATACAGCTGGCTCAGAGCCTAGAGTCTGGGAGACTAGAAAATTTTGCGTAGCGTATACGCGCCAAATTGATCTTTTGTTACAAGCGCTTTCCCGGGCCAGATTATCATGAATTATCTCAGTGCCTAGGGATGGTATTCCTGTCCTTTAGTCAAACTTTTGAATTGCGTGTAAATTGCGTTATAAAACACACGCAGACACATGTGTATTTCCCAACGTTTACAACATGCAGGCTGATGACATTATTAGAAGCATTGCAATATATGGACTATGGTATTTTGAGGTTACGCCTCGAATATTCCCACGTGAATTCCTAAAATATGACTGGCTTTTTTTCAGCGTATGCTCACAATGCAATTAGGAAACGGGCATTACACGCTCTTAATGTTGATTGTCCAGTGTTGTATGAAACTGGCTGATCTTATTTCTTCCTTGTTTTGAGCACAGTTATCTGTGTTCAGAAACTGCAAAAACCAGACGAAATTTCATGTTATTTCTTCCTTGTTCGGCTCAAAAATGACGGCTTGTTAACCCGACTTAGTAACGAATCCGCTTGTACGGCCAGTAATCCTAATTTCGCGTCTTTACAACAAATATGGCTCAAAGGTTTGAGGCTTAAAATTATCGTCTTAGGAATTCATTTTCATGAAACAGGGTAATCCCCGAAGTTAACTCATGCGGTTAAATATGCGCGCATGCGTCGCAAAATATCAAAATCCACGTTGCCAAATATGACGAGAGTTTTACATAATAAAATCGAAACAAATTGCCCAAAAGGCGCAATAAACATACATTCTCTTAGCGGGAATGTACTAGGACTGGTGTTTACAACCGTCTGTGTGGGTTTTTAAGTTTTGGAGATATTTGAGTTAAAATATAACTTTTCCTCGCAATGCGCGCTATCCTTGCATGTTTATGATGCAATATTCACTCGCATATTAATGAAGTCGACTTGTCAAACCGGTTTATTCCACTTTGACCCACTTCTGTACGCGCACAAACACGCCAGGCTTCGAGAACAATACGTAAAGCAATAGCGACTTCTGATTGGCTCGTTGCAGACGAAAATAGTGAATGAGGTCATATTTAGCAAAGTTTGCGAAGGGAAAAGCCACTTTGAGTTTGAGTCTGACATGATCGCAGAGAGTTACAGACATCGTTCTCTTTCGCGATTAATATATTGAGCGTAATACCATTACACCCAGCGTAAATCATCGCCTTTATCTCGCTTCGTATAGATAGAGATGGCTCTCCACGATTTAGAAGATTGGGAAACGATGTTATTAGAAGATATGTTGGTAGAAAATCCAAACGAGACGGTCAGCACGGTGTTTCAAAGCAATTCGACTGGGTCGCCAGCACAAGGCAATGTGGTCGTGCAAGATGCTAATTTGGCATCAGGCTGGTTAAATACGCCATCGTTTACTGGATTTAATGTATCTCAGTTGCAGAGCGAACACGCACAGGGGGAAGTATTCTCCGACACAGAGTCGGTGACGAGTTCCTCCTATTCTGCGGTACCCTCTCCGGCCGCCGTATTCGACAACACAGAGCAACAACAACAACGGTTCAGCTTCTACGCGCTTCAGGATGAGGACTTGAAACATCTTTCTGTGAAGGACCTGAATCGGAGGCTTAAGGGAATGCCAAAAGAAACTGTGAGCTTAATAAAGAAACGACGTCGCACGTTGAAGAATCGTGGATACGCGCATTCCTGCCGCATCAAGAGAGTGCTGGAGAAGAACTCGCTTCAGAATACCAAAGTTGATCTGGAAGCTGTGAATCAAAGGCTTCAGGATGAATTAAGCATGATCAGAAATGAGCGCGATCGTTACAAGCAAGCGTACGAGAACCTCATTCAACTCATCCAAGCCCAAGGCCAAAAAGTTAATCAACGACGGTAAGACGAACGGCACTATTTGTCAGAATCTATTTCCTACACAATAGGAAGAATTAGCAAGAATGGGACAGTTCGCCCAAGAAACTAACTTAAAGAAACCAGTTCGTGATAGATAAACTCAAAGTACATAAATACAGTAAAGTACTGATATCTATTGTAATATATATTATGTTATTCATGCAGTTACGTTTATCAGGATGAAAGTGCGCGCGAGAGTTGTGCTTTAGGTTTCCTCGATCAGTGAGGTGATTTTCGTATTTAGAACTCTGCTGCTATTTATCACCACAAAAACATACGCTTCTTTTTCTGATAAAATGCGCAATCGTGTTTGTTAACTTTGTTTTCAAGTCGTAAATTTATATTCGGCCAAAATATAAACCTGTTCAGATCGATCGCAAACGGCGCACGTTGCAACACTACTGCATATAAACCAGACCTTCAGAATCAACTGCATTGGGAATACTAAACACTAATACTTTCGTCAGTTCTTGTCATTTATTGATACATTTTCTTAGTGGTTTCATAACGTAAATATTGCTTTCAAATTGTTAGCAACCGATCTAACGGATTTTGCCAAATGTCCTAATAAATATCGTATGTTACAAATGTGTTCTAACTCTGCATCCTAACATGCAATTGATGTAACTACACAAACACGATATAAACGATCATCTAGGTCGATGCTCACATACAGTACAAGGGAAATTCAATTCATTCGCTGCCACAATTGCAGGAATACACGTTTTTTTCTTGAAGGCGAGCAAAGACCCGCTATTTTTATAGAGAATGTTTAGCCGAGCCGTTTACACTAGCGAGGACATTTCACAGAACAAAAGCGGAGATGCTATTTTCAAAGCAATCTCCCTTTTGTAAATTAATTACTTGTTTAGCGAGAATTGAACAAAAAAGTCGCATTTTTAGCAATTACATTAAACCGTGACAATGAATTGTTGCAAAACGCATTAACTGCATGATCTTATACGCAAAATCCAAAAGTACAACTCTCGTGCACCTGTTCCGTTTATATGTTGCTGTTTTTAATTTCATGAACAAGTTAGATATAACTTAATTTGTTTATGGAGGGAAGGAGTTTGTATTTAAGGTCTTCAAATTCACTACGGTTGAAGGGTATAAGAATGAAGATATTGTAAATAATGAAAAAGAAATGATGACAGAGACGTTATAAAAAGAGAAAAAAAAGATACAATGGCAATGTCATATTGCAGACATGTTTGTTGAGTTGTGTTAAGTATAGTATTTTTTTCAATGGATTATATTGGTCGTAATATTGACATTGTTTATTCACCTAAAAAGTTGTGTTATTTTATAAGTAGAGTTAATATAAGGGTGTAGTAATAAGAAATAAGCTTTTATGAAAAGTATAAAAAAATATTGCTAATTATCAGCAAAAAACCGAATTTATCTTTTGTCGTATTTACCGACCTATGTGCAGATAAAGGTTTCAGAATATGTCACACAAAAGTCTTCTCAGATGAAAGAAACACCTCCTTTCATTGATAAGTAGGTGTTCTTGACTAAAGTCCTAATATCATCAAATTTTTAACATTTGTAATAATTTTTGTGTAGCTTATACATCACAATGATTTGTGATGTACACAGCTAAGCAACAGCACCTTTGTGATGCATATTTGAGCAATGCATTCTCAGCTCATGCCTTGCCAAGTTTGAGTTTGTGAATGCAGAATCTTACCAAATATTCTCCCAATAAATAAAATATATAATATAATATGAACTTACCATTCACTTCAACATTGATTGAACCATATCAGGCTTCCCACACATTCTACATATAGACTGTAGGTACTATGTCCTATAAAAGGTAAATTTTATTTAAAAATGAGTATTCACTGTATTGTAACAAAGTCTTATTCCCTTTCCATATAATAACCACATGTAATAACTACAAGTTAAATTACTTAATAACCACATGTTTTGAAACTTGCTGAATACGTACTAGCTGAATACTTCTGTTTCGTTTGTTTTTTTGGTTCATTTTACTCCAAGAAGGGCATCTTTTGTGAGAGTCATATTGAATACTGTGGAATGGGGCATAAACCCCCCTCTGTTTCCCTCCTCCCTCCTGTCCACACCCCTTGTAGCTAGCAAGTATGGATTCCCAAACTCCCACAGCTGTAAATTCACTATTATGAAATTTTAAAATATTAAAAATTACATGTATTGAGCTGATGGTGGTGGATAATTATGCTCATTGTGAGAGAAATGATAACAGTTTTCGGTTTGCAAAACTGAAGTTTGAAAGTTCTAATCTTATGTACGGCATCTAAAATGCAATATTTTACACGCTTTGGCTGACAGCTACAGCTCTACGTACACTAGATTTGTTCCAACACTTCGTATCGTTTGCTTCGTACTAGCATTCATTTTCATGGATGACATTTACCACGAGTTTGTTTCAAAAAAGCTGCAGCCATGTTGTCTCTCGGATACTTCATAAAGCTCGTATTATAAGGCTCTGGACGAGCGATTTTCTCCTTTTGATAGATGTGAACGAGTAATTAGTTAGGAATTCTCTCATGTATAAGAACTTTTATTTGAACATCAGTAACTGATTCACTCGTTCACATCTATCAAAAGAAGAAAACCTCCTATTATCATCCGTGATTCGTAGCCCCTGCAGTGAGAAAAGCCTATCTTTCATCTTTGTGAATTACCTTTTTGTAAAACGATAATTCAGCTATGTTGTTTATGAAATCTACATCATTTGCGAAGGTTTTTCGTCGTTTTTTAAGCAATAAAAGAATAACATTGCCTTCAAGTGAGAAAGTTATCGTGCTACACTCCCATCACAATAATCCATATTTAAATCTAGCATATGAAAATTGGATGTACGAAAATTTAAACCTTGACAGTCATGATGTTCTGTATTTTTGGCAGAACGTACCATGTGTGGTAATAGGTAGACACCAGAATCCTTGGTTGGAGTGTGACCTACAGTATTTGAGCGAGAATGGTATTTCACTGGCAAGAAGACTGAGCGGTGGTGGTACTGTGTTCCATGATTTGGGAAATCTCAATATAACGTTTATGACCAATAGTTTAAACTATAACAGGAAAGGGAATTTAAAATGTATTGCCGAAGCGCTTTCCAAACAATGGAATAATTTAGATATTTGCCTGTCACCGAGGGATGACTTAGTGGTGAAAGGAATTTTCAAGATTTCAGGCTCAGCTGCTAAACTTGGAAAGTACTCAAGTTATCATCATTGTACATTATTGTGTGACGCTAACCTTGAGATGTTGAACAAAGCAATTATGCCCAGAGACATTGTTTCACACTCTCGAGCAACTGCAAGTGTCAGTTCACATGTTAAGAATCTTAAGGATCTAGAACCATCAATAAATGTTGATGATATCATAACTAGCATTGCCCAGACATATACCAATGATCATCAAACTCCACACATACATTCAATGGATATATTTGAAGATGACATAAGTGAAATCCATCAAATGGAAAAGGAACTTTCAACTTGGGAATGGATATTTGGGAAAACATCACCATTTACCATAACCAAATCCATTCCTTTGTCATCAGGAACTGATGCCAGAATTGACTTACTCATACAATCTGGACATGTGAAAAATGTGTCCATTCATCCAAGTACTTTATTTGAAGATGAAATTAATAAGTACCTGGGAGGGATAGAATTTAAGTCAAGCACACTGTCCAAAGCTGTTGGTCTTTGTTTTGACAAATGCAGGGAATTTCAGGATCATAAGTTAAAAGATGATTATAGGGAAATCCTAATGACTATCTCAAAAATTATTTAATTCTTTCATAAATTTTTGTACAAAAAAGTAAATGTGTAAATGCAGGTCTTTTTGTCTTAGTAAAATAGGAAAAAACGTCCATTATCCCAAGAGCAAATAGTCTAGGGGTGATGACAATGGTCTCGCTTGCCACAGGCAAGATGGTTTGAATCCTGCATGGGGGAAAGCGTTTTCAGCATGACCCCAGCACGCCTGTTGCGTTCTTTGCGTTTACGTCTTGTTCTTGCAACCCAGAACAAGCGCTGTGTTTATTGTCATCAGAGTTTAATGATAAATGCAGACCTGTGGGGACAGTTTAGGGAACTTCCAGGTTATGCAGCAAGGGTTGCAGCAAGGTGCACATGACTCAGTGGTGTACTGTTAGTGGTGCACATCCATGATGGTTTGTGGCTGTAGTGCACCTCCTCCGGCTGAAATTTTGGATAACAACAAGACCTGAATCGTTCTGAAATAGCTCATAAATCTTCAGATATAGGCCTTGTTTGGCATATTGCGCCGAGGTGGCCGAGCAGCGAAGCGAAGACGTGCCGAAGAGGTCAGTTTTTAGCCTCTCAAAATGGCGGATCAGGGAACAAGTCCAGAAGTACCTGATAACGCTGAAGAAGAAATCAGCGCAGAAATTCCTCTTCCACCAGGCTGGGAAGCTCGTTTCATGACTGATGGACGAATATATTACATCGAGTAGGGATAGAATGAATATTATTACTTTAATCTACTGGTATAACTGTGGTTTTAAATACAATGTTGACATAGTCTATCATACCTTAGTCTTCCAAAGTTTTATCGGGAATAACGCTCTTTTTCCCCAACTTTTCATTTTCTTCTACAGCCACAATACAAAAACAACTCAGTGGGAACATCCTGAGAGAGGCACTGTTTCTCGTATAGCAGGAGGTAGCTTTTCCATGTATTTTATAATGAGGATATGACTTTGTAGGGAATGGTAGCTGGCAGTGTTTTCCAGTATTGACTAAGGCCTAAGGCACTAGGCCTGACTGGAAAATGCAAATTACATGGAAAGATTTACAATTAATAAATAAATTTTACCATTGACCATTTAACCAGATCTACCATTTGGCTGGCAAATGCTACAAGATGAAGATGGTGAAGATTACTATATTGAGTAAGCTGACCAATTTTTATCACCACTGACCAATTTATTAGGATAAATTAAATGATTTGTCAGGGGCACAGATGCATTCTGGCTGACCTAATCTGGCATTCTTGTCTGGAACCCACCCTAACTTTACCAACAGAATGAGCGAGGTGCAGTTGAGCAGTTCAGGTTGGTTTAATACTTGAATATCTTTTCAGCACACTGAAGGGTAAAACAACATACATAGATCCCCGGATCGCCTTTACATCCAAGCCAAAGGTTAAAGGCAAAGTAAAAGTCGATACATTTAAAACAGCTCTGGATATTCTAAAAGATAAGAATCTTACAGGAAAAACTGTAATCATTACCGGAGCTAGTAGTGGCATAGGTGAGTTTGTACTCAATGAATAAGACAAAGAGATTGTCAAAATCAAGTTATTATTTTGGTGGAAATAGTTACGCAAGCATAAACATTCGGTGAAGACTTTATTGAAATATAATTTAAGGTTTTGAAACAGCCAAGGCCATGTCGCTTTATGGTGCTCATGTGATCATGGCCTGTAGAGATATCCGCAAGGGAAATTTAGCTGCTCAAAAAATACAAGATCTTCGTAAGGTTTGTGGGGTTTCATTTCTTGTAGCAGGAAATAATTAAAGCATCGGTGTAAGGGTCAGGTTCTTTCTTGGGGTGTGGTCCTAAAAACCATAGGGGTACCTCAGGCTCAGATATGGCATTCTTTATTCGGACCTGCCTTGCATTAAATAACATTTTTATCTTTTTATAGACGGAAATACCAAAGCTGACTGTTTTAAGGCTTGATCTTGCATCTCTTGAAAGTATTGAAAAATTTGCTGAGCAATTCGGAGATATGGATCTGTGAGTATTTTTTATGTGAATAAATTTACTTTTTGTGGTACCTCATCCTGTACATAGAGAATTGTTTGGTTTTCTTGCCTTAACTCTTAGGCCCCTCCATATTCTAATATGCAATGCTGCCGTCTTCTCATCATCATGGCAACAAACGAAAGACAATATTGAACTTACGTTTGGTGTCAATCATGTCGGTCACCATTATCTGGTTAAACTATTACAAGACTATTTAATCAAGTCTGCACCTTCGCGAGTGATTGTCACAAGTTCCGAGTCTCACAGGTAATGACGCATTTGTCTGCAAGTGTTGTGTGACATTTTACACCTAAACTAATTTTAACAATTTTAAATCATTTTTGCAATCATTTTATAGATTTCCAAATTTTGACTACACAGAAAGTCTGCAAATTGATAAACTACCATTACAAAAGTCAGACTACTGGTCAATTCTTGCGTATAACCAATCTAAACTGTGTAATATACTATTTGCAATGGAACTAAATCGTCGTCTGGCATCAAAAGGAGTGACTGCAAATGCTGCTCATCCTGGAAACATGATTTATACATCACTCGCAAGAAACTCGTGGTTATATTGGATGCTGTATTTGTTTTGTCGACCATTTTCAAAATCAGCCGTACGACTTTGAATTTTATTTGCACAGCTTACACTGACTAATAATTTAAGTATAATTTTGCGACTCTCTATGAAAATATTTGCATTGCAGTGAACTCTGTATTCTCCTTACCGTAGGCACAAGGTGCTGCAGTTTTGGTCTATTGTGCAACATCAAAAGAATTGGACAATGCAGGTGGATATTACTTCAATAATTTCTATGCCATTGAACCTTCCACAGAAGCTATGAATGCTAAAATTGCAGGAGAACTCTGGAAGCTCACTGAACATCTGATCAATGACCGCCAGAAGATATATCGTTACAATATTTTCTGATAATCCTTAGTAAAATATTTGTAGTATACGAAATTTCAAAACTCACATAACTTTTCACTTACTTTCCATTTTCCAACCACTTGACGATTTTTCCTTTGGTTCCCTTTTTCCTTCGGTTGCCGATTTTATTAAAACTTTGAATTTTTTTAGAACTATGATGCTTTTATGTTTCTTTGAACGACGTTTTCTTCCCCATTTTTAAATGCAGAAAACAGTTTTTTATCTTCAAATAAACAACACGAAAGATCTGACTTCAATATCCCTGAAAATAGAACAAAATCAAGCATAGGCGTACGGGCGAAACTTCGTTCGGAGGGCAAAAAAATCGCCCGAAGTTTTGAATTATTATACAATGCACTCTAATATTAACTTTTACCAGATTTGTAACAATAAACTTCATTTTATTTGGTTTAACAACGATTACCAGAAAGAATGTAGTGACCTTTGGCAAGGAAATTGATTCCGTGGCAAAGCGCTTCTAAGCGTACGTGACTGAATGTGTTTTCAAGAAAGTCTAAGAAAACTCAATACAATTCTACAATACGAACGAAAAGTGAATAATTTAGCTACATACTAATTTTACATGATGTATACAGGGTGAATTAAAAAAGTAGACCCTTGAAAATTAACACGTTAAAGTTCCTTAACAAAACAATCGTAATTTTTAAAAGTACTTTTTTGAAAACTCCGTGTAAAAATACTAAAAGTGAACCTATTTGCAACGTTAAACAGTCGTCATTGAGTTGTCTGGAGTTAGCATGCATTTGAATTTGGAAGGTAATTATAGGTAGCTGAAACTATGAATTTAGTTAAAGTATAAAAATTTTTTTTTCAATATATGTGACTGTTTAACCTTGCATGCCAAACACTAGCAGTCCAGCAGCAACGAGAAATCACTCTCCAGTGACGTAGCTAGAGGGGGGGCCCGAGGGCCAGGCCCCCCCTGGCAGAATTCCTGGCCCCCTTTCAAAATATTATGTCAAAAAAATATTTTTATTTATTATGCTCTGCTTTGAAGTTGCAATACATGCGTATTTCAGATTTTCAGCATTTTCCTACCTTCCTAATAATTCAGTATATAATTCAATTACAATAATTCACAATAGTAATACAGTAAGTCAAGTTAAAGACTCAATCGAGCCCACTAACAACATTGATCAGACTGATTCCGACATCGTTCTTTTGATTTGCCAAGCCTAATAAAAATATCACGGTAAAGTCTTTTACAATTAAATTTTTCTTTGACTTTGCTCATCATTCACCAACCTCGTACCCAGGTTGGAGGTAAAATGCCTTGGGTACGAGGTTGTTTGCACTATACTCGGATAATTGCGAGGGCGACATTGACCTATGCTATACAGATTTGAATTTTTTATGTCTCTATGTACTATTTAGCTACTCGTATTGGCCGCTACCCTAAAATGTAGCTACCCTTGTATTGGCGGTTAGCCTTAACGACAACGAAGGGCGGATTCGATAGTGCATTAAAAAGGCATGCACAGCCTGTTATATTTTACCTTCTTGAGTTGCCCCCCCTCAAATATTTTCGGCCCCCCATGACATGAAATCCTGGCTACGCCACTGTCACTCTCGTCACAGGCTCAACTGTAAAAGTGTAAACGTATGTCTTATTTTCAACTATACAGGGGGGATAAAGAACATCACGTAAATGTTATTTTACGGCGAACCCTATACCCTATACCATAGATAAATCCCCCTGGATAAGAGGGGCGAGGCGTAGAATAGACATGACAGACTTTAGCCAATGATAGCATCTTCTGATGCGGGATACGATACATCGGCAAACTTTTGCACGAAATATGTGAACTTATCTAAAAAAACAAAAACTCAAGGTTTACTATAATAATACTACGAGTAAACGTCATCTATATGTTTAATGTGAATAGGCAACACTGTATATGAATATAAAAAGAAGATCATTTCTGCAAAAATTGGCTGGAGAAGAATCGAAGGCACATTTGAACTCTGCACTTTAGTTTAGGCAATTTCTGTTTTCTACAAATTTTGTGAGGTGAACAACTTACCCATTCCATTCGTTAGGAAAGCGGGACTTCTGTTCTTATGAATGAATAGGAAATACACAGGAATTCCACACAAAATGAACAGAAGGCAAAAGAAAGCAGGAAGTGGCGTCTTTGAAAACGGAGCAGCGACAAGATAGATAGCAGCAAGTAGCACGATCACCGGGAACAGAACGAACACCTTTAAAATGTATAAATATTTACTTTTAGAGTTGCTTTAAGGAAATAACATTAATAAGGAATAAGTCTAAGAGAAACGGGTCCGTATATGCATTTGGTGTAAATAAAACAAGGTTATTAGCAATACCTTAAATGGCCTTTCGGCATCCTTCCTACTGAAGAACTTCATATAAAGAAGACCGGAAATTGTTGTTCCGTAAAACACCCAGACAGCGAATGTGAAATATCCAATTAATGTGCTGAAACTACTGGATTCTGGGATCAACATAGCCCAGGCAATTAAACTCTGCAAATAAAATAAGCAAAATTTATTCCTTGACAGGTCTAAAGGACTGACCAGCGTGACTGCTCAAGCAAAAGATCAACTTTGGAACTGTTGAAGCAAATCATGGTAAACGGTGCAAACAAGGCTATAATTTTCATATGTGATTGATGTAAAACAGCATTTGTATAACAGGTTGTGTCTTTCACAAAGCAAGATACACTTCATGTCAATTCATACCTGTAAGATCAAGCCTGGGATAGGAACACCACGAGTGTTGTGGATCATAGCAAGAAGTTTTGGTAGATGACCATGTCTTGCTGCAGCATACAAGAGTCTGCCACTTGCAAGAGCTGCACCATTGGCAGCACCAAATGTTGAAAACGCAACAAAAACAGGAATAACCCAATACATAACACCAAACATTCTTCGAGCAAACAACTACATGGAATAGGATCACTTTAATATTGAGAACCATACAACATAAAGCCTTGCCACTCTGACATGGGTAGGTTGCACTATCTCATGGAATTGACAGAGAATCATGAAATCCAGGAGGTACAAAGAAGAAACTTCTGAATTTCAAAATGCCTGTATTTTCGATGCTCTATTTTATCCATACCCTAACAAATTGTGGATAACTTACCACACCAACAGCAGAGGAATGCCACACCTCTTCTTTCGTCAGCACCGTGAAATACGAGATGTTTGTCATCAAATAAATCCCAGTTACCAGTGGAATTCCAATAGCAATGGCAAGAGGCAAATTCCTAAATTAAAAATATAGCGTGTGAAATCAATTGATTAATGGTGATTTATCATGGGGAGAGTTAGCAGGGGCCGGTTGTATCAAGCCCGTTTAGCTTAAACGGTGGATAAGTTCAAAATAGAAAGCAAGTCTATCGTTTTATTCAACAAGCAAACTAAATGTTTTTAACCTTAATGCAAAGATACTGTTTACAACTACATATTTAGTGCATAATATTCAAGTTAAATCATTCAAGACAGATGTAAGAGTGTTATTTAATTTTGACTTATCCACCGTTTAAGCTAAACAGGCTTGATACAACCGGCCCCAGGTGGATAAAATCATAAACTACTTCTTACCTGCTTGGCTTCTTTATTTCTTCTGTGATGTAGTTCAAATTATTCCTTTAGGAAAAAGAGGATAAATATCAGAAGAGAACATTTGATATTGCAAACATTCTGTGGTAGAAACAGCATCAGAACATAACTTACCATCCATCATATGCCCATAGGCCATTATAAAATGCTTCACCAATTGTACCAACTGCCATGACAGTACCATCAAAAGACCGGCTCCCCTCTAGCTCGTAATTATGCCCTGTGAAAAAACAAGTTTGTTCTTTAGTTCAGGTTGTCATTTAATACAATTAATGAATGGATGAAATCCATCAGGTTTGAATAATAAATTTACCCCTCACTTACCCTGCCCTAAGCGGACTAATCCAGTAAGAATAATCAAAACTAAAGCAAATAATTTTGCAGCCGTAAAGAACACCATTACTCTAGTTGCTAGCTTCACACTGATGCAGTTGATTATTGTAATAACAGCTAAAAAGAAATGGAAGAAATTCGATCAAGATTTAAATTTTCTTTCCCTTCAATGCTTTAAAAGGTACCATAACCTCATCCCAATTATAAGTTCCAGGCTTTCCCATACCCAAAACAATTTTTTTATCTGCTATACACATGGGTGTGGTTTATATATTATGCAATGGGTGGGAGGGGTTATTTGAAGCTCTGTGAAGTCACTAGTGTGAGAGGGGCCATATTGGAGGGGCTGATGGACTGAGGATGACATTTGGAGGCATATATTTCAACAGGGATATTTTCAGAGGTTTAACAAAACAGGAGTTTTCAAACATTCTCGTATACTCGTCTACTGGGTTCAAGGTTCGTGATCGAGGTCGAGAGGAGTTTTCCCTGAAAGTGGGTCCTCTTGTGAACAAACCCATATCACATATACAACACGTCAATACGACTAATTGTCGTTTCCACGAATTCTCTTACGCATAAGAAGTGATTTGAGATTTGAATTTAGAAATGACAGTGTGTAAAAAGAATCCGTCTCAAATCCTATCTCTACCACGAGCCACGAGGTCGAGTCCGAAGCAAACGCGTGATAATGGCGTGCTTCAAATACAAATTCGAAAATGTTCGATACTTTGATATTTGAGGCCATATGTAAGTCATCGATATTCCTTAACATTCGATATTACGTATCGTTTTCACAAAAAAAAACCCTCTTGACCTTTACAGTTACAGGGAACTCAATGCCAAGCGCGCGCGCGCTCATGCATTGTGCAGCTGGTTCTGATTGTTTTGATCGAACTTTGTACCCGCAATGAGCTGCCAAAAATACGGCCAAATCTATTGTGCACGTGAAAAGCAAATGCCTTCCTACACACATTTCTTTCATCATAATGTGTCATCTGACGAAATGTTTACTCAGAGAGGTGGATTAAGATAGTACTTAGGATATTCTAAAATTACCAATCCATATTGGTCGAAAATTTTAACCTCGATTTGTAAGACGGTAAATAAATACAATAAACACAATTTGTCACCGGAACGAGGGGGCACATGCACGGGGCGATTGCTATATTTAGTACGAAATGCTTAAGAAATTGTAAAAATGTAAACATAAATAGCAAAAAATTCATAGCGAAAGTAACAAATTTGTTAAATTAGAATGTTCATTTAGAACGTTTTACACTGTTACATTTAGGTAGTTACATTTAGGTCAGCGTAAAAACACCCAGCAGGGTTTTTATCAAACAAACGATAACTTTATACTTACCTATAGCGAATGCTGCCAGCAATTTCACAATAACCTTGACCTCAGGCTTACTGGCACAATCCGGGAAAAACGGCGTGACAACGTACTCGCCAAAGACGAGACACACTATCGCGATCTGAGACGGTTTAATTACTATACAAGCCGTCCATATGTACATAAAGGAAGGCAGTCCACCAAATGCTTCCAGAAGATAGGTACTCTCTCCTCCAGACGTGTGAATCATCGTACCAAGCTCGGCGTAGGATAATGCTCCACACATTGCTAGTACACCACATAACGTCCAAACTACCAGAGCCATTCCAACCGATCCGCTAAACATCAGCACATATTTCGGCGAAGCGAAGATACCGCTGCCAATCATCGTTCCCACTATCACAGCAACTCCACCAATAAGACCAACATCTCTTTTCATTTGAATACCAGTACCTTCGTCACCGCTAGACGACATAAGTCTATCTTCCGTTCCATCCTTCGCCTCTCCGTTTACAGCCTTTCCCTCAGCCATTTTCTTCTTCGGCTCCTACTCTCTACACTTCCAGTGTGTGATTAATAATTGCCCGGCTTCAACACGTGGTAATATAAGACAGGCTTACAATTTTCCATAACACGGAAGGTCGATATTATCCAATCAGAACCCAGCGCTGTCTCTACCTCTTTCTTCTCCCAGCATGATGCAATCATAAACAGTGTGAAATTAAACCTGTTATCTTTAAAATAAAAAACCGGATAAAAAAACAGAATCGATTTAAAAGAACTCTAGGGTCATGTGGGTTATATACTAGAAACAACTTTAGCTTTACAAAAACCCAGACAACGTGATATTGCTTTCTCAACGCACGAAAGAAAAGAAATATTGTAAGATGTAATACAGCCTTATTTACTTCACGCTTCGTTTCTTACGAAAGCACGAACTGTTTAGCTAGGAAAAAACTGGTAGAGAAAGAATTAATACTTACAGAACAAATTTGATTTTTGTTTTGAAATGTTAGAAAAGTAACAACATGTCACAAAAGATCATAACTCGTAAATTAGGAATATCAATTATTCTCTACTCAAATGAATTACACTCGTTGTACAGACTACACCTCGTACTACACAACACAACTGTATTATGCATGTGTACCTTATTGGATAAAAGAATATAAACATGCTGTTAAAAAGCAGCCTAAATTCTTGTGGGAAACATTTTTTCCTATCATTTGCATACAACTGATTACAAGTCACAAGCTGATATTAGCGGCTTTATTTGGTATGCAAATTCTATCCAATTTCAACAGGAAAATGGATGGATTAAACACACACTGTGCACGTGGATGTTCAGTGTTGTTGCTGAAAAGGAAGAGATGTCATCAAACCTCACGCAAAATTAAAACAAAGTTCAGCGCCTTGGTTGTCCATGACAGCCCATGATACTGGTTAAGTTTAACAAAGTAACCCGACTTCCTATGAGTGTTACATTCAAAGTCATTCAAACAAAAAATTTTTGTCTCTTGTGTACTTAGCGTTGCCAGGACGTCATGGTCTGTCTCAGATTATGTTTATTCAAATCCCAGCAGAATCCGGAACCTGAGATAAGTCAAATTTGATTCGTACGAGGATGATCTTTGAGCTTCATTTAAAAATACTTCGCTTAAAAATTTCTCCTGTGATAGAAAGCGTTTGAAGGCGAAGAAACTTTGAAAGATAACGATCTTTCTCTTTTTGCTTTCAAAAAACCGGAGTAACCAGTTTTTCTACGAATAGCTGTTCACCCGTGAATGCTACGCCTACGATTTCCATGACTACAAGTCCTTTGAATTTAAAGACAGTTACACCTTCACAAACATTTCGGGAAATAACAAATCATAAAAAAACAAGGCTCAAACTGCTTTTAAATAGAAATCCTCTCCCAAGAATCTATATTCTGCTGTTCTATACATTAAGAACAACAGTCAAAGATTCTCATAATGCAAGTACGGATTACCGGTTCTTGTTTCCGTAGTGAAGAGGAGATTGAGAGACAGAGATTCGATAGCTGTTTCATTTGTTTGATTGTAAAGGCTGACGAGAGTGACGACTATTAATAAAAGCAATGACTGCAATGGTAATGGCATGGGGAGATGGGTGAAAGGTTGTAAATGAAGCCTCGAGGGTCGATGTTTGTTTGTTTGTTTGTTTGCCAACTGAAAATGTGAAAGATCACATGCACATGAGGCTCCTAATTTGTGAAACAAATGGATGTCAACACCAATATAATCCCGCACTAATTACATTATGTCTGGTCTGATGAACGACAGACGCTGGTTTGTACAGTATATAGCTTTTTTATTCGGAATCAGCCAGGCTTGATGTAGCAATATCCAGCGATGGCGCCGTTTTGGTGACGAGCTAGTACATCACGTTCCCAAAACAGTAGAAAAATACGCTACCATCAATCCTTTGCGGAAATTTCGTAATGGTTAATTAAGTAAGACAAGTCTCAGCGCGTCAGCTGTGGCATGCCCAGAATTCTGTAATGTTGTTTTAACGTTACTAGGTGAGTGCGTGCGTGTTTCTTCGTCCAGCAACCTCGTACACAGATCCTGGGTACGAGATAACGTGTTTGCGACCTGGTACAGACACACACACCCTGAATTTAAGATACGAATATCTTAAATTTGTATTCATTTCAAATTTAACTACCACATTCTCTTCGTTCATGCAGGACATATTGAATTCATGTCTCAAAATTTGACTTCTACTTTCAAAAGTCTTTAAAATCATCACTATCAGTCATTCAATTCATATTATGGTTCATTACATTAAAAATGTTTGCAAATCCTGATTGCAAAACTACTTCGTACTCCATGCATCACATGGTACACAGCGGGATACTCTGCTTTGGATTCATGTTTATCCATATCTATCCTAATGCATATTATTGCGTAACCATTCGTTGGTGAATAATTCCGTCCCAATCTCCACAGAGACGCGTGATCTCTCCTCACGCGCGTAGTTCGATTCAGTATAACAGTGACCGTTCATGACTGATTGACGGAAATTTTAAAAGCGTTACTTACTTTTTGTCACGACTAATGAAATAAGTAAGACGATAATTATTACAGCCAGCAGAATGATAATAAGCATTTTCCGCGAACTTTTTTGGTATTTTTCACCCTAAAAAAATACAAAAGTGCGTTTCAGGAAGGACTGCGATTATTCATATAAGATAATGGTACCATTCTAGCCACGAATGAGCGCAGAATTTAAGGGCAATAAATCATTTCAAAATACCTTCTTAAGCTGTTCCAAGCCTTCCTCAACCTTCACTGAAGCTTGTTCGACGTTGTAGTCTATTCTGTCTAGTATAGTCCCCTGAAAATACGTCAAAAGTGACATAAAATTGGGAATCAAACTTCAAATCCACCAGAGTTTACATTTTCTTTTATATCTTTGATTTTTAAGGGCTAACTCTTAACTCAAGATATATCCAGCAAGCTAACCTGTTCTACAATAAGTACAGACAAATCTTGAAATATTTCATTTAAATCTGCGATGGATGAAACGATGTGTTGAATTTCTTTTTCCCGTTGTTCTATTATTGCTGTGTTATCTTCAACAAGTTTCATCTGTTGTGACGTAAAACCCTGAGATGATAAAGAATCATAAGAATACAACAGATGAATGATTGAACTGTTCATCATATGATATATTCCTCTGGCAAACGAATTCAACTTACTCTATCATATAATTCATCATTCTCTTCCTCCATAAGCGAGCTTCCTCCACCGGCCATACTACTATCAAAATAATGGCTTTCTCTTTCTTCACGACTCTTCATCTCTAAATATTGTTGAAAATATCACATTACTCGTATTTTTTTATCAGAAAATCTAAATTCCTTACTACATGTGTATTGATCCTGTGTTGAACAGCAAATGCATGTAACGAGGTATTCAAAATCATTTGTGTTTACTTTTTAAGTACGTAGATTGACTCTTTCTAAAGTTTCCTGACAATTCTTGGAGACTTGAAGCTAATGAGGAAACAACATTCTTCACCATTCGTTTTTCCTCTGGACTTGCTGTCCTGGATTGTGCGACAATTCTTTGAATGGCATTTTGACTTTGGTGAAACATCTGGGTGGAAAAACAAAAACTTAATATTCTATTTTCATATCCAAAAAGTTGTTGACTAGCTGTCTTAATGGTATAATTGTTAAATATTCCACATCAAACCTGTGTAATGTCTTTGGTAGTTATTTCAATAGTTTGTTCCTCATCAACATTATCATCAAGAGTTGGTCGATTCAAATGTTTATCATGCATTGCAGAGAGTTCTTTCACTATAGATAAAGCAGATAAAATTGGTAAAAGCATCCTAACCAGCCTTAAAGCCATTAAGACACACCATCCTAAGCAGCCTTAAAGCCTTGAGAATAAAGACAATACACAATAATCTTACTTTTCTGTTTAATTTTTGTGACTTCATACTGAACCTCTTCCACGACATCAATCCTAAGTGGAAAAATACAAACTTTACAAATGCATCATTTTGATTCAACTGGCTTAAAATTGAAGATATCATTTGATATCCTTCTTACCATTCAGGAGGTAAGGAGCTTGCCAATGCTGTGCCAGCAAACCCCAGTTCGACATCACCTGATCTAACCAGAGCCACTGTATCATCATCCTTTGAAGCAGTACAAGAATTAACAAGAATAAATACGGTACGTGCGCATAAAGTCTGGACTGAATTGACAGCCTTACATTAAACAAATCCTAACTGTATTGTACAAAGACGATGAATTGCCCACGGCATCAAATGACCAACACAAATTACAAATTTTATAATAATATTTTGTATAATTTCATATTTAATATTGAATATTCACCCCAAAGTCGTGTTGTCTTGCATAGTTATTAAATCGTTGGATTTCATTTCTGATTCTTATAAAGAAGTCTGTATGAGACTTGGTTGCCATGTATGCATCGAAGAAGGTTGTAGTTAAACAAGAAAACGAGGAACGTAAGTTTTTGTTGTCATTATCACTCAACTATCTCTTCACTTCCGTCGCCATATTGTTTCTGTATTAATTAGAAACCAGCTTTTTCATCACATTTTCAAACTCTGGAACACTCCTTGGGAAATGGTGGGAAAGATAGGGATAACCAGTGAACCCTAATAAATTATTTTCATTTCACTGGGGATAACAAAGACCGTCGTGGAAAATTAAAAACTGTAATGCGCTATCCAGTGTTTGTATGTATCAGTGGTAAGGCCACATGTGACGTCATTAGTTACGTCACTAGGACGACCTTGGCTGACATCTTTGCCTTGGCAACGCGCGATATATTTTGCAATCGTTGAGCCAATAATGAAACAGCTTGAAACATCACGAGATGCAAATTAAATGAATGCTAATGTTTTAAATTCCTGTCAAATACTTTACATCTCAAGAACAGTGTCAAAACATTTACAATGTTATTTTTTAAAATTCTGTTAGCGACAAGTTCTTTCGTTTTGCCAACCTTCTCTGTACCCTGGTCTCTGCCTGTTGATACAAATGAAGAAATTCACGGCCCAGAACAGGTTCATATCGCCTATGGAGACTCGCCCGATGAGATGATTGTCGTATGGTCCACCGGCAATGTTACAGCGAAGTCGTTTGTGACATTTGGACTGAATTCTGGCAAGTTGGATAGGATAGCGAGTGCCTCTGACGCTATCCTTACTGAGGGAAACCCAAATGGATTAAATCAGATTCATAAAGCAATCATGACGGTTGGTCTATACTGATAGGTGTATTCGTATATATATATATATATTCGTATATATTTATACACAGGGTTTTTATTTTTATGTAAGAGGCCCCACTTGTGGCATACGATATTGAAACTGAACGGTCGAAAGTAAAACGAGCGAAATGTATCACTTAGAGTTAGAATGTTCGGTAACGATGTAACCCTTTATAGTCGATTACTCACTCCGAATATGGATCAAATTCATCTGACTTGTTGTAGTAAATACGTAGTATTTTTTTTATTCGATTTACATAACTTTGGGCAGACACGCCCTCGTTGATTCCACACACACACCCTCAATACGCCCCTGGGTTCAACCAACCCCACCCCCAAGTGATAGCTATATGCGAGAAAGGTACGGACTAAACACGATTATAAATATTGATGTAGTCTCGAAGTTTCGAGCCGTCGAGGAAGACTTTACCTTTATCTAAATAAAGAACTCTCTGTTCTATCTGACTCCGAATCTTCGATTTCGTTTGCTGATTTAGGGCTTGAAGCCTGGAACAAGATATTACTATGAAGCACACAGTGGTAACCTGTCTAGTCCTCAGTACGAATTTGTTGCCATGAAAGTTAACACGGTAATAATGCCTCAATTCCACCCATGATAATCTCAAGATTATAGCGGTGATAATAATAGTATATTTGCCGTTATAAGCGATATTCAAGGCGTTACATTAAGTAGCTTAAGACAAATTGAAACTGCAGGGTATTTTTCATTGACAAAGCTTTTCCTTCCTTTTCCAAGGGATTTTCTCCAAAGCTTCTTGTATTCGGTGACATGGGACGTCACGGCGGTGCACCGAGTTTGGATGCATTGATCAAGGAGACGCAAACAGGACAATACACAGCGGTTCTTCACGTCGGAGATTTTGCCTACGATCTCGCGACGGATGGTGGAGAGGTAAGAACTCCACACCAAATAACGTTATACTGGTAAAACATGGGTCAGTTGTTTCTTTGGTTTCCGTTGTTCAACTGTACATATATATACATATACATGTATATTCAATAGTTTGTCACACGGTACGAGAATTCCCATGAACATTTCGACCACAAAATGACAACCGTAAAAACAGCTTAGAATATCGAGATTCCCCTCTGTCTTCAGCCTTTGTTTTTCAACGTTTTAGAATGGTGATGGGTTCATGCGAAGAATTGTTCCAATTGCTTCAACGTTACCCTACATGACGTGTCCTGGAAATCATGGTAAATACATGTCGCAATTTTTACACGTGCATTTCTTGAAACTTCACTGATAAAATATCGACGTACGTCATTTTCGTTTCCTACAGAGATTGCATTCAACTTTAGTCACTACCGTTATCGTTTTTCAATGCCACAAATCTCTTGGCCAACGCCGTTAGAACGAATGTGGTACAGTTTCAATTTAGGGGAAGCGCATTTTATAAGGTATGCTATATAACTAGGAACATACAGCTGTCATCTATTGTAAAGACACTTCCTTAATCCGCTTCCCGTCAAATAATTAATATGTGAACTGTTCTTTTACCATCACCAAGATCTTGTCGACATCAAAGAGTTGCAGAAAGACGTCGTATTATTGAGACGTCTGCATTAGAGAGGTGTCCGTACATTTGAAAGACGTGCGTATAATAGACAAGTTAAACATTAGAGAGGTGTCCGTACATTTGAAAGACGTGCGTATTATAATAGACTAGTGTAAACATTAGAGGGGTGTCCGTATTCGAGATATGTGCGTGTTGGAGTGGCGTCCGAATTAAAGAAGTATCGTAAAAAGTGACTGTGTTTTCTTTATTCCACAGTTATTCAACTGAAGTCTATTTTACGTACAATCAGTCGTATGTAGACGCGCAAATACAATGGCTTATAAAAGACCTCACAGATGCAAATAAGATGGAGAACAGGAAAGCACAACCTTGGATTATTGCGTTTGGACACAGGCCAATGTATTGCTCGAATATCGATAGTGATGACTGCACAAAACAGCGGCCCATTCTGCGAGCAGGGTGAGGCGATTAAATTGAACTCTTTGACTCATCAAAACGTTGAACCCTCATGACAGCCTGAACTTATATATTTCCTACCATTTTCACTATTAAATAGAGACCTCCATAATATATACCTTAAATCTTCCTCGAATAAAGGGGAAAGTTCCGCCAGGTGGTACCCCCAAAACAAACGCTTTCTACACACATGCAGACAGAACCACCAGGGTAAGATATTTTTTCATTTCTTCTATCACGCAGCCTTGAACCAATTTTCATGAAATACGGCGTAGATGTGATTATAGAAGCTCACGAGCATTCCTATGAAAGATTATGGCCAGTTTACCAAGGCAAGGTTTACGGAGAAAGCTACAATAATCCAAGAGCACCTGTACATATTGTGTCAGGAGCGGCCGGATGCAACGAAGCCTATGGTGTGTGTGTTAATCCTATGCTAGGACCAAGAGGTTTGTTCAAAAATTTATTCACTTTTGTTAGTTGTAAATAGGTGAAGAGGTCGGGTTTGAGACGAAGATGTCCGACTAGAAACTAGACTCAAACTTCGGCAGATCACTTTTGTCGTCGAGTCACTTTTGCAAGCTGATCACTGAATCAAAACCTATTTTACGACATAGGTCGCTGGTCGGCGTACAGATCATGGTTACCAGGAGAATACGGGTATGGTAGGCTACAAATCGCTAACGCCACGCATCTCTCATGGACACAAGTGTTTAGCACGACTGGGGATATTGAGGATCAAGTATGGATTGTACAGGAAAATCATGGACCATTTAAACCACACGTTGCATACACTGATGAAGTGCTTGAAGCATAGGTTTGGTGGATAGGAGCAGCACTGCAGGACAGGACGAATCTCAAATCAGGGATGGTCTATATAAGAACTGCGACTCAAGTCTTTTAATAATATGAGTGTGTTCCCGAATTTGAAATCCCTCATTTTTTACAAATCATGATTGGCGTGGTTATATAATCCAGAAGTGAAATGATAAATTGAAAGAATCCATTTGGTTTCTTGTTAGTACACGTTACCTCGATCATATAAAATTCCATCAATTCAGAACCCACGGCATGTGTGTCAGTTTGTTAGCTAAAGGAGCTTCGGACAATAACCCCGCGGGGATTAAGGCTGAAAGTTGAGAGTGTCAAAAATGATATCTTCGTTTGAACAAAACACAATGACATTATCTTGTTGCAAATTGCATAAACAATGGCAAATTACTTTTAAAATCATCGTATTTATAATCAAATGTACTCATTTAACTTGAGTTTAGATATAGAAATTATTTTTATAATATATTGTGTGTATATAAGTATAAATGAGGATTATTTTGTGGATGAAAATTAATTAAAAAGATTACCACAGCGCAGATTTACGAAGGTTGCCTCTGGGTTATGAAATAAACTATTAAATAATTACGTTCTTACTTCTCAAATTGTGAAGACCACACTCCATGTCTCAATCATACCAATATATTACATTACCCGACTAGTTTATGAGCTTTTGGTTTGTGCAAACCTAAGCAAATTCAGAAGTGTCTATATTGCATGGTACTGTATTGAAAATATGACATCTTCTTTTTACTCGGGAATTTTCTGCAATATTATAACAAACCAACAATAGGCCGAAAGGCAGATTCATAAATTAAAACTCGTCCTCACTTCCTGGTTTATTTACACCGGCCCATACCACCATCTTTAAAGACAAAGTCTAGTTTGCGTTGAGACAAGTTTCTGGAGGATAAAAAAAGGAAAGTTATTACCCAGTAACAGAATCAGAATGAAGGTTTATTGTGGAGGCAACTGACGATTCACGATTCATCTGGCGAAAATAGAGTTTTAAAGTTTTAAACAAAACAAAGGTATTCATGCAATTATTGTCTGGTTAAAAGCGAAAAATAATACCAGATAATCTTCTTATATATTCAACGTCATGATTATATGATAATTATGGTATCATATTTCTGTCCTTCCAAATATATTAATGCACTGCGTAATCAATATTGGAAAAAGGCCAATGTTGGTAGATTTTCCACACTTTTCCCTGGCTGCGCATGGCTTAATTAAAAAAGGGGTTTTCCGCGAACGTAGACGGAACACGTTGCCACGGCAAAGTTACTCAGCAAATTTTACGCAATTTCGTAGCTACAAAGTAATGCATCCTGGGAATGTTGTGTTGAATCACGTTATGCACCATCAGATCCCATTCGATCAGATTAACGCATCTCATGAGAATATATAAAGGGATGGATTATAGATTACGTTTCAAATGACACCAGGAAGACCAGTGGTCAACAGGAGTTGTAGTGTTGCAGAATTTCATGCACTGCTGTAGGCTCATACTTGTGTGACTCCGGCCGAGTTCCCAGCAGAGCGTCATGTTGTCATGAAATTATTCTTGTCACCAAACACAGTCAATCAACACACGAGTCCTGTCAATTCATAGAACTAATAAGGTTTCTTAAATCCTTGTTTAACACTTATTGAAACTTGATCTATTCTAATCAGTCTTTAAGTGGTGTAGAATTACATGAGTTTTATATACAATATTTTAAACGCGGAAGTTCGATTCTAGGTAAAGTTGATCTGGACGAAGAACATCTGGGATATTTCATTGGTGAAGGAGTAATTTTACCACGAAAGGACGACTACACACAAAAGGTGAGTTTCGTAGTGGTGTATTTGTATACCTGTTGTTACTGTTGTATTGGTTATATTGTGAACAAGATTTTGACAACAATTCACGACTGCATTTCATATCACGCTTGGTGAACCATACCATATCAAATATTTCTTAAATTCTTCTGCGTGTGAAAATTATCATCTCAAAAGGAAAGTTAGAATTAAAGCTGATATATCTTACTGATGATATCTTAATACAACGAATGGCTTCATGAATGAATGTTGCAAGGTATATAATGAGATTTTCTTGCGTCACCATACACATATAGCATTATGAAGGTCTGTCAATATATTCTAATCTAACTATATCAAATATTATTACATTACATTGCACAGGCAGAATTTTTTTGCATTTCGTTATTACATTATATCCACCTGGGCGAAAAACGCTGTCAGCTTTTCAGATTTCAGATGCAAATTTCCTTATAGCTGTAGCCTGTATACTCCTACGTTTTAAAGAGCTTACTAGAAATACTTCCGAGGGGTACGTACAACAGTGGCAAATCTGAGCCAATTTTCTCGGTGTTTGAGTACAAATTCTTCAAGATCTGAGCTTTAGAACAATTCAACTGTCATTACAGAAAGTACGTCAGTGTAAATCTGGCTTAGATCAAAGTTTTCGATGTCAGAAGATGTCTAGATGGTTTTTAAAACCAAAACGGATTTAGACATCCGGTGTCGGTGACCCGGTACCATTTGCGCAACAATTGGAACAGTAAAATTGCATTGTAAACATATATCATTTTGCGTTGAAAAAGGAAATAGTTTAGTAATCCGTGTGACAGTTAGTGCAAGCCGGTAAACAGTCCAAATCTCTGAAGCAGGGTTTGTATTTTTTTCTTTAATGTTTGTTCAGTACAAATGTTTTTATTTCACGAAATATCAGAATCATAACGCGTGTGTTCTAAAAGCTCACTCACACTCAAACTCATTAAGTGGGAGATCTCAATCTTCACAGAACATACAGGCGAAAGATACAGAAATCTTTTTTTTTTTTAGGGAATTCTGTTGCGAATGGTCGTATAATTCTGCATGTTTCTTACGTCTTGCAGGGAACGTCTTACGTCCTTGAGGAAAGATGGCTGAAGCAACAACTAATGGCGAAGAAAAAGAGGAAATGGAAAAGATCTTCCAAATTGTGGCGAAAAAAATTAACCGCCATTGGAAATGGCTGGGAAGAAAATTGAAAGTTGATAATGCTGTGATTGAAGAAGTAGAAGGTGACTTTCGTGGCCAGTCGGAGCAGGCATTTCAAGTCCTGATGAGATGGTTTCAAATGAATGGTCAGAATGCCACGAAGGAGGTTCTTTACGTTGCCTTGCGAGAGATTGGATTTCAGAGCGTCGTTGATATTGTAGATCCTAATTTTTGGAGTCGGAACAAGGTATAATGCATGGCATGAGGCATTTGCTACACGTAATTATTGTGCAATACGTGCGGGAAACATAAACAGACACCCCACGCCTGGATACAACCATATCAACACAACAAATTATATCGAAAGCTCTTTCAATTCAGAGCAACACTAGGTTACGTTATGCAAATTGTGTTAATAACACGATTTTACATTGCATGCATGCACAAATTAAACGCCTGAAGATCTCGAAGTTCCGGTTTTGGCAACAACAAGGAAGCGAATGTCTTTGAAGCTCGCTTAAAGCAATACGTCATGCTTTCGTGGTAAACACATCCCACGGTGACAGATATGGGAGAAACCCTGTATAAAAAAATACGACATCATATTTCTTTGCCCGGGGTTTCCCGACAGGGTGAGCGTTTTTCTTTAAAATAGACTGATTAGCCATTACAAAGAATGCCTGTAAATATAATAAAAATTTAGGTTCTCATTTTTTTTAACTCAAGTTGTTTATGGACGCTCCCACGCTGTTCCCTGGTTATCCTGATTAACATTAGGTTCCAACTTTCAAAACATAATGCAACAGTGTAAACCATCTAACTTATAAATATGTATAATTTCAAAAGATTCCGCCAAAGAAGGAACGTCCTGACACGCCAAAGAGTTTGACAAAAAAAGAGGAAAGTAATGAAGACAGAAGAATATCGCCAGAAAAACCACCGAGTAGTCCACGGAACGGTTACAGCTGGCATTTGCTGGAATGGTTTGAGAAAGAAGTGAAACAAATGTTCGAAGATTGTATTGACAATTTGACGCCTGATACAGATCGCTTTCTCCTTGTTAGCAAACTAAAAATGGCTCAGCATGTGATGGAATTGAATACAATACTCATGAGATTTTCACGCATGTTTCACGATGAAGTGATAAGGAAATCCTGTACGATAAGATATGAACAAACTGATCAATTAATTCGCTTGATTCTGAACACAATGGCAAAACATGACGAATCGAAAGTGAGTAGCAACCTGTAGTAACTTAGCAGCAAATTTATTAATTGAAACGCCATTGAACATCGTTTGTCGAACTCCGCCGATTTTCCAAAATTCCTTGATAGTTTGTTTAAAGATTTATCAGTGTAGCAACAATAATATATAGTGAAATTATTTTCTTTACAATATAGAAAACAAGATCCCATAGAACGCGCTCTGCGTCCGAGCGTATCCCACGACGAAAAAGTATGGTAACACTACAGGTAAACTTAAGTTTAAAATATTCACTGAAAGCAGTAACCTATAAGGCGGCCCAGCACAACCACACTTTCTGTGATGACAGTTGAAATTTTCAAACGACAGTTTTAAAAAATTTGGTAGAAATATTCAAGGAGCTAAGGCCCCAGTTACGCGATACCGGATTACTTTCTATATCAGATAGACGTTGCAGTTATACACGAGGATCAGTGTAGCAATCTGGTACGCTCCAGGGAGTGAAAATCACTCCACTCTTGAGGTGAAATGAAAACTGATCCGGTGCATTTCTGTGACGGGTACATTTGCCTAAAACAGTGGTTAACCACTGAGTTACTTCATCGTGATACTCACTGCAAAAGATAGAGAACTTCAGACTTTAGTTGGATCTACCAATGCAAATCTTAACTAACTGCACGACCAGTCATCACACGCACGTGTTACTTCTATTTTCAGCCACGAAGTGGTACATTCAGTTCGGGATTAAGCACAATTTCGTCGCCAATATCAACCTCAAGGCAATGTCTATTCGGCAAAGAATCTTCGTCAGGTTTTCCTAATCAAATTTGTGAAGAGGTATTCGCGGAGTATGAACAAACCGAGCCGTGTCAGGGGCCTCTTCCACGTTGCGACAGCTGTGGTAGTTGCCTGAGTTTTGAGGTAAAACAAGATTCGAGGGAAATGAACGAGATGAACCCAGTGGATGAGAATTGGAATGAGGTAAGACAAACTAAGATGGTGGTAGAGGGGAGAGGTAGTAGGTGGAGACGTGGGGGGAGAGGTAGGCGGGGAAGTGGAGTCAGATGCAGACAATTTTCTCATCCAACTAATCACCAATGTATCACAACCTTTATTTCTAAACATCCTATATACCCTGCCATTTCAGATCACCTGACTAACATGCTTACGATTGAATGCTTATAAGATAATCATTTCTTTAAGGATTACAGATCTGCGGGCCTTATCTCCCAAGAAACTAGCAATGATAACGACGATAAGGAGAATCAACAAACAATATCGTGATATTTTATATAAAGCCGGAATATGATTGTGTTCAATCGTAGAAAATCAACGTGAAGAACACGAGAGCGAGTGCCGGATTAGTAGCTGTAGATAGACCATGATCAAATCATGTCCATATTCACCGTTCATTGAAGAAGGAGAGATTTTCTTATTGGAATTATATAATCATACCTCAGGGTACAAATTCATGTATCATTTTATATCCAAACCTGTACCCTGGAGTAATTTTTGTGAAGATTGTATGCTCGCAATCATTTTTACTTTCATCATTTAATATATAACCAAAACTAGTCAGAGTTCAGACACGGATTGGATTCCATTTTCTTAATAGCTTTTTTTGAGAAAAATAGGATATCTTTTAATTATTTATTTTGAATTGTATCGAAATTAAAACAGTAAAATGGGCGACGAAAACCGATAATATTTAGGTCGTGAGGAATAGTTTATCGTACGCATAATGTGCATGGGAAAGGATTAATTTCATGCATTCTTTTGTACAAATATAGTACATATTAAATATAAAACACTCCTTCTTTGAACATTTTCTATAGTTGTACAATATTCACTCACATGTACAATGTTTAATAATCGATATGTATACATTTATATAAAACTCATTTTGTAATTCTCATATATGACATTCACTAATAATTGTCAAACAATGTATAATAATGAACATACAGTGATATATGGATATAATTAATCCAATAATAAAGATTTCTATTTGAAGAATCTGTCGTATGTGAGATTGGGTTGTATAAAAGAAAAACTAAGACCACTGCCGTAGGTGCATGACGTTATCCAGACTTCGTACAATTAACTACGGTTATAGCAGAAGCCTCGAGGATAAAGAAGATATACTTCATTGATTAATTTGTTACAACGAGCATTGCAAAAACAGTTGAAGTCTTCCAGCTGACCAAAAATCACTGCGAAACCTTAGCTTTGAAACTGACGTCATTTACACGAAAGCATGAAGAGCGATTAAGATGCGCGGGAGAACGAGTCTTTGCGCGCGCGAAAGCAATTTTATTTTGGGAATCCCCTGGATTCATCGACTGAAAAATGGTATTATATTACATCCTGAGTTCGTTTGTTCAATCATCATAATGCTCGCAGCTCGTTCAGCAGTCACGTCTCGCGAGGTCTTTGCCTATAAATGATTAGGTTAGTTTCTATACAGCCCATCGTCTGCGCTGACCCAAGTTTCTACAATTCTGAAGCCTTAAATTCAAGTAAGTTGAAAAGTTTTAAAAAAACGATAATGCTGTACATTTCTTGTGTAGACTAAAGATCCTATATAGGATCTTCATAGAACGGCTGAATATTTTGGTAATTTCGTAAGTTCAATCATATAGCTTGAAGATATTTCGTTTTTATCGAGAGTATTTCTTGTTTTGCTTTTTCCGTTCTTTGTAGTTTGCGTCTTTGAATGTAAAACCTGGTTTCCATTTAGTTGCATGCGATTGTCGTGAACAAGTCATTTTAACTAATCTTGTTTTCAACGATGAGAAATTTTGTCTCCATTTCTGACTGCAAATACAAAGAAATATTGTATCATGCACATCACGACACTACAGCTAAATGAAAAGCAGGCATTAAGAGATCTGTTTCCTGTTGTAAAGAGCTTTAGAAGAAACTGCACGGGAATGCCAGAGAATAGGAAAGATACTACAGAGTTAATCCATAAGTATTTCCCACCGGAAATCATGCAGTCAGGTGTATGTATATATAACACTGGGTGATATAACATTGCGCAAGGAAAAAGCGAGAGATATGAAAAACCAAGAGTGTCTACAGAAGTTGTTTCCAGAACAATAGGAAATAGAAGTTTTGCTATACTTGTCGGTCTAATTACGATACTATCCATACGACTGGATTAGAATCATTGGTGAATCCGTGAATGATTATGTGAACTAATGTTGTGACAATAATAAGATATCCAGAACGCGGAAGTGAGTGTATAGGCTATATATATGTAGACCATATAGCTCGAAGAAATATCGCCTATTAAAAAACATGCAACGATAAACATTCATCAAGACAAGACAATTACAACCAGGTCAGTTACATTTAAGATGGTAAACCTGAAGTGTATATTAAGTGCGCGATATATTGGCTGATGCATGATTTAATAGACTTTATGTCCACCAATGTATAGTCAATTATGATGTCATAATAATCTCACATTATCTTACTCTTTACTCGGTTAAAGTTTATACAATTTTTGTAAGAAATTGCATCTTAGAAAGGCAAAATCAAGTTTAGAATACCATGTATAGGTTTTGTAACTCTAAGTATATACTTACATAGTTAATGTCTAAGCCCACGATTCAAATATTTAAAGTTATTATAAATAAAGCTCATTTAAAGCATCCGGTGTATGTAAACTATAGTTCACAGGACTATCCTTGAGAAAAGTTGATTGAAACAAGTAATATATACCACTCAGAAATATTCCGCGTACTTCGGAAGCCTCTATTGTACCTAGTAATTCTGCGTTTAAATCCGCATAGCATAGTTGGACTTTTATGTACGTAGATAATGATCACAATTTATTGGTACATTTCCATTCTATATATGAAATTTACATGCATTAATGTGAATATAATATCCAAAACTTTTTTATCTCTAAGACTCTAATGAAAGTGTTTTTGCCCAATATATATTCACGTCAAATGGCAGACATGCATGTATATATGAATGCCCTTTTATTAGAGCACTACTGTGATTTCACATATGAACGTGAGAATTTTATAGAGTGCTTTGTCAGGTAATCGATCTTAATTGATAATTTTACTCATACTCACTCACGGCGTTTAATATATATATATATATATATATATATATATATATATATATATATATATATATATATATATATATATATATATATATATATTGATTATATATTTGCTTGTGTGGCTGCTAAGAAACACAATATAATCGCTTGTAGCAAAGTATTACGATAAGATTCATCTCGTACTTAACCTAAATTCCTTCTCGGGTAATTAAGCTTGTTAAACCCCCCCCCCATTTAATTCATATTTCCTCATAACGTGTCTATTTTTATATACGGACAGGCATCGGGGATTTAGATGGCTGAGAATTAGCACAGTCTTAGCTAAATTGACAGAGGTTGATACCATGTATACACGAGATGTTTAAGAATTAAGACAATCTTAGCTAAACTGAGCGACACAAGTTGTTATACCATATATATGCATGTTATGTATGTGTTGTAGAGGATAATGGCTGAGCCTGAGGGAATATGTACCTGCTGCAAAGGCAAGACAACAGACATGCCGTCAATCTTATTCATCGTTGCGCAAAAAATCAGCACCGACTGGAAACATTTGGGAAGAAAGTTGGGACTCAACGAATGCGAGATCAATGCGATAGAGGCTGATAATAATAGCACGTGCGAAAAAGCTTATCAAGTTTTGAACAAATGGTTTGAAAAAAATGGTGAAGCTGTTGCCACAAAAGTAGCATTATGCAAAGCTCTACATGGAATTGGAAAGACGTCTATTGCGGATATCTTTTGTGGTATGTGTATATATAGATTATATAGCGATTAAAGAGCTCTGAATGTCAATCAAGACGACAAAGATATTATTTTTCCATCTTTAAGATAATATAATCCTATTATGAAGTACAATAAGTCCTGCATGTGCCAGATGTATGATACAAAGTGAAAAAAAAGGCTGAAAAAATCGTCTATTTGGAAAATACTGAGGTAAAACCTCGTCGATCTAACCCTGACCAAAATGTTTGTCCAAACACAATCGTAAAATGAGTCGAGGATATGTTTGTAACTGGGTGGTAAACTGGGCAGTTGTCGAAATATATAAAATCGTAAAATATTATGCCTGATATATTTCTTAAAATCATCTCCTTTCATTTTGTAGATCATAAGCGTCATGAAAATTACAAACAGCAGGATGAGGTAATCATGACTCAGCAACTGCGCTGCATAATAGTTCTTGCGCAATACGAGAACAGGATGTTAAGTTTTATCCGAACAGATTATAGTAGCTATACACCGAATGACGTGCTAAGATTATAGAAAAACACGATATCATTTCGAACCAGGTTTACAGTTTTATACACCATGCAGTATCAAGGGTAGCTAGTCCGAAACGTTTTATTTTCACTTCGAAGAATTATAAGAATGTTAATCAGACAGATAACATTTCAGGAAATAAACTGAGACAGTGCTGGAAGCGCTGGAAGGGTTGCTGCTATGACCTCAGACTAAAGACGTCATTGGGAAAAACCCACGTAGCTAAATGGCCGCCGGGTAAAACATAAAACGTAAACGATAATACAACGAGATGAATTTCTTTAGTGATTTGAACTCTAACCTCATGCATGAATCAAGTTACGATAAAGCTATAAAACAGACACAGTTTTACTTCAGTATTTATGATAATTTTTCGCAATGAAATGGGTTTTCCATAGGTGGAAAGAAGCATGCAGAGCTTGAAACATTTGGACATAAAAGCTCAAATAAAATTTTAAATATTTTTACGAACACCAGTTGTACGTCAGGTGAAAATAAAATAAAGACTGCACTAATGCACTATATATAGCTTATATATCAGTTCGTAATAGCTAATAGCTTGAGTGTTTTTCTGCAGCAAAAATCGGGACATTGTAATGGAATCATTCAGCAACAATCAACAACTAGTACGGATGTTCTTCAAATGTACGTGGATCAACTCAGATGGCTGGATGAACTAGTCCAGAAGATAGACACTGAGGCACTGAAAACGTTTTGTGAAAGAAGACATAAAGAAATTTTAGAAGAAATGATATCGATTCTGAATGAGAGAAAAAGCCAACCACAGTCGACAAATGCAAGTATTATTATTGAGACTGAAACGAATTATGCATGTTGAAGTAAGAGTCTTATAGTTGTAACGGTATCTGTATAAAATCATGGTCACTATTTACCATGCTGTCACCAGACTAGCTATGTCACAATGACACCACCAGACTCACAATGCCACCACCAGATTAACCAAGCAACCATAACACCGCCAAGTCCCACCATGACGTCTAACCATATCACCATGATAACATCAGACTAACCATGCAACCACCAGACTCACCATGCAACCACCAGATTAACCATGCAACCATTACACCACCAAGTCCCACCATGACGTCTAACCATATCACCATGACAACATCAGACTAACCATGCAACCACCAGACTCACCATACCAATAACACCACAACCAGCTAAAAAACGCTCACACGAATTTTTCTATTCCACATAACAGTCGAAGAAGCAACGTCCCTTATCTTCATTTTTGCCGCGATGTTCAAGTGAAGTTCACCTGCAGGTAAGCTTGCAGTCAAAAACCATTTATTGACGACCAACTGAACAATCAAACTGACACGATATTTCATTTCAATATAGCCAAGGTTTTACACCTTCAGCGAAGGACAGAGTAAGGACGACTTTCCAGAGATGCAATTTATTCTGTGTTGTGAAAACTGTGTTAATCGCTTAAGATTCGAACTGGAAAAGCCTTTAACTAAAAAAGAAAGTTTAAAGGACGAGGTAACGTATTAAGACGATTGTTAAGAGATTACTAAGAGGGTGGGAAATGGATGTCAAAAGGGGGAAGGGTGGGGTTCAATCTATTTTTGGTACGAGATTTACTGAAATCACTTATCTCTACGGTAATCTAAACGCGAATGGGAGATTGCATCCCGTTAGTTTTGCGGGCTCAAACTAGGCGACAAAAATACTCATCTCCCAGTGGGATGGGGAACATTGTAAACAGCTTTCATGGTATATCGAAAGACATCTTTCTTTCTCACCCTATAGACCCCATCACATAGACTGCGTTGTTACGCTATGTGTTCCCAATGCTGTGCATATTTTGTACATGCAAAACTTCAGGTAAATTCTACTAACAATCAATCATATGTTAAAAATCTTCTCACATCTAATACAATTTCCTGAGATATGTCACTCCTTAACTAGACCGTGAACCTTAAATCGACCCTTTCGATAATGACGTCATCTAACCAAAAGTTTGGGAGCCTCGTTCCCATGATTAGCGAGCCAATAGCCTTGCGTCTGGTTGTATGAGATGAGGATCATAATATATACATGATCCAATCTCAGACGAAACTAACAATGATAATAAAAATGATGGAACTGATGATCATAATCCAAACTAGACTTGCTTAGATATTATGAGAAATGCGTCATGCTTGTAGTATACAGAGTTCAGAAAATAAATGCCCAATATTCCTGTCTAAATTAATATTCATTTTCAATAAGGATTCAAAAACAAAGCCAAGCTCTGAAGAAACCAAGGACAACAACAGCAGTGATGAAAATAATAATACAAAGTTATAAAATGCTTTGATACATCCATAAACTGTAGCTCACTAGCTCCTGTGCTTGAATCACAAAAAGAATCAATGAAAATAATTAGAATTGCAGATAGGGTATTATTGTAGATAGTTGAGATGTATAGATGCGAGATTTTTAAATTAATTTTTATACTTATTGAAGGAAACATGTAATATATGTAGTATATACACATATAAAGTATATATGAATTTCGATAGAGGTTAAATGTATAATATTGTATTTATTGATGGACATATATCTTATTTTTCTAGTAATTCTAAGTTATTAGGAATCATAATGTGTAAGAAGTCCTGCGGCATAGTAAGAGTATATAAAATCATCGCGATGCTTGAAGTCATGAAGAAGTGTCCTACTTTATTATGTGATATTTTACAGGTTTCTGCTACTTTGTCTGAGTAGGAAATCTAAGACAGGCAAATAGACCAATATCTATCAAGTTTTACATCACTCAAGTGGTGGAAACCTTTGCGAGCGATGGACGCTATTGGAACAAAACATGCAAACATAATTTGCAATTTGTATAAGTTGCATTTTGTGTCAGAAACGAACATTTGAGGCAACGAATAGAACAGTTCCAAAAAGAAACACAGGATATTGTAGTGTTGACAAATCATAGCTTTTTAAATTAGTGCCATCAAAATGCCGAAATATTAGTTGATGTATACTATATATGTATTGGCAGGATAATAATGTAGCAATATACAGCGATATTTGCTCTACAGTTTGTACCGATTTTGACGGCATAGATTAATAAAAGTTAATTATATCGCAGATCATCTGAGTAGGAGATGAATTTTCTCTCGCGTTTTTGAAGCATTTTTTCACATACTGTATAATAGAATTAGAATTCTTTATTGATGAACATATGCGCTATACATTTTTAGGGCATAAATTAAGATTTCACATTGCATTTAATAGGATTGAAAATCTCGTATGTCGTGTCGGCCTTATGAGCGAGCTACTCTGATGCATTAGGAATGCCATTAACTATAATTGGACAGTTTTTAATCAAATTGAACGGCTTTTACTATGCTTTTAATGCTGCTAACAGAGATATATTTCAAATGTATACAAGACCGCAGATTAATGAACTAAGATGAATCTAATTTATTATTGCGCATCAAATCCTCCTCCACTAATACAAGAAAAAGGACACCAAATCGGATAATCTAAACGTTTTCCAAGATACACAACTTAGTTTGACGGACCCCTGGATTAGTTTATTCCTCTTCAATTTCCGTTTCAACAAACAAGGTCAAATCATCCCACATCCTTGACGGTCGGCTCGCACCGGACACTCTGAAGATATAAATACTGATTGAGTGTCCGCAGGACAAAGGTTTCCGTGTAATGCCGAAGGTCTACCGTTATAAGCCGAACAGAAAACTCTTTATACTCAAGGTTACGCAACTAACTCGAGCATGAGGCGTAATGAAAGAAGGTTTAATTGCTGCAATACAAGACCTTTGACAAACCGAATCCTGGAGGCCAGTGCGCTAGAAAACACGTTCTACTTTTGCAATAATCTTTTTATCTGACGTCGACATTGTATAAAAATACTCCGCAGTCAAGACTAATAAAATAAGTCGCCTCATTTTTTTTACAAGTTGTTTTGTTGTGAGCGACGCTTAATTACGAACCACCTCAAGAGCACGTACTGAGGCTAAACAAGTGAAGTTATATTTTGCGTTTCACAAACACTTTAACAGCAAATTTATTTGTTCTTCATAAAAAAAACCTTGTTTTCATTACTGATTGATCTTGTTCCTGCTATTGTCGGTTTTTGCTTCGAAATAATACTACTTACCCCACCCCCGCGGGGATCACCCACACCAGCACTTTAGATATATTGACATAATAAGTTACTCATTAATATGAAGTTAAAAGAACATGAACAAACTCCTAGGATTACCCTCCAGGCTAACCCGCTTCGGGGCCTGGCTATGATTCAAACAATTTGCCAACACTGACATTCTGAAGAAAGATAACCTCGTCTTTTCATTTATATACTTGCGGATTTTTTCCTATTAATATTTAGCAGTGTGAAAACAATCTCTAGCATTCACCACATATAGAAAAACCTTCGTAATTACATTGAAACAATCCTTACAATGGAGATAGGCAGTGTTTTAGTAATAGGAAATCTTGATGTGGTGGATTTAAATAAGTGTTCATCCATTGTCAGTGCTTTTATACATAATTTTTTATCACACAATGAGTATTTATTGGATTCGAATCAGAATGATCTATATTTCCGAGGGCATTGCATCGGGACGTTCATCATACAGACTTTGGCGGCCTTAGATTATTAAATTTCATCGCTCAGGAGGAGCGTAGGACCATTGAAACAAACAGGAGAAATCGAGAGGGAAATAGAATAGAAAACCCGATGTTGGGACTGTATCCGGGTTAAAAACATGTAAAGGCGAATCTATTGCAAAGAACAGAGTGTGAACTCTTTACAATTAGAAAGAACTAATGAGGGAGTGATAAATGGAGCAAGGATGAATGATGGTGGTGCAATCAAGGATCAAGGACAACGTAAAAGACTGAAACGTATGGAATTACACACGGGGTTGTAAGAGCGGAAAAATCTCCTTCAAAATGTTATGATAAGATAGATTATACATGGAAATATGACGAAAGGGTATTTTCAGCAAAGGCATTTGTATTTTTTTTAATATTTGTTGAAGTAATGATCAGCTATATTTACCCACACCACGTTATTCTGAGATATGTGACATGCAAAAGATCACAAGTGAAGATGATGCATGGGTACTCAAAAGGACGGGAAATTTCGTATATTTATGACAACATCTAAGGCAGGCCACGTGGTTTTGCTTCAGACTAGGCTATTCGACTGCAGCTGTAGACAAAAGGATTACTACGAGAACGAGAAAACAATTAAAACATCAGATCTGGTTAGACACCACAGGTGGGAATAAAGTTCAAAACAACTAATGAATTGTCGTTTTGTTTAAGTGTAGAGACCTTCAAAGCTTCAGGACAAAACTTTGATCGTCGAAGAAGAGCATGAAACCTTGGTTTGGGGCATGTGATTTACTTCGCAAGGAAAACAACACTTGTGGAAACACGTGTCTTAAGCGATCTCTAATTACCACGCGCGGTACTTAGCGTCACATCAAACGACTTAACTCGCATGCCGACAATCGTGTGTGCCGATGATCGTTGGTCGAGAGGTCCAGCATAAATAATTCATCCGAAATAATTAACGCCTATTGTTTACATGCTTCATTGTTATGAAAATGCAATATTGGCATTGGCCTATTATACGTCGACAGGACATCAGAGCAATAATCACGTTCGATACAATACGATCCTGGGTTGCTACCCTAGCGTGGACATCCTTCACCTCGGCTTGAGTCGCGAGAAAAGGGACGAGAAAGCTGTCAGAGAAGGCAAATCTCTTCTTCTTTGACAATCCACAGAGACGGTGCTAATTCAAACAGTAAAAACACAAAGAACAAACAGTTAAAAACTTGACGAAGCGGAACATTGCCGCTCGAAGATACGAACGCTGCAGATTTTGAAGGCACGGGAAACCACAGATCCCAAACAACAGCAACCAAGATCAATCCACTCTTGTTTGTTGCTTCAATCTGATCAGTACAAACGCTGAGAGAAGAGAGATAGAGAATCGCTAAAACGGAACATTGAGGCTGCAATTACGCTCACCACGCTGTTGCAAGTGGGCCGTAAGACTCGCAAAATAAGAAACACAAAACAATAAGAATACCGAAGAGTAAAGAATAGGCACACGACAAGTCAAAGCGAGATTTTGATACATGAAAACAAACAAGTTATTTGGATTGACGCGGGAAACTGACGAGTGGAGTTTGTCATCTTAACTACCACAGGAGTCGAGTCGTCTGACCGAGAGAAATCTATTTGAATTACCCAACGTAAGTATTAAATCAAAACCGATGCATTAGCTGAAGGTGTCTGCGTCTCACACATGTATACATTGAAAGATTCTAAGGATAGCTTATTGTATTAGAACCGGCACAAAGATATCTTGTCGCTACCGAGATCACTTGAGTAAAATATTTCACTAGCCATAGCAAAGATGAGCTTGAGTGGAAAATCAGTAAATACGATCTATTTGTTCAATACGCGGTCTTCATGCATATGCTAGCCTGGAACTAAGCTTGGTGTTGAAGCAACGAAGGTGAAGAATCATTACCACAGCAAATTTGAGTATAAAACATTATCCATTTAGTTTCAGGAATCGTGTTTATCCAACTATTATAATCATTAAGATCATAGACAGTTATCAACGTCGGAGCCAGACAGTTATAGAAAGCGTATCGACAACGTACCACGCTTTTGTAGAAGTTTGAGAGTTGTCAATGATTAAAGTCTCCGACTGTGAGGCTATAAAACTGGGGTAATTTTCAGGATAATAGACAAATTTAACAACAAATGCCCAAATCACTTAGCATTTTCAAACTGATAAATACAATTTCGTATAGTTTGGCAAAGCACGCGTAAATGCGATTTGATTCATTGATCTCGATTGCGGTGTTTCGGTTGTCAAGAGATTAGTCTTAAGAAACATTATAAGCCAGTAGGGATTCTTGAAATATATTATGTACGCTTCAATTTAGCTCCTTTTTATTTCACACTAACAAAATAATTTGATTAAAGATATCGGTCATCGTGGAAGGTGGAGCCCGGAATATCATCATGTGATCGCCTTTCGCATGCATTGTCAGTTTGTGCGTCTTGTGTGCGTGGAGGAGCGACTCGCATTTAGAAGGAGCTAACAAACAAAAAACGCAGGATTAACGCATGAAACACATCCCACACTTGCCTGAGTAATATTGTATATCCACACTCGCATTTTTTTTCTTGAGAGGAATTTTACAGCTGAGAATCTTAAAGCCAAAATATTTCAATATACAGTTTGCACTTAGCTTTGCTAATAACACTCGTTAGATACATTTCTGGGTAAACTTTTGCTATAGATCATTGCGGAAAAGAAAGGTGTACATCGGTAGAAATTTTACATCCCATTTCTTCAGACTCAAGGAGGGGCTTTTAGTTTAAAATAGCTCTGGATTGCATTACTATTAAAGCAACAATATAATGTCTGCTGCCCACACGACATGTTTATCTGAAAGAACCTGAATAAATGTGTTACTTTGATATCAAAAATGATAGAGCTTTGCTTCACGGCATCGCGAGGAACACTTCCCAGTAGAAAGCATGTGTGAAAATGAAGGGGAGGCGAGGTCGATATACCTCAACCAATTGCAAGTGCTTTCATTTGCGTCGGCTTCTTATGGTGGACGGTGTTGTACCTCAAGGTATACTTGCACTAAGTGCTAAAACTCTTAGACGTTCTCAGTATATTAGCAGAAATAAAAAAAGCATTCAAAGCATTGCACGAAATTTTGCCGAAAAATCTATATATCCTATCACATCGTCGTGAGGGTACGCACGACAACCCATGCAGTCAGGATCTTGAATTGTATATATGAAGAGACGAAGCTGAAGTCTCAATTTCTTTACATTCCAGGTATTAAAATAAAATTAATCAAAGCCCAAACACGAAGCTGTGATCTGCTGAAGCAGAACTGACACGGAGTCGCCATAAATCCAGGGGGCCTGATCGACACAAAAGAAAGAAGGAAGCTGCTGCTAAAGTCTCGCTCGACGATACTGTTCGTTTCTCGTTGAAAGTCATACGAAGAAGCATGGGGAAGCAAGAGGAAGGGCATATCAAACGACCTATGAACGCGTTTATGGTCTGGTCTCGAGGAAAGAGGAAACAAATAGCCCAGGTGAATCCGAAGATGCACAACTCTGACATTAGTAAGAAACTTGGCGAACAATGGAAGACATTAACTCCTGAAGAAAAGGAGCCCTTCATTGCCGAGGCTAAACGCCTACAGGCCGTACACATTCAGGAACACCCCGACTACAAATACAAGCCGAAGCGTCGGAAGCCAAGGACGTTGAAGAAAGAACCACAAGGTATCTCAATGTACAGCCCGTATGGAACAACATCACTGATGACGGTTCAAGACAAATACCAGGCGACCTCACTGACACCGTCCTTACCACAAGGTCCTACTCTCCCGCCTTCATATTCGGCTGACACCCTGGCAATGTACACGAAGCTCTCGGCGACGGGTTCCTACCATCCGGACTTTCATGCCACTTCATACGCTCCTCTACTATACCAAAGCCAAACGACCAACCCCAACGCAAATCCCACAATGAATGGCCGCCCCATGTACACGAACGGCATGGAATACTATCAAGGAAATGGACATATTGTGAACAAGCCCATTCACAATGCGAATCCTTATGTGACGACCATGCCTAACCATATCACGTCTGCTCAGAGGATGGCCGCATCACCGGTAGATGAGTCACGGCCCACGATGGTAAACTCACCGCCGGTAGTTTCATCTCCCGGCATACACGCGTCCTCTCCTAACCTCCACACATCCGAACGTGTCAGCCCCTCAGTCTCGCATATCAAGTCCATGGCGGAATCGCTAGGACAACAACGTGTCTGGCAAGCGCATAATGCTGCCAGCAGCAAAGACATCGCCAGCCTACGCGCCGGCCTTGTTCTAAATAGCTATTAATTAATCAAAGTAAAATGTGCAGCTAACTTTGTTAGTGGACAAACAATGTCGCGAAGACAATCGCAACGTATCACACACGCACTTCATCTATATCTTTTAACTCAAACTTGACTTGTATTAATGTAAATAGAAGTGTGAGGTATTTCAACAAGTATTTAACTGTTCCTTAAGCTTTTGTCTTCACCGAGGTTTTTATGTTTAATGTTGTTACGGTCTCATTAGTCGTGTTTGTTTCATTTGACGCGTGGTTTAGACTTGTCGTCTCCTTGCGGTCGAGATATTCGGCTGTCCATTTCAGACCATTTAATGATAATGGCGTTTTACTAGGGCGACACTAAAAATTAAATCTACGCTCCGTTTAAATACATATATCATCATGATCATCATCATCGGATTTGTAGAGTTTTCAGATCTTGCCTAATGTTAGTGAAATGTTTTTCGATTGTTGCTAATGTCTGTCGTTCAATGACGTTGACAACGTGTTTTCCAAATATCATTGAGGCACATCTACTACTTGCCCAGAAAGTGTGCAAACCTAGTTATATCTTGACATTTGACTAATCAACGGGCATAAAATCATATTTTCAATTAAATGACAAGGTAAAGTACGTATTTCCGCGTATTTGCCGCTCTTTGTTCAACCATGTGGTCAAACAGGCTGGGATCAAAAGGCTTCTTAGGACACGCTTCAATACGCCCAAGCTAAAAACATTTCTAATCCCATTTAAACGATGATATCATTTAACGATCATACATGGTTTTCGTGCCAACTTTTTAACCAGATCATCCTCAAATTTTCATCGCTTTCATTTTAGGTTATTATTAAACGTAAGATCAAAACACATTTCGCGGCTATTGTTATGCAAAATTCGTCATTTAGCTAAAAGCATAAGAGACAGGAGCCAACATTAAGTAGAGAATAGTAACATTTTCAAAAGATTTAAGCCCATGAAGAAACTCCGTATTGTATGAAACGTACTTCACACTATTCACTACGAGAATCGCTTGCAGTATTTTGAGACGAACCTAACGAAAATGAAAGCGAAAATCAAAATTAAAAGCGAAGTCCTGCTGTCTTGGATATTTGAATATTTAAATTAATTGCCTGGCTCATGTTCGTGTCGTCGTTCTCTGGCACGAATAAAAATAAACTGTTTGTCGAAGCATAATATGAAACCTCAAGTGTCTCCGACAGACAATCGGAACAAAAGGGAAAAATAAAAACAGTTACATGTCATACAATAGCACAATTTTCCACAAAATATATACCGCGGCTAGCTGATAAGTTTATCGCGCTGGACTGATTCTAATCAAGTCGGTTCCACTTTGACAACCAAAGTATTCTTGGTTAATGACACCAATTGCTAGGTCGTAAACAACTTAGAAATGTGCTGATCTAAGCCGCTATTTCAGCACCCCTTATCATTTATGTATTGTCCTTTAGGGTAATACGAATCGGAACACGATATTGGTTATGTGTTTATATTTACGAGCGGTATATATGAGTGGGGTTTATTCATTATTTTTAGCAATACACACAAGCGAAGGCGGAAAGCGTAACCTGTCTATAGCTTCTAGAACTTTCCTAATCACCCCTTATTTCCCTTGTTCCCAGGATCGCTCGCATTCATCTTACTTCTCGTATCCAATCTCCCCCGAGCGGTCGGCACGTGACCATAATAATCACATATTCTTAAATACCTCGTATGTGTGTAATATGCGGGTAATATATTCACATCTCTTCTATACAACAACCTAGTATATCTTAAAAGATCTGGAGGAAGTCGTTTTTTTTCTGCCTTGTTTTACGCTAAGAGCCACTCAGGAACCGTCTCTATTTTTTATATTTACATTACGTTGTTATACCTTCCGCTAGCTCTCAGCGCTAATTCTTTTCCAGAAGTTTCCTTTTGTCTTAAAAGTTGTAGATTTGTTTGAGAAGCGATGGAAGACAAAGACTGGACATTGTTCGTCGGCAGTGAAACTTTATCACGCGAACGGAAAGAAACAATTAAATAAACGTTCTGTTCGACTCGTTCAGATTGCGTGATCAAAGAGAGGAGGGTGCAAGAGAAACAGAGGAAGATTCAAAAATTGCGACGCTTGCTGTGCTCACGATGGCGGTTTTATAGAAGGGTAAAAATGTAGTAACTCTAACCTGATTCCATCACTGTTCGGACTGTTTGAGATCCAAATATTGATAGACTTTCAACATGAGATCTTGCTTCTTCTCCCTACACCGACACTTCACTCCTTCAGATTTCAGCCACTTTGTTATTGAAGCTGCGCTCACCTTGGACAACTGAAAATAAACATGAATGAAGAATGATTTATTTTATTCTCTACGCATATATACATCGTGGAGTTACAGTTCTAAGTCTGTGTTCTATCTAGTAAACTAAACAAACCCTTTTATACCTATAATGCATAGCTCAATCAGTTCTAAACTTTACTTCCTAAAGGTCCTGTAAGGATCATCTCATATTGATCAATGCCTGTCTTTTTTAATAAAGGTGCGAACCTCAAAAAATAGACAAACATTCAGAGAACTCGCGAGAGCCATGCCTTGTCCTGATAAAATGATGCCATACCTTATTCTCTGCAACCATCTTCCGTACATCAACAATAACTTCAGCTCCCTCCTTTTTCTTTTTCGCCAACTCCGACTCCGATGGTCTCTTTACAGCAACCACAGGCCATCTTTGCTCTACAGGGAACTGCGAAGCCACGCAAAAGCTATTGTCGTTTGAGTCTGTTGAAGACATATTCATTGTGCTATCCGCAATAACAACCTGCCTATTGTTCAATGAAAGACTCAGTCCACCACAGCTTGTTTCCATTTCTGCATCATTCGCACCAGAACAATCTGCCCTTTGCCAATCACGATCCACACGTCCATTTGCACTCGTTTTAACAGCCTTTGAATATCTCGTCTTGTTCTTACTATCACTCTTCTTAAAACAAGGTACAAGAGGCATTTCTTTTCTTGATCTTCCAGCTTTTGTTGTCGTCTTTGACAGCACCTTATCTGATCGACGCTTCGTAAAACGGGGGACATATGGCTTCGCTCCTGGAGCTTCCACAATCGTTTGTGGGACATGTTTATTTAGCATTGTTCTAGGAATGTCTGACATAGCCGCATTACTTTGACATGGATGTTCATTCAACTTATCTGTTTTATCCAAATTAGTTTGCACAGTGTTTTGTAATGGGATGCAGTTTGGTCGAACGGTAGACAATAATGATGAAGATCCATGCATGGGCAAGGTAGTGCTTGGGTTTGGATTAGGCAGGGACATCGTGATCTTTGAGGGACAATTTGGTGTATCGCTGACACTGGACACAGCTTTCTTGGTGAAAGAAAAAGGTTGTTTTGCGTTGGAGAGTACTGGTGTTCTGGTGAGGTTAGTTTGTTTTGCAACAGAGGCACAATACAAACTGTTGGTAGAGTATAACGTGGAGGAGGTGAATACAAAAGGTGATCCACAAACATCAGGCATTCGTAGCTTCAGATCTTCAAGAAATGACTTGAATATTGCCGTCTGGTCGCAGCGTAAGGAGACGTGTGGCTCCTTAGATCTTATACAACATTCCGGATATCTTATCCTTGTTAAGAAATGATTTAAGAAATCAAAAAAATCACTGCTCTTAACACAAAAATTGCATATCATATCAGTTACCTAATATGGTTGTCTTATTCTCGATAATGCTTGTAGGGCGGGGGGGGGGACCTGGTAGTTATACTGTGCCTTTTATCTGTGCGAGGATTGAAGTTAGACCCTGGTATATCATGCATGCAATCATCTTGCACACTCTGCTTTGGTTCACAAAATTATATGCAGGAGTTTTCTTGAGATTTCATGTTAGTTAGCCATGAAGGAAATGCACCTACTAGAACTCTAGAAAGGGGGGAGGGAATATAAGAGGGAAGGGAATATAAGAGGGGGGGGATATAACTGCTTGATATGGTAACAAGAAAGATTGCACAAGGATACGAGAATATTTTACCACTCATAGGAAAACGAACGTTGTAAAACACATCCCCTCCTTGAGCAGATGGTAACCTAAATCCATACTTTATGAAATAGAAACTAGAATTAATATAACAGGTCGAAATCATCAATATTCAGCTGCATCTTTCCAAGAACCATCTACAATTATTCTTTCGTAAGCGTCTGGCAATGCATGGTTGCTACTTACCGTCACTTTCCAATATCTCTTGAAATCGATGCCTGTGAAATCTTGATGTGATATAGACGTGATGTAACCAGTTTTAAGACTAAATTATGAGATGAAAAAGGTACAGCATGTGGAAATATAACGGACCATTTGCCTTTCAACTCATTTTAAACTAAGACTTGCGAAATTCGCAGGAATTGATCAGTAAATCTGGAAGGATCATTCGCTGTCACCTTTGCAGGTTCTTTTCAGTTGCGCTAATGAATTTTCCCAGTTTAAAATTTAGTTTTAAATGAGATCTTGGCACGCATATCCTACCTCGGCAGTACCAAGCATTTGTTGTTTTCAAGTGAATATCCATGAATAACAAAATCCTGCGATTGATGAAATTTCTGTAAAATATTTGGAGAAACACCAAAGTCTTCGACCTGATAAAAAAAAGAAATAGTTGTTTCACTATCAGCGGAGCGATGACAAATGAAAAAAATGATGAGCTACTATTTAACTGTCCTCTAAAAACATTGTGTGTTAACGTGTACCTTCGCTTTGGGGAGTTTTATCAACTGAGCTTTCATCGCCAAGGTTATCTTGTCTGTCAAACTGAGACTCGCCTCTGAAATTCAAATGAATTCCATGAAAAGGTTGGATTACAGCTAAGTAGAGTGTCGATACAATAAAGATGGTTAGGAAAAAAAATTAATTAAAAGGTTATCTTTAAATATCTGGCAATTTCTAGGCCAATATGAAATCAACGTAGTTTAATTAAGCAAGAAGATGAAACACGAGGTAGGGATTATTGTAAGCAAGATTTGGTGAGTCTTCTTAGAGTTACAACCTAAGCATTTTGGAGTTCGAAATGAAAAACGCTGAAGTAGTATTCACTTCCATTGTAAATATGTTGATTTTGCCGTTTTATCAACATTTTCATGCAAGATTTATCGTGTTTTCCCCTGCATACATGCACAACGATCTAGAATATACCGAATGTCATTATCGATAAACACAGGACAGCACAGGATAGCACAGGACAGCACAGTAAGCACCCAGTAGGATACTGATTGAGAAATGATATAACACAATCAATTGCTACATAGTTGTGGGATATCTATATTTAAACAATCACTATCTATAAGCCGCATCGCCATGAGTAACTATGCCGCGGTATTAAATTACTTCCGTATGTAACAGAATAATCATGACGTCGTGATTGCACAGTAGTTAACGCTGTAATTGATACTTCATGTTGTTTATGCATGCAGATGTGTATGATAAAAAACAAAAAGGTAACCAAGTTAGTTGTACGGATCTAAAATAATTCCGTAATTCCTAACAAAATTATAGAGACGTGTACATTGAAAAAGTGATGAACTGTTGATGAATGTTATACGAGTTTCATGCACTATATTTTGAAGTTCCATTCTCGTAAATCAAATTATCAGGTTCTTCATCCAATATTTATGAAGTAAATTTTCAACTTGCATATATTAATAGCTTAGCAGATGCTCGCTACAAAACGTTTGCAAGTGTTTAAACGATTCCATAATGCGTTGTTTTTCGAGACGACAATCATAATCATATTCATGAAAATGTTCTTTGTTCAAATGTGAGTACAGATGCCTGTCCTCGAAATATTATTTTTAACGATTTAATGTAATAAATCAACAATAAATAACTAAGATATTTTTCGCGTCTATCTTTGGAGAATGGTTATCGTTGGAAACGGATCGTTGATTTTTGGAGACAAGGATGATTTCATCGACACGCCAGCACGGTTAACAGTGACAATACTTTTAACTATTTTGGCTTTACTAGGAATCATTCTGAACGGTTTTGTTGTGTGTGTAATTGCTTCATTAGGGCGATATATGGATGTACCTGCAAACCTGTTTATACTGAATCAAGCCATCGCACACTTGGGGAACACGGTGTCAGTGATATCGTACATAACTCATCTCTATCATTGGAACTGGGAGATAATATACTGTCTTTATTCACTCACTCTATTCTCATCCCTTGGCAGTTTATGCCTGCTGACCATAAACCGCTTAATATCAATAACATGTCCTCTGAAGTACCCGCGAAGGATGACTCCATTTCGTGCTAAAGTTCTTGTTGGAGTTATATGGTTAGCTGCGTTTATTTTGGCTTTTCTACACATGATTGGTTATGTGCTTTACTCGGATGGAAACTTCTTTAACTACGGACGGTATTACATGATGCTTCTGATCCTAATTTGTGTCTCATCCAATGCCTATATGTTTTGTAAGTCCAGAATACATGCTAAGAAAATAAGGAAGACCTTTCGTGGAGTAATCACTGGATTACAACGGAACTTCACGGAAGACCTAAAGTCGATGAAAACTATAGCTATGGTTAGCATGACGTTTTTTCTAGGCTGGCTACCGATGATTTTAGTTTTTTTCATCTACGGTAGTGAAAAAGAAGGCAAGGAATTTCAGAGGTATACCGCATTCTTATCAATTTTTATGGCGCTAAACGTTGTGTCAGATCCTGTGATATATTATTATCGTAGCCCGGAGTTTCGCATGTTTTATCAAAGATGGAAAAGAAGACGCGGTGTCGCAATGAGACATTCCTGCATTTACACTGAAAGCCGAGCGATTCATATTAAAATTCTAGAACGACAAGTCAATATTTAGCTAGTTATCATGCAGTAACCGGCGGCTTGTAGTGTTGCTCAGACAAAATACAAAATAAATTTATTGTTATTCGTTGTCAAATCATAATTGGTTTTTAAATTATGATCAAATGAAACGTAAATAACTTGACCGTTTTAATTTCAATGCTGCATGGGGCGAATGTGAAAAAATTACTTATATATAATATCGTCTTTGAAATGCGACAAGATCTTTCTGAAAACACGACTTAGGGAGATTAGATTTCAGCCACCTGTATGTTATCGTAACAAAATGGGCCAAATTCTACTTTTTATCTATCATTTAACTGCGATAGGTCGAAGTGAATGGGATGTGATAGAAGTTAACGGGCAGACATCAGGTCCGGTTGTTCGAAAGACTTTTAGGCTTTTACGGTGGATAAGTTCAAAATGGAAAACAAAACTACATATTTATTGAACAACTGAGCTGAAATATATCGATGTAAATAGCTTAATTGTCAATGGAAGTCAATATTTAATGCATGAGATACAGGTTCAGTCATTTGACAAGATGTACGAGAGTAATTCCACCGTTAAAGCTAAACACCTTTCGAACAACCGGCCCCATGCAGCTGTTTTGACAAATTGGAAGAACTAAATACTGTGCACAATGCAGCTGCGATCACTGCGTAGAGACATGCCCTAGCCTGGGAACACGGTGAACAAACAGGATACCGTCCGTTTTTCACAAAATTTTCACGAATCTACACTTCATACGCGAACAGAACAAAAATTTTTTTGCTTACGTATTGACCACATTTTATTTTCTTCGGCCAAAAAATCTTTTCCTTGTATGAAGTGCGTGTCAATCTTGTTCCATAATGGGGCCAAACGATGGATGAAGACAAATTCAAGACAGTATAAAAAAAGACTTCTTGTCACCGGAATGACTGCCTTGTGCTGAAAAAGAACAAAAAAATACGAACATCTTTGGAGAATATTACGAGGCACTTAAGATTTGGAAATGGAAAACGTTTGATTAAAAAATTCCCAAATTTCGCATCTTTCCTATAACGACATAAACCATATTCACTTAAATGAAATGCGAACCAAATTAGTATTAAATATTCTGAGGAAATACAATATGAAAAAAAATATGCACGAAGCTTTGTTAACATATTAAACGGAGCGTGCTTTTTTGAAAGAGTGAGAATGAGGTGGTGAACTGTAGTTTATTTTTTCAACTTATCTATTAAAGGAGAGTGTATCTACCTCGAGGGAATATTTCTGTAACACGACATGTAACTTTCCAGACTCTAACATGTATTTCTAAATAAAGAAATATCATTAATTATTAAGAATATGCTATTATCGGCACTGAAAGTCGTTTTTACAAGTTCGTTAAAGCATCATCTTGAGAAAAACTTTGAGTGCAAACCTGATCCGCGATGATGACTGCTGCGTTTGCAAAGACAACATTGTCCTCGGATTCTGGAGCAATCAGCAAGTCTGCTTCGGTAAAAATAATCTCTCTGAAGAAAATGATGAAGCACTGCGTTTAAATCTACGACTACAAGCATATGGATTATCCATTTTTCAAAACGCTTACCGATAAAATTGCCGAGAATCATTGTGGTCAGATTTGGCTGCGACCAAAACAGCCCTAAGTTTGTCGAAGTTCTTCGGAAATTGAGAGAAATACAAGGCCGTTTCTGAGCTCATTTTAAGCGTTTTTTCCCAATATTTACCAACTATTTCTTGTGGTAGACTTACACTTTCCCATTAAACTTTTTAAAGTAAAAAATATGGATTTTTTTCCAAGTTTCAACCTTTAGAACTTTTAAATTTATTAAAATTCAAAATTTCCCGCCTAAACTTTCTCATTCCCATACCTCCAATATCTGCTTAGCACCCTGCGCACTCTGGGGCTACGGGAAACCAATATTCAAAATCTTAATAAATTATATTGCAAATGGTAAGACAAGATTATGGTAATCATAATCTTCTGGCCTTATTTAAAGGGCCAAACCCGTCTAGTTATCCTTTATGTTCGCGTCCATTGTTTCATTAACAATTACTGTCGTATTTGTCGGCTATATAGTCCAGTTAGACCCGTGGAAATCCTTCGCAAGTCAATAGCGAAGATGCGGGATCCTCCAGGATTCTTGGACCATCACCAATCTAAATTGCACATTTAAACTTAAAGATTTCCCCGTGCTCACAAGCTTTATCCAATGTATTCACAGAAGTCTGAAGTACATTCCTCATTTCATATAAAATTTACTGCCGTACCTTTGTATGGATAATATATTTGACTCCACCAGGACAAATAGGTATATTTATCTGACAATTCACGGCCTGTTAAAAATGAAGAATATAACAGAAATGCCATTCGCATTATGATAGAATCAAGATAAAAAACTGGAAGACAAAACAGCCAACATACCTTTTTACAACTCGACGTAACAAGCCCACGAACAAAACTAAATGTAGATGAAAATAATGCATTTGGTTTGTCTTTGAAAACACGAGAACACAGATAATTTTCGACAATCATATACTTCGGGGATACAATTGTTGAAAGCTGGTAAATACAGCAATATCACTCAAAGCAATACACGTACTTTGTCTCGTCGTCATTTGGAGGAAAAAATGTCGTGATTAATTCCAGGCATTCCGGAACATCATTCTCGAGAAGAAACAGAACTGCATTTGGACCAGCATCGAAGCTGTATGCGACCTAAAGTAGTACAGGAAGACACAATTCCATGGCGTTCATTTTGAGGGTTGAGCGATTCATTTAATGCAAGTATCCTACTAATCCAAGTGATAAAGAAAATATAAAAAACTTAACCAACTCTGGTTCCTCGAAGCTTGTTATATTCCGTTACAAGTCGGACAATATTATGTGAAATATGATTCATATATGGTGGAAGAATTGGCGGGAACGTATCAAGACATATCGCGTGGAATTGATTGCTGTCCTAAACAGAGATAAATAACGTTTATCCTAGCGTATTGCAGTTGTTTTTTCAGTCAGAAATTATGCCGGTAAAGGTTCCGAAACGCTACATGAAGAATTCATATCTTGTACCTTCATAGTGAGATTAGCAAATTCTTCAAAATCTTTTCTCAGAATAGCATCTTTCATTCCAGTAATCCTTTGAGGAACAATGTATTCTGATCTCAACTGTAGAAGAAGAGAAGAAAATGGTAAAAAAAAAGGCAGAAAATCAGCACCTCTATCCTTAGAATCTTTCTTGTATTTAGGTATAAAAAGAAAGTTTTCCAAAGACTGGAGAACACAAGGAAATCACATCTAGTCTAGATGATGACAACTCCTGGCCACTGCTATACTGTAAATAATCATACACAAACCTTTAAAAGTTTACTAGTTTGAACACTCCGTCGCATCCCTGATGTGCTGCTAGTTTCTTTTTTTTCATCGCTAACCTACAAGAAGAGGACCTGTAGAACTGGTGTTTTTTTTGTGAAATTAAGAAGCCAGCTAAGAATACTCACCACAAGAACTAAGACTCGCATCTCAGCCCAATGACTTTCTGGAGATATCTAAAAAAATAAAAAAATAAAAAATAATGTTTAACAGTTCAGAAGCATAAATAGTGAAATCATTGTTTTGTAATTATATGAGAGTGAAGTACGTCACCTGAATTGCTAAACTATCATTTCCGTCAGCCATTTCACCTTTCTCCCACATAACAAACCCACCATAAATGCTTCGACATGCGCTTCCAGACCCTTGCCTGCATGCATGGTTTGAGAGAATTAAAGATCTAAGAATCACCAAAAATTTTAGTTTACAATCGTGTTCAAAATATTCACATTATTTTACCTGGCTATCACTGAGATATCACAGTCCAAATGAAACAACTTGGCCAGAGAGAAAGCTGAAATCAAGCAAACAAAAATTTCATGTTTAATTTCAATTTCAACTATTGTGAACTATTGTGTACATTAGAACCTCACCAAGACAAGCATGACCAGCAGCTGATGATGCAAGGCCGGCAGCAGTAGGAAAATTATTGACTGAACAAATATGGATATTATTCTTTGCAAGATCCTTTTTACCAGATTTCCTACACTCCTCTCGGACTACAATATTGAAAATGATGTTCAATGGAATATTGCATGATAATTATTTTGGTCTTGAATTTAGTTCAAAACTTAGGAACTTTGTTTACCTAATTGCAAAACTTTCTGTATTCTGGGAAAGTCTTTAATAAGATTTTCACTGAAAGATAATTTGCTCACACTTTTGAGAAAAAAAAGAAATGGATTTTATAAAAGTGAGAAGAGTTTATTTCATTCACCTTCCATTCAGCCATACTCTATCACTGGTGAAGTTTGGGCTTGTGGCAACAGTGGTTGTTACACATAGCTGTTGAAATACAATTGTCGTCACATAGCTAGTCATGGTTCACATGGTTGTAATATGGTGGTAACAATGATGGTGATAACAATGTGATTGATAGTTGGTATACTATTTCTGTCAATAGATTCCCATACCTGTTCTTGTGATAAAGTTACACTTAGTGATGAATTCACTGGTAATATGAGATCCTCATCTCTTTTGCCCCCTTCAAGAACAAAATGTAGACACATTTAGCTATCCAGCCACCAAAAGTTATCTCATTCATATATCAGTAATAAAACAATAACAAACTTACAATATTTTATCACAGCTAAATTCACAGGTGCAGTACATGTTATCGCCTCCATTTTATTGTTAATACGATAAGGAAATCAATTGTGCAGACTGTGCAAGACTGTGTCACCATCTTGCTTGCCACATGGATTCACGTTTCTTGTGGTTCAAGTCCAAGGTTCAACGCTTCACTGGGACTTGTAAATCACCGATGTGCCGTGTGGAGCATCTTAAAGGTTTCTAATTTCTATTGCTTCTTTATACTTTTTATATGCTGCAAACCCTTCAAAATATAGTAAAGTTACAAATCAACAGTTTCAATATTATTGGTACATTTTAATTTCCATTTCACAATTATCGTTCTTTCATGCAAACACAATCAAATGAAATGGGTGCGCTGTGCCAGGCACCAAGCCAATATCTTTTTGAAATATGATCCTTGTATTTCTAAGAAAGTCAAAACAAGAAACCGGATACGTACTTCACATGTGCTTGAGCCAGCTTAAGCGGACAAAATGCACAAAAAAGAGAAAGATTTGTACTTTTTGTTCAAAAGTTTACAAGTTTTTACTATACTTTTGAGCAGGAATCCTAGCCTGCAACCCCCCGGAAATCTTCACGCGTGAAAAATTACTATCGCGTGTTGTTGTAGTAAACAAAGTGTTTTTTTGTAAATATTTCACAATCAGTTTCAATTAGTTTTTTGGAGGTGTGTGTAAGATCTGTCTCATCACCTACGTGGCTTTTTTAAATTTTTTACATGGTCTGCTCGTCTGTTTTGTCATAACTTGTTGTCGATCGTGGTATTTCAATGTAAAAGAGGCTGAAATGGCACAAGAAAGCGCGAATCGGTAGGTCGTTGATGAATTTTTTAAATAGTTTTCCATGTTTAACGGTTCCTTGTTTTGCAATAGTCGTTTCACATCGATGATGATACCGATAACCATAGTTTCATTTTGTAGTGGGACGATTGAAGTGTCAATTCAATAATGCAGCATTGTTTGAAATTTAATTTAGTTTTTCCTACGAAGAATTACAGGGGATAGCAAAATTTTTGCTTGATAACACAACATATCGTCCAACAACTGGCATAGTGTGTGGTACAGGACTTGGGGATTTGGTCAAGGCTATTGAGAATCCACGTACTTTTCCGTACAATGAGATACCAAACTTTCCTGTCAGCACAGGTTGGTTCAGAGTTTTTTAGATTCAGTACAAATTCATGGGATATCTCATATTTTATTTCACCAAATGATATGTTTATAGTTAAGGGTCACGCCGGTAATCTCGTCTTTGGTATTTTGAATGGAAAACAAGTCGTTTGCATGCAAGGAAGATTTCATTATTATGAAGGATATTCCTTGGATAAGGTAATTGATACATGCACACATGCACACTTAGGTTCACTTTGCAAAATATACCGTACTAGCTTTAAACTTCATCTCAATTAATCTACTAGGTGACTGCTCCAATCCGAGTTATGCATTTACTGGGTATAAAAACACTCATAGTTACCAATGCGGCTGGTGGGATCAATCCATCCTTTAATATCGGAGATGTGATGATTCTGAAAGATCATATCAACTTTCCGTCACTGGCTGGTGCAAATCCGCTTAGAGGACCTAATGACGAAAGGTTAGAAGAGCCCAAGATTTACCTATGGATAATAATAAAGCATATTACTGTATCCTCACTGTATTTCTCATTTCTGTAAGGTTTGGCGAGCGATTTCCACCAATGAATGCCGCATACAACAGAGATTTACAAAAACTTGCCAAGACATCTGGCCAAGAACTAGGCTTTGGCAGTTTTCTCAGAGAAGGGGTCTATGCATGTGTGGGTGGACCTTCATTTGAAACAACAGCTGAACTGAATTTCTTGCATAGGGTATGTGGCTCACAAGTTGTGGCTTAGGCTTCACTAGATTGTGTGGAATGTACAATCAAAGTTCATTACTTTTTCTCAGGTTGGAGCTGATGCTGTTGGGATGAGCACGGCACATGAGGTGATTGCTGCTGCACATTGTGGCATTCAAAGTTTGGGTATTTCTTTGATTACAAATGCCGCTGAATTATCTTACGATGCTGAATCTAAAATCAGTCATGAAGAGGTCTTGGAAGTTGGGAAGAAACGCTCAAAAGATGTTGAGAAACTAGTTAAATGTGTTATTCAAAAATTATAAAGGCTGCATCAAGACTTGGTGGTTGGCACTGGTACTTATTAAAAATGGTTGGTTGGCCAAATCTCATTTAGAAATTGGCCTGGCCCCAAATTAGCCACCAAAAGAAGTTAAAAATACCAGTGCAAGACACCCAATCTGAATGCATCCTTAAATCTTAGGAATATACTTTTATACCTGACAATAAATGCAATAAAATTTTAAATACCTTACCATAAGCTGTGGCACTGTAATTTAACATATAATTCAGGGATTCAAAAATTTTTACTAGACTTGATCTTGACTATAAATATAGTAGGTTATAGGTTCTGAAAATATTGTTTGAATTTAAATTATATTAAATATCAGAATTTACATCATGGTTTTAATTTTTTTATTCATAATTATAAATACTTTATTTATATATAAATATAGTAATCTTATTTTTATCTGAAATTTATAAAAATAGCAGTCTATTGTAGGTTTTTCATATTTCCTATGGTCTTTTAACTTACTCTCCTTCATCAGAATCAAAACTCTGGATAGAACCTAGCATTGGAACATTATCTTCACTATTTCCTGATATTCCTTTATCTTCCCTTTTATTTCCTAAAATGAAAAACAAATCAGTGTTATGATACATTTCATTGCCTTGAATTGTAATAAAGACAGCAAAATTACCTTGATATTTAAAGTAAACATGAAGAATAATTCCTAGTAAACAAATGACTAATCCGCCGAATTTCATAAAATTCATTTCATCACCAGCAAATTCTGTTGCAAGTAATATAGTACATAATTCCTGGTGGAGAAATATGTTAAAGTCAGTTTGAACATAGTGCATTGATTTGTATGTACATGTATGGTGCAGTAGATATAGAGAATCTGTCTATCCTTATTCACAGCATATACCAATATATCACCAACCATATACCTTAAATATTCCAGCAACCGCAAGCGTTATACTGGAGGTGCTAGCCAACAGAAGGTACTCTGACACAGTCAACATAAATGCCAAAGACGATCCAAATAAGACAAACGATGTTGTCGTTGCAATAATATATGTTGAAGGTGCCCGAAATGCTTGCACGGAAACAGCCAACTTTGGACCTGTGAATGTTGATTTATTAAAACCATCATAGCATTTGATATTTGCATGAATTCTCTAGCTCTGATACCAACCTTCAATTCCAAGTGCTAAAGGAAGGGTTGCCAAAGCCATTAATGGCTGCAAGTGATATATTGTATCAAAAGGGCTAGTTAATCCTAAAATAACCAACAAACATTAGCATTAACACAGTTTAATTATACATCAATCCAATCTCTTATACTTTCATTCTCACCAAAGCTTTCTTTTTGAAGTAACAGCTGTGTAGTTGCCCATCTGATGCCACTCATTGAACTTGCTGTCATAACCTGGTAAGAAGATACATTGAAAATTCAAGGAGTGTTATTTGTATAAATTATATATTTTTAAATTACTGTAATGAATAGAAACGTACAAGAAGAAATCCAGTGAAGTTAAACTGTGTTGATTCATATGTAAACATGAAAAGTCCCCCAGCAATCAAAAACACAATAAGAAATAAAACATAATGCTGAAATTGAAAAAAAATGTTATGTTTATTAATTTAACAATTTTTCAAACTTTGAATGAATTGATATGCAGTTGTTAATTAAACTTACAAATTTTTCCAATCCAAAGATAAGAGAAAAGATAAGAATAAATATGATTGCAGTTGTCTTGCACATTGTATACCTTTAAAATAGCAATTGAGAATAAGTTTTACATTAATCAAACTAATAGAGCTATCTATGATTAACTGCACTGCTGACAGCAATGAAATTTGAGAAACCACACTTACAATGAGACAGTAATAAACATTAAACTCCAATTTGAAAAACCAATATCTAATGCTGTTGCTATTGCTATAATGTAAACAGAGTACCAATATGAAAAACTGAACTTATTGAATGAACAAGCAAGGCTTCCTATATCATCCTAACCTGTTGGGGTCACTCTCTTTAAATAAACAGACCATTCTAGGAGGATCCGTTTTTTGTTAGAACGAATCTCCCAAATTCGTCTTGTAATTGCAGTTAACAGAAACACAATACTGTAATGTACCATTGAGAGAAACAATGGAAAATGAAATCTCTGGAAAATAAAATGATAATATGATGAGATGAGTGAACCTACGGCTACAAACAACACAGATTGAAGACAATTTCCACAGGGAAGAGCTGGGAACTTAACACACTCCCCACTATAAAATTCACCTGTGACACTGGGCCCAGAAAAGTGGAAGAGGGGGGCATATAATAAATGCATATTCAGTACGTAACCCAACCCCTCCCTGGCCCATACAGTAAACATACCTTTCGGGGTCGAACTGGTACAATACAGATACAACGAAGATTTATATAAAACTATTTCGTTTCAGAAATAGTTCTCTAAATACCTTCATAATCCATTTGTTATAGAAAGTCAGACTGATTGAGAACGTGTACATGAACAAAATACATGATCCAATCTTTACAGCCCTCGTGAACAAACTCTCAGAATTCATGTTCTTTATATCACCGCATCGTCTAATTTCGCTATTAAGACCAGCTCGCCTTCATTTTTATTACCGAGAACGATATAATTTAACAATAACTTGATATTTTACGATCTTAATCCATCTAGAAGACTTCTTTTTTGATGACGGGGCAGTCATCAATAGCAGTGCTTCCACAATTGATTTACCAAATTTCCTTTTGAGATGCTAAAAAATCCTTTTTTCCAAAAATATTTCCTTGCCAAAATTTCCAAATTTCCTTGCAAATTCCTTGCAAATAGCGGCCTTAATGGAACAAATTTTTCTCAGTGACAAAATAAACAATATTTTTTTAAGTGATACAGCTGAAATATATTCCATATACAAAAATACTTCCAAAATTCATCCAAAAATTTGGTCACTTTTTATTAAATTAACCACAGAAACTTTGATAGAAGTGTAAAATAGGCGTAGAGTATTTGGGGGGGGGGGGCTGAGGGCTAGAACCCCCCGAGAAATTTTAGGGTAAAAAATTTACTAGGTAATAATTGCATCATATAGCAATGTTGAATCTTTAAAAAGACATCCTTATATACACATGAAACAGTTTTATTAGTGAATATAATAACATATAATAATATATCAAACAACTTAGAAAAGCAATTCTGAAATACGAAGTTTAGATCCGCAGCCACTACTTTCTGTATTCCTCATTTTATACAGGGAGACTTTTAGCTGGGCTTACATGAAGTCTATACCTTGGTTAGCCAAGCTTTAAGCCCCCCTCCCGGAAGAAAACAAAACCCTACACCTATGAGTGAGGAAAATGGTTATATACTTGAAGAACCAAATCTTTGCAAACTTATTATTTTTTATTCAATTTTAAGTCTAATATAAACAATTTTCAAGATTTCCTTGCAATTTCCTTGCCCAGGCTAAAATTTCCTGTCCATTTCCTCCTCAATTTTATTTCCTTGCCTTTTTCCTTGAAAAAGCCAAAATTTCCTTTTGCAGGGAAATTTCCTTGCAAGTGGAAGCCCTGATCAATAGTCATATTTCGCTCCTGAAATCACCTCGCGTGAATGTCTCGCAACGTCGTGGTGTAAAACACGCGTGTCTGGATAGTGCGAAAGTAGTACACATTTTGCTTGGAAAAGCGCATACTAAAATTTGACCCTTGCTGGAGTTTTATACAATGGTTTTATATTAATTTTAATTCTCAAACCAAACATTCACAAAACCATTGATAATTCCGGACGATTGCAAACTGAACTTATGAACATAAGCCGTTCAGAACCAGAAGTACGAATGGCGGAATGGCCTAAGTCTCGTACATCTATAATGAATTTTCATAGGTTATGGACTAACAACATATGATCAATACTGAACCATGTTGACCATTCAAAACATCTTCTTTCACTATTCCGACATTTTTCATTACTTTCAAAACAGCCAACAATACTATTTATTTATATCCGGGGTTATATATAGATGAGGCAGGGTCATTTTTAATTAACATAGCTTCATCTCATGTGGTCAAACTAACCGCTTTCGTTGACATTCTGGAGACAAGTAAAATGTTGGAAAACGACGGCAATATTAAAATGTTGACCTCAACCATCTATGGTGTGGAATCTTGCGTAAAGAAATAGCGCAAAATACGTAGTTCTTCAATCAAAATGTGCAAAACTGCACAAAATTTCAAGCTGCTATCTTCCGGAACTTGACTACGGAGAAAGCCTTCTTTATCTCATTAACGTACGAATTAGTAAAAGATGATATCCTGCTTGTCATGATCATCGATATTGATTTTATTCACTAGCCATGAAATAGCAACTCAAACTATAAAAACCACTGATCAGTTTTTCAAAATTTTCGGTTTTCAAAATCATACACACATAATCTAACAATCGTTTTGGTGTGTGCTTAATTCTTCCTCATTTATACATGCAGAAGCTGTTTCCTTAGGGTGTGTAGTTTAAGTGGTCAGAATGACACAATGAAATGTCGAACTGAATAATTCATTGCAATTCTTAATGTTTATAACGAGTAGGAGGAATAAAACAGACTTAAACAGTATACATTAATATAAGACTTTGAACGGAAGGTTAACATTGAGGTCATACGATATCATAACCTACAATAGTATAGACTTGGCTCTCGTGGTTTTACAATGAAATAGATGAAAATACAGATTTAACTGCTTTTAAGATGGGCAAGTGTTGTTCAAAGCCACACACAACTCGATCAAAAGGTTTTAATCGGGAGAGTAAATACAGGTAATCTCTTGATTTTATCGATATCTAGACACAGACAAATAAATAATGTAAGCTAGGAGTAAGTGAGCATTGGAGACAAAATAGACGATATATACAGAGATCTCAGGATGATAAATTACTATAAACACTGTTGTGTTGACCAAAGAGACAATATATGTTACTGTATTGACTTAATATTGTTAGCCTTTGAATGCGTTCCAAAATAATGGAGACACTAGCTCTTCATCCATTCAATTACCATTCAATTAAATTTTGTTCATATTTCTCGTTGTGATGGCGGATTCCTAATTTAGTTGTCAATGTATCAAATAATATCGCTAATTTCCATCGAGATAAATTTAAATCCATGATGCCCTGTCCGCGGCACACACAGGTGGTTGGTTGCGATAATAAAGAGCAAACAATATGTATGCCAAGTTTGTCTGTATAAATAATATAAGAGAATATTTTTAATGTGCTGTGTAAATCATGCGCAGTAACCAGATATCTGGTACGTCTAACGTGTCAATCCGCCGTCAGTAAATACGTTCAGATAAGCTTTTCTCGCTCCTTCCTTAAAATGGGATTTGCATGTATTCTGTCTAGTGAAATCGTTCATGCAGATCGATGGGCTGTCGCAAAGCTTTGATTCCGTGTATAATCATGGGGGTTTTTTGCGGGGGCAGACAAACAATTGGTGTAGTCTCATTTAGGCTAAAAACCGAGTGTGGTCAACTCGAGTATAGGTGGAAAATAAATTGTTCCTAATTGATTCTTTTCATGTTACCAAATATTATATCACCTTCGCTATTTCATGAAATAGCCTTCGATGAACCTGATCAACTAGCTCTGTCCCAATCCAAAAGCCAAGCAATCGATCAAAATAAAAAAAAGATTTATGATGAAGCCTCAAATTGTGATCAATCAGTCAACTCGTCGGCTTGCGCTTACGTGTAGAAAAAAACCTTCAATAAATTGTAGTAGGACGGAACTGTGAAACGTAAACCTTGTGCAAAAGCCAATATACTAGCCGAGCTTTCACAACTATACATGGATATTACTTTTACAAATATCAAATGTTTTAGCCCGGCTATCCCACGTAAGTTGCTGGTGAAAGAATGGACAAAAGAGGATATAATGACTTGCATATACATTGTTTCCATATATAGCCAGTTTGCAGTAGTGCATTGTCTTCACTGCCTCTGCAATCCATGTCGGTTAGAGTCTTCAATGAGAGTCTTTTTCCTGTCACCTGAAGTCCTGAATAATGCGCGGTCTCTCACTGATCTCCCAGTGAGAGATCACGTCAGACTTCTTGAATATATACCAGCTCTAAGTGCACTCTTATATTCTGCTCTTACTTGACGTGAGCATGTTTTCTTAAACTGCTCTTAAAGAATCGTTGTCATACATATTGTAAACTTGTAGTGCTTTATTAGTCATTTTCCTTCAGACTCCAGATACGAACTATAGTTTGTGCAACTTTCCTTGTCCATTATGATTAGTTTCAGGAAACACTTCGCTTACATAACGGCTTAACGCATTCATTTTCTTAGACTCTTGCGAATTCTTGGCCGCCATGATGAAGGCAATGGCAAAGCAGGCAAAATAGACAATAGTTACAGACGAGGAGAACCAGATGGCAGTGAAGAGGTTACCGAATTACGGAAAACGTCGAAGAAACAAAAATCAAAAGGTCAAGGCGTCTTTGTTGACCATGAGTCAAGTGTTACATACACAGGGGAATCTGATATTGATGTTTATCCACTGCCTGATCAGAATGGAGGAAAGAGAACATCAGGTTAGGAGGAAATAATTTTCGTATGGTTGAAAAAACGTTATATACTTTCATATAATGATAATTTCATCTTTTCACAACATCATTTAATCGAAACAAACGTAGATGTTTGATGTTTTAGGCAAGGCAACTAAAATATCAAACAGTGAATTTGCTTTTAAGTAACATGAAAATATCAATAATCAACTCAACCGTGATTAAATTCCGTTCCTTTGTTGTACATAGAGGATGAAGGCAAGGATAATAATTTGAACCAGGAGAACGCCATCTCTCAACTAATCCGGGAACGAATTCTTAAAGGGGATGTAAACACTGAGATCCCAAATTTGGCAAGAATGGTAAAGATTTTCATCGCATCCATTCACGAAGGTAGGAAACTCTGAAACTATGAATTGTCAAAAACACAGCTAAGTTACTCAAATGCTTCGGCTCTTATTTCTTCTTTATTTTAACAAGATATGGTTGAAGAGAGCCTGATTCTGGAAGAACGAGTTATTCCCGATTTGAAAAAGTTTTGTCGGGAACAAAACTACGACGTCCATATTGTAGAGGTGGATATAGACGATGAACAGTTTAGTTACAAGGATTGGAAGGAAGAAATACAACTGGCTCATCAGGAATCAACTGGTGTTGGCTTCCTTGTAAGTTAAGAGAATTTTAACGAAGCCAAACAAAGCCTGGGGAATGTGGATTAACGTGAAAGAAAAACTATTTTCTCTTTTTATTCAGGTGCTTGTTGGTCAAAATTTCGGGGAGCGATTTCTTCCTGAAAACATCGATGTGAAGGATTTCGGTCTTTTGCTCGAGATGCTGCCGAATGATCACGACGCAGTACGAAGCCTCTACGAGCTTGACGCGAGTAAAATCCCGTGCTACGTTCTCAAGAAAGCGTGTTTCGATCACCACGATGAAGATATTGAAGACGCCTCACAGCTGTTGCTTGCGAAAATGGAAGAGAATGATTTCAAACAGAACTGTGAACAGCAGTATGTTTATAATGGTAAGTTGGTCTTTGTTGTTTGATGGTTTAATCTACGCTGAACTGTAGCGCATGGTCATTTCTGTAAAAGTTTACATTAAATTACCTTGCCTCGTTTTGTACCATCCAACTATGCAGTTTTCCGCAAGATACTTGGGATGTCCGTCTGGAAAGTTTTGAGAATAGAACCACTGTTCAATTTGACGGCTGGAAAATCTTCAATGTTTAATTTCTTTACTTTCAGCGCTCTTACAAGTGGCGTCTCTTGGTAATTCCTTGTCAAATGTAACCTCGTCTGCGCTGTGGGTTGAAAGAACAATTGAACAAAAAAACCTCGCTTTTGACGAGCGAACGAACGACGACAAGGCGGAACTACGAATGCTGAGGGAAAGATATGGGCAAAAAAGGAATGCGATGATCTCCTATGGTGAATTTGCGAAACATGACATCATGAAACGTAATCATTTTCACAAGATTCTAGCCGAAACGATCAAGGAGAAAATTCAAAAGACCGCCAAGCAGGCTACTGTGAACACAATCAATGATGCAAGTCTGAAAGAAGTCGCACAGCATATCATAAAATGTCAAGAAAATGCCTCGAATATTGACGAAAGTCGACAACAAACAATTGATATTCAGAGGCGAATCAGCACGTATTTAAGAATGAATACGAAGAGTCCATTGGTTGTTCACGGATCCCCCGGATGTGGGAAGAGCACAACGGTTTCCATGGCAGCAAAACTTGCGAGTGATAAGATGGTTGATGGTACGATTCTAGTGCTCAGGTTCCTAGGCTCTACCCGCCACTCAAGCAACCTGAGATTAATGCTACGAAGCATCTGTTTCCAGTTGTCCCGAGCGTTTGGTAATAAAGACATAATTCCTGAGGTACGACAGTTTTCTTTCTTGAAAGATGACTTAACTATTGCTTTAGGAAACACCAAGGACATCTCTATTCCGACAGTGATTTTAGGGACAAAATACCATAGCATTGCATTAGTTATCATGTTAACACTATTTCTTTCATTGAAGGACTTCCAATCAGTCGTCAAGATGTTCCACAGTTCCCTTCATAATGCAACGAAAGGAAGACGAATTGTAATCATTTTGGACGGCTTGGACGAACTACCAAAATCCAACTTACTGTGGTTGCCTCGTGAGCTACCGGATCACGTTCGTATTGTTCTAACCACTTTGACTAACGGTGGTTATTACAATGGTCTAAAGGTACGTCAAGTTTGATTAAGAATACTAGTGGTTGTTGTCAAACGAAGCAATGAGATCCCTGGCTGTAAAATCAGGCCATTTCTCCGTCATTAAACTTAAGATTAATCTGACGCAATCATCAAGGAATGGTTTTAGCCCAAGTCAGTATCTAGTTCAGGATCAATACTGTCAAGATTGATAAATGATAAGACTAAAGCTATTTCGAAAGAATTTAAACTGTTTCTCAAAGTGCGTTTGGTTATTTCAGGCAACATTTGAAGACGCAATTGATCATTTCGTCGACATCAGCGAGATCGACAGAACAGACGCTGGTTCTTACATAGACTCATGGTTTGAATCACGTGGCGGCATAGAGCCTGCAGAAGAGCTGAACAAGCGGATCGTGGGTGCTGTACAAAAGTGTCCCAACAATCTTTACCTTAAACTGTTACTCCACTACACCCACCACATGATACCGCTGGAAGACAGTATAGATCACGCAGGCTTACATATACCCAACTCGCTGAAACACGTGATCGAGCATTACTTTGTCACGATGGAAAAGAAACACGGTAAGCCGGTGATACAAAGAATCATGGCTTACTTATCTGCCGCAAGATTTGGACTGAGCGAACGAGAATTAGAGGAACTGTTAACCCGGGAACATACCTCCGGTAAGGTGCCAAGCTCCCGCGTCCGGTCATTCCAACTCTCGCGGATACTTCATGATCTCTCCCCTTTGGTGTCTAAGGCGTATTTCGACGGAATGTTAGTCTTGACGTGGCGTCATCTGATTATTCGTTATCTGGCTTTCGACCGGTACCTGTCAAACAAAGAAGACGCAGTAAAGTTGGCCCATCAAAGCTTAGCACAGTATTATGCCGCGGGAAAGCACTCTACGGGTATTGCCGAGGATCCGCTCGTGATCCTTCGTCGGGTCCACGACCTACCTCATTATTTATGCAAGTTGGGCGACATCGAGAACCTAAAGGACTTGGCTCTATGTAACTTTAACTTTCTCCAGACCCAACTCAAAACCACTTCTATTGACTATGTACTTGAGTGTTTCACTGGAAAACACTGTCCGATGGATCAGGATTTAAAGATGATCGTTGACGCACTGAAGATGTCTTCAGACGCTCTTCAAATCGATCCTAACCAATTAGCAACTCAGTTGATCGGCCGGTTGATAGATTTGGCATCGTCAGACCACATCGCCAGGCTATTAAACGACGCTCGTAAATCCGCACGAGCCTTGATCCCAAATACCGGCTGTTTAAATCCTCCGGGTACTAAACTCCTGCATACCTCGATGGAGCTCTATGGTCCAACCGATTTGACATCGGATTCGACATTAGGACTATCAGCTTCGAAAAATATCGTTGCATTATGGGACGTCCGAAGCGGGAAGGTGATCAGGACGACAACCGCTGGTTCACTTGCGAGGCAGGTTCGTTTTTGTCGCAACAACAGATTGTTCGTGGTCGACACTGGAAACGAGTTGGAGGTTTATGAAACCAGCACGTTCAAGAAAATCTGGGAGCTGGAGTGTCCAGGAGCGGTCAGAGCCATCGCTGTCGCTGGTGATTCGAAAGACGTGTTGGTGGCAGCGTGTGGACACGTGGTTAGGGCGTGGAATTTACGCAGTGGCCTGATGACGAGTGAAATTACGGATGTTGAAGGGATGAGTATTGATAAAATAGCTGGATGGAGAGAGTACGTGGCATGTGCAAGTACAAAAGGAAAGTTTGTGCGTTTATACGAAGTATTTACGGCGGTGTTTGTGACTCACATTAACGCGTATGAAAAGAATACGAGAGATTACGTTGATGACATATTCTTGTCGCCATTTGGAGACGGTCTGGTGCTTACTACTTCGGATACATCGTACGACGTTCGTGTGTTCCGATTATCCAGCGGAGAGTGGCTTCGTAATATCGGAGGTGATATCGTGAACCCTCGTCTGACGTCGGACGGTCATTATATCCTCTCGACCAACAGCCGGAATGATATTAGCGTGTGGAGCCTGGAGACTGGGGTGAAGCTTACGAACGTTTTCCGACACCCTCCGACAAGTATAATTACTAACATTATCGCGAATGATCTGACTGCGCTTGTAACGTTGTCCGACAACGGAATTTTGAGGGTTTGGGACTTGGAGAAGGAAGAGACGATTCAACATGGATTGTCACAAGATAAGAACGATAACTGCATTAGGAATATCATGTTCGTCAAGAGCAGAGGTGAGCAACGCCAGGCTGTAAGTCGGTCGAAAGTATCGGGGGATATTGTTGTGTGGAATCTTTCAAATTGTAAGCCGGTGCGTATTCTGAAAGGGACCCAAGCTGATGACATATTGGTCGTGGACGAAACAAGAGCCGTACTCCGAAGCATGGGAAAGCTGGCGCTGATTGATCTAGAAGAAGGACGATTGATCAAAAAGCTCCGAGTGTCATTTCCAAACATGAGAAGTCGAAGCAAGCTCGAAAGACGAGCGAGTTCGTTGTACAAGAGAAGGAATTTATCGCTGCGTCTTCTGCAACGGTCCGGAGTCGACACGAAGCCGAGATGCGCACAGTTCAGTGATGTTGCTATCGTTGGACAACAATACGCGTTGATGTTGTCCAGCAAACGAGACGTGGTTAACTTGATCTCTTTAGACGACGGCGAATCAGTTGCGCATCTGGACAGCGGTCACAAGGACTGCATCGAGACTGTGCTGGTGAGCGAGAACGGGAAGGTTTTAGTATGCTCGTACGAAAACAGCGCTGCGGCAGTTTGGGACTTGGAAACAAGGCGCGTGATCGGTTGGCTTCGAGTCGAGACCAGCTTCCCTAAGCTCTGTCAGGCCGCTATCACACGGGACGGGAAATACCTTGTCGATTCTGTGAAGATTAACGATTCGATACACATCGTCGTTTGGAATTTAGAAACAGCAGATGTTCAGTGCAAGATTCCTATCAAGGGGGCGACAGTCCACGCGTTGGCTGCCTCCTCGGAAAGCGGTATTCTTATCTGTTCTTTCAAGAAAGATTATCGAAACAGCATGATGGTATACACCTTACGATCTGGCCGGCAAATGTTCGCATTGCCTTGTGGGATACGTCAGCAAACCAATGGGATTCAACTAAGTCTGGACGGAAGGCGAGCGATGACGTTTATCTCCGGACAACGCACGATCAGGCTGTGGGATACCTCTCGTGGGCTACAGATTGGATCGTTTACCGCTGACCACGCGGTATCGGACTGCGCCCTCTCCGATGACGGCAACAGCATTGTCTTAGCAATTTACAAAGCTTCGACTATCACCAGTCTATCGTTGGCTGGCCAAACGTCGTCCAAGGAAATGTCAGTAGATTTGAATAATCCGTACTATAATCCTAAGAACTATGGCGCTGTTTTTGAGTTCCTAAATATTCTAGACTGGGACGATGATAGCAATCACATGGACAATACTTTTGCTGAAAAGCAATAATTAAGTCTGGCTTATGTACAGAGGCAACAAAACACAATTAAGACTGTATAGTTTCTGGGCATAGATTATATTTATATATTAGAGCGAAGATTACTGTGTTTGATTACTGTGAATTTATAATAAGATTACTGTGAATATTACTTTGATTGATCTCATAAAGAATATTGCATATACTGTAGACTTATAATATTATAGTCTGTTAAGCCACTGGCACTGGGAGCTCAAATGATAATAAATTCATATCGTCAAGACGGGATTACCGCGTCTAGTTCATCCCGTCTCCTCGGACGGGAAAGTTAGATGGGAAATTCGCACGAGAAAGCTGTCTGTGACCGGATTCACATCAGACGAGTTTCCCGTGTAGGACGAGTTTCCACCTCAAATACAAATTCGGCAATTCCTGAATCATTGACCGTGTTATGGAATGACACCTTTTGCTTTGTTAAAATTTTACAAATTACAATACCTGATGTGATCACAGCCATTGCCAGATTGATCCAATCCTGTTCTTTTTGCCCGTTCTATATAGGCTTTGCTTGTCCTTATTGCTTTTCAGTTTATTATCTAGTTTAACCACAGAACAGCACATGATATGCCACACTTAACAGCGCTTGTGTTTTAAAAAAAATCTTTCAGACAAATGCAGCCTTCGCACGAGCGAACAGCCGCAGCTGAATAGCTCTTTCTTTAGAGAACATTTCTAATAATACATGTATTGTTAGTGGACAATGTCGCTGACCGGAGGCGAAGAATATTTACCTTTTCTTAATTGCATTCCAACTGAAACACCTTTTGTGTTTCTGATTTTTTCATGTGTGCTCTTAGTGAATTTTATTTTGATTAATAATTCAGTTTTCGTGCTGCATGATTGCTCGTTACGAAAATGCCTTTTTAAAAATTCCAATTTGTATCTCGTGAGGAGGTGTAAAACATCTTATAACGACATTTTTTTAGCCTAATGGAGAGCAAACGGCGCCAATGTTATGAAACACTCATGTGTACTTGTGTTTTAACTATAATACAAAGATGCCTTGCATGAATACAAGCCTGACTTTCTCGTTTTCTTATGGCAAACGTACTTTAATCTTCTTGTACAGTTATGGGACACTGAAACACGTCTACCTTTTCCATTTATCATTTTATTGCGTGTGCAGTTGAGTGGGAGGCTCACCATATTTCAAGTTTTAATCATCCTGTATGCAGAAAAACTTCCTTTGTGACGAAAGGAACTCTAATCTTTTCATCGCCACCTCCCTGAAGAATGTTTTTAAGATAATTCAGCTATTCAGTTACGGAAGACGGAAGTAGTGTAAAATAATAGTTTATATTTCCTCATATAATGAACGAAATGTCATTTACATATCGTACACATGTCCACTGCATTGTTAAACCTTATAAAATATATATATTACTTTAAATAATGCGTTTTAAAATATTGCAGGAGTTGTGGCCTCAATATAGACCACAACTCTTTTTACTATAATCAGTATATATATCTATACATATATATATCGATAAATATTGTTTAAAGCTTGTTATCTTTCCATATATAAGTTATCTGACCAACTTGCCATGTACACAAATGCGTGGTAAATGAAAATAGATAACCAAACTATAAATATACTATACTTTAAACAATATAGTTATCTGAACGCTTTGGTAATACTTTTGTCTTTATAATGCTGAGATATACCGTAATCACAAAGATTGAAAAGTTGTATGGTACATACGTATAATAAATATAATATAATATTCTATACTTTAAAGAGGATTATAAATATACCATTAAGATTTAAGATCTAATTCTAGCAGACAATTTTTTTAGTAGTTTATCTTTTCCTTTGCGTAAGTAACAAATCCTTGCGAAACTGAGTTCACCTTACGCAATAAAAAATTTTGGAATTTCTGTTATTTTTTTTCTGCGGATGTATCAATTACGTCATCGCAGATATAAATCAAAGAAAGGGTCTTATTATGCAACAACTGACGCAGGGTCTCAGATGAAAAATATTGCTATATCAGTCATTTATTATGACTTGAAAAATCCCTTCTTCGTAACTCATGATTCATATGATAGATGTTTCTGTCAGCTTTTTTGGGCAACTTGCGGACATCACATGGATACAATCGTTCTCACAAATCCCCACAAATCCCCATCCATCTACATACAGTTCCTTTCATTTTAGATAGTCTGCGCTCGGGAATAATCTTTCCTCCGTTTGATTTTGAATTTGAACGTCGGCGTCTTAGGAGAGCCAGTCGTCTTCTTGCTTTTCTCATCCCGGGCTCGTGTGCGTTCTGAGAATAACTGTTGAAAAATCCTGTTCACATTCCAACGAAATTTGGCCGACGTGAGCAGAAACTCACAGCCGAGTTCACGAACTTGTACAAGTTGCTTGCAGAGAATCTCCTCTTTTGTGACAGTTTTTCGCGTCGAACAAGTATCACTGAGATTCACAAAACATTGTTCAGGAACTTTGCCATTGTCCAACTGCATTTGCATACTCCAAAGCGCATCAATATTAGCTAAATCTGCTTTATTACATACAACGATTATCGGAACTGTGCTAATATCTTTCACCTCCTTTAGTCTTTTTAAACACATTTTAACCTTTTCAAAACTCAGTTCATCTTCCAGCGAGTAGACGAATATGAAAGCGCCGGCCTTTTCCATTGTCAGTCGCTCCATGGCTGGGAACTCGAAGCTTCCCGAAGTGTCAGTTATTTCCATATGGTATAACGTTTCCCCACAATAGAAATTCCCGATATGATGGTCCTCGACGGTTGGCGAGTATATTTCTTCAAAAGGCTGTCCTAAAAATCTTGAGATAAGGCTACTTTTGCCGGTGTTTGCTGCTCCCATCACTGCGATTCTTTTAATAACAGAAATACTCCTCTCTAACCGTTGTTTTGTCATGATGTTGTTAGTTAACGTCGTCTTGATCTCTTTAATCCCTGCATGCATATAAACGCTGATTCTTATGACCTTCGCTGTTGTGAGTCCCAAAGGCCACATTAACGCATCTTATATACAGCTAAGCAACGTTGCTATGGAGCGAATCACGCCACAAAGGGCCACTTAGATATCCATATCCATGTTGACTGAACAAATTGAAAGGAAACACGTGTTCAAAGGGCATGGTGGGAAAACGAAAGCCATTGTTCATCATTTCTATCCCCTTCAATATGCCCACTCATGAAAATTATTGTAAAAAACATAGTTTGTCAACATTGTACGGATGAATTAAACGCCAATTATCATAGCTAAGAGGCAACAATGCCAGAATAAAGACGAGAAAAATATCATATTTCCGCATCACGCAACCTGTAGCGCGCGGGAAAAATAGATTATGACCAAATGCTTATGCCAGCATTTCAGCGTGACATTACGATTACATCAGTCATCAGTTCGTTTCAGACGAAGTTGCGTAATTATAATCCCCGTTTTAAAACGCAGAAAAACGGTGTAACATTTCTAAAATTACCCTAACCTGTAGAGTTTAATTGGCGCTTCATATTCAACTAATATGCGAAACACAGATTAACAGCTGCATGCTAGACGTTCAGACTTTGCTATTTGACGCTTACAATTTATGTTCTGAAGAGCAGTCTTGCACAGGCATGTGGTAGTTCAAAATTATGAGAAATTTTAGGATAGATTGAAAAGCTTTTGGTAGGTTTTAATGTCACATTGTCAGGTATATAACGAAATTCAAACAAAATTATTCAACTTGTCACTACATCAACAACATCACGTAGCCCATCGTAAATCTTAAAAGACAAATCTGAAATCCAGATGTACGCAGTTTTTTTCACAGATCGCCATGCGAACGAGAGTGTGTTCCGATTCCTGAAGAAACATTAAAAAAATGCCTGTCACGGGACCATGCATGCATATACATGTTTTAATTCTTACGGTATATCACGAGAATTTTGATGACAGAAGCCTAAGGTCATATTGAAGAGTTGTTTCTGATATAAAGCTCCTTCAGGAGACGAAAAGGAAGCAACGGACGCTAAGAAACCATAAACCTATTGGAATTTTCATGCACTGTCACTGTCAGTGTGTGTGTCCTCGGAAACGAATGTACCTAAAGCGACATTAAAAACATTAGAGACTCGATTAGAGATACCTTACATGCAAGCACAAACATGCAGTACATTAATTACCATACACACGTTGTTGTATCTTCAAAGACGTAGTTTATTAAACCATTCTTCAACAGAAGCTGAAACGAAAATAATCCTTCGGGAAGCCACGCAGATCTTTTACAATGAAATAAATCGTGAAAGGCCAGTTACTGGTATTAAAAGCTTTTGTTGTTTATTCAGTAATGTAAACATGCCCACGCTAATTAAAATGAGTGCGAAGAATGTTTGCATTGTGGCATACATGAAAGAAGACTTGTGCAGTTTTTTTTCCCCATTTTTTTCTCCAGCTACCATTAAGACGCTTCAAAATGTGTCCACATTCATGCATCCGTCGAGAGTGTTTGCAACTGAGAGAGTTCTACTTTTGTATAGTCAACATTTTCTTTCCATGGCTAAAACTAAAAGAGTTTCATGAAAACTATCATGCAAATGAGATTTAGGAATGACGTACGTAGGGTGTCCCAAATCCCCGCATATCTTTGAGTTCCTGTAATGATCAATATTGGATATTCCCCCCACGCATTACTAAATAACTCAACTGGAAGTTATAGTGCTTTTTCCTGGGACACCCTGTACTGCAGGGATAATAGATTTTGGCCACGATCAAATGCGTTAACTGGCTAACAAAGGAGAGCTTGCGTGATGTACTTGAATCTGATTTGAATGAAACACAAGCAGCACCAAGATTGAACGCATGATTCAATTATTATAAATCATGATTAATCAACTGCAATATATTATTTATGGTTCTCTCAAGGTCGAGTGTTTTCGTGCCTAAGGCACGATACATGTTTTTCATAGTTTCCATATTCACTCACGCGAGAGTCATTGGTTCATCCGCTGTACAAGACGCATCAAATTACAATAAGGCTTCAAGAAAATTCCAAACTTGTTCCCACTCCCCAGGCATTTTCCCGTTGCAAATTAGCCGTCATATCTGCCTAAAATATTTAAATCGCGTGGACACCCACGATTGATAGCTATAGATATATACCCCCCACACCGTCATTAAATAAAAATGAACGTTTTTTAAACTTCACAAATCCTGGCTCTATGTGCAAATGAAGGTCTTTGCCTGCATGATAAACTCTCGTTTACATTATCTCATTTTAAAACACGAGTCCTTTTCATACACGTCTGAGCTTTAGAAATTGTCAAAAAAATTTATCGCAAACATGTTTATCCGCCATTTTTAATATTTCAAGTACTACCCATGCACCTGCAACGCTCGACGGGTCATAAAAATATACAGTAGCCCCGCTCTACATTCAACTTCAACAACAAATTTTTCAACAATTTACACACTTTCTTTATTTAACTTTTCATGAAGTCATCATATAATACTCGACCTTAAATTTCATTAAATATAATACAAGGTTTGTGCTCGAAAATGTCAGTCATAACTGGGACAATACATATATCTATATATGTTATGCCGACATTGATCTTGTCCTAACCAGATGTTTTGGTCTCTGGGAGCGATAATTCGGACACACTATCTGAAGCCACAAGCTTGATCGCCGTCTTTGCTCGGTTATTCCTTCTGTCAACCGATTAGTCCTTTCTTCTTCAATGTCGACAAGTTCATAAAAAACTTTGTTAATATTCCAGCGAACCTTCGCTGAAGTGAACATAAGTTTACATCCCCATTCATCGACTGTCTTTTTCTGCGCTTGAAGTTCATCAAAGAACGGCAAAGATTCAGCATTGCTTGAATTCTTTACAATGGCTTCCAAGCTAGCTGTATCAGTTAAGTCAGTTTTGTTACAGACGACAAGAATGGCGACCTTTCGTTTCTCGTTTTCTTTGTATTTCAGTATCTCCTGTCGATGCCATTTCACTTTCTCGAATGACTTTGGATCGTCAAGTGAATACACAAGAATAAATGCTTCAGCTTTGGAGATAGCGATTTGCCGCATAACAGGAAAATCGTATGAACCTGTTGTGTCCAGAATTTTCAGTTGCCTGCACCTGTGTGTTCCACGTATGATATCCTCTTCATAGTAATCTTCAACGGTAGGATTATGCTGTCTGGTAAAGCTCTGACCGACAAAACGACGAATTAATGACGTCTTTCCAACCTTCTTCGCTCCAAATACTGCAATTGTGAGTGGCGTTGCAAAGCCTAATCGTTTACCTGCCATACCACTTTAGAAATTGTTCAGCTTTTTTCAATTCAATATACTGATCTGAACGGCACGCCGTCGGCTTTATATATACACTGCAGCTTACCCACGCAAATGTAGGCTGAGTTGCATCAGTTTGTAACGCTCGAGCTCTGGGTCTTTCTTTGAAATAAGCGACATGACGAAATGGCAGCTGCTATGAGACGGTGTGACGTCAGTAGTCTTAATTACACCGACTATAAACTTCATATGTACTTCACGAGGGTCCAAAAATATACGAAAATTGACGAATACTTCTTCGAAAAAAATTAGTTATTTTTATGTCGTAAACTTTACTACATCCTCGTAAAAAACCTCTCAAATTTCAAGAGTACGTAATTTCGAGCCAGTTCTAATTGCGTTTAATTTTATATATCGGGAGACGATCGGTGTCTATATATTAATTTAAATAATGCATTTAAAAAATATGTCGTTTTAATTTTCCACATGTGATAACACCATAAATATGAATTTTCTATTTCTTAGTTTTTCATTCTTAAAAATCAAATAAAGTCTTTGAATGACTAGCCTATTAATACTTAAAATGCTTCTCAAAATATAGCGAGGATAATTTTACGCCATGAATATGTATAATTCATAATGGGATATCGTTGACGGAGATAAAATGTTATATTTAGCGTTAAATATGTGAGTGGGTGACAGTGTCGCAAATGAGACGAAAAAAACGACGGTGCATTTATAATACAGCTGAAAAATTGAAACATTTTTGGCCTCGACTTTCTATGAAATCTTCCGTTTTCTTCTATTTTTATGAGATTTAATTAATGAAAATCCGCATTATACTTTCGTAGTAAATGCACTGAAATTTTGTGGGGGAGACTTCCACACGTGGCTTGATCGATATTGTTCGTCGACTACAATCTTAATGCTCTTAAAGTTTTGCCGTAGAATTGCACGAAATGTGTATATCATGTAGTTTTGAACAAAGTAACCTCGGATGACCCAGAGATGCGTAGATCATTAGCAGATGCGAATGTGGGCAAGTATACGTGGGCTTTATATATGATATTTCTGGTATATGTATGTTCCCACAGGCACAGCTGATAGTGACGAAGCCAATAAAGTTATAATATGAATTACTGCGTGTCCTATATGAGAACGTCCATTCTATGTTTTCAAGAGCTGGGTAACAAGCGTGAATTCTCACCTCAGTTGATAATTTTTTTCTATCTCAACGATTGTCGATGAGCAATGAATTGAATTCATAGAAAATTGGAATTGGATTTTCCATTTTTTAATGTTTCATTTAAGTTTGAGTGAAAACGAGGAAGTCTTAGAGAGTTTATGAGGGTTGAACTCCGACACAGCTGCTGCTGTTTCAAGTCGGTCTTTCACCCACAGCAAGCGTTTCAACATTTTTAAGTGGAATTGCAGGCGGTTTTCGGTGAAATACTTCCTCTGAATAACTCTCTTGTCTATGAAAAAGTTAAAAGCTAGAACAGAACATTGCTTAAAAAGCTCTAAAAAAGATCAACAAAGATGCAAGCCGTTCCTCGTCCTTGGCAGAAAGCTATCTTGAAAAAGAGGATAATTAACGGCATTTATCAAAAAGGAAAACATAGTCAATCTTAGACTCAATTCTCGTTTGTTTTCATTTTGTTCTATATCAACATTCTTGAGGCTGGCTAAAGATTAAAATGAAAAACTCATCTTTTTCTCATATTTTTATTAACTCCCCATAGTTTTTCATTACTGCTACAGGATATATGAACTTGGGATTATAAAAAAATAATATTTATCAGCTAAAAAAATATATAATTAAATTCCCAGAGCAGACTTTAAATAAAGAAGAGTTAAATATAATACAATCCTTATAAGAAATGTAGAAACCTCGAAAGACGCACCTACACACTACAATATCATAGCGATAACTTAACGTGGATGACAGACACAAAAACCACATTGAATTGAACGAAAAGGCTGAACCTGTAATGTGACGTAGCTCATATTGAATAGATAAAATATTACAAAACTTCGGCCTTTTCGCACAATATGCTAATGCTATCCAGGGAATCATCCCTGGTGATAATAATTACCTATATATCGCACATCACTGGCGATCCGAAGATTCTCATTCTAAACTGCATTCTAAATTTTATTCAAAACCCGTGCAAGCCGTCGTTGATTCATTCTTCCTGGTTATTTTCTGGACAAGAGAACATGGGAATTATATAATTGATGTCATTCTATATTTTTTATTTTCACCACTCTCGTTCGATCCATCAGAGGAATTGGAGACCCACTTATTCTTCATTTCCTGACCAAGGGGTTCTGGGAGGGTATCCATATCCTCCCTGCTGCCGCGCATACGCGGTTCATACCTCTCGTCACGTGAAGGCATTTGCTTAGCAACAATAAACTCAGGTTCTGTGAAATCTTGTTCAGACCTTGATATATTCACCTCAGGCCTAACCGTACTAGTATCTTTATAATCGTGAAATTTAGGCCACGACACAGGCCCTGTTTCCGAATAACCATCATATTTTGGTACTGAAACAGACTCGAATTCACTGTTAAAACGTGGATGATCAAACATGCCATTTCTCTTATCCATAGTATACCCTGAACCTCTGCTTTCTGGCTGATTTCGTGTCGGAATATAGTCGGGTGCGTCATGCTCCTCGTCGGAGTAATTCGTGTAATGTTCGGGTTGTAACGGCACACTTCTTGCGAGAACAACTTCATCGGGTGGGGACTGGTCAGCAGTTGTCACATCGACCGTCGTACTTCGTCGAAATGAATTCTTTTCATCAGTGGCAACCTGACCGCGGGCAGCTGTTGTTTCAAAACTGGGAATGAATTGACTGTATTCATTGCTTTCTGACTGACGATAAACACTGGACTGTTCTTTACGCTTATTGTATTCTGACGGATAATAGTCATTGCCGACAGACCTCTGATAATCACTGGACTGTGGTTGGGTGTAGGCGAATTCCGATGGGTAACGTTCACTGCCCTCTGATCTTCGATTGTAACTGGTATATTCTGCGACCTCTGGTTTATTATATTCATTTCCCGCTGAGCGTCGATAATTACTGGACTGCTGTTGGGAGTTATAATCATATTCTGATCGGTAAGGTACATCGTCACCTGACCTTTGATAATTTCTGGAATAATCTCCGAAATTATCGAGTTCTGATTTATTGTATTCATTGCCCTTTGATAGACGATAATTACTGGACTGTTGTTGAGAATTATATTGCGATGGTTCGAAGCTTCTTGTAGCCACAATGACGGGTTCATTTAGTTCAGAATTTTGTGGCAGGTGATGTTGATCAGGTGGCACCTCGCGTCTGAAGTCACGCTCTCTACTTTGGGACTGAGAATAAGAGGGTGGCGTGTTTGTCTGCATAGCAAACGCAGGATAGCCCGTGGCAGTAATTTGGGTGTAGGTATAGTCTTCACCTTCTCGGGAGTGGGTGGAGTGGGATGGGGCGTTTGATGATACAGAAAGTGGCGGTTGTACCGTTTGTGCAAGGAGGATGTATTCTTCACCTTCCAGAGCACTGGGGTGCGGAGGTGGTGCGTTTGATGGAGGAGGCGGTGCGTTTGACGGAAGAGGAAGTGTGTTTGACGGAAGAGGAAGTGTGTTTGATGGAAGAGGTGGTGGGGCTGTGGGTGTTCCTTCCAATGCGCGGGTTAAAGAATTTCGACGTTTGCGTGGTGGTGCTACAGGGGAGACTTCAGGAGGGTGGTGGTGGTAATCGGACTCCGACGATGAACGGCGTAGCGATGTTCTGTGTTTTCGTGGTGGGGCGGTGGGTGAAACCTCTGTCGGGGGATGAACTTCAGAAGGTGGAGTGTTTCGGTGCTTGCGGGGTGGTGCTTTGGTGGACACTTCAAGGGAAGAGGGGTAATCAGGTTGAGATAACAAATTAGTATTTTTAGATAAGTTTTTAGATAAATAATCGCTAAACTCCGTTGTTGACTTTCGATTAGGGACAGAGCCAGAATCCTTAAAAACAGGTGGGGGAGGTGCCATGTAATTTGGCCTCGATGATGGACGATCTTTGCCTTGTTCTGGATATGAACCACCCTCGGAGGGTGATTTCATCAACCCAGGGGGAGCGCGGTACGGCGGGGGGACTCTTCGGTCTATTTGTGGATTACCATCCAAATCATCCCTGGTAGGTTCACGATCGTCCTGAGGTCTCATCTGATATCCAGAACTGTTCCGACGTCTGGTGTTATCTAACAATACTTCTGGTAAAACATGGCGACCCTCACTTTGGTTTGTCTTGGAAGGAAGGCTGTGTATCGTCCTTCGCCTGAGCTGGTCTAGAGATTCGTCTGCTTGACTTGTAAATCCTTCTGACCTTCGTTGATTCGCGACGTTTCCTGATCTTTGCTCATCTCTAAAAGATTCGTATCTTTGATCTGTGAAACCTTCAGATTTGGGTCTACTGTATTTCAACGCTTGCATTTCGTTTGATCGTCCTTGATCTCTTAAGTCCTCAGATTTACGCCTCGTAAATTCTTGATCGATTTTTAGGACATCTTCCTTCGAGCCTCGTCTAGGATGGTCTAAAGACACCTCCTTTTGTCTCGAAAATCCTTCTGACCTTTGCTTGTCTCTGAAATCCTCCGCAGAGCTTCTTCTGGGATGATCTAAAGACACCTCTTTTCTGGGATAATCTAAAGACACCTCTTTTCTGGGATGATCTAAAGACACCTCTTTTCTGGGATGATCTAAAGACACCTCTTTTCTGGGATGATCTAAAGACACCTCTTTTCTGGGATAATCTAAAGACACCTCTTTTCTGGGATGATCTAAAGACACCTCTTTTTGTCGTGATAATCCTTCTGACCTTTGCTTATCTCTGAAGTCTTCTGTGGAGCTCCTTCTGAGATGGTCTAAAGACATCTCGTTTTGTTTTGATAATCCATCTAGCCTTCGCTGATCTGTGTGATCGTCCGTAGAGCTTTTTCTGGGATGATCTAAAGACACCTCCTTTTGTCTCGAGAATCCTTCTGACCTTTGCTGATCTGTGTAATCGTCGGTAGAGCTTCTTCTGAGATGATCTAAAGATAACTCCTTTTGCCTTGGGAACTCTTCTGACCTTTGCTTGTCTCTGAAATCATCAGTAGAGCTTTTTCTTAGATGGTCTAAGGACATTCCTTTCTGCCTCGAAAATCTCTCCGACCTCCTATGGTCTGTGAAGTCCTCAAGTGAGGCTCTGAAACCTTCAGATTTTCTTCTTGTTTTCAGCTTTGAAACTAACACATTCTCCTCGCTGTGTGCTCGATGTATGGGAAAACCATCAGACTTTCTTCTTGTATGTTCTCCCTTCCTGCTGTCTCGTGTAAAGTCGTGCTTCATATCAGCTCGTTGCTCCACACGAACATTGTATTTCTTTCCTCTGTAGTCTGAATTTGTGTTATCAAACTGCAGACGATATTTTTTTGGAGAACTCGATGATTGAGTTGGTTCCACATACACATCACCGTCTTTCATACCAGAACGAGTATCCACATAATCATTTGGATTCCAATGATCTGGTTGACTTACTTCAGTTGCTGTATCGAATTCCCTCTTACCGTCAAAACCCCTGTCGCCGACATATGAAGTTGAGATAGACGGCTGACCAGCTTCAAAACTAAAAGCATTTCGTTCGTTTTCTTCAATGCGAGGAGATTTCTTCAACTTTTTATCTTTCTTCCTTGGCGGCCTGACAGGAGAAGGCTCCTCTAGGCTCTCCGCAAACTGCTGTTCTTCGCTTGTCAATATTTCACTCACTTGCTTATAATTATTATTAAACTTTGGAACTACTTCGCCATTTTGGTAGCCAGAGTTTGCTGCAACTTTTTCATCCTCTTGAATCGCTTGTTGCTCTTCGTATTTTTCTCCTGGTTGTGTTTCGCCTTGTGCATTTAAAAAGCTCTGCGTTGGACGTTCTTCCAAGTCATCTGTAGTTCTCTGCCCATCATCACGGAAACCTGGAATGTTCCCGTTTAACTTTCTAGGTTCATTTAAAGTCTCATCATACTGTAGAGTGTCTTCGTCCGGACCTTTGTCTGAGACAGTCTTAAGATTGGCTTCCTCACTCCTGACGGGATCTACCCTTTCCATTTCAGAGTCAGAGTCAATCTTAAGCCTCAAAGGTTCCTCATCTTCGCGTTCAATGACTTCCTCTGCGAAAGTTGCTGGATTTCCTGCAGAAGCTGACGGAGGTATTTCAGTCATGTCCACTGTAGATCGGTCCACACGCTCATCTTGAAGACGTTGGTTAATATTATCCTCTGAAAATGACCTTTGCTTAATGGAGTCTGATCCAAAAACAGCATCACCTTCTGATGTAGCTCTATTCACCATACTAGGCCGCAAATTGTCACCACCAGGTTCTTGCACATCACTCTCCGAGATTCGCGAAAGATTTCTAAACTCGTTTTCCGGATAACTTCGGCTTGAAAGTCTTTGGCGTGTTTCATTCGATATGCTGTTGGTATCCAGTTCCCCATCAACCTCCCCGCTGCCATCGTTAATATTGTCACGTCTTTTTTCTGATTCTTCTCGTTTGGAGGAGTAAAACATTGTCGGGAATAAACTGCCCGAGTTGCTTCGTACCATTCGTTGGAGATCTTTCTCACCACTTTCTAGCGTTGATTCGAGTCTAAAAACCAAGAAATATTTCATTCATTCGTTGCAACCACCTCAAAGAAAACACACACGAACAGTTCTTGAAATATACAAAATAAAACGATGGGAAAAAGTTCGGGATCCTGCATACATAAATTAAAAATAAAAAATTACCTCAATTTTACCTGTTTTACTGGCAAGTTACGTTGGTCAGTTTGTACGTTGGTTAAACTAGAATTACTCAGGCAGTCGGCCTCGACTTCAACTATGAGGTTTATAATTTAGAAATATCATAGCCTGTTAACAGCCAGCCTGATTTCTGCTAAAAAGGGATAATTCCAGGCTGCTGACAGACTAGAATGTTTATGAAATACTTTAACTTTACAAGTGATGTATATTTCAACACCTACTCGGCATATTCAGAATGCATCATCAAGACTTTTACTTGCTCTTAACTTTGGTTTAAATTGTTCAGTTAACGTTGCCGTCGTCGTGTATTCCTCGATATCAGATAAACTAAAATGGTTAAGCACGATTTATCTTTAATAAATATTTGGTTATTCAATTATTCACTTCAGTTAATTGTAATTTAATAATACATAATGTTGAGTGTTAGAAATGGTTATCCTTTGTAGGACTAAGTGATTTAATTTCTATGAATTTAATTTACAGTCTTCGTCATGCTTGACAGAAACCCCAAAAATCGCAAGTGTAAACGGCCTTTAATGATGATAATCATAGATTGATAGATAATTAATGATAATGATAGTGAAAAATTACCTCTCTTGTCTTGAGCTGTCCCAGTGTTCAATGACAGGACGATCTGACTTCTTAAATTTCTTTGGCTTCTTCAAGAAGCGAAACGACGCAGCCTACACATCAAGTTTGGTGGATATTATCAAATCTTGTTCTTTCATTAAAACGCTATCTATCCTGGTCGCAGTTTATTTTACAGGCTCGAGCTATATTTGTGTCAAAAAATTCACCCCTGCTCCGCCATATCTCGAGAATTTCAATTAAAAGAACGTCTGCATTCGATGAATATTTTTGAAATTGGCGCGGCAGCATGGCTGCATGGCGAGAAACTTTCTTCACCCGACCGAGAATTAGATTCGACAAAATTCTTAGAATTTTCAACATACCCCTTTGAGCTTGGGCTTAAGTTTCGGAGAATCCTTCGGGTCCATATATTTACTGAGGCCACCCACATTCGAGGAATCTTAAACAAAAAATTGACGAAAATTATCAGAAATTTTACTAGATGAGTCAACCAAAGTGAGTCAAGCAAATCTTCACAGCCAGACATTCATCTTTTATATTCTTACCAAACCTTCAGCTTTTAAAGTTTTTTCATAATTGACTGTTAGTTTACATTATATGAATATATTAATATCGCTGTTATATATATTATTTCAATTCAAAACTATTCTGACACCGTTCTTAAATGTCTTATTATAAAAACCTAAATCAATGAAAACAAAAAAGAAGTCTTTTTTTTCCAATTTTTGTATCATCCTCGGGAAACTCATCAGCTGTTTCATATCACTCTCACACGCAAATATCATCATCATCACAACTATTATCTTTTGGCTCAAACCCATACATCAAATTCTCGTCGTCGTCGTCCGATTCATCGCTTAAACTTTGTCGGAGCTCATTCGGGATCTCGCCATCGACGTGTGAATGGTGCGAACGAGTTTTATGCTTTCTGGCCAAAAATCTAGCGAGTTTCTCGCGATGTGGCTTCGTCATCTTACCTTCGTTTGAAATTGAAGAAAATCTTTTCGACATTTCCCCAAGAGCTACCGGGAAGAATTGCGAAATTTGAAAAATATAAATATCAACTTCATCGGCTGTGCAATACGTACGATGGAAAAATGATTCGCCATAATTGTTTTGCCATCAGAAATCAGAGTGTGAATGCGTCGATGGTTTGTTGGAATCATTGAATGATTTGTAGAATCGTTTGAATCAACGCCGAGTTAATCAGTAAATTGGTTGTTAATTGTGTTAGTCAGTGCTAGATTTCTACTTTACAGTATTTGTACATATATGTACATACCAATTGCAGCCTTTGGTTCCGTCAGTTTCACTGTTAAAACAAAAAGATTTCTATTAGAACCACAATTTGCCATGTAAACGTCTCTATAGGGACTGAATTAATCTCTTAAATGATTAATAAGTCTCAAATTCTTCATCTCAAGGGTTCAGTAAAGGTCGTCCTTTGTTGAATTTATTTATAATAATAATAAAAAAGATTTTTACGTTTTATTTTTTGCGATGAACCCTTCTTGACAACATCCTTTGCCTTCCTACCGCTGTGGTCACGGATGTGAAAATTGGCGTCTAATAAATTAAACATTCAACAGATTAAGGCCTGCCTTGCTGTCATTGTAATTTATAGGGTCATACAACCGATGAAATAATTTGAAAAACGAGATCCGAAAGATGACTTACGGCATTCATCGATCAAGATGTTGATAATGTTTACTTTGCCAGACATTGAAGCCAGGTGAAGTGGAGTAAAACCCTGGAAAGAAAACAATTGTTGTTGCAAGAAATTGAATTGAATGAACCTCGAGAAGATACGCGTTGAAAAGGAGATTAGAATGGAAGTTGAACAAAAGAAGAAACAACAGAACTACTTACGCCCTAATATGTTTCCAAAAGATGTCCCAAAGAGAAGAAAATGAAGAGAGAAAAAAGTAGTTTAGTGGATGTTGAATTTAATGAAAAAACATGGAAAATAACAAGTCAAAATGCTTCAACAAAAACCAATATTTTACTCACATTCTATTTCAAAATATCCAAATATATCAGTTGGCAACAAAATGGAAGAAAGAAAGAAACCACAAATCAGTTCAAAGAACTTTTAATCAAATATCACAATTTGTGAAGGTAATGAAACTCATACTTACAGACTTTGCATCAACATCGGTGCCACCTCTAGCTAACAATCGCACTAAATCTTCATCTCCGTGTTTAACAGCCCAGTGCAGAGCAGTCTGAAACAACATTAGAAATGATTATGTCTGCTATAACAAACACTTTTTTGTTAAGAAAACAATTGCTTCCACAAATCTGTGTTGAAATTGGAAACGTTTCCCAAATAATTGCACATACTTACATACTAAACATCCAAATGAAATATAAAGGTGTCCATAAAAAAAGAGAAAAACAAACAGTGTAAATTTTACAATTTAAAGAGTTTTTTGAAATGCAAGTTTGTGAATACTTACACCCATGAGAAAATCCTGAGAATGAAAGAAATAAAAAAGGAAATTAGCATAGAATGAAAATTATTTTGCCTTTGTTATTCTACTGGGTATAAATATGAATGTCATTTAGTGCTCTTCAAAACTTTACCCTAAAATTAACAATGCTCGGATCTTCTTCCATTTGACAGATTATTTCTGACTTATTTCCAGTCATGGCCGACATCATCCAACTCTTCTCAAAAGGACTGAGCTGTTTAAAATTGGTTAAATATATTGTTAAATGTTCAAGTTTTGAAGGAAGTATCGGAGTTTCTGATGAAACTGGGGCAAAGAAGTGAGAGGGAAGGGTACATTTTGACCACAACCAGAAAATACCTACCACATGAGATGGTGAATCATATTCTAAAAAAAGGAAAAGGAATAATTTTTAGCTAACTAATACATGGATGAGAAAATTCAATAAATTTACAATCTTAGGTATCTCACACTTATCCCACTTTCTTTCCCACCACATCAGATCGCTTTGTGGAAAGAAAAGAAAATGAATAAGCACTTACCATAATAATCATCCCCATTGAAAATTCCCTGAAAAAAATGAGGTACAAAGCTGAGAATGCTGGTGCATGCATGACCACAAGGGCTAGCCTTGGGGTTTAGCTGCAATACTTACAGTATCACTACTGTTCTGTGACATTTGATCATACTCAGAGTTTTTGGAAAAAGAACTTTGTCTCGAACCTCCTGGTGATTCAGACTGCAAGGATGATACCTTGGAGAGAATTTGAAATATTTTATTCCTAAATATTATTCCACATTAAGAATTTATTGCAGGTTGTTCCAATGCTAATGCAGAAGGAAACATTTACACCTGCAAGAAAACCTGCAGTGTTTTTCACAGTAACTACTTAGGAAAACATTTCCTTAATACATACAGCTGTATCAACTCCACTGTCATTAGCTTGAGCATGCTCAATATCTGCATTATTTCTTCTCATTCCTACATCGTGCGACTCTGAGCGAAAGCCAGCACGTGAACGGACACTGAAACTCGCCCTGGACTTGCCATTTGGTAATGCTAACTTTCCAAAAGCATCTTCTGTCAGATAACATGAAAGCATATTTCATAAGTGAAAACAAAATTAATGAATTTGTCGTACAAATAACTGCATGAACACTTCTTCCAAGATAGAAATATTTACCTGCCGCAGAAAATCGGAAGCTTCTCATAGAAGCTGGCAAGGAAACTCCCTTGTCTTTCCTTTGATTCACTTGCCGCACATGTCTTCGTAGCGTTACGGGTGTAGCTTTCTTCAGCACAAAATATTTTTCCCCCTAACAAAACGGTTTCATATTAATACCAAGTTTACACAGGGAATTTGCTTTAGTAAATTTTCTGTATTATAAATGTATTTTGCCTTTGGGAATGGGGAAATTGTGATAGATTTGTTATGGCAAATGCATCTGGACAAAAGGTTGAATGCTAATTTTTCATACCCAAAGACAATACACCAAAGAAAATGCAAAAAGAGCTTTAATCTGATATCACTGACAAGATAGTACTTTGAAAAATATCAATCACCAGACACAAACCCAAACAATTCAGGTAAATCATATCAAATGACTAGCAAAACATTCTCCACCTCAAATCATAGATCTCAGGCAAGCAAAATTACTTCTGCAGAGGCTGCTGTATTTAATAGACAAAACAGAACTCACAAGAGCTCACTGCATTGCCTAGGTGATGCCTCGATGATCACAATATTGTATGTTATAAATTTTTAATCTCCAAGAGAATTTGTCACAACAAATATAGAATTACACTTAATGCTTGCCAATTGAGAATGGCAACTGTAACATAAACTAATAAAGTTTACTCGTTCAACAGAATTAACGCTTTGGCCAAATTGAGCAGATATTTATTCTTCAGAAATGTACATAAGCCATCGGAGAAAGATATTTCGAAATAAAGTACATATTTTTACACATTGTTAAACAGTAATAACCAATTTAATGTTGCCATGTCATTGTATTTTATTGACGGTTTATCTTTCATAAAATTAGCTTGTTTTACTTGGTAGTTATAGGTTAGCAGCGATGAAGTTATTGTCATTAAAATGTTCACACTAATCAACAACAAGTTATATAATAAAACATTATTCAAACCTCAATATTTTGCACGGAAGCTAACGAGTTGATTATGTCTCCGAAACGATTATTCGATGTTCCTGGTCAAAAAGATAACGAAAAAGCAGTTGAAATTCAACAAAATCGGGGAAACAAGGATTGCAAGTTTAAAGGGAAGCATAAAGCTTTAAGTATTTACTGTGGATTTACCAACCTTGATCGTCGGATTTGTCTAAATGGCCTCGGAAGTGGCCGAATAAGTCGTCTCGTTTCACCTTGCCTCCATTCTTGATAAAATATTCGCGCACACTCGCGGCAGATAACACTTCATCGCTTGCCATTTATGGCTTGATTATATTCCAGTTATAAAGACGCCTTCGTTTTCATCGTTGTCATGTTGAATATCATCGCTCTTGCCAGTGTTTCTCTTCCAATATTGACATATAAAATTGACCTGATATTACGATCCATTATTGTGTCTGTTGTGTGTCCGCTCGCTGCGGGAGGAAAACTTTTAAAGTGGTTCCGTCAGGTTTGTTTTCGAGCCCGCGCTGGCATTTCTATCTTCGCTTAGGGAAACTTAATGTTACACGTTAATGCCGTGTGTTACACCCACTGATGGTTACACCCTGGATACACTTTCCTTGCAACTTTCCTTGCAATTCTACTCCTGGGGCATCTAAATTTGTCAAATGCAAACATTTCTTACGCTCTGCTAACGTTCTCTTAGCATTTCCAACACCAAAATTTAATAACATCCCTCAAAATTATAATCTTATTATATACAATTTATATTATCATAGTACGGAGCGATATTTACAAGCAAACATTATCCACACTGCGCATGTCGATTCTGGGTACGGAAATACGCGCACACGTAATGCATGTCTGACGTGATCTCCTTGACAACGCACGATCTCTTCGCACACAGGAGACCTAAGAAGGAAAGCGGGCATGAGGTCGTATTGCACGCATGGAAAAGAGTTGATAATCACACAATATTACCTCAAGCACGTTCCAAGCGCCCGTCTGGGGTTCATGTGAACGAACTGGATTGGAAATCCTTTGAATGTGTGACCGTCTGGTACATTCTGACGAATCGCGTGTTGAAACTCCTCATTTCCTACTGAGAGTCCCGTCTTGTGTTCCAACTCATAACCTGCCAACGCTGGAGTCAATAAATAACTAAGTTCATCATCCCAAATCGTTCCTAAACCCATATCCTGCAAAGTAAAAGCTTCTGTTTAATTCAAAGTTGGACCATTGATAGTTAAAAGACATGTCAGTAAACAAAGGTGATTTTATTATCCATGGTTGGACAAAGAGTTTGTAAACGTTTGTATCTAAACTACATGACTACAATTACTCAAACGTGGTGGTCCATTGTAGGGAAAATTTATCCATACGTTGAATTCAGTTATAAGCATGATTTTCAGTCATTCAAAAACTACAAATTGAATGGTACAATCTGTCGAGTACTTCCTCACCTGCCTAAGATCCTCCACCAACGATCGCAAACTGTATTCTAAATGATTGCTCGCAGTGGTTGCGTCAATGGACGAAGGACAGAGAGGTGGAAACACAGCAGCTGTTGGCTGAACAAGATGGTAAGAAAAAACGAGGTGTGTTAGCTGTTGAACGTCCACCCTATGAGGACAAAAAAGCTAAATTCTTACCAGTCCGAGGTTTCCACACACAGATTTAATAGCCTCTTCGCTCATAGCTTTCCACAAGGATTTGTTTTGTAATTCGAAGCGACACACATCCACACGATTTGATGGCTTCGAAAAAAACACCGCGTAAGTATGTGATACACGCGAGACGAATACTTGATATGAAATTAACATACCTGGCAATTTGCATAGAACGTACGATGGTTGAAAATACAGCCCACAGTTTGGTAAGGATGATCGAGTTTTCGAAGCTGTTTGTCCAATGGAGGATCGTCAGGATCAATAAAATAATGAATGAACCTAAAAAGTTAAGTTTAGATCGTTAAATTGAGTGGAGTTGCACTCCGTAATAATGGATAAATAAGAAAGCTCTTTTGTGCGTAGTTAAGAAAACAGATTTGGTCTGACAGAGCTGCCCAGTGTAGCCATACTTGGTTAGAATGTTTAGATGAAACGAAATCTGTAGTTCACCCCACCTTTGAGCTGTTAAACTCTCCCAGAAGATGACTTCACCGCTGGGACTGATCGTCGTCACCCAGCTATGAGCCACGCCCTTTCCTTTTGTTCCTATGGTAACATACGCGTCAAGACCAAAGCCAAGTAGAAGGTTACATAAGAGTATAGCGTGGTCTTCACAATCCTGAGAAAAGAGAGACACGTTGTTGAAAAAATAAAGTTGGACGGCAGAGTTTTGTATCGCATATAAACCTACTAACGCCTTTTTCGGGCATAAAAATACAAGGAAATCATACGAAAAAACCCGAAATATTAACCCCTTTATTCTTGCATAAAAATGAATGCGCGTTTGACCACATCTCTGTCCGTCCACCTCCGACATTTTCAGACTTTTCATAAGCGATTAAACTGACAAATCTCGCAGCTTCCCGCGCAGAATCAATGAGTCGCCCTGCTCTGATTGGTCTAACAAACGAACACGTGAGTCGGTTCGTGCCCGTCTCGTCTTGGGCGAATATCTTGACGAGACGATCAGAGTGCCCGGAGCGGATCTGTAGAAATTCACGCCACCATTGTTTCGCATAGACCAGGAATAACCGTTCACGTTCAGAAATCTTGCTGCGTTCAAGGTCTTCCTGTGTTCGAATTACATCTTTTTGTAAAATCTACACAAAATGGTGTTGATAAAACAATGATATACTTCTCAATGCTTTGTGTTTACATTATTACCTGGAATATATTTTCCCAAAATGATTTGTATCTGAATTGAATAGATCCCAACTTGTACATAAACAAAAGCATTCATACTTGACTTAATCTTGGTATAATCTCCAATTTCATATCCAGAACCCCCACAGGAACCTTTGACTCTGCCCCAACTCCATTGATCTCAATAGAGTTCCGCAGGCCGCCACTCTCAGCAGCCAATATTGTCCGCCATTTCAAACTGTGTGAGCCGACTAGCGTTTTGTCACCGCTTGGGTTTGTTTTAATGAGTAAGATATGAATTTCATCTGTCATTGAGAGCAAGGTCACAGCATTTGCTATTTTACTCCTGTCTTTTTGAAGTTCAAGTAAAAATCCTGAAATTCAAAAAATGAAATCATCACAAAACATGACAAGTAATGATAGTTTTACATTGTTTGTGGATCACTACCTTCATGAATGTCTGGTTCACATGAGCAAGCTGCCGGTCTGGATCTAAACCTTTGGCCTTTAAAATGAAGATGCAAGGTAAAGGTGGATGTAGGTTGTCCTGGCAATGGCTCTGGTTCTTGCAAATGTTCTAAAAAAGCTCTTCCACCCAACACTTGCAAGTAGAGGTAACGTTTCGTTGGATCCAAGCTCACTGCAAACATTCAGATTTGGAACATAAATTTAGTGGAAGCTGTGGAACTGATGGTAATGATTGATGTTTCTTACATGGCTCTATTGACAGCTTTGTCTAAGTGCAAATCTCATTCAATCATTATCGACTATTTTCGTGTACGAATCACAGATTTTTTCATAATCTCGTGCACGTAAATCATAAATAAACCGTGATAAACCCAATGATAAACCTTTTGCAGGAGTTGTATCGTCTGTACTTGTCACTTGTGCCAGCCGCTCTGTGGCAGTCTTCCCTACACCTCTCCCCTCTGTTCTACCGATTCCTTCAAATTTCAACGTCCTCATGACATCGCTGATGACACCTCGTTCCCTGAGAACATTGAGAATGGCATTTTCGTCAACTCCACCGCTCCTTGCGTCACCTTCAGCACCAAAAGAATTATCTAAACAGCTTTTTATTTTGGATTGTACATCAGTTTGATTAAGATGGCTGTGTATAAGTTGCTTTAGTTCGTTTACTTTCTCCGTAGGAAGGTTTGCCATGATAAGGTAGAGCTTTTAAGATCAAAAATCACAAATTGTGCAACGACATATTGGCATCCGCGCTTCGCAAACGCTTGAAAGAGCTTCCAGTTTTGGATGTTGAACTTCAAAATGCCAGAAGTTAATCAAAATATTTTTTCTTTCTGCAGTTGCTTTATTTGTAACTTTTACCTTTAGTTTTCTTGCATTGTGTCTTGTATTTCTACGTTCATAAAGTAGATTTATTACACCGACTCAGTTCCTCTTAGTAAATTTACGATTCAAATGCTAAAAGTCATACATCTTCTTCAGAATGTTCTTCCACTTTTCAATATTCCAAATCCAAAGTTCCTGTTTCTCTGTCTCTTCCGGGGAAGACACTCATTTCCACAAAAATGGGGGCGCGTCTAATATGTTCTTCCGTTCCTAAAGCGAAAAGATTAATAATTATAAAATGTTTTTTTCCGTGTATAATGTGAAAGTTCATTAAATAACGTTACATCAATATGCTACCGACAAAATTTATAAGTGCCGCGTCCCAGGCGCTGTACTGTCCAATGTGTGAAAATCTCTTTAACGACCCTGTAATATCAACTCGATGTGGACATACATTTTGTCGGATGTGTATTACGGAAAATATTTCATCTCGAGGGAATGTCTCAAACTCTGTGTGCCCTGTGGACAATATACCATTCCATCGCTCCGATTTGGTATCGAACATCGCGTTGAAGGGTCAGATTGATGATTTAGAGATCCACTGTCAACATGGATTGACAAGAGTCGACTCTGATGACGAGTTCCTCTTAGATGAGGAAGGCTGCAACCAGGCCATCAAACTTGGCAGGAGAAGTGAACACGAAGACACGTGCCCGTTTGCTCTTGTTCCTTGTCCAAACAGTGCAAATCATTGTGGAAAGTTTCGTAGGCGAGATCTGGATGGTCACCTGGAAAAATGTCCAAGGTACCCATGCGAGTATAGGAATGAAGGTGAGGCACCATTCTTAACCCCCTTAACCTGAAGGGCAAATTCGGTGACAATTACAAGAGTAAAACCAGGCGCAAAGATGGATTATCACCTCGCATATATGTTCTTGTGCAGTTGTGAATTAATTAAATTAGTTTTGTATTTTCCAAAAGGTTGCGAGTTTTGTGGCACTGAGAAAGATGTGAAGGAGCACATGTTAACATGTTTGAGTAAACAACATACAGTTGAGGAACAGGTTGGAGGACTTGGTGTTTTGGTTGGTTTAAATTAAAAAACCAAACTGTAAGCCCCAAATGATAAGACAATATTTTTTTTACTCTGTTCAACATTTAGGATAGGCCACCACCAAATAACAACAATAGATTTTCAACAGGAGTAGAGAATGTTGTTGTCCAGTTAGTTCAGCGTGTGTCTTGGTTGGAACAGAATCAAATGTCTATGGCAGAGCAGCTTCAGAGATGCACAGAGTAAGTTGAAATCAAGCTAGGTGATAGCTTGGTTCATGCTCCATATGATAGCAGTGCCTATGCCTTTACTCTATTATGTTTCATATCCCAGTTTGTTGCTAAGAAAGTGTTTTGTTTTTTAGTGCTATATCCTCCTTAGAGACAACCGTTGACCGATTGTCTCATCAGTTTGAACGTATTGCCGGCTACCAGCCAGTAAGCCGTGTCAGGCATGCAATATCGACATCCTCCATTGCTGAGGCAACTTCACTCACTGTCGACATCACTGAGAAACAACGGTCACCAGTCTCACCAAGGATCCGAACAACCTCACAACTCTTTCAGCTACCATCAGCGCCAAATGCCACGCCCAGCAGCGAGACTTGGAGAATGCCTTTTATGTTTAAATGTCTAGGAACTTTGAGGTAGGAATCTATGCTAGATACAGCTGATGCAAATTCTATGAAAAAAGAACAGAACCTCCAATTTATAGTAATTCAAACAAAATTTGAGCACTCAATGACAGCATTTAGTGACTATTCTTAGCAGCACACCAAGTACTCACCCTTCGACAAGCACGCTTCTTCTGAAAAAAATGTACAATTGTCTTAAGCATCTTCTCCTCTTGACCATTCAGCTTAAGCATGTGAAACAAAAGGAAAAAAACTTCCAGCTTCACTAGCGCTAAGCATTTGCGTCACAGTACGCCATTCGACGCAAGACTCGCAAACAAATGACAGTTACTCCAGAATAGTTTGTTGTTTTTAGGGGTCACCAGGAGCCAATCTTTGCTATGACATGTCGCAGTGGTAAGCTGTACAGTACCGGGAGGGATATGTTGATCAAAGTGTGGGATACAGAGGATGTCACTAGGGGATGTATCGCTACACTGAAGGGACACACTGACGTCGTACGTGAACTAAGTCAAACTAGAAACTCGAGAATATCTGCTCTGTTTTGATGATGCACGAAATGATAGAGTACGTGTGTTTTCCAGCTCATCAGTTGCAGAATTTTCTATTTAGATTAATGCAATTTGCTCCAACCGGACGACTTTATACACAACTGGAGCAGACAAATCTCTCTGTTCCTGGAACACGAACTCTCTGTCGGAACAAAAACGAGTTGCTGTAAGTGGGCGACTAATCACCGTATTAATCTATCTCTATCAGATGCAAAACGTCTGTTTATATCCTTCGTAAATGACTTCAGATTCTACAAGAATAGAAATATTTCATTAATTCTACATGTTTCAGGATGCACACGATGACGTCATATGTGCCCTGGTGTGCACTGGGAAGTATTTATTTACGTCATCACAGTCTTGTATTAAGGTAAAACTCCGGTATTTGGTATTAGTAACTTTTGACCAAATGAAAAACCATTTCAAAATCCTTTTTAACATTTCTTACCTGAACTGTAGGTCTGTAGCTTGCGTTTGTCCGTTGGCATTGATACAAATTTGTGGGTATAATTTGTATATTTTGTTCTCAGGTTTGGGAAGCCAAGAGTTTAAACTTTGTCCATACCATGGACGCTGGTTTGAATCATTGGGTCAGAGCACTGGCTGTTGATCATTCGAAGGTAGTTGCAATATATACGTACATCAATGACATATATAGAGTCCTCCAGTTTCATCCGTCGTTTTTCCAAAGTTTTGTTTTTCCTGCACACAAAAACTCTCTTGTACTTCACTAGAACAAAGTTTTTAGCGGTTCCCATAATGCAATCCACGTGTGGGATGCCACGGGAACATTTCAGCTTGATTCTGAGATTCCTCACCAATACGGTACTGTGTACTCACTTGCAGTCACAAAGAAGTACGTCATTGTTGGTAGGTAGCCATGTTTTTCATATCTCACTCAATTGCCCTCGTATTGAAAGATGAAGATGGTGAAATGCCGTGACATTGAGAACTAACAACACACAAGTGATAAACTGTTGTTTCTTTGTCGTTTTCTGACAGGTACCTACAATCGAAACACTCATATTTTTGAGATTCCGTCGTATCAGCACGTGAAGTCACTGACAGGGCACATTGGAGCAGTGACTGTAGTTACAGCATCGCCTGCTGGAAGATATCTTTTCACTGCCTCTAGTGATTCGACGGCCATGGTAAGTCCACCATATTCTCATGATAGCCATGTACCGTGTGACAGTCGCGATTACTAAAGATAGCGTTGTTTTTTTATAAGATTGTCTCTATACATGCATCTTGTGAATTTTGCAGATCTGGGATTTGGAGAACATGCTACCGATTCAAGTGTTGACGCGACACGAAGCTGGTGTTAACTGTCTCGCTGTTTATGGTAATCTTGTGTTCACTGGTTCAGAGGATAAAGATATTAAGGTTGGATTATCAGAGTGAAATATTTGAGCTGTATTGTACATCAGCTTTACTACAAAACTGAAACAAATTACCTTTTTATTTAAGGTGTACAAGTACTTCAAGTTATTCACAGCGACACCAGACTAAATCGAACTTGAAGGCTTTGCAGTGTATTCACTGACTTATACTATACTATAGCGAAGTGTATTCACTGATTTATACTAGACAGTATAGTGGAGTGTATTCACTGACCTATACTAGACAGTATAGTGGAGTGTTCCACTGACCTATACTAGACAGTATAGTGGAGTGTTCCACTGACCTACAGTATACCAGAATCATCGTGGAGTGTATGTACTGACCTATGTCAGCGAGCGTATCTTTTAGAGAACTTTGGGAATTCGACGCAGGGTTGTAATGAATTTTCTGCGGACAAATAGATGCACCATGTCATGCACGTGTGTTAGGGAATATATTAATAGATAGAGAATGAATTCTGATGGTGCTCATGAGTCACGAAAATGTTGTGAAGATTACATAGAGTAAATTATTTTCAATGAAAGCGTATTTTATATAAGCATAGGCGTATTTAAATTTTTGATAAATAAAAATATTTTTTCCTTTTGATATATGTTTCTATCAATCATAACTTTCTATTCTAATTATTCAGTCAACACAAATTGCAATCCATATTTGCTTGTTAACGCAACAATTTACCTGTCTGCCAGAGTGCTGGCTAAATTTATCACAAGTTGGGAATCTGTGAGAGGCGAACGGGGTATTATATACATTTTCCTATTTTCCATCTTTGAAAAAGTCGATTCCCTTCAATTCCGAGGGTAGATACTCCTGGTCAACGGGACCATCGTAGTCCGGGTTATATTTGTACCCTTTTGAATAACCAAGATTTTTCATAAGTTTGGTGGGAGCGTTGCGGAGATGCAGTGGAACCCCGGGTAATGTTCCCTCGTAGGATTTGATATGTTCTGCGACCTTACCATACGCCTTGTAAACCTCGACAGACTTCGGAGCTCTCGCGAGATAAACGGCTGCTTGAGCCAGGATAACCTGAGCAAATTGACAGAAAAATCTTTAGCATGAGGATAATGTATCACGTGTAACTATGAACTTGAGGGCAATACCCACGACGTAATCCCAGGAGATATGGACAGTCTCAGAAGGTGGTACAAACGCCTAAACCTACTTACATCACATTCAGGTCGACCAATGAAATGACACGCTTGAAATGCTGAAACAGCTTGATTCAAAGCCTGCGGGTCTGCAAGTCCTATATGAAAAGGTAATTGCAATCCAACGAGAAATAAAAATCAGACAACTGCGTTATGACTGGAATCTATTTCTTGTACTGACCATCGTTTCACCAGCAAACCATCGACCTCCACCTACCTATATCTTCACTAGCCATTCTCACCAATCTTCTTGCAATATACATGGGATCTTCCCCACCAACCAACATCCTCCCCAACCAATACAACGCTGCATTATCATCTCCACCACGCACAGATTTATGCAAGGCTGAGATGATGTTGTAATGTTCCTCTCCATTACGATCGTACGACACATGAGATCTTTGAAAACTTTCCTTTGTATCAGCAACTGTGATCAAAGGAGGCCTTGAATGACTCTGCTGGCTATTCAATTTCGACTGAACTGCCATTTCTAAACCATTCAAAGCATTTCGTGCATCACCATCGCATAAATTGGCGAGCAAACGTAACGAATCTTTTTCCACAGCAATCTTTACATCTCTGCTTCATAAAACGTAAAACAACATTGTCATTAAGCTTGCTTGAGACATTTTTACAGTCTACCTTTAAAACTCAGACCTTTTCTAATGTTTTAATACTTGACAGTTGGCACAGTTCAACTGAACAAATATATTGAACATATTAAAAGTGTTTAGAGAACAGGGGTTGTTTAAAATAGTTTAAAATATGATATAAAAATAGCACATGTGAACTACCTTGATTCATCACCATTGTATAAAGAAATATCTTTGACATTATCACACACCACTCCTCCAAGAGCGCTGACACCAGATGCAAGTATTGCCATGAGATTTTCTGTGGACAATTTCTCAAGCACAATAACTCGACATCGGCTGAGTAATGCTGTGTTCACATGGAATGATGGGTTTTCAGTGGTTGCACCAATCATTGTGATTGTGCCATTTTCAACATGTGGTAGAAATGTATCCTAAACATTAGTCATTGAGTAATTATTGTAAGCTAAAATAGGTGAGGTGTTTCTGTGGTGGTAAGAAGTCTAGGTTGAAGTCTAGGTATACTCACAATCACTATCACATACCTGTTGCATCTTGTTGAATCGATGTATTTCATCAACAAACAGGATTGTCTTTCGTTGAAATAGCGATTGTTCATTCTTTGCTATTTTAATGACTTCTTTGACCTCAGCAACCCCAGACATGGTTGCTGACAGTTTCACAAACCTCATTGCACTTGCTTGTTTTGTATTGTTTGCAATGATATTAGCCAGTGTTGTCTTGCAAAGAAAGGCAAGAAATTATTCATGTTTAGATTTTTTAGGTAATAAATCCCTATGACTAGGTGCTTTCCCCATCTTTCCCATTATCAAAATCCTCCTTTTTCCAGCCAGCCAGCCAGCCACACCCCTCTTCCCCTTCCCCCCTTCTCTTCCCCCCTTCTCTACCCCCCTCCTTCCCCCCCCTCAGCCCAAAACAACACAAGATATAAACTACCTTGCCACAGCCTGGTGGTCCCCAGAATATCATGGATGGAACATCATGAGACTCCAAGAGCTTCTTAAGCATAGACCTCTCCCCAAGAACTTTAGCTTGACCAACATACTCTTCTAGTGTTTTAGGACGTAGTTTCTCTGCTAGTGGAACAAACTTGTTCCTTCTCGGTGTTTGATCGTTTTGTTTTGATGTACCTCCTTTTGTTTGAGTATTCACAACTGGTCCGGTTTTAAAACTTTCCACCTTCGCTCTCTTGAGAGGGGGACTACGAAAGGAAGCCATATTCTTTGTACTTTCGTCAATTTCTGGACTGTTTGACAACCTGTTGCAAGAACCAGAGTCAGTCGACTTTAAACTCTTTCTGTTATGCGTGATCTCTGGACTTTTTGACAATGTATTCAGAGAATGGGTTGTGCTCAACTGATCATTTTTGTTCGATCCCGATGGTGCAGTCTTATCTTCGCTTCGCTGCAGACATTCTTCGATATGCTGGTTTATGGTCCAGCTGACAAACGATCGTGAGCAGACGGGACAATTTACAAATGCTGAGCTTTGGGCCATTGATATATTGAAGTTTTGACGAAAAATCTATTAAAATCTTTCCCAATATTTAAAGTTCCCTCCATTAATACATTTCACAATCAATAAACAAAGGGAGAATACTAAACACCTCTGCTCATATTTTACTAAAAGAGCCAAAATTTTACGAAAACCTTTATTTTTCCTCTGCCCTAAAGAGAGTTATCTGATAAATAGAGGATAATACGATGTTATTACTGTATATTTTTAGGACACCCGGGGCTGGCTAGAGTCTAGAGATAACTATAATAACCTCATAACTATATGACCGAAACAAAATTGTTTGAAACCCATGGTCCGCGCTTGGTATGCTAATCACTTTATAGTCCACTACTGAATTCCTTTCTTTATTATTCACCAGCTAAATTAATGACTTAGATGGTTTTCATCCACCTAGGCAGGTGGAAACGCCACCTGCTTGATGTAAAAGGCATGTTATCGATCCCTAGTTTTGTAAATGAGATGTAATTTATCCAGATTCGAAAAGATCTTCAAATTAGCCTAACAAGTCTTATAATTGCTGTCCTCGTGCAGTTTCTTTAAATGCGCGTGTAATTATTCTTCATTCACTAAACTGTGATGTTCTTATTATACTGGATATAGGAAATTACAGATAAGATGACAAATGACTTGTTTAAATTTGATATGACAATAAGTAATAACATTTGCGGTTTTTAAGTCATATATTATTTATGCTATGTTAGTTGTTCCAAGTTAGTAACGCTCACAACAGTACTAAAAGCTTGTAGTTTCTTCTCCGTTAGCATTGTATATACTTTATTTTAGAAATATTTCTCCATTTGAATATCATAAAAAATGGCGGGGAAAATTAGCTTCACAAATCCGAAACACGGCTCCCAGGTTTTCTCAATGTTTGCTGAGATGCGAGACCTGGACGAACTTTGTGATATAAAAGTCGAAACAAGCGTGGACGAAATTTCAGCGCATCGTGTGGTTCTCTCAGCTTGTAGTCCTTATTTTAGAGATGCTCTCAAGGATATTGATGCAGAAGACGAGAACTGTGTTATACCCGAGGAATACGATTCTAAAGTGATTGCTGCAATCATAAATTACTTTTACACTGGAAGACTTGAGTTCGAGGAGAATCTTTTACTAGAGATGCTTACGACTGCTGTTTTCTTTCAGGTATGTGTCCACATACAGTTTATCGTATTTTAGATAAACTAAACACAAGATTCTGTCATGCAAGTGCTTGTATGCTCGTTGTACTTGCATGCCTACGATTGTCACTTGTTTGAGGATATAATTTAATAATTTAATAACTTAGTTTTAGAGTGTAAAACTTTCAAGTAAAAATAAAAGTTTCAGGACATCATAAGAGTAAAAAGTGAGACTGGACATGCAACGCTTGTCGCAATATTAAAGAGATATAATCCTATTGTCCTTTTGAGCAACACTGTATGCAATGAAATAACAAGAACTAAAAAAGACAAATATTATTTTATTTTATTAGCAAAGCTGCCCAATTTGCACTGAAGTTGGCAGCTAGCTACTGTACGCTGATATGTCCATATTTCTTTATATTATTTCGAATAAATAATCTTTCTAAGATATATTTTTATTAAATAAATCATGTTTAATAAATTACCATTTATATGCCGAGCTGCACTGGATTACAACAGGCGCTAATTTCGTTAGCTTTTATTAATCTGAAGGCTCAAGATATTGTGGACAGGCTCGAGGATCGTGTAGTGAGGCATTTGTCCGTAGAAAACTGTCTCGAGTATTATTCAAAAGCGGAGGAATACGAGATGAAAGATTTGCAGAAAACCATCGTACGTTACATTAGCTGGCACTTCACGGACGTGGCAGCACTTGATGCATGGCTTGAATTAACTGCTTCAAAAATTGCCCTGTTAGTGTGTAACGATGTCTTGAACATCGAGAAGGAAGAAGATGTGTACGAAGCTTTATGGAAATGGTTCAAACATGACGAAAACGAGTAAGAAATATTCCATGTCTTCTTTCAATTGCATTCATAGAAACAGTCAAAACAAGCAGACAAACATGAAAAGGCTTTAAGTAATTCTACAATTTCTTTATTTCATTCTTACAGGCGAAAGTCCAAATGCCAAGAATTATTTAGTCACGTCCGATTCTTTCAGCTTGATCCAAAATTCATCACTGATCGTGTTATACAAGACTTGGCCAAAGGTATTGAGGTTTGCAAAGACGAAATAAAACAAGCGATCATTTATCAAAGTTCTGACAAGAAGAAACGGCAAACAATGGACACGAAACTCAACCACAGATATCCAAGCAAGGTAAAATGCGGGTAACGGAAGAAGCTTAGGAAGTTGAGTCTTTTGTTGAGTAGAAACATGCAGTCGAACAAATAAAATACTAAGAAAGCAACTTTTGCTTAACTACAAAGCAGCAGTTTAGTCTGCTTTTAATAGCGAAGGAAACGTAGACCAGGCGCGAATGAGTGAACTTCTGGAGCAGAGGTTAACCATCATACGTTTTAATTTTCAGATAATATATATGTTCGACAGCAAAGCAAGTGTTGTTGAGAAGTATGATCCGATAACAGTGGACTGTGTTCAAGAAAGACGCATCATGGACGGACGAGAGATATCTTCTGATCAAGGATATAAAGCAGCCATTGTTGTTAACAACGATCTTTATGTCGTCTCCTCCAGTAAAGTCGAGAAATTTAACAACTTGGCTTTGTCTTGGGAAAAGTTAGCGAAAGGTGAGAAACGGACAGTTTTGACACAACAAAAAAGAGCTGTTTGATGTGGCTAAAATCACTCTATTGATAGCAGTAGATTAGTTTAAATTCCCATCACTTACATGCAATACCAGACCGAGGGCTTCCTTCTCCAAGTTCTCATTGAAAATATGATTTATTTCACAATTTAGGAGTCAACATCCGGGAGTCAGCAGTATGCGCTGACGAAGATTGCTTCTACGTGGTTGGTGGACGAGATCAACCAGCAGCTGTCAAATGTTTCAATGTGATGACAATGACTTGGAGTCAACTTCCTGATATGCCTGAAGGAAGACGATCTGCTGGTGCGTACTGTTGCATGGGGTGAGGGGTGGGTTTACCACTGCTCTGAAACTAAGCGAAGTGGTTCCTAACCAAGTTTATTTCCCCTTCTATCAGTCAAATAAAATTCATTCTCTTTCCCTTTCCTGCCTGAAATTGATTCAAAACAACTCACCCGATCTCTTAGGCGCTGTTGCTTGCAATGGTCGTGTTTTTGTCATGGGTGGATATGGCGTTGATGAGCCCTTGGCCACCACCCTCCGTTTCTCCACTCGATCCAACAAATGGAAGATGCTTGCAAAAAAGATGAACGCCACCAGATTTGGCCACAAAGCACTCATCATTCGCAACCAAATTTTTGTCATCGGGGGCCGAAACAACTCTGGGACGTTCAAAAGTATCGAAACGTTCGACATGGACAGTGATAAAGAGGAATGGATGGAGTTTCAACACGATATGATGCGACCACGGAATGAGTTTGGAGCGGTGTTCTTCAACGGCCAACTTTGGTGCATGGGTGGTAGGGGGGAGAACAGCATTGAGAAGTTTGATTTTGGTACCAACACGTGGGAATTGGTTGGGAAGTTGGGTAACGTGAGATATGGAATGTCCTGTGTCCTTTATTCGTTGTTTTAGGAGACGAAAAACGTATAGATGCTTTTGATCCAGTGTCGTACGATGTACTAGGACTGAGCAACGCTGAATTTTTGCGTATATCTTATATAACATATGAGGTGATTTCTATCGTCCATAATTAGAGGTGTGTGGTGGTATCATAAACCTAATTCCTAGGTGGTTGTTTATCTCCCTTAACTGTATGGTCTTCTAGAAGGTGTTGATTCTTGTATTGTTTGCTAACTATCACAGAGCTCGTAACTTAAAAACTGAAATGTTTGTAAAAAATTATCATATAAATGACAGGCGATATTGCGTGATGCATTGCTAAGTTGGTAAAATTAACGAGTTGATTCATTTCTGAATTCTTGAGCTTTATATTTACGAACGTGCAAAGGATCTAATAAAGATATTCACTGGCGGTAATTTTATTTCTTCCACACAGCCCCTGACAATGTCCGTTGCACTCGTACTAGCCTCAGTCCTCATCTTATTGCACGCACAGTTTGCTAGCACTCGTTCACAGTCCTAAACCGGGCCAAAGCCAGTGAAAACCTCCAGTGCAATGACGTGACTCCCAGAGATAGAGTTATCGATAAAGCTGTGTCAAGATTTGAATGAATTGCGTAAATTGACCAAAGCAAAAACAATGCACTTTCACAAACTCAAACAAGCATATCACCGAATGTTAATACTTTATGCAAATTTTTAGCCCTTTCTAAATCTACTCTAATTAAAAATTATCCAGATGGCCATTAAATTGAACCATTAAAATAACGCTGATATATTGCCGACAATCCGCGCGCCATCAATGGCCGGCCTATCTTCTAGCGTCAAGCACCTGTTTAAATAATCAAATAGACAGGGCGAAATGAAAAAAAGAGGGAACTAAAATAGGAAGAATTAATTTTTGTTTAAAACTAAAACAAATGCTTGGACTGCACACGTTTAATTCATCTGTGTGCTGTAAATATGAACTTAGCTTTCACATCCAATTTGGCAGGATTTAGTTTCACTTCGTGCAAATATTACAAATGCTGAAATACGTTTCAGGTCGAGTTTCTTTGTTAGGCATTATGGCTGTTGTTTTTTTCTCAATTAATGTCGTATATATACTTTTTCATTCTCTTATTGTACTTGCAGATGAATCTGTTATATACATTTTATTCAAATAGAACGGACCTTTGGAAGTTGGACTGCTTTCCAAAACCTGCGCTTGGGACATTTCGTATTCAGTTGGACTGTTGAACTGCCAATTCTAAACGTAATTCTTTTCCTAATTTTCTTTATTTGAAACTAAAATCTCTATTATAAAAGAAGAAACTCGTACGACTACAAAAAATGGGTTTTAAACGCCAATTTTTTGCGTTTCTTTCATCTGCCCACGAGAAGTCGAACCTGACAGATGTGCTCTATTTGAAGTCATTGAGTATTATTTAACATGTAATTACAGATTTTATCCAAAAAATCTAATACGCTCTCGACGCTTGCACCTATCACATACTGCCCACAACAGTAAATAAATTTGAGAACGTTATGATTCGGACACGACAGCATGTTCCATTCATTGTCATGCAAATTACAGGCCTAAAATTTCAAACAAACACCAGGTGTTTTGAAAAGGCCATTTGGAGGCTTTGCAGCACTTTGAGAACAGAATTTAGGAGTTCAGACCCTAAGCGTCTTGTTTAAGACTGTATTACCCAACGGGAGATCGATTTGGCGATATTTCTGGACGTTTTTGATTAAAAAGAACACTGAAAATGTTTCTATTTTTCAATTAAAATTTCTAATTATAGCCGCAGCTTTAATTTAGTGCCTCGTTCCAGTCTTTTCGTGTCGCAAATCTGCGCAATGCGAAGGGAAGTCGCGCGCGCGTCAGGGTCAGAAGACAACAAAAGTTCATAATGTCCGGCAGAGGAAACGAAATTGAATACGATTTTAAGAGCAATTCATCCAGATCAAAAGACAAAGACGAGGGGGTAAAAAATGGACGCATTCTGTGCTACGTTTGCGGTGGGAACGGAGCGAACTGGTCGCTCTTTTCCAAAGCAATCGAAGATGAAAAGTCTCCCCATTTTCCATTTTTGCAAACTATCGATAAGGCGGAAGGAGCTCAAGCTATGAGGTCAAATGGTCGTATTGACGCTTGTACAGTTTGCTTTTCGTTTCTCGTCCAGCAATGGCATTCGTATGAGGAAAATGATACTCCTGTTTCAAAGCGGACGTACTGGTTGAAACGATCAGGCGCTGTAAACAACGATACGCTGAGTTCGAACGAGGAAAAGGTGGCCGTTGATGATGCTTATAATTCAGCAGGGAAAAGCCACGAGATTGTTGAATACGACAATTCCGAATGTGTGGATGTTGCTAAAGGTATGGAGAACAATTGTTTGGATTTAAGTAGTTTGGATGAGAACAAACGTGGAATTGATCACGAGCCCTCTAGAGCTGAGCTTTTGTCAACAATGAAAAGTGAAAACAATAAAAAGCAAGCAAAGGAGAGCAAAGGTGCAAAACGTTCACACGAGGGAAGTGATTCAACAGACAGAGGGGAGACATGCTGTTCATGTGGAGTGAATGGTGAAAATGTATCCTTAAAGACAGCCCACACAAAACCTCAACTGAAAATGGAAACTCCTTTCTATCCTTTTCTTTCACAACGCTCCAACAATGTTGATTTTATGGGAAGAGTTGCAGTTTGTAAGAATTGTCAAATTCATTTATTGAAACAATGGGAGAGGTATGAGAAAGAGCGTAGGCCCTTGTCTGAACGATATTACACATTACGTTCAGCTGCTGATACTCAAAAAGAGTCAAATCTGATCATTTGTTTTGTTTGTGGTGAAAAGCATCCTGAATCGTCAAGTCGTGATGTAAGAGCCACAAAGGGAAAACAAGGAGTACCCTATTTTCCCTCCTTGTTAAGGCGCTTGCCTGCCGCAGGTGCATCAGAGGTTTCTGAAGCAGGTGTGTGTAAGGTGTGTGAGTCATGTCAGGAGTCGTTAACAAATCAGTGGAATTCACTTGATGACTCAGAGTTGGGTGCACAAAGGGCACATTCAATTGATAAACAACATGCAATCGATAGAAGAAATGATGTTGAGCCAGGTTCACCAAACAGGAATATGTACCTATGCTCCGTGTGCAAAAAACTGAAGCCCAAAGACCAAATTGATTGTGTTTACGAAAAGGAGGAACACGCCATGGTATCATCCAAGATGAACCATAGTGGAAGAAGTCTTGTTTGCTATGACTGTAAGACAATGGTCAAACAAAGTATGCGGCCATCAATCTCTCATGTCAAACCTATAGAGTCCATCCAAAGGCTGAGTGACGACGCATCTGTGACAAGAAAATCTGAAAAGAGTGACAGTAATCCCAACAAACATATTGTTCCCCAACACAAAAGTTTACACTTTGAAACCTGCTTTCTTTGTGGTGAAAAAGTGACAGCAATGAATCTGGAGTATTTGTATGTGTTTCCACATCAATATGTCAACGGTATCAGACCATTCTTCCCATCACTAGCGTACCGGGTGCCTGCCTACCATGCCAAGCCACCTTCAACATCAGGAACTGTAATAACCTGTACGTATTGCCATGGCAACATGATCAGCCAATGGTACGAGTGCGAAAAGCATGAGCAACATGGGATCTCAAATCCCTGGGTCCGGCAATATGTCTTCAACCAGTTCACATGCTATCTTTGTAGCAAGATATTTTCTCGGCAAAAGGTAACAACTGTAGCCTCAAGCGATTTTCCATTTCTGGCTCAAGTGCGAAGACCTCAAGGGGGATTTAGAATTAACAATCAAAAAGATTATGTTGTGTGCCATCATTGCAAGGAGATCTTACACATTCAGAAAGAAAACTTTGATAAATGCAACGTTGAAGTCAGTGAGCGCGATTATGAACTACCTATGGTGGAACGCAATTCTAAGTTGGGAGACAAGGTGAGTTTTCTAAATTAAACAAAGAATAGTTTCATGTCTTCATCACTTGCTTTTACAAATTATTTGCACCAACATTTCCAATAATAATCTACAGAGAGGTTGGCATACTACCAGTGATTAATAGCAAATTCCTTGACAAAAGAGTTTGTTCATATATCAATTTACCCAACAAAATAGTTAGAGACCAATCAATGCCACAAATTCTCCATTTGCTTCAGTCAAATTTTCAACATTTTCATAATTAATAAGTGATAGAATGAATTTCTGAGCAGATAAGCATTTATAAAAGGCTGTTTGCAACAATTTTATTCCAAATTTATAGTTGGGTACGTTTATCTCTCGTAAAGGCTTTTGCAATGGATAACGAATACAGCGAATAACGAAGTTTTGCAGCGAGTAAAAATGTAATTTTAGAACTTTATCCATGATTTTACACAGCATTACTGCTTGCAAACTTTACTTCACACCTACGCAGATGATAATGGGAAACCAAAGGTTTTTATATCGACTTTCGTGAAAGTTCTAATCCGGTTGTCCGCAATTCATGCCAAGTCTAAGGCTAAGATTGTAACCTTATGAAAACCGCATGCAAAAAATTTCATCGTATTTCCAGTATTTTCAACAATCCGTAAAAGATATAAACGAAACTCTATTTTTACCGAGTTGAGTATTTTTTCGAACATGTTTTTCATGTTCATCGTACCAGAGGTTACGACGTCTTAGTTGTGTACAGACAGTTTATTCCTGGTTTTCGACTGTTTTCCTTAAACAAACGACAAGAGTAGTACATTCAAAATGTATTCAAACGTTATTTCATCATGCCGGCGTAACTTGGAGACTGTAATTTTATTCATGTTGTTAATAAGTATGTCAACAAAGCTGGATTACCTGTTAACGCTGGTTTGTTCATTATTTTGAAACAGCAAGACCTGTTATGCTAGCCTCAAGGCTCAAACAACAATAAGCGCACTCTTTCAAACATTTAAGATATTTGAAAATAAAATAACCCACATAATTTTGACTACGGTGCAAAGTTTGGAAAATCCTTTTTGTGGAAGGATGCCGAAGCATCATCGGGCGTTAATAGCTTAATCTTCACTCGCCTTATAGCCCTTAATTCTTGAAATATAATTCTTCGATAAGTTATTGCAAAAGTTTCCCACTTTTATAGTGTCAGTAAAGTTTTAGCTGAAAATGGACGTGAGTTTTAGTGCAATGATACTATTGTTATCGGAAGATTTAAACGTTTCTCAGTTTTCCTAAATGGAACTGATAATCTTTATTTAACATTCTGGTACATGCAAAGCCAAAGGCGTTATTTCGTTAGCGGGAAAATTTGTTCAGTACACGCATAGATATGCAGGTTGCTGTGTTTGATGCAGTGATGTACAGCCATTATTGGGTGTTGTGGCTTTGGCTTTGCAATTGGCAAATGCAAACAAGTTAAGCTCATTGAAATAAAAATAAATAATTATCACGGCTGACTGATTTGGCCTCTCATTGAAATTCTGAAAAGCAGGTGTTCAGACACAATGGAGTTAGCAAACAGTTATCCCTCAAGTATATTGTAAGCCATGAGGCGCCATTTAAGCTATTTCCAGGGCTTCACTTTCGCCCACGTTCATAACCTTGATTAAAAGATATCTCTTCGCAACTTCAAAGGCACAATTCTATACAAACGGTGAGTTTTCGATACGAAGATCTTATAAATACGACTTGAGATCAATGTTTCCCAACAAAGAGCTACCTAACACATGCATTATTTATGATATAAATATTAATACATTTAGGACATATCTGTGTTTTTGTGGCCTCTGTCCAATTTAAGAGTTATAGCACTGTAACAAAGTTAATTCACTGTCATTATTAGTGGTCAGAGGAACTCTCTGCACTTCGGTTTCTTAACCTGACATTGTTCCTGGGGGATTTAGCGGTTGGAATATATTAACTGGTGGTTTAGTTGAGCTTATTGACAAATGGTTATTAATGGCAATTTACATGGGTGTTGGACAATAGACTGTACAGTGTTTCAATCGTAGCAAGCATGGCAATATCCAGATGGCTGTCTACGCTAATCACATGCAAATGAATGCAACGGTACGTTTGTTGCCGTGCAAGTTTTAACAAAGCTCTTACTCTCTTTGCATACATTACACGATCAAACATGTGTGTTCCTTACCAAGTAATTCGCTCTGTACGCTGTCGGTGTATGCTCTTTTAACGACGACAATTCATTTTCTACAGGTATAATTTTATATTTTGTACATTGAAGTTGTAAAACGAAAAGTGTAACTTTCCATATTCTGTCAGTGTATTTGATCAACAATATCATTCTATGTTTAATTATCAAAATTTCAACTAATTTTCAACAGCAGAGCTTGTGTTTGTTACCAGAACCGCGATTCATTGTACACTAGAAGTGGTTATGCTCTGCAAATATGCATGTATCTATGCTGTATTTTGATACATTTTATATAATATGTTTATCAGTATCTTAAACTATAGACTATGTGCATGTATACATGTTAGTAATTAAATTCTGATATATAGAATATGGGCAAGCTTGTATACACTAAGCTGATAAAGGGGCTGTATCAATCGTAATACATGAAAAAAAAATCGACCGTATGTAAGTTCGCCGACACACGAACGCCTAGCTTCGTTTAGTTTCAAAAAGTAACAAAGCTACATTTGGAAACTATCGTTTTCATTTAATGTTTTCCATCTTGTCAATTCATCTAGTTGATAATACGTGCGAGTCACTAGGTGACAGATGCGAAATTTTCATTTTCAAAAACATTCATGAATTACTGCAATGTTTGTGTTTGGGTTTATGAGCGAAGATATGTATATTATTATGGTAACGTATACATTCTTCTGATAGAAAATCATGAACAGCAAACGAATGTGGCAAAATGTTTAACCTCCCTTTTGCGTTTGTTTTACGTTCTACCTGCAACTTTTATTTATTTAAAGGCTCAAGAAAGTTTGGCTTTTTTCACATCAATATTAGGCAGTTTGTTGCAATGTTTTGTGGGGATACGGTTTAGCTGTTTAACATTCGTAAAGGTGGAAGGTTTTAATGCAAAAATCGGGCAAAATTAGCCAGAATTTGAGATATTTTCCTTTAGTCAACCTGCCACATTGCTTCATTAGCATAATGTTAATTTAGGCTATTCAATTGATTGTTGTGATGAGCACATGGCATATCATCAAGCTATTCACGAATAATTATTTACTCCACTGCCTCTTACACGTGCCAAACTTATGCCACTAAAACCATCACATTGTTAAGCTTAGGAACAGTGAATAATGTAAAACTATAAGAATGCGTATTGAAATTATCTTCCTGTCCTGAGACAGCTCAGACAGAGTGTCTATTTGAAAATCTGTATTCAAGCAATCTGTATTTGTTCCTTCAGGACAAAAAAAGTAGTGTTGAGCAGGAGGGATTTTATTCTTACACAGCTTTATATGATTGTGTTCTTTCACAAGCTAAACAAGAGCTCTCAGGTTGCGCAAGTAATTATGAAACAAATACACAGCATCAATATATACAATCATGTTGTTCTAATTTAAATTTAAAGCTAGGCTGGTTCCCTTTGACTCTTATTATTGTGTAGGAAGTTAAGTAAGAGTGTGTGAGATTTTACGAACTCTTTTATTGAATGAGGAAGTGTGTTATCTTTTGTCACGCATGGCAAACTGTTGCCAAAGTCAAAACAAAACAGGTCCTCGTACTGTGAGTTCAATAATCATCCGACATGTGTTGGAGTTTTTTGGATGGTTTTCAAATGTATTTTCAATGTACTCCAATGAGAAACATTGAGCTTTTAAAACTTTAATTTTGGATTTTGGCATATTATGCTAATGCAGGCGATGTTTATTGAGAGACAGCGCATTTTTTGTAAAATTTGAGGATTTCGTAAATACAAGTGTAGCGTTCTTCTTTGTCGCTGTTTTGAACTAGTTTAAGAATTACCTTGTTTCCAAACATTTCAGAGAAAAACGTCAGAGAGTCAATCAGAAAGCAGCCACCCTGCTGTTGTTGTTATTGGTGACAGCGAGCCAGAAGGAGAGGACGGAGAGGTCTGGAATAGAGAAGAAAGAACAAGTGTGTCAAACGTGGTGACGTCATCCAGAGCACTCACAAACACCGGAGGTTAGTTCCCCTGTGCACAGCCCCGGTCCTTTGCCGCAGGAATCAGGTTCACCGCCTCACGCTGTGTAATTCGAATATTTCTTTACAGGTTTACTCGAGAAGGTCACACAGGCATCGAGTGTTTCTATGAGTTCACCCACTTCTGGGGGACAAAATTCGAGTTTTGCTGCAGCTCTCAGAAAACTTGCCAAACAAGCCATGTCCCCTGGTTCTCAGTCTCCTGTCAGTGTTTTACCACCTCCTAGTAATTCTACCATGTCACCAGTGAAAAATAATGGTATGTAGTACTGACGACCCCGTGACTTCACGGGAATATAGTTGTCGCATAAGTTTAGTGAATATTAAACCATCGCTTTCTGCCCAGGTTGTGAAAGTCCAAAAATAAATGGAACACCGACGATTTGCAAGAAAGAAATCACAGATTCCGCCTACTTGAGCAGTAAGGGTAAGCACTCGTGAAAAAAAACTGCCGAATATTTATTAATAATTTCTGACTTTTTAACCCGATTTTTCCTAACAATATAAATATTTTTTCTAGAAAATCGTATTCATCCTAATCTGCCTTCATCGTCTGATATTCCTGGAATTTCTGGTCATCAAATTGTTCCGGGAGTGTTTTCATTGGGGCAGCGAGGTAGACTACCATGCATGATCACGTTTTATTTACACACTTTGACTTCTAATTTTAACATGCAAAACATTCGCTTATTTACAGGTTACGAGGGGAAGCCTGGTGTTATTGATGAACTGCATGGTGCTCCAGGGCGTGTCCAGGATATCCCCAGGGTTAGGGCAGTACACCCACCTCCCCAACCCTACTACATGCCATTCCTCCAGAGACCAACGATGCCAGACTCAATGTATTTACCGTTTCCTTATTACCCGCCTACGGTAAGCTTGCTCAAAATAAACAGTTGACATCTGGTATAATATTTGTACTAATCAAGTCTTTCTTGTTTGTCAAGATGATGGAACCGCCTGGTCTTCTGCCTCCTCCGGGATTTGATCACGAGGCATGGCGTAAGCGCAGAGCCCTCGAACACATGCGTCAGCAGCATGAACGTCATGCGCAGTTCCTATCACCTCACGAAAGACCGCTGTATATAATGGAGCAAGATCATTTCAAGCCATTGTCGGTCCAGGCTTCCATGAGTCAACGACAATACCCCGGGGACCTGCCTCTGAGGGGAGAAAAGACCCTAGGAAAGGTAAGACACGAGGTCATGCGATGTCATTATATTGATATAATTATGACCAACGCGAAACCACTGATCTATTTGGATTAACTGTACAAACATAACTTTAAGCTCAATCTATTACAGAGTAGTCCAAGACTGGAAGCAAGCACGTCATCAGATCCAAGGACAACGGCTTCGACCATGCCAAAAGAAATGACGAAAACGTCAGAAGCTCTGGGTACTAGAAGTCCATCACGTGTTGAACAACTTCCGGTGTCGTCATCATTTCTACGTCAGTCCGGGAGCAGCACAACACCCGTGATCATAAGCAACCCGCATAGTCCTGTCAATCATCAAACGTCTCTGAGTTCTCCTTCAAGAGATGTTCCCACTCATAATGATCGAGAAGGCGAAAATATGAAAGACGGAAAGCAGAGGGTAGGTTTTACTCAAAGTATTCATATTGACAGACCTAAATTGGCGAGTATTGTTGTGTTACTATGGAAGAAAAACACGGCAGTGCCAGGGATATTCCAACCGCGGAATAACACCAGGGCACTTTTCTCACGTATGACTGGAGAAAACTTGTTGCCAGGCAACTCTATGTGACGGGAGTCAAATTCCATGTGAAGAGGCGATAGACACCACGCTCTGATGATTGGACCACCTGCAATTGTGTATTTTATTTGCTACTCTACAGGAACATCAGATATTGTGGACACGGAGAATGTTCGAACAAAAACGACGGTTGAGACAAGAAGAAATTGAGTGGCAACATCGACAACAACAAGTCAGACAACAGAAGCGCGAAGTTCAACAAGAGTTATTCCAGTTTCGACAAAAATTACTTCAACAAAAAGAACTTGAAAAGGACGACTCTTCAAAGGTAGAATATGGCTGAGGAAGTCTTGTGGAAGGTCTGTGTAAGTCGGGCAGAATTCTTATTGTTTCATTTCATTTAACAGAAGGAACAAGAAAGGGGGGAGCCGAAAGATGATGCACACGAGAAGGAGAGGGGTAGAGATGGACATCTGGTGTCACCTGAGAACAAGATGGGATTATCACAGTATGGTTATAATCCTATGTATCATGATTCCCCTCTGGCTCCACAACCTATGACGATGTCAAGTATGTTTCCTCCCCCACGGCTGCCACACCACGAGATGTTTTACCCTCCGGGCTATTTACCCCAGGCATCTTTACCCCCTCGAATGGACACTCGTATGTATAAGGAATATCTGCAACAGCCAACGCATTTCATGCACGATAACAAATCTGTCAGCGAATGGTTGGAGAAACAAAGACACCCAGGTTGGTTCTTGATGTAAGCACAATATAGAGTCTCGACCTTCTGGCGATGACATTAGCATATAGTGCGTGTTCAACTCTTCACTTTTTCAATGTTTTGTTTTTGGTCTTTAGATGGAAAAGATCGACTTTCATCGAACGCAATGTTTATAAATGGTGAAATTAGCAAAGATGCAGAGAAACACAGACATGAGCCCCAGGTTGGTTATCGAGAAAATTTGAACCAAAATAGCGTAGACAACTTCTAATTGTTAAATACGTTAATCAACCATGATATTGTGTTTTAGAAATTAAAGTTTATGAATGATCTCGGCTTGATGACAGTCTCTGATAAACAAGGTATGGCGTCCCTCGAAACTTTTGTTGTTGTTTTTTGCAGTAAAATAGCAATTCTTGTGCACTTTCGACATCAATTCTTTATCCTTGGAAACTGCCAATAATGCTGACAAATTTGTATTTTCGGTTTATAGAACGACCTCAGAAGATTTTTGTCGGTGGCAAACGGAAGTTTCCGGAAGATACGATACAGGACGAGAGCAACAAAGAAAATCGAGTTGAAAATGGCGATGTTAGCGCGGACACTGGGATGAAGAAAGCCAATGTTAGCGATGAAGACGCCAAGAACGCAACACATAGCAAGGTTAGTCTGGGGGAAATAATTTCAGGGCTTGTTGGAATGTACCCAAGAATATTTAGGATTGAAAGGGAAGAAGAATTGCAGCGAGGTGAATATAATGCATATATTTTTCTACTTTTTAGCAAGTCGAGTTTTTATCAAATTTGGGGTTGGTTACTCATCGCAAACGACAAGGTAAATTCATCCATCAGATAGTTGCGATGATTGGTATTATCCATCAGCTTTTTCAACAACCCAGTGGAAAGCTATCATTTCGAATCGAAACTACGAACCTCCTCAGCCTTTCAGAGAATAAGGATGGATTCTTTTTGTTTCTAGAACTTGAAGATGATTTTGAGAAGAACCGGTGGGAAAGACGACATCAAAGATTGCAGAAGAAAAGCAAGAAAGGGAAAAAAGAGGTTTGTTTTGGAAGAAATCTTTGGTTACTAGTGGCTTCCAGCCTGGGACGTGGCGGTTCAAGTAGAAGACCTCTTGCAAACATGTATTTTCTTCTTAGAAAAAAGAAGAGAAGAACCGGAGCAGGACACCGCTTGATTTGGACGTGAGTGGACCAATGACGAGGCAGAAACAACAACTATTACAAGAATATGGTTTGTTGTTACCAATCAAAGATGCTATGGAAAAAGAATCATCCTCCTCCCCGGATAGCTCGGCTACTGCTGATAGAGACAGTGTTAAAAGCAAGGACAGCCCGGGGGGACAGGCGAAGAAATCAAAGAAGTCAGAAAGCCCAGCAAAGGACGAGACATTTCGTAATTCATACGATGTTAGTACTCCACCCCCCCGGCTAACGGCAACCTCGACCGCGCTCTCTTCAGGTCCTCAACTGACGCTACAATCTCTGACTCACATGGAGAACCCGTACCGTACATTTCCCTCCGCCTTTCACCCGCCATTTTACCCGTCCAGTTTGTTATCGGTACATCAGGACCCTACGGGAAAAGACCCTCGCATTAGCACCGAGTTTAGCGCGCCTTCCCGAACTGGGAGTAAAAGTTACTCGGCGATAGTACCCGGAAACATTGGCGTGTATCGAGGGAATGGCGCCGAGACACGGCCCAGTTGGGTGAGTACAGAATTTGACATCGTGGAGAGGATATGTGGATTTGATATTCAGAATAGAAGATAAACTTACCTGACTTTATGTAATTGCCAAACTTTTCCTTTCTGAAAATAAGAAAAATCCTTTTTCACTTTTAGACGCTAACAGAGGAACCTTTGAAGTGGCCTGGGACGAGTAAAGTCATCCAATCGTATTTAGCCTATCACCAAGGTACGTTAATTTAACACTCCTTATTTCAACCTTGGAGGATTTTGTGGTAGCATTCTTCAATCTGCTGTCGTAATTTTAGGTTGAAAAACATAGACACCGCTTTACGTTCAGTTTAAAAAAGCATGCACCGATTAATGTATTGTTCTGCCTTTCTTTTCTTTTCTTTCATTTCATTTCATTTCATCTCATTTCAGAACAAGAAAACGAATTAAACATTTCAAAAGAAAAAGATGAAAAATTAAGACTTCAAAATTCCACTTTAAGTCGGAAAAGTGAAAGGCTGAACTCCGCATATTCGGTATGTCTTTAGAGGTTTCCACCGTAGCTTCACTGCTATGGTATATTCCTTGCTCTTGTTGTATAGATTTTACTCTCATTCCGCTTGCAAGAACTTTTCCTTTGCTGTGTCCGACTGATATTGAAATATTCACATATCTTAACTCTATTTCATAGAACCTTTTGATGTCGAAAGAAAAGTTAGAGGCCGACCAACAGGCTCTGAACGGTAAACTCCAGCGACTTCGAAATTTCGTGTTTTTTGTTCAAAATAGATGATGCAAAATTAGAAGATATTATTGAAAAGATTTATAAAAAGTGTTTTAAATATTGTTCCCATCACAGCGCGAGTTATATATATATATATAGTTAGTGTAAATATAGATATTTCTATTACATAATATATTGAAACAGTTTTGAGAGTGTAATTTCTGGACGTTGGTCAAAAATTATAAACGTTATCGAGCTTCTTTGTTGAGTTTTGGTCTAGAATTCACAAGACCAGGGCGAAGAAATAACAGAATATAACGTCATTTACGCGAGAGCATTCATTCATTCATAACAGCTGCATGGTCAGACCTATCGAATGTTTAAAAAAACGCTCTCTTCTACCTTGGTTTGGTCCAGGATTCATAAAAAGTTTATATATAAGTTGAAAAGAGAAAAGCTGTGATTTGGAACAGAACCTAAAGATAGTGTCTATATATAATATATTTTATTGGTATGAGCATTCTTGTGTTCATATTCACAAAAGAAAATATCTATAGTGTGTGAAATCCGCTTAAATCTAACGTTGTGAAAAATTATCAGCTGTAAATAGTATTTATTATAGATAAAATATGTGATCAGTATTTATGTGAAATGTAGTCTTAAAGACGTGAATTAAATTATGGTGAACTATACTTCAATTGCTTTGATATATTTATCCTTTCTGGGTAGAAAGATTTAGTTTAGGGGGATCTTCCAGAATGCATATTGCATCAACTTGAGGATAATCATGCAAGCTAAGACTCACCCGCAAACCTATATTATATGTTGTTTAATTTACAGTAAGGTCCTGTCACACTACAAATCATGGAGCTCGTGGCTAATCTTGCCATTGTGATCGTACCATAAAATAGCTCAGCAAACTTAATACAGAACAGTTCTACACTAAATTATGGTTACCTGTAAGATAAATCCTCGGTTCTTTCGATGAAAGATGTGTTTAGTGATCCTTTGCTAACCTTTCAAGTTGTAAAAGCATTAAAAACCTCGCTCATATAACATTTTTTCACCCAGTCGTTGGAGAACACGGGAGCATGTACTTCGACACGAGTTCTTTCGCTGGCGCATGGGCTAATTTGCATCAAGTTGTTTAGACAATTGTTCATCTCAATTCTTAATGATCTTAATTGTTCAACATTCAATTGATACTATTCTTAATGCCTTCAAGAGGTGATAGAACAAAGGAAAAACATCGTTTGCATATTGCGTAGGATTTAAGACCATGCATGTGAGCAATATGTTTTGGTGAGCAATATGTTTTGCAAAAATATCAACGAGCCAACTTCAGATTTATTTATATTACTTCAAATTTAGTTGTATAACTTAATATCTACAATATTTACAGATACATCAGACACATTAGATCATCTCCTAATCAGGAGTAGACATCTCCTAATCAGGGAGTAGATCATCTCCTAATCAGGGAGTATATCATCTCCTAATCGGGGGGTAGATCATCTCCTAATCAGGGAGTAGATCATCTCCTAATCAGGAAGTTGATCATCTTCTAATCAGGGAGTAGATCATATCCTAATCAGGGAGTAGATCATCTCCTAATTCTTCATCGCCAAATTCATCTTCAACGGCTTGTTGATTTCGTCTCGCTGCTGTTTTTGGTCGAGCTGGAGCGTCTCCCAGAGGATCTGAGTACGAGGCGTCTAGAAGCAAACATGACAATGTTCAAAGAGACAATTGCGTGATAATTGTGCATAGTTGAAAGCATACCTATATTCTTCTGAGAAGACATGGTAAATGGTTCGTCCACATCATCAGCTACGGTTGAACGAGGTTTAACTCCTCTTGAACCACTGCTAACACGATTCTTAGCGCTTCTTTCTCTTCCGCTGTTCACACGATTTGCATCTAGAAGTTGAATCAAACGTCAAAAGAGCGTCGAAATGTTCCTTCTAATTTTATTAACACGGTTTTTATACACTTATACACAAGGCTCGTCTATCCCTTGTTCTAATCCAAACCCGATAATAGCTCCACGGCTTCACAAAGCAATATAGAGCCATCTCGTTCATACGAGATTCACTTTGGGAAGAAACAATTTCCAACCTCCGTTTGCGCTGTTTTGTCGCGAGGAAGTCCCAGGCCTTCTGTTTGCTCGTCCACCACTGAGCACGCGCTGTGAATAAAGTAAAACACACAGGTTTAGACGTTACAAATTAACATAATAATTTTCCTAAATTCCATTAATCTCATTCTTCCAACCTGTTCTTTCAATTCTTTCGCTTTTTCAGCTTTCATAAGTTTCTGGGCGTATTCCTGAACTTCTTTCAAACCAAGATCTGTACAGATGCGTACGAGGAACTTTAAACCTAAATCAACCACAGCAGCGTCATGATTAATATCTTGGAATAGATCAGAATAACTACAGCTGTGATTTCATCGTTTGTACCACATACATTCAATATTCTCCGGGAACTTTCCGTGTATGGACTTGTACGTATCTAAGGCCTGCTGGTAGTTGCCTATTTAATAAAAAATCACAACTAATCAGGTACAGTATTAGATGGTTTTGAGAAATGTAAGAACTATCTTACCACTCCTTCGATAACAGCTGGCGATCATCAATTGCCATTTCACCTCGTTCGGTCTGTAATTAGAATACAAAAGAAATAATGCTAGAGGAGGTTACTTAGGGGTATTTAGGGGAATACATGCCTTCTCTACATGCAATGATGAAAAATAGAAGAGGGGAGAGTGCGTTATAACCCCTGATATACCACACAATCATACAGCGACGCGCTCTATCACCATATCAACACAAAAGCACTTACTGTATCATTGAGGCTCTTTCAAAATACTGAATTGCTTTCTCGCAGAACTGCGAGTCAATATAATAAGCACCGAGCCAGGAAATAACGTCGATACTCGACGGAAAGTATCGGTAGGCCTCGTAATGATATTGAAACGCCTGGGATTTATCTTGAAGACCATCGTATATTTCGCCCAGTTTTGATAAAGCTGCTGGATCGGTTGGAACAAGCGACACCAACTGCATGTACCTGGGTTGAGGAGGTGGAGAAATAAAGAGGGGGCGTGGATACTTCAAATGATTGAAGAAGGAGGCGTGAATAATTGGAACAATTGGAGAGGGGGCATGAATAATTGGAGGGGGCACATGAATACTTGGAATTAGAGAGTGGCAGAAATACGTGGGACAATTGGAAAGGGGGCATGAGTAATTGGAGGGGCTGCATGGATACTTGGAATTGGAGAGGGGGCACAAATACTTAGAAACAACGCCTACCATTCAGTTGCCTGATCAGCATCGTTAAGTATTTCATATCTGGTATTATGATTTACCAGTTAAGGTCAACGAATAAAGAAGCCATTTTCACAAAAGAGACTTATAGATGAAGGATAAGAAAAACTATTCCTAATCTAAACTCTATGCAGGTCTTTACAAGAGGATACATATTCGCCAACTGCCATATAACCTGAGGATTATTTCGTAGAATCGCGTGCAATTTTAGGAAACAATCTAATGCCTCTTCGTAGTTCTCCATTTTCTTAGAAACCAAACCTGAAAATGAAGCAAAAGACAAATTTTTCATGTTAATAATCGCGCGCTTTCTCGAGCCAAAAATAGTAATAATAGTCGTAGGAACCATGATGACTAGTAACTGAAGCAGTAAATTGGGCCACTGATTCACTGACCTATATTGTACAAAGCATCGGTACACGAGGCTTCGATGTTCAGAGCTTCTTGGTAGTGCTCCCTCGCTTTTTCAAGATCACCTTGGCTATAGTAACAATTACCGCGATTGACTAAACCTAGAGATAAAAACTTCAAGGTCAAGATGTGGAGCATTAGGCATATATAGATTAGTGGTGATACACTTATGGCTTCTTATACCTGGGGGTAAAGGGGGAAGGATGCAAAGAGGGAAGGGCCCAAAGATTGAAGGTGCCCCAAGTTCCATTGCATAAAAGAGTTTGACTTCTGCCCAGGGCCGTAGCTAGACCGCTTAATTGGGGGGGTGTATATTCATATATTCATGTTTATATACCTTAGGAACAATGGCGTACAAAAGAAATCAGTCGGGCATAAGACGAATATATGAATATACACCCCCCCAATTAAGCTTCTAGCTACGGCCCTGCTTCTGCCCTCGAATAATGATAGAATTATACTACAATTACCTAATGGATTATATCTGTCCACGCTGATCGCTAATTCCGCATATTTCTCCGCTTGCGACTGCTCTCCTTGCTGTGAAAAGACAACCACAGTTTTTGCATTGAAATCTGCACTAAATTTGTTGGAAGACTGCCGTCTATTCATTGACAGAAAGAGCTACATATATGTCCAAGATGTCTGCCTGGGTTCTATATGCTTCTTACTCACCAAGAAGTACATAAACGATAAATTTGTTGCGGCTGTGGACTGCATTTTTGAATCTTTTTTTTCAAATCCTTTCAAAGTTTCAACAGCCTGAATTTGAAGCACGGAAAAACAATTATAAACATGACTAGTTTTCATGACCACACCTTAATCAATATCAAGTCTTTTTCATAAAACAAAATTCCTATGGTCGCATCTTGAGGTAAATCTATAGCAAACTGTACCTTATTGAAGTCTTTTTCCTTCAAATAAGTGATGGCTTTGGTGATTTCCAGTTCATTGGCAAGTTCAAGATAGGGTGACGCCTTCACACATTCAATGCACCTAGGGTACAGTTATACTATTAATAATATAGCTTACTATTAATATAGCTATACTATTAATAAGTTTAGTGTTGTATGCCTTGAAGGACAGCCCAGAGGAGGACCTACCAGTCGAAGCCTGCAGCAAAGGACGTCTCGATAGCAGGAGCAATTAGTTTTGCACATGAGGTAATAAACCTCTCAGCCTTGGATTTTCTGAGAGAGAAATTATTACATATGTATTAATATTACAGTGCCTGTTGTTCCAAGGGAACCAGCCAGAATGTCATACAGTGTAGGTAGAGTACGTGCAGTGGATTCATCATACCTTTCTCTTTCAAGTTGACGTAATTTGTCATTTCTGATAATTTCCAAAACTAGGGCATGTTGTGGATCATCCTAGGAGGCAAAATGAAGACAATGAACTGATGAAGGATGTTCTCTAGAAAGTGGATGGCACAAAAACATGAGCAAGTGGTTGGTATTTTTGTGCCATCCACTTTCTAGAACTATGAAAATTAAGCAAAGGAATGATACCTCGTTTGTTGCGTATTTCTCGTCATCATCTAAGCTCAGCTCAATCTGCAACATCTTTTGAAATGTCTTCTTCATTTTCTCGCGATCTCCAAGTGCGTAATAACACAATATCAGATTCATTGCTATGGAAGAATGGAACACTGCATTAATCATTTACACTTATACTGATAATTTGTTTCGCCAAAGCGCCAAAGAGATACCACCCTCAGTAAAATTACTTGAAGTTGTATCAGTGCTTTTAATATATTTATGTATTGCAATTTCAATTCTGTATTCTCTAATCCAAAAATTTGTTATATCACTTCACTGATGTAGAGAGGGTCAACTTTCCACCTACCACAACTTAGTGATGGACTGTCACTCATAACTTGTTCAAATGATGTTACAGCATCAGCATACTGCTTCAGCTCGACAAAAGCTATCCCAATATTCTGCATGATTTTTATTCTAATGAGACAGAAATGTAACAAATTAAACTTTAGAGCACTAAGGAATACTGACAATAGTTTCGATTTGGTCAAAACCGCAGTTGTGATGAAAACCTCACCTCATTTCTTTGTGTGTTATCGGCACCTGATCCAATGCCATTCTGTAATGTTTAATTGCCTGTGGTAGCTTGCCTTGCTCAAAGTAGATATTACCCATGTTCACACGAAGCCTGCCTGCATTGCTAAACATTTTGTTCTTGACAATCACTTGGTAAGTGTTCAGAGCCTCAGAATACATTTGACTTTTATGATACATATCGGCAAGGTTGAATAACACCTGTGAACAAATGAAGAAACATCTAGCATCAACATGTTTCGTCCTAATGAAGGTAGTAATATCTTTCTAAAAACTACATAAAAATGATAATTTCAATATGGATATGCTTCTTACTGAGTATGTGAGATCTAAATTTATTTGCTCTGACACAGCTGTCTGTTCTCGTTGACGACACAACGCTCTCTCTTTCCTCCCAGCTTCTTTGGCTTTTTCCAAAGCCTAAACAAATTGTTATAAACATTTGTTATATCTCATGCCTTGACCAGGTAGCAGTAAAATATTTACGTATCATATCATACCAGTTCCATTTCTCCTCTACTACATGCGACGCAACTCTCTTCAATTAATTCGTTCACTTTCTTTTCCATTTGTTTGATCTTTTCCTCGGGACTATTTGCAAAAAAAAACATGCAAGCATCTCAATTTTCATCTTGCTTGCTATAGATTTTTTTATTGTGTGGACATAGCCATTTCTTTAATGTAGCTAGGATATGCCATATATTATACACAGTAACAACTCCACAATCCATACTTCAACTCAGACTTAGATTATTTCACTGTGCTTGGATTTAGAGTTAGCTCCTTTGGAATTTAGAAATATAGCCTTGCTTCAATGAATTTATGTTTTGAATTCAAAACTGTTTCTTTTTCTTGTGTCTTAGTATCGAATCACAAGCAATATTACTCTTGACGCTTTCCAACCTGGGCTAACTCTTGTGCAAACCCTCAGCCTATCCTTACCTATCTTCTGCCTTCTTCTCAAGAGGTGGAGCAGGTCCCTTTGTGCCTTGATTGAATGGATCGAATGCTCCTCCAGCTGGAGCTATTATTAAAGAAATTGATATAATTATGATTAACCAAGTGAAGGAACTTTCAAAATAATTATTTCTTGGCAAAACAAACAAACCTCTGTTGCCAGCTGAAGAGTAACCAGCCCCTCGCACAGCCGTCATAGGTCTTGCTTGATTCGCATCCTTTTAGGAAAACGTATGATTGAAACAACATTTCTCTTAAAGATAGAGCGAATAAAAGAAAAAAATCAAATTAACATACCAGTGCAAAACCAGTTGTTGGTCTCCCCATCGAAGAACCAGGACCACGGTTCTGAAAAAAAACACACACCTCAATACAAAATAAAAGCTGTGAGTGTATGTTTCTACAAAATGTGCTTACTCCTGATGCTGTTCCAATTCTCAATCCTGCCGCACCAGTTTTCTATTAAATAAAAAAAGGAGAATGAACTAAACACCGTCACCATGCACGTTTTATGTTGGTTGCAATAAATCTAGCCTACAATAAATCATCTTTACTATTGAACTTACAACACCAGGTCTTTGACCATGACTGGTCTTTACAGCCTGTTGAAAACCTTCATCTTCCTCAAGGTTCTATAATAAATATCAACCATTCAAAATAAAAGGAAATTCGCACCAAGGGTGCCCATCTCATATCCTCTGTCTCGAGAGTTTTACAATCATACCTCCACGTCAAATGCAGGATTGTATTCGTTGAATCCGCCATAAATATCGTCTTCCTCTTCACCGACAAGATGTACAGAGGATAGCATTCTTGAAACGTTATTTAAATTGAATAAAACTACAGAAAAACATCAAAAAATGTTCAAAATTTCATTTTGTTCAATACATAACTTGTTGCCATATCAGCAAAAATAATATACCACAATCCACTGCTTTCCCGATAAAAATGTCGGACTGAAACATGAAACCAAAGGCGGAAATGATTAAAAATATGCCGTTTATACTCTAGAAATACAACGATTTCTTAATATATTGTGTTTATTTGATGCCTTTACACGATAATAACATTTTTAATATATTGCTTTAGTTTAAGAGATGGAAATATTGTTGTTTTGTTACAAAAGGCTATGTGGACGAAAAGTTCGGCTAAATGTCGATACATCAGAATTATGTACAATACGTTGTAAAACAAAAATAAACTTCAAATATTAAGATTGAAAACTTTGTGTGGAAAAAGTACTTATTTATCACTGCATTACAACTATTATTATTATTATCATTATTGTAACTACCTTTTTTAAAACTAATTCAATAATTTAAAGCTAAATTTCACGCTAGAAGTTAATATTTAACAGTAATATTTTACAAAACTAAAATCACTTATTGAAGATACATTTAAGATTAATGAGAACATGCCTGTTGTGCTAGTTTGCCACAGTCTTGGCTGCCCCTATTCCAATATGTTTCTGCAAAAACAGACACAGGATTGTATCAGGCTATATTCGCCGGAAAATGGCAAATACGACCATGGTCATATTCGCCGGAAAATGGCAAATACGACCATGGTCATATTCGTCGAAAAATGGCAAATACGACCATGGTCATATTCGCCGGAAAATGGCAAATACGACCATGGTCATATTCGCCGGAAAATGGCAAATACGACCATGGTCATATTCGCCGGAAAGTGGCAAATACGACCATGGTCGTATTCGCCGGAAAATGGTAAATACGACCATGCTCATATTCGCCGGGAAATAGCAAATACGACCATGGTCGTATTCGCCGGAAAATGGCAAATACGACCATGGTCATATTCACCGGAAAGTGGCAAATACGACCACGGTCGTATTCGCCGGAAAATGGTAAATACGACCATGCTCATATTCGCCGGGAAATAGCAAATACGACCATGGTCATATTCGCCGGAAAATGGCAAATACGACCATGGTCATATTCGCCGGAAAGTGGCAAATACGACCACGGTCGTATTCGCCGGAAAATGGTAAATACGACCATGCTCATATTCGCCGGGAAATAGCAAATACGACCATGGTCGTATTCGCCGGAAAATGGCAAATACGACCATGGTCATATTCGCCGGAAAGTGGCAAATACGACCACGGTCGTATTCGCCGGAAAATGGTAAATACGACCATGCTCATATTCGCCGGGAAATAGCAAATACGACCATGGTCATATTCGCCGGAAAATGGCAAATACGACCATGGTCATATTCGCCGGAAAGTGGCAAATACGACCACGGTCGTATTCGCCGGAAAATGGTAAATACGACCATGCTCATATTCGCCGGCAAATAGCAAATACGACCATGGTCGTATTCGCCGGAAAATGGCAAATACGACCATGGTCATATTCGCCGGAAAGTGGCAAATACGACCACGGTCGTATTCGCCGGAAAATGGTAAATACGACCATGCTCATATTCGCCGGGAAATAGCAAATACGACCATGGTCATATTCGCCGGAAAATGGCAAATACGACCATAGTCATATTCGCCGGAAAGTGGCAAATACGACCACGGTCGTATTCGCCGGAAAATGGTAAATACGACCATGCTCATATTCGCCGGGAAATAGCAAATACGACCATGGTCGTATTCGCCGGAAAATGGCAAATACGACCATGGTCATATTCGCCGGAAAGTGGCAAATACGAAATGGTCATATTCGCCGGAAAACGACTTAAGGCTAATTTCCACTCTGGAAAACGAGCAGCGGATCGGAACGAAAGATAATCCGCGCGTGCGCCGTCTGTTGAAATTTTTGGCTTATATTGATCCGAAAGCGTCCGAGACGAAATAAAAAAAAGTTCAAATAGTTTTAAATTTTTTTTGATCCGATCCGAAATCACTTCATGGATTGGACCAGCTCGGAAAAAAATCCGATCCGATCCGCTGCTCGTTTTCCGGAGTGGAAATTAGCCTTAATTCGACCATGGTCGAGTTCGCCGGAAAATGGCAAATACGACCATGGTCATATTCGCCGGAAAATGGCAAATATACGACCATCGACCAACATACAACATTCTGTCTTAAACGAAGTACTTAACAACACGCGGTATATATTTTGTTATCTCCTTGTTAATAGCGAAATTGAAACAATGGGTAATGGAATGAACAAGGTATAAAATTGAGGTGACGTTTTATTTAAGTATTGCATTTAGCCTTTCTTTAAATTTTCTATTGAATTTTAGGTTTTACCTGGCCTGTATATAGGAAACTTTAGAGGTATCATTATATATATATATTTTTTTTGACAACTTGTATCCAGTTAGTCTGTCATTCCAGTCATTAGGTTCTGTTAATTCAACTAGTCTGTCAGTCTAGTTGGTCTGTCAGTCCAATCATGGCAGTCAGTTAACCTGTCATTTCAATCAGTTGGTTTGTCTAACTAGTTGGTTTGTCTGTCAGTTGGTTAGTCTGTCAATCTAACCCTCCAGTTTTATGGATTTTTTTGTTTTTTTTCGGTGGATCATTTCTAGATTCAAAGGATAAGGCACAATTAACAAGCAACAATATCACGCATATTGTGTCAGCACATGAAAATGCTAAAGAATTACTTCAGGTAAATAAAATAATTAATAAAAAATATTGAAGCAATAAAATTAAATATCAAATCCAAATTTTTTCTTTTCAGGAATATAAATATCATTGTGTCCAAGCTGAGGACTTCTCTGGCCAAGACCTGTAATCTAATCTCTTTCAAATATATATTTTAAAGTTTTAAATAACAATAATTTGTTGATTTTTTGTTTATGCTGATTTTTAGAACACCATTTTTTAAAGATAGTGCAGTATTTATACATAAAGCAAGGTGATAGTTTTTAAGACAAATTTTGCATCAATGTCAGAGATAGGCTTTAAGTCCAATGAGCCTAATTTTATTGCTTAAATTCTCTAGATGCGAGGGAGGAAATGTACTGGTACATTGGTAGGTAAAACACCAGGAGAAATGCAACCAATGACTTGCCAACAGTTTTCAAATTACTGCTAGATCCAAATATTTGTATCTTTCATGTTTGAAAACTATGATCTGGATTATAACGTCTCTTCCATGCATTTATCACCAGTCTAGCCGGCATCTCGCGTTCAACGACACTGACCGTAGCCTACATTATGGCTGTCACTGACATGGAGTGGACAGAGATACTCAAGTCAGTCAAATGCTCAAGATCTGTTGTAGATCCCAATCCAGGATTTAAAAGACAGCTGAACGAGTTTGGAAAGTCTGAAGAATTAAAGGCGGTGGGTATAGTTTTGCACAAAGTATGTTAATCATTTATCCGTCTTAAGAGAAATCCTTGAAGATAGTGCATACAATCTTTTCGGAAGATAAGCTCTAGTTCGCCATTTAAAATATCCATTTCTTTTGTTTTTAGTTGAAGAGGGAGTTAAAACATGATTTCAACAACACTGTTTTTGAAGACGAAAACTACTTAAGACAAGTAATAAAAAACATGGCAGAAACGGAACCAAAGTTACTTCAGGAATACGAAGAAGGAATTGATGTTGCTGCAAAATACTGCAATGCAGCTCCTAGAACTAGTCATGGTAACAAGCCAGATGATAGCAACTCTGACAGCGCTGGTTTATAATTGTCACAAGCATTTTCATTTGCTACCAAAGCTATGAATGCAATTGTAGACATACAGTAAACAGATGTAAAATACAATAATGAGAAATAGTTTTAAAAAGGCATATATAGTGTTCATTCATAACTTATACTAAATGAAATAGAATTTATTTGAATTTTCTCACTAAATTTTACAATTATTCATTCCTCAACACATTTGTGAAATAAATTAACACTTTCCCCACAGGATAAAAATTTTTTGTCTATTTTTCTGTTCAATTCACCACACCATAATGATATTCTTGGTGACACTGTGATTTCTCTGTACAATCTGGAAATGTCTTGAATACTTATGTGGAAAGGTGATTAAGTTAACATAAAATTCGCGTCAAAAGTACATTGTTTGTGGTATTTTATCTTCATTCAAAAGTCCAGCGTTCAGGTCATATTTACTTTCAAATGCTGTTGTAGTAGAAAAGATGTCGTTCATGGCTTTTTCTAACAGGTCCAAAAATGATAATTGATATTTGGCTCCAAAAAAGGTATTACTTTATCATTTGGAAATAGAAAATTTCGCGTTTGTTTTCTGAATGTTGTTGATCACAAAAATATGAATGCCAAATAGTCATGGATTTGTGCAAAATCCAACAAAATCTAAACCAAAGTTCGTTCATAATCAACGTCTTTCATCATAAGGAATGTATATCGCTTCTCTGAGGTTGGCCCAGCGGTGAAAATTTCGGCTCGAGTTTGAATGATTGATTTTGGCTGTATAACAAAAGAATAGGGATTCATGATACGAACTTGATACAAACTGATTGTGTGTGTATGAAACCAAATTATTTGTTTTTATATAACTTACGATATTTCAAGGGATGCTTCATGCTTCATTCACGACTGGTGGTTCCTCTTCTTTCTCTTCACTGTATCTTCTAATTCTTCTTCCTGTTTATTTGACTCCTCTTCTTGCTGGGTTACCTGTTCTTCCTCGAATACGCTAGTCTCGTCACCAGCCTCTTGACTGTCAACTGGACTTTCTTCACCATTTTCCTCTTGACTATCGCTACTCTCGTCACTTTCTTCATCACCAGGACCTTCGTCTTCGAACCCCTCATCACTGCCCATCTCCAGAGGTACGCCTGACACTACGTCCAGAGGGATGCCTGACACCACCTGTTCCTCCTCTCCATCTCCCCTGTCCGTAGTCTCCACGGCAAGTAACTTTGCTTCGATCTGTTTTTCTGCAAACTCGCCGTCGAGCGGCGACCCCCCCATCATTTCGTCATCAAACGATTCCCGACTCGTCGGTAACATGTACGTTTGATCGTCGGAACATCTTCGGCCTTCGTACGGAACTTCTTCGTGACGGCCCGCAAAGTATCGGACATCTCGATCGCTGTCTGCCTGAAGTCTCTCGATAGCATCTAAAACTTTCCCGCTGTCTTTGCACTCCGGTCGACAGAAATAATCTGGATGGAGAAGAGATGACTGACTTAGAAAAAGACAATAAGACAATGAGAATAACAACACTTCATTTATACTTTAATTTATCTTAACACAAGTGAAATAACGGTTGCTTGTTTTACTTATAGTTTTCTTCGTTACTATTCCAATGTTTAATAAGCTAGGAAAATACTAGCCTGTGTGCCATTTATTTCTTTAAGTAAATCTACGCACCTGTTACCATGACAGCTCGCGTCAGCGTTCTTGACAACGCCAGTTTAACATTGACGATGGTATCTGTTTGATACGTCAGCAAATGAGGAAGAAAATCAATCGCAAACTTTTCAGCGGTTATAAAGTCAGCCTCCAACAACACTTCACATAACTGGCAATACCTTGAAGAAAAGAAAGAATCATTGCAGTACGATGACATATATCCAGGCTAGTTTTATGAGCTCCGAATTTTCGTATCTGTCGCGGTGATTTGGGCTCGTATTGTGCCTGAATTGTTTCAGTTGAGAAGAGATATTATCAAACTTACGATAATCGCCTGAACCAATGCTGACTTGATGCAAAATGCTGCATTATATCTTCGGTGAATCTTTTCCGTAATTCCAAATCACTATCCGTGTTGAGCTTGAGTAATAATATACCAACCTGAAGAAAATGCTTTAAATTTAGGAAAACGTAAAATATCTGCAGCGTACTATGTCTTTACCAGAAATAAACAAAAAAAACTTTGACATTTTCGGCGAAGAACCTTCTCAACTAGTAGAAGATTACATTGTATTCTTAGAATAGTTTATCCATGATTCCATGCAAGTGAAAACACTATATTGACTGCTGTACATTCCTTTGTGTTGGCATTGACAAGCTTGTCCGCTGTCTTGCAAATTCCGCTAACGGTACGCACTTATATATCTCCATCAACTCACCAATTTATAAGCAATCTGTCTCACTTCAGCGACACGATCAGCACCGAGGGTTAAAGCAATCGGACAGATGTGATCGCTAACTTCGCTAGTTTGGTAGACATCAGCCAACATTATCAACTGCCTACAAAATACCATCTCGTGTTAGAATAGTGCTATGACAGGAAATGAAAGAAGAATTACGCGCTAACTAACTTACTCGGCCAGCTCATAACGGAATCTCCAATTTCTAGCATTGTCTGTCGTCAGGAACTCGGAGAAAGTCGGCAAGTAACCTGATCTCAAATCTGGCGCTAACAACTGCATGGAGGAAAACGAAAGACCAACATAAATCCTTTGAACACAATGTCAAAAATACATATTTCAAGAATTTCCTTTTTTTTGTTTGAAACTGACCTTTATAAACCTAGCTAAATGCTTTAAAACTCCGATCCGAACCTAAAAAAAGAATGAATGCAAAGTTAAGTAATTTTGCACAACAAAGAAATGCAATTATCAACCACAAACGGTGCTTACTTCATCGAGATCTTTGAGGAAATTATTGAATATCGGAACGAGATCCACTCTAGTATTCTCTTCACCTAATATTTGGGACAACTCGTGTATAGAGAAGGCCAGGGTTCGTCGAACTTTCCACTACAAAGAAAAAAGTCTGATGACTCAATTGTTCACCAGTGGAACACTGAACGTTTAAAGGCGCTGTTACACGGTGCAATTTTTCTTGCAACTTGCAATGCAATTCTTCTTTTGAGAGATGTAAATTTGGCAACTACCGAACTTTCGTCTTTAACGCTCCATGGCTCTTACATTTTAAAGACTCTTCACTAATTTACATCTCTTTAAAGCAGAATTGCATTGCAAGATGCAAGGAAAATTGCACCGTGTAACATGGCCTTAAGCATTCATTTATACCGGGTTAGTTTTCCTTTCAACTCAACTTAACTCAACTCAACAATCAAACACACGCACACACCTGCATATCGGCCGAAAGTAGTTCGTAGGTTTCTCGCAGACAACTCCAGTTCTTTGCGCCCAGAGTGAGGACAACGGCTGGGAAACTAAACGCACAATGTTTCGCAAGGTCCGTATCGATGGCTTGAGCTTTTGAAGGTTCTGTCATTGAGATGTAATGGTCGAGAAGAGGCTGAGGTATAACCACCTTTAAAAAGACGAACGTTCAAATGAAACTACAAAACAAGAGGATTCGCTAAGCATGCTTGGGAAAGTCTATCAACGTCAAAAAGTCAGTCCTATCTGTATCTAAATAATGTGATAGATATACAGATATTTTGTACAATTATTATAGTTTTGTATAAACAGATTGAATAGAGTGATAGTTGAATTTTTTTCCTTCAGATGTCAAGCAATCTGTTATGTAAAATGTACTTGCAAAAGAAAGGTAACTTGGAGCTAAAGTGTCTCACAATTACAGCAGCAATTCCTGGCCTGTAATCTCAGTAAAAATAACCGTAAGCTGCACCTGATTATGTAAAGGTGACCGCGGTGGACTTGGCACGCGGTTAGAATCATCATCGAAGCACATGTTTGGCGAATATGGTTGAAGGTAATCATCATCAAATCTCAAACTTGGTATACCAGACAACGGCGCCATGCGTTTGGGCGAATCATTTACACTTTCATTGCATGTTAAATCCTTTTCGTCACTCTCCAATTCCTCGCAATCATCGATATCCATGTCAGATATACCTAAATCTTCAAACTCTAGTCTTCGAGCGTTAGGGTTCTCCTCTGGGCTACCTGTGGCTTGATCCTCCAAGGGTTCAATCTCAGCGCCTGGGTTAGCTGTGGCTGAATCCCCGGATGCATCATTCGCCTTTCCGACATCTTCCGAGGACTCTTTATCTTCCTGCTCTGAATTCTCCGTGGCTGGATCGCGTGTCGTGTTACCTGGAGTTTGCGCGTTATGATTTGGGTTAGCTGTGTTCCCCTTCTCAGCTACAATCTCCCCACCTACGCTATTTCCCTCATCTCCAATCTGGGGCAAAGGTACCCGCCAAAAATTAAAAGAGTTAAAGGTTTCCAGTTCAATTTCACGTCCCGTAATTTTCTGACCAACGCGAAGTTCTGATAATTCGTTCGAGACGGCATCCAGAGCTTGGTTCTCGTGAAGTTCGTTATCCAAATGTGCTTCTGGAGGCGACATGTACCCAGAATCAGTCGTCTTTACGTCCATACCGTTGTTTTCGGCATTCCTGTATTGCAAAAGAGAGCATCTTTAGAAAAAATTATTTAGGCCAAGAAAACTCATGTTTATACTATAGAGATTCCATCGCAAGTGAAAAGGCATGGTAATTTCTAATATGACTAGCAATATGACTTACTTTTTCTCATCGCTTTCCAAGCCAACAGCCTGTTCAGCTGAGCTCTCGCCCTCCGTTTTAACAGGAATGTCAAATTTGCACAGTTTCCCTTGTTCATCCACAAAAAAACCCGAGTTATGAGGGTCTGCGAATGTCGATATGAACGGACCGAGACTTTGGTATGCAGCCATTTGAACCTAAAGTTTAAGAGTGTTACAAATATTTTATAAAACAATGCAAAAGTAATTGAAGTAAGAAGTAAGAGTTGCCTGTATGTATGGCGGTTAATTTTCGGTAATTAATGATTGACCTTACCCAACGTGACTTGTCGCCAAGTAAATTAATAAACAGCGGAGCGAGTTCATTTCTTCTCACTTCTTTTGATGCGACCGTTGAAACATTCATGAAACATTCAGCACAAGCCTGAGGAAGAAATGACAGGGTTATCGTGCGAGTTCTTGAAAGCAGAAAGCAAAGACAACAAGAGTATTACTAAAACATATATTAAGACGCTTTTTCAAAGCTACCTTGATAAAATATTTACGTCCAGTTATAAAATAACGCGGTGTGTATATCTTACTAGATTCTTGTCTTAGTCTCTTACCTTTCGCACTCCCCACACGCCATCCTGACATAACTTCATAAACACTGGAAGCTGCGAACAGAGCATTAAAACTAGAAGTTAAAACTAGCTTCACGGCTCCAGGACAAAGTCACAGGTTCTTGGCCCGAAATATCGAAGACCTCAATCCTCATTATATTTTAAATATCTTAACACACACTTAGACATTACAATATGCAATGCAAAGCCTTTTAAGAACATAACATCCATAAGATTTATGTATTTGTTTATATGCTAGGATACTTACTAAACGTCTTTCAGTCAGATCGTTCCCAATAACTTCACACATTTCACCAAAGTTAGCAGCACAAACCTGAAACGTAAAACCCAGGGTCATATTATCATATTTTCAGCACTTTTTGTCGCAATGGTTTGGAAGTGATGAGGTTAGTTTTGATAAAGACAATGCTATAAGTAGACTCTACCTTTCTGACATGAAATAGTGGATCAGAGCAAAGGTTATCAAATTGGCCAAGGAAGTATCTCTCAGTGATTTCTCGACCTACCATTGGAGCCATCTTGCTCATCATCTGCAGGAGAAAAATATGTCAGTTGAAGAATGTTTGAAGGATGGCAGTGTCCAGGATGGATAGGATGGACATATACAGGATGATAAGGTTGAAGGGAGGAGATTGATGCAAGAAATGTACAATGGAGATGGGTTTTGAGTGCAGGTGAGAGAAAATAGTGGTGTGAATTGCTTGTATGGCTGAGTAAAAGAGATTTGTGGAGAGAATACAGAGAATATGAGTGTCGAAAGTAAGATGGGGAAGGAACCAGGGAGATTAGAAAAGAGAAGAATAGGCTGAAAAGAAAAGGATGGAAGAGGATAGGATGGAGAATACGGAAGGAAACAATGGGTTCAAGAAAGAAGTGGATGAAAGAACAGGGAGGGAAATGAAGAGTAAGAATAGATGGATAAAGTTGAGAAATGATGAGAAGAGAGGAATGATAACAACTTACTGTAACAGCTTCTGTTCTGAAATCATCTGTGCTATCAATGCTGCACAACTCAATTAACACAGGGCAGATTTGTTGCTCGACGTCAACTAAATCAGTAACAAAAACATATTAATGGAAAATCATTGCTGGAAATCAAACATAAAGAAATTTTTGCAAAATACATACTTCTATCTATAACTTCTTGTTCCAATAAGAGCAACAATGCAGCCTGACTTGTTTTACGCACCTGAAATAAAGAAGAGAATCAGAATCACAAAGTGTGTTGAGGTTTGAAATACCACATTGCCATAACCAAAAATATGAAGTTTGTTACCTGGTTGTTTGGATCAGTAAGATATCGAACAACAACTGGGAGGATATACTTTGGGATAGCAAAATGCAATCCACGATGCTCAACACAAAGAACAGCAACATGTGGAATTTGTTCCATAACTTCTATGCGCACTGCCGCTTCTGTGAAATTGCAATGTAAACTTTGACTTTAACATATAAAAAACCACCAAGTACAATTTTTTTTATTTCACAGCTTGTTTTCTTCTGTACAAAAATCCCTTATGACACATTTTTTCTGGTGTGTTTAATGGTATTAATTTCTACGGCACAAAAATGGTCTAAAATCGCTCCATTCCAACAAACTCTTGGTATGTTGTTGAGACAGGAAATCAATCAGGACATAATTGGAATTTACTTTTTTAATCCCTTAGTTCCTTTAGTAGAACAATCAATACTTTAGTTAGGATTAGCACCTAGCATTAATTTCTGAAACTTCAAATGATTTGTACTTAAAAAACATACTTCAAATATTTTTATATTTCTTTCATTTGTCATACAATTCTTACAAATATTGTGGAAACTTTGTAGGAACTAGTTGTTTAACTTAAAATCAAAAGAAAAATACACAATGTGCTCACCAATATCATCGGATAGACGAACCATAAGTTGAAGAACTTGGTAGCAATCCTCGTCTGACTTCAGAGATCGTAAACACTCCAATACACATCTTGCAGCCATACGCCTGCAAAAAAATCGGACGATTTAAATCTGTATAAGTTTTAAGAGAACGAATTTAGAAAAGAAATACCGTTGGTATATTTATTCTAAGATATCTAAATTAAAACAGCACGAGAGTGAAGTTCATAAATTGGACTAGAAGCAAACGAAAAGGTGTTAATCATTACACGTCTACACAAGTTTTTACCTGTTAAAAATGATCTCGCTGTTCAGATAGCGATCCATTTTTGTCAGTGGCGAGACAAACTCTTCAGGAATTTCTTTTTCCAACATTGAGTTATCCTCCGATGCGCCTTCTAACCCGTCTGTGGTGAAGTAAAAGAAAAACTGTTCTTGCGCAAGGTTACCAAACAAATTGTGTGTCAAACGTAAGAATTCAAATACATCATCGTTTTGTATGAATCAGAAACCACTCTAGTTATACAGTATTAATTCAGGCTCTGAATTCTTAAATTTGCAATCTAAATGAGCCGTTGGGATTATAAACACCGGCGTATTTTAACGACCTCTTGTTGTTTTTCCAACCGGGAGTACATGAAAACCGAGTACTATTAGGTTGTGTGTACAGAAATTGAACTCTAGGAAATTAAATTCCGGCCACGATCGGCCTCAAACGCACCTTCCTCTTGCTCTTCCTCGCCGTTCTCGTAGTCATCCACTAGAAATCTGATGTCTACAAAAGATTACACGCTTAGATTGCGTTCAAGTCGTAAAAATTTCCAGTCATTCTTCTCATACTTACCCGCCATCTTGGTATCTCCAGCTTCCCTTCGCATCCGACCGCAGACACGTGACTTCCGGCACGCAAAATATGCATATTGGGGATGGGAGCGACGCAACGCAAGTGACGCAGAGGGCAGAGCAAGGTCTTAGCCAATGATGGGGGATACTGCTCAACGAGAATGGTTTTGATTATTCGCACGTTTTAATGACAACATTTTAGTTTAGGTGCTTTATTAATTATGAGGTAAGACATTCTCTAAGATTTCTTTTACGACACAAAACTATACACATCTTTTAATTTCATTTTAGAGATTATATGTTTTCAAGCGTTATGAGTTTACACGTTATGACTGGCTGTGCACATGCAAACATGAATTTGTTTATCACCCTCATTCAGTTGATTTGTTAAAAGACATTGGCGACAGTCACAGTATAAATATACATTCGTATTAACCTGACTTTAATATTTATATGTGCTGTAGTTGGTACAAAAATAGATTAAATGGACAAAATTTAAATATACGTTACTTGCTCCAGTAAAGAATGTCTGCAACAACTTGCAAAACAACTTACAGACAAGCAGCACGAACAAATGGTATTAGCTCGTTTTGAGAACATTGGACTGTAACAATAACCCAAATTTGGCGTCCATAAATTGTAAAAAGACCGTTTTTATATAGTGCCTATCTAAGCTATCAACAGAAAATCAATAAATCAAAACTCGCATTCTTAAAATGCCGTGTCTTTCGCCGACAATGCCTCCTTTAATGTGTCTTCGTCCACGGCGCTCTTAATGACATCATCGCTTTCGGCATCCGTCGCGACGGGCTCGACTTTCTCCGTAGTTTCTTCGCTAACTACAGTAGTAACATCGGTTTCGTTATCGTTAGTGTCTTTTTGTTTATCAGGGACTTCGTTTACGTCAGTTGTTTGCTCGCCTTCCTTTGATGCTTCGCTTTCATTCGTGGACTCGCTTGTGTTTGAAGTCGAGGCATCAGGAACCTCTGTACTTTCAGTCTTCGTGTCCGTAGCCACTTCTTCCGAGGTATCTTTCTCCTGTTTTTCGGAGGCATCTTTCTCCGGTGTGCTGTCTTTATCAACAAGAGCAGAGTCATCGGGTTTTTCCTCCTCCCCAAGGGCTTTTTCATCTTCCAGTTCCTGTGGTTCTTCTTTTGCACTGGGCTTGTCACCAGGCTCTATCTTCGGAGCTTCTTGTGCTTCTTCAGGTTGTTCATCGACGACCTCATCTTCAGTTTTTTTGTCTTTCGTTTTAGTTGCATCAACCGTTTCTTCTTGCTTTACAGGTGTCTCCCTAAATTGTGAAAAAAATTACACTCAAACTACGCCACCTAAGAGTTCACCACTTAGAAAAAAGAACGTGGAAATGATTTATAGTTCAAAATAATAAAAATCGTACTCTTTTGGTTTAGTTTCAGGCGCCTTCTCGGCCGCCGTTTCTGCTTCCAAACTTTTGCGTTTCTCGGCATCCAAACTTTTGCGTTTTTCTTTGTTTATACTTGGGGGACGTTTAGGGACATTTGGTTTTGAAGCTCTCGCAGCAACTTGAGGCTTTCCTTTAGGAGCTGGTTTTGGTGGGACTGGTTTGCTTGCCTCATTGCTCATTCTTCGTTCTTCCTTGTCATCTACAAAATATATTAACCATGCTGGTCTCTACGATTTGTTGTCTAAAATATTGAAGGCCGCAAGTCTAAAATATTTATCTTATCTTCGAACATGTTTCCTGCAGAAAGGCGGGAGCCATGCGGCAATCAAACGCTTCATTCTGTATGTTGTTGTAGTTAAACTGCATTGTTTTTAAATCAAACTCCGTATTTACCTTCTTTTGCTCGAGGTTGAGGTGTAGGCTTGCTTTCGTGAACGACTGAGGTCAAGTCCGCCGCTGATTTCGCTTTCACAGACCGTTTCATGGATGACGGGCGCACAGGGACCACCGGCCGCGCGGCATCGGGGTTGGTACCTACTCGTGGCCGTGGTTTTGGTTCTGGGGACGGCTAGACAAAGTACGTAAGCTTCATGTTAGACCTTTCATTTGAAACCTTTACTCGAGAGCAAACGTGTACGAACCTTCTTTTCACTATTCCGTTGATTTCTTTTCTTCATCTCAGCTAACAGATCTCCTCCCATGGCGCCCATGGGTAATCCTACACCAAATTTGGGTGGTGCCTTGGGCTGAGGTTTTGGCTTCTCTTCCTCCTCCCCTTTCGTGCTATCCACCTCCCCTCCTTCCTTTTCCCCTCTTTCATGTTCCCCTCCTTCCTGTTTCTCCCCTTCTTGTTTCCCTTCCTTCTTATCCTCTCCCTCCTTTTTCTCTTCTTCCTGCTTCCCGCCATCCGGTTCCCCGTCATTCTGTTTCCCGCCATCCTGTTTCCCGCCATCCTGTTTCCCGCTATCTTCCTTATCTTCTTGGCGGTCTTTATTCTCCTCTACTTTAATCTCTTTCGAAGGTTCATCAACGGGTTCATTCGCTGCCACAACCGGTTTAGTTTCAGGTTCAGCAGGTTTTCCCACCTCATTCGAAACCGGTTTTTCCGGCCTATGGGGTCTCTGTGGTGGCTTCTTAGGCTGTTTATCTGCTTTTACAGCAGGTTTTTCAGGTTTATCAACTGGTTTTTCAGGTTTATCAACTGGTTTTTCAGGTTTATCAACCGGCTTCTCAGGTTTGTTATGACGTTCTTCTGGCCTCGGACTAGATTTGGGCTCCGGTTTCTTTTCGGGCGCTGGCCCTATAGTCCAAGTCAAAACGAATAATTGAGAGTTCAGCCAATCAAGAAAAAACAAACAAAATAAATGATAATCTAACCTGCGTCAGTGACGTCTTCCTGGCTCTTTTTAAGATCCTTTTTACTTTCTTTACGCGAGGCACTTGGAGATTTTTTATCATTTTTCTTCTTGCCGAAGAAACCACTGAAATGAACCTCAAAATGAGTAACAACCGAAATCTTTCAAAAACAACAAGCAAAAAATACTTATCAACTTCATCCGATCAGGTGTAAAAAAGTCACGAGTTCGTTCACAACGCTCCTTACCTAAGGATTCCGAGTTTCTAGAAAAAATGGAAACCACTTTTACCCTTCCTTGTGATTTCCCGGGTTGCTACATAATTGTCATGCACACTCTAAACTGGCTGGGAAGTTGTTGAGATGCATGAGATTACAATGAAATTGAAGAAGGTTTGTCCGAGTCTTTAACCGTTTACCGCAGACCGGTCAACCAGCCTGGAGTGCGAACTTACGTCGAGGTTTTGAAGCAACTCTTCAGAGTTTTTACATGACGTTTTACCTTCTCTGCTTTAACCTTCGTTTTATCTTCAGCCTCTTCCTGTAAATTGATGTAACTCACAAATGAATCTCGTTGAGCCTGTGAGAGTGAGGGAGACTAGTGACGAAGGCGTATATGTGTATGCATTGGTTGTTACGTAGGGGCGAGGGGGGATATTGCCGGTTAAGTTAAGTGAAGTTTGTACCTTCTCGTGTTTCTTGCTCGTCGTCCGCTGATTGATCGTGGCACTTCTTTGCGAACTCGACTCAGGAACCACCTTGACTGAAGCAGGCAGCCTGGGAACAAATAAGTCATGTATCAGTGTAAGTAGAATATCAGTGTAAGTGGGTAAGCATTGACTTTGAACGTGTTCTGGATAACGTACGCAGCAGATTGCGGCCTGGTAGCAACTGGCTTGTTGAAGAATGACTCTATCCCTGCATCAAAATTCTCATCAACTGTCTCAGGACCGACGGCAGTATTTTGTTGACCCCCCGTAGCTCTGGTCGGAGGTCTTCGGCCTCGTGCAGGCCTCGGACGGTTCTTCGTGACGTGAACAAGTCCATTCGTTGGCGTTTCCAACGACACAGAAAGATCTATAAAAGAGAATCAATATAAAGTTCGCAAACCTGCCCCAGTTTCTTCCAACGGAAGGCGAATCTCAAAATATCGGGGGAGGGAATCACTATACTTACCAATATCCGGCACAACAGCTTCCTTTTTCTTGCTGTCCCCCTTTACCCCGCCGCTATCAGCGTGCTCCTCAGTGATATCTGATGTCCTGCGTTTCCTGTTGATGGTTGGCCTTCGTCTGGGGTGACTGGGGGCATTGAAAACCTCACTCTCAGCATCCGGGAAACGAACACTACGACGATTGTTTACTGCACTCAATCTGTTCTTCGCTTTTTGAGCCGCCTGAAATAACAAAATAAACACGTCATCTCGCGCTCATATTTCAGCCAATCAGCGCTCAGAAGAGTTCTCGAAATAGAAATCCATTCTGCAGTATTTAATCGATTATTTCTTCCGTTATTCTTCATGAAACTAGCAGAAATTTTGTGATTCTACAAAACCATCAACTTTTGCTTCTATAGATTCTGAAGTCCAAAGATATTTTGTTTTCGAAGTGTGAATTTAATCGTTCTTATAAGCTTTAACCACAGAAAACTATGGCTAGTTGAAAACCGTGTTTCCTGGTTTTTCTACCTTGAAAAAAACTAAGAAAATACCTCGCTGATGTTATCGTTAGGTTCCTCTGTTTCCGCTGGTTTTTCCCCCACAGATGCCATTTCCGTTTTGTGTTCATTTACCAGGATATCCTGTTCAAACGACAGTAAACTATGAGGATTACGATCACTTGAGTATCTCTGAAGTCAAATATGGAAAAAGAACCAATCTTACCAGTAAAGCTTGTTGATTCTCCAACTGTGAAATGACTTCATCCATTAGCGTGTCCACCACCGCGGTCGACAAATTTAGGTTCTTTTCGCTATAATGAAAACGCCAGAACTAAAAGTCAAACAATTGTAACATTTTTGTGGTATTTCAGTTCAGCTTTATACCTGACTTCATTCAGTATTATTGGAGCCAACTGTTGTAGTAGAAGGGTGTCGATGAATGCCTTGCTAACGTTAGCCTTCCCCTCACAGGCCGTCTTGAGATTATCTTTTACACTCTTATCAAAAATTAATAAGAACAGTTCAGAAATAATCAACACAAGAGATTTGGTTTATATTTAAACTGAGTTCATGTGATGTGAATAATACCTGTTGTTCCGTGACAAAAGGACAGTTTGTCTCAGCGGATTTTAATATTTTTTCTTTGTTTTCCTAAAAGAACAGAATTCATTGAACTTCAAAGTCTAGCAATTATAAATGCTACGGCCAAATATGGAATATCTTTCAGTAGAGCAATCGTTAGTGCCAAGGAGTTATATGCAAGAACGTCCGGTCAACCAATCGTAAATGTTATGGCCTAATATAGCAGGGAAGCACACAAACCTGAACTTGCTGTTGAATGGAATTGTAAATATCGGACGCTAAAGATGACAGTCTCTCCTCCATATCCTTTGTACTTGTTTGCATGTGAAATTTAAGGAACAACTAAAAATGTTGAGAAAATGCAAGTGACCGCCAGCCATTTCAAACAGGGTGATAATAATAGCTACAATATTTTACCTGTTTCAGTTTGTCTGCATCGTTGATACATTTGAGGGCATTGCGAAGACCTGACTGGACAGTTTCGTCAGGAGAATTACGCAATAGTCTGGCAGTGTCTTGAAGTTGAACAATCAACTTATCAACCATCTAGTGTTATGAATAAATTTGAGATCAGATCAGAATAAATTTGAGATCAGAATAAATTTGAGATCAGAAACCTCAAGGGATATGACTGCGGACCGCGTATCAATGCATTCTAAAGTTCACAGAACCTGTTGTTGCGTTGACGTCATCATTAAGCCTTGTTGCAGTCGATACACTTGCTCTGTGACCGCTTTACTGGGGGAATGGTTCCGAGACAAACACTTTTCAATCTAAAAACAATTGTGTATAAAGTCAGTTTTTTGGAGTTACAGTTTTTAGCGTTTGTGTCAAAGGATATCTTTCAATGATCTCACTTGTTTCAGAGCTTTTTCAGTTGCCGGTTTTAAACAAAGGGAAACGTCGTTCAATGGTATCGGCATGGACTGCAATGTTAAGTTGCTGTAAAGAGAGATAAGATTTGGTATCTGAATATTCCAAACCATGAAAATATACAGTTTGCAGTATACGGTGATTGCTCTACAGACTACACTAGTCTGCTTTATTCTTCTCTGCTGCAAGAGCATTCTTGTCTTCAAAGTTTTATAACTTATCACTTATCATCTCAACTGCATTGTCGGGATACTCACTTCTCCAACGACAAAGCGATATCTCGAAATCCACTTTGCGTTACGTTGTTCCTGTCCAAGTGGATGGTTCTACGAAGAGACAAATAAATACAGTCTTACAATAAAAGCTTCAAAACCTCCTTTAAACATCCATTGATCAACCCACCTCAATTTACTGTTAATTTGCAAAGCTTTAGCCAGAACTCTCGCACCTTCGTCTCCCATCATGTTACCACTAAACGATTAAAAAAACATTGTGATAATCTTTACCCATAAACGCAGCGAATCTCTGTCGAACAATTTAACCTAGAAAAAACACCTCACAGTACCTGATATCAAGTTCAACCAGAGATTCGTTTGTGCCAAGTGAATCAAACAGCAAAGTAATGTTCTGTTTGAACCGGGAATCCGCCAAATTTAGGTATTCTATCGGCTGTCAAGAACAACAGGGATACGGTCAAGTAGATCCAATAACGAATATGAAATCGATGAGATGGTCCAGCATAAAAATTGTGTTTCATCAAGGGTGAACTCACCGAATTTTCAACAGAAATCAACTTGATTAAACCTTCCATGATATTGTTCAAGTTCCTGAAATAAATTTTTCGTTTCACAACTTGTGATAAGTTGACATTTTCAGTTGGTGCTTTTGATGATGGTTAATATTATGGTGATGCTTGGTATGGTGATGATGCAGTGATGGTATAAGTAAATGGTGATATGATAAGTCACCAAAGAAGAAATACTTCGCCATGTACCTGCCCTTGTGACAATTCTGACCAAGGTGAAGTTTCTTTAAGGCTTTATTTTCACACAAACTTTCACAAAGAGGGATAATGTCTGATTCAAATCCTAAGATAAAAAAGGCCAGTTTTAAAACGAAAGACCTACCGCACGCGTTGCTACGATATTGCCGGAGCGATGAAAACCCAACACGTACCATTATCACTGAGATCCAACGAATATAGGTTTGAAATTTGAGACAGGGGACCCGTCATCGCTCGAAGGCCAGCTGATTTGAGCTGTAAGAGTCGAGAAGATGGTTTTTTTCAACCAAATATATTTCATTATCGACATTCCTCAAGATAACAACATTAATTCATTGATCTTTCAATATAAATATTTCGGTCGAGGACACATCAGGGATATATGCATGTCATTGGTTTGCTGAACCAATTTCGGGTGAAATAATCAATGATGAATGGACAATCACCTCATTTTTGCTGATATCGACAGCGACATCCTTTACCACGGTATTCTCAATCAAACCAAGAAACAACGCTCTAAATAAAAGAAACATCTTTGTGTAGTTTTTTTACCCACACACGACCCAGCGAGCTGCACGGCCACTTCCACGTCAACTTTGGTTATTTTTGTATTTGAAACGGATAGATTTTAGGAGGTATTTTAACAACAAAAGGACAACAAAAGGACTACAAAAGACAACATAAGGCAGGATATATTGTACCTAACTGCATCAGCAGGCAAGCGACATTCCGACAGCTTAATTTCCTTTAAGGCACCTGTACTACTGAAAAACTAAAGAAATGAATTTGTCATTAGTTGGACGAGTATTAAATACACATTAAAGTGATACGATACGACTTTTTGGGGTACGTCACCTGTTGATAACTTGAAGAGAGGTTTGTATCTTTGCTTTTTCTGTTAGTAAATTGATTTCCCGACAGATTTAAATGGCTTAAATTTTGACAACAGCCTCGGATCAAAGCACCAAAGATCTAAAAAATCAATTTTTGAACAATTAATACTTAAGTCCATAAAACGGCTCGCGGCTAGGGAAAGAGCGACTTGTCAGCGACTTACACTTTCTACAAAGCACTCAGTGGAACTCAAATCTACATGAGTTAACGCATTGGCTTGAGCCAAGAAATCACAAATCGCCTGCAAACGAAAACACGAATAATAAAAAATACGATCAATAAAATATCTGGTGTTTTCACTCAGGTTTCCCTGTATTCCTTACCGTAACACCGTCTGCCTTGATAGGGTTGCTTGACAAGTCTAACCTAATGTTGGAAATGAATACGAATAATGAAGGCAGTGAAAATCAGAACTTAGTCTTCACTATTGATGAAGAAAGATTCCTTTAATCGGAGGCACAAGGAACTAACTCACCTTGTTAACGATGTAGACATATATTTGCTGCTTTTTAGCATCTGACCAACAGTCGAAGCAGCTGTTATCAAAGAAAAAATGAAAAAAAAGTCTGAGTTCAATCGTTGTATACACTGTCGTAAAAGTATGTAATCGTACCTTTGTTGGTAATGCCAGTTTCGTGAAGAACAAGCGAGGATAACCCATGAGAAATTTTGGAAAAGCTACCAATCATATGAATTACTCCTGTACGAAAGGAACGGTGAGAAATTATGAAGAGACACTTAAGAGAGACGTGAGACTGCTTCGTGTCATCTTATACCTCTGTCTTCAGCGGAAGGATTCCTGGATAGATCTATACTTTCCAAAGCAGATTTGGGATTTGAAGTCAGGGCGTTCGCCAGTTTTTGACAGAATTCCCTGGAGTAAAACAGACTCAATGAATTAGTGACCTCGTTTGAAAAACGGGGAGAAAACACGGAACGATGATGAAATGATTTGGGATTGAAAAGATCAGTTAGGAACAGGGCGCTTGTATATAAGCGCCCTGGTTAGGAACGCATTCGGGACGCAAACAAAACGCATTTTCAACGTCAGAATTGAAAACTTTTGTTCTTTACGAAGATTGTCTGATATTTACCTTCCTAAGCTTACGCCATCTAAAACAATTTCTTCAATGGTTGTTGAACGTTTGATAACTTTTGTTATAACATCCAAGATTTCAGCAGACTAGAAATATAATCCATGAAGGGTTATATAGCAAAACGTAACGGTGCGGAATTGGAAGACCCCAAACGTGATAGCTTACCAACTTGTAAGAGACACAAACGAGCCTCGTAAACCAAGCATTGTACTCCAGAGTAGTCAGGATTGGAATTAACTCCCTAAGTGAAAAGCATTCAACAGACTTTGACAAGGTCAGGTGAAGGAACAGCCGTGAGTTAATCGTGTTGGAAACTATTCCTAAGATATCTCACCTTGGTTCCAAATGGTCAAAATCCTGAATATTGAACTCTTTTGTGTCATTTGATAAATATATTGTGTCAACATCCTGGAAGAAAAATAAGCAATTTTACTACATGTGCACACTATGATTTACTCCTTGTTTTAGGGGAAAATTTTGGTTTCAAATAAACAAATAAATACGCACTGTGTACGTACACCAAACAACATCCAATTTTAGGATTCGCGAAAGTTTTTTGCCGTGGTATAAGGTGGAATCACTAGTATACTCACCCAGGCCACTTCCTCCAAAAATGGCACACCCATATGATTACAAATACATGAATAAGAATGAGAAAAACCACCTGAAAATTAAACAAAATTATTATGTGACATCCAAATGATAAAATGCTACCAATTATTAGTAATCTTCTACCTACCGCAAGGACCAGCCTCGGATAAACTTTCGGAACTTGTTAACTTGTTCACGGCATTATTAATACTCTCCAATTTTTCACCTGGTTCGATATCCTTTCTAATCAACTCACTGCAAAATATAATGAACACAATCAATCATGTAAGAAAGCAAGTGTAGATGTGGAATACAATAAACTACTAAGGTACAGCAAAACATTCGAGATATTTTGTTGTTATTTAATCAGAATCTTACTCTAAATTTCCACCAGGAAAATTTATTTTCAAATTTGCTATGAGTTGACCAAGGACAACGTGTGTGCTTCCCGGTTTTGTTAAAGAAAACTTCACTTGTTTCTCTCCATATTGAATCGCAATCTATTTTTGAAAAACAGTAAAATTACAACAATTATTATTCTCATTAGCTTCCAGGTATTCACAAAAAGCAAGTTGGTAGGGAAAGCAATAGTATTGGTACTGCTCACCTGGTCAGCTTTTTTGCTTTCTATTGCATGAATATCCAAAATATGAACACTTAGATCAACCTGTAATATTACAAGAAGAACTCTTGGAGTAGCCTGCTAGCTGGGGTTTAAGAAACTGCAGGATGCATTTGACTTTACGAGATATAAAACGTACCTTATAAGGTGCTTTGTTAGCTGTCAGAATATAAAATCTGAAACTTGTTACAACCTAGGAAATAAAAAAATAAAAGTTATGATTCTAATGTTTAGGTGGAATTTGTTCAGTTCATTGTAGTAATTGCTACTCTGTAGGTAAACAATATGAGTTCATGGGTGAGTAAATATTGCTAACAGTAACAGATCAAGATTTAGGTCTACTCTGTATATTTCCTCTTCAAATGGCAGATAAATTTACTCATTGTTGAGTACTAGAATAGATTAACAACTTAAAGAGACCAAATAAGTGCAATAGAAAGAATAAAGCACTTGGATACAGCACTATTTATGGATGAAATATTTCAGTCAATATACTTAGTCAAAATCATGCAAGCACATTCCCAATATGTGAATTACTGATTGAGAGAGACTGACAATTCCACTCTACCCCCTGGGCATTTTTATAACTATTGCATCAAAGTCCCCCTGCTGATAATATTTCCTGATAGCCAGCCTATTTCAGAGAGTACAAATGTGTTCTTTAAATCTCACTTTTGATTTACTTATCAATGAAGTTTCACTCTCATTATCAAAAATTCTAATTACCAAAGAGTATTCATATATAATTATAAATTTGATACACTTCAATAAACGAATACAATTATACAAATAAACTGATTTCACGAGGTGCGGAGTCAAACATGCAAACAATATTTGAAGGCATGCAAAAAACCCTGAAAACTTCTCAAAATTTCAACTGCAAAGGTTTTGCAACAGTAACAATTAAAATCCGTACAATAGAATGTACAATAAAGTTTCTACTGTCTAAGTTAATTACATAATCCTTAACTTTGTTTACTAAAAAAGCAATAAATAAAATAACAAATGCAACTCTTAGGTAATTGTCCAAGACTTTACAATTTACACTGCATCTTGTTGAAGGCAATTACTAGACATCGTCGGCCGTAAAGTTTAATCGATAAGACATCTACAAATGACGATGTTGGCATTTGGTGAATTTACAAAACAAAAGGCTTAAAATGTCAATACTCACAAGAATTCGTGAATCGATTTTATCACCGCCTCTCAGTTCCAACTTAATTCCTTTGACCAACTGTACTTCGTGACTTTTACCAATGGCAGCGAGGATTAGACCTTCGGAAACACGCCATACAATAAATCATATTTGATAAACGGTGTATTCTTCGTTGTAGGAAAGGCATAGATAGTTATGCAAGCGGTCAATAAGTTAATATAAACAATAAAACGATGGCGTTCTCTCAAACCTTTTTCGATGTTTGGCGAATCATTCTCCTTTGCAGCCATTTGAAACTTGATAAATTTGAAAAGCAAAGCGAAACCTGAGCACTATAGACTTCTCATCGTGACTGAAATTTCACCAATATATCATATTCTGCCATTGACTGAAAGGGGCCGGGCTCAACGTTCAAAGCAGGAAGTTACTTTGCGAACTGGATGCCTAATATGGAACATTGGAATGATGCTTTATATGTCTACGAAAAATTAAAAATATGGAAATTGGGTGGTGTGTTTTATTGAGGGAGGGGGAGTTCTGCTACTTTAACCACAATTTACCTGAATATGGGCAATAAGAAACTCAGCGAACCTGTTGTATCGTCAAGAATTCACACAACTTTTATTTCTAACTTTTATTTTATTTATTCTATTTCGCCATCACCAGTTGTGATGAATGACAGTGGATTAAACACCCAGAGACCTATCATTTTTATATTGAAATCTACAAACGTAATGGTTATACAATTTTACCAACAAATTTTACTGTGAAATATTTGCAGCATTTAACACACATAACTTTATCACTAAAACATCTCAAATGTTCCTTCTAATGTTAGCTTTTTATCAGACACAACAATTCCGTCCCTATCAGCATATACATATTCGTTAGGTCTAAATGTAACTCCTGCAAAAGTGACCGGAATATCCCTCATTCCAACATTCTTCTTCTCAGTCTTTCGAGGTATCTGGGCAAGAGCCTTCACACCAAGATCAATTTTCTCAAGCTGACATGTGTCTCGTACACATCCATAGATTATAACACCACTCCAGTTATTCTTTAGTGCAGTTGCAGCCACATTATCCCCCAGTAAAGCTCTTCTCAATGAACCACCTCCATCAACAACCAAGACCTTTGAAGCAAAAGTTATTAAACTGCAATTACATCATATGGTCACTATAACACCTGGGGTAAAACGAAACCATGGGGCCAACTATATTCATTGCACTGTCTCCTAGCAAATACATCCTCAACTTTTCTCTCAAAACTTAACAAACAGTTATGAGTATTACCCTTCCATCTCCTGGTTCCGCTAGTGCAGTCTTGACGCAGGAATTGTCCTCGTGGCACTTCACCGTCGATATTTTCCCATCAAATTTGGTCCTCCGGCCAAAATCTCGAAATATCGGTTCAACGTATTGTAGGAGATCTCCGTAGGAATCGCACAAATCTGCCGTGTCCATTGCAAAAGTTGCACAGAAAACTCTTTTAAGTGATGAAATGCGAGCTGGAAATTTATGAATGGCCAACATCACAGTCATACACCGTGACAAGTTCACTTCAGATCAATGGACAAGATCAGTGGACAAGATCACTTCAGATCAATGGACAAGATCAGTGGATAAGGGTGAAGGTTAGGATGATGTCATAAAACAGCAAACCATGGAACAGGGAAAAATGGACGAAATAAATGTTCACAGTGGATCGTGTAAAATAAATATAATTGATAAAAGTACAATTCATCACTATACATATTTCCAAAATATTATATACCTACATTCTCCATACGTACAATTAAAACCGTGGAATTTTGTTCGTCAAAATAATTTATATATTTTTACAGCACTTCACATTAAATATTCTTGCATAAACTTCTCAATGGCTTTAACGAGGTAGCATATCTTCTGTTTTTTGCTGATAAACAACCCTGATCCTCCCCTCGACCTGAAATATCAACACCGTTAGAACTAGACGAAATAACAAGGTATATCGCATTAAAAAAAAGCGAAGTTAAAGAAAAGGCCTACCTCTGGCGCAATTGTACAACGTCTTCTTTCAACAACAGCCAGTTCCTCTCCCGGTTCTACACTAAACTCAAATGAAACACCAAATATAATTCAGCCATAAACCCCATTTTTTGACACGCTGCTGAACAGTCAAGAGTTAACCAAATAATACCAAGCTTACCATGTGATAGACTGGCGGTGACCTGATCGACACATCTGTAAGCCTTTGACGATATTACAGGAAACAAAATGATTTCGGACAATTGTCGGCAGTATAGACGCTTCTTCCTCGCTTAACAACACTTCGCAATCTTTAAAGACGTCGTAACCATCTTTACCATGACTTATATAACCCTTTGTAGAAATCGTGTATTGCTATAGGTGTACAGAATAACATAAATCATGGTTAGAACGAGACTAGTTTTGAAGCGCCAAATAGAGAGTGACAAAAAAGTTATAAAGTAAAGTGCCATAGATTATTAGAGAAATACTTCACGTCCGAATAAGAGGTGCTTTATCATTCTATTCTGTCTACAAGAATGATCTTCATACCCGTGTTAACTCTAAATTTTTGCCGCCAACTTTAACACTGCTCTCTATCACTCGCTGTCCAGGTTCCATATCTGGATCATAGGCGAATGTCATACCAGAAACCTAGAACATTAGAATATTAGAATTCAGTGGAACAACGCAGGTACGCATATACGTTTAATCTGAAGATTTGCATGCTATCGTGCATGGACGCCCACCCTGGATATACAAGGTTGCCATGATTATGTTCGGCGATCACGAATCCTGATAACGTATAACCACCTACCTGAGGAAATCGCCCTTCCAGTTTCGGATATTGACTGACTCCGTTGTTAAGGGCGACTAACAGCTGAGCGCCTGCGATGAAGAAAAGAAAGTAAAATTGTTGAGGCGATCGTGTCCTTAGAAATATTGCTTTCACTATGTATAATTACTTGAATTAAAATTTTTTGAAAAAGAATTTACTGAACAACTATACTGTGATGAAAAATAGGAATCGTTCTAAAAAAATGACATTATCTCACCTGAAATACTCAGAACTACCACAACGTCGGGCATCGGAAGAATGCTCGCTAAATCCTAAATGGAACAGAAATGGTTGATTGGAAGAGCAGAAGAAGCCTGTTGGTGAATGTACAGTTTTCACAAGAGTAAGGATTTCTTATAGTCTTTCGAGTTTCAACTGCTGGAGACTTCAACTGATCAAACTTACTTTCATTTTGAATTCACCAGGCGGGTGTATCGTGTCAGATCTTAAGGTACCGGAGTTGATGAGACTCACATCAGCTTGGGTCACGTTGCGCATTATATCCGCGATTAAATTACCTGAAATTATCATGACGTGGAGGTTGAAGCATTGAGTCAGATGAGAGCTTGTATGTTATTAGCGGATCAACTGAACAGAACGACCTCCCCTCCTCCTTATGTGAACCGATCTCCCCTCCTCCTTATGTCAACTGCCCCCCCCCCTCCTTATGTCAACTGCCCCCCCGTCCTTATGTGAACCGACCCTCCCCCTTCCTCCTTAAGTCAACCGACCACCCTAATTGAAAATCAAGCCTAATATACAAAAGTCATTCCCAGAAAATCAACGTTTGTTATATGAATAAGTCTATAGGTCAATTCCATTTACCTAGGTTGGTTTCTTTAGTTCGTATGCTTCTAAAACGACCATCCAGTTCAACTTCGATATTCCCAAGTACAGTCTCCATTTTCTCCTTAACTATATCTGAGTGCACAAGACAAATAACATCAATTACACAAGTAATAACCACGACCTAAATCAATCTTAGTCAATCACATGCAAAAGGCAAGGCCATTCGCATTAAAATAGGAAGAATATATAATAAAAAGTCGCAGGAAGTGAGTACCTAAATACTTATTAACAACAATTTTAATTTCTGGATTTTCTGGAACATCTTTCGTGATTTCATGTTTCTTCGACTGTATTTCATAGGAGTCATTTTCCGAAGAAAATACTACCTCAATCTCACTGAAATGTCTGAAATCTGTTCCACTTTTAAATATTTTTATCCCATTAACCTGCGAATAGATATACAGATATCTCAAAAATTTATCCGGCTTGTAAAAAGTTAGGTTTAGGCTTGACTTCCCTCAGTTCGTACCTCGCGTATTTCATAATGATGGTCATGACCACCAAGAATTAAATTAATTTCAGGCACATTTTCTGCCAACTTGATATCATTTGGTTCTCTCATGTGAGTCAAAGCTATTATGAAATCACAGCCCTAAGATATGGAAGAGGAAATTGTTAGTTTTACTTTTCAGTTTATCTTTCAAAGAATATTGCATAGAATATGTTCTGCAGTTATACCTCCTGTCGTAGCTCTGAACATAACCGACGACCTTCTGTGACAAAATCTACGTAATCCACTTCATCTATTGATATTGTTGCTAAGGTAACAAGCCATTCTCTTTCGACCAAACCAATTAAACCAATCTATTAATATTAAACCAGTGCAATGCTTAAAATTTCTTAATATTTCTTAACACCTGGTGTTTTTAGATATGGTGGCCAGTCTAATCTGTTAAAAAGGAGGTTTAAAAGAATAATTTTTTTGGAGTTTTTAACCTTATGTCCTTTCCAATCCAGTGTTAATGACACCTTTCCTTCAGCCAGAGGTCTTTTAGTATGCTTGTCAAAAACATTGCTCATCAACCAAGGGAAATTACTCTCATTTGCAAAGTCAACCAGTTCATCAACACCAAAATCTACATTAACACCAAATTGTATCTTATTCAGGCATACCATTAGTAAATGTATGGATACTCTATGGTTTGCAACACAGCAATTATTACGCACCAAAGTCATGGTTCCCATAAACAGCAGCATTTATTCCAAGACAATTTAAAACTGGTAGCATTTGCTCTCCTTTTGTAATGCTGCTCACTGAAATGAATTGTAAATAAATAAATTAATAAATAGACTAGCATTACAGTGGATAACAGTTGGTAATCCATGACCAAACTGCTTGTATACTTGTGGTTAACAAGTGCTGTGCACCCATTACCCTATAGTAACATGTACTAGTAAGATGTAACTATGAACAAGTTATCTGCCATTATAGGACCAGGCAATGCATTCATTTGTCTGTGAAAACATATGAAAAATACACATCAAATAAACACCAGCACTCATGCATGAATAGCTGACGTAACTTTCATGAAAGTAATGATTAACGAATAATTGTATTAACTCACTCATAGATGGATTTAAAGCATCTCCACTGAACAGGGTTAGAGGATCTCTTGATTTAAAAGTTGCTATTTTTGAAGCAAACCTGGCAGCTCCACCAACAGGCTCTTTTTCTCGTGGTTCAATGTTGTATACATCATTAAAGTGTAAAATAAGAATTTTATCCTCAGTACAGCCGTTGGTAACTGTTTCACCGTTTGCATCCATATTTGTCAAATTCTGGCGAAATTCATTATTTTCTTCCCCTATTTTCGTAGTTTCATCCAAATCCGTTAAAGCTATCGTATTACTTCTGTTTAAAATAGTTTGATCGCTAATTTTAGCCGACGTTTTTGTAAAGTTGTTGTCATTTTCGTAATCAATGACGGGTACATGAGACCGGCTGACCTCTTGCCGGTGGCTGCCCAAAGTGGGAGGGCTCCGGTCGTATCCCGCAAAAAATTCATCTTTCGCGTCTTCCCCTTTATGCAAAGCATCTTTTCTTGCATTTTCCATGCGCTTGCTTGCCGCACAGCCCATTTTGGTGGACAAAACTAAAGTATCCTCAAAAACATTTTTTGTCGCTTGTTTGCACTTTGCTACATTGTCTTTTAAATGGAAATTAATCCGACCGGACAAAATTCCCCATACCGGGTACAACACATTCATTTACACGTGGATTTAAAGGGTTTAAATCTATCCAAGGGGTTACACAAATTATCTGCCAGAAACCTTTGATGTCATTTCTTAAATCCTTAGTTTTGAATTTCTTAGTTCTCAATCTATTGAACAAAGTTAAAATATCATTATCTGTACATTATTAATTACACTTCAGGTTCACCATACATTTCTTCCATAATTCTACCAAAAAATATAATACCTCTTATATACACAATATCTCTATATATATTCTTATCATTGCCATTTCAGAATGGCATTAGGTTTGTTAGCTTTCACTCAGTATTCTTGGGAAGCAAAGCCAGTATTAAAACGTATCTTGATAAAATACAAGAGTGATATGTACATGAACTAACTTCTGGTTGCCTCCCAGTCAATTACATAGTGAAAGCCTATCTTTTGTCATTTGATATAATTTATTCACAATTCAATCAAATATTTGATTTGCCGGTCGTTGTGGAAATAGGAATAGCCTTCATTTCTGTCCTCATGCAGGCAAATTCACCCAAAACTGACGTTATGGCCAGACATACAATGTTCACAATCCACCACGTCCAGCTGCCAGGGATATGGTGCAAATAAAAAGTACAGAAAACCAGATGAACTATCGTCGCTGTTGCAGCAAAGTCGAGACACTGCAAATGAATTCAACAAGTGTAATTAGTCAGGATTACTCACAATAGTTCTTCCTGACTGAAGATTCAATTTTCGAATTGATTATCAATGTGAACTAAAGCGCAAGGACTAACCTGTTTAGCTCTTCCAACAATATACCAAAGTCCTATAGAACTAAAAGAAATTTAACACTTAGTAAAATAAATTGTTATGTTGTTTTGTTTGTTGTTGTACAATTCATTAGAAAAACTCACAGCTGTCTTGAGTAAACACCCTCAGGGGAATAACCAATGGGGCAGTGGGGAATGACACACTCTCAATGCTGAAAAGTGGGTAAAGTTTGTTTGAAATCCAGATGAAGACAAAATGAATGCAGAGTAAAAAGTCTTGTCTGAGTATAAAAGTTTCCCCAATAGTATATCTTTATATATTCTTGTTTTGCCACCTAGTATCAAGTATCACACCTGTCTGGCATGCCATATCGTTTGACAGGGTTGGGATAAATTATTGAAAAATATATTATTAATGTATGAAATTAAAAATTTTTTAAAATACTAACCTAAATACGGAATTAAGGATAAACGCTATGGCACCAAGACGCCCACTTGTAGTAGAATAATCTACAGCCTAAAAGCAAACAAGAAGAAGCCACTTCATATCAATACATTCACAATTAAACGCTATTAAATATGCTGACACATTGATTTACGACTTGACAAAATCATCTTTGTATAGTTCACGTTTCTCACCTTATCAGAAAAGATTTGATGTAAAGAATGAACCGATCCCATCCAAAAATCAAAGATTAATATCCACACTCCAAGTCCAACATAATACGTACACTGTATCGCTATGATTTGGCTAACTATCAACACAGGATCCCATAAATTTGAACGAAACTGTGCGGCCATCTTGAATTCTTGTTGTTGTACCCGACTCGTATTTCTCGGTTGCTTTGCGCCCGTCAACCGCAGAAAGTACCCGTTAAATTTGACCCCTACTCAATCAGCCAATCAGAAGTCGTTAAATTTTGACCTATTTTAATAATAACTTGATTTTCATCTTAGATATCTGGTAAATTATCACATTTTAAATAATAACTTTTATACTTTATACTATTACTAGATATTATCATATTGTCATTTTGGCGACTGCAATTATTCAATGTCTATCTTCCCTATATATATTATTTCATTTTTTGCCTTTCTAAGGCCTTCCTCTATTGTTCATACCAGCTGCAAAAGTTAAATATTCTTGTAACGTAATATCCTTGCTGTTAAGACGTAAATAATCCTATTGCAATGCAATAAATATAGAAAATTTAGTACTAAATAGTAAATATCATTGGTAAATACGAATAATATAAAATATATATGAAGCTTTGCTTTGTAAAGAGAGTTTGTAGATCAGTAGGTGTCTCCCAAGGACTTCTCCCGTTCTACGGGGGTTTTTCAAATCAACCACATTTACAAATCATTGTCGTCTAAGTTTCCGTTGCTTATCCAGTCCTTCTAACCTTTATATCAAGTGGCGTAGGCTGATCACCTAGTTTTTTCAGTGGTATTTTTTGGTTTTATTGTGGTAGTGGTAAATTCTTCATTCTTAATGTTTCCACCATGATATCATGTTCAACCTGGAAAAAAACAATGTACTGAACCAAATATGTCTAAATACATCTTGGAAGAAGATCATTTAGAACTGATAGAGCTATCATAAAGTAGAATTTGTTAAATACACATCTCCCATAGTAGCAGTGCATCAATAAGAGACAATCTTTACTGGACCTCCACTCCAGGAAGAACCAGTGATTTAAGAATGTGAGAGAACTATCCCGCGATACAGACAATTCGAGGTAAAACAGAAATATATTTTGGGAGAAATGATTTTGAATTTGTAAAGTTTTTGAATTGATAGAGCTATCTCGAATATATATTGGACTATATCTGAAAGATGGTGACATTCATTTTGGTTGAAATGTGGGCGTTTGTGCCCACTATGGACGAGAGTGAAGTGGGAAGAATACTGTGCGAATAAGCGCGTTTCATCATAGCGACAGCCTCATCAGATATTTTTTGTCTTAAAAAGACATAAATGCCCCATTACCTGCGCTAAGACCTCATCAAATTCCACATGTCCAACACCAGATAAAGTTTGGAGGTCAATCAGTCCATAAAACGTAACGCAGACTCCGTTAAATATCAGCGGGCATTTTATGTATACCTAAATCCAAATAATACAGGATTCATATATTGTGTAGTATATGTGTAGCTTATACACTAGTTGTCCTTTCATTCATTGTCCAAATATTGGGGACTTGAACCTCTGCAATGCAAGTACTCGACTCTGCATCATAGGTTTATTATAATGCTCGTAAACTTGCAAACGCTCTTTGCAAGAATACCTGAGACATGCAATATAGTGAAGACTCATATCAGAAAACATATTTCCCCAGAGGCAAATTCCTGACAGTGTAAGGGCTTTATAGGTGACAACCCAACAAATCACCACTCGCAGAGTTCAAAGTTTAAGGTTTTGAAAAGCAACCATAATTGAATCAGCTGTAAATCATTTTCACAACCGAAGGGACAAAATGATAAGCTCTGCATGATGAAAGAAATCGCGCTTTTTCATTTAGCTCCGGCCATTTTACTCAAAGCCTTTTTACATAACATTCCTGTTACAAGTTATCTATATGAATTATCAGTATATGCCTTCTGGGATTCGAGGTATGGCTTCACTGAGAATCGGATAAGCATCGACAATATAATCCAAATATGTTTACAACCACCAAATACATTCTTTGTGATGATTCCCGGTGCAATATCATGCTGTGAGGGGAGTAAACAACAATACTACATCCTCTTTTGTTTTTTGTGGTTTACCACGTTCAGGCGACGGGTCATTTTTTTTTAAATTAATTTAGAAAAGAACTCGCCAGGTCTTCCGGCTTGGTTAACCAGAATTGACGTAATTCCTGTATTAGAATTTGAAGATTTTTTAAGTAATTCCGGTGTAAAAATTCGACGATTTTCCTTTTGTTTCATTTGACGAGTCCTTTTCAAATAAAGTTAGAAACTAATGCTAATCCTAATGGAATTTGTGTATATTTATAGTTCAGGATTAAAGCCTGTCGAAAATAGACGTTTTCAAGATCATTTCGTTGATAATCAATGAAACAATATAAAGTTTTTTTAATTAAAAATTATGAGAGAATTAATCTACCAGCAATTTAGCATGCAGCTGTTATAACGTGTTAACAATTAAGATGCATGTATTGTAATTTCATCTTAAAACTTAAAACTTGGTATAAGGTATACTTGTAAGCATTCTTTGCAAAGGTAAAGTTTTCATATGAGTAGTTGTGGTACAGTCATGACTCATGGACTAACAAAAGCCATATTTTTACTTATCAGACGGATACATACTTTTCCCATTTCACGACTGAAATCAACAAATTCAGACGAGGTATATCGACTCCCAGCAACTTTTGGAAAGGACAGGTTCAAATGCACGCCATTGCTAACAAATCCCTGACGGAAGAACAACATAAGCTTCACATTTCATTTTGATCTCATGAGACATGAATTGGCAAAGTTTATAGGATGAAAGATCTAGACTATACACGACACGGTTTTGCAATCAAATAAAACAAAGAAAGCTTTCATATTGAAAAAATATATATTTAGTGACTGAAGAGATGTCGCTCTTTCAGTGAACTTCAACAAAAATTACAAAACAACGTGCATTATTAATAGTTGAAGTTTAAAGTTAATCGGATAAGCTTAAATAGCAGAATTCTAAACGCTTATAACACGATTAGTCTAACACTTTGACATTGCCCATTAACTATTTAAGAATATGTCATTGACATCAGTATACTAACTTACCAGTTTACAACAGCCTTCGTGACATTCTGTGCGAAATCTCAGTTGTCTTTCCTCCCAATTGGATTCAAAATGATCAATGTACCTGATCTTTAATGAATTGGACTGAATTAACATAATTGGAATTTTACTCTTTTTAATTGAGATCGCAAATTGACTTTACGGAACCCTCAAATCCATCCTTTCCGGCTCCTTAGACTTATCATGAGACAGTTTGTCATAATGCACTATACAATTCATATGACTCTATACAGTGTTTCAAATGAAATACCATAATAATTTAAAGCTTAAAGGTACTGGAATGTATACGGCGTTGTCCTTGTTTTAATGGAAGACGAAATCAAAATACAACGCGCTGAATGTATAAAAATTTAAGTCTGTTTGTCTTCCTAGAAGTACTTTGACTATATGTTAACTGAATAACAATTGTAAATAGAAAATATTTAGTCAGTAGCTTAGCATGCACGCTGGTTATTGAATAAACAGCTATATATATGTCCTTTCAATGTGCGGTATCATTTCTCCTAGCTCGGATCTCGTGGAAAGGCATTAACCACAGACACTGCAAATTACCATTATTGATGAAAATCTATTCTATAGCTATAGCGAAAGTTCAGTTGTCTCTATAATATATGGATAAGTTTGCACTTTGGGACAACATTAAGGATAAATATAGTCTATATATAAGCGAGACAAAAATATACTTCTAGAAATCTCTATTTGTTTATAATTTCTATAATTATAACACTGATTCTCAGTTTTCTGAAGCTGTGTTTGCCGGATTATGGACTGACCCCGGCGTAGAAATCAAAACGACACACGAAGAATTGTCAAGACACATTTGAAATTGAAATGATCAAACGAACGAATTATATAATCATTCAAATATACTGTATACTATATACTATATGTATATATACATATATATATATATTAAAATCAGATGATACAAACCTCACAATCCTCCTGTAATTGCCTTAGCACGGGGTCTGTTTCAAATTTAGCTCGCTGATTCTCGACAACACGGGGCATTCTTGCAAACGAAAAATCCCGAGGTAACTATTTTTGATGATTCGTGCTATTTCTGGTGGTAACAAAAGGTCTTCGTGATATAATCTGGTCTCGTCCGAGCGTGACTTTGTATTTTAGGCGTTCGGCATTTTGTAAAACCAAGTGGGTTCATATTTAGGTGAGCAGGGGCGAGATGGCTAAATATATTACACAAGATATATTATACTCACGCGAGATACAAAGGTTCATAGTTCTGTCCACTTGGAACTCGTATCGTAATAGCAAACAAGCATAATGACCTAAGACGTGGTATATTCAAACTGCCAACGACATATGATGAACTATAAGATTAACTAGCAGCATCCTATAGTTGTGGTTAACCGCATCAAAATTTTTGCATTCTTGATCTTGGCTTGATATAAGTGCATCATGCATGCATGCTGCTGGATCTGTCTATCGCGGAAATTTGAATAAAAAATAGCCACAGATATATACATAGATTTTAATAGCTATTAGATGTGGTTGATGAAGTAGGTAGCACTATAACAAATATTGTAGATTGTGATGAATCGCAATGAAACTCCCCCTCAATCAAGCAGTAGCGGAGGATGAGCCTATATTTTTACTATATCCTTCAGCCTACTTCTCGAATGTTTTAAAGCTTAAGTATTATTCACCTGTTTTTTCTCCCATACACCGGCATCATGTCATTTTATCACAACGTATTCTGTGTCTCCTTCGTCGTAAAATCTAGGTTCCAGCCCCCGTCGCACTGTCTCTTCGACTTCAAACAGGCTCGCTGTTACACCCAGTATGCTTCACCGTCAGTAATCAAAGTAGTTTGTATATATCAAAGTTTTGTCCAACTTTTACGCGCTTAAACAGCGAGGTTTTAAACAAACATGCATATAAAATCAATGATAAACATGTTTGTCGCTCAAAATATGCATCAAAGTTAAGTTCAATATGATTATAACTTTGAATGGTCAGACCTGATTCAGTGATACACTGCGTAAATGTTCATCGTATACCAGAAATGATTGTCTTCACAGACAAACTTGATTTGTAAGGGAAGTCTACTGATCGTGTGACTATAGCGAATTCGGTACGGTGCATGTCAACCGCCAACCGGACCTGATACACGTCATAAAAGACATGTTTCCATGGTACACAAGGAATAATAATTATACGTGAACCATCGACCATTGAAAGAACTCGTCACAGAAGACTAGCTTCATTTTTTATCGAACTCACTTCTTTAAAACGAGATTTTTTACTCGAGATATTTACTTTCATTGGTTATAGATATTAGACTTCTTTAATTCATTCTGGGAATTCTTCCTCGGTAAGGATTTGCCGTTGTCACAATTTAAAAACGAACGAAATGAATGTCTATCATGTATGTATATTTTCATCAGTTATATTTTTTGAAACGAGAAGTGTCATTACACTACCACATTTCCTCGTATTATTTCAATAAACAGGGTAATTGTTACACAAGACTAAAAGTACTTTTTGTCTCTGAGGTCGCGTGATGGGGAGTGAATCAAATTGAGATATATTCATAAGACATATACTTCAGTAACTTTAGCGATATTTGACCATTTACTAACTTGTAAACGCCAACAGAACAAGGCAAATAGAACCACACGAAGGACATAATCGTGTTAGATAGAGTACTACAGGTGACTTTGCATGCTTTTATCCATGCCCATCGCGTGTACAGGAAATGCATTATAAGGTGATGCCTACGCACTTATACACGCTATGATGCAGGCTCTGCAGAAAATCCCATTGATGTTTAACCGTAAGTACCACTTTCTCTTTGACGAGGTCAAAGTGAGTGGCACTTGTATACTTTTGACGTGTGGGATTTGTGGGAGAGTGTATGTAGGCTTGTGAGAGCCATCGTTACCGAGCTTCGAGAAACGACGAACGATCGTTCTCGTGAGATCTCGTAAATTCTTCGTGCACGTCACTAAGGACCAGCGATGACGATGCAACCAATAGGAATACAGCAGGAACAACGCTCGCAGTTTCAAACGCACTTTAGACATTACGTGGGATACCCTGATTATGTACAGTGAGTTTATGTATGCAAGGTTTGCTAGTATGTTTACATTATCAACCTGCTCCGACTGCAGAGTGTTTTGACTTGTGATGCAGCGTCCCAAACTGGCTATGCTTGAATCTCGAAGCATCAGGAATTGCTTGCCGTCGGAACTTCCAACGGTGCCGTGAAAATGCCCCGAGTTGTTGCAAACCAAAGCGAGAGGTTTCAGAACGATGATATCTTTCAGAAACTCTCGCGAGAGACTGAGGTAAGTTGCTGAAGACGTGTTTATATATTAGTTAACATGCAAAGATGTTATACTGTATTTATCCCCATATCTTTGATAATATAATCAAAGAAACTGATTGTTTCATTTACTATAAATATACTGTGACTGTCCTCATATAAACTGTGCAGTTCGTTTTAGGAACTAGAAGTCAAACACTACACTAATTAACTTATTTAATGTACATTATAATTGTACATTGTTCCAAATTGAAAAATTGTACGCAAAGTCTTTGGATCCGGGGATATGTAGCGTCGGGTTCGATATCTTGTTATTATTAAATAAAAAATTCTTCAGACCTTACACGATTTTACATCGCTCTTTAACACGAAAGAAACTCCTGGCTATAAGTTGTTTTGTCTTGTTTGAATGCATGGCTGCCATCTGCCTACCCAGGATGTCTCTGGCGAAATGAATGTGAAAAAACAGGAAATTTATATATGCATAAATGTGAAGACGTGGACACTGAATGCATGCCAGCCACCGAGCGACCCTCAAGCAGGTTCCTTTATCATGGCTACAATCCCTGTTAAAGTGTGAGCAAAGTTGTCGTACAAATCGCTTTTCTAACCATGTGAACTTGTATCTGCCTGGCTAGAAAATATTGAATGGAATAGAAAAAGAAGAAAATTAATGTTTTTGAACTTGAAATGTTTGCTGTTATCGACAACCTTGTCCTTGTCGGAACGTACAGCAGGCTACAACCACTTGACTCTTTGCTGCGATATTGGATATTTTTAAGCATTGTTAAGAATGTTTACTTGAACGAGAGAAAAACGACAAAGTAAGGCCGGATGCCTTCCCAACGATTCCTCTGGGAATTCGTTTACAGACATGCGAAAAAACAATTCAGCATGGCCAAGTTCACTTCACTGAAGTGATTGAAGAATATTAAAATACCTGCCTATTATTTGCATCCCCTTTTTTGTAGTCGTGTTAAGAAGGTAGGAAATGTTAAAAAACTACCTTCCCATTGCATGCTACACTTCCCATAAACTATTGTTTATCGATGCAGTAGTTCATCGTAAATCCCAGTGGCAACAAGCTGGGACACTCTTACAAACGGCACATTTTGATCAGACGTCTTGCCGGATGTAAACTCAGAGAAGTCAGTCTGATGATATTGTCACTGCTGACCTTGTGTATGTGTTGTTGACTCTAGATTTAAGCCATCAGAGAAATAACTTAGATAATTTAATATGATTTCAAGGCTGCTTCTCCTTCATTTTCCAAAGGCCAGGTTGCAAGATTTATACTATTATGGCCCATGCATGCGAGCAAAGAAGCCGACCCAGACATTCGTTTACAAACACTTGTCATCCGTTTGCTGAACTCCTTACAAATATAGTCATCTCCAAAAACCGAGTCTAGACTATCATCATGACACATATAAATCTGAAATTGCACAGAATCATAATTATTTAGTAGAAGACTCAAATCTTGACAAATAAACAGATCTGCAGAACAACGAGGAATAATTTGCGACGTTGCCATAAAAATGAACTTTCTAATTGATAATCCTGTCTTAAAACAGTTTTTCAACAACGAACACTCAATTTTTTCCCAAGTATATTCAAGCGTTAATACACCCTAATATTCAGAATAGTTGGGTATTTCTAGTTAAATACATACAATACTGGTCAAGTGAAGTGTTTATGATCTTTTCAAGAGGTACACCCTACAATTCTCCTTGGCTTAATTCACTCTAACTTGCACAATAATGACAGTAGAATTAAATAAACGTTTCAAGTATTCTTAAAACAGTTTAGTTTAGAAAAACACTCAATTAACGTTGCATTTGTTTAGATAAAATACGTGGGTTACAGAGATAGACCATTAGAAGAGCGTCAGCTTCGCTTTCAAACAGAATGTAGGGAAGGAAACACTTCCATTGTGAGTATTCTCCTTTGGAAATTTGTGGTATGACAAACAAAATAATTCACTTCAACTTTTTGATTACGTTTTAACGTATTCTACAATAAAAATTAATGGGAGATTTTGAAGAATGTGTTGTACATAGATACAACTATTGAATTCAGCAGCTGCAAAGAAATGACAGACCTAACCAAACAAGTAAAATATGGTAAATGCATTGAATACATGCATCAAAAAAGGGTGTCATCCTTTTGAGTAAGTCACTGATAGATCCAGTATATAAGGTCCTACCTAAGTTTAGTTATCTAGCATACATGCAATCTTATACAACATGACTCAGGGAGGAACTATGCAAAAATACAAGATCCAACAAGACCATTATAGGTTTATTGATATCTTTTTCAATGGTAATAATTTTATGCTTTATTCAAAGGCGTTCACAGCGACTGGAGTTAATATCGAACTTGTCTTCCCAAAGCAAAGCGACACACAGACTATTCCACCGGAGAATGTTGATTTTTATAGAGAAAAAGACAAAGTACAATTCTTCTTCTTTCTTAAGTAACTAGAATGATGTGATAACAATCATTTAAGATTTATATATATTAAGACTTGAAGCAACGAATGGTGTACATTCCCATTTGTTTCAAAAGGTATACCAATTCATAGATTTTATTCTCTAGGTCTTTCTACGAAGTCCTTTCATAATGAATGGTGTATGTGTGATATTTGTTGGGTGGTTAAACATAATCAAGTTAGATGGTGTTGGTTATATAATCTTTGATGAGGAAAGAGCAAAGGTTTGTTTTCATATAGCTATAGTGCACTCTATATAGCCTTGCCTCTTATACTGACAGACATGTTCTCTTGACAAGCTATATTTGCCCGTGTGTACATGTGAGAGAACTGACAAGTTATCCTTAACAAGGAACCTGAATTGTTCAGAAAATGTCATCCCCTTTAACAAGGAGATTTTCTTATGTGTTCGAGCAACAAGTGAATGAAGTTATCAAAGACAGTAAAGCTGCTTGTATAAGAGAGAAACCTCATAAACTTTGTTAAATTTTGACGACTGCGTTCAAGCAAATGATGAACGTCAGAAATAAACTTGTCAAGGAAGAATTTTCCACTGTCAAACCAGCAAGTGAACTAGTCACAAATGCTTAGTCAAGGAACACTGGCCTGCCTGTACAGACTGTTGATTTTCGTCATCATCAGCTAGGATTTGCAGGACAAAAAACTTTCTAACGACTGCATTAAGGCAAGGGAATGCCATTAGAGTTCATTTGGGGAGTGAATAATGATTGAGGAGCGAGTGCGCGAAGTTGCAGCGGAGAACTGGTTACTGGACAAGATTTACAATGCATCACGGGGCTGGTTTCGGCCCATGATGCATTGCCAAGATCATCATTACCAGCCTCTTTTGCAACTTCAGATTAATCTGTTTCATAATCACAAACAGAAATTATCGTTGAGTTAAAGAAAGTTTTCATTACGATAGGTTGAAGACGAAATAATGAGAGAGACTTTGAGAAAAGCGAATATCAAACTGGAAGAATTTCAAGAAAAAATACGAAGCGAAACCTCTGAAGTAAGCTTCACACAGGCTGTAAGACCTTTTCTGCGCAAAGTCTAGCCATCAACACCAGATCATTGACGCCACAGAAAAGTAAAATAACATAATATACGAGTTAATTCTTTGTGACTGTGTAGCAAGTTTTAGCCCGAAGGAGGTTGAGGGTCGCCCAAGGAAAAGATGGATTAAGAGATTAAGTCTTTCATAGTCTATATAGGATCAAATTCACTTCACCACCAGCAGTTCAAAAGGTTTCACACAAATTGGTACAAAGCAGAATAGATAAGTCTAATACGGGTAGAAGTCCTCTGCAGGAATATGGAGAAAGAGAAAGAACCTAATAAATACATCTTTTGTCTTTTGCATAGGTTCAGAACACTCGTATGTAGCGATGACAAGCCCTCAGCAGCTGTGAATCACGCATATTATACAACACTTGTAATTTTTGAAATGATTTTAACGAATACAAACAGGCAAATAAACTGGGTCAGCACACCAAAAACAAGCCATCATCTTGACGTACATATAACACAAGAATTGGAAATGAGTCATAATACAATAATGCATGATTGCTGAAATTTTGTAAAAATATTCCCTTGTAAATATCGAAAGCATTTATATTATATTATATTAATTAAATTATTTTAAACTATGATATCGATTTCATCATCCTATAAGCTACGTGCATGAAAACTTATGTAAACACTTTTCAATATGGATGATTAAAAAATGTCTATTCCTCGTAAAGGTATAGCTATGACATGCATCATTTGAAAGATTATATAGGCCTGTTTTCCATATGTCGTTTACGTTCATCCTCGTATGATTCATTAGTCGTAATTTGGTTGTATAGCTAGCTCTTTTTTCATCGGTTCGCGTTTGGCAAAAAAAATACAACATGTGAACATGCCTTAACTCAAATACTTCCACGTACGTCCATCACCAAAATAATAAATAATCATAAAACGTCTTTCTTCAACTCGTATTATACATAAAAAGAGTTGACAATCTAGCTTATCCCCATCAGGAAACGCAGTATGAATTACGGAAATGTTCATTATTAAAAAATAAAAAAAAACGAGTTCTTCGGTAATTTAGTCTTCGATGTGGTAAACTTGCATCGAAGAAATCATCGCAGGTTTAACTTCTAAGACATTGAATTTGACACAAAGACTATTGCCCGTGTCCTGAAAGCTTATTCACTCTCACGGAGTGTAGGAATTCCATTGGAATTCATTTTCCATGAATTAAGCATTCTGAATAATCAGTAACAAAGCATTTGAGATGAACCAGGCTGGTCATGACATTTTGACATTTGAAATAGTTTTCGGAGTGAACGCATGTGATATCTCACTCATTACGCGACTTCTTTTCAACGAGACCATCTTATATGTTCTTGTTGTTGACGAACACTTAAATTTATGAAATCGGCTTTGAAGTGAGGTTTTAGTGTAAAACCAAACTTCATTTCAGGGAACTTTGAAGTTTACCGAAGTTCAAGTCTTCGTCACAAGTAGCGTGTTTACAACTCTTTAATGTACATTCCTGTGGCATTTGTTCATTATTTTGCTGTGACAGGAAGCCAGAGCGATCCGTTTCCAAGAAACTCAACAAATGACTGTATATCTGCAACCTGAGAATAACTTGCAGTGTGTCGTTTTATTCAGTCCTGTATCGTGGTCATGCCTAATAACTCTTAATTTCTCCCAGAAATTTCACAAGAATTATTCTTGTAATCAACTGCATTTTTAGAAGAGTTTATCTTTCATCCGTAAAGGATAGATGCTAAACGATGACCCTCATAGTCAGGTCGAAATTTCAAGAGGTTTTTCGTCTATTTTAGACAATCGCATGCATGCCACGATGTCATGCAAAGTTATTTTCATTAACATCATTCAGAAACTACCAGATTTTTGTAAATTAATATTAAAAAGATATACTTAAAACAGTATTAGAAACTGTTGTTTCTCAGAAACAAATTATGCATTTAGTTTGTGAAAGAGATGGGTCACAATTTGTACGTATCGTCCTTGACGCACAGCATTTTATCCATGCACTACCCAGCATTTTACCAAACAACACGGGTGAAGGAAGGAAGCCATATGCATCGCCTCTTAAAGTCGCGCGCGAAACATTTACATAACACGCGGTAAAAAAATGAAAGATTTGGTTAACCGCTTCTTGCAAGTAGTAAATTAGCCTGTCAATAATGCTCATCCACATATGACACATTGTTGTCAACTGCATAGGTTATGCAATGCGATTTAAACTAAAACGCGTGAGAGATAAGCGTGCATATTGCATGGAAACCATCATTCTTTACAGTGAAGTTAAAAAAAACTAATTGATTTATTAAGATACTTCCCGAAAAAATACATCCTTCTAATAAGTGCATGTAACAAAATATTCGTATTGTGATAAAAGCACTCCTCAAATTTTATCTTGGATCAATCCACCATATGGAGATACGAGTTAATTAACTTGACCTAAATGAGAGCGGTCTTTGTTAATCTTGAGAAATGAGACAGTGCAGTAGGCCAATAAATGAGACAGTGCAGTAGGCCAATAATCTTTTCATCTTTCAGTTGTCAAGAGACGCTATCCTTAACGTATACGACTATAATACAATCTCCATTTTCCACTACATATTTCTGGGAAAATGGATTTTTCACGGGAGGTACAACTGATATACTTTAAACACTATATCTGTTATTTGTCACTCTACGACAATCATAAATGCAACTGCTGCGAGGTGGAACCTCAGAAGGTGAAAAATATAGGCCATCGAAAGCCTTGATGGCAGATGCTGCCTCAAGACTTCCGTATTTTCGTTTCAACGTTTCTCGTAAAAACTCGTCTTCAATCTAAAAGATAAAGAATTCGTGTCTTAAGATTGTCTGCATTTCTTTATGACGCATTGCTATTGACGTGATAATATTATTGCCGACTGAAAAAAAATGCATCATTACGTATTTGTCAATCCCGTCGTTGCATACGAAACTTTGAGAGCAACTTGAAACGGATAGGAAATTCATACTATAAAACCAGGGACCGGTTGTATCAAGCCCGTTTAGCTCAAACGGTGGATAAGTTCAAAATAGAAAGCAAGTCTCAGTATCGTTTTATTCAAGAAGCGAACTAAATGTTTTTAACCTTAATACAAAGACACTGTTTACAACTACATATTCAGTGCATAATACTCAAGTTAACTCATTCAAGAGAGGTGTAACCGTCTCCAGGCGGGCAGTTAAGACTTTAGAGATACCACAGTTTTTATGTCGTAGTCGAAGTCACTGGTGACTACAGTATGTAAATCTGATTCGTCGCTGTAAAAAAGTTGAAAACAATAATTTTTTAACCAGCTCAGAAATTCAACGCTCGTTTGATCCTCCTTAATTAACGCGGTGGCTCTTGCATGGAGACACATAAAAGAATAATCTGTCCATATAATCCAGTGCATATTCAGATCAGCAGTAATGGTGAGAAGACGATGCTCGCGGCGAGACAGCTCAAAAGCCTCAAAGCTTCAAATGGTTTATGACGTGCATATACAAGATTTAAGAACTTTTGTATAAGGTGGAGACAAATACTGTCCACAGCCTGTTGCTGCTTGTAACTTTATTCTAAATCTCTTGAAATCTCCCTTGTCTATATTCTATATATACAACCATAAAGATTACCTGTGCGGATTTTTCGTCAAACTCCAAACATCCAAAGCCGCGCAATGCTTCCACGTCCAACCAGCCGTAAAATTTCACACACACGCCATTGAAAATGAGCGGCGCCAACAGAAATACCTGCGGAGGGAAGAAGTGTCGGTCAGATTTAGGAAAAACGCGATTATACACAAGATTACCACTGATATATTCAATGGAATAACTAGATAGAATATCTCCAATTTTGAAGGTACAGAAGTCTTGTTTACATCATCGTGATTTGCAGTTAGGGGATACTCTGAATGCTTGAGATTACATTCATTACGGATTACTCCGTGGCGGTGTATGTATACGTATATAAACCATAAAAATAAAACATTCAACCATCTAGTGTTGCAAAATAAAAGTATATTTCAATGCACTATAGGAATCTGCATGCAAACATCTACTAGTACAAGTATTCGAAGATGGAATTGTGAGGTAGAGAGTCTAGAGAGACTTCCTTATTGAAAATAAAATAGAAAACATTGATATGACAAACTCGATAAGTCTCTGACTGTACCTTTCCTGGCTCACGGATGAAGTCAACGTACTCTGCAGTGGTATACTGCGAGTCTGGAGCTTTCGGAAAACACAAGGGTAAGTTTACACCATTGCGTAGAAATCCCTAAACGATTGATGGAAATAAAAAGTGTACACAATACAAAATTAAGGATATGTGTGAAGTATGCACTAGAGTGAGAACAGAAAAAAAACCATATGGCGAAACCAAGTGTGGTTCAAGAGAATATAGTCTAACCATGCATGCATTGCTATGAAAAAAATTCCTGATAAATATTGTCTTGAAACGTCGACTATTAGTTTCATTGAGAATGCGCTTTGTAGTAAAGTTTAATCTGGGAAGCTTCTCCTTTAGTTTACAGAAGAAGACACGGTGTATATGATTTTCATAAACAATACTTGGAAATACGAGTAATGTGATTTGAACCTTTGCTCGGCCTCGAAGTTTCGGCAGATCTAGGAATGTAGATCATGTGCTAGGTGTTAGATACCAAGGAAGGTTACCACGGAAGGTGACAGGAACATTGATAGCGGCTCAGAAGACGAATTATAATTACTGAGTGAGGCAATGAAATACACGTACTATTTTAGTGTTTCCTTCGTAGCAATCTGTACAAAAACGTATTCGTCTTTCTTCCTGAGAGCAATTACAGTAACCAGTGTACCTAATCTACAATAGGAATGTAAAATTACAGTTGACAAAGGATGAAAATAAACCGTAGTACAATTGATGGAAGTTTAGCTGTAAAAGGTGTTATACTAAAGTAATGCAAGGTTGTGGTAAACCACATCTTATAATCTAATAATTCATTTTCACACAAACCGTCAAGATCAGATGAAAATACATTACAAAAACATGGGACTTATAGTGAAACGGTGAAGCATGCAGAACTGCCAAAACTCAATATATCACGAAAGCGAGGCGACCAGAGTAGATGAACAGTTTCAAAGATGTATAATCTTTTTGACCTGCAATGTTTATATTGTTATTTTAACCAATTATCGAGGGCTAATACCTAAAAGACAAATTAACGTTTCTGTATCAATTGAATAAACATGCTTAAACGTAAAAAAAACAAATACAAACCTCTGACTGGGCCCGCAATTGTTTAAACAGAGGATCTGTGTTGTACTTCCCCAGCTGATTTTCGACCACACGAGGCATGTTTTATACACGGGCTTTGCGAGTCGTACCGTAGACCGTAGATGCTTTGACTGTTGTTAAATCACTGAGAATCACTCGTGCTATGGTCGTTGGAGGTTCTAGGGACTCCCCAGGTTGGGTGATGATATGAACGCATTGAAATTGTCAAACAGGTTCAGACGTAAACACATACAGAAACTAAACGCGAGAGCCTTGCACTAATATGTACTTCTACAACAAGTGCGTTTTATTCTCCGGAAAAACATTGGATCTCGTGCAGGAAACAACGTGGTTAACCACGGAATGTAAATTTATCAGAAAATCGACCGGCCGGTAAAGAGGGTTGTTGTGGTGTTTTGATGTAAGATGAGCAGAAAAAAAATCAGTCGTTTTAATAATTTGATTTATTTCAGATAAATCAAAGATCGCATGTCAGCAGATGTCAGCAGTTTGGACTTAATTTTCCAAATCTAATTTAGGAATAGGTCATTCAGTAATGCCAGCCAATGTCTGATCTTCGCTTACTCGTGGACCGTCGTCGAGCAGTCGTTTTTGACAGCGGTCTGAAGAAAGTTGTAATTTTTAAGTGTTTGATGTGCAAATGCGATAATTCTTAACAAAAAGGAGAAAGGCAGAAGACGCCCAAATATTCATCAGAACTATTTTACTACTTATTATATTATAAATCTCCAATGAAGGAATGGCAGGGTGCATATTACCCCTTCATTCCACGCAAACCCATGCAGCGCACTCCTTCAATCATCACAACGACCAACTCATAAGCTCCCTGTGAATGCCTTCATCCGATCAAAATGCCTTAGGGTTGGTTGCTGCAAGATGGTTATCACGATGAATGAAAACGTGGCATCGACTTTAGACCGTTGATTCACACATCTCACACATCGAGAGTACGTGTCCTGTCCTGTCCTGCATTATTTTTTTTTAAATATTCATTCTAAGATAACTGTGCAACGTTATTAAATCCTCGTCTGTGTCGCTGGTGGCAGTTTAAATGGATATACACTCATGTAATGTACGGTTATAATATGCAAGATATCGGATTATCAGAGAGATGTTGAAAAAAAGCCTTTAAAAAACACAGACACAGTGCTGTTTGGGAGTCAATTCATCCCTGTTGGATAACAGACACAATCCAGGGTAAAAAAAAGTAGCATATGCGTGCAAATGTTAAATGAGTTGATAGTATAAATGTCACATTCTTAAATGCCCTAATTCATGATATTATGCGCAAACAAACTCTACTTCAACTGATATAAATGAATATAATATTCATAGGTCAACGGAAGCACGTTCTGTAAGCTAACTTAAGTCAAATTACTGCGCGGGCTATGTTGGACTGTTGGTTACATTGCAACGTGATACATTTATAAAAATTAGTTGAATACGGTGGGAGTACAGACGAAATTAAAAATACGACCGTATATAAATACACTTTATTGGATTATCCAGGGATTACGATTGTTCAAACACAACGGTCTAATAACGCCGGTTTGTCAAGCGTTATAATCCATTCATAGACAGACGTGCGATTTTCATCTAGGTAAAAAATCCATCTTTTCACGACAGGATATATTGCAGTAATTTGCTAGACGCTGTAATGTTAACGCATATTATTAGATTATGTCTACTGCTTTTCATGGAAGTGCGTTCTGAGAAAGAGTATTGTACCACGTATACGGCAGCGATCAGGTTTTTAAAGACTTGAGTTTATAAAACTTGCTGTTATATTTTACTACACGAGACAAGGACCGCTCTTTAAACGATGAGAAGTTCGACCATACGCCACGCTTGCGTCAATCATGAACAAATTATCAGAAAAAAACTCTGTTAATTAACTCCACATCCACGAACAAAATTGAGAAGCCTGTTTACAGCAGCAAAATCTTTACCCGGAGTGATCTTCAATTAAGTAGCTAGTGTTGGTTGTTTTTTTTATGTATCGAGTTGATTTATGTGTAATTAAAAAGTGTTTAAAGTTTAAACCCGTTCTTTTAACAAATACACATTTCTACAATTATCATGGAGTGTTTTTATCTACAAGTTCTTCGCCTCATGCACGTGCGACGGTAAATTCAGGCGATCATAAATTAAGCGTTCCATATATTGTGATTTTGCTCTGAGTGCATTCGAGTAACCAAGAATTTCAGCAGGAAAGGTTTTTTTTGCAGGATACTTGATGATATTTTTCTTCATGAATGTCCTTCTTGAAGGGCCGTACAGCGAGTATGTCTCCAAGTTCGACACAAATACATTCTCAACCAAAGGTTTTCATAACTTAAATTCCAGCAATTTCACGCAGGCCTCGTACCAATAACTATCTACTTTGAGGCTTGAAAGAGTCGGCTGATAGGCCTCAACATGTACTATCATCTGTAACTACCAATGCGACATTTTTTATCGTAAAGGACGCGACATGAGCGAAGGCATCTGCGCTAGATATCCCACGTTTTTAGCAAAGTTGAATTGAATTATTATTTACTTCGTGTCTAGCGGAAATATAGCTAAGCTAGAGAATGTGACCGGACAGCGCATGAAAAACAAACCGCCGGCGGTACTGTAGAGAACACTGTTCACACATAACAGCCGTCTTGAAAGCGCACAAGACGAAAAATTGAGATCGGGTTAATGGCTGGTGGCTTCGTGCCGCGGAGGAACGGGACCCGTGGTTGTTGAAAATTCAGTCCAGGGATGAAAAGAGCAGCGACAATTCGCGATACAGGCTGCCGCTTCGGCCCGGGACGTTCAACTTGGTTTGAATTACACCACGTAATGACATCAGGTGTGCATGACAGCTCTGACATTTTTGAAATCTAAACAATTGAGGACTTCCTTCATGAACCGTGGACACAACGATGTGATTACGGTAGATGCTATTTGTATGAAAGGCGCCCTGAGGAGTTGTCGACAAACTCTTTAGTGAACCTAATGCATTCCGTGCGAAACTTACCTGACCATATGTTGGTATTTACACTTCAATGACCATATCTTAACCGCAAGGAAATGCAATGATCTTAATATATACTAGAGAGATCCCCTTACCACCACAACTACCGTAGTTTAAATTACCGTCTTAAAACTCACCGTTCTTCTCTGACGACGTCAACACCGACCGCGACCGGGGGGGCTGCCATGTTGCTTTTTATGACCGGAGCGAAATTTCTTAGTACGAGCTTCACGACCGAGGCTCCGGTTTGAATGTAACTACACAGCGAATACGGGAATAATGTACTGAGAAAAATTGTGGATAACGGTGGAGGATAATCATGGATAATTGTGAGGGAAAATGGTGGATAGAGGGAGGTAATGATGGATAGTGATGGTTTGAGAAGGGGATAATGATGGATTATTGTGGGGACTATGAAAGGATCTGAGTGGTAATGAGGGACTAGAAACCAAGGGGATACTGATGGATTATGGTGGGGGTCATGAAAGGATCAGAATGGTAATGAGGGACTAGAAACCTACGAGGAGGAATCAAAGGCATCTCGATGCTAATGTAAAAGTCAGGCTTTTTGCTTAGGGCGTCAAGAAAACACGCTTTGTGATGATCATGCACAAGAAAGAAAGTGACCACCCACCTTTCATATCTACTAATTAAGAGATCTCGAACATTTGGTAGAACAACAGAACAAAGATCTAATGTCCACAGTGTTCTAAAAACATGAGAACGCGATAAACTTCGCTTCTAAACCGTAAACCATTGAACAACACGTAAAGATGCATCCACGTGTGTCCACTTACTGTTTCAGAGAAAGAACACTGAGAAAATCAACTAAAGTTGATTGATCGTTCATGTTGATCGCGAGCTGTACAGCACCCTTGATATCACCGTCTTTCCACTGCCTCCACACCATGTTAAGATTTCTATGTCTGTTTGAAATCACAGCATTGAAAGGCGTATGACCTGAAAGAAGTATCGTTCAGCATCTTTCACGTTATTCACGTTAGTTCAAGTTTTGAAGTAAAAAAAAGCGCCGCACCTTTTTGAATAACATTCGCCGCTTCGGCATCGGTGATTTTTGGTGCTGACGGAATATCCCGATCTGGATTGATCTCTTTCTTTACTTGGCTTACGTCGTTATCCTGCAAGCAAAGGAATTGTCACGCCAGGTCGTGTCACAAGCTAAACTAGCTTTGCCTAGCTCTATCAGATCTAAACCGTTCTTCCTCCAGTAAGGACGTCCTAATGAAGGAATCCTCAGGCTCCTCGACTGTTCACACGTCTCCTACACACTCTATTCTTGCTGTATACTAAATTAGATCTTCATTCCAAAGATGAAAGTAAAAGTTCTCCGACTCACGGGCAGGAAATCTTCCATATATAAACCAGCGGGTTTATTACGTTCAGATGGAACCAGAGTGCTTGGTTTACCAGAATGAATATGATCGGGTTCCTCGGGAGACGGGACCTGAAACGAGACAAGGACTCGTGCAGTTGATTCAAGCAACCAGGTATCGCGGGCGAGGGGGAATACGAGAGGGCATACGAGGGGGAATACCAGGGATTTACCTTTCTATCTTGAGCTTTTTTGGATGCCGGTGGCGCTGATGCAGGTGGTTGCTGGGGTTTTGTTTGCGCTGGCTGTTTAACGGCTTTTTCCGGGACATTCTTCTGAATTTTTTCAGGCACGTTTTTCTGGGGTTTCTCAGGCGCATTCTTTGCGGGTAATTTTTCAGGCTTGCTCACGGCGGGTTCGTCTCTTGTTTCTTCTGGGTTATTTTCTACGAAGAAAGACCTCGTCGTCAGAGATGATGATGATACGACGGTTAGTCACCGAACATGCATTTTACCTTGTTGCGGCTGTGGCTCGTTCGCTTGTGAAGGATATCTTGCCCGCGGTGGCGGGGAACGTTCTGAGAATGAAACACGGAAAATATTACAAGAAATCAGCAGTTTATCCTGGGTGTGTTGCCTGGATGTCATTTGGCAAATTTCGTACTCAAAAGCCCAACGACTACGAGTTTTGGCTGATGGCGTAAGCAAACTAGGGATCCAAGGATAGTGCAAAGTTTTCATGCCCTGTATTAAATACCTAAGCAACACGTTTTCCCAACATAAACATTTTGACTTATGCCAGTAAAAATATAATGAACTAGGTTAAACATTAATCAAAAGGAAATTACTCAAAGTACTCAAGTTACGTTAGCCGCGGATACTGTCACTATTAAATTATAATTTTAGTTGCCCATGTAAACCGGACGCGATTTTCTCAGTTTAGTCTCTTTTCTTCGTCAAACAACTGTGACTACATTCACTACATTCATATGATGGCAACAATTTATCGTCATTTCATAAGAATAGCCAAAATAGTTGCGTTGTAAATAATGTAAATAGATACTTCGACGCGTAGCTAAATCGATACAAAACAATATACTTATAATCAATACTGTATACCGCCAAAATGATTTGATTACTGCACAAAATGTCCGTTTTGTATAGTATCATTTATGTACTGTATGCAGAATACCAGGTATCGACTTGCTATATATCGACATAATATATATTCGTCATTCGTGTAAGAGATCTATCAATACATAAACAACACAGCGTCGTTTCTTCCTAGTAGCTCTATTTACGGAATAAACCTTCCAAATTATATTTGTGTCGAATTGAATGCTCGTAATTCATAACATAAGTTGATAAATTGCGTAGATTCTCAAAGAATTGCACGATTTTTACGCCCGGAATGTTTTGAAGCAATGGTCGTCGCTCCTCGTTTCTTTACATCGTGAATAATGTTGAAGGCTCGATGGCACATGCGCAGTTGCGACGTATAGGAAAAAATCGGGTGTTCCGGGGGCAAATCTGCGCAAATCCCTTTGAAACAAAACCCAAACCGCGGAAAAGCAATGCTTCAAAATTTACAGTAACGGTCAAAATTCCTCAATATTTTGGTGAACTTAGCAAAAAGGATGTAGAGAATTAATAAATAAAGCAAGTTAAACTGATTTAAAAACTTTAAATTACTGATCATATACAAAAAGGTACTATACGCATAAATCAATCTACCCCCCGTAAAGTTTACACTATGACTGACTGACTGACTGACTGACTGTCTGACTGACTGACTTACTGACTCGTTTGAATTTTCGCCACTCATCACAATACTGCAAAGTTTCTCAAACTTTGCACTAAAAACGCGCGAGAATGACGAATCTCGTACTCGTAGTCATAGCGAGTTTATATCGCAAGTTTGCATCTAACGCAGTGCCATATCTTACAGACTAATCTAGACTACTATATACAGCCATATATACTGTTTACTCACCCAAAGCCGATCGTGGTGTAAAAACCTGGCCGTAGTTATCTTCGGTTGGCGACTTCCTGACAGGTGTACTCGGCTTTTTCTCAGCTTGTTGTTCAACTTTGCCTTTTCTGCGCAGAAAAAGTAAAAGCATAAGAGTGGCACTGATCACAAAACGCGCACGCGGTTCTAAGAAGATCTTCGCGTTGACGTATGTACACGCATACCTCGTCTTAGATGAAGTAGTAACGGGCCGTTTTGTTTCAAACACTTTTCTTTGCGGACTCGTTTTCTTCTCTTCGTTAGGCTTCGCTCCGGTAGTCGGTCGTGCAACCTGACGATGATAAATTAAGGCTGTTGGAACAAAACGTTGAAACATCAAAACGCCAGATGATGATTGCACACATGCAGTTCACTTCTATTCCCTACAAAGCCACTTTTCATCGGATCTAAACTTGCCGGTCACAGTCGGGGCTTGTCTAGACCTAAGCGGTTTTCGTTTCATTCAACCGTTCGACCCTTGAACTTCCGACCTCAGATCGGAAGTTGCTGAGCTTGAATGCCATATAATTAACTGGATTGTCATGCTGCCGAAACCCACCTGAGCGACTTGTGGTTCCTTATCGTTCACGTGCAATTCCTCGAAATTTGAAACCATCTCTTCAACGTTCTATACACAAAAAATATCGTCTTAGAAACGCTCTTCCGAATACTGTACAGTGTAAAAATCGTAAAACAAATGCTAACTATGAAATGCCTTTCTCAATAATATGTCTCTCGACTGAGCTAGTACAATGCGCCGTCCTACCTGGAATTCTGACACCCAAATTGAAGCGTTCGTTTGGAAAAACGAAGCGGCGATCTGAAAAACATCGTAAAGCATCGTAAAGTCGCGTTTCTCAATGTAAATAAACGCATAAAACAACAATCGTTCACGAGGCTTTTTAGGGGGATATCAATTGCTTTCATATCGTTTATAATTAAGCAATTCAGAAGAACGAGAAATAGACTTGATCAATTTCAAACGCATCACTAAACCAGGAACGCACCAGTTTTTCTGAAGCAACGACCATATCGGATACTTTGCCCCATCCCACTGAAAAGCTGTCAAAACATCGCAACGGTTCCCAACCATACAACTACAGCAAAAAACAGATCATCACAGTTCATTATGTGCATATGGCTAAAGGGAGATGCTCAGAGCGACAGATTGTAGTTTTCATATCAAGTGTCTTGTTGTATTATTTTCTAGAAACAAACCTTTAACGAATCGTTGGCGCCACTGAAAAGACATTGTCCTTCCGGGTGAAACACCACGGCCCTTCATGGAATAAAAAAAAACAATATTAGAAGAAAATTCGACAAAAAATAAATATTAAAAACATATTCAGCGTTCGGTAAAAACGTATCAACGAGTGCAACCTGATGGGATTAGATTCTTGGTCAGTTGATGAAACTAAACATATTTTTTCCAAATCCCAAAACTTGATTGTCCTATAAATATAGATTCAAGATAGGTTACTTCAAAGGTAGCAGAGGGACAAAAAGGGAGGGAGGGGGATAAGATGGAAGGAGGGGGAAAGAGAGGGGGATAAGATGGAGGGAGGAGTGAATTATAGGATAGGATTAAAGGTGAGTGAGGTGAGCAGGTGGGTAAAAGGAGGGAGGGAGGGGGTAAGATGGATGGAGGGGGACAAAAAGGAAGGGGGGGAGTGGGGTAAGATGGGGGGAGGAGTGAACTATAGTGGTGAGGTGACCAGGAGTGATTAATAGCAAAGTATATATGAAGTATACCTGTCCCCACTGCCAGTTGCCATGAGAAATTCCTTTGGATGAAATTCAACAGTGTTCACTGGACCAGCATGCTTCACCTCGGATAACTGCTTACCAGCAGTCAGATCCCACAGCTTGACAACAACAGATAGAATTCTGTAGAGTGAGATTGTAAAACTTACTATATAAGGCAACATCATTTTCACACAAACATACCTTGCATAGACTGTCTTCGCCTGCAGAGACAATCCATCTTCCATCCGGACTAAACCGTAAGTGGTTCACAACATCTGTATGACCCTAACGACATGAAAGTTTATGCATCAGTCATTATGAAGAGGAAAACTTTGAAGAGCGAGGTCATCTACGCACCTTGAATGTCATTATGCATCCTTTTCTTCGTATGTCCCAGACCTGAAAGAGAATATTCGTGAAATGCATTCATTATGCATGTTTCAGTTTGGAGAAAAATATATCCTTTTTGGATTGATGCATTGTTATATATTACACACCTTGACATTAGTGTCCATTGAGCCAGATGCTATGTATTCACCGTAGGGATGAAAGTCTGTGCTCTTGATGCTGGACTTATGACCAGTCAATGTCCGCGTGACTGAAACAAAATAGCCACATTAGTGCCATTAGAATTTAGAACTATGGATTCACTAGGGGGCACCCTCTCCCCTAGCCTAGGGTAGCGAGGATGCAGGAGGATGTAAATTTGTTTACCAGTTTAAGTTTTAGGGATTTATGTAAGGAATATATAAATTTTAAATCATATACTTTTAGCAGCTTCAACATCCCAGATTTTCATTGTTCCAGACTGTGATCCAGCCACAACACTTTCTTCAAGAGGGTTGAACTGGACACTTTCTACTGGACTGGTATGACCAGAAAGACTCTGAAAACATTTAAAGTTCTTGTTAAAGATTTTCACAGATTGTCAGTACTTTCACACAAGCTCACCTCATTTTGTACTTGGAAAGGGCACTCTTCTTTCTACATACAGTACTAATAGACAAGAGAGATCAAAACTACCATCCTGAACACAACTTACCAGGATAACATTTGGTTTCCCAACCATCCACATGTTAACTTTTCTGTCATCACCACCTGTGACCATGACGCTGCCCGATGCTGGTCCCAGAGCAAGGCAGTTGACATTATGACCATGTGCAACAAATTCATCTAAACATCAATTAGTCAGTTAATTCAATAGACCTTTCTTATAATGATGTTGAATGCGGAAAGTCTGATGTTACACAAAATTTGATTGGGTCCACAAAACTATCGAGCCAATCTATCAAACTTTGTGTTACATCAGACTTTCTGTGTTTGACGTCATTGTGAAAAAGGTCTCTTGTGTAGAGTACGTAAGCCACAATTTTTTATCAGATCTTATTCCAAATCCTTGTGACAGGCACCAAACAGACTATGGACTATGTAAATAATGTGTAAATATTTGATAGGGCCAACTAAAATGTCAAAACATGATACTACTGTCCAGCCTTTATACAATCCACTCCAGGTCAAAAAATACTTTACAGATTTCCGACTAGGCAGAAATACTGCAGAATTCTTCAAATTAGCAGGCATTTCAAATACACCTGCACAACAGCGTGGCTCTTATGATGATAATGACAATATAATATATCAACTCCTGGTTCGTGCAATATATATGTAAATCTGAAAGTGATATTTGAAAATTGCGATTAAAATACTCCTTTTCCCATGTTTCAAAGCCCTGATATTTGAATCCTGTAGCCATGCTGTTGGGACAAACAGAAAATTGGCTGAAATTGGCCGTTTAATACAAGATTACCGAGTTTGTTTATCGTAAACAAAGCATCTCGCTTTTGACAGAAACTGTTGTTTTACAATTGCGATTGTTCAAGTATCACTGCCAAACATTATACGCCTTTAAATTGTATTGTACATCGCTTGATTCAAAATTCAAAGTAATCTTTCGAGGACACTTTTAAATGCTAGAGTACAATAATTTAAAAAGATAACAATTTGTAATGTAAACAAGAAAAAAAACCGGCGAATGAGACGAATCGATCGCCAAAACCACAATGACCAGGTTAAACACAAAGAAACCCCATGGTTACTTCTAAAATAAGCTAAATATGACGGTTATGTGAATCGCAGTCGGGCAGAATAGTGATCGTAAGCGAGAAGAGAAAAATTTGAACAAATACTCACGTTGTTTCCAGCACTTTTTGCCAACGGCTCGGGTGGAAACGGCTGACATATTTCGATTGCAGGTTTCAACTCTCTTTTGGTTTCATAAGGAATAGCATTTATAGCACAAAAGGAAAGAGATGCGGTTTTGATTTCATTAGATTTTATGGATTTACTTGGGTTTTTGCAATCTTTATCCTGCAGCAAAACGTCCAAGAAATTCGTTGAAAAGTCATGAAACTGAGTAACTGACAAGTTTTCGTGATATGAGCCCAATGTACATTCAGGGTGCGGAGTCTGCCCATCCATTGAAAATGAAATTTACTAAATTTACATGGAATTAAAAGACTTTTTTTTATCTAAATTTAATAAATTTATTTCACAAAATTACCAGTTGAAATATTTTAGGACCACAGAAAATACCTTTAAAGGAAAATTAATTAAACATAAATAAACTGATAAGCTGAATTGCTAAATTATAAGTCATAATTGCATATTCAAATGAAAGACACTAATGCTTACAAGAGAAATTAATACATAAAAACGGTAGCACCAAATACTGAGCTCTAAAGGAACTGAACTGATAATAATAAGTACAGAGGTATTTTTAAAACAATTCCAATTTTTTTCTTCGTTTATCAAATAAAGTCGTTTTTATTACAAAAAAAGGAAAGTAGAGGCAAGTTTGGTATGTTATTGCAGTTCAAAAGATGCTTAAACTATTGCTCTATGCTAAACCAGCTCGCCAGAAATGCAAGAAGTGCGTCATCGTATGTGCAAGGACAGAGCCCAACGTCTCCAAATGTTCGTGAATATTTCTACTACATTGACCATCAAGGACAGGTAAAAACTTACTGAGATTATATTAAAAAAACTTAGAACAGAATTTAACTGATTTTTGATACAATGTTCATTTGTTATTGTCAAATGCACCCCCCTGATTTCAAATAGAAGTGTTTCAACCCCCCGGCCATAATCTTAAACTATTTTTTAGTTGTTTCTCCATGATGCAAGATTGAAAAATTTCATCACATGTTTCAAAGGTACTTCCAGTATTATCACTGAGTCTATAATGAATACCATGTCACCACTAAACTAACCATGCTGCATATATACTTTTTCTAGAGAAGAAATTTCTGACATTTTTCTTCAGACGTTTGAAAGTCAACAACACTGGTCGTTATGAAGAGTTTCCGTATGTCTCGCCTTGCGGAAAAGAGCTGAACTTCATCCAATGCGATGACAGACCTATTGTCTTTACCTCAATTACAACAAATCCTGATAACACACAAGAATTACTGACTATAAATGGAACTGAGAAACTGACATACACTTTTCAACCGGAAAAGATCTGCATGTTTCCAAAGACAGGTCGAATATACCACCCTGCTGATGAAAAATATGGAGGCGTGGGGCTAGTTAAATCTAGTCTTGGTATAGAAATAAGTCACTGTTTTGAATTTAGGGACAGGAATAGTGATGTTCAACCACCTACACATTTTAACTGGAATGGAAAGACATATGAGCTTGATAATTCATTGTGGAGTAAAATAAATGAGAGCGATTAAGAAATAATTAAAATAATCTAGATATAATTATTAATGATACTGTAAATTTTCAGAACTAGAAAAACATACTGTTTTGTAATTTGAAAAAGTTATTTACTATCTCTTGCATGTACTATAAGTTGTATAAAAATATAAATATTGTTACTATATATATTATAGCTACATTGTATACATTTTGTTACTCTTCAAGTATCTTCAACCTATTGTCTTACCATTGCATTGCTTTCAACTAGTTGTTAATTTTTGCAGCAACCATGATCTAGGAGTATGTAAGTACATAATATCTACATTTACACCAAAACTGAGGGTGGCTGTGCATCTGAGTGTCCTAAGTTTTTTCATCAGGTTTGCTGAATATTTGCACAGAACCTTTTTGAACCCATGACAAGCCTGAAGTCTGAGCATTCTGTGAAGTTGTGCTGTCTATTGTTTCCTAAAAATTCCCAAATTTGACATTGGTATGTAATTTACCGGGAAAGAGTTGTATTTATTTAACATCTTTCCTACCTTTGAATTTAAAATTGAACTCTTAATATTCTCATGTTTTTCTGGGACCCACTCTGTAAACCTGAGTGAAAATAGAACCTTATAACAATGGAAATGAACAAGGAAGATGTTGTAGGAAAAATGTGATAGAATGATGTTGACATAACTCAGTTATACAAGGACAATGGTTTAACATACTTTATTGCATGTGGATCATCATCGATACTGTTGCAGAGTCGTTCTTGACAATGATTAATGTTTTCTACCACTTTAGCTTTGTACGCTTCACAATCATTGTTATGACTAGAAAGGGAAATGATGTGTTTACTTGAGTTTTCTCATTGCTTCTCAAAAGCGAAATTTCATTATGTGTAGACACTTACAGCATAGCAGCTTCCTGGTTCACTGCATTTGAACTTTCAATTCTATAAAACAACCTTCGGGCAAACAACAGCACCTGCCATAAATGATTGACAGTTCTCCTACAGACAGATAAAATTTCACAATTAATATATCAGTCTTATCAAACAAATTTTTATATAATATATTTTTATAAAACAAACCTCCACGATGGAAATGCTTGTTTGACGTCAACTTCACCTGTTTCAAAGTTGATCAATGGATGGTACACCGCTGGCACAAACTTCACCTGCTGTTATTACAAAACAAAAGGCCTACTGTTTAGATGCACAAAAACATTAATTTTTAGTAATTTCACTTTTTTTTCTTTGGTTGCTAATTACCGGACAGTCGCCATCTGGAAAATTCTCCGGTATTGTCATGACAAATTTGAATACTCCTTCTTCATAAATCCCATGATGAATAAATAACACGCCATACCAAACTATGAATAAATCATGAATGCATTCACCAAATATTACAACCTATGTTGGACTGTCAAAATTTTCTCAACTTACCCAGGGGTGTTCTAGCTCCAGGAAGGACATACATTCCTGGAATTCTTTGCTTCTGGAGAAGATTGCTATAATTCAGAGAAACCAATTTAAATGTTAAGGATGGAAATATTTGGAGGTGGCATGCAGACAGACAGCCTGCTCTTTGCAGGATTTCATGCAAGAGAGACAATACTTACTACTCAGCTAGAAGAGTGTACTCCATGAAATATGGACCATAAGATTTCAATACTGCTGATGCGGTAGCGTCCGCTTTTTGCCTTGCGACTGATCTATTCATATACTCGTCCAAGTCTGGACTGGGTATACTTGGAAGTCTCTTCTTTTCGGCATCGGCTGGTTTGGTATTTTGTCGATTAGTTCGCTCAGAAGAACTGTCATTCTCTGACGTAAAAAGCTGTAAGCAAAATTTAACCATGGTTTCAAACCATTTGGTGGTAGAGCAATGAATGAAAGCTCTTTAATCTTTGCATAAAAATAAGTCATCCTGTACATAGATCAGTTTCAACAACAAAGGTTAACTTGTTATCCAATATAAAAGACTATGATCATTGTTTTTTTGATCTTTAATCTCGCTGTTCAGCCTGTTCTTTTTTGAATAGTCGCTTTATTACAGCTAAAAAACACACAGTAAATACAACCTACAAAGTGGACAAATACCGCGTGATAATACAAACGACATGCGAAATTTATTTTACTCGTATTATTATCCTCAAATAATCAACAAAAATGCAACATGTCAAAAATTCTGAAAATATTTGTGAATATATGGCTAAAAGCTACAGGCTTACAGCTTTTAAACCTAGGAAAACCAAAGGAAAACCACATAAACCTCTTACCCTACGCTTTATCTGGTATTTCATGTCCTTAAGCATGGCCATCGTTATCTTTTAAGCCATTTTTTTAGTGTGAAAATGTTGAATTTCAGACAATCCAAATTCCAAAACAAATTATTTTCTCGAAGCGTTCTATCACCCGACTCGCTTAATTCATTTGTAGTGACTGTCAGCCGTCAAAAAATTCGACGATTGCTCCGCTTTTGCGATCTGGGAACTCGTCGTCCGCCTAATTCTCCCCCCCCCCTCCCACCTAACCCAAAGTGAGCAATGGGAGGAAGAAATGACCCAGGCACTACAGCACAAAGACAAAATACAGGGAAAGAAGAATACCCAACTATAATTACAACTAAATCACCGGACTTCGAGCTTACTGAACCGAGTGCTTGCATGTCGTTAGTTATTACAGTAGGCTGTCCTAAACATTTGCGTCTTTTCACCCTGGGGGATAAATATCCTTTTAATGAAGACGCATATTTGGGGAAACGGTCACCCCGCAACACTGATAATTATAAAATATCATGCAGGGTGAATAATTTGGAAACTGCCACAACTTCTTGTATATTTTGCTGCCAGATATGCTGCAAGCTTTTGTAACCACAGCGTGTGTTGTTTGCCTTTTTCAATTTATTATTTATCAAATGGTCATTACTTCAGCTTGAACGTGTTTAATAATAAAACACTGTCAGGGCAAACCAATGTGGCACGCAGCTGCGAATTAACCGGCTGATAGGCAGAAAAGCAATTAGCCTAACTCAAAAGCACGCTAATTTAATACATCGAAAAGCTTAAAATATGTAAATCTCATGGCGAGTTGATGTGGATTGACCAATCATGTAAAATAGTGCGTTTATCGATGTATATATATTATAATGAGATACTTGACTTTTGAGCAAGTCAGGGAAATTGTTTTGAAATAACCTTGATAAGAGAGCAAAAAAACAAAATTGAAAAGCTGGTGCAGAAAATTGCTAAAAACATCGTCAGAAAAAGCTGTGTGTAGCTTGCGTGTGTGTGAGAAAGATAAGTACAGACAGTTTTCAAACGTTATTCAGTTCCTTAAAAAGAAAAATGGGATCTCATGTGACAAATTCATCGGTAAAATCAAACATCACTGCTGACTTAGGTCCTGCTCCACCGAAGGTAAAAATGGTTTGAGGTCGAACACAATTCAGGCAGCTAGATCAGAAGCGAGGTTTTAATAACTCGGCACAGAGAACGAACATATTTAATGAATATGCATATAATGTATATATATATATATAATATATATATTATATATACATATATATGTAAACTGTCATAAGATGTATGTAGCAAAATAGTACATCATAGTAGACATGTCCACTCTATTTCAGACAAATGATTTCAAAATAACTAATATTAGGATAACGTAGCCTTGTTTAAAATGATATTCGGGGCATTTTACCGTTGCTAAATATTTTGAAAGGATAATTTTAGTTCAAACAGACTAGAAGGTTTGTTGATAATTTTCGACTATTTTTATTAAGACGTCGACGAAATATTTACAAATTTCAATTCGTGTTCTCTTACTCTCCCGAAAGAATGACCCTTGCTGAATAATTATCGTTATTTAGCACGAAAAAAGAAGCAGTTCTGTTCCGTCTTTTGTGCAACCTTAGGGGAATACTCCGTAAAGTTTAGCGTCACAAGATGCATATAATTTATGTTTGAAAAATTCATCAAGGTAGCAATGTTTCAATTACATCGAAGAACGTGTTTGACGCTGAAAAGGTTTTCTAAACTAAACGAAACACTTCAGACAAATCAGTACTGTTGAATACCTAGGGAGAAAAAGGCTGTTCCTTTAGGAAGATGAACACACAGTTTTTCTGAGTCGGTGTTTTTGTGTCGAACTGATTTAATTATCTTGTACGTGGGATATCATTATATGTTCGCGATGATATACGAGGAGGTGGTCTGTTGTAACTAACTAGCCAACGGGAAATGACTGAAGATTGATATCATTGATTTACAAATGCTCTGTACTGAATAATTTAGACATTCAACCCCCAAGCACTGAAGCACTTCAAACTTTCACTGAAACAGCAGTGATTCTAAACACGATGCCATTGAGAGATATACACTTTTGATTTAGATATTAAATATTCATGCTTATAAATTATAATGTAAACGAGTAGTGTAAGTGAGGAGAATGAAGAATGAATCGATTAAATTCATTACCCGCCACTTTGTGAGCGAGATTTACTAGAAATAGGGGCTAAAGAAATATTATCTGTAGTACAAGATGTAGTATGAAGAATGTGAAGCGTCCAAAAAGAGATAAAAAAGTGAGTTATATTAAGAAATAGTGGGCACGAAATATACGTTTCTACTTTTTTATGTTCTAGTTTCCTGGTGGTGAAGAAGATGTCAAAGGACAAAGCACATCTCAGTGTTCGAGTGGACAGGTGGATACAAAGCGTCGTGTCGCCGTTTGTGATGCTACAGACGAAGCCAAAGAAAGCCGTTGTCATATGAGAGTAATCATGAAAAAATTCTGACAGACTATCATTGCTTCTTTGCGACAAAGCAACGAAATCCTAAACAGCTGTACATAGAACTTCATTTCTAACTTATAACCAATTGTATTTGTAAGAACCTGCATGTTCCAAACTTGCTTGGGAAATTGGTTGGACAACGAGTTGATGAGAGAGCGACGAATATATCCCCCTCGGCAACAAGAGACGAGAATATTCAAAAAAGGTTTTGACAAATGATGGATCACCTGAATGAGCTTGGGCGGTCGTCTGTTAATTAAATATAATTTCCGCAGTTATTATCCGTTAAAAAGTTTACTAAATAGTCATTACGTAAGTATATAGACCGTCCAGTCTATACTAAAATTGGTTTCAGGCCGAGTGATGATTTATAAGAGGAACCACATTCTGTGTGTCTTATTATATTTTGTCTATGAACTTGACCTCATTTACATGTGTTAATGATGATCCAGGAATTCGGAATATCCCATACTCGAGGCAAAATTGCGCATATAAATTCTATTATCCAAGCTAACTATATCAACAATAAATTTCTATTGTTCTCATTTTAAATTGCAGTTGTTTCCGGGAAAGCTTACCTATTTCTCGGGCATAGTTTGTACTTTATGTAAAGCATAATAAATTCCTTTCATAGCTATAAGTTGATCGTGAGTCCCTCGTTCCACGGCCCGACCACGTCTGATTACGATGATGTTGTCTGCATGTTGAATAGTCGACAAACGGTGAGCGATCACCAATGTTGTTCTCCCAATGCTGGCATTATCCAGAGCCTGTTGCACAACCTGTATAGAGATTTTACGATTAAATAGGAAATTGAAATAGTCAACCACCGAGATCCAACGTGTGGTGGTGTTATAACGATATAAACTTGTCACTTAAGATGTGGCAAAAACTACTTTAATTACGATATTTTACTTTTTATGAAATAATATTTCACCTTTTCACTCTCAGTGTCCAAGGCCGAGGTAGCTTCGTCCAGCAGAAGTATTTTAGGATCACGAATCAAAGCTCGTGCAATGGCGATTCTTTGTTTCTGTCCACCTGATATCAGAGTTCCTCTGTCACCAACAATCGTGTTATAACCCTTCAAATTTTCGGAATTACCAAGTTTATATCATCTTAGATAATATATTTCCTTTCATAAATCCCCTCCTTTCTACCTCCCTCTCTTCCTCCTCCCTCTTTCCCTCCCTCTCTAACTCCTTCCTTCCCTCCTCTATCTCTCCATCCTTCCTCCCTCTCTCTGCCTCCTTCCCTCCCTCTAGCCTTCCTCCCTCTCTCACTCCCTCCTCTTTGCCACAGATGAGCTATATATTTCATCTGTGTCTTTGCTCTCGTTTTCCGGCCCTCATCTTTTTTTTCTTCCTGTTACGTCAAAAATATCTTACCTCCGGCAAGCTTTGAATAAACTGATGAATATTTGATGATCTTGCAGCCTGTTCGATTTCTTTAATACTGACTTCCCTCGTGGTATCACCGTAAGCAATATTTTCTCTGATTGTCATGTCAAATAAAACTGGTTCTTGAGACACAATACCAATCTGCCTTCGTAACCACTTGATGTTCAGTTCTTTAACATCATTTCCATCGATTGTCTACGAAATTAGGTAATGGTAATAACCGTCTTCATCGTAAAGATTTTGAAAGAAAGAAGATGGCAAAATGGTTGGATGACTAAAGCTAGATGCGATTTCTTCATGCTGTATGCTAACTACCAAATGTAATCATTAAATTGATCAGTGGAAGCTGATTGACTGTCTAAATTCTGAAATTCTGATCCTGGTATGTAAACAAACAAATTAACCATTGTCCTTACCACACCCCCTGCGCTAACGTCATAGAAACGTTCAACCAATGAGACAGTGGTGCTTTTTCCAGACCCACTTGTACCAACCAACGCCACAGTCTGACCAGGCTTCACGGTGATATTAAGATTACGCAACACCTTGTTTCTACGACGAGTGGGATATCTGAAACCAACATTTTTCAACTGAATTTCACCCTTGCATTTCTCCTGTAAGAAAATATGTACATGCGTCGTTAAAAACTATATTTCCGCGCAAAGGAAGCAAACCAGAACTCAAACCACGTTTCCGGGTTTTTATGATGTTTCTACTAACATCTGTGTCATCAATATCACACTTACGGGCTTCAAACCTTCGTCTGACTGATTGTCAATTAATGGAACAGAAGCAATGGATGAAAAAACTTTCTGCGCAGCAAATTTTGCTTTGGAATAATCAGGTGTCATGGAACTGGTTTGACCAACAATCAATCCCACAGATAGATACGTGAAAACCGTACTAAAGAATAACGTGGAAAACTATATCAGCAGAATTGACTAAACGTAGATACGGCAAGAAAGATACCTATCCTATATCTTCCTTCCTATCTTCTGTCATCTTGTCCATTCCTTTTCCTTTAAGTCGCTCAGGACTCCCTACACACCCCTTCTTATCCTTCAATCCTTTCAGATACTTACGTCATCATGTCTTTCATAGTGACATCACGATCCACCACCAGCTTAGCTCCGTACCGAAATGCAGCAGAAAAGGTAAGATTTACAATACACACAGTGAAGCCAGTCGCCAGCCCTGCGAAATGAGCTTTCCTCTTTGCTTTTCTGTATGAAAAGTTTAAAAAAATATAAGAGAAAAAATCATTACCTCGACAATTCTCTTGTGAACAAACTTTGCCAGGCTCGCATGCAAACAGAATGAATATGTATTAGGTATTAACGAGAACACTTAAGTTTTGGTATTATTGATTTGTACCTGTAAGGTTCCGCCATTGCCGCACGATAACGTTCAAAGAACTTCTCTTCTTGTCCTAGTAATACGACCGTTTGAATATTCGACAATGTCTCCTCTGCAACCTAAAAAGGAACCATATGTTTTGCTATGAAACTGTAGTCAAAACAATATTTTGTAACCAGGGATAGTTTCATTATTCTCTGTCCCTGGAATAGTGTAAAGTTTTTTGAGTTTAACATCGTATCAATTGAGGAACTGATAAAGTATTTGATAAAGTAGAGAACGAAACGGTAAAGCAGAAGAATAACAATAGAAAACTTCCAGTTCACCTTTCCCGCGTCTTCCTCTAAGGTTCCCCGGGTACTAGGGCCCAATGCGGTCATATAAAACAAGCCAGAAATGACCATCAAAGGAGTGAATGCCGTCAGCACCAAGCTTATCTCCCAACAGTACAAGAAGGAAACAGTCACTCCTCCAACGACGGACACTAATGTTGACGCAACAAAACCTAACTGCGAACCAGTTGCCTAAAAACACACGCAAATGCTATTGTTCAGAAGTTCAGAATATAGTACTTTGATTTGAAACTTTGTTAAACTTTGATAAACAGCCACCTACCCCTTGAATTGCAGATACGTCTGTGGATAACCGGCTACACAGAGCTCCCGTGCTGTTCTTTGGTTTGTCAAAATAAGAAATTTCCTAAAGGGAGAGACGTGTACATCGATAGATATGTTCTACTGCAAACCCGACAAGGTATCAAGGCTGGTTGAATTATGTCTGACGAATTCAAGAGAACGATGTTTTGCCATGAAGGTACGGTCATGAGAAGAGATGGCAACTAAGGTAAAGCAATCCATATTACCTGTCTAAGAAGAGATAAGAACAACCATCTTCTTAATCGCTGTGTGAGCGCCTCGCCTGACTTTGCAAACATCCAGTTCTACAAAATAAAAGAAGTAAATAATGGTGAATAAATATCTGATGTATTCGACCGGAGTAATAAAAAGATCAGTGGAGGTCGAATATACACGTATAATCGTACACTCGACCTTTGCATGGTAGTAAAGAAATAACAAGGGTCGAATATACTGGTATATACCACACTCTTTACAGGGTAAATGAAACTTACTTGCAAAAATAAACCGATACCACAGTATACCCCCAATATGAAGAAAACCATAGCCCAATGTACTGAATCATTCTTCATTTTTTCTTTTTCAGATGGTATCCTTGGATCGTAAGAAAATGTCTGCAACAAGAAAGACACAGGATAAGAAAGCACCTGGGAGTGTTGAAGAAATAAGAAGGAAAACACGAGAAACAAACCTCAAAGATTCCTCCCACGGCTATACCGTAGACAAAGGGACAAGTCCCGTACAGGGCACTTCCAATGCAACCAAGGACAATGTACCAGAATTCAGGCGAGTTGTACTTTAAGATTTTTAAAAACGGCATTGCTTTTACAGGCTCAGAATCCTCTGTCTGAAAATAGATAAGAAACATCTGAAACTATTGTTTCTCCTTTGCTTCATCTGCCGCCAGGAAAACGACTTTCCTATATCGTAGTACCTCCACTCTGTTTTCAAAGGTCGATTTATGAAATGAAATGTAAATTATGTACTTACAAAGATTGTCTTAGTGTACACAGAAACACTGTCCCTAGTGGATGATCCAAGTTTGAACGCGCTTTCCACTGAAATACAAACAAAACTTTCGTTTTTTACACTATTCATCGTTGTTAGTAAACAGTTCTTTTATATCGATTCATATACAATACGGTGGTTGTTGGGTCAAAACTTAGCATCAGACATAATGTGAGATTTGTATCTTACTACATCCCCGATTCTACAATCTTCTTTTGCCGTGGTGGCACTAGAGGTCTCTTGGGATAACAATGTAGAGCAGAATGAGCCGTCCTTTATGTTATAAAAATCATTCTTTTAATTCAAATATGTATCCAGTACCTTCATCCAGTTGAAAAGCCTCAATATCATCTTCATCATCATCATCATCATCATCTTCAAGAACTTTGTCATCCACAACTTTCTGTTAAAACCAAAATTATTGCATTAATTGAATGAATTACTTTGTTGCACCACGAACGAACTCTTTTAGGAACCGTTACAATTATAAATAAAAAATACGATGTTATTCTCCTAATGCAATGCATCTGAGTCTTCTAAATACCTGTAATCTGACAAGTGTTTTATAAATTCCATTCGGTATCGCCATCAACTCTTCATGAGTTCCAGTTTCGGCCACGTGACCTTCTTTAACAGCCACTATAATGTCCGCGTTTTTGATTGTTGATAAGCGATGAGCTATGACAATGGTCGTTCTACCTTCCCCAGCCTGGATGCACCAAAACAACACAAAGAATTGAGTAACATGCTGCTTGCTGACTTCCAAGTTTATTTTTGAATATCACTCACTCTATCCAGAGCTTCCTGTACAACAGCTTCACTCTCGGAATCCAAGGCAGACGTGGCTTCATCCAGCAATAAGATCTTGGGATTTCTTACCAAAGCTCTTGCTATGGCTATTCTTTGCTTTTGACCTCCGCTCATTTGTGTTCCACGTTCACCACACAACGTGTCATAACCCTAATGGATAGAGCAAGATGAAAACTTCATAATGAAGAATAAACCAAAGACAATTCATCATTCATACTTCGCGAACAACAACGTTACCTTTGGAAATTGTGAAATGAAGTTGTGAGCGTTTGCGGCTTTGGCAGCTTCTTCAATTTCGTTTTGTGTGACTCCTTCACGACCGAATGCAATGTTCTCGGCAATGGTGGTTGAAAATAGAACTGGTTCTTGGTTAACAATACCAATATGACTTCGAAGATGGTTGACATTTATGTCCTTTATGTTCGTGCCATCAATGAGGATCTTAAAATTAAAGGAAAAGCATTCATGAAACAAATGATATAGTGAATATAGCAAAGGAACTGTGGCCCTAATTTATTTGAATGATTTTATCAGACAATTTGATATATTTTTTGGAGAATTTGTTTCAGTCGGCGATGTTGAATTAAAATAGTGTTAAACATGACCTACCGATCCTTGTCTGGGGATTATAAGTATCTATGAAAACGAAGTTCTACTGTAATTATTCATGCTGAAAAACTGCTCAGAAACCTCTCAGAGAGTTTGGTACCACGATCCCCTATTTCCATAATAGTTCAGCGAAGCTATAGAGGCCTTACCGATCCTCTTTGTGGATCATAAAATCTTGAGAGAAGTTTAACGACAGTGCTCTTTCCACAACCGCTTTCACCAACAAGAGCGACACGTTTACCGCGAGGAACTTTGAGATTGAAATATTTTAGAACCTGAAACAGATATCACGATAACCTACATTAATTTCTATAGCTATGACAACAAAAAACTATATCATAATAGTGGTATCTATTGATTAAGTACATTTCATTACGAAGTCCATACCTGTACTGTGGGTCTTGAGGGATAAAGAAAGTCAATATTCCGAAACTCCACGTCGCCATCAACATCCGGTCTTAAACCAGTAGAAGATGACACATTAATCGAGGATTTCTATAAAGAAACACAGACATAACGTTTTACCAAAAATATACCAGTAGAGCAGGTTTATAGAGGAGCGATACAATCTCTGGTCAAGTTGCATCCTAATCTCAATTACTGATACAAGAAACGTCTTCTTCTTACCCTATCGATGATGTTAAAGATGACATACGCCACCCCACGAGCTGTTGCCAAAGCCTCCATGCAAGGAGCTGCTTGTCCTAACATCACTGAACCAACCAACACCATGTAAAACACCTGAAAAAAATACGCACACACTGCCATATAGTTCTTGCAAATGCTCTGATTTCCACTATCGGTCGGAACAACCAGATAAGAATGATCGATACAAATGATGAAAGCATTACACGTACACTTGAAACATCGCCTGGTTCAGCATCACCTTCTCTGATTAACTTGATGCCATACCTTAACAAAAACATCAACGTATAGGTAAAAAAAAACTCTTTCACAAGGTTCGAGTGGTGTGAAGAATCTTCAATGACCGAATACTTCAAGACGTTCGTTATTTATAATATTATTTTTAAGTGGATTGTCACAATATAACCACATTTGCCTTTAAGTTCGTTAATAAGCTATAGAAACATCTTACCACAAGGACAAAGCATAGTTCCCGAGCGAGGCAACTTGAAAAACTCCCAATCCTATGCCAACTCCAAATCCCCTCTTCACCCCAAATGTACAGCATTCATTCAAGTGAGCATCGTACCTAAAACGAGACAGGCTTCGACGTTATATAAACTGTTATTTCTAGTCCTTTACACTCTAGAGATCGGTTGAAAAATGGGAAGACCACACTTAGTCTCTGTAGGATGAATAGCTTGAAGCAGCACGTTGCATCTTCGGGTATCAAAACATTAAAATGAAAACATTACTGTTTTGTTTGTTGAGCTTCTCCTCCAAACGCAGCGACAGTTCTGATCGAGGAAAGACTTTGTTCCGCAACATTTCCGGCTTTCGCATAAGCAGCAAGTTCTTTTGCGGCAAAACCTCCGATGATCTAGAACAGAAATGAAGAATTTCTACTGCGCTGCTTTGTCGTGGTTGCTGGTTTGGTAAACTGCTCGCAAATGTTGAGCATAGTGAAGGTTTAAGTCCTCGTCACATTCCTGAGGTCGAACCTGAACACGTATTGAGACAAAACCCAATTATTGGCAATGAACAGAAGGGTTCAAGTATACCTTAGCCTGTATCCCGCCACAGGCCGCCACCACTGGTAACACAGCCAGCATAACAAATGTTAGTTCCCATAAATAGAAAAATCCCAGCGCATATCCAGCTATGAACGCTGAAAAACTATAGATCACTCGACCAAATTTTGAGCCAATGCCATCGGCGAGTTTATTCATATCTCTGAAATGAAAAAATAAAAAATCTGCAGGGAAACAGAAAATCACTGGTTTGTGCTTCTATATTTTCTATTCTGAATGCATGCAAGGGACTCCACGTGAAAAACACGAGATTTCAACTCATCTTTCCAGGTTTTTCAAATTCAACCTATAGTGCGCCTCTGCTCTTGAAATGATAATATACATACTCTGTAAGTATAGTTCCCAGCTCACCACTTGGATGAGTGTCAAACCAACCGACATCCTGGTGTATGATATTTCGAAACATTGCAAGTCTCATTTTGTGAATCTGCCTCTCAGCAGACAGACCCCAAAGGCCTAACCCTGCCCAGGCAAACAAAAGGTTTCCAAACGCAAAACCAATATACCAAAAAGCTATGGTCGTCATGGTGTCCTCCAAATCTACCGGGTTTGAACAATTCCTTCTAACACACTGCATAAAGTCTACAAAATCGTCGGTGACTGGACCAACTAGGAGATACTGCGCTGGTGTGAGGACTCCGTATGCTATAGAACCAAGCGTTCCAAGTATCATCAGCAATATATCAGTGTTGTCGTGAAATCGGAACTAAGAACAGATAACAAATAACAATGTGCAGTTAAAATGGTTAGCCATGCAGTAAAATTCAACCGCTCACTCCGTCTTTTACACTTGCAATTTCGCTGTTCACACAATCCAATTTCGTTGGATCTAATTCACTTCTGACGTATGGAATGAAGTCAGTTATTCAAAAAGCAGTACTGCGTTGGTTTAAGTTGATTTACTGCCCACATACATTACAAGTAAACAGACTATAAAACATCCATCAGAAGTGAATTGGATCCAACAAAATTGGATTGCGCGAACAGGCCTTAAAAGGTGTGATGTAGAAGATATGCATGTTTGAATCTTGACACTTCGTACAAGACAAAATTGTGCCGACGTGCCAGATAGGATTTCGAGATTCGACTTCCGTTACAAAATATGGTGGACTCGCCTGGTATGCAACATCAGGTTGTCAACAAGACTTGCATAAAGAATAAGACGTAAAAACCTACATACCAACTGTTTGAATGGCACCATTGAAAACTTTTCCAATCTTCTATAAAAGATAGGATACAATTGGTTGTGATTACCTAACGTTTAGAACAAACTAGTTGAATTCATCGTCACGTTTGTCTGAAATCTAGATATGCTTTCAAGAAGTGGTTATAAGTCTATGAGTGAACCCATGCCGATCCTAGTAGAAAGAATTTAAGTAAACCGTATTTACTCGTTTGATTCGATATCCGATTCCGAAAGTGCATTTCTTCCACCTGGTAATAAAGGGCTTTTCTCGGTCGCCATTGCCGTATGTGATCTTGACAATGTCGTTGGGAATAAACTGAAAATACAACGATATTTCGTATCAGATTGTACATTCTACTTAAGTTCTACGTAGTAACGAATCCACTATTTCTCAGAGGCTAAATTTTACCATTCGTCTAACGCCAGGCACTTTTACGTTGAATGCATGGAAAACGTCACTTAATTGCTAGCGACCTGCCATATTGAATGCAATGTATTCTACATATGTCATCTTGTAAACTTACCTTTGCTGGCTTTACTAGTACCAGATTGCATTTAACTACAGTCTTGAATATTTCAATCTATTGTAACCTAAGCATTTGGCAAGGTGGCCAAGGTGCTGATTCGGTTAATTTTCATAGCTGATTCTGTGAATAATTCCTACTCAGTAACCGTGACAGGATTTCATGCAATAACATGCACATCAATAACAATAAAAATTAACCAGCTACAAAGGATCTTTTGGAAACCTCATGCACACTTATTTCCTATGTAAATGCAGTTTATAACTTATAAGGCACTTCAGTATGTGTAACGGTGTGATTTTCCTAAAAAAGGTGACGTTTTCTTTAAAAGATTGATTGGTAGTTGGCCAAATAAAGTACTTTATACATAGTATGGCATAGGAATAAACCCATCGAAGATTTACATGTTAACTTAAGTTTTTATATACAGAGGAGCTGGACCGCTCGCGAACATATATATTGGTTGAGGTTGTCCACACACAAAGCAGTTTATTTTTGATAATATACAGTGGACTGTAGCAGATATGATCCTGTAAAAGCTTGGAACTTCTTACACGAATAAGTTCATCTTATCTCGCTGATATTTTTTCCAGAATAACGACTAGCATGTTGAACCTTACCTAAATCTCAACTCTACCCTAAGTCCCTAACTCGGATAGCTAATTACGTACTGTGCAACAAGAAAATATATCTAGCGGAAACAAACCTTTACTGGTGCTACTTGATGCTGGATATATAACTATAACGGCATGAAAACCGTAGGCCATAGACTTCTGGAGAGATTTACGCCATCGAATATCAACAGTTTATAACACCATCATGCATGAACTTAATTCTTAATTCACCATAGGTCCCATATGTCATTAAAGTGCATCAGTGCGTCGTAATTCGATCCACATTTCCCCTTTCCTCATGCAACCAGCGGTTCCAGTTGAGAGGCCAAGAAGTTAAGAGCTTTAGGACGTGTGTAGAAGAACAGCATGCAGAACGATAGGTTCAAAGTCCTTTCAAGATGCAAATTATAGCTAAATATTTCCGCTTGTATTCAGTAACCTTACTGAGCCTGAACTGACAGCCAAAATAATATTGTTTTATTTTGTTTCGCTGTCGGTTGTATTGCTCTGTTAATTTTTTGTTGTTGTTTTGTTGTAAGGAGACTTACAACTGAATAAAGACATAATCTCCGCTTGCCATCTTGTCAGGTTTTTTTACCAGCGCAATAGCATAACAATGTATTTAAATTTTAAAATACTAGAATTTAGATATGATTGCAGGCCGCCTCTTCAAGAGGACGGAGTCGTGAACGAGATGAATAATGTCATATTAGCGTTTACAAAACATGGTGGAAAGCTGACTCGATTTTAAAAAGTGTTCACGCAGATTGGAGAGGGCAAACAGGTGAAAATTATTACATATATACGATAAAAAAGCTTCCCATCAAGAACGGAGCGATTTCTCGTGACGCACTTTTACTTGAAGAACCTATTTCCGGGACATAGATTGTACTTTATGTAAAGCATAATAAATTCCTTTCATAGCTATAAGTTGATCGTGAGTTCCTCGTTCCACAGCCCGACCACGTCTGATTACGATGATGCTGTCTGCATGTTGAATAGTAGACAAACGATGAGCGATCACCAATGTTGTTCGCCCAATGCTGGCATTATCCAGAGCCTGCTGCACAACCTGTATAGAGATTTTACGATTAAATAAGAAATTGAATAATCGAATTCAAATGAATTGATATTAAACGATGTTAATAATTTGTATGCCACTTCTTCTGGCAGAGAAACATATAAAACCCTCTTTGAGCCAAGAGGTTGAACACTTGAACTAATTAATAAAAGTAATATTTCAAGTATTTCACCTTTTCACTCTCAGTGTCCAAGGCCGAGGTGGCTTCGTCCAGCAGAAGTATTTTAGGATCACGAATCAAAGCTCGGGCAATGGCGATTCTTTGTTTCTGTCCCCCTGATATCAGAGTTCCTTTATCGCCAACGATCGTGTTATAACCCTTAAAATTATATACTTAAAGAATTTACAACATTCCAGTAGATTCCTTCAATAAATCCTGTTTTATTCCTCCCATTGTCATCCTCCCCCACTCCTCCCTTCCCTCCTTTCGTAATTTGCTTTTTTTTAAATTATTTACTTCCCTGTTACGTCAAAAATATCTTACCTCTGGCAAGCTTTGAATAAACTGATGAATATTTGATGATCTTGCAGCCTGTTCGATTTCTTTAATACTGACTTCCCTCGTGGTATCACCGTAAGCAATATTTTCTCTGATTGTCATGTCAAATAAAACTGGTTCTTGGGACACAATACCAATCTGCCTTCGTAACCACTTGATGTTCAGTTCTTTAACATCATTTCCATCGATTGTCTACGAAATTATGTAATGGTAATAACTCAAAATTACAAGCTGGATGCGATAAATGTATAAAATCGATGATTTTCGATGTAACAACCGAATGTAATCATTAAATTGAATAATGAAAGTTGATTGACTGTCAGAAATTCTGATCCTGGTATGTAAACAAACAAACCATTGCCCTTACCACACCTCCTGCGCTAACGTCATAGAAACGTTCGACCAACGAGACAGTGGTGCTTTTTCCAGATCCACTAGTACCAACCAACGCCACAGTCTGACCAGGCTTCACGGTGATATTAAGATTACGCAACACCTTGACCCTGCGTCGACTTGGATACCTGAAACCGACGTGATTCAACCGGACTTCACCTTTGCATTTCTCCTGCAACATGGCAAATACATCGTTGTTAACTCGCGTTTTCTCCATGCAGAAAGTTCCTTTTAGCGTTTGAGTGCTGTCAACATTGTACTTACAGGCTTCAAACCTTCGTCTGACTGATTGTCAATTGAGGGAACCGAACCAATGAATGAAAAAACTTTCTGGGCAGCAAATTTTGCTTTGGAATAATCAGGTGTCATGGAACTGGTTTGACCAACAATCACCCCAACAGACAGATATGTGAACACCGTACTAAATAGAAAGAAAAACTCAATATCATTAGCAGAATCATCTGAACGAGATCGGCGAAAAGATGCAATTTCATTCTTCCCTTAGTAAGCCACACATCCAGGGCACACCCCATCCCATCCCTTTAGATGCTTACGTCATCATTTCTTTCAAAGTGACATCACCATCGACCACTAATTTAGCTCCATAGCGAAATGTGGCTGAAAAGGTCAGATTTATAATACACAATGTAGAACCAGTTGCCAAGCCAGCATAATGTACATTCTTTTTTGCCTTCCTACATAGAATCAGAGTAACAGTTAGGGCTGTATTGCACCATTATTTCACCAGATAGGTCGTTGCACCAGCAATGATTCCTTGGGAGATCATCTTCATCCTACGAGGTTCATCCTTCTAGATTCACAAGGGGAGAGGAAAAGTCCGAAAAGAGACCAATTTGTACCTGTAAGGTTCCGCCATTGCTGTACGATAGCGTTCAAAGAATTCATCTTCTCGACCCAGCGATACGACTGTTTGAATATTGGCCAATGTCTCTTCTGCCACCTGCAATCGAAGCAAGGATTGTTTTACTCTGTGATAGAAGGCTGTAATTGTTAGTCTTAATCTGTGGTCTTGGTAGAGCAATGTTTGTGCTCTCATTCTGGAACCAGGATTTAATTTCCGGTGAAATTATTTTCAGAGAAATAGGCCAGAGCTATAACGTTAGATAAGTTTGGGTTGGTTGGTTCTGGAGTCTGGACTATTCGAGTCTTGTGTAGCGGAGAATTCCTCCTGTAACGATATTCAGACTTTCAGTACCTTGGCCGCGTCTTCTTCTAAGTTTCCCCGGGTGCTGGAGCCCATGTGAGTCATGAAGAACAAGCCGGATATGACCATAAGAGGAGCAAATGATGTCATCACCAAACTTAGTTTCCAGCTGTTCAAGAATGCAACAGTCAGACCTCCGATAACAGATACCAACGTGGAAGCAACGAAACCCAGCTGAGAACCAGTTGCCTAACGAAGGCAGACGGCTGTCGATTAGGATTAAATACTTTTGTGTGGTAACGTTTTTATAAACAAGAGTTCAACAGGCTACCTACCCCTTGAACTGCAGATACTTCCGTGGATAACCGGCTACACAAAGCTCCTGTGCTGTTCCTTGGTTTGTCAAAGTAGGCAATTTCCTGAAGTAAAAACAAAGCACTGTCATAAGCTATAAAGGAAAGAAAATCGTAGCAGGTCTTATCAGGATTATAATTTCAATTTTGGTTACGACATGAAGAGTTGACATTCCTGAAATTAGGAATCATTTAGTGCTCCGAAGCGAAGGATTAGTAGTAATCTTAACAAAGTAATTTAAACAATGTTACCTGACGAAGAACAGCTAAAAATGACCATTTTCGCAATCGCTGTGTAAGACTTTCGCCCGACTTTGCAAACATCCAGTTCTACCGAAAATAACTCCATCAGTTCTCGCTTATTGATAAATTAAGTTTACAAAATAGATGGCACAAGTTACCTGGAAAAATATACCTAAACCACTGTACACTCCTAATGTAAAGAAAACCAAGGCCCATTTTCTTGAATCATCTTTCATCTCCTCGTCTTCGCTTGGAATATTTGGGTCGTAAGAAAATGTCTGCAACAAATACGACCATTAAAAAATATGGTTTCCATAAAAGGGAACATTTTATAAGCGACGCCCAAGCCAAACCTCAAAGATTCCTCCCATGGAAACACCGTAGACAAAAGGACAAGTTCCATACAGGGCACTACCAATGCAACCAATGACAATGTACCAGACCTCTGGCGAGTTGTAAGTCAAAATTTTGAAAAACGACATTGGCTTCACAGGTTCAGCTTCGGCTTCCGTCTGAAAATGACGAGAAATATCTTATAACATAATGTCCTCGATTCACCCATCCTACTGCCCCTCACTACTCCATCATCATACCTCACCTCATTACAATCCGTGCCCCAACTTACTACCTCTGATCACCTCTATTCCCCGCTCTCCCATGAAAGTATCCCTGAGTGGAAAATATCAACATCATTATGCACTTACCATGATAGTTTTAGTGTAACCAGAAACGCTACCACTGGTAGTGAATGAACCAAGTTTGAACGCGCTATCCCCTGAAATAATAAACAACTTCATGAACTAAGGCCCAATCCACTGAAAGATGCGCATATTGACACTATGATTGGAGGAGCATAACCGTCGTATCATGGTCGTATTGGCTGGAAAATGACGAATACGACCATGGTCGTATCATGGTCGTATTGGCCGAAAAATGACGAATACAACCATGGTCGTATTGGCCGGAAAATGACGAATACGACCATGGTCGTATCATGGTCGTAATGGCCGAAAAATGACGAATACGACCATGGTCGTATTGGCCGGAGATGACGAATACGACCATGGTCGTATCATTGTTGTATTGGCCGGAAAATGACGAATACGACCATGGTCGTATTGGCCGGAAAATGACGAATACGACCATGGTCGTATCATGGTCGTAATGGCCGAAAAATGACGAATACGACCATGGTCGTATTGGCCGGAAAATGACGAATACGACCATGGTCGTATTGGCCGGAAAATGACGAATACGACCATGGTCGTATCATGGTTGTATTGGCCGGAAAATGACGAATACGACCATGGTCGTAATGCATAAGCTATGAATCTGCTTATATTTGCTTCCAGTCAAAAGTGAGAAAAGTGTTTTAAATTTGATATGATCACAGACCTCCAGGGGCACATATAATAATGCTTACCAGATCTCTACAGTTCTGAACTGTTAGCAATAACAAGAAATATCTGACAAATACCTTCCTCGAGTTGGAAAGGTTCAACTTCAGCGTCTTCATCATCTTCTTCGCCTTCATCACGGACATTTTCATCTACGGCTTTCTGTTTAAACATTGTAAAGAAGAATATAAACTATTATCTTTCTATTGCTCGTCTTTCAGGGCCTTTTTTAACATATATACTGGGGGGGGGCCAAGGCCCCCCCACCCTCCATGTTGGCCCCCCCAGTTCACTATTTTGGCCCCCGCAGTGAAAATCCCCTTTTTAAAAGATATTAACAAAAAATGAAGAATATTGAATAATTTAGCTCTGCGACAGTGTATTACTATTAGCACTCTTGTATTCTGTAACCCATTACCTTTGTCGAATGTAACTCGACGAATGTTATTTGTCGAGACAGTCGAGCACAAAAACGGCTTAAATAGACAAATAGATTCATCAATGATCAATCATTTTTCTGTTGTAATGTACAATATTTCAAATGCATCTTTACCTTTACAAATATACATGGATATTTGAGTGTACAGAGATTATCCAGTTTAAAGAAAATATTCTTCAGACTGGAAAATACACTAAACTGTCAAATATACACTCCATTACTCCCTGTTGATATTGACACACATGTTGTACCTTTGATATTACTTTTGGTAAGACGTAAGTTAAGAATATAGGAAACGGCGTTTCTTGACTATACTGATTTCAAAAATCTCCCGGGTGCCCCCTAGCTTTCAGCCATGATCGACATTCCTGCTTTTTTCCGCTAGTGGGGAAGCCCTTTTTTGCCAATGGCCCACCCACTCGAAATTTCTTAAAAAAGGCCCTGTCGTCTTTCGTGAGTGCGACTCTTCACCTACCTGTAATCTCACAAGTGTTTTATAAATTCCATTGGGTATCGCCATCAACTCGTCATGAGTCCCAGTTTCGGCCACGTGACCTTCTTTAACAGCAACTATAATGTCCGCGTTTTTGATTGTTGATAAGCGATGAGCTATGACAATGGTCGTTCTACCTTCCCCAGCCTGGATTTTCCAAAACAACACAAAGAATTAAATAACATACTGCTTGCTGACTTCTAAGTTTATTTTTGAATATCACTCACTCTATCCAGAGCTTCCTGTACAACAGCTTCACTCTCGGAATCCAAGGCAGACGTGGCTTCATCCAGCAATAAGATCTTGGGATTTCTTACCAAAGCTCTTGCTATGGCTATTCTTTGCTTTTGACCTCCGCTCATTTGTGTTCCACGTTCACCACACAACGTGTCATAACCCTAGTGGATAGAGCAACAAGATTTCAAAATGAAGAATAAAGCAAATATATTTCATACTCCGCAAACGACAACGTTACCTTTGGAAATTGTGAAATGAAGTTGTGAGCGTTTGCGGCTTTGGCAGCTTCTTCAATTTCGTTTTGTGTGACTCCTTCACGACCGAATGCAATGTTCTCTGCAATGGTGGTTGAAAATAGAACTGGTTCCTGGCTCACAATACCAATATGACTTCGAAGATGGCTGACATTTATGTCCTTTATGTTCGTGCCATCAAGGAGGACCTCAAATATAAAAGTATTTATGAAAACGAAGTTCTACTGCAACTATTCATGCTGAAGACTCAAAACTGCATCAGTTCTAAAATTTTCTTCTCAGAGGTTTGGTATCACGAATCCTATCTCTATTGTAGTACAGCGAAGCTATAGAGGCCTTACCGATCCTTGCTGTGGATCATAAAATCTTGAGAGAAGTTTAACGACTGTGCTCTTTCCACAACCGCTTTCACCAACAAGGGCGACACGTTTGCCGCGAGGAACTTTGAGACTAAAATCTTTTAAAATCTGAAACACAATTCAATTGTACACTTCCATTCGCTTTAGTCAGCCATAAAGAATGCCATGTGCGATTAATTTAAAACATGTAAAATTCTATTTTATACCTGCACCGTCGGTCTTGATGGATAAAGGAAATCGATGTCTCGAAATTCCACATCACCTTTGACATCGGGTCTTGAACCAGAAGCTGACGAAGCATCAATTGAGGATTCCTAAAGTCAAACGCATAAACAAATAGTAAGCTTTATTGTATATTAATACAAGGATCCAAGGCACAGTAATCTCAATTCTTGGCACCATTGTTGAATAGCGTACCAAATCTAGTGGTCTTACCCTATCAATGATGTTAAAGATAACATACGCCACCCCACGAGCCGATGCCAAAGCTTCCATGCAAGGGGCTGCTTGACCTAACGTTACCGAGCCCAGCATGACCATAAAAAACACCTGTAAAGGGAATGAAATATGAAGTTGACTGATTTATGCCGGCAGCATTCGAGAGCTATGGAAACCTTACGATTTTAGTTAGCCGAAGAAGCCTTAACAACGGTAATAATTTGATATTTTGATTCAAATTGTATGGACGCCTTCTGTGGATGAGCTGTGCATGAGGAAGAACGGTAACTTTCATCACATTTGGGGAAAATCATGAGATAAAGGTCATGAGGTCTTGCACAAATGATAAAAACATTACGCGTACACTAGAAACATCGCCTGGATCTGCATCGCCTTCTCTGATTAACTTGATGCCATACCTGAACAAAAACGTAAACAACATAAGAAATCTCTCTCACAACGACATATTGGGGGATATTTCTAATACGAGTAAAGACGATTACGGATTAGCCGCCGATTAGCAAAATCGCAACAAAGAGCTTTGATTCAACCACAGAATCTTCTTAAGGGTCGAAAACACCATGATATAACTGTCTAACACAACATACCACAAAGACAAGGCATAATTCGCGAGGGTGACAACTTGGAATACACATAATCCAGCGCCAACTCCAAAGCCTTTCTGCACACCAAACTTGCGACAGCTATTCAGATGAACATCGTACCTAAAATGTGATGAGATTGCTTTGCCCAGATTAGTCAGTCAAGTATATGGAGGACTCTTACTTTGCTTCTGGGGCCGGTTGTACGAAAGTAGGATAGAGCTATAGCTCGACTAGATCTTTTAAGTTTATTCTCTTTTCAACAAAATGATGACGTTTACTTTTTCGTTTGTTGAGCTTCTCCTCCGAACGCAGCGACAGTTCTGATCGAGGAAAAACTTTGTTCCGCAACATTTCCGGCTTTCGCATAAGCAGCAAGTTCTTTTGCCGTGAAACCTCCGATTATCTAAAACAGAAATGAAGAATTTCTACTGCGCTGTTCTTCTGCATGAGATCACTATGGTCCATATATTAAGACATGATCCACTGAAACTTCAGCGAAACTGTTTTATCCTTAGGTTCATTTTGGATGCAAATCAATGGTTAGGGCTTGGCCGATTTTCTTTGAAAGCGATTGTTTTCCCAGTCTGTGAACACGAATACATGAGCATATACCCCCTGCAATATCGCGTCTAGGAAATAACGCGCACGATGGGGCCAATATTTAAAATGTTTACCAAATTTCGACGAAAAAACATTGGTTTTGTAGCGTGCCTTTGTGCGCACGGCAAAGAACCACTCTGGTACGAGATGAATTTTCATTCGAGCTTTCCGAGTCAAAAGATGAGTTTCTTTTTATGGTACCTTTGCAAGTATTCCTCCACTGACCGCTACGATTGGTAACGCAGCCAGCATGACCAACGTCATCTTCCATAAATAGTAAAATCCCAGCGCATATCCAGCAAAGAACGCTGAAAGACTATAGATCAGTCGACCAAATTTTGAGCCAATACCATCCGCAAGTTTGTTCAAATCTCTAAAAGAAGGATGCGGGTTTGTGTAGAGGCCTTGTCAATATAAATTTATTAAATTATACAGCACGAGCCAGCCTTACAGTTAAAAGGGACCTCAAGTTTGAAATAAACTGTATATTCACATGATAAATTACATACTCTGTAAGTCTTGTTCCCAGCTCGCCACTTGGATGAGTGTCAAACCAACCGACCTCCTGGTGTATGATATTTCTAAACATAACTAGCCTCATTTTGTGAACCTGCCTCTCAGCAGACAGACCCCAAAGGCCCAGCCCTACCCAGGCAAAAAGAAGGTTTGCAAACGCAAAACCGATATACCAAAGAGCTACATCTGTCATGGTGTCCTCCAGATCTACCGGGTCCGAACAATTGCTTCTTACACACTGCACAAAATCAACAAAGTCGTCGGTGACCGTATTCATAAGAAGAAATTGGCCTGGAGAAAGAATTCCATAGCATATAGAACCAATTGTTCCCAAAATCATCAGCAATACATCAATGTTGTCGTGAAATCGAAACTAAAACAAATCGTAAGATAGTTAGTCATATAAATACACGTGATATTTGGACGGTTATGTTGAAACTAACAAGAACAATGATGACATATATTATCAAGTGAGATCCCGTTAATGATCCTCTTAAGAATGACTGCGGGAAATATAAACATAGACTTGAAGTGTTTACAATTTTCGAAGCAGCTTTTCTGCCTATTCACGATTGCTTTGTATCCGCAGAAAAAAGATAAGTTTTGTATCATACCAGTCTTTTGAATGGCACCAAATTAATATCCTCTTCTTTCCTGCAAGAGACAAAGATTCCGCGGAGTGGTTTAAAAGAGTTTCGGGTCAAGAACATTGGAACCGGTATCTTTACTTAAACAGCTTTACACAAACTCACTCGTTTGAAGGTTCAAATCCAATTTCCGAGCCTGAAAGTTCATGATTGGAAGATGCCAACAGTGGCGTCTTTTCCGTTGCCATAATCAACTATAACCACACCGACGTTGTAGGCAAATGAACTCGGCTAAAATATTAAAAAAAAAACTTTATTCGGTCTGATGTCTGGAAAGACACTTTAGATGCAAAGTTATATACAGAACCAAACGTAATGTTAATTTTCTAAGTTTCTTTGTTTGAGCTCATCGCTGTATTTGCATTATTTAAGTAATCGATAAAATAAAAATGAAATAAATCAATGGGATTAATTGTTCCCCATTTTTCGCATTAGATCGTCAAATTACGATACAGAGGAGTAATATTACAAACTATGTGGTCAAATGTTTGTATAAAGTCAATGAGGATATCAATGAAACGATATTGTCCAAACAGCAAAAAATTTACGTGCAATATCAGAAATCAAACAAATCTCTGAGACCTCATTATATTAAAGAACCTGACTTGATGGTAATGATGTCATTGTACCTGTCATGCAAGCTGCAACATGAAAATTCCCACGTCTAAACCCCGGACAACTTTACGAGTATTACCGGTTATTAATGTTTATACTGATGCTGCGTTAAAATAATTTTCACCATTCATGTCTCGGCTTTCTGATAGGATAATATTACATGCATGGATGATTACATCAAACCGTTCAACTCAAGGAGAGTTAATTAGTTGCAGACGGCAGAGCTAGTTTTTAACTGATCACTTCATATGAGACATTTCGAAGCACTGAGGATAGGTGGAGGTCGATCAGAACGATACCATAAACAGCAAATGGTATAGTTCATTTAAAGCTAAGCACTGAAATATTCAAGCCTGGACACCAATATGCGTTTGTATACGTCTTCATATTTACGGTTGTTTGTATACAAAATATGGTAACATCGAGTTAACGTATGCAGGCTACCACACTCCACAATATTCGAGATACCTTCATGCAACGTAGGACTTTTTATGGTCGGTTAATTGAAGTTGAACATATTGCTTTTTGCCCAATATATCTTTTCTGACATTCATTGTATTTAAAGTCTTAACACTGATCACAAGCACTACATATAACGGAACCCTACACATTCCTAATTAAACCTTCACTCGGTTCAAACTCACTTGAGGCATGACGGTGATAACATGTCCTTAATCTGTCCATATTCGCACAAAATACAACTAACCTTTGTATGTACGTACCTTATCACACGACCAGTTCAAACTCGTTCTCGTGGCTTCAAAAATCAGGCCGCAAATTGCTGGTGATCACGAGAAAGGTCACTGACATAACACATGCAACGCACAACGGAAATATGTCAACATCGTTTGCACTTAGAATTGCAAATTATACTCCGGAGACACACGATGGTTAACGAGGTAAATTAATTAAAGCTGGTACCAGAGTTTTCACCCGACCATGCACCACTATGCAATCCTATGCTCACACCAGCGAAACACGCGAGTCGTTTAATAACGTAAAACGAATGTGGGTCCTCAAGTTTTCTTATCTCTACCAGGTTCAAAGTTTTTGCAAACGGATGAAGTAAAACAGACATGCATATTTTAATGTACTTAAGATAAATATTGCCGTTCAGGTTCATTAAACGTTTTGTTGTTGATGTGTAATTAAAAAAAATACTATGAAAGAAGACTTTCGGGTGCCTACACAAGAACACTAGCTCTTACTACGTACAGTCTCCCTCTCGTGATGATATATTATATTGTTCACACAATTGAATTAAACTGAATTTAGGTTTATCATTCTCACTCACTCTCTATCGTTTAAATTGCATTCGACGCGACCAAAATGCGACGTATAAACCAGGCCGTGTAGTAATAAAGAGAGTAAGTTATATTAAACTCTTGCTGAGGCTTACAAGTGGAAATCAAACCTTAGAAATTCAACACTTCACTAGCTAGCTCTTGTGTTCGAATACACGTCATGAAACTGCTTTTGAGAAGATTGTTCACTCCATTTCAAGTGATGTTTGCATAATTTTATATGTAATTTTAGTCGACTTTAAATAAAAAATGTACAAGAATTAATAAAGAGAGGAAAAATATAAGGTATAGCACGACCAGAAACATCGCGCGTATTAGTCTAGCTATCATCAATAGGCTTTCATGAAGTCCTAATTTATATATTTATCGATAAAAAATCCAGTTCAATGATTTGATCATTGCTGTTTCAGGTTTCGTTGCTGTAGAGACTCTTTAACGCATCAAGAGCTTCGATTGTTACAGTTAAACACCCAACGAGCTCGTTGCTGTCCAGTAGGCTGTAGACTACAAGAAATGGGGAAAATTATTATATACAGGAAGACAAATGCGAGCGATTTGGACATTTCAAATTTATAACTTAGAGTTTACTTACGTTCAATATCTTGATCAATGATATCAGCATTATCTTTCACAATCTAACGAGAAAAAAGAAAGAAAGCAAACTTTCAATTTATTATCCTCGATCACCCACTTTTTCATGGCAACGAAATTACATTGAATTTGAAGTAAAAGTTCACACAAGTTTTTGAACATTCAAATGAATTCTCATGCACAAGGATTCTTTATACGAGATACAAACGAGAGTTGAATATTCTCACCTGTAAAAGATCGACAACAGCAAAAGCGACGTCTAAACAGTCCCCGTCATCAACAGAACCAGGTTCGCTGACAACTGTAAACACCAACCTATACGAAAGTGTAATGCTGGTCTGAAATTTCGCTCAAACACTGAGTTTTTGGCATTATACAAAGATTAGAACACCTCAAACACCTCAATACAAGTAAGATTATTCTTACGAGTCTCCTCGTACCTTCCTTGCTCAGGATTTTCTTCAGATATCGTATGAACAAGCCAGCTTCTTTTTACTTCGTTAGTTTCATTATCCACAGGAAAAACTGAGGAAACAGAAGGAAACTTTAACAATGCAAACTGCCATTTTTTATGTATTGCTCATGCATTGAAATTCTTCTCACCTTTCTTGAAGTTGTAGTGTATGGGTCTGTTCGGAGCTGGTTTTGGCAAAGACACTGGTGTTTCCAGTTCAGCAGGGTCACAATTCAGAAACTTATACGCGACGAACAGTTGTGAAATTGCTTCATTATTAATGATGCCCGTGTCTGGGTATAACATCAGACTGCTAACCATTATCGTCACTTGCGCAGGACCATTCTACGAAAAAATGAAATTAATCGACTTGGAGCAAACAGGTTAGGTCTAGATTGAGCTAGGGCATGCAGAACTCGTTTAAGTATGTTGTAATTTTTATTAGAAAACTACGTGTACCTGTGGTATGCCAGCGCCATGAACCGACATTGATGACATCACAAGGCCGTCGCTGTCGCTCGTTTGACCTTCGCTGCCAGACACCAGCTCTTCGGGAAGTTCTCGGCTAACTGGTTCAAGCGTATCATCCTCTTCGTCGTTCCGGGAATCTTAATAAAAACACGAAATATAAAAAACATAAAAACAAAAATTTGAAGCACAAAGACAATCTGACAACGGTAAAGTTATACGTACACAAAACGAGTACCCAAAGCCAGCTCAAAACTCACCTGTTTCTTCCTCAGCAAACATCGTATCTTGGCTTCCTGTTTCAACAGCCTCATCAGCTACGGCGCTCGTTGAAGGAAGCTAAACCAAAAACAATTCAGGTGGGTTAACTATAGACACTGTTCTTAAAGAATTTATTCATTTAGGTGTCATCAAATTTCTGGTTTGCCTAGAAATCTAAACACTACTCTTTCACAAGGAGCAAGTTGATGTTATCGAGTATAACATGTTACCTCTGATTTCTTTCTCTCTTCATCGCTGGGAGTATCCACGATAACTTTGGGTTGTTCTTCTGAAGCTTGTATCAACTCATCGATACTCATGTCTTTATGAACTACAACCTCCTCGTCGTGATCTGGTAGATGCACGGCATCGCTGATCATTTCGTTTTCCCTGTAATAAGAACATGTTGATACTCACAAATCCAGAAAGTGACAGACTCGGTACTACCATAAGAGGTGATCTAATTTTGCAATGATTTGTGATTTCTCAGTGAAAACTGAAACTACAGTATGTTTGGTTTTCTTCACCAGTTCTATCTCGCTTACCCAAAGATCTCTCCGTTCAACGATTTCGCCGAAGAAGGACGAGAGGATTTCTTCTTCCCAGATCTCGGCCGCGCTTTTGGCGGTTTCTTTACAACATTCTCCTGAGATTGCTTTGGCGTTGAAGTTACGAGGGGGATTGGAGGGGAACGTTTCTCCTCAGGCTGCTCGGCCAAGGCTCTCTCGCGTTCAATTTCCTCCTGAGCAATCGGCAAGTACTGAAGATGAAAAATAGAAAACTTAGAGTTACGACAACAGGGACAAAACGGGTGAGATTGAATACCTTAGACGTCCACGAGACAGTCCTGTGATAGGGTTGATGAAAGGCATACCTGTGGTTCAGTTTTTACTTTTGCGCTTGCTGGGAGATAAGTATTTCTCCATGCCATTGAAATATCTATTGTTCCGTTTTTCTCACCAGATTCCTTTACGATTGAAAAAATATATTGAAAAGAAATAAAATACATCTGGTCCAATGACAAACAGAGAATACATTTACATGTGCATTATCATGTTTTCTGATAGTCAAAATACCTTCATCAAATCGAAAGACCCTTTAATATTCTTGCCATTAGCAAGGGAGATGAGAGGAATCTTTGCCAGACCCAGGTAAGCTGTTGTCTCAGGATCCACATCGTCCAGGACATACACTTCTAAACTCTGCAAGATAAGAAACAGCGGTTTATTTGAAACACTTTCATAACTTGTAAATTCATCATGAACACAACTCGCAGTTACTTGTGAGCGAAGGTATGTGTCCAGTTCTTCCGTCATTGGTACAGGGCAGGTTTTCCTGTCGTTCCACTGCGGATTATTGGAATTCGCAATGATGTCTGTGTCGTGATCAGCGAAATCGTAAAACCTGTACACAACGTAAGGTGAAGGTTGCACATCTAAGAAAACAAAGAAAAATATATCAATATTCGCGGCAAAACCTCATTCCCAGGGTTAAATTTCCCTTCTTTAAGTAGAATACGGACAACAATACCTTCCCGACGAGCTCTGAGGTCGGAACACCGTGTTATCGTGATAAACAACTCATTGACGTCAGAAGGTAACTCGTCACCAGTTTTCTCCAAGGCTTTGTAATCCCGTGCATTCAAATAACCCAGGGCTTTACTTCTCTCCTAGCAAAACGCAAAATGACAGAAATGCATCAGACTTCTAGCAATCTAACAATATGGTGCATTCCTGCTCATGCAAAACCTTATTATTGTTCGCACTATCATTGTCAAAACAAAATCCATCGAATGCTGTTGAATCAGGAAATGTTCCAGTGAAGTATATTACCTTGAATAATCTTATAGCTTGTTCCATAGGGACTCTTAATCGTACCCAGTAATCCATGGTTGCCACCTCAGATCCTTCATTCGACGATTGTGTACCTAATACAAATACATTATACGTTGCATTAAAGAACGACTAATCGACTAGCGAGCTGGTCATTATCAGACTACATCTGAATGTTTCCAATACTGACCTATGAGTTTCGCAGTTCCGTGAAGTCTTCCATGAGATCTTTCTAATAATTCTCTCAGTTTAAGTTGACATGCTGCGACAGTTTCATAAGATGATCCCAGAGCTCGATGAAGTTCAACAACTGTTGATTCCTAGTTGTGAGGTACGAGGTGTTAGGATAGTTGCAATTGTTACCATGAACTTCAAATCTTCATGATGAGAACTATTCTACATTCTACACAAGCATTCACCGCTGAACATAAAATTCAGATATTCCCTTCTTACCTTTTGTAAATAATGCAAAAAGAAGTCATCTATTTTCACGACATACAAAGATGTGAAATTGAAATCCACTCTGAAATTTACAACACAATTTTAGCATTTACCCTGCGATGCTCGCCACAGTAGTAAGCTGGGATCAATAGCCGGTTTCTGTGACCGAAATTTGAATGGATTTTCTCACGAAAATCATAATATTTCTACCTGTTTCCTTTCATGACAGGAGTTGCCTGAATTTCATGCTCGAAGAACTCGTACGTGATAAAACTACTAGGCTCCAGTCCTTCAAAGGAAGACGCAGCCTCTCCCGTTAAATATACCTTAAAGAAGACAAGGATTTGACTACCAGGAAAGCTCTTTTTAACGAGGAAACGGCTCCAAGTCGGGGATACTAACCTTTCCTATATGAATCTCAAAGAGATTCTCTCCCCTCTCAAGATTAACGCTGCTCGTTTCCTCGTCAAATTCCGTTTCCTAAAAACACGATATGAAAATTGACATAATGTGTATGATATAATGAAATGCTTATTACTCACTCCAAACAACTTATTTCCATACCTCAGGAGCAGTGACAACACTGTATTGCTTCGTGCCATACGCAACATCACGCATCTGAGATTCAAGTTTCTGCGAAGAGATAAACCAAGTATTGCACACAAGGCTATTATATATCTTTACTTGTGGAAATATGAAATGTTTTCACCGGCAAATCACCTTTATCCTTTCCGCCCTGATGTCCAACAATTGAGCATATTCTTGAAGTCGCAGATCAAACTCTTTCTTGTCCTCAACCATCTTGTTTGTAACTCTCTCAACCTGTAAAAGACACACAAGACCATTTCAATACATCCTCGAATTGTGATTGTTTAACGTCGCAAAATATCAGGATTACAGCGGAATTTTGTAGCGAGACATGCCCATACCTCTGTTTGATAGTCCTTGTTAATCTTATGTTGTAAAACCAGCATATTTCTTGTCTTTTCGAGCTCGTTAATTGTGTCAGCGTGAGATATTTGAAGTTCTTGGATACGTTTTTGAGCGTCTGGTTGAATACAGAATAAACCAGGATGAGAATCATATCATGTCATGCATTATCTTAATAGTGCATCTAGGTTCTGAATTTGAACATTGCTTGTTTGCTTCTTTTGATATGCGGAGAAATAAAAATATTTAAACAAAATCGTTCTGTACTTTTATCCAATTCTTCGTCAACTTTCTCCAAAAAGTCCAGATCTTGACTACCAGTCTCCTTTCTTCTCTAAAGACACAAAGACAAAGCTATCTATCATAATAACTAGTTGATTCATCTATGAATCACACGCAAATACTGCTATGAAAGTATTGCTAGGTATATGTATGTATAAAATACAGAAAGATGTGATTGCAAACCTTTATCAATGTCAGAGCTTCTTCGAGTTCCTGGACATCAACGGCGCTTTCCTAGAATTAAATGAAATAATATCAACAGGAAACAATAAATTTGAACCACGAGGATAGAATTTGTAATTTCTCAAAATTACAATCAACAGGAACTTTTTTCATTGAGTGATATAAAAATTACATTCGAGCAAACTTTTACGGCTTCAAAATACCTTGGTAAAGAACCTCATCTTTTCAGAAACCTCGTCATGTTTTTCTTTTAAAGAAAAGTGGTTCACTTTAAGATCACGAATTTCTTGATGTAACGTTTCGTTGGACTCTGCCAAAAAAATCAAAGATTAGTTTTTCTAAACTATATGCCGCAGCATGTTTAACATCATTATGAGATAATGACATTATGATGAACTCTTATAAATCTCGCTCACCTCTCTCCTTCATCAACTGATCAAGAACCTCGTTCTTCTCTTCCAACTCGGATTTCACTGATGCTTCGAGAGTTGCGATTTCAACCTATTGTGAACAATTCGTAACGTTGCACCAGGGGATAGTAACCAAGCAATTTAACCACCAAGCTGTTTTACTTCTCAACCATTTCTAAATATCATTGCGATATCACCCTCTCACCTTTAACTGCCTCTGAAGTGCTTGATGCTGGCGCTCTCGGTCAGAATCGAATGCACTGAAAAAAATAGACGAGGTGAATAAACTTTCACCGACCTAAATCATTCGCCGATACATATCAATGCTTCATTCATCGAGATATAACTGTACTGTACTGTACTGTACTGTACTGTACTGTACTGTACTGTACTGTACTGCACCTTTTCACTAGATTTTCGTTAGCTTGTTTCAATATTTCACTTTCGGCTTTAAGGTCATCAATAAGTTGTTGTTGCTATAAAAATTTAAACCATGTTTTTCATGAAACAACGATGTTTCAATGAGGAAATTATGAACAGAAATACACAAACCTCCACAAGTGTCCTTGATGTGACACCGCTGTTCTTCAACTCGTTTTGATACATGACACACTTTGATTGTTCCTGTTCACATAGAAATGATAGACTTGTTATTGGAGCAAAATCATACATCGGAACACGATGCACCGCGGAAGAAAAAAATAGCATGCATTAGCATAGAATACCTCTTTTAATTTTTCATTTAGTTTATCCATATTATCAAGAACCTGTGAGTGACTTTCCTTCATCTTGCTCAAATTCTGAAAAGAACAAAAAATACCTCAGTGAGAACCATAGTTTTTTCTCGAAATCACGAAGGCCGTAGCTAGAAGCTTAAATAGGACAGGGGGAGTATGTTTCATCTCCCGACTAATTTCTCTCGAAAAGGATTGTTTCCACAGTGTGTAAACATGAGAATATGAATATATACACCCCCTCCCGTAGTTAAACGATGTATCTACGACCACTATGTCCATGTACCTCGCTTAGACTCAAATATTTGGCTTCCACAGCTTGTAACTTGCTGGCTTTTTCTTTCACTTCACGTTGTAGTTTAATCATATCAACATTCTCCTGGATATTGTCTCTACAGGTAAGAAAGATCCCACATTATAACATGCTCAAAAACAACCAGGTCAGGACTCCAGTGATGAAGGTTTGTAGCTACGTACCTTTGAGCACCAGACAACTGCTCTCGGACTTTTGTCATAATCATTTCATGATCTCGTTCTTTCTGTCTGAGCTAAACACGGAGTTATGCATGGTAAATTACATGAGATACCGGTACGGTATCACTACGTTTAATAATTACTTGGCGGAGAAGAAAACAGCATGCGTGCATGGTAGGTAATCTACATGAAAAATCCTATAAAATTTTCCATAAGTAATTCAGTACTTCTTCTCTGAGTTCATGTCGGTCATCTTCTAAGATTCGGATATTTTCTTGCAATGAACGAATCACTTGTTCTCTGTGAAACAACGAGAAATTGTTGCAGACTTCCAGCGTCACGGTGCGTCCTTATTGATATAGATTATAAATATGGAATCTACGCTCATTTCACTTACAATTCCTCCTTTTCAATCCTAGCTTCTTCCAATAAACTGTGGCCATATCTGAGCAAATTACGTACAAGAATCATTCATGAATACGAAGTGGTACAAAACCAAGTAAAAATGGTGTCTTTTTTTCACTAAAAACCTATGTTTGCAAGCTAGATGATGCAAGCACCAATTGGGGAACGTACGTTTATAAAAGGTGATGGTTAACGTATGGTCATTCTACTGTACCTTGGTTGTGGTAAGATTGGTGGTGGAACATGCCTGGGAGACCTGACAATGAGGGACAATCACATGTGATGTCAGTTATCCACAATAAGCCATGCATGTACTACAAAATCCCAGTCACAATTAAAGAACTTGCCTAAAGTCTCCTTGAACACGTAAATTTTGACTTATCCTTTGCTGTTGAGATGACTTAGCTCGGCTGTGAACACCCTTGAAATGTTGCCAGTGGAAATACAAAAATTACATCACATTCTCCATTGATTAAACTTAACCTACAGTATACAGACCACAATTCCTCAACAGACAGGCCACCACATGCATAAGAATTACTAACTATTTCTTACTGAGTTTACTTTAGCTTTGACGTGGCCATATGGTGAATGTCTTTTTGTTCCACTATGAGACTGCTGCTTTGCAAGTGTCAGCTACAATAATGCAATAGAATTCTTGCTCATTTAACAGTACTTATTATAGAAGCTATATATTAGAAAAATTGCAATTCTCTATGTGGAGAATAAATAGCAACATCACAATCATGAAATATAACCTTGTTTTTGAGGTGAGAATTTTGTTTCTCCAGCTCTCGAATTTGTTCCTGCATTTCCTCCAATTTTTCTTCCTGTTCGAAATCTCGTTTTCCTGAGAGAAACAAAGTGATCTGTAATCACATAGCAACACTTCTTACATTGAATTACAAAAATCATATTGATTGAATGTTATATCATTTAATATATTAAAAAATTATTAACATGAAACACTACAATACCTCCATCACCGCCATCAACTTTCTTCTTGTCCGCAACCAGACGTAAGAGCTTCGTAGCCATACTAAGAACGGTAAACAAAATATTATGAAGCTTCAAGTCAGCTCAGCATAAGGAAAAGGCTATTTGAAGTAGATATATAGGAAAGGAACTTAATAAATGCTTTTGATTTTCTCCAATGAAAAATAGAAAGTTCCAATACAGATGCAGAAATGGAGGAATTTTATATGTGTATGTATTTTCATAGCCTTGCTATAACACCATGTCCATGTTTATGATTTACCGTTTGATTTTATCCTCCTGTTTTCTTGCATATTTCTTCAGCTCCTTTGGTAATGAAAACAATTTAAGCAAATAGCAAATTAAAACTGCTTTTTTATACAGTTCATTCATACAATTGACTCACAATGTTTTGCTCCCTCAAACGAAGAAATTTATCCTCCAAATCTTCTCGGTCTAGTTTAGCAATAGCTTGTCTTTCTTGAACATCACCAAGTGGACGATCTGAAGGTAATAAAACAGGAAAACTTTACCAAAGGATTTATAATACCATTACAGATGGCTACCTATTAAAATACTTTGTAGCCTGGTTGGATGGTTAGTAGCCCCAAACATCTACAGTCAGGCAAACACACATTTTGTTTTTCTTTACGATGAGAATCATGATGGATCTTAATTCTTACAGCCACTTTGTACACCGTAACTTGCCATACCTCCTCCATCCATGTCTGGGGTACTGAGGTGTCTGGTGTCCCCTTAAGGACCAATTTTTGCATCAAATTTTCGCTCTCGGAGACCTAGACACCACCCACTTTTCTCCTGAAATGTTCATCTTCTAATTTTCACCAAGGATGAAAACGATTAGGCCATACAAGATTTCATATGACACATTCCACGAACGTCTCATATGAAGACTTTCACACCTGTTCCACGAGGCAATCGTCTAAAACACACCAATTTCGACAAGTTTGCGATAACTCTACATTCTCATCATAAGAAATTAACACTTCTTGCTGGTTTATAATGATTTAAGTAACGATAGATAGTTGAAAAAGACGACTATTTAAAAAAACAACAAAAATACTTCAGTAGAAAATTTCGTTTTGTTTTGTCCCGCGACAATCTCGCTGATCGCAACACGCATGCGCAATAATATTTACTGCACCGCTGACCAACGATATCGTGGCACACACTGGCACATTGCGAAACGCGGACTGTGGACATGCGGGTTGCAGGAATGGAGAATGAATGATCCAAACATATTTTTAAAACAAAATCAAACATCTCGTATATTGCATAATTACTCCGGCGTCAGCGACGGAGTTGAAAATTCGCCTCAGTTTTGTTTTTTTTTTTTTTTTATTATTTTTCGTCGTCGCAAGTCTGAAATGGCGCGAACCATTCTAGTATTTGAAATGTGTATGTGACTGTATTTATCTACGTCCCAGTCTTATTTCTTAAGAGTTGTGGTGTACAGCTTCAGTGGCTAATTTTCCGATGCGCGATTCGATTTCGCTCGCATGATACGGCAATTCCTCCAAGAGGAACAAATAAACCGTTCTTTTCATGCTGTTCGATTAAGTTTAGATTGAATTGGGGTAAGAATATATTTAATACATGTAGATTCTGGTCCTATTTTAATAATATCGCTGCTATTTCGCCGTTTAACAAGATGAAGTGGTCGTGTATGGGCGCGTTGACACGTCGTAGTTTGCACAGGATTGAAGATTTAATATAACTATATAAGCGCCTATTCCAAAAGCAAAGTGTGAGACAAAGCGAATGCATCATGCGGTTTATTTACATTTTTGAACAATTGAACTTCTATACTTTTTAAAGTACGACGTGCTTCTAAATTTCGCAATCGAACATTTATAGGTTCGCAACTCGCAAGGCATCTAAATGCGAATATGAACTGTATTGTTTATGTTCAGAAGCTCTATATTAAAGACTGGGACGTGCGCCGGAGTTAACGCCAGAACAGGCGTCTTGTTCATTTACATCCGGCTTCACTTTCGATTCCCTCGGGTTATACAACTGCTTTACGTTCAGTTAAGAAAACCGTCACATAAATACTTCACATTGGCTGTTTAATAACATGCTATGTTTACTGACTGATATTACTGTTCACATTCTGATTTCTGACATTCACACAAGACATTCGCGCTGAATGTCGTTGTAATCTACACAAAGAGACGTGTGTTGTTGTTGCTATATCATCTGAATATTAGTCTAAAATCTTCAATTTTCACCATGGAAAGTTTCAAGGTAAGGATGTTATAGTTCCATGGTATGGGAGTTGGGGGTTATCTTCATTCTTCGCTGGTGAGTAATTCAAAAAGGATGATGACACAGTCATCACTATTGTCACCTAAACACAGACAGTGATACGTCGTTTGTATGTTTCAGAATATGTATGATCTGATGAGAAGTGAGGGGTCCGTATGGAATTAAGCCATATGCCTGCTCGTAGACTGAATTTTAATTTGCCGGAAGTTTGGTAAGGTAATATTAAGTAAGGGATCCGTATGGAATTAAGCCAATATGCCAACTGAATTTTAATTTGCCGGAAGTTTGGTAAGGTAAAATTAAGTCTGCGGGGTTTACCACATATGTGAATATTGTGAATATCATCAATTGGATTTAAACCAATCATATCTGAATGTTTAACGTCACAGGCTATGTCAAGTAGAGAGGAACCAATGGCAATAGCATGCAGACGAGCGGGTCTAAGACAGACAAGACTTGGAAATTTTGTGAAACAACTCTCATCGGTGCATGTCACGCATACTGAGCATAGCCTTCATAGGCATACAGCGTAGAGAGAAAATCACCCATAAAAAGCAACGTTCCAAGCCATGGTTGTCTTTGAGATAATAATTAAAATAAGGTAAGAATTTTATTTATACTTGCATCCTTTATATCGCAATTTTTATGTTTCACTTCGCTAATGCCAACTTTCGCTGACGGCGGTCGCCCCGATCTCTTTATATGACGGAGATTTTTATACTCTATGCCTATGGAAAGACCTTTTTAACTCTACGACACAGTCTTTTTTAAAATTTTTACGAAAGTTAAATTTAGAATGAAGTAACAACTGGAAATTTAAATTTCCACAAATATTATACGTCATACGAGAGGTATCGTTGTAATCCTAGGCTCTGTTTAGACTGAGGTAGCGTAAATCACAGAAGTCCAGTTTCGGATTCGACAACCCTATCAATGATTGCAGACGCATATTGATTACCGCTATTACACCGTCCGTAACTTGCCATGGTAGCGACACAATGAATATTAGACCAAAATTCGGAAATTTGTTCATTTTGTTGTGATTTTAAATGATTAACTTCAAACAAGTTACATGACAATGCTATGCATCAGGACGCTTAGGCCCGGAACATTTTCGAAACATGAAAAGTGGGGCGAGATAGTAAAATATCATAACAAATTTATTTCGAGTGATACGATGAGAACGACAGCTACAAGGAGCACCACATATATTACACACAGGCAACAACATACATTGTCCAGTTGTACTTTGTCCATGATGCATGAATAATTCAGTACTTAACATAGATAGTGACCAATCAGGCACTAGACTTTAGATTGGAAGATGTTTCAAGACGTTTCCAAGGCAATGCTTAACCCCGAATTATTACGAATATATCATAAACTACCTTTATTGTGGTTTATATTTTAGATCCACGTGGATTCACGTAATTGTTATTGTGGGTAAGTGTACTTGGCTAACATAATAAGCCTTGGTAAATAAGAGTAGTTTGCAATAATTTTATTATTGTACGATTATAATTGAACGTTATTGAGGAGCGCCACAAGGTTTATTTCTCTGGGGTTACTTAGGTTAGTAAGCCTAATATCTTACCTTTTTCTCTTCTATTTCTTAGAGAGAAACGATTCATCATCGCAGCTGCAAGAATGTATCACAGAAACATTAGATTGACACTCTGACAGAGCCGGTAGTATTGAAGATAACAAAAAATGAGAAGTAAAATTAGCCAGTACTTGTCAATAGATACAAACAAATGTGTAAGTCTAAAAAACGGATAATCATCTCTTCGTTGTATTGTTTGCACCAATGTGATATAGCTTGTAGCAAAACCCAATGAAGGGTTAATGAAATAACTAGTGGAATAATATCTAATTTTACCGTAAAATTAGTACATTGTATCATTGTAGCATTGTAGTAATGAACATCAGTGACGTAGCCAGCCCGACAATATAGTGATAATATTTTGGGGTTCATTGACTGTGAAAACAATGAATTTCTAAAGAAATTAATAATGATAATAACATAAAATTTGCATAGCATCATTGCTTTATTTGCTTAATCCGTAAGGATATATATATCCTTAAACTGTGGTACAATCAAGTGCGACATTTTTTGCGTCTGGTAATCGGCGTCAAACAAGAGTGGATCAGTGGATAGTAACATGTCGTTGATGCCTGCTTCTGTTAAACTTTTTCTATTTTTTTCTCAAATTTTGCAATATTCCTTCGCCAAGACATGCCACAAGGAGCTCAAACTGAACTGGACGATTAGCGTAAGCAATTCGGCTGTGATTTCGCAGCCATTGCTTGCAAAACTAAACAATGCGAACGAATACGACATAATTGTGTCTACCCTAGATGGTAGTGTAAGCGTTATTGACGCAAATACTGGACAAGAAGGCCCACAGTGGCCTGTTTATTTACCTGAAGAATCCTTCTACGCAGGTCCTTTGTTGTACGACATAGACCAAGATGGATCCTTTGATATTTTGCTTTCAACTGCATCAGGGAATATCTTGTTTGTATCACAGAATGGGACAATCATGACGTCACATACCATACTCTTGCCCAGGCTGATGGTGAAACGTCGTTGGTACATTGTAAATATTGATAACCAGTCAGACATAAGCCCAGAGAAAAACACAATTTTTGTTACAACTGATGACTATAACAGACATACCACACATTTTGCCGAATCATTTGTGACACTTGATAGCCATATTTTATCCACACCTGTCATTGGTGATTTTACTGGCGATGGTATCAACAGCGACCTTATAATACCAGTTAATTATTACTTTGATAACGAGGTTAAATTTGACGAGCAACATTTGGAAAACTTAAAGCTAGATGTATCCGAAGTTGACTTTTACTTATCTAATGGTATCATAGTTATTGACCTTCGGACAAGGGAAATAATTTACAATACAACCTTAGAGTTAACAATGAAATCGAGCAGTTTGCCATGCTATCTGTTATCTTCCCCTGTGGTTGTTGATTTGGATGGTAATCATGGTAGTAATGAAGTTGTTATTGGTAGTTCATCTGGTAAGGTACATGTCTTGAACAAAGATGGAGGTTACCCATGGTCATTCCATTTATCTGACTCAATTGCTGGTCAAATTGCAGTGGAGGATATAAATAATGATGGAAGCATGGAAGTGATTGTTGTTGATGGCAGTGCTAATGTTATGTGCTATAATCAAGATAAATTATTATGGGAGGCTACCATCTCTGGAACTTTGACAGCTGGGGCACAGCTTTATGATATCAATAATGATGATAAACTTGAAGTCATCATAGCAAGTAATGACGGTTATATTTGGGTATTAGATTGTGAAACTGGGAAGGTCTTGGAAAATTGGCCAGTATTGTTAGGGAGCAAGATTCATTCCCAGGTGTTATTCCAGAAACAGATAGATGATTCAATTGACATGATTGTCATGTCAGCTGGAAATTTAATCATCCTTAGTGGAAATACACAATGTCTGGAAGTTATCCCAACAGAGGAGATATCATATACACCAGTCATTTATCATGAACAAAATATGGCTCTTATTGTTTCAACTTCTGATGGAGCCATCTTGTCTTTCAACCAAGCTGGAGTTAACAAGCAGATGACCAGAGATGAATTCCGGATTAAATTCACTGAAACTACTAGCAAATTACAAACAGTCGCCAGCCAGAATTTTAATATAGAATTTGAAATTTTTACCCAATCCTACAAAGAACCAAGTTCTGAGTTCAATGTTGTGATTAGTTACTCCACAGAGAGGGGTATTAAACATGATATAAGTAAATATAGCAAACCAGGGCTATATTCTAGAAGCCTACAGTCACCTAAAGTTCCAAAATATACATATATTTCAATAGTGTTATGTAATAAGTTCAAGCAATGCAGTGAAGATAGGATATTTATTAACTTTCACAGTCAGACAAAGGATACAATGGTACTTTATGCATTTCTACCATTGTTAGTTATGGCTGTACTGTTGTTATTTATTCATGGCTACCCTGAGGGGGATCTCTTGCCGACATGGGAGAGCTCAAAGAAATATTAAATTGATAATCCAAATCAGCTTTATATAAATTTATTTCAACCGCAATTTATCTTTAAACTGAATGATAAACCCTGAGTAGTTTTTGATCAAATCTAACTTCGCATAAGTGTCATTCCAATTACTAATACTTCACCGGTCAAAGTTACTTCACAATATTCAACAGACAGGATTTAATATCTGGAAACAGGAAACTGTAGCCAGACTCTATGGTTCGCTTAGGAATCACTTTTTGCCCCTCTAACAAGAGAAGTGCTCGTTCATGTCCATATATCATATTCACAGCAAATGCAGGTACTGGAATGATTGCTGGTCGCCACAGAGCACTCGCTAACTCTGTTGTGAACTCTGAATTTGAAACAGGTTGTGGAGCAGTAGCATTTAAAATACCATGGACATTATTGTTTTCCAAAGCATGGATAAGAATTCCAACCATGTCAGCAATGTGAATCCATGACATAATCTGTTTCCCACTCCCAATCACTCCTAAATCAGAATAACTTTGTAGAATAAAAAAATGGTTGTGTTACAACATGATTCTCTGAACTAGTCACAAAATTAGCATTCACTACTATTTTGGCTTTGCATGAGATTAAATTGGTTCCCACCTCCAACACCGAACCAAAACGGCCAAACTAGAGATTTAAAGGCTCCACCATCACGTCCGAGAACCAAACCAATCCTGAGGGTTACATGTCGACTTGGATGATCCGATGGAAGGACTGCTGAGTCCTCCCAATCACAGCAAATTTTGGTGAAAAAATCATGTTCTGGTTCAGGAGGTGCATCTTCTGTATATTCAGCTGTCTCGCTTGTTGGATAGAAACCTTAATGAATATGCACTGGCTTTGTGATACGATACCCCATTTAGTGTTTTGCACATCAGTGGAAGAGTATTTCCTGTTTATAATAGGTTAATAAATCTCAACTGATAGTTTTTAAAGCTATAGCTGACTACTTTTGTAGCTAGCTGCTTTCTGTTTATCAAGACTCACCAATTGCAGAAGACGAGATCCACACGTTTGGAGGTTTTGCAGCTTTCTTGATAAGCTCGGTCAAAATATCATTTGTTTCAACCCGACTTTGTCTAATTAGCGCTTTAAAATCTTCATTCCACCTAGCAAATAGTAATGCTTTTAATGTTTTAATTGTACAGTACATTGAATCAATGAATCCAAACCAACCTTTTCAGCGGATTAGAAATGTTTTCTCCTGCAAGATTGATGACAGCGTCACATTCAGGCAGCTCATTGTTCCTTTTCAAATCACTCTAAAATATAAAATATCATTGGAGATATTAATGATTTTACAGTACTTTAGTTTGTAGCTCTGCTCTTGCTGTAAGTCATGCCGATCAAATTACCCAGGTTATCTTTGCGTGTCCAGGTGTTCTTGACAACAAGATCACTTCATAGCCACGTTTCCTCAATGCACTGCACAATGCACTGCCAATAAAACCATTTCCACCTCCTTGAACAGACATTCAAATACCATTGTATATCGATAATATACATTGCTCTTTTCTAATCACTTCATAATTCAGCAATCAACTGTGATCAATTTGTACAGTATAATTTTTTCAGGTACTTTTCTGAGTTTTCCGTACGTTTTCTGGATGAAGTTTGAGCGCTATTGGCGCTGACGCAGTCAATATATATATCGAACTGCATATTATGGAAGTATAGTCAAATTACCACCCGATAAAAAGCTAAAAAGATAGAGAAAGTACAATATACCCACCGACAAGAACCTTCCGTGCCGCCATGTTTGTTTACATTCCTTTTAAAGTCGTTATGTAATCACCAATGTAATGTTTCAAACACGTGCCAGACACGTGTCTATAAATAACAGTACGCGACGCTTAAGATATAAATTTAGTTACTTTGTATTTTCATTATTAAATATGTACGCAGTAAATTAATTATGTTCATTCTGTTCGGAATCCTCTGTAGCGTTTATTACTGCCCTCTAATATTGATTTTTGCAAGTATCCCGGGAGAAATGGTGTCTTGATGCTTTTGTTACTACCATCTCCTCCTCCTGTACCAGAGGAAGTGGTTGTTGCTTGGTTGGTCTCACCGTTAGCCTTCGGTTGGTTAATTTCATTCGCAGTACCAGCCTCCGCTGAATTTGACTCACTCGAGGGACCAGTGATGGCTTCCTGGTTACCACTTTCTGGATTGTTCTCTTCTCTAGATCCGGATGTTTGTTGGTTACTTTCTTCAGTGGCTGGTTGGTTACCTTTTGCTTGGTCTTCAGGCGACAACTCCTCGCTTTCTTGACTGTTAAGTGCCATATATTCACGTCCACAATATTCAGCATCCATTGTTCCGCGCGCTATATTCGTGGACTCGGAGCCAACGACATTCCCCGGTGGTTTGTATCTTGCAACAACGTAAATACAATCCTTGTTGTCCTCCTTCTTACCATAAGCTCTTCCGATGCCAAATTTCCTGCTGGATTTCCAAATTACTTGAGTAAAATGTCCAGTCGACTTCGTGGCGTCGATGGCAGCATGTTTGTTGTAATTGTAGTTACACAGTTCTTTGTACCTAAAGAAAGATAGATAAAGAGTTACGATACTCCTCTGTCTTATGTGAGTCACCTTACAGAGAAATTATGAGTAGGATAGCACTTAGGTACAGGTGTTGAAAGTGAATGTTGAACAACGATTGAACTGGGAAACAAATTAAACTAGTGTCAACGAGATACGTCGTCAGTGTTACCCACGTTACTGCAAAATAAAACTTTAATACTCACCATTCCTTGCTTACATCAGCTCCGGATGGGTTTGTCCCGCAAGCAGAATATATGCTCTCAGCTTCATCTACTCTGGACGACTTCAGGGAGTGTTCGGCGTTATTTATTCCCGACTCTGCAAGCTTTTGTGCAAACTCGGTAGCACTAGCGGACATCTCACCGTCGAGTGACAAGCCAGGAGAACTGTGAAACTGACGATACTTGTTGTGCGCCTCTAGAGCGCTTTGTTGAAACACGTTGGGATCTAAAGATTATGAAAGCACGAGGAATTACTGCAGCTACTATTCAAGCACAAAACTGGACAACGCAGGCGAGATTTAAATAGCAATCCCAATAGAAAAGTACCTTCTATGAACGCTCCACCTTCGGGGATACTTCGGGATCCTTCAGAACCTGGTGTTCCTGTCTGTCCTTCCTGATCCCCACCCATCTTGTCGCCTCCACTTTTTCCGGCACTTTCAACTCCACCACTTTGTGGCTGTTTGTCTGTACCTGTTCCCCCACGAGATCCCTCATTACCTCCCGCTGGCGACCCTTGCGATCCCTCTGGGCCACTAGCAGATGACCCTTGTGGTCCTTCATTGCCACTAGCAGATGATCTTTGTGGTCCTTCATTGCCACCAGCAGATGAGCCTGGGGGAGCTACAGAACTACCTCCTTCCAATGATCCTTGTGATTGCGACGATCCTTGTGATCCTTCATTGCCACCAGCAGATGATCCTTGTGGTCCTTCATTGCCACCAGCAGATGAGCCAGGGGAAGCTACAGAACTACCACCTTCCAATGTTCCTTGTGATTGCGATGATCCCTGTGATCCTTCACCGCCACCAGTAGATGATTCTCGTGGCCCTTCAGATCCTCCTGCTAATGACCCTTGAGATCCCTCATTACCACCTGTTCCTTCACCACCTTCTTTCCCCGAGGGTACACTCCCTTGTTGCCCAACGTTCTTAGGCGTTACTTGTGTCCCTACTTTACCACTGAGTCCCTGAGTACCACTTGGTTCAACTTGTTTTCCTCGACTAGGCGAACCTTTATTTTCTTCGCCAGTTTGCGGTTGGTTTTCCTGCGTGCCTTGGGGTTCATCAACCTTGCTGCTTCCTTCTCTGTTTGGACACAAACAAGCGGGGCATTGTTTGCCTCTACTAGGAGAGGTGTCTCCAGGAACTTCGGAATTGCCTGGGTTAGCAGGATTTTCAGGTACTACAGGGTTTGCCTGCTCTACAGGTTTACTTCGATCAGGTAAATTATTTTGCTGAGCTGGTTTACCCTGTTCGGTAGGATTGCCAGCATTAGTAGAACGAGCTGGTTGATCAGGTTTTGAGGGCTGTTCAGTTTCCCTATTTGATCTTAGCGGGCTACTTTTTGACTTGGGTAAATTCTCCGCGCCTCCTGAAGTTTCAAAGCTCTCTGTTTGGATTTCATTACCTGGACATGGGGGGCAGTGGGATGCAGGTGACATCTGTTGTTGATCAGGAGTATCCTCTGGTGATCCTTCAGATCCTGTCTCATGTTGCTCAATCAGCGGAGAAATATGTGAGTTCTCTGGGTTTTTTGCTCTCTCGCGGTCCCCAGTACCTAGAACACCGGACACCCCCGTGGATGTGATTCCAGGTATACTATTACTCCCTGTTATCCCATTACTTCCTGCCATCCTTCCTCCTCGACTATTTTCTGAACCCACAGATCCTTTATCAGGCAGCGCGTTACCAGTACTCTGTGCTGTGTTTGAGCCAGCTGTCCCAGTTGATGATCCAGTTTTTCCACCAGACGCGGTGTGCCCAGAACAAATACCATTAGAATCAAAGCTGCCTTTTGGGATATTGACAGATTCAGCTGGACCCTGCTCAGCTCCTGGCCTGTACCTAGTTACCACGTATGTACACTTCTCCCCCGACTTCTCACTCGTTCGCCGACCAATTCCGATAAGATACGTCGCCTTCCAGACAACTTGGGCGAAATGCTTGTATTCGTTGTACGACTTTTTGTTGTCAAAATAGTTGCACACTTCTTCATACCTTGAACAAACAAAAACGCATCACACGTTACGCGGTTATTGAGATAGATAAGTTTGAAAGCGTTAGTTTACCATAATATCTTACCAGTGATTGACAACTGCTTCACCAGACACTTCATTTCCGCATGAGATGAAGATATTTTCGCCGATTCCAGGTTCCAGACCTGGATCACCTTGTGCCACTCGAGCACCCTGGTCAGCTAACTTCTGTGCGTACAAACCAGCCTGTTGTCGTAGTCGGGCACATTGGCCCAGCTGGGGACATCCGTGGATACTACGATACTTATTGTGAACTCTGAGGACGTCGTTGATAAAGCCAGTATCCTCTGTAAAAATATAGATGGAATTGGTGATCGACACATAAAGCTTATTTTATTAAATAGCTCTATCAGTTCTAAACGGTTTTCACTTTCATCAGATATCCTCCAGCTCCCGAACAAATAAAGTCTTCCTTCACTTCAAAAATAAACAGAAGTCGATTTAGTCTATTCTTAAATTGCTTTTTTACCTTTTCTATAGCCCAAGATTGCGGCCAATAATCGACGATCTCCCTTTACGTTCTTGACAGGAAGACAAAGATGTTCTTGAGAGAGAGAGACAGATTAGGCGTCAATTTTTAGATAAAAAGTAGCACATAAATATATAATAACAAGTTAACCTTGATGAGCACCTTTTACTAGGACAAAGTAAAGAACAAAAATACTGAGATTCCAAGATTTCATCCTGATGATACGCGTCACCTTAAATCATTTGTGCTGACATTGGGATTTCGGACGTTAACAATATTGGGCATTCTTCGTTGTCATGTTTTTTATAAACACTTTTAAAAAAATATAAACTATCATTCATAATCAACCAAATTGCCAAATCTGCGTCAACGTAAGTCTTCAATTTTCTAAACAGAAGAATGTGAGTAATTTCCATTGAATTCTGTGGTTAAGTTGTTCTTGTTGTACTGTTGTAAAATAGTCGGCCATCTAAGCGCATGTTTAAGATAAGATAAGCTGGAATAAACAAAATTGTTAAATATGTCAGAAGACCTGTTCCTGAGCAATGAAAAGTAACAGTTTGACATATTTACATTATTCTTATCTACCCATATGAGAACCACTGTACCTGTACAGTAAAAAAACTGTCCCCCATTATTTTACCACATACAGGATAAATACAACAGAAATAACGAATTTTTTTTGGCTATATGTTTTTTATAAAATCCAACCGTGTTTAACAACCTGACATTTCTCATCGACAGAGAACAGGTATCGTAATTAATTGTGACATTTTACAGTCATCCACACGAGCTTTCAGGGTCGTACGCAAGATTCTTTATCTGGGAGGGTGGGAGGTGCTGTTTTGTCGCTTTGCGTAACGATGATCTATAAATGAAGGCCCTCATTTACACCTGGAATGTTTTGTGTAGTGTGATAGATTGATACAAACGAGCGAATTGCAACATGTTAAATACTCTGATGCATAAAGCCTCTTATTTGAAAACATCGAACACAGCCGTTTTTCATTTTTATCCTCAATTTTTTTGCACACTAAGATTACAGAGATCTGACCCAGATTATTTCACAACCTGGTTAGAATTAATCTTCATTTACAAATTATGAGTTAATAGATAGGGAACAGCGCAGCCAATTAGCATTTGCGATGTGTATTCGACTATGCTTTAATTAATCCTAATTTGAATGAAGAAGCTTTATGTTGTAACTAAATTTCTTTCGTAGAAAATACTGAAACACCTGGCTGTTGGGCAAATAATCCATGAAAATATGTTACAAAATAATGTGTTATATGAAAAATCAAACTTTAGCGCTTGGCTGATCAGTTGTAACGATATGACCCCAGGCTTAATGCGTCAAATGTAAAAGTTGAAAGGCGTGGAGAAAGTTTAAATTAGCCACATGCAATATTTGACTGAAGCCAAGCTAAAAAATTGTGGGCAGTCGAAGATCAGTGTTCTAAAATACTGTAATTTGACTAAATAATCACATTTGTTGAAGAAGAAAAGAGGTAATTAATAATAGGATACATTTCAACTCATCAGAGCTTCATTTTGTTTTTGAAGTTTGTTAAAGAAAGAGAAAACGTGAAAATTTCAACGAACTAAAAAAGATAAACAGAGATAGTTTCCGTTCTAACATTCCTTTTTCTTCGGTCTTTTTGTACTTTCGGTCAACAGCATCTTCACACATTACCTCGTGTGTTCGTACTGCTAATTAATTTACTGAAACAATGCTCTGTTCAACACGCAGGTCCATGTGAACTCAACTAATGGCGACAGGTGTTCGCAGATCTTTCTCTTTGGTATTTCTATTCTTGTTTCAGTTACTCGTTGAAATAGGTGAGTAAATGTTGATGTATTACAGCTGTTTGGGGAAAAATTATTAATACGAGCGAAAATAAATCTATCTTTTCATAGGCTGTCTTGCAGATCCTAAACTTGCTCGTGTTAGAGTCAATGGCAAACTAAAGGTTATTCGCCTCCCCGACAAGGTCAAGCATTGGTCAACGTCTTGGTCATCCAACTCACCGAGTAGTAGCAGCTGGTCGACGGGCAACCATGGTGGGGGTAATCAATGGTCAACAAGCACTGGGGGTGGTGGGGGAAATGGAGGTCAAACGTCGTGGTCATCCAAAACACCAAGTGGCAGCTGGACGACAGGCAACCATGGTGGGGGTAATCAATGGTCAACAAGTACTGGGGGTGGTGGGGGAAATGGAGGTCAAACGTCGTGGTCATCAAAAACACCAAGTAGCAGCTGGTCGACCGGCAACCATGGTGGGGGTAATCAATGGTCCTTTAGCACTGGGGGTGGTGGGGGAAATGGAGGTCAAACGTCGTGGCAAATAGGTGGTGGTGCAGGCGGCGGTGCAGGTGGTGGGGGGATGGCAGGCGGGGGTACAGGTGATGCCGCAGGTGGTGGGGGATGGCAGGCGGGGGTACAGGTGATGCCGCAGGTGGTGGGGGGATGGCAGGCGGGGGTGCAGGTGGTGCTGCAGGTGGCGGTGGGATGGCAGCCGGCGGTGCAGGTGGTGGTGCAGGGGGAGGTGGTGCAGGGGGAATGGTAATAGGGTATGGAGGATTCCCTGTTGGTCTACAATTCTCCCTCAAATTTGACAACGGACGATGCATTTACCCAGAAAATGGTGAGAATACAACAGGCACGAAATTAACTCTCCCTCCAGGAGAATGCAATTCTGCGAAAGCCAAGTTCACTTATTCATCTGAAGATGAAAACCTAAAACATGTCAAGACAGGTTATTGTGTACAACCTGAGGGTGAGCAACTGACTGAAGGCATTCCAATCGTGATTGCTGAACCTTGTGACAAAAAATGGGCAATGACCATGACTCCTGGTGGCTCCCTCAAACTGAAAGATAATGGTAAATGTATTCAACCACTGAGCGGTAGCAACTACCCAACCGACGTAGAGAAACTAGTTTTTGGCGACAATTGTGATAAACCTGAGAGCAAATTCCATATTGAAGGTATTGTAAGTTTGTATAGATGTATAACATGCGTTTAGACTCTTCAGATAGTATAAAAAACTGGGCGATTTTTAAGTACGGCTAAGGCACTTTTGAGTTATCTTTCTTAACGGTGACATAATTCTCCTTTGGCTACATGTTAACATCGTGGGTTTTTCTCTTTCGTTTAGATGCAAGATTTGTTATAGGTGGTAGTATTAGTGGTGGTGGCAGAATAGGTGGTGGTATTGGTGGTGGTGGTAGTATAGGTGGTGGTATCGGTGGTGGTGGCAGAATTGGTGGTGGTATTGGTGGTGGTGGCCGTGTAGGTGGTGGTATTGGTGGTGGTGGTAATATAGGTGGTGGTTTTGGAGGTGGTGGCAGTATTGGTGGTGGTGGTAGTATAAGTGGTGGTATTGGTGGTAGTGGTAGTATAGGTGGTGGTATTGGTGGTAGTGGCAGTTTTGGTGGTGGTGGCAGAATTGGTGGTGGTATTGGTGGTGGTGGGAGTATTGGTGGTCGTTTTGGCGGCGGTGGTAGTATAGGTGGTGGTGGTTGGAGTATAGGTGGAGGGAGCGGTGGTTTCGGAGGTGGTATTGGTGGTGGTGGCAGTATTGGTGGTGGTGGCAGAATTGGTGGTGGTATTGGTGGTGGTGGTAGTATAGGTGGTGGTATTAATGGTGGTGGCAGAATTGGTGGCAGAATTGGTGGTGGTATAGGTGGTAGTGGCAGTTTTGGTGGTGGTATTGGTGGTGGCGGTAATATAGGTGGTGGTATTGGTGGTGGTGGGAGTATTGGTGGTCGTTTTGGCGGCGGTGGCAGTATAGGTGGTAGTGGTTGGAGTATAGGTGCAGGGAGCGGTGGTTTCGGAGGTGGTATTGGTGGTGGTGGCAGTATTGGTGGTGGTATTGGTGGTGGTGGCAGAATTGGTGGTGGTATTGGTGGTGGTGGCAGAATTGGTGGTGGTATTGGTGGTAGTATAAGTGGTGGTATTGGTGGTGGTGGCAGAATTGATGGCAGAATTGGTGGTGGTATAGGTGGTAGTGGCAGTTTTGGTGGTGGTATTGGTGGTGGTGGGAGTATTGGTGGTCGTTTTGGCGGCGGTGGCAGTATAGGTGGTGGTGGTTGGAGTATAGGTGGAGGGAGCGGTGGTTTCGGAGGTGGTATTGGTGGTGGTGGCAGAATTAGTGGTGGTATTGGTGGTGGTGGTGGTATAGGTGGTGGTATCGGTGGTGGTGGCAGAATTGGTGGTGGTATAGGTGGTAGTGGCAATTTTGGTGGTGGTATTGGTGGTGGCGGTAATATAGGTGGTGGTATTGGTGGTGGTGGGAGTATTGGTGGTGGTTTTGGTAGCGGTGGCAGTATAGGTGGTGGTGGTTGGAGTATAGGCGGAGGGAGCGGTGGTTTCGGAGGTGGTATTGGTGGTGGTGGCAGAATTAGTGGTGGTATTGGTGGTGGTGGTGGTATAGGTGGTGGTATCGGTGGTGGTGGCAGAATTGGTGGTGGTATAGGTGGTAGTGGCAATTTTGGTGGTGGTATTGGTGGTGGCGGTAATATAGGTGGTGGTGGTTGGAGTATAGGCGGAGGGAGCGGTGGTTTCGGAGGTGGTATTGGTGGTGGCAGTATTGGTGGTGGGGGTAGCATCGGTGGTGGCGGTAGTATAGGTGGTGGCAGTATTGGTGGTGGCGGTAGTATAGGTGGTAGTATTGATGGTAGTGGCAGTTTTGGTGGTGGAATTGGTGGTGGCGGTAATATAGGTGGTGGTGGTAGTATAGGTGGTGGTATTGGTGGTGGCAGTATTGGTGGTAGCGGCAGTTTTGGTGGTGGCGGTAATATAGGTGGTGGTGGGAGTATTGGTGGTGGTTTTGGTGGCGGTGGCAGTATAGGTGGTGGTGGTTGGAGTATAGGTGGAGGGAGTGGTGGTTTCGGAGGTTTGCCCGGTGGTGGTCAACAGTTCGCATTAAAATTTACAAATGGACGATGTTTACTCCCGGAGAATGAACAAACTAGTTCTGACACAAAGTTAGTGTTACCAAGTGACGATTGTGATAATAAGCTTGCAAAGTTTCAAATTTCAAATGAAGGAAATCTGCAGCACGTAGAAACTGGCTACTGTGTGCAGCCAGAAGGTGACAGTGAAGATTTACCATTGGCTATTGTGGAAAACTGCAACAAAAAGTGGGTTTTTTTCATGACCAATTTTGGCTCTCTTAAATTATCAGAAGGTGGCAAATGTGTCCAGCCAGAGACCGGAGGAACACGACCGTCGCAAACAGAATATATGGTATTGCGTGATGTGTGCGACTCACCAGAAACAAAGTTCACAATTTGGGGTAATTTACGAAATGATTATATCGCTTGTTTTATCAGGGAAACGCAATTTACATTCAATAAAGAAGTTCATATGATCGCATGACCTGTCAAAGAGATTATGCAACGATTCGACACTTAAACTCATTACTTCAAAATACCCCAGGATGCACGTGATATTTCGGAAGACACACCCAATGTTTATGTATATCAAAGGAACTTATTCTATTCTCATATATACAAGTTTCCGACCCCCCTGGGTACGAGGGGGTCAGATAATTTTCGTCTTATTTAGTATGAATGATTAATGATTTGTCTTTTGCAGGTGTCAGTGGTGGACAATTTGGGATAGGTGGAGGAGGTATAGGAGGCGGAGGGGCCGGTGGAGGAGGTGCAGGGATGGGTGGAGGGGGGAGTCAAGCGGGCTCGTCTTGGCAGTGGCGAAATGGTGGAGATGGAGGAAGCAAAGGAGGATCATCTTGGAGTTTCTCCTCACCGGGAAGTGGAGGGGGGAATAAATGGTCTTATTCGTGGGGAAATCCTCAAAAGCATCTAGAAAATGACCAGGCCAGGCACAGTAACAACCAACATCATCCACAAGAGATCAAGATTATTATTAACGCCAAAAAACACCAGATCCATCACAGCAGAACAGTTGGACCACGAAAAAGGGACAAGCTGGCTAAGATAAAACAAGTTGGCTAATAGTTTGTCCTGAAGACATTTCACGATTTACTGTCTTTAATAGTTTGCTTTCGTCTGTAAAATAAGTTTTTCAAGCTGGCTAATAGTTTGTCCTGAAGACATTTCACGATTTACTGTCTTTAATACTTTTCTTTCGTCTGTAAAATAAGTTTTTAAAGTATTTCTTCATTTTTTGCCATTGGAAAAGCTAGTCCAGGTGGAAAATAATATATTCTTAGGTTTAGCATCAAAATTAGCACGTAATCGTTTTGTCAGGAATTATAAGGAAAGGTGTAGAGATTTTTTGATAGAAATAATCTGACGAATTAGTTTTTCATAGAATGGTGAGGTTTTTTGATATCAAATCATGTTTTCCTCTGTATTATCGAAAGAATTCTATACGTTTTATCGCCGACGGGAATATTTATTCAAGAAAATCTTTATTGAGATATGTGTGAATTAAAAATCATGATCGTATTTTTCCGCTTGACTGGTCAACTGAAAGGCGTGGGGAAACACTCAATCAACCACATGTCATAGTCAATTGAAATCAAGTTAAAAGTTGAAATCGATCAATACTACAGGCAGTCAGTGATTATTTCTACAGCACTGAAATCGGATTTGTACAAACATTCGTGGAAAGGCTTAAAAGGTAAGTTCTGTTTGTTACACAATCACATGATCCACTAACGTCTATCCCGCCGAAGCATCGGTAACTGGAATTTCGCCCAGCGGATTGAAAGAATATCCCTTATAAACGCCCCCCGCCATTACGGCCATGAGATTACATTATATTGACGACTTAAAATCCTATGTCCAATTGGGTGGGGGAGGGTAGCCCTCGTGATTCGGCTCTCCAAAAGTTCGTCTCTCTTTTTATTTCAACTTTTTTTCCTCGGCAGGTGCCATATAGCCCCCTGTTACATTTCTGGCAATACATTTCTGACCTCACTGACGTACGTGCCCAAACGTACGTATTTTCTGCCAAAAAAAGACAACACCAAGCACCTAGTTTTGACCTATACATCATGATTTTCTTAGTTGGGTAATAGAAGACTAACGCTTTGTTCAATACACAGGTCCTGGTGAACTCAGCTAATGGCGACAGGTGTTCGCAAATCTTTCCCTTTGGTATTTCTATTCTTGTTACAGTTACTCGTTGAAATAGGTGAGTAAATTTTCATCTTTTTCACTCTTTAGGAGAAATTATTAATATCAGCGAATATAAACCTTTTCACAGGCTGTCTTGCAGATCCTAAACTGGCTCGTGTTAGAGTCAATGGCAAACTAAAGCTTATTCGCATCCCTAACAAAGTTAAGCATTGGTCAACGTCTTGGTCATCCAACTCACCGAGTAGCAGCTGGTCGACGAACAGCCATGGTGGGGGTAATCAATGGTCAACAAGCACTGGGGGTGGTGGGGGAAATGGAGGTCAAACGTCTTGGTCATCCAAAACACCGAGTAGCAGCTGGTCGACCGGCAACCATGGTGGGGGTAATCAATGGTCGTGGCAAACAGCTGGTGGTGCAGGCGGCGGTGCAGGTGGTGGTGGGATGGCAGGCGGGGGTGCAGGTGGTGCTGCAGGTGGTGCTGCAGGTGGTGCTGCAGGTGGTGGTGGGATGGCAGGCGGGGGTGCAGGTGGTGGTGCAGGGGGCGGTGGGATGGCAGGCGGGGGTGCAGGTGGTGGTGGGATAGCAGGTGGTGGTGGGATGACAGGTGGTGGTGGGATGGCAGGTGGTGGTGGGATGGCAGGTGGTGCTGCAGGTGGTGGTGGGATGGCAGGCGGGGGTGCAGGTGGTGCAGCAGGTGGTGCAGCAGGTAATGGTGGGATGGCAGGTGGTGGTGGGATGGCAGGTGGTGCTGCAGGTGGTGGTGGGATGGCAGGCGGGGGGGGACTGAGTTTCCTTGCTGGTCTACAATTCTCCCTCAAATTTGGCAACGGACGATGCATTTACCCAGAAAATGGTGAGACTACAACAGGCACGAAATTAACCATTCCTGCAGAAGCATGCCGTTCTGAGAAAGCCAAGTTCACTTATTCCCCTGAAGACGGAAATCTAAAACATGTCAAGACAGGTTATTGTGTACAGCCCGAGGGTGAGCGACTGACTGAAGACACTCCAATCGTGATTGCTGAGGCTTGTGACAAAAAATGGGCAATGACCATGACTCCCGGTGGTTCCCTCCAACTGAAAGATAATGGTAAATGTATTCAACCACTGAGTGGAAACACCAACCCTTCCGCCCAAGAAAAACTGGTTTTTAGCGACAATTGTGATAAACCTGAGAGCAAATTTCAAATTCAAGGTATTGTATCTTTATACAGATGCTTACTGAATATAAACCCCGCCTTTTCTTTAGAGTATTGTGAAGATTTGGGGACCCTTTGAGCAGTGAAAAGGTTTCCCAGGTAGTTTAGGACACAGAATAGCGCATGCAGCGTTTTATCAAATACTGCGTACCCACGTTTGAGATACAAGACACGGCTGTTTCGAAAACAAACCGTGACATAATATTTCTTTCGCTGGATATTAACAGGATGATATTTTCCTTTTCTCTTTAGATGTAAGATTTGCAATTGGTGGTGGCATGGGAGGTGGTGGCATGGGAGGTGGGGGTAGTATTGATGGTGGTGGAGGCATGGGTGGTGGAGGTATGGGTGGTGGTGGAGGCAGGGGTGGTGGAGGTATGGGTGGTGGTGGAGGCATGGGTGGTGGTGGAGGTGGTGAAGGCATGGCTGGTGGTGGAGGTGGTGGAGGCATGGCTGGTGGTGGAGGCATGGCTGGTGGTGGAGGCATGGCTGGTGGTGGTGGTGGAGGCATGGCTGGTGGTGGAGGCATGGCTGGTGGTGGAGGCATGGCTGGTGGTCACGGCATCGGTGGTGGTGGTGACAGTATTGCTGGTGGCGGCGGGGGATTCCCTGGTGGTCAACAGTTCGCATTGAAATTTGCGAATGGACGATGTTTATATCCGGAAGGTGAACAAACCAACTCTGGAACAAAGTTAGTGTTACCAACTGAAGTTTGTGGCGATAAACTTGCAAAGTTTCAGATTTCAAATGATGGAAATTTGCAGCACGTAGAAACTGGCTTCTGTGTGCAGCCAGAAGGTGACAGTGAAGATTTACCATTGGCTATTATGAAAAACTGCAACAAAAAATGGGCGTTTGCCATGACCGATTTTGGCTCTTTAAAACTGGCAAAAGGTGGTAAATGTGTTCAACCAAAGAGTGGAGGAACACGACCATCACAAACAGAATATATGGTATTGCATAGCACGTGTGATTCACCAAAAACAAAGTTTACAATTTGGGGTAAGTGTTCAATGATTACATTGTTTGTGTTATTATTGAAACGAAATTTACATGGACGTTTATAACTAGCGATAGAAAAACCAGCCGAAACGAAAATACCAGACGAAAATATATCAGGGATAAATGGCCACCAGTAGATGCAATATCATGACTCATAGACCTCTCAGTGCGATAACTTTTGAATTAATGCGCCACAATGCTCCTGGAGTATTTTATTTACTCTGACTCTGGTTCTACTTGTCACTGAATTACCAAATCTGCCAATGTATGCACTGCTAGTAAATATTTAAGAGATGAATGATATTTCGGAAGACGAACCTAATTTTGTATATAAAATGAGATTATTTTCATATATTTTCAACTCCCAACCACGTACTTTGCATGGATTATTAATAAGAATCATTTGATTTTGGGTTTTTGTAGGTGCCAGTGGTGGAGGAGGGGCAGGTGGAGGAGGGGCAGGTGGAGGGATGGGCGGTGGAGGAGGGGCGGGTGGAGGAGGGGCAGGTGGAGGAGGGGCAGGTGGAGGAGGAGGCGCAGGGATGGGTGGAGGAGGATCATCCTGGAATTGGGGCGGAGGTGGGGGAAACAAAGGAGGGTCATCCTGGAATTGGGGCGGAGGTATGGGAAACAAAGGAGGGTCATCCTGGAATTGGGGAAATAACGGAGGTGGGGGGAACAAAGGAGGATCATCCTGGAATTGGGGAAATAGCGGAGGTAACACAGGAAATGGAGGCGCTAATAACTGGTCGTATTCGTGGGGAAATCCTCAGAAGCATTTGGAAAATGATCAGGTCACTCATCACAGTAACAACAAGCAACCTCGTCCGCAACACATCAAGATTGTTATCAACGCAAAGAAACACAAAGTTCAGAAAAACAGTTCGGTTACCCCCCAAAAAACTGGCTAACTAGTTTGCGCTAAAAGTTATTGTCAGGATTTACTGTTGCTAAAGTCCTACGTATTTTTCTCCTAGAGTTTGAAAGTTGCATACGTAGTGCTCTAACCAGTGTTTCAACTGGTATTTAAACACTGTTTAATATATAGCAAATGAATCAGATGGTGTCTGAAGATTGGTGAATAACATAAAAAAAAGCGTGACGTAGCGTGACGTTTCTTCAAATTAGACTAAAAAAGACTGAAATGGCTTAAACCTATTGACCTGTACATATGATACTTGTTTTCAGCAAAAGATTGATGACCTGTATTATACCTGTCGTTGTTACATAAATATTTGTAAACTAATTGTATCTTCTTGTCTGGCTTATAAAGAAACATAAACAGAGTTTTTAATAAAAATAATTAGGTAAGTAAATGTAACTATAATCGTATGAAATTTACGTAATTTAATTTTTGGTAAGTTCGGAGGTACTTCGAGAGTTTGATCTTTTCATTTGACCACAGAACCAAACAAATATACAACAAGTTTTTATGAACAGTTCAATGAATGCACTAAAATGTAGTAAAGCAAGAAATATCTGTCTAATAATAGATACAGATTTAAATTCTTCCAAATCCGTGTGATTATCTACAAAATAATATTGATTACAAGAGCTTTATCGATGATATATATATGTATATATATGAAATGATCACGACACGGCAAGTGACAGTTGTGGATGGTTTATAGTCTCGACATTTCTATAGGTAATCCAGTTGAAGAAAGAGATACTGGCGAGAACGGCGTACAATGTAAATATTGTGAATTTTAAAAGATAAAAGGAATTGGGAAAGTATGAAAAAAATATGCACATTGTTGAATTCCTCAGTAATTTCTACCAAAACCCAATTAACTGAGATGATAATTAAATCAATTTTACTCATTTCCTGTTTTCAAAAAGTTTTGTCGATGGATAAAACCAAACCGTGGCAAAGTTGGCTCATAACTTTCGCGTTAGTGTTGATTATAGAACTAGGTAAGTATAAATATTGTTATAACTGAAGTATGCAAGTTAACGATACTTGGCAAGAAGATTTTCCACGATGAACATTGGAGGTTTCAGCTACAATATACTTCATATTTCACAATAGGAAGCGCTCGAAATCTGCAAGTGAACAGGGAAAGTCCATACGACAATCGTCTTGAGAACACTGAGTTAAAATTGGCGGAAGATTTGATAAGAAAAGAAGATAATCTGAAAGCATGGGAGAGCGGTGGATCATGGACTTCTGGTGGCAAGCAATCATGGTCGTCCTCAAGTAGCAGTGGCGGTGCAAGTAGCGGGGGGTCATATGGAGCGGGTGGAGCTGGTGGTGGTGGTGGTGGTGGGAGCTTTAGTTTTGGAGGTAAAACTGGTGGTGGAGCTGCAGGAGGGGGTGGTGGAGGGGTGGCGGTGGAGCTGCAGGAGGGGTGGTGGTGGAGCTAGTGGGAGCTTTGGTTTTGGAGGTAAAATTGGTGGTGGAGCTGCAGGAGGGGGTGGTGGTAGAGCTAGTGGTGGGGCTGCAGGAGGGGGTGGTGGTGGAGCTAGTGGAAGCTTTGGTTTTGGAGGTAAAATTGGTGGTGGATCTGCAGGAGGGGGTGGTGGTAGAGCTAGTGGTGGGGCTGCAGGAGGGGGTGGTGGTGGTGCTAGTGGAAGCTTTGGTTTTGGAGGTAAAATTGGTGGTGGTGCTGCAGGAGGGGGTGGTGGTAGAGCTAGTGGTGGGGCTGGTGGAGGGGGTGGTGGTAGAGCTGCAGGAGGGCTGGTGGAGGGGCTGGTGGGAGGTTTGGTTTTGGAGGTAAAATTGGTGGTGGGACTGCGGGAGGGGGTGGTGGTAGAGCTAGTGGTGGGGCTGGTGGAGGGGGTGGTAGTAGAGCTGCAGGAGGGGCTGGTGGAGGGGCTGGTGGGAGGTTTGGTTTTGGAGGTAAAATTGGTGGTGGGACTGCGGGAGGGGGTGGTGGTAGAGCTAGTGGTGGGGCTGGTGGAGGGGGTGGTGGTAGAGCTGCAGGAGGCGCTGGTGGAGGGGCTGGTGGGAGGTTTGGTTTTGGAGGTAAAATTGGTGGTGGGGCTGCAGGAGGGGGTGGTGGAGGGGGTGGTGGTGGAGCTGGTGGCGGATGCAACAGTGAAGGCGGTACGTAACTATTGTTAAAAAGAATTGCTTCTGCAATCCAAAAGACAATAATTTATTAACATATCATTACATCAAAATGATTATTAGGCGGATGGTTTGTTATTCTACATTCCTCGGGCTATGGTGTGTGGCCTCAGGGTGGAAGAGCAACAAATGGCGCTAGACTTGTTCTCGGTTCAAAAAGCGTCACTAACCAAGCATACGTGTTCGTATGGACTGCTAAGAAATCCATTAAACATATCGTGAGCGGAATGTGCATAAACATGAAAGGTTCATCTCTCGTGTTACAAAAAGGATGCGATTCAATGCCCACGATGAGATTCAAAAAGACAGGAAGTGGATTCTTGAGTTTGGCAACGAAAGGATATGTCACAGCAGGCACGCATCTCGTCGCAAGATCGGGTACTGCTCTAACAACAAGCCCTAAACAAACACCAGGATCAGCCTTTCGCTTTAAAAGTAAGAAAAGACCTGCCGACTTACAAAATCGCAAAGTGCGACTATCGCGCAAGTGAAGATAGCAATAGTCACCATAAAAAGTTCCCTAATATGACATCGACTTTCTTTTCCAGACGCAGCGAAGATGAAAATAAGATTTTCTTTCACACTTGGAATGGGAGGTAACAAAACAAAAAAACTAAGATATTGGCGCAGAATAAACTAGAAAACGTTGTTGTAGAAACGTTCGTGTTTGTCACGGGCACTAGGAAAGTATGAAATTTCAACGGAAATATACGACCAGTTTAAAACGATTGAGATTTGTTTTTTCTTCTTTTCAGGAGCAGGTGGAGCTGCTGGTGGATTTGGAGGTGGAGGAGCAGGTGGAAGTGGTGGATTTGGAGGAGCAGGTGGAGGTGGTGGATTTGGTGGTAAAGGTGGTGGTGGTAGATTTGGTGGTAAAGGTGGTGGTGGTAGATTTGGTGGTGGTGGTAGATTTGGTGGTAAAGGTGGTGGTGGTAGATTTGGTGGTAAAGGTGGTGGTGGTAGATTTGGTGGCGGTGGTAGATTTGGAGGCAAAGGTGGTAGATTTGGAGGCAGAGGTGGTAGATTTGGAGGAAAAGGTGGTAGATTTGGAGGCAGAGGTGGACGATTTGGAGGCAGAGGAGGAGGAGGTAAGCACGAATTATATATAATGAGAAGAACTCACGAAATATTCTACCCCTGCGAATTCTTCCTATTCTAGGTGCTAAATTTGTCCTTCGCTTTGGCGGACGTGGGGGAGCTGGTGGTCTGTGTTTCTCGCCTCAAGGTGGCCAGGCTCGTAACAATGTTCCTCTTGTATTTGGGCAATGTAAAGATCGCAAAGACGTTTTCAGGATGACAAGTAGCGGTGCCTTAGCCTCGGTCGCATTTAGAGGATATTATATTCGTTTAAGTGCTGGACGATTGGTGTTGTTCAGAGGTGCTAGAGGTTGCGCGAAGTTTAAATTCCGAGGTGGAAAAATAAAGGTGAAGTCGGGACGGGGAGGAAGATACATGTACGTTCAATCACAAGGTGGAGCACGAGCATCTATGGGAATGCAAATCGTTGCCAAATCTACACGATCTCGTTCATTTATGAAGTTTTCTTGTATGAGTAAGTATCTTAGACTTTTGTCTAGATATATGGTAAACATACCCAATGACCGACGGTTACTGTAAGGTTTAAAATATTTATTGAATTTTCACCTTTAATTTTCATACTTTAGAGGCCAGTTCGAGAGGAATGAAAGGTCGTGGAATGCGAATGAGCATGCGCACAGTTATGAGAATGTCAGGCAGAAGTGCTCGAGGTGAGTCTCTTATAGCTACAAAGAAATAACATTCACTGCCTCCGAGGTTTTCTTAATCCAGGAAAGAAAATTTCTATTTTTTTCCTCAGGCAAGGGCAATTCAGAAGAATGTTATTCTTAGCTATGTTCTTTGAGAGTGGACGAGTCCTTGAATTTATTCTGTAGCAACTTTACTACATCTGTATGAATATTTGTCGCTGTTTTCATTAGGCCGGAAGTTTGTCCTTCGCTTTGGCGGACGTGGGGCAGCTGGTGGTCTGTGTTTCTCGCCTCAAGGTGGCCAGGCGCGTAACAACGTTCCTCTTGTATTTGGGCCATGTAAAAATCGCAAAGATGTCTTCAGAATGACAAGAAGTGGTGCCTTAGCCTCGATCGCATTTAGAGGATATTATATTCGTTTAAGTGGCGGGGGATTGGTGTTGTTCAGAGGTGCTAGAGGTTCCGCGAAGTTTAAATTCCGAGGTGGTAAAATTAAAGTGAAGCCCGGTCGCCCTGGTGGTAGATACATGTATGTTCAGTCACAAGGAGGAGCACAAGCTTCTATGGGAATGAGGATTATCGCGAGGTCAAGAAGATCTCAATCGTTCATGAAATTTTCTTGTATGAGTAAGTATTAGCCAGTGTGAGATCGAGGTATAGAAAATATCGCTAAGAGAGAACATGATGCAACTTTTAAACCATCACAACATCCATAACCATCGTATTTTAGAGGCTAGTTCGCGGGGAATGAAAGGACGAGGATTTCGTATGAGCATGAGGCGAGTTATGAGAGCATCAGGAAGATTTGGAGCAGGTCTGGGTAAGAAACACAATGATCATTTGATTGATCAAGACCTCTTGGCTGTTTTTTATGAATTTCCTAAGAATTCAAGCTTCGGTACTAACTATATGCCACATTTTCTGAAGGAGGAAAGTTCGTCCTTCGCTTTGGTGGACGTGGGGGAGCTGGTGGTCTGTGTTTCTCGCCTCAAGGTGGTCAGGCTCGCAATAATGTTCCTCTTGTATTTGGGCAATGTAAAGATCGCAAAGACGTTTTCAGAATGACAAGTAGCGGTGCCTTAGCCTCGGTCGCATTCAGAGGATATTATATTCGTTTAAGTGGCGGACGATTGGTGTTGTTCAGAAGTGCTCGAAGAAGTGCAAGATTCAAGTTTACCGGTGGAAAGATCATGGTGAAATCAGGAGGGGGAAGATACATGTATGTGCAGTCACAGGGGGGTGCGAGAGCATCGATGGGAATGATGATTATGGCAAAATCTACATCGTATCGGTCTTATATGAAGTTCTCTTGCATGAGTAAGTGACATCATTGACAATTCATGAATATACCCATATACCGTCATCATTCCTATCACCAATATACCCATATACTCTCATCATTTCTATCACCAATATACCCATATACCCCTCATTATCCCTATCACCAGTGACCCAGTTATTCGCGTATTATCAACACTAACTACATATTTTACTGCCTTCACAGAGGCAAGTGCGGGTGGCATGAGAGGTCGAGGATATCGCATGAGTATGAGAAGAATTATGAGGACATCAGGAGCATCTGGGGGTAGAGCTTTAGTTCGAGGTAGGTCGCTTGCGATTTGGAAGTATATTGACACGAGGGCTGAGCGATTAGGCATAGCTTAGACGTCCATCGCGGGAGACAAGTGTCATGACACTGAAACTTGTTAAAGGACACGTAATTTAATGGAATAAAATCTCTTCAATCCATTGCTACTTGTTGCTGTTCTCACTTCTGCATCATATCATACGTGACTTCTTTCAGTCTAACACGGAAACAACATCATATGATTCAAACTCTTACTCGTCGGTTGTAAGTCAAAGAGCGTAAATATCATCGCTAAACGTCCCCGAATAAAATTTCACAGATTCTTTCTTTGCAGTGAAATGTTCGATACTCTGAAAGATAAAATACAAAACTGATCAATCCTTTTAGCTTAGATCGAATTAAGAGCTTCAAATCTTTCTTTATTCAGGTCGAAAATTCGTCCTCCGCTTTGGCACAAGACGGTCTGGTCTGTGTTTCTCACCTCAAGGTGGTCAAGCTCGTAACAACGTTCCTCTTGTATTTGGGCAATGTAAAGATCGCAAAGATGTTTTCAGGATGACAAGTAGCGGTGCCTTAGCCTCGGTCGCATTCAGAGGATATTATATTCGTTTAAGTGGCGGGGGATTGGTATTGTACAAAAGTGCTCGGAAGAGCGCAAGATTCAAGTTTACAGGTGGAAAGATCAAGGTGAAATCAGGACGGGGACGATACATGTATGTACAGTCACAGGGGGGTGCGAGAGCATCGATGGGAATGCGCATCGTGGCCAAGTCAACATCATATCGATCGTACATGAAGTTCTCGTGTTTAAGTAAGTATTTGAAAGATAAAAGTGAACAGTTATTAAGTAAAGAAGAAGATTATAAATTTATCATCCTCTTTTCTTTCCAGAGGCCACTTCACGTGGGATGAGAGGCGCTGGATTGCGTATGCGCATGAGTGGTATCATGAAAGCCTCGGGGGCGATGTCGTTCCGTAGTGGCTTTAGAATGAGCGGAAAATGGAGAAGTGGAGGTAAAATTGGAGGGAAATGGCGTGGTGGAGGCAAGTTTGGAGGAAAATGGGGTGGTGGAGGCAAGTTTGGGGGCAAGTGGGGTGGAAAATTTGGTGCTAAAGGTGGCGGCAAATTTGGTGGAAGTTTCGGAGGAGGGAAAGGTGGCGGTGGGAGTTTTAAGGTAGGAGGAGGTAGCTTTAAGGTAGGTGGTGGCGCAGGTGGAAGTTCTGGGGGGTCCTGGAGTACTGGAAGCCAGTCAGGGGGTTCATGGAGTACTGGAAGTAGTGGGGGTTCCTGGTCTGTCAGTGGTGGAAATAAGAATGCACAAAGTGATAATCAGGGTTGGAAAAGTGGTAAAGACGTTTCTGACACAACTGGTTCAAAGGTGTCTGGTGGTACAGCCAACAAAGCTGATGGTAGCACAACTAGTGCAGGAGTATCTGGTGGTACAGCCAACAAAGCTGATGGTAGCACAACTAGTGCAGGAGTATCTGGTGGTACAGCCAACAAAGCTGATGGTAGCACAACTAGTGCAGGAATATCTGGTGGTACAGCCAACAAAGCTGATGGTAGCACAGCTAGTGCAGGAGTATCTGGTGGTACAGTCAACAAAGCTGATGGTAGCACAACTAGTGCAGGAGTATCTGGTGGTACAGCCAACAAAGCTGATGGTAGCACAACTAGTGCAGGAATATCTGGTGGTACAGCCAACAAAGCTGATGGTAGCACAACTAGTGCAGGAATATCTGGTGGTACAGCCAACAAAGCTGATGGTAGCACAACTAGTGCAGGAATATCTGGTGGTACAGCCAACAAAGCTGATGGTAGCACAACTAGTGTAGGAATATCTGGTGGTACAGCCAACAAAGCTGACGGTAGCACAACTAGTGCAGGAGTTTCTGGTGGTACAGCCAACAAAGCTGATGGTAGCACAACTAGTGCAGGAATATCTGGTAATACAATTGATGATACCCAGAACAACAAAATAAACGCAAATAACATTTCCGCAGAGAAGATGATGAGAGATGAATCCGAAGCTGCCGCTCCTGCTGGTGGGAAAATTGATGTTATCCAAGGTCATCGGGGTAAGGGTGACGTGTGGAAGTGGGGCAAAAAAAATAACATCGGATAGCAGCATAATAGACATTTGAGAATGGACATCGACCAAAGACAATTGAGTAAAGAAATCTTTCAGAATGAACATAAATGGTTGAAGAAAACGTACAAAATATGTAAAGAATAGCATAGATCTTCCGTATCTTGAAAAAAATATACCCTTTTGGGAGATAGAAAGGTATTAATACCAGATGGTATAGATTTTAAGAATAGAGTCAAAAATGTAAATTTTTCTAAAAAACAACTACTTTATTAAGAGCAAGAATACCGGGCATATAGTCTTGTATTTTCATAATATATATTACTGTCTTAAATAGTATAACCCGTTCTACCAAATCCTTCGTAATTAGAAAACTTTTTTGTGGTCAATAAGCAGACTGATAACTGGTGCCTTTTCTCCCAATCAACTTCGGGTGGAGGATTGCCTAATTATCATTTATCAATAGCTCAAATAAAACAGAAAGACATTTGGAAAGACTGCTAGCATATTTTTGTAAACATTTGAATGGGGTTTAAAACGAGGAGGTCAGTCATGCTGAGATTAGGCTTTGGAACCTGCGAAAAACCTGTCATTTTGACAAACTCTGCAAAGTGAAATTATCAAGGAATTTGTGACTGTAAAAAGTGGCTTTGGTAAGCAAAATAATTAGTTTCCTCACAGATTTGAAATATCAGTTCATGAAGAATGAGACCATTATTCCTTATACAAATGAGAAATACTGCTAAATAAATTGGCTTCTAAATGGTCTTTTTCCCAAGAGATTTACGAGTTCATTCTAGTGTAGATCTTAAGTCATCGTAAAAGTCATTTTATCTGTAGAAATAAACCAAGCAAAATGCGACCTAATACTTTGCAGAAGTCAATCAGGAAGGCTGTATAGCCACAAACTATATTGAAACTACTCATTAAATTGTTTTTTTATACCACAGGATTCTTTGGAGAAATATACCAACAACTCGACAAATTTCAATTAATTTAAAACCAATACTTTTTGATGATCATCCTACGTTGATAAAAATGTTTCACAAGTTATCAAAAGAAAACTTGGTCATCTTATTCACTTTTATGTTGTTGAGTAAAGGTCAGAAATTTTATTATATTTGTGCTTGTTTTATGTTTTTTTTTCGTGGGTTAAACGGGGTTTTATTTTCTCTAGCAAGCCCAAACGGTGACAGGATCGAAAACGAAGGACTCAGCCCTGAAACAATTCTTCAGCAGGACGAAGATAGAGCATTAAACAACACTGTAGACACAGTTCTACGTCTCACAGGAGATGAAAAATCTCAAACTGCCTCGGACAACGCAAAGGCTTATCAAATGGGGCACTATAATCGTTATCGCTCCACAAGTGGGTCGCGATGGCGAGGCAACTCTGGAAACAGTTGGAACCAGTGGAGTGGGGGTTCGTCGAATAATAATGGACAAAATAGCGGTGGAACATTTGGTCATCCAATGAATGGTGGATTTACTTACGGAGGAAATACTTATAGCAAAAGTTGGAAAATGAATGGAAGTGGCCGAGGCTCTTCCGGGCAGCAGGAAGGTTTCAGGAATGGAGAGGAAAAATGGCAGCTGGGATGGGGGCATGGAGGTGGTAGTCAACATCAGATGAGTGGTGGTAATGGCTTTGGTTATGGAGGGATGAGGGGGAAAAGTGGTGGAAGAAAGGGGGGAAGGCATGGTGGACATGTTAGGAATAGAGGAGGGAGATGGCAGATGGAGTGGGAGCATAAAGGCAGTAGTCAACACGGGATGAGTGGCGGTCAAGGCTTTGGGTATGGGTATGGAGGGAGTGTATCTGGTGGAAATAATGGAGGTGGGGGAAGTGTAAATAATGGAGGAAGTATGGGAGGTGGAGGGAGTGTATCTGGTGGAAATATTGCAGGTGGAGGAAGTGTAAATAATGGAGGAAGTATGCGAGGTGGAGGGAGTGTATCTGGTGGAAATATTGCAGGTGGAGGAAATGTAAATAATGGAGGAAGTATGGGAGGTGGAGGGAGGTTTTCTGGTGGAAATATTGGAGGTGGGGGGAGTGTAAATAGTGGGGAAAGTATGGGAGGTGGAGAGAGTGTATCTGGTGGAAATATTGAGGGTGGGGGAAATGTAAATGGTGGAGGAAATATTAGAGGTGGAATGAGTGTATCTGGAGGAAATATTGAGGGTTGGGGGAGTGTAAATGGTGGGGGGAGTGTAAATGGTGGAGGAAATATGGGAGGTGGAGGGAGAGTTTCTGGTGAAAATATTGAAGGTGGGGGAAATGTAAATGGTGGAGGATGTATGATAGGTGGAGGAAGTGTATCTGGTGGAAATAGTGGAGGTGGGGGAAGGGTAAATAGTGGAGGAAGTATGGTAGGTGGAGGGAGTGTATCTGGTGGAAATATTGAGGGTGGGGGGAGTGTAAATGGTGGGGGGAATATCGGAGGTGGAGGGAGTGTATCTGGTGGAAATATTGAGGGTGGGGGGAGTGTAAACGGTGGGGGGAATATCGGAGGTGGAGGGAGTGTATCTGGAGGAAATATTGAGGGTGGGGGAAATGTAAATAGTGGAGGAAATATCGGAGGTGGAATGAGTGTATCTGGAGGAAATATTGGAGGCGGGGGAAGTATGTCTGGGAGAATATCTGGAAGATTTTCTGGCGGTGAAAATGGAGGAACGGGAGCTTCAGGTGGTGGTATGTTTGTGATACGACACAAAGCATCTGGACTATGTCTTTACCCAAAAAGAAGTCAGAAAGGCAAAATCGTCAGGCTTGTATTAGACAAGAAATGTGACGACCCTGGGGCAGTATTCCAATGGAGCTCCAGGTTTTCAATCGAGTCTGTGACCTTCTCAGGATATTACATCTTCGTGAAAAGACGTCGTCTGGTTCTGCGCAAATCCAGTTTGGAAGCAAGTAGTGTGTTTCAATTTAACAGTCAAACAATGGCGTTTTCGTATAACGGAAGATATATACGACCAGTGAGGCGCAGGAGAAAGGTAGTAATTGGAGCGAGGCTGATTGCAAGCAAATGGAAGTTTAAATCATGGATGATGTTCCAAATGTTAGGTGAGGGGTAAAATCTCGTCTTGTCCCGCGTTTATTTTGAGATGATTGCTCAACATCGCCCGAGTAGTTTTCACCTTTACCGTAAGTTAATATTAACAAAGAAAAACTATTGTTTCGATAAGTCAATGGAAGATAATGTTTTTTGAAAAGATTCAAATAACAGCAGAAATATGTTTTCTCAACGCTGAGAAAACAATGAAACTGGAGTGAAGAATTGAAGAGGAGTAAAACCATAAAAACGGAAGATCGTTTGTATTAAAAAATCTTAACATTTTTAGTGGCCACTGCATCAGGAATGTACGGTAGTGGAACAAGCTTCTTCGGTGAAACCTCAGCAGGTTCTACAAGTGCTACTTCGGGCAGAATGTCAGGTGAAATGTCCAGCGGGGGCTATCGTGGGGGTACGTCATATAACGAACTAGATTTTAGTGGAGATGCAATGCCCCCGAATTCGGTTTCTCAGCACCATTAAATTTTTGTTTTTATTTAAACATGCAGGTAGATCGTTTGTGATAAAACATTTGCAGACGGAGTTGTGCTTCTATCCAGAAGGCGGGAAAAGAGCTAACGATGTCCAAATCGTCTTAGCAAGAAAGTGTGATGACCCAAAAGCAATTTTCTCGTGGACGAAACAACGAGCACTGAAATCGATGGCGTTTAAAGGCTTCTGCTTACATCCGAAGAATGGTCGAGCGAATCCCGACGACGGAACGAAGTTGGTGATATTCAAAGAGTGTAGGGGCAAACGTCTTCAGTTTATGTATGACTCTGAAACGATGATCTTAAAACACAGCAGCTCTGGAAAATACATAAAACCAGAAACACAGAATACGATAGAGGGTGCTGCTGTTGTAATAGGGAGTGAGACGAGTGTGGGTGCTTGGATGATGTTTCAATTCGTTTGTAAGTATTTACACATCGAAAATTATTTAGACTCATCCTCGGAAAGCGAGTCAAGCATATAAAGACTCGTCCCTAGGAATATGCATTCTAAATGTCTAGTGTTATGAATACATTCATATTGCCTTGTTTTTGACAAAATAGCAAGCTCTACAAGTTGTATATTTCTCCACAGGCACAAATGACTTGGAGAATTAACACACTTATTCTGTTTTAGTCATTTCTGGTAGCGTATCACCCCTGGGCGCAAGGATTGGCGGAATGGCTCATGGTTCAATGGCAGGGGGTAGCGGTGGTAGCACCAGGCTGACTAAGTTTGGCGGGTTGTCAAGTACCCAGGGGGGTGGAAAGTTTGGATTTGGGGTGAACATTGGAAAGGGCAGCCACAATCGAAATCAAGCGGGTAGTAGTAGTTCATCTGGTGGTGGGGGCAACTTTGGTATAACCTTTGGCGGGGGGAAAAGTGGAATGACAATAGGACGAGGTAACAGTAAAATACAGGCGACGGGAGGTGCATATGGTGGCTATAGGGGACATTTTGGCAATGGTGGTGGAAGAGTTGGTGATGGTATTCCTCAGAATAATGGCGATACGAATGGTATGAATGGTAGACATTACAACAGAGTGGATAATGATCATAGTCAGATGGTTAATAATGGCCATCAAGACACAGGCGATACTGGTACTTTTCCCGACCATAAAACTGGGAGAAACGATGGTAGCCACAATGATATTACGATTGACCAGGGGAGTGACAGACTAGATGGTGGACCTCAGGAGATGGTTGATAACGGTGATCAGGGTGGAGTCAACACTGGTACCCTTCCCCACAATGATGGTCACATTAATAGCACGATTGACCAGAGCAATGACGGAGAAGATGGTGAAAATGATGAGATGGTTGATAATAGTGATCAGGGTGCAGAAAATACTGGTACCTTCACCCACAATGCTGGTGACAATGCTGGTAGACACGATGATGGTATGAATGACCAGAGTATTGACAGAGTAAATGCTGAACGTATTGAGATGGTTAACAATGGTCATCCAGATGCAGGTGAGGTGAGTACTGGTTCTCATAATGGCAACAGTGAAACGGAAAATAAAAGCAATGCAGGAAAACTTCTTAGTAACCCAGTTGAATCCGAGAAGGGTGTTACCAGTGCTGATGGTATTAATTCTGAAAATGGTGGTAGTGGAGTATACCATGCTAATATGAGACCAATGCCAGATGACAGTGGTGATGCCAAAAACATGAATCCAAACAATAGTGAAGGTATCTCCAATGACGGCTTCACTGGTGACCAGCGACAACAAGAGATGAATGCGGACCAATACAATGGTTATCCTAACAGACAAAGACCAGTCGATGGGAACAATTATGGTGCCAGCAGTCATCCTGGGCCCCCTGGTGTTTGGGTGTTAAAGAAGAAAAATAATATCTCCAGACATCATGGTGGTAAGGATAGTCCAATAAGGATGACACATGAGCACAGTAGTGGTACTTATGATAATAATGGGATTTGGAACAGGAGTGGAAAGATGAACACCTCGAAAGACATAGAAGGTAATAGAATTATGGAATTGGAAACTGACTGAACCCTATTACTCGTGTAAATAAAACTTCCCATTTTCGTTTGTTTTATACGCACAAGTGACTGTAAAATTTACTTTTCCACCATATTTATTCTCTGTTTCAGCTGTTGCAAAAGACAGTGAAGTGCACGGAGGTGATTCTGTTGATAGCCGTGGATCAACAGGGATGATACCTGGCAACAATAGTGATCCTCGTGGAGGTAAAGGGATTTGGAATTGGAGTAAAAAAATCAATATCCCTGGCGGTAGTGTGATAGGGAAAAGGAAGCATGGTGGTATTCATGGATTATTAGGAAACAATAGCAATGTTTATGGTCCCAAAGGGAGTTGGAATTCGAGCAAACAAATCAATATCACCGTACATCGTAGGATAAAGGGTGATGAGCGAAGTATAAAACACCATAAACGCGAGAAAAAAGGTGGTAACAAAGGACAACATGGGGTATCCAAATGGGGATAATAAAGAGCAACAACAGCGTTGTCGCAATTCCCGCAAATCGTTTCTAACTAGTTAGCCTCTAGTTCGTTCTAGTGCAACGTAAGAATTTAATAAATTATCTATATTACGCTCATATAAGAATATCTAATTTTTAAATTCAAGTTTTGTGTAAAAGAAACGCATGAGAAGCAACATTATCCTGTTCATCCATTCAGTTCAATGTTTTGCATGTAAAAAATGTGGCTTTCGTTTCCTACGTACAATATTACGAATCTACTGTCATTTTTTTAGGCCTCACTTCATCTTTTCCCAGTGTTTTAGACTTTAAAAAACGAAACAAAACTCCAAATTTGTCCAAATAAGGTAAAAAGAAATATTTTACCTTTATTCCCATTGGTTCTCCAAGCGACATTTCGCTTGAAATTTAGTCCTTGTGTTCTTTGACTTCTTTCTCGTCCTCATAAGAAACTCCAAACTCATTCGCCCGCTTAACATCAACTGGATACAACCTTAAATTCATTGAAAAGAAAAAAATTGGCCTTCAAGCTTTCTAGCGCTCCAGCAAATCTAAACCCCTCGTTCTAGTGGTAGTGATGGGTAAAACTTTTCAGTCAAACTGGAAGCATCATTTGCTCGGATGCACTGCTCAGATGCCACAGATAAATATATATATACCACACTTATGTAGCACACTATGGTGCCTCACCACATCTAACTCTTAAAAATGAAGACTTGTTTGGCACTTGCATAACAATATACAGAATACAGTACTTTACAAGTGAATTAGTTTCTCACCATCGCTGGTATAAATATATTACGAAGACAATGTCATCTCTGAAACACGCCAGTCTATGAGCGGTCGGCATGGTGATTATGAACGCAAATACGTCATCAATAAATGTGTTGAATGCTTTGTACATCAGCGCTCGCCATGGTAAATGTGCCACTGATTTCAACTGGAAAAAGGAATCAGTTTGATAGTAGTTTCCGCAACGAATTTTGCTCAAATCAACAAGATGTGTTTTGTTTCCCTAAACTTACCTTGTAATTGACAAACAATTGAGGGAGCATAAATATGAAACCAAAAACATAAACACCTAGAAAGAGATCAGAGTATACGTGACATTAGCTAGAGAGGAATACAATCCTGTTGCAAGGCCATCGAGCGATCAAGGTTATATGAAATTAAATCAGGAAACTTATTATTTATATAATAGTAAGTAGGCGAAGCTCAGAGGTTACAAAGGTTAAGGTAAGGGTCTGACTGTATATGGTTCGTAATCCATGTCTGTATTCCTAGTTAGGTGACGCGGGCATGTAGGATATACATAATTATAGATCTAATCGGTCAGCTGTAGCTTTTTTGTCCAAATAACCGAAGCCAGTGTAGGAAAGCCATCAATTTTATATACTTGAAAATACTAGAGATAAACGTTCTCACGAGAAACTCACCGTTGACTAATGACCTGATGATCCATGAGTACCAGCTATAAAATGAATAAAAACGGTACGTGTTATGACGTGTAAGGTGTATAAAAATTTGAGATTCAATGATTTCAATCGCTTTAAATATTCTCACCTCCTATGAGGCTGATAGAGCAGCGAATATACAGCGCCAATCACAACCAGCGGGTACAAACCATACGATAGATATTTCATAGCCTAGTTTTGAAAACAAAAGAAATGAATGAATCCTGCGTAATGTTGTTATAGAGACTCTCTTAAACGGAATTTCTCGTCGAATATGTCAGAACAATGCTTGGGAAAGAGCAGAAAATGTGAATGGTTGAATAATGTAAAAATTATGGCACCTGGGAGTCAAATTCTTCCGTTTCTTTTTCTTCAGAGCTTTTCTCTCCAAACTAAAAAACGAAAAACTCAATTTCAATTATTCAAGTTGGTGTAAAATCGTAGCGAGAGTCGTTCGTAGCTCTATGATTTCATCAAAACATATCAAACGCCGTACCTGAAACGAGGGAAGCCCTCTCTCATTCCACAATACAGTAATCTTCAAAGCTTTTGTGACTTTCCAAACCTTGAAAAATCATTTTTAATTATCAGCATCCTGTAGCTGCGTGTAAAGTCACAACTTTGTCAGACAATTCAGTTTTTAAAGTTATCACCAAAGAAAGTTTATACTAAACCTCGATAAGAAACCCAATGCCTGTCGGAATTAAAACCAGCAAACTCGTCTTTTCATCCAATAGATACAGAAATATGATCGCAGTACTTAAACATCTCCACAGCACTAAAAAAACAAGATTAGTGATGGTTTGAGAGGGATCTTTTTTTTTTAAATGCGCCCTTGAACGTCCGTGCATAATCCGATAGGATTTCAAGAAAAAATTTTATGTATTTCCGCAGTTCACATTAAGCATAATTGCTTGTACATTATTGAGCTGTTCTGTGCTCCCAACTTACCAGCCCTTGTGGATAGTCCGACCATCGTTGATCTTTTTCGCCAGTAGATAATATCGTTTTTAAACGCAAGAAAGTCAAAAAGCAACTAAAAAATACATATGATAACTTGTTTTTTTGATTCTGCAAGGTTTGTTGTGCCGCAAACGACTGAAAAATGAATCAATCGAAATTCATGACCCCCTTGCCCCTTAACTTCTACACTTCAATGGCAGGCTTCGATTTTTCTCGTAGTTTGAAATGCTCTAAAAGAGTTTCTTTAGAGCATAGATACTCGACAGGAAACTTAGAAACGAATGATCAACAGGTCCAGTTAAATTTTCGTTCATGCTGTGTTTTTGACGAACCAATGTAACGGGTCAAACACGGACATTATTGGATGTTACTAAAAATTTCATTACTTACATGAAATACGGAAATTGCAAAAGTCAAAGCTAGCAGGTAGAGATTAGTGTCTGTGAATATTCCCTTAACTTCATCAAGATCCTTGTCAGAGAATCCTACAAAATACAGATTAAAAAATGTTTGAAATATTGCCAAGGTGAAGGTTGGATAACTTTACAATTTACCAAGAAAAATACTTGCTCTATTTTTGGAACATTACCTAAACTCTTCATGGTATCCATAGACTGTCTTACCACTCTCCAACATCGTAACTTGCCGATTCCAATTGGTGCATATTCAATTTTGAGTTCCATTTCCTTGGTGTTGGTGTTCACAGGCTTTACCAAAAGACATGAATGAATATACTAATTATGGTCACTTTGTACAAATAAATAGATGATATGCAGGTTCTAGGAAAAATCAACTCTCTTTCTGCTAAACCAAAGAATATTTTACCTTCAGATTTCTTTCTAACATTTCAAGTTCATCAATGTACAAAAATGGCATGTATTTCCCATTACGAGATATCCTTAAATGGATGGATATAGTTATATATTTCGTTTTCGTTTACAACCAAATTGTATCAGTAAGTAGTAGTTAGTGCAGTGAGATAGTAAATTATATATTAATACCTCATTATTGAAAAAATTTCCCCCGGAATTGCATGACGTTTAAATGATACAGAATCAGTCAGAATATAATATGTTAATCGAGGTCTCCAATGCGTAACAGGTATGCCAGATGTTGCTACTTTAGCGCTACTCTACATGGGAAAACAAATACTGTACAATTCTTCTGGACTTGTAGAAAAACTTGTACATTGTTTAATTAACCTTGGTTGCATTATCTCCATCTTCTGACATCAAGTTAAAAGCTTTGCTTTTCTCTACCATAAACTTGGTCAGAGGTGCAACAGAATGAGAAACCAGCTCATTATGTTTATCTGGCTCTGAACCAAGAGGATGGAGAAATATGTGGACAAACATTGTGCCATTGTTTCTTGTTTTCCTTGGAATGCTAGCGTTGACTACCCTGGAAATTGAAATTGGCCATAACATTAAGTACAGGCTAAAGAGAACTGGCTGTGAGGAACACAGTCTCATCGAGTCAGGGGACCAATTTTGGGATTGCTTCAAGGTAAAAATGGTTTAAAATTTTACTCTTAGCAGAACAATAAATATATCCTAACATTGACAAATATTCTTCAAAATTGAAGTTCGTCTTTGACCACAACATCGTCAAACTGGACATTGATGGTTCCTCTTTTGTTGAAGTAAATATTGAAATCTATAAAAAATTAAGAATAACAAAATGCAATTAAGGATCAAATAAGGACACACTGAAAGCATGTGCAATATACAGTTTGCAAATGCCTGAAGCAGAGAATTGGGTAAAAATATATATGAATTCTAGGGATACTGGGTCAAACAAGGTTCATATGGGATAAGTGAAGAAACATTGGCATTCTCACCACTAGTAATGACACTTAATGCTAATAGATTTTACAATATAAATAACAGTCCCATCTTGCACCCTTATTACTATCATGAGGGTGGGGGCCAGGCGGTGAAGTAGGGGGTAAGTATGTACCTCAGCGAACCTTAATGCTGTATTACTTTCTACATAATCACTGATATTACTAAGCAACAAACAAGATAATTTATAGTTTACCCACCGAGAACTTCTCTTTCACTATGTTGTTGTAGTATGGAGTTATGCACTTATTTAATCCTCCTTTGCATTTAGGAGGCTTGAAAATCATATAAATTATATAAACAGAATGAAGAACGTAAGCCCCAAATACCACCAATACGATCGTCGTAAAATTAATGTATTTCATCCTAAAATTCCTTTCTTTTCTACTTTCCTTTTACATTCTATTAACCATTAGAATTCATTAGAATATTTTTTCTTTGTTCCATTCTCATTCGCGATGGGTATCCTCCGCTGAGTTCGCGGGCTCTGAGTCGTACCGCACCGCTGGTCAGAATAAACGAAGGCGATATTGCGCAAGACCCCGAGTTTACCGAACTTGGTTACCGCTAGAAGCAGCGTTTTGATTGGTTAATTAGCAGTGTAATGATTGGTCAAACTGCTCGGCAAGCGTACAAAATGGCCGCAAGATTCACGAGAAGTTCTTCCACTCATTCTGGAAAAGTGGCCATTGTCACTGCTTCTTCAGAAGGGTACATACTTGTAAATAATTTTTTTATGTCATATGTCTACATAAGTCGTCAATCAATTTGTTTTTAAATAAACTTTAATATCTCCGGTCGGCCGTCGCAAGGTTGCCTTCACCCCCCTGGATGCAAGGTTGAACTACACCCCTCCTGATTTATACCAAGGGTGGTACCGTGGTAGGAATTATAGAAGACACAGTTTTAGACTTTTAGTGTTTTACTGTTTAAAAATAATTTGAAAAGGAAGGCTGTTCTTATATCGAAGTTATTCATCTAATGTTACATTAGAATTGGTTTTGAAATTGCTCGTCGTCTGGGCCATGATGGTGCCAAGGTGGTTGTTAGTAGTCGAAGACAAAACAAAGTTGATGAAGCATGCAAGAAACTTGAGAACGAAGGCCTTGATGTGTTTGGTATGGTTTGTCATGTTGGTAAAAAAGATGACCGCAAGAATTTAGTTAACAAGGTATTCCTCAGTACCATCAGTCTTTTGTCCACATATATGTAATTATGTTTTTACTTGTGTGATGATATTTTATGTTTAGACATTAGAAAAGTACGGGAAAATTGATATTTTGGTATCAAATGCTGCAACGAATCCAATAATTGGCAATACTTTGGATGTAAGTCCATTTTGTATGATATGTCCAATGATCTGACTGGAACATGCGCCAAGGCCAGCTAGCAAGCCAAGGCTCTTGGTTTCTTTTAAAAAATATTAAAAATAATCCAAACTTTTTCTTTCATTTGTTCCTCAAGATATTTCTTTTCTCTTAGGCAACAGAAGAGGCCTGGGACAAAGTGAGCGACATTATTAACACTTCATCACTTCATCTTCAACATATTTAACTGCTTTAAGTCCAGATACCAATTAGATATTTTCATTTTTGCCTTTCTTATAATTTTTTCTTTCAGATTTTCGACACAAATGTTAAAGCCACATTCTTACTAATAAAGGAAGTTGTCCCTCACATGAAAGAGCAAAAGTATTTGCCTTTTAATATTACTGTTGCAGCCAAAACAATTTCTGTCTAGTCATGACCTAATGCTGTTTCCTGTCTATTTTTTGAAGGATCAAAGGAGCAATAACATTGGTGTCTTCCATTGCTGGCTTTGCACCATTTCCAGTAATCAAAATTTAATATTAAACAACACTCTTTTGCACACTTTTTTTTTAAAAAGTGAAATATTTTCAATCTAGGCATTGGGTGTGTACTCAATTAGCAAAACTGCTCTTTTGAGTTTGACCAAGGTTTTGGCAAATGAATTGGGGCCTGATGGTATTCGAGTAAACTGCATTGCACCAGGGATTATAAAGACAAATTTTAGCAAAGCGGTAGGTGTTAAAAAATCTTAGAGATCTTTAGAGATTTTTTTTAAATTATTGATTTGAGAACAGCACTTGAAAAAGCAGAAGGCAACGTCCTGTGCATTAATAACCAATACATCTCATCTAAAAAGAACACAGTTTACTATTGTCTCACATGGGTTTAGAAATTTAAAATTACCTTTTTATAGTTGTGGGGAAATGAATCCATACAAGAGGAATTAAAGCAAGGAAATCCATTGAAAAGGTTTGATCATAAACAGTGATGTAGCATGTAAATGTTTATTTAAATCACTGTTACTCCATGAATACAGCTTCCCTAATGTTTTAAAATATCATCTTCCTCTAGAATGGGCAGAGCAGAGGAATGTGCTGGTATTGTATCTTTTTTATCGTCTGATGATGCTTCTTACATTACCGGAGAGAACATTGTGGTGGGTGGTGGTGTCCAGTCAAGACTTTAATAAGAACATACTCCCTGAGATAAACTATATTGATTCAGAATGAAATCTTTTTTTACTTAAAGTGCAGAATTCAAATGGGATCCAAACATAGATGTGATTATGTTAATTTATAAGAAATTTACTATTTCAGAATATGAAATAAAAAGATAATTCAAGGTGTTTGTGGACATATTTTCATGTCACTTCGAATCCTCCTAGAACTTTTAGCTAGCTTGTAAAACAGTCTAATTTGATACAACATTAATTAACGACAAAGGCAATGCTTCATTGGTAATCATAAACCATCTACAAAAAGTCTGTCCTGGTGAAAAGTTCAACCGACCATGACCCTTTTCCGTCCTCGCAGTTGAACTTCATCCAACTTCTTTAGAACCTCTTCCGCCTTTTCTGCACTCTCGTATGAGTTAGCGTAACTCTTTAAAACCTCGTCAAAAAATAGCTCGGTATTAGGATGACTACTGAGCAACGCTCGTTCTAACACGTACAAATCAACACCCTTGTCCTCAACGAGTGAAGATATATAACTCAAACCGAAGTCGATGAGAACGATATCTTCCCCTGCACGTAGCAACATATTTGATGTGGTTAAATCACCGTGAATCACATCTACTGCATGCATCTTGCCCAACATTGCGCCCAACTTTTGAGCTAATATATCCAAGTCTATCTGCGTATCTTCCTCTGAGGCTTGCCCAAGCTTGCGGTTAATAACGTCTTTAACCGGCACTGCATTCAGAACGTTCTCCATGTATATTTTATGCGAAATATAATCGACGAAATAAACTACAGGAGTTGAGATTCCTGCTTTTCTGCATCTTGCCATTGACCGAACCTCTTGCGACGTGCGGCGATGTGTGAGTTTCCCATCTAGGACTGGATGCCTGTATTCTTTCTTAAATCTTTCTTTCACGATAACTGGCTTAGAAACAAGAGTGGATGAATATATCTTTGCCTCCGCTCCTTGCTGGAAAAGCACGTTTTCAGCGGCCATATTGTTTTCTCGTACTTCCATCACTCTGTATCGATATTCTTCCCGGTCTTAACAATTTCCTTTCATTTCCCTCCAAGCAATTATGTTTTACATTTTATCGTTTTTCATGCCGTTTTAAGATCTACATTAATGAAATTTAAACGCTACGTAACGAGTGCCATTCAAGAAAGCTCATTAGTCCGAAATAGTTTACCATTCGCACTTAGATAAAGCCCAAATCTGAAATCTTTCCAGGTATAGTAACTCCAGAAAGCAGCAGGAAGATTCTCAACCTCTCAGACGTGGAAACACTGAAATACCTTGGCCTTATAGGACTTATTTCTTCAGATATATTGAGAAATTCAACTGAAAAATTGGTATGTATTCGCTCTAAATTGCATATTCTTTACTCAATTTTACCCACAGTGAATATTGACATTGATAAGACCATTATATATATCCAAGTTTTGACAAAGCGACCTCCTGTATGCCTAAAATTTGCAGTGAAATATTTGTATTTCTCTGAATACATATTATACTTTTGCACATCGGTTTATACAAGTGCCGTTATCTATTGTTTTTAATTTTATAATTGCTGTTGTTTAGTTGAGGCTGTTTTAGTATCATTAGCAATGGTCCTAGTTCAACAAGTCACCAAAAATGCCAAGGCAATGGTACCATTTCTAAAACCCATATGGGCATTTGGTATTGCATTCTCTGTTACTGGCTACCTTATATGGAAAATACCAATATCAGGTTGGTTCGTTAGGGTGAGGTTTGATGGTTGATATTGGAAAAAGCTAACTAACATTTTGTTTTCTTTTTTATTTCAGAAGAAACAAAAGCAAACTCTAGTAAGTTATCAATCTTTCATCTGAGAGTTTCCCCAATTCCACTACTGAAATATAGCAGATTTGTTTCCACAGCAAAAAAAACCATTGATAGAATTCAACGTATATCATCATTTTAATCCCCCCCCTCTCCATTTCTCAAGTTGACTTTCATCTGACCCCCCCCCCTTCATGTTTGTGCACCGTCCAGGTTTTTCAGACCAGTGACCACCAACTAACCTACACCAATATCTCTCTTATTCAGAATACTACAACCCAGGCCATGACGACCACTGAAGTTCTATCATAATAACTAAAAAAACACTGTGTTGAAACCTGGAATTTTGTAAAGTTTTATGCAAAACATATCTAGCTATGGATGTATGACTCTGAGCTAATCTGTAATTTAAAGATTTGTTTTTGAAAATAAAAATAAGAAATATACTGAACTTGTCTCATTTTACACTTCTGGGGCCAGTTGTATCAAGCCCGTTTAGCTTAAACGGTGGATAAGTCAAAATTAAATAACACTCTTACATCTCTCTTGAATAAGTCAACTTGAATATCATGCACTGAATATGTATTTGTAAACAGTATCTTTGTATCAAGGTTAAAAACGATAGACTTGATTTCTATTTTGAACTTAACCACCGTTTAAGCTAAACGGGCTTGATACAACCGGCTCCTGGATCCAACCACGGACAGACAAAAGACATATACGGACATGGCATGAAAATATTGTAATGGAAAAACTGCAAGGCATCTGTAATAAGCTTTGCAGCTCTGAGACAGCTTTACTTCTTTAGAGGACAAATATTTGAAGGCTTTGCTTATATTTCAACAGTATCTTAAGTAGTTAAAGGGAGAAGACGTCATATTGCTTGACAATGCAAAAAATAACGTCGTCGACTTGCACAAGTTGCCGTAATCCCGGACATAAAATAGAACAAAGATCCTAGCTTAGCTTCAAGGCTGTGGGTTGATCGAAACGGGGCAAAAGAGAGCTCCTTGCAAATTTTGTTTTTTGAAATATGGAAGAGGACATAACTTTATAAGAGGCTTAATTTTCGTCTAATGGTCTTAAAAAAAGTACAGATGAGTTTTGCACATCGGTCATGGGACGCTTTGGCTGGATATCATCAAATATGATCAACGTAGGATTGCATTGGACAAACAGAAGGTTTCCTCCAACCAACCAACAATGATACCAGGGTAGCCAGACAACTGGACACCAATGATTCCGGCCACTATTAACACAATAAGTTTTGACAATGACTCAGCTAATCAGCACTGCATGTTTGTAGTAACCGCATAGGAAAAGACACGTTCCAACGAGAACGCTGTCACCTCTATTGTTCCTGCTAAATTAATGCTTTCAATAAATCATCATTTCAACAGATATACTTAAAGCATCACATCATGTATGATTTCAAATCAACACATTTCGCAAGCCTGATGCCTACACCCACCCCTAGATTGTTTTGAAATCCTCTTTGACCCCTTTCAACACATTCACCTTGATGTCAATGATGGAAATGTTGGTCTAACTACCGTCACCAGATATTTATTATGAAAAATGCTAAGCCGAAAGTCTTGTATCTTTGACTTTTGATAGTGCTAAGCATTGCAGAAACTGATTGCAAAACAAAGCTAGCTGGGGCCTTTCAAAACGTTCCTTAATCCTCCCAATCAGTCTCGACCAGTAAACTAGTTATTATTATATGTGAATGTTACCATTACGGAAAAAACTTCAACAATGATTTTTATTCACGACAATTACATATATAACATTCCTATTAATTAGCAATCGCTAAAGAAGCTTAGACCTAATTCTTTTGTGCATGCTATAAAGTAACACTGATTATTTACTGAAGATCTTTGGTTAATCTCGTTGATTCTTCAGTGTCTTCCTGGTTACCGACTTTTAATCCCCGATCACAAATAAACGAACGAATAATTGCAAACAAAAGTTCCTTATAGCACCTCGCAGCTGACAGAGGTTGTCCTCCTGTTGTCTTTCAAGTTTGTTTTTAATTTAAAATGCTCCTGTTGAGTTTTGACCTTGTTAAAGATGTGCGGATACGAATCAGTTCCAAGAGAGAACCACGTTAAATTATTTAGGTTTTTTAACTATGCAAATTCAGTTTAAATTTTACAGTAAAGACGAACTGGAATAATGCATTTTTCCCAATGAAATATCGATGAAAACTGAGATGGCTGATATTTTGTTTCATTGCACCACGAGGGTTAGGAAAAACATCTCTGCAGTTGTATTACTTCTATAAAATAATAAAACGAGACCGGAAATACCTGCAGATACCATTTCTCTGGAACACACATGAAAAAAAGCTGATCTGATGACAGTCAGATTCTTAGAACTAAAAAACTAGTCTAAACACATATTAATCCCCTAGGGTGTTCTACATGGTAAAACTTGCAAAAGTTCAAATATTAACTGAATTAATGTGTTTACCATAAGTCGACTGGAATATATACACAAATGCCCTTAAGGCCGTAGAAATTACTGTGGAGCAAGGTGCAGGATAACATGAGGCTTATTTTATGCTCAATTTAACATCGGCTTGATGCAGTTGGAAGACGTAGACTGAGCTTAGAAATAAAGAGTTTTTCTGGTCTACATCTTCAGTAAGAGCTTAGAAATAAAGCGTTTAATTACCTGGACTACAATCTTCAATCTTATAATACTAACATTCATAATCAAGGAAGAGACTCTATAGGATAACATTATCTTTACCTACAGCCACAGCCCATGCAGATATTGTGTTTACCCACAGTCTTGGTTGAACTGCAAGAAATATTACCGTACAAAACACTCAACCGAAGATCACTCGTTTTACAGTGGTTTCAACACCGTGGTTTCGATAACGCAAACATGGTGAATAAGTTCCGCTTTAATTTACGTAATTTAACGCGCTGACAGACTATCCAGGAAACATCTTGAAGTTTAATATTGCAGACTGAACTCTGAAGTTACGCTTTTAATACGATTTTCGAAACAGGATTTCTTTCATTTCACGACAGACATATGAAGGAATTAGCGAGTTTAAGATGCACCAAATCTGCGACACGGTTGTGACATGAAAACTGCTACTATTGCACGTGAGGAAACCAGTTTTAATTTGTTTCACATTCGGTTTTGACTTCGTTTATCGAAAAGAGTCTATAATTTTCATTCCTGTTGGGAGACTGTGGAAATTAGAGCAGTTTTATTTCACGTCTGCGTCGTAGATTTGGTGAATATTAAACTCACTATTATCAAATCCGAGAGGCCAGACGCTGTGAAAAAAGGGGGAGGAAGGGAAGTTTCTTTGTATTGATGAATACCAGAGAGTATTGCGCAGAAACCACGGAAGCTCAACTTAATTAACAGGGGCTTCCGCCAGGCGGAATATTCCCGGAGATCGTTTGGTTGTGATGCGGGCATTTTTTTTCCTATTTTACCTTCCCGGTAAAAGGCAATAGCGCTGTTGGATACCTGCTCATACGAACAAGTTTTAATCTTGGTTGATGAAAGCAATAAAACGCATTGAAATATAGAAATTGATTTTCAAAACTGAACAAATCATAAACACTCATCACTATTCAGTTACAAAAAACCAATTGCAAAACTCGATCATATTAGGAAGATATTTTTTGCAAGGGTCACAGCTGTTCTTGTTCATCCACCCACCAGTTCTGCCTCCTAAATAACATCTTAGCCACGTTATTTAACATGTTTGAACGTGTACAAGAGTGGGATTTAGGATATGCGGTGCAAAAATAATTGATACTGAACGACGCTTTAACCAGTCATGATGTGTTACAAACTATTTTTAATTGTTATTTGTAACTCAACGTACAATTAATTAGGACTATATGTTATTATATTTATCTAAATCTCAATACTTAATCCTTAATATGAAATAATATATCTTGTAACGCGTCACCCGGATTAGTAAATCGTCAATGGTCATTTTGAAAGAGTCCAAGCACATTGTAGAAAAAAATTGATGGAAAAGACCCTAATTGCCATAATATTCTAGTGCAACCCGTTCAAGTGATGTTTATTAAATTTGCCATATCTCAACTTGCCATAAAAACCTCATTCGCTTCAAATACTGTTTTAGGACTGAATCGCGGCTGAATCTTCTCTGCTCATAATTGATTTAGCTAGTCGAATTGTTTTGCAAATAAATTGAGGCTAACGACAAAATATTGAGATTAAAGGATTGCTAAAAAAGGTGGGATAAAGCGTGAAATGTAAACATTATTATAACTTAATTGGCCAATTTTTAGCTGGTTGTTGACTCCTCGTAATTACGAATCACCGCGGAACAAATAAGAACTCGAACGGGCGGAAAGCAGGTTAACTTGTAGGAACTTAATTTGTGTGTGTCAAGGCCGGGGGACGGAGAGCACGGTCAGCCTCGAAGTCTTTTGACACGACACTAGGTTGTTTACCAGCCGCACAGCAAACACGTTGAGCAAAAAATTAACTCAGAAAAATCAACCTCTGCATGATCACTGCGAATTTCGAGTTGTCCCCAACTGGGGTTTATGACGTCATATGGGAGGGGGGTGGTAGGGGAGGTGCGGGGGGGTTACAAGCGCAATAAAAACGGTTATTAAAAGGGATTAACTTGCCATATACGCAATGAGGTATTGTGTAATGTGATCGCTTTATGCTTTACGTTATCCATAGTTGCGTGACTCTTGTTGTTGTAAAACGATATACACGACGTCAACCCTAAGGGCACGTAGCCAAAATCAGTAGAGTTGCAACCTTAAAATTAGTTCGTGGATCGCCGCCATACGGTACAGACATAGCACGCATATTGACCGAAGGCGTGTAGCTATAACAAGCGCTGGCACATTTGTGTGGACAACATCTTTGAAAGATGGCAAAATTTGATTTCATTCATCTCATCTCGTTCGTGATATTCTTATTTAGTGCTTTAAAGGTAGGTTTAAACTCAAATATAAGTCTATACCCGAGGTAGTACCTCAGTGAACAACAACATGTGTTTACGCCTAAAACGCAATGGTACAAGCAAAGATTGCAGCTGCTTCTTTTAACCATTTCAAACCATCCCTTCATTCTAAGTTCAGTTTCGTATCGAATCTGAGCTGTGCTATACGTCTATTTTTTGGTAATATGAAAAAACATATATTCTGCCTGTTGTTGAGATTGTCTTTGGCGTTTAATTTGCGCGTTTTTCAAATTCGAACACGAAAAGGCTACGATCATTAGATCACATGGTGGCGCATTAGTGTCCGGGATAATTTCGTAACCATACCAATAAAGGCAATATATCTTAAAGAGTAATTGTGATAATTGTATATTATAACCATTATATCAATTACAAGCATCATTATATAGTGTATTATAGTGTATTAAAACGCAATAATATGCTTGATTATAAACAGTTAACTAGTGATGAAATGATGCGCGTCGATTGCATTCTAGGCCTGGTTACGATGTCGTTAAAACTATGCTACTGCATGTATTTTCCCGTTTTATAAGCATCGTTCGTGTATTAATGAAACGCAACAGACAGAAGTGTACATCCGGCACAAGCGCTTATCAATGGGCAGCATTGTGATGCTCAAAGCGTAGTGAAAGCAGCTATCGACTATAGAACGATTCATACTGAGACCTCATGATGTTAGAAATACTAGGAATTGTTGCATAAATGCCACCAACAGTCGGGTTATGGTATCAATCGACCTTACATATACAACCACAAAAAAAATGAACACCATAATTTGGTTTCATTTACTCCGGCGGTTTTTACTTAATTAACTGCACTGAAATTATAAACAAAATTGTATATTTCAAACAAATCAAAATACGAAAGAGACTAGGAATGTTGTCGATATATAACGATGCCGCTGTCGTCATCCTGAATAAAACTATGCCACAGACAGTGTTGTAATTTCTAATTCACAGAAATAAAATCCTCGCGCGCTAATACGAACAACCTGTTTAGAAGGCTGGAAAGATGGTCTCGGCCAAGGTTTTGTCGCCGGCGAGGGTAAAACAGTTTTTAATTGCGTTATACCATCATTAACCTTGACCACCAGACTTCTCCGGAAATTTGAGTGGGGAAAATACGTTCACGCCAAAATCAACCTCGGCCTTTGGTCACAAGGATGTTGCTGAAGGAACACTTAAAATCTACACTTATAGTATCCTGCCTTCCATTTCTTTCAAGAATGTTCTAGGGATGGTTTTTTTACAAAAAAAAAACGTTTAAAAGATAAATCTGCCCGCGTAAAACCTCATTCATTTGCTTACATAAATATTAAACCACCAACTTCCCCACAGAGAGCGTTTCAGGTCAATCAGAGAGTCATTTATCACAAAGTAAAAAGTATCGCGCAGATGGTCAGTCGCCCAGTGTCGGGTCAGCGCTCGAAAGCTAAACATTAACCGTCTGTTTTTGAGTATTTTTGACATCTTTGTCGGATCAGGAAAAGAATTCTGAAAAAAACCTGTCTAGCTTGACAAATGAGGTGTAGAAAAATTTGATTACGCGCGCAGACCAGTTTTTTCGAGAACTACATGCAAGTACGTGTTCATATGTACCATGCACGAACGTGTAGTTGCCGGCTAAGTAGTGTCTTGAGAATTGCTTGCTTTGTTGTGGGTGGATGGATGGGTGGGTGGACTGAAGATCAAGAAAATGTGATGAGAGCTTTCACAATTCAAGCCAAAGTTCTCCTTTTCCTCTAAGAAGGCTGTATTTGATTTCACTGATTCTCGAACTAGGAACGTCACAGCACCCCCCAAAAATAATGTCATACCGCACAGGAATTGCCAGCGAAGTAGTCTTGACTCTGTATACTTCGCCTTCGGTCTTTACTGAACAAGTACTCGCCGCAACTGGGACAAGTTCAAAGTGCAGAGTAAGAAACAAGCACAATCAAACGTCAGATACCCACATGTGCCTTCCTCTTGAAATCAAATTTGCCTGATTGGAAGTTAAACGAAGTACATTTGAATTTATCGAGTTTTGATGCGCGTGTGCGCCAAATAGATTATCTATATTCATTCTTAGCGATGAGGAAAAATGGAGTGGTTTTCGACTAACGATATTTAAAATACAATTTTTGGGTTATTTCTAGCCATCATGACATAAAAATGACATTCGGTTAGAAAGCCAAATAACTCCTCTCTTTTGCCATGCATGTAAGAATTAAATCGTGGGACTCAATATGTAATTCATCATGACACGTTAAAGTGGTGATTTTGTTTTTAATTGAGACACCCTGTATATAAATGTCTACCACGATGGGTAATGTAGTATTGTTAATGCCCTGAAGACATTTCTGAAGGCCTCGGAGAAGTCCTCAAACTTTCTAGGATCGTAGGCTTAAAGGATATTGATTAAACAAGTTACGGAAATTATTGTTTTTACAGCGAGATAATTCCATTAGATTTCAGCCAAATCCTTGCTCACGCTAGTGTAGGTAGCTGTGAATTCCCCCTCCCCCTTCTTGTTAGTTAAAGATATATCAGAAATTCAACCAAGGTGTTTCCTTTCGACCTTTCCTACTTAAACTTATAAATTAAAATGAAAGCTTTTGGTCTTGTGTGTCATTTTACGTGTCTTTGTTCAAGTTTTGAGGGCCAATAAGTGACATTTTGAAAGATTTCAAATATCCCCTGTGTCTACATGCATGCGTATGTGAAAATCCTTTAAGACTTTAGTCCTAAGTGCCTGAAAAGCTTCCCTACAAGAGATGAGACATTTTTCAAATGAAAAAACGGCACCAACTCATCAAAAATCTCCTTGTCGAATAAAGGCGATTGCAAATTTAAAATGATTAAGTCGCTTCAGCCCAATCACAATCTTTGATTTCTTTTTGTGTCTAATGTTTGTTGTAGGTATGGCAACTCTTCAAGTTTATCAAACTGAGCACGATATATAGTTATATACAAAGTCAACGCTCCATGTGTGTTCTAGCTTAATTTAGCACAAAAAATAGCTTAAGGTCCTCGTTCTTCGCATACCTTAGCGATAGCTTTATCTCACTTCAAGTTACAAATGTTGAAAACAACAGTGTTTATTTATTACTGAATGTTTTAGCAGCATTCAATGTGCCGGTCTTTCTCAAGACGTTCTCTTCCATCAAACGAGATGTACTCATGTAGTACGTCACTGTGTCTCATAATTGTACGACCGAGGAACGAATACCTCCCACAGAACAGAAATGTTAGATTAAGTCTCTGATGCTATCTGACCTATTCATCAATTAACAACTGTATGCTTAGAATTTTTTGAGGAAGTGTTTGCAGAGAAAACGAGTAGACTATTTAAGAATCACATAAACAGCATGCCACGGCTGATGGCGTATTGGTGTAATCATTCAGGGTCTTGAAGTGCCAAGTGCGCATGACGGTGTGTCAAAATTAAGGGAAGAAAAAGAAAACCGTCTACGAAACAAATCCAGAATGTGAAATTTCATTTAGAACTTCAAATTTGGCGCGCCTGGCATTCCATATTTCTACTTGGAATAATGCCAGTCCTTTTTTTAGGTTACCAACAGTCAGGGAACGTTCTTGGTTGATCTAAGGAGTTATACAGAGCATGTAAAAGGTGTCGGTGTCAGATATCGATGTCTCAAGCTGTGTGTGACGACATCGCCTTCTGGTTTTCCACGTTGTAACCTCAACACGACAGCAAACACAAAGGATAGAGCCTGGATACAACTTACAGAGGACGTTTATAATCCCTGGGCCTACGACACCATCCCAACATTTTCATTTTCTGATTGGGAGGTGAGTAGTGCACTTCTGAAGTGTCACTGTTTATGATAAAAATAAGATAAGACTCATGCTTTCATCTTTGCAAATCGCAACACACAATTCAGTGATTCCAATGAACCAGCAAATAGTTTTTCTTGTCCAGAGTTCGAGATGATGTGATTTGAGGATTTTTAGGCCTGTTTTAGACCTGAACCTTATGTAAGTTACGCTTGAAATGAGCTAAGGTATTTGTTTATATTCGTGTGCATTCGATTCGCCACATGAAATGTTCTATGCCTGAAATGAGCCAGAATTTTGTGAAATATATTAAAAATATTAATTATTTCCTCGTACTGGAAATTTCAGGACAACAGTGAACTGAGTGTAGTTGTCTGGACAATTCCCACATCATCAACAACATTATGTGAAACAACAGATCCAACCAACACCACAACTCTTGGTGAGGCAACTGTAATTATACCACGATTAGAACAATATAAAGTATACGATATAAGTACAGATAATTGGACACTGGAGGTATCAACTAGGTTAAAGTGCAAGATTACTGGATGCCTTGCTCCTTGTGTGGCTCGAGACAACAGCACAGGTCACTACACTTGTGATGAAGGAAATAAAAAATGTCTTCCAAAGTGGTTTGGTGAAAATTGTCTCAAAACTTGTGTCAAACCAAGTGATCCACCTGCAGGACACTACAAATGTTCCAAGACTGGTCAAAAGGGATGTCTTCCAAACTGGTTTGGTGAAAACTGTACAACATACTGTGATAAAAGCTCATCAGCTTACACTTGCGACGAAGAAGGGAAAAGAACCTGCTTCAAAAACTGGTTTGGCAAGGACTGCGCAACGTTTTGCGTCAGTAACCGGACGGATACCCACGCTGGAAATTATTTATGCGACAGCATTGGAAATCGCGTATGTTTACAACACTGGTATGGAAAAAATTGCACAGACTATTGTAACAACAGCGCTGTGAATTATAAATGCGACGATAAGGGGTCAAAAGTGTGTTTAAGAAATTGGTATGGTGTTAACTGTTCAAAGTTCTGTAACAACAACGATAAAAAATTCAAATGTAACGTTGACGGTGACAAAGTTTGCATGAGAAATTGGTATGGTGTTGATTGTTCAAAGTTCTGTAACAACACGGATAAAAGATTCAAATGTAACGTTGACGGTGACAAGGTTTGCATGAGAAATTGGTACGGTGTTAACTGTTCAAAGTTCTGTAACAACAGCGATGTGAGATACAAATGTGACAATCGTGGAGATAAAATCTGTTTAAGAAACTGGCATGGTAAGAATTGCTCGAGGTTCTGTGACGAGTCTTCACATTTGACCAAAGAGGGTGGTCGATATCGCTGTGTTAACGGAGAGAAGATGTGTGCCAAGGACTGGTACGGGGAGAATTGCAATATCAACTGTACTCTGATTGGTATTTCAGAAAGTATCTCAAAGACACCAAACGCAGGATTGTATTATTGTAAAACTGAAGGAAGCAAAGAAAATCTTGCCAGTTGTCCACATGGATGGAAGGATACGAAATGTCTGGAAGGTTGTGAAAGTACCGATCAGAAAGTTCAACAGATTAAAACAGGTTGCAATGCCAACAAGGAAAAACGTCTGTTGTGTTCAAACCTTTCAGCCACGTATGACCTATGCCATTTTGTGGCTCCGGAAAGTATGTCGTATTTTTTTATTTCCATTTTTTTATCTTTTAAAGTAGTGAGCGTGTACAAAGTAAAACTAATTGCGAAAATATGCAGACAATTTGTGTTCTTGATATTCGCCATATGAAACAATATTTTAAATTCGGTCTTAACGTCAAATCGTCAGATTTGCTGACCTTTTAAGATTTCTTTGGAATGAAGACGAAGCATCTCTGATATGATTGGTATGTCTGTACGCTCTCATAAAACCACAGGATGCGCGTCTATTTTTAGTATTTGTTTCTTTTCCAAATGGTCATCGTGCTTGTCATAACTAGCACGATTTACGAGCGTAAAGATGCTGTGGAAATGTAAAAATGTGCGTTTCTACCAATCTATTTCAATTTTTAACATCTGTTTCAAATTAGAATTAGAGTCAGAAGGCGCCCGCCGACGCGACGTCTCGGATGCAACTCTCTATGGTGCATTATTCGGAGTGCTTTTCGTGGTGTTAATTGTAACCACTGTAATTGTTGTTTATGTAAGGTAAGCTTCCCATATTTCGTGTTCCAATTAAGATGATTAATGAATATATTTTTTATTACATACATTTCATACATAAATACGCGTTTTAAATCAAAATAAAGCTCGCGTTTGGATTTTATATTAATATTTCGTATTTGAAATATCTTCTTTTATTGTTTGTTTTAGTTTGAAGAAAAAGCAAACCACGACAACGTCTCCGGCGTCACCAACATACGAGACCCCAATTGAATTGATGGATGGTTTCACTCGAGAGTTCAACCGCGCTGAATTGACTTTGAATATTGACGAACTGATAAGGTAAGAGAGTTGACGAATCATTGACGTGTTACGACTGACAGAGCATTCTGAGTACAGCGGCTGTTCATTTCAGGAGACGAATGTCAAGAACGGATGACCTGGGCTATGATAACGAAGGCTTGATGGTTGAAAATCCGCTGTACGGCTCGGGACGAAACATGCGTGCCGTGACGCCCTACAAAGAGATCAATTCATCCTCGAAAGACGACGAGGTTTTCACAATGAACACCAGCAAAATTTGATGTTTAAAACGTGCATCCCCGCCTCTCCCCCTGTCGTCCAGACTCCAGCGTCTCTGTGTGTTTACATAATCGACCATTAAAGTAATAGACTCTGTACATATTAGAACGTTCCTTATTATGTAAATATTTCAATTGTATTTTATATTTTAATTTTGTAAATCCTAACAAGTGATTATTGTTCGTACACGCCATGCATAAAAACGAAGATTATCAGTGAAGAATTTACGGGACAATCATGACGAATGCAATTGCGTGTATAAGAAGAATACGACGAGGGTTTCTGATTCGAAATGATAGATAATATAATTAATTTACCAATCGACGAGAGTGTCTTTTTTTCTAAAAGGACATTGATTTAATTAACCGTTTAATGAATGCAAATATACATAACGATGATATAATTATATCTATTAATCAATAGTGTATTTATAGATTTGATTGTTAAGACAGAAATCAGCAAATAAATCTTATTCCAATTCATGATTCTGATGTTGAAACAAGTTTTCTACATGAAGAAGATAAAGCATGATCAATGTCAGACCGTTCTCATCACTGATCTCATGATCAACCTCGTACCCAGGTTTATCTCATGATGACGTCAAACGAGGAAAGACGACCTGATGTTACATGAAATTAATTTTGTTTCGGAGTTTTTGTTGTGTAAAAAAGCGAAACAAAGTTTAGAACTTGATTATCCTAAAGCATTAACAGCTCATATATGTCAATCCCCGTGTGATCAATACTATGTGTCTGGTCGTATCTTTTTGTGTTTTCGTCCAGTTCGAAGTTACCCCCGACTACCGAAACAGAATCATCTGCGGAATACACATTAGGTCGTTTAAATAAGTGACGATGTTGAAAGATTCCAAACAATTTGACACTTAATATTTGCACTACACTCGTTAATGTACACATTAATAAAGTAGGCGGTCGATTTTTTACCATATCATGCAAATACTGCCCACCCAAGTTTGCACAAGAACAAGGCGACACATGAATAGAAAACTGTCCTTTAGATGAATCAATCATTAGAGTACTGTCATAATTGAGAAAGATCTTTACAAAGAAGGCGGTAAGTTTTTTCATTTGTGCATGGTAAATATGAATCTGAAAGTGATTTTGAATGTGGTTTCGATTGTACACAATCATAAATACTTGATTCAAGTTATACTAAAACTTTGTTTTACAACGCTAGCCCCGACAACTACAGAAATTTATTTTGTACGGACACGGGATGCGTTTGAATAAAATTATTGCATAGCACATAAAAGATAAATGGCTACACATATAAATATGCAATGTTACTGTTAGCAAAGATACTGAAACGCGAGAGAATATGTTTGCTTATTAAATGAGTCAATAATTTTTAACCCTGTTGCGAAACTATCCATGGAAATTACTGCTGTGTTACTTCACGTCTCTGCGTCGTAGAGTTGATGCATCTTAAAGACTAAAACTCACCTAATATATGTCTTATTGGACTTGAAGGAGAAACTAATTGAGTTTGCTTGGTCACAACTGCCCACACAAGCGGCAAGATTATTCAGCAGGCAAGCACATCTATATTTGAAACTTCCGAGAATTCTCTTTTTGGCTTGGGAAGAGCCAAACCAGTTTGAGCATTTCCAAGGTTTAACCAATACAAATTAGTAAAGCATTCTTCCTGGTATATACCCATGTGAGCCCCCCCACGGATACGGAGGCATATGCATCTGCATGATTTTATTTGATACTACTATTTTTGAACATAATCTTGTTTAAAATCTAGAGTGTCTGGTTTGTTTATTCAGAGTGACCTGCGGCCGCCGAGCAGAATCACCTGTGGTAGAATATTGTGTCGTTCAAAATCGTTTTAAAAAATGACGAAAATGAAAGGTTCCCAAACAAATTGGCAGTTCATGTTTGTATTATTCGTCGTCTCGACTTTAATCAAGGTAGGATGTTTCAATTTTTCATCATATGCAATGTGCGTCAAAATTCACGCACAAAATCGTACTTATAGCTTAGATCAAACACCGCAAAGAAATGAATCGCCCTTTAGTCGTTTACGTTTGTATGTTTGAATACAAAGTCCATTGGTAAGCATTTTAAATTACAAATAAAATATTTTTAATGCATAGTCACACGCTTATGCATAGTCATTGACAACTGACACACTCTTCGTAATAATCTATTATAAATGGCAAAGGCAAATGTCTCATCAGTTTTATCATGCAGGTCACTAATAGTCAGGGGACAATCGCTGTTAAACTAAACAGTGAAATCACTTTGCTGATGTTTTGATTCATACACAAAAACTTGAGTGCAAAATATACCAGATTAATTTCTTTCTTCTTCCTAAATTTCATTATAATTCACTCATATGGATTACTCTTCATCTCCACCGCCCCCCTCCCCATGTAACGAAAAAGCTACACACACACGGAGAAGCTCTGACCAGAGTATGAATTTTGCTAGGTCACTGACAGTCAGGGGACGTTCGTGGTTGATCTAAGGAGTTATACAGAACATGTAAAAGGTGTCGGTGTCAGATATCGATGTCTCAAGCTGTGTGTGACGACATCGTCTTCTGGTTTTCCACGTTGTAACCTCAACACGACAGCAAACACAAAGGATAGAGCCTGGATAGAACTTACAGAGTACGTTTATAATCCCTGGGCCTACGACACCATCCCAACATTTTCATTTTCTGATTGGGAGGTAAGTAGTGCACTTCTGAAGTATCACTGTCTATGATAAAAACTCCTGCATGAGAAAGACACGTGGAACTTTTCTCTTTCAATTCACTTTGGAATATTTTTTTTAATATACTTCAGGACAACAGTGAACTGACTGCAGCTGTCTGGACAATTCCCACATCATCACCAGCATTATGTAAAACAACAGATCCAACCAACACCACAACTCTTGGTGAGGCAACTGTAATTATACCACGATTAGAACAATATAAAGTATACGATATAAAGACGGATAATTGGACACTGGAGGTAACAACTAAGTTAAAGTGCAAGATTGCTGGATGCCTTGCTCCTTGTGTGGCTCGAGATAACAGCACAGGTCACTACACTTGTCATGAAGGAAATAAAAAATGTCTTCCAAAGTGGTATGGTGAAAATTGTCTCAAAACTTGTGTCAATTCAAGTGACCCACCTGGAAACTACAAATGTTCCAAGACTGGTCAAAAGAGATGTCTTCCAAACTGGTTTGGTGAAAACTGTACAACAAACTGTAATGAAACTGCTTCAACTTACACGTGTGACATGGATGGCAAGAAATTCTGTTTGGAGAACTGGTATGGTGGTAACTGCTCAACATTTTGCCAGAACACGTCTTCCACTTACACTTGTGACAACGCTGGAAATAAACGATGTGAAACAAACTACTTTGGTGAACACTGCTCAAGGTTTTGCAACAGCAGTGCGTTAACATATAACTGCAGTGAAAATGGCGAGAAAATTTGTTTGAGACATAGGTTTGGTGAAAACTGTTCAAAATTTTGCTACACCAGCTCACAAAACTACCAGTGTTCCTTGAATGGTACAATTATCTGTGGAGATAACTGGTTTGGAAAACATTGCAACAAATTTTGTAACACCAGCGCTGTTAACTACCATTGTACTCGTAATGCAACTAAAGTTTGTAAGCAAAACTGGTTTGGAAATGATTGCGATATTTTTTGTGACAAAAACGCCACCCACTACGACTGTGATGAAGATGGTGGGAAAATCTGTTCACCGAACTGGTTTAACAAGAATTGCTCAAAATTTTGCAATAGAAATTCAGGGAAATATAACTGCTCTGACACTGGCGATAAAACTTGTGTTCGCAACTGGTTCGGTAATGAATGCGAGAGGTTTTGTAACGAAAGTTCCTTACAGTACAAGTGTTTGTCTAATGGGACGAAGTTGTGTTATCCCAAGTGGTATGGTACTGAGTGTTCTGTTTACTGTAACGACAGCTTGGTGGAAAGTTACAGTTGTGATAACACAGGAAGAAAAGTTTGTCAGAAGAATTGGTATGGCGTAGATTGCAACAAGTTTTGTAATGAAACTTCAATCAATAAAAGATGCGATAAACACGGAGAGATTGTTTGTAACCCAGACTGGTTTGGGCTGAACTGTACCACTTACTGTAATTCCAGCTCTCGTAACTACAATTGTAGTGACACTGGAAGAAAAATCTGTTCTCGAAATTGGTTTGGAAAAGACTGCTCTGTTTATTGTGCCGAGTTCAAGTCTATCAGTGATCTTTATCTTTGCAAAACGACTGGAAAACCATCGCACTGTCCTCATGGTTGGATAGAGAGACACTGTTCAGCGAAATGCATAAAAGGTAAAGGTGAAGAGCTAGAAAATGCCTTGAAAAAATGCAAGAAAGAAAACAACGTGTTTCAGTTATGCTCTCGAGAAACAAAAGATGCGAATTCAAGATGTAATTTGGACGAAGGTAAGTTACGGTTTCAAGTAGGTTGTTTTATAAACTACACACAGAAGAAATAACACTTTGAAAGTGGTGAATATTTTGATTCAAGCTTTCGACTATCGTGCAGTAATCATCAGAAATCTAATGTGAATTCCTGATGATGATGATACTTTAAGTTGATGATAGAAGTGACTTGATTGCCTCAGCAGGGTTTTGACCCAGAGTGCCAAAGCCCGAGCAGGCAATTCTTGTACTTCAACAAGCGAAAATCTCGGCAGTTTTTAGTCAACTTTACCCCGCAAAAGCTCAACCGCGGCGAGTATCGGGAATGATTTTTTCCACGTGATCTGTGAGTCGCGTTGACTACGCGAATGTTTTTCATCTATGCAAAAGAAGCAAGAGTGTTTCAGCTACAGTGTTAAAGACATGTTTGCGTGGTTGGGAAGTTCAAAGGTTTGTGACTTGAATTTTCTTGTTAAATTGCTTAACATTGTTGTACGCAATGAGTTCTTCCATTGCTGTTGAGTGTGTCGGTGTATATACACCACACTCAGTCAATCATGAGTTCCCTCGTTGCTATTTTGAGGTCCATTTACACGTACATGCCATTTCTACTGTGATTTTAGATACAATTTTTTTTTACTTTTGATAGATGTGAATGAGTTAGTAAGTTACTGATGAGCAAATAAGAGCAGACAAATGCACAGAGTGTTCGTAACTATTCGCTCGTTTGCATCATTCAAAGAGACGAAAATCACACGGAAAGTCGAAGCCAAAGTAGCAAGTGTATACAACAAGAGTTTGGTATTTTAAGAGGCAATCATTGCGAGTGTTTTTTTAACGAAATTGAATCTATTTCGTTTACCAATTAAGGTAAGAATCTTTTTAGAAAAAAACAATTAATCTGTTACGGTTCGACAAATGCATTTAAGTATCGATGACACACGTCGATGCTGACGCAGAATGAATCAATCGTGAAAAAACGTAACCTCAGAACTTCCAAGTATAATCCACTTTGTTTGCAAAGCACAAAAGATTTGCATTATTCTGGTTTGACAATGGCCTTGGAATGGAGTCTAAATATCACCAGGAATTCGTTGTCTTGGTTTTGAGCTCAAATCTTAGGTTCAGAAGATTATTTTGTTTTGTTTTTTTGTATTTCACAACTCAAGAGTCGGCTCTAGAAGCTTAAAATAGCCTCTAATTGTGTTGCATCACCGTCCATACACTCAAGGTCACGAAGCAGGGATAAATGAACAAAAATTTGAAGTCTGACGAAGTTAAGGTTTTACTTTCTGAGTAATTTTGCATGATTTTGCATGTAAGGCTCCAGAGATGCAAAGCTATCGTGAACCCAAGAGCAGGTGTATATGCAAGCTTGTAATGGCAAAATAAGCATGATTTTCAAGATGATACCTCTTTGGGAGACACCCTGCATAGTTGTGATTGTAAAAAAACAGTAAATAATTTTATCCTAATTGATGTTAATTCTATCGGAACTTAAACACGTCAAGACATATTTCCTACCTGCATGGAAGAAGGTCTGTCAAATGTTTCATAGCTAACAAGAACTCTCCACTCTGGTTGTAATACCTCTTCCACTAAACAATACAATGATAAAAACTAATTAGCATTTACAGCGCACTTGCATGTGTTTTCAATAAAAACAAAGCTATTTGAAGGGTGTAACCGTAGAAAATTAATGGCCTCACAAAAAGGCGGTAAGTCTTTTCATTTTAGCTGGAATGTCACAGGGATTGGTGAATATAAATCCGAAATGATATATTATACTTTGAGGGTTTGTCAATGGGGATGGCTTTGCTTGTATGAAGTCATAACACTTAACTCAATTGATACTGAAGCATAAACATCCTTCTGCATATGTTCGCCCCCCACGGGTAGAGATATGTGATCTGATTTGATATGCTAGCTATTGTTAGAATAATCCGGTGTGAAAAATTTTGCCGAGTAGTTTCATCTCTTCGGCCGTTTCGTGTTTTCGTCCAGTTCAAAGTTGCCCGACAACCGAGCAGAATCACCCCAGCGTTGAAGAAGAAATATGGTGTCCGTTTGAAATCGTTATCATAAATATTAATAGGACGATGAAAGGTTACAAAACAATTTGGGAGTTAATGTTTGCATTGCTCTTCGTCTCAACATTAATCAAGGTAGGATGTCAATTTTTACCACTACATCATGCGTATTCGCACGAACGCCAGCGAACGAATAAAAATTGTCCATAAGTCGATTACGTTTACGTAAATCTATGCACCGCATAGAGTCCTTTGGGAATTAGCGAGCGATTCTTCGATCCAATATACTTTGTTTCCCCAGGAAAAGGGTTTGCGAGCGGTTATAGTTAATTCCATATATGCACACAACTGCAGTAAACAATCTGATTAACTATTAAATCGGATATCTTTTGTTAGCGTTTTCCTTAGTCGTATTTGCTTGATCTGTAAGCCATTTGCAGAGTATTTTAGTGCGTTTGCAGATCAGGAGAACTCACTTTTAGACAGTTTTAGTAATAACATTTGATGTAAGGCAAAGGACGCCCCTATGTGTCTCAACTTTCAGTAGTATTTTTCATTATTTCAAAGTAAAATTAAGCTAAGCTGATTTCAAGTAATCTGTACGAACGTAAAAGCTCTTTACGAAATCAGAACTTCGGATTCTTCCACGAAATATCAAATTCTCATTTCGAAAAACCACAATATTTTAGGTTACTAACAGTCAGGGAACGTTCTTGGTTGAGCTAAAGAGTTATATAGAACATGTAAAAGGTGTCGGTGTCAGATATCGATGTCTCAAGCTGTGTGTGACGACATCGCCTTCTGGTTTTCCACGTTGTAACCTCAACACGACAGCAAACACAAAGGATAGAGCCTGGATAGAACTTAAACAGGACGTTTATAAACCCTGGGCCTACGGAACCATCCCAACATTTTTATTTTCTGATTGGGAGGTAAGTAGTGTTCTTCTGAAGTGTCACTGTTTATGATAAAACCCCTTGCATGAGAAAGACACGTGGAACTTTTCTCTTTCAATTCACTTGAATATTTTTTGAATGTACTTCAGGACAACAGTGAACTGAGTGCAACTGTCTGGACAATTCCCACATCATCAATAACATTATGTAAAAAAACAGATCCAACCAACACCACAACTCTTGGTGAGGCAACTGTAATTATACCACGATTAGAACAGTTTGAAACATACAAAATAATTGCGGATAATTGGACACTCGAAGTAACAACGATACTAAAATGCAAGAGTGATGGATGCCTTGTTCCTTGTGTGGCTCGAGACAACAGCACAGGTCACTACACTTGTCGTGAAGGAAATAAAAAATGTCTTCCAAAGTGGTTTGGTGAAAATTGTCTCAAAACTTGTGTCAAACCAAGTGACCCACCTGGAAACTACAAATGTTCCAAGACTGGTCAAAAGGGATGTCTTCCAAACTGGTTTGGTGAAAACTGTACAACAAACTGTAAGGAAACTGCTTTAACTTACACGTGTGACGTGGATGGCAAGAAAATCTGTTTGGAGAACTGGTATGGTGGTAACTGCTCAACATTTTGCCAGAACACGTCTTCGACCTACACTTGTGACAACGCTGGAAATAAACGATGTGAAACAAACTACTTTGGTGAACACTGCTCAAGAGTTTTGCAACACCAGTGCGTTAACATATAACTGTACTAAAAATGGCGAGAAAATTTGTTTAAGAAATCAGTTCGGTGAAAACTGTTCAAAATTTTGCCACACCAGCTCAGAAAACTACCAGTGTTCCTTGAATGGTACAATTACCTGTGGGGATAACTGGTTTGGAAAACATTGCGACAAATTTTGTAACACCAGCGCTGTTAACTACTATTGTGCTCGTAATGCAACTAAAGTTTGCAAGCAAAACTGGTTTGGAAAAGATTGCCACAAATTTTGTAACACCAGCGCTGTTAACTACCATTGTACTCGTAATGGAACTAAAGTTTGTAGGCAAAACTGGTTTGGAAAAGATTGCGATATTTTTTGTGACAAAAACGCCACCCACTATGACTGTGATGAAGATGGTGGGAAAATCTGTTCACCGAACTGGTTTAACAAAAATTGCTCAAAATTTTGCGATAGAAATTCAGGGAAATATAACTGCTCTGACACTGGCGATAAAACTTGTGTTTGCAACTGGTTCGGTAATGAATGCGAGAGGTTTTGTAACGAAAGTTCCTTACAGTACAAGTGTTTGTCTAATGGGACGAAGTGGTGTTATCCCAAGTGGTATGGTACTGAGTGTTCTGTTCACTGTAACGACAGCTTTGTGGAAAGTTACAGTTGTGATAGCACAGGAAAAAAAATTTGTAACAAGAATTGGTATGGCGTAGATTGCAACAAGTTTTGTAATGAAACTTCAATCAATAAAAGATGCGATAAACACGGAGAGATTGTTTGTAACCCAGGCTGGTTTGGGCTGAACTGTACCACTTACTGTAATTCCAGCTCTCGTAACTACAATTGTAGTGACACTGGAAGAAAAATCTGTTCTCGAAATTGGTTCGGAGAAGACTGCTCTGTTTATTGTGACAACACCACGTTGCGCTATGTCTGCGATAAAAACGGTGAAAGAGTTTGTTCACAAAATTGGTTTGGTCAAAATTGTACGAAATTTTGTAACACAAGTGCAGAGACTTATAACTGCTCTTCAGATGGTGAAATAAACTGTCTACCAAACTGGTATGGTGAGAAGTGTTCCGTTTATTGCGAGGATAACGCCACAACTTACAAATGTGAAAGCGACGGTAACAAAACTTGCTCAAATGATTGGTTTGGAGAACATTGTAACGTTTTTTGTAACACGAGTTCAGTGAATTTCAAATGCAACGAAAGCGGGGGAGTGATATGTTTGCCAAATTGGTACGGACAAAATTGCAGCAAGTTCTGCGATTCCAACTCAGGTTTTTATAATTGCTCCAACGGCGGTGATAAGCTGTGTTTACCTGGAGATGAATGTTCATCTCACTGTAAAGAGATTGAGTCTATCGGTGATCTTTATCTTTGCAATACCGCTGAGAAATTATCACGCTGTCCCTATGAATGGATGGAGAGACGCTGTTCAGCAAAATGTATAAAAGGTAAAGGTGAAGAACTAGAAAATGTCTTGGACAAATGCAAAAATGAAAGTAACGTGTTTCAGTTATGTTCTCGAGGAACAAAAGATGCGAATCCAAAATGTGGTTTGGACAAAGGTATGCATTTATTTGTAAGGAAAACTTGAATATCGCGTTACGCTATTTATCCTCTTCTGATAACAAACATACAATTTTGCAGATCCTGGAGATGAAATTGACACCAAGACATCAAAACAACTTCTATTTGGCATATTTGGAGGACTGCTTGCCTTTGTTGTATTATTCATTACTATCATTATTGTTAGGTAATCATTCATTTTCTACTTTCCGCAGTTCACTTTTTGTAAAAAGCAAACAAACAATTGTGAATTGTATTTTTAAATAATGTGTCACGGTTTGTAGGAAGAAGAAGACTGCATGGTTTCGGGCGGATAGTAGTACGAGCGTTATTGACCTGCAATCGCCGAAAATAAAGCAGTCAAGACGAAGATTGTTGTCTCTGGAATTACGCTCGTCACAAGTAAATCCTAGTTCAGACGACGTGGATGAAAGAGATCAAAACATATTCACAATCTGATATTCTCACAAGCACGTACATGATTCAAAGTTCAAACATGTGATGATGCAGAGTTGACAAAGTTCAAACATCTCATGATGCACACTATGAACTACACATAGCAGAAGCGATCACTTGACGTTTTATCCAAGAGTTTAACGAGAGACTCTCTTGTAATCACTGTTAAAAAGTTTCATGTTGTGGATTAGCTCCAAATCTTCTTGGAATATAATTTTGATCTATGATTTTGAAACATGTATTCAGTTAATGTATGAGATCATTTTATGATGATTTTATACTTACACTGGATAGATTTTTCAAAACTCAATCTAGTCACGAGAATTGGAGCTAATCATTGCTAGGTTTCTAACTGCCTTCCTGGGTTCCAACCTAAAAACTTATCTGGATTAATAGTTCTGGGGTATGATCCTTCTAATGTTGCATACTTACGCATTAGAACCTTCATAATCCATCAAATCGAAACTTCCACGATGAACTGTTAATTAAGACCTTTAAATCTCGCGCGGACTCCCGCGGGACATACTCTCACAGCAAATTTCTAATTTCAGTCTGCAGCTATCACCAAACTGCATTTAAAACGACTGATGTAGACAAAATATTGAAAACTATTTGAGTGGTAACAAGAATTGGAGTCAGTACACATTGACATAGAAAATAAAAAGTTCTATAGATAGAAAATGCTCTAAATGTTGTTAATTTCTCTTAATTTTATAAGAGTGATATTAACCATCGTCCATGTTTTTTTATTTGACACGCGGGTCACTCGTGGGTAACGCGCGGTTTACTCGCGAGTGCGCTTTTGCCGGAACTATTCGAAGAAGTGCCAGAAGTGGTCCTCGAAGTTCACAATAAAAATTTGCAAGTAAAATTACTCTCTTTTGAAATTTGAAAACACATTTTGTGCTTTTCTTCCGGAAATGAAGGCAGGCTATCAAGTCATTCATGCATACACAGCAAACTATATACCCCGGCGCGTTTCTTGTCAAAAGCACATTCAATGTGCAAGGTATGTGAACCCATACAGACGGTCTTATCCGCGCTCAAGGAAGTTGAAAATGGACAACGATAGCTGTGAATCACCTGCACCAGAAAACTTCACGGTGCCGATCGTGGGCTACGAAATCGTCGAAAAGCGACAGCGATTCACGGTTTGTATAACAATAACATTAAAATGTACGATTTTTTAATTATTTCGTGTTGAGTTGTGTATATACAAGTGTTGTTTCGTGACGCATTGTTTCATATTTTTAATCTCTTTCGTTTCTTCACAATTATCTGTATAAAGTATGTAAAAAGATCATAGCCATCACGAGACTTTCAGGTTTTGCCATTGCAAGCATCAAAGTTTGTTTTTGTAAGCAGCTCAAGTTACCAAATATGTGTTTTATTATGAATCTCTTTTGAATGTCTGTTTTATCGTAAATCAGTTTGATATATGATGGTAACTTTGCTGAAGTTTTGTTTTCTTGCCTGACAAACTGTCAAAGTCATTTGTATAATAAAGCGTCGTTTGATGTAAAAATACAATTTCATATTTCAAGGACTTTAATTTTGAAAGACTTACACAACAATGAATAGAATACAATGCAATTTGCATGAACATACGAGTGATACAAAATGATGTCATTCTTTTCCTGTATCTAATTTCTCTGTTCATGTGGAAAAACTTAGCTTGGTTGTTTGATAAATATATCAAGCTAATATAATTTGTGATGATGTGATCCATTGATTCCATTCACCAATTAGCTGATACAGGCTTAAATGACTGCCATAGGTTAATAGATAGAATATCTTATGTAATATAAGCTAGTAAAATATTATTATTCACAAAAACAGGTGTATAAAATTCATGTACAGAGACAAGCAAGGAGCTGGTTTATTTTCCGAAGATATTCAGACTTCGAAAGACTTAGGGAAAGGGTATTTTTCTTTGAAACAAGCTAATTTAGCTAGTGCAAAATAGTTGTAATAATACAAATATCATATTGTTAGTTTTATTATGGTCCTAAGACATGCTCAACTTGACACAATTCTCTTCAAAACATAACTTCTTAGTTGATGACATCATTTCCAAGAATCAAGCTTCACCTCCCACCCAAAAGGCGACTTGGAGACAATTTCAATCCAGGTATATCAAACATATGTCAAAATTGATCCCATCCCATCTCCACTATAGTAGGAATGTTTTTGTTTAGAATTTATTGCCAGACGTGCTCAAGGCTTGCAGAATTTTATCAGGACTATTCTTCAGCACAGAAATTTACGAATGAGGTGGGCAATGTCATTCAATGCCAGACTCAGGCCAGTGTTATTGGACTGAATATCAGACTTATCTCCCTCCTTTATTTCAGCCGTGAAACCCGTGAATTCTTCTGCCTTGATGAGCCACCAGGTCCCTTTGACAGCCTCGAAGAAAGCAGGGTGAGTGATGGAAAAATTATCTACAAATATAACCAACCCGCATATATAAAAGCTGGTTTGAATTTTCTCCTGACCAGATCAAACTAGAAAGTTGATATGGCCTTAACCAGCTATCCTGTCCATTCCTGACTTGCAGGCATATGTACAATTTCTTGAAGAACAAATGGAAAATACAAAGTCAGTTGTCATGGAACTCAACAGCCAATTAGAAGCCACCAAATCTCAGCTCAGCGAGGCTCGCGCGCAGATAAAAAGCCTGGAATGGAGTTTGCGTCATCGCCCCTTTTCCGACCCAGGTCATTCCACTCCCGCGGCCAACTGCGGCGAGTTACGCCATACCCTGGACACGCAACTCTCGGACATATCCGACCCTTGCTCCTCGTCTAAGACTAGGAAAAACGTCAGTTTTGCACAGACGAAATCCTTCAGCGAGGGAAACTTGCTGCAGCTAAAACGTCAAAGACAGACGAACTTTCCCACGTTGAAAGACGGAAGTGGCTTTCGACACAGCATCACATTCGGCGAGGATTCCTTTCTTTACAATGGATTTCTTGATCTTGAATTTCACTCGAACGTAACTCGAAAGATGAAAGAACGAAAACGCAAAGCTCGTGGGAAGAAGCAGAGACACGAAGCCTCCACTCACGAAATTGAAAATGTTGATAAACTATCGAGAACTCGCAAGAGGGCAGAACATAAACGAGAGAAAAGAGATAGTGGAATTATTGGAGATGGTTGCACAGATTCTGACTGATTAGGGATTTTTATTAATTAATGATTGGTTTTTCATCTCAGATTCAATTCATTAAGCGGGAGAATATTGAACCACAAATATGGCCTGTTAATTTACATTAATTCCTATTTAAAACCCACCGTACTACCAAGGACTCACCAAGAACCACCTCGCGGAACTACCCTACACCAGAGAACCAACCAACCACAAAGAACTAACCAACCAACCCCAAAGAACTACCCCACCCATCCCTAAAGGGCGACCCCACCATCCCCCACAGGACGAATCCCCCCCCCGTGTCAGATTTAGATCACAATGGTTTTTAATTCATAACAAAACATGTCTTGTCATTTCAGAAAAAAACTAAAAATTAGCAAACTAAAGTTGTCTTGTTTTTTCTTAAAATTTTCTTCCCGCTATTACATAGTTGCACAAAACATATTTTTCATCAAGGTCTGGTCAACTGTGTCCTTCATCACCAGATCCATGATCCTTAATAAAACTAATGCGTTCTACGGTTCGTTCTACCTGTAAAGCTATACAACTATTGTGATAAGAGTTAAATATGTTATCAATCTTTTCTAACACAGGGTCCAATTTATAGTTTGATAATGATTAAACACTACAGGTCGTGGCCACGTCTTCAAAAAAGAACGAAAACTTAAATCAATCCTATTATTATACAATGGTCATATGGTTTGCAAATATTAACATCTGTGTATGTGCATGTTTTAGGCGATTTAAGGACTTTAATGATCAACATCCTATAAAAATTAACGATTTGAAGAATTTTCTTGGTATCACAAAGATGATTTCCTCGTTCTGGAAACAAAAACATGGTTCGTGTGCAGTAATGGTGGAGTGAAATGAACCCAATGCATCATGAACCGACACGGATATAAAAAATAATTTAAGAAAAAAATTAAAAAAGAATTATCTTAATCCGTCGTGACTCGTGACCTCCTAAAAAACAAGGGGTTACTAAAACGCTTTTGTGAATTCCATTTCACTGGGCAATGTCATAAAGTGTCACCGTGGTATGTCTTGAGGATTAGTTTCACAGATGTGTCTCAACAGAGAACCCTGAGTTCTCCCATGAAAACTAGGAAAACGAAACCTTAATCAGATCTCTGTTGTCGTCCAGTCGAACTTTTCGTGCCCTTGAACGTGAATTGTCTTTGGCGTCACAACGTTTCTTTTTTTGCTTCTTTGTCTAAAAGAACGTGCATTATTACTATCGATAGAGCGAAAACAATATGTTTGTTTGAACAATTTGAACCTAGACGAAAGATATATACGACCAAAGATATATGCCAACAAAGTCAAAGATATATACGACCATAACATAACAGTAATTACATGCAGCACACTACATGCATCACAAACAAATACATCTCGCTTCCAAGGTATAGGCTCTGGGAATCGTGCTAGGTTATAACATAGAATAAGCCTTATGGGCTATTTTCGTGAGGGCATTAGCACAAAAGTATCTGTGAATTCTCACCTTAAAAGAAGCAAGATGGCAGCAACAATTGCGATGAATCCAACGGTAGCTGAAATTCCGAGCACGAGTGATTTGGACACGGCGTTGTCATTGGAGCGAACATAATCGATCTCTCCTGCACTCGAAGAATTGAATATAGTGTCAGTTCATTTGTTTCGACATGGCAAGAAATATTTCTTATATGTCTCGTAATTAACCAATACAACAAAAGTATCTGATATTGCGCATGTTTGATAATGGGCATGTTAACTTTCATATGGCCAATTTTAAACTGAGAAAAGACTGGATTTATTCATGTTGATTAAAAGCAAAAAGCACTCAGACATGATATGCTCACGGTAGTACAAGCAAATGTATATATACTACATCTGCACTTACCGTTCACAATGCATTCTGGAATATCGTCTTTCGTCTTCGCGCACAAATATTTTATTTCATTTTCTTTGCACTCTGCCAGAATCTCCATTATATCCTTATTTTCGGCGCAAGATGAATCGCAAGCTATCTTTTTCCATTTATTAGGACAGCCAGGTGTAGCTGCTGGCTTCATTTTGCACATAAAAAGTCCAGAATGAGATTCGATCCCGTGACAATTCACCTCACATTCGGCTCCGTACCAGTTTCTTAAACACGTTTTGTTGCCATGTTGGTCGCAATTGTGCGAGCTCGCGTTCTGCTCACAAAATCGTTCGCAGTTCTCGCCAAACCAGTTCATCAAACATCTCTTATGACCTTCAGTATTGCACGTATACCGGTTACAGCTGGAATTGCAAAACTTGCTGCAATCTTGTCCGTACCAATTTGGCAAACATATCATCTCCCCGCTTTCGTTGCATCTGAAATTCACTGAACTCGTGTTACAAAAAACGTTACAATGTTCTCCAAACCAATCATTTGAGCAAGTTTTGTTACCGTCGCTTTCACATGTGTAAGTTGTGGCGTTATCCTCGCAATAAACGGAACACTTTTCACTATACCAGTTTGGTAGACAGTTTATTTCACCATCTGAGGAGCAATTATAAGTCTCTGCATTTGTGTTGCAAAATTTCGTACAATTTTGACCAAACCAATTTTGTAAACAAACTCTTTCACCGTTTTTATCACAGACATAGCGCAACGTGGTGTTGTCACAATAAACAGTGCAGTCTTCTCCGAACCAATTTCGAGAACATATTCTTCTTCCAGTGTCACTACAATTGTAGTAACGAGAGCTGGAATTACAGTAAGTGGTACAGTTCAGCCCAAACCAGCCTGGGTTACAAACAATCTCTCCGTGTTTATCGCATCTTTTATTGATTGAAGTTTCATTACAAAACTTGTTGCAATCTACGCCATACCAATTCTTCTGACAAACTTTTCTTCCTGTGTTATCACAACTGTAACTTTCCACCAAGCTGTCGTTACAGTGAACAGAACACTCAGTTCCATACCACTTGGGATAACACAACTTCGTCCCATTAGACAAACACTTGTACTGTAAGGAACTTTCGTTACAAAACCTCTCGCATGCATTACCGAACCAGTTACGAACACAAGTTTTATCGCCAGTGTCAGAGCAGTTATATTTCCCTGAATTTCTATTGCAAAATTTTGAGCAATTCTTGTTAAACCAGTTCGGTGAACAGATTTTCCCACCATCTTCATCACAGTCGTAGTGGGTGGCGTTTTTGTCACAAAAAATATCGCAATCTTTTCCAAACCAGTTTTGCTTACAAACTTTAGTTGCATTACGAGTGCAATGGTAGTTAACAGCGCTGGTGTTACAAAATTTGTGGCAATCTTTTCCAAACCAGTTTTGCTTACAAACTTTAGTTGCATTACGAGCACAATAGTAGTTAACAGCGCTGGTGTTACAAAATTTGTCGCAATCTTTTCCAAACCAGTTATCCCCACAGGTAATTGTACCATTCAAGGAACACTGGTAGTTTTCTGCACTGGTGTGGCAAAATGTTGAACAGTCTTTACCAAACCAATTTCGCAAACAAATTTTCTCGCCATTTTCACTACAGTTATATGTTAACGCGCTGCTGTTGCAAAACCTTGAGCAGTGTTCACCAAAGTAGTTTGTTTTACAACGTTTATTTCCAGCGTTGTCACAAGTGTAAGTCGAAGACGTGTTCTGGCAAAATTTTGAGCAGTTACCACCATACCAGTTTTCCAAACAGATTTTCTTGCCATCCACGTCACACGTGTAAGTTGAAGCAGTTTCATTACAGTTTGTTGTACAGTTTTCACCAAACCAGTTTGGAAGACATTCCTTTTCACCAGTCTTGGAACATTTGTAGTTTCCAGGTGGGTCACTTGGTTTGACACAAGTTTTGAGACAATTTTCACCATACCATTTTGGAAGACATTTTTTATTTCCTTCATGACAAGTGTAGTGACCTGTGCTGTTGTCTCGAGCCACACAAGGAACAAGGCATCCAGCAATCTTGCACTTTAACTTAGTTGTTACCTTCAGTGTCCATTTATCCGTCTTTATATCGTATGTTTCATATTGCTCTAATCGTGGTATAATTACAGTTGCCCCACCAAGAGTTGTGGTGTTGGTTGGATCTGTTGTTTTACATAATGCTGTTGATGATGTTATTGATTTAACTGTGGGAATTGTCCAAACAGTTGCACTCAGTTCACTGTTGTCCTGAAATGTTTTTTTGGTGAACAAATATTTAGTTTGAATTTCTAGAGACTCGTAATATTAATGATAAAATAAACCGCAATCCTTTATGAAAAGAACATGGATACAACTATTTATTTTTTTTGCTAATAAGCAGTGGGCAGAATCCTAACCTTTCCTGCAATCGGATTATCTGTAGCAGCGGGTGGAATTTTACGATATCTGACCACGGTCCGGAATCCTATATTGTTTTGTTTTTCTAAAGAATTATTCGCAAACTTTTGACTTTTTTATTTTAAATATTTGGACCAAACGATTGTCACGATAAATTGAATTGAAGTGAATTTTAGTAGATTAAACGAATGGGATATAAAATAATCATGCAATTTCACGCTTTTCCACTCTCATTTTTCCTAACTCACCTCCCAATCAAGAAATGAAAATGTTGGGATGGTTCCGTAGGCCCAGGGTTTATAAACGTCCTGTGTAAGTTCTATCCAGGCTCTATCTTTTGTGTCTGCTGTCGTGTTGAGGTTACAACGTGGAAAACCAGAAGGCGATGTCGTCACACACAGCTTGAGACATCGATATTTGACACCGACACCTTTTACATGTTCTGTATAACTCGTTAGCCCAACCAAGAACGTCCCCTGACTGTTGGTAACCTAACAAAATTCATACTCTGGTGTGAGCTTGTCCTTTAGCAGGGGGGTGGGAAGATGAAAAGTAACCCGTACGAATGTTTTAAAAAATTCTGTGGAAATTGAAATTTTACACTCAAGTTTTTTTTACACAATTCAAAACATCAGCAGGGTAACTTCATAGATTTGATGATAGCAGGGTATTCAGTATTCCCACTTTTCAAAGGCCAAGTTCACAGGAGCACATGATGAGATGATTGACACTGCCCCCTTGTCTTTCCATGAGAGCTCAAGATGAAATCCTATCTCATTTCATCCCAAATTACAGAGAGAAACTCTGGATTCAAAACTCGTTCCCTTCAACAGAATACATTCAGGTCTCTTTATACTGCACACTGAGTAAAGTCTGTTCAATTAACCTTCCGGCTATAAATTTAATCTAGACCGATTTCTTAATGCTTTATTAACTTAGGATTAAATCAGCCTGCCAAACAGCAGTCTTAAAACGCAGTCTGTGGAGACATCATTAACAGAAAACACGAATCCCGGAAGAAGGAAAATACAAATCTAACTGTACCGGCAAGGTTTTCCGTCACGAAAATTCAAGTGAAAAACAGACCTTGGTATTACGCCTTTGTAACACCAGACAACGGTCAAATTAAAAACCTCTTGAGCATACATAAGCCATATGTTTATGTTTAGCACAGTCCAAGCTGGTTATGCACGAGTTTTCATGCAGCTATGTTTTGTAGGTATACGATTGCTGTTTTTCATTTTAATTTCGTTTGCTTCTCCTCTATCTTTAGGCAGACTAGCTACCACATTGACACATTCTGCTAGATCGACACACTTATATTAGGACAAAAACCGATGGAAATATGGGATATAAATCACTGCGTTTTGCTCAAAACTGAATCAGATGTTATACATTATATTCAAGCCCATTTGAACACCTTAAGGCGGGAAAATCATTCCGTGATGTTCCCTCACGCTGGTCTTAATTAATTAAAAAGCTATAGGTCAAACATTTGCAAATAAAAAAGCTCAAAATGAAAACAGCAGTCTGTGTTGGCTGTCATCGCTGATGGGCTTTATTTTTTACGCAACTTTGAAGATTCTGCTGCGTACAGCTGTAGACAAAACCTAATTTTTGCCGCAGGCTTTGTGAATACTCCGCCGGAACATGCGCAAAGGGAGGTTACGTATCCTGCGATGAAAACTCGAAAACATTTTTTCCAGCAGCGAGCGAAAAGGAATTTCTCATGTGGGGTATTGAAAACACTCCATCATGTAGCTCTTTGACGTCGGGTCATTGTGTACAACAGCCAGGGAGAAAACTTATTTATTCATTCACCTCGTAAAGTTTGAAAAAATCAACATTACCTTATTATCAAACTCGCGGTTAACATACCATCAACTGTGGGACATAATCATGACCATGTAAGAGATCCCGATCCCTTCAATTCATGTGTAACTGTGTAAGGTCGTTCAATGAGACTATATATATCTTATGGTTGTCACAGCTTTTATAAATTTACAGGCTAACTTTTGCCCTTGGCACTGAGCGCATGCAGTATACGACTGATTAATATTAAGTGAAAGATGGACTCACTCTGTCCTCGATTTTTCATTTCATTGACCGCAAGGTAGAAACGGCGAAACAATTACTGTAATTGAAGATTTATAACAAACTGTATTTCTGGATGGCGTTTCCGCTTAAGCACTCGAGACGGTCGGTGCCAAAAATGCATATCGGCATTTACCCAGCATTGCAAACATCCTGAACAGACATATGCATAAGTATTTCATGAATGGGCCGGTCTTTAAGCATTAAATACCAGAACGAGAATTGATCTACAAAGTTTTAGCCCCAACAAAAGCAACTAAAATCGGTGAGATGGCAAAACAGTCACGTACATTATTTTAGCTAAAATGATATATTGCCCTGTGCATACCAGTGTCAATCGGTATTTTGTTCACGGACTGAAGTCAAAATCCTACAGCAGGCGATTATCCCAAGATGGACACGGTGCTGCTTGTAGATCTTAGAAAACAACTTAAGTTAAGATACCGCGGTTATCAGTTGGGGACTTTTTATCGCCATTTCGGTCACATCTCAAAGTGATTTCCAAGTAAAACTACTTTGGTCGCTATTTCTAACAGAGCGTAGTTACTCGTGACAAAACCTTACTTACAAACACTTTGTTAGTTTAGTTAATAACCAGTAGGACCACACAATAATGCGATAATTGGTTAAACCATATGTGTTATAAAAATACGCGGACGTTACGCTAATTTATCGCGGCGAGATAGACGCAGAAATTGGGCAATTTTAAACGCATTTCGAACTGCGTGCGTGCGTGGTAGTACGCATAAGTGTGGGACAGTTCAGGAGTCGTTATGAAAAAAAGTGAATTAAATTCAATATCTTTTACTTGACCTAGGCTGAATATCTTACCTTCACCAAAGAAAGGATCGCAAACACGAAGAGCGTGAAAAAGAAGTCATTTTTCAACCATTTCATTTTCGATTGCTTAGTTTCGAAGACGGTCGTCGGCACTTTATTCGTTTCCCGCCGCGCTTGGCTCTGCTTTGATTAATTACGAGGGAAAATAAACGCGAGGTGTTTACGTGGACTATTAACCTTGACCTTGAGATTTTTCTTGGTATAAGCAAAAACAAATGGAATCCGAGTTTTTTCTACGCGAAACAACCACCCGGGCCTTAGTTCCACTTTACCGTAGCAAATTCTACGATATGAACTAACGTGCTAAACTAAGCTACAGATAAACCACAGACGTAGGGGGTATTTTAGGTGTTTAATCTGGTCAGGAATTTTGTGCGGGACATTTGCCAAGTGGTGCTACGGATAAGCCAGTATTAAACGTCTGAATTTACACTTCCTAAAGTATCCGACACCTTACCCCAAAATATTTTCGAAACGCCTCACGGAAGCAATATATACTTTTATAACAAAATTTAAGTGTGATTCGACTCGATCTCAACAAGATCGCTAACTTCAAGAAACGAATGAAAATCAATCCCATTTTGAAGAGTTACTCTCAGAGCTTGTCCATTACAGCTGTCGTCTTTGACAAGTTGAAGAAATGCCTTCGCAACGAGATCAGGTCTAGAGGAAAAACAGATCAGGAAGACGATGGACGCAGGACACTAGAGTGGATTGAACTATTCTGGGGCTCAATCACAGCTACCCGGGTCTACGGTCTTTTTCTAGAGGCTGCATGGGAGGGGGTTACTTCCTCCAAACTACCTAACCGATTATCACTGGAAAGTCCCGAGGAATGACAAGATTTATATGACGTAAGCCAACATCTTAATGTATACATATAATCTTACGTGACACAGCCAACATCCTGAATCATTTTCACCCAGGCAACATCGGTGATACCTGTGGTCATTCGTGTATTCACAAATGCTGGACAAATGAGATTTAAACGAATGCCTTTATCCAGCGAAGTCTGAAAATATAAACCTTGTCTTAAAACATACTGTCCGCCAATTACCCTTTACAAGTACGACAAATACTTCAATCTATGTTTCATGGTCTTACCTGAACGACACTTCTGGTAAAACCAATAACCCCGTGCTTGCTTGCAGCGTACACGGGTGAAAATTCATAAGGAATAAGTCCTGTCATTAGAAAGAAAGCCTTGTGTTAAAAGGAAGCTAAGATAGCTACGACTTCCTGGCTGATATTTACCTGCAAATACACACTTATAAAAGAAAAACCGTGGGTGAAGTCCTGTCTTACTGAACGACTTACTTAGGTCGCAACTTATTCAAGTCGTGACATCTCTCACAATCAAAAAACTGTTACTGAAGGAGCATTCGCGATTACTACGAGTGCAAAATTCGTACTTTTCACGTTAAAATTGGTCAATGCTTACGCCATCTGACGAAGCTCGAAGTCGTTGGGCTTTTGCCAAACAAATTGATCAACAAACTCTTACTTATAAGTCCAACGACGACGAGTTTTGCACGATGGCGTAAGCAAGCTCAGTGTCAACTTTGAAGTTCCCGCCATGGTATAGCAGAGGGGTGATAAAGCGTATATCTCTTCGCACCTGCTAATGAAGCAATGTTCACAATTACTCCTCCGTGTCCATTTTTTTGTTTGTCCAGTAAATCTATTGCGATCATCGTACCATGGATCATCGCCGTCTACATAGGTATTACGTTGCCATTAGTATTAAAATACAAGAGTGGTTACCTTAGCAACACAGAGTTTCACGATCGAGCTTCCGAAGTGCCTTTCATAGCTATACATGCACAGATCAATGTTTCCACGGAGTCTGTTCCGAACAATTAAACATTTTCGATAGGATATCTTATATTATACTCCTCATGAAGGACTCTTTGAGGATCCCCAGAAAACTTTAAAAATAAAACTTGAGCTCGAATAGCGACGTCTTAACTAACGGTGATTCACCATAAAAAATAATACAAGAAATTGTGAAAACTTATTCACGGGTTAAATCACAATAATATGAACAGTTTCATTGGAAGGTAGCCTGAGTGCAAACGTATGGTTACAGGCAATGATCTCGAGGCAATGACCTCCAGGCAGGCTATTTTCACAGAGCAGTTTCAAATGAAGCAATCTTGAACTGGCTCAGCCACGTTCAGAACACCGCCCGATGTGTCGGCGCCGTTTTTTGTGATAAGATAAATACCAGTTGAAAGCCATATTTCATATGCAATCTTATAATACATCCATCACAAGCTCACCAAATTGATATCAATCATTCGTCTCCAGTCCTCATTGTCCAAAACCCCAGCGTTATTGCAAAATATATTGATTCCATCATTTTGTTCGGAGATTTTCTTCACGACACCTATAGGAAATCATGCAATTATGCGTACGTTTCAAAGGTGATACAGTACATAAAGACGATATAATTATCATTAAGGTATTTCAAGTTTCATACTTTGAAATTCAGCCCCGTTTGTGACATCACATTTGAAAAAGGAGACGTGATCTTCACCGAAAGCGTCTTTCAGATCTTTCTCAGCCAATTTACCTTGTTCTTCATCCACGTCAACAAAGATAACCTTCTGAAATGTTTCGAATCAGTTAACTTACATTTACTATTATGACAGTGGGTATCTTTGTAAAATTTCACGGTAGTTGCACGAAAATTCCAGATCAAATTATATGCTCATGATACACGGGCGTTCAATGAGACGTGAAAGCTTGTCTTGCACGATAGACTGACAACATCTCACTTCTCTGTCTGCGTGCAAAACAGGCTAAAACGGGCGCTTAAAAATGGAAGAAATTGCATTTGCAATAGACTAGCTTTGAGTCACACTGCCGCTTCTATGCAATTGCGGAGATCTTTTGTGGTAAAGAACATAAAAACTTGGTCACTTTTCAGACGCATGGAGAATCACCCAGTGGCAAGTTCAGTCTTTGTTTACATGCACTCACCCAGAGCCCTTTGCCAAGTGATTTTCCCACCTGTAACATTCGATAATCAATCATCACGAGGCACATCCACTCCAGTTTTACAAATGTGCATCCAAATGCCATCCAGTGATGGCAATTTCGAATAGCGTTAGACGTTTTTTAGTCGTGTTTATAAAACCTCTCTCCTTAAAGTCGGCCTCGCCTTTCCCGCTGTGCGCTGTGTATCAGAAACAATAGATCGTCTATGTTCATTATTATCCTTTGTTTTTAATGTGTTTGGGTGATAAGATGCACGTTCAAGAAAACACGAAATTTTCCATTTTTCAATATAACCGTGCGTCATCGTTCGTAATCGCGGCCTGAAAATGTAGGCCACCTGTTCTAATTTGAGTTCACTGGTTCTAATAGGCTTAAAGTTTCGGGCCTTCGCAAAGGCTATTTACCCCTCAAAAATCTATGTTAACGTTACGCTTGCCGCTTGCGATCGCTGACGCTGTGTAAACACAGCTAAAGCGTAGGTTGTAAACGTAATCTTGACAACTCAACTAGAGGATTGCGTGTTTGGTTTAGTCATTAACAAGTGATCATGCAAACTTCAGTTCTCGCCCGCACATACTGCATACACAGCGCTCGTTGTGCGGCTCAAATAGGATTTTAAAAAAAAAATCTTACGAACCTGTATTGCTTATTTGTTTGCTATGTCTGGTTACGTCTAATAGGTTATGGCATTTGGCCTTACCTTTGCCCTGTGTGCAAGCAGTGCCCGGGTTATCGCAAATCCAATGCCTCTTGCACCACCAGTAACAACGGCAACAGCTTCGTCGATTTTCATCTTCGCCAATTTTGAAATGCACGTTTTCGCTGCGATAGCTTTTGCACAATTGTCAACACACAAGTGACGAACAGCGTGGAGTATAATTATCTAGGGGACGATACGGAAGACAAAACATATAATCTGACCAATCATAATCCATTCTCTGATCTAACGGATTGCATGGAACTTTCGCGAGTCACGTATTGCATCTAAACACAGAGCTGTTGTTTAATGCTCGCGATTTGGAAAGGCACTCTGCCACAAAATATTGAATCAAGTGTGTCTAGAGGGTTCTGCTTTACCATATATTGCAAAGAAATAATAAAACTCCATCGCTTTCAAAATAATATCTGCATTCGCGTGGCTGTTGAAAATCGTGATCGTACTGACCACAAAATAATTAATTATTCATCATCAAATGAAGTCAGGCATTTCTATTTAAATTATTTACAGTATTTTCAAATTTCACATTATCGCCCTATTGTAATTGTCCAATAGATCTTATTGAATTTTATTATTAAGTTAACGATTTTGGCTTAGGATTCAGAAGATTATCGTGTAGCTAACTTACATATTCGCTGAGACGTATAGCATGTAGTCCGTAGTATTTTGGCCTTTGTTGATTTTCTGCTAAGTACCCTACACTACAACTTTTCATGTGTACAGTTTATAACCAAGATCCAACGACGCACGATATGATTTTCAGGTATTGAAATAAGTCGTTATGAAATAAAACAAACACAGGCTATTGTCTGGACGACTACACACCACTTCCAGAATCATGTTATATTCTCATTTCAATACATTAAAATCATATTCTTCTTCTTTTATACTTCGACTAAGCGTGATCGTGCATGCAATCAGCCTGTAAAATATTCATCTGAAGTGAATTGAATCCGACAATTGGATCGTGTGACCTACTTCTGCATGTGATATGCCCTTGAATGGGTTATGAACTTTCTCTTTATCTGCACGTAGATATACACAGTTAGACATACACAGTCTTCGTGCATGAATCAATAAAGAGGTCACACACATCGGACGAGATTTGGCAATCCGCAGGGTAAATTTCGAGACGTTATTACCCGAATCACTTTTTTTAAAGAAGACATAGAAGGGCTGGAACATTCTGAGGAATTCTTGCCCGCAAATCCCAGCTGCTGAAACGATTCATTTCCGAATTGTAATATCCCAAAAAAGTCCGATGTGTGCGGTCCTCTGGGCTTATTCTATAGCGAGTGTTTTTGCCAAGATTTTTTCCGTTCCATCAGCAAAATGTCAAACAGAGATTAAATATCGAACTGTACTTGAAAACGTAAAAAGCATCGTGACTGGTGACCTTGCTTGCCAAATCTTCGAGTGAACACGCCGTGTCGAAGTTTATGCACGCATAAGACGATATCAGATAAATAATCCTCAATCATTACTATTATCGGGAATTGTGCAGTTAAAAACACTGGCTATTCCCTTTAGCGCGAGCAGGATATTTTCAGTGGCATTCCCAGAATGATAAAATACTTCTATAGACTACACATCGTCTATTTTCGTCTCAGCAAAAACGTTTTGTCTAAGATATACATATTTGCTTTCAGGGTATACGACTCAAACAGCTTCCATGAGGGCAAAATGTTCAATTTTCTTTTTCTCTCCTCTTGACTTGCTACCTCTTTGCCTCAATCCGCTAGCCTTTTTGTCCAGTTCAGATACTGAGATATTTCTACTGCGATCGGAGACCTGATACGGTAATTCCCGGGGCAATATGTTTTCAAGATTTTTCTTGTATTCAGCGTATCCATTTGTTTGCCATCTGTCTTTCGCGTCCTTCAGCAAATCCGTTTGATAAATCTGATCCGTGAGGAATTTCAGGCCGGCGTTCTCGTCTTGGGTTGCCTGAGGGTCACTAAAGGTCGCATAATAATACTGCGGCGGAATGAAGGTCAGAAACCTGACTGACTGGTTTATTTCAGGTTTTTCCGGCTCGTAAAGCAATGAGCTTTTATCTGCACGGATGATTACAACGTTCACTTTGTATGCTATGGCAAAGGCCATTAAGATATAATGATCTTCCTTAATGCCTTTATCACGTACCTCGTCTAACGCCACATCTTCAATGTAATCCTCAAACATTGGACAATGATCATCTTTGTTGATTAAATCTTTGAACAGAGCATGCTTCTCTAGTAATGCAGCCTGGACCTTCTCGCGGATTTTTCGTACAGCAGTTGCGAGCTCCTTTGGTTGCAGAGGTTCATCTCTGTCTTTGCTATTCGCCAGTCCTGCCCATAAATCATTCTGCGGAGATTTTTTCATACTCATCCCCAGCTCCTTTAAGACTTCTGTTAAAATAAACTGGTTTTTGCAATGCCTTGGTGATTCTGGAATGACCAAGGCCGACTCAGACACAACTGAACTCTTCTCCTCCGGTAGTTTATTTTGAAAAGTTTTAAAAGCTTCTTCCATCGTTTTGAAAATGGCATCACCATCCGCACTGTTGGCTTTCATCAGATGGATGCAGAAGAAATAGTCAAGGAAGCCTGGTTTGCCTTTTAATGGGTGATTATTCTGCCACACTCTGTGTTGGTAATACCAGTATATGTACCTAGTTAACAATATATATCCATACCTCATCATACTTCTAAATAGAACCCTCACTTTATCTTAATCCAAATTTTAAGTCCAATTTTATCTTAATCCAAATCTCAAGTCCAATAAACCTTTTCCATAATGACTTTAAACACAGAAAGTCTGATGTTACACGAAGTTTGATTGGCTCCGTAGTTTTGTGGAGCCAATCAAATCTCGTGTAACATCACACTTTCCGCATTTGACGTCATTATAAGAAAGGTCTATTGTGACCACAAATTTAACCATACAAAACGGTACTCATGAAAGACATTGTATTAACCAAACCAACTGACCTTCCATGCCAACCATGCATGATCAATTACATTTAAATGTCAGAATACAGAATAATAATAATAAACCCTTGAAGTAACCTCATTATAAGTGAAAAAGGTTACCAAAATACCAACACGTAAAAAGGGAATAAGGCTTGTTTTCCACTGATTATAATTTTCATGAGAAGTAAAATTGTAGTTTAGAAGAAATTCTCTTTTCATGAAAAATATTGTTTACTAGTGAATACAAGCTTAAAATTGTGCAGAATTGAAATAGCATTTCTTCATACTGTGATTAAAAGAAGCGTTATAATACCTGAATTTCAAGAGCCAAAATATTGCTTGAAGGTTGAAAATACACAGCACAATGGTGAAGATTACATTAAGTAGCATCATGCTGTAAACATAAGGTGCAGCAGAAAAGGAACAGGAGTTGAGGTGAAAGGGCGGAGGAAGAGATCCGCGTAGATCACATGAAAACGCCGATTTCCAACGGAATGTCACCAACGAGGACACTAGACCAGCACTGAATATCACAGTTAGTCCACATGTTGCAATAGATTTAATAGTGTAGAAGTTCACTAAATTATACTTGAATTGTAAAAGGTACTGCAACCAGTCCACCAAATAGACAAGTCTAGCATTTCTTCCAGATTTTAAAGGATCATCGCCAGTACCATCCTCTTCATCATCCTTTGGTTTTGTGCTGGGTTCATTTTTTTCCATCCATTGCTTTGATTTTTTTTTGGCTTGCAAGACGAGGTTATTTTCTTGTTTCATTGTCATAAATGTGTCAAATGATGACTCCAAGAATGCTTTTAAATCAGGCAGATTGAACCAGGACAAATGCAGAACAAATAGCAGCAACCACTGAACGAATATGATGTACGGAAACAAAATCAAAATGTGCCCATCAATATGAGTGGTGCATTTCGCATTTACATAGAAGTTCGTAGCATAGTTCAATTTGGTCTGACTGGTATCAGAAGGTAGACAAACAAGTCCTGGGGTGCCAGAGATTGTCACACCCGCCAAAGCAAATAGGACGACAAGCAGAAAGGTATTTAGCGTATAATCAATCCATATTTCCCACCATGGTTTAAAGGTATTCACAGCAGGATTGCTGGATTCCAATCGAATTGCATCGGATAATGAAATCATTTTAATGGTTCTAGGAAAGAAATGCAATATTGAGACATGTCAAATGTCAATATGATGCACATTTTGATGGGAAATTTAAGGAAACCAAGCTTTCGTACACATCAGTATGGCTAAACCTCAAATCGAGGAGGCTTTATTCCTTCCTGAGTTAAGATGTTACCTTGGATTAGATAAATCGTTGTACAGGTATTAATTCAACAGAAAATAAATGATATTGAGCATGAACTAAGGTCGCGGGTGGTCATCCGTCAAAGAATATACTGATCAATCGTTTTCTGTTTGACTGTTTCATACATACCGTTCAGAAAATCGCGGACGACGATTGTTTAAACAACAATTGCTTGCTTCTTTGATGCAAAAATATAAGTTTTAAATAGAATTTGGGCGGCGAACACAAGAACATAGTAGACTCCTCACTCCCTTCTATGTGAAAGCCGATATACATACTGTGTCTCCTTCCCCCTGAAATTTGCAGTTCAACCGTGTCAAACGCTATATTCCAGGGGGGAAAAACAAAGTCTTTAAGTAGATGTCATAAATCATAATCCCTCAATATTTCTTGAAAAGCGGAAGTATTTTAATATCCTTGAACCAAAAGTGAAATAAACACTCCTTAAAGTTCAAGCTTTCAGATCAGTTCAATACCTTTCTTTCAAATATGGACAAAATGTTTACTATTTGTTGCTTTTTTCTTGGGTGTTTTGCCCTCATTCGCTCTGGACTGTCAGCACAAGATGACATTATATCATTCTTACCAGGTCTACCGCATCAACCAATGTTTAGACAATATTCTGGCTATCTCAAAGCTCAGGGGACGAAAAAATTCCATTACTGGTTAGTTGTAAATAACTGTATTAATTAATAGGGTGGCAAAAATAGGTAGAGTGTGTTTAATACGCAGTTACACTACAAATATTCATGGCAGTACTTTATGGATGAGGTATCGAAAATTTTCTTTAATGCCCACACCTTTGGCGCCCACACTATTTTAGGCATATAACCAAGAAATATTAGTTGATGGTATATCTGCAGTCAGTTTGCATAGGGAGGGTGCATTTTACTACACATCAACCACCCATTTCTCTCCCTAATCTTTGCACAATATACTTCGGAAATGACTACAGTAGACCTCTTGTATCATCTAAGGTTTGTTGAGTCGCAGAATAACCCAAAAAGTGATCCTGTTGTGCTATGGTTAAACGGTGGTCCAGGATGCAGCTCACTGGATGGTTTTCTATCTGAGCATGGTCCATTCTTGGTAAATTACTACCAACTGTTGTCATTACTGACCCTATAATGAATTTCGTTCTGTACATAATGCAGACCATTAAGACTATTCCTAGTCTGAACTGGTCAGCAAGATCTAAGTATTGTACCCAAAGCGTACCTATTTTTACCTAGGTGAATTCCGATGGTAAAACACTACACTATAACCCATACAGTTGGAATAAGGTGAGGTGGCTAGAACGGAATGGATTGCAGATATGGTACATTTTACCAGAATGCATTCAGGAATTTTTTTTCAACGACTATTTGCTGAGTATTCTCAATAGCGTAATTCAACGCTACTCTTTTGAGCGCCCTATTTTGGATGCACTGACCCATCTCGTATAGCTTATTCTATTTTGTTTCCATTTAAAACAGGTTGCAAACATGCTGTATTTAGAATCGCCGGCAGGAGTTGGGTTTTCATATTCTGATGATAAAAATTATACCACCGATGATGACACTGTGAGTTTTAATGTTTTATATGACGTCAAATATCTCTTACAACGAACTATATTTCATCTCATGGTAACCCTCTCAATATGTGTACATAGGTCTCTATGGACAACTATGTTGCTCTGTTGGCGTTCTTCGTTAAATTCCCGCAGTTTAAAAACAATCCGTTTTTTGTCACCGGAGAAAGTTATGGCGGAGTGTATGTTCCAACGTTATCTTATCGCATTTTGCAAGGAAATTCGACAATAAACATGAAGGTGAATCGCTTCAGAATCATTTGACGTGTCGTGTGTGTTCAGTATCAAATCATAAGACGTGCAAAATCCAGACCTTTTTAGGTTAAAATCTGTCTGGCAACATGCATGTCTGCCTGGAATCCGAAGACCACAAGAAGGCAGCCGGATCGAGCTGCTTTTTTCAGAGAATTAAATTGCAAAGCCTTTAAACATAGTAATTAGCCGTTAATGGTATATCAGTTGAAAGAGCTGTTGCAAGCTGGTTGTATAAACGCGTGGTCGTTTTGTAGTATAGACATTTCTAGCGCGTATTTTTGCTAAAAAAATCGCTGTTTCTTGTTTGCAGGGCTTTGCTGTTGGAAATGGGTTGTTAAGTTACGTTGAAAACTTTAATTCACTAGTTTACTTTGGTTACTACCACGGCCTTTTCGGCGACGAGTAAGTACGAATCATTTATTCTTCCTCGTCTTTTGTCAACTGTCAACATATCGCAAACCGACACTGAGTGTTTCACATCGCTCAGGACTCATGTCCTTTCTTTTTGCTCTCGTATATTGCACGTCGCCCCTCATTCTAGATAAAAAGATATTCCACAGCTAAAATCCTACCCTGCTACCCTTCTGTGAGATAAAATACAACCGTTGACAAGTTCAGTGCTATATATTTTCAGACATTGGCACCAGTTACAAAAACTATGCTGCGTCGATGGCAAGTGTTTGTTTTACAACAAAACTAATCTGCCATGCCTTGAGTTGGTATGTATAAGTCTTGTCCTACGTTTTTATTTTTGGCTCTAAATCTTTCGACTCTAAGTCCAAGTCTAGCGCTTTTGCTTTATCCTCGCAGACAGGTGAAGTGCTGAGAAGTTTTACAAAGATCGGATTAAATACGTACGGTCTCTATCAGAATTGCAGTGGTCTTAAATCGAAAGACGTCAGACTTTTTTTCGCTTTTAAAAACCTCCTCACCACGATAAACAAGGTACGCTAATAGCTTACGCTCAATGAGGTGTGAAGATTTTATAGGTTTCTGAATGTAGCAATTTTAGGCCAGGAGTTTACAGCTTACTTCAGATTTTCTCTTTCAAGATCGTAACTGCATGTTTTCCTAGCTACCATGCACTCATTGTCAAGTATCATTGTACTAATAAAAATACATGGTTCTTCTCGAAATTTTTTATTGAATGCTCAATTCTTTTGTTAGCTATTTCAATAAATATTTCCCGTTTTAGAAAACGAAATATTTCCACACAGGAAAGCTTGGTTTAACTCCTCCGTGTCTCAACTCGACTGCCGCAAACAAATATCTCAACACGCCATCAGTGAGACAGGCTATTCATATTCCGACTATGTTACCAAACTGGACCATTTGCAGGTTTATGCACGTTTACTTATGACTAAATACGACTAAATTTTATTGTCTTCCACTTTGTGGAAATTTAAAGGAAACGTTATATTTGTTTTCCTTAGTGAAGTTGTCAACAAGAATTACAAAATGGTTTATGAAACTCTTTCCCCAGTCGTGTTGAAATTAATTCAGGTTTGTCTATTTTATTTCTCCGATTTTTATCATCAATGCAAAGCTCTATTAAAACATCACTGCATGGTGGTTGAAAAACACGAAGAACTAAGTCATACGATTCTTCATTTTATGTTTCCACATGCAGCATTATCGAGGGATGGTTTATAATGGTGACACAGATATGGCTTGTAATTTCCTTGGAGATCAAGAGTTTGTCGAGAGCCTTGGATTAAAAGTGAGTTATTAATACCATCCAGTAACTTATCCCATTCTATCATAGGATACTCTCGAGTCTCGCCGGAGCACCCTTAATTCCCCTAATTTCTTATTCAAATATTATTTTGCCCCTTATTAAATCTGTTCCCCAAAGGTTGTGAAAGAACGTCGTTTTTGGAAAATTGGACCCCAAATCGCAGGATTTGTCAAAGATTTTGAAAAACTCTCGTTCGTCACGATTAAGGTAAATAGTTTGCAAAAGCAAGTGTGTTCATGCATGGTCGGACGAAGAGTTTGCATGCAACCATTTAGTTCACAAAAATATAGCAAAAGTGGCAAACTTGACGCCTGGGTTAAACGCCGCACTTTGGTCGCGTCGAATGCTATCGCTTCGAGGTGTTTATGACTTATGAGGTTTATCGTCTCATAGGCCTGAGATATAACCCGACAGTTTGTAGTATTTCAAAAGATAAAACAGTTCAAATTGTGGACAAAGCGTTGTTTTCATTACGACTTGACATCAGGAATCAAAACTTACTGTAAAGGTATTCCAGGAACAAATGTTTCTTTCGTTACAGGGGGCAGGTCACATGGTACCTGAAGATAAACCATCGGAAGCACTGAAAATGTTCATTAGCTTCTTGGAAAACAAGCCACTTCAATAACGACGATGCAAACACATCAAGGATCACAGGGAACACTAAAAGTTGACTGAAAATTGGTCCATCAAATGGACTTAATCTGGACCCAATGAAAATTGCTATTACAAGGAATAGAAAAAAATGAAAATTATTTTTCGACTGAAGAAAACATTGCTAAGGATTGCTGTCAAACATGCATGTGCACGAGAGTTTTTCATTCAAACTTTACTGTAATTAAGTTGTATGCGTTGTCGTCTTAATATACAAGTTAAATGTTATTTTCTGAAGATGTAATAAATGTCAATGAACGCAGTTTAAAATTGTCAGAGCCTTTCATATCAATACTTCATTTTGTATCAACTGGAGTCACTCGACTATTGGCTTTGTATATCCATTTTAACGTTCGTGACTTGGGAGTGCGTTTGCTGTATGGGAAATGACATTCGCGCGAACGTTTAAATCTTTGGTAAAACGCTTGGAATTCTGCGCTTCGCAAATAATATATGGCCGGGTCTAGAATTGCGTTTACTGGCATTAAAACTCCTGTGAAGGCCGCATATCGTTGGAAGTCTATCGTCAACTTATCATCTCCATACACAAACGCAGTGATTGTAAACGGCAGGCAACAAGCTAGAAAGGTTGCACTTATGATGGCCAGTGTCCGGACCGATTTGAAGTCTTCTTTGAGATTCTTCTGCAGACCTGTCACGATCTGATTTTGACGTTTGATTTTTTTACCTTGGATCCTTGCCTCTCGAAAAAGGTAAACATTAAACAGTATTACACTAGCTGTAATAGATACAATGTAGTATCTCCCGAGTTTGTTTGCCGCCTTCCAAGGGATTAACAGTGGAGCCGTGGTGACGATTAACGCTATGACCCAATTGAGAACCACAAATATTCTCGCGCGTGTCGGAGTGACCCGACGGGTGTAGCCAAATGAGTCTATTACTGAAATTAAACGGTTGAACGTGAGCAAAAAGAGACTGCCTAGGGACGCCAACCAAACGACGCCCGTATACCAATAAAACACGTCCCAAATCCAAACATACATGTGGACTATATAAATCAGGAGTGACACTGCTGTGCCAAAGTCTGAAAATGCTTGGCTGAGAATGAATATGTTTGCTGGAACGTCGGCGTAGAATCCCAACGAAACTACCGCGAAAATAACCAGACCATTTCCAAACAAACCTAAAATACTCAGTATTATGAAAACTGCTGTCAGTATTCCTCGTTCATTGGTCGAGAGATAGGATTCTAACGGTTTTAAAAGAGTTTCGTTTCGGGTGTCCATTTTTTCTTTCTCCAAATCCAATTTGATATCCGGAGTCTCAGAAGCGTGTAATTTTATCTCTTTTGAAGCATGTCAGTTTGGTTTATATTGTCTAGTTTAGAGAGATTCACCTGCATGCGTTTAATCATTGCACACACTTGAAATTTGCATGCATTTCTTTCACTTTAAACCTTGGCTGCCAATCAAACTTTAGTCGAAAACGCTTAATCAGAATTGCAACATCAAAAGATCATGTTAATGTTCGCTGTTAATACTCAGATCTTAATTGCAACGCAAACCAGAAAGCAAATATCGTCTTATTGCATCTTAATAAATATTGGAGTATTGAAAACCACTCAAATTCACCTGTTCTCTCTTATCACAATTGACTGCAAATGCGCATTTTCCCGCGTAGCCAAAGAAAATAAATTTTAGTCCAATATCACTTAATTCTAATCACTCGATTCCGCATTATTCTTCCCACGCGCCCAGCCAACTTAGTCGCTGCGTTATTGTCTATTATGAGGTTTTGATTTGATAATTATGATGTAGATACTTATATTTGAAAAAAAATAAATAAATATGAAAAGCGAGAATGAACGGAATCGTTTCTGTTTCAAAATTAGCAATGTCTTCGTGTAGATGATAGTCAGTCACGTTTAAGAAAAATAGGTCTTTTCTAAGCCAAAAATTTACTAGTTTTGAAATGCTTTTTCCTTTTGAAATGTTTTTTCCTTTTGAGATACTTTTTCTAGAGATACTAGTACTTCACCCGAGCCTTTCCAACCGAGCACTTTGCGAAGAAGTGTGGTAACGAATCCAAGATGGCTGCCGTTCGAGGTTTGGAAAACATTAATCCCGAAGTTCATCAAAAGGTTAAAGAAAGAATATTGCTTGCAGAAGAGGAAGATGATGATGTTGTGGATAAGATTGATCAGAGGGAGGTGTTTGGTATCCTTTTTCTATTCTACAAGCTACAAAGAAGCAGAAATTTAGCCTAAACCTTAGTGTACTTTCATCAGTTTCATGAACGAATCATCCCAATAAGACTTATTCCCATTCGATATCATAGGACGGGAAACCTACTACAGGTTTATTCTTAATATTCAACAAGATCTTGTCCGTACAATCAATGATCCTGAGCATCCACTGACTCTGGAGGAACTGAGCGTTGTTGAAGAATCCCTGGTCAAAGTTGACGATGAAAACAACAGTATTCACATCAACTTTACTCCAACCATACCTCACTGTAGTATGGCGACCTTAATAGGGCTTGCCATCAGAGTGAAACTTTTGAGATCATTACCGGAAAGGTTTAAAGTTGACGTTGAAATAACTCCTGGAAGCCACGCTTCTGAACATGCTGGTATACATGTCAAATATACAGTTACAAGTTAAAAATAAAAAATTAAAAAACTCCATATTGGTTGATCCCTTGCCTGGTGAAATTGGTGATATTTCACTGCTAATTTCATGAATTAAAACAGAACCGTTTTCTTGTCCGATCAGTCATCGACTCTTTATTTTTGTTTTATTTTCAGTAAACAAACAGCTGGCTGACAAAGAGCGTGTTGCAGCAGCGTTAGAGAATTCTCATCTCCTTAAAGTGGTTAACCAGTGTTTATCTTCCGCATGATCAGCCAATTAATCGAGCGAGGACGTGTCTGGCCGAAGATGTCGGTGAAGATTGGATTTAATGCGAGAAGTTCAGAAAAACAAAATTGAAATAGAACTAAATAATGTTTTTCGGTTCGGCTTTCGAATTGCGCGTTTTACGAATGATAGTTGGTGGTAAAAATAGCACATCATTGTTATAACAAGCACGATTTATCCAAAGAAATCAACAACATAGACTCGGGTAATATATACCAACTTTATGAAACGACTATAGTTTAAAATAGCACGTTTGTAAAAAGGGACATAGAAATTGTAAATAAATGACTGCCATTGAGTGTAATGAAACAAAGTAATTTTTTCGCTTGCGAGTATTCAAGTGTATGTCAAGTGTGTGAACTGTCCAGGATTAAACGTGAAGTTTAAACGTGAGTCTTGGCAATCTTATGTGAGGAATGATTCACGTTAGGCATTAGAGCAAATGTACGCGAAAATTGTGAGCCAACCTCGTTCCCAGCGCTAGGTTGGGTAAGTGCGTGCGTGCGTAAGTGTTAGCCAATCAAAATAATTTTGTAGAACTTCGTGTTGGGGGGGGGGAGAAGAATCACCTGCGGTTCACTGGTTGTGCTCGCTACCGATGACCACGATATTGTACTTACATCACGTTTCCGCCACAGCTGACCATTTTATATAGAATTTTAAAACACGTGGAAAAAAATTAATAAATACAAAAAATATAAATTTCATCAAAATATTTAGTTATTTCGTTGACATTGGGGATAAATTCTGGTTATATTGAGAGATCAAAATGCCAAAACGAAGCTTTGATTCCGAGGAGAGAATCCCAAGTGTAAAGGTAAAGTTGTGATGGTTGCAATTCAGAGATGCATGGTGTGAATTTCATGGTATATCATCATCGTACTGCCGTAATTTGTCGAGTTTTGATCGTTTCGATGGCTGGATTTTGTGTACTTTTCTTGATCCCTTCCCTAGCCTTAATTCTGTCATATTTATCATCATGATTCAGTTTATTTCATATGTTTCTGGACTTGCCATGCCATCATGTAATCCTTCTACCACAAGTCCACAGGCAGTCGTATCAACCAGTGGGTTTGCACATTTGCAGAGACTAATTCATGAGTTTGATATAGAAAAACATTGATCTTCTTCCCGAAACGCTGAGTGAAAAGGTTACCATAGAAACAGGAAATGATAGCACAGACAGTGAAGAGAGTGAATATGAAGGACTGGGCTCTGAAGAAGATACAGATGAAAGTGGAGAACTTGAATCGTTTGGAAATGTGAGTGCGAAATGTACCATAGTGTGATGCTCAAGTCCTGCTTTTAGTGGTATACTGTGAACTAGTTAGTTATAGTAACCTGATCACCGTCAATAACCAATAGGACAGCTCAAATGAAAGTGACGAAGGTGAACCAAATCAGGAGGGAGATCTGGATGGACAATCAGCTTCAACCAAGAGTGAAGATATCAATAATGGTGATGAAGATGAAAATGAAGAAAATGAAGGAAGGAGAAGAAATGGCAGAAATCTGGCAAAAACGAAGGAAAATATAAAATCAAGTGTTGATAATGAATCAGAAGATTCTGACGAGGAGGTTGTTCAAACAATGCCCGTTTCTACCAAGCTCTTTATCCCATCTAATTAGTAATAATGACCTTCCTGTAGGAGCTTCGTAATACCATTGGGAACATTCCAGTTGAATGGTATAATGAATATCCGCACATAGGATATGATCTGCAAGGAGAGAAGATCTTAAAACCTGCAACTGGAGATGAGGTGAATTTTACTTACAATATAACTATTTGTGATGATCGAATTGCTCTCAACCATGAACTAAAGTTCTTTATGTTTTATCGCCAGTTGGATGAATTCCTATTAAAGATGGATGATCCAAACTACTGGTAAGAGAATTACCTGGCGTTGTTGACAGTCAAGAAGCAAAATAGAGCAAATAGATTAGGAGTTATAAGAGAAATAGCCTCCTCTTATCAATATTAATATGAAACCTTTGAACTCATTCTAGGAGAACAGTGAAAGACAAACAATCCATGAAAGAAATAGTTTTAACCGACGAAGAACTGGGAATAATCGAGAGTATACAAAATAAACACTATCCTGCAAGTGCTGACGATCCTTACCAGGTAAACAACCAGCATTCCTGAAGTATTCTGTTTAAACTGGCTACTCTAGGTCCATCCACAATGATATGCTATCATCCTCTTTGTTTTCAGCCGTACATTGATCACTTTACGTCCATTAAAATGGATCATCCAATATCCAGCGGACCTGAACCAAAAAGTAGATTTATACCATCCAAATGGGAACACAAAAAGGTATATTTTCGGAAGAAGTTGAGTCATAAAACGTCTGTTAACAACTAAACAGCGCTGATTGTGATCTGGGATATTTTCATTTGCAGATAATGAAGATTGTTCGTGCAATTCGCAACGGTTGGATTAAGCCAAAGAAATCGGAGACAGATAAACCTCGTTATTACATGATTTGGGATCAAGATGATTCACAGGTCAACACAGCATGTCAGCCGAACATTGTGTTGAAAAATATGTCTTGTTATAGAAAATACCGACTTTTCGTTTTGATTTTAGAAGAAGTTAGCGAGATATAATATGCACATTCCTGCTCCGAAGATGAAACTACCGGGTAATGAATAAATGAATATTGTTTTTATTACGAAACTGACGGTATTCTTCCATTGAACGGATGTTTTTTTATTTCCCAGGTCACGAAGAATCCTACAATCCACCACCGGAATATTTGCCAACAGAAGACGAAGTACGCTCGTCCTATTTTAAAATAGCCGAAGAAAATTGTCTTGACTATAAATTGCGCTTTCTTAAGACCTTAAACAGTCTAACCGAAGTAAAATTATTTTTTAAATTTCATGTTTAACATTGTGTGATTGATAAACTGCATGTCGTTCCAATCAGGTCAAATTGTGGGAAGATACGGATCCTGAAGACAGACCAACAAATTTCCTGCCAAAAAAGTAAGATTTTTCATTCAAAACAAAATTTTTTCATTCCTCTTTTCACTCATATTGCCTCTTATTTTCACCCATTTTGTTTGCTATTATCGGCGTTTTTGTTATCTCTGTAGGTACTCTAGCTTACGTCTAGTTCCTGGCTACAACAATTTTGTCCAAGAAAGATTTGAAAGATGCCTTGATCTGTATTTGTGTCCACGACAAAGAAAGATGCGGGTGAGAATCATTTTCAGAAAACTCATAACCATGATTTCTGTGCACTCATTCACTTGATGTATTACTCACAGCTGAACGTCAACCCTGAAGATCTCATTCCAAAATTACCAAAACCAAAAGATCTTCAACCATTCCCAACAATTCAATCATTGGTAAGAAACATCTTGTTTCTTGAGACAGATCATAATTTTCCAGAAGACCAAAAATATTGCACGTCTTTTCAGATGTATCAGGGACACGAAGGGATAGTTAGGTGTTTGGCGGTGGATCCTAGTGGACAGTGGCTGGCCTCAGGTGGGATATTATGATTATCTAGCTGTCATCAGATCTTGCTACACGATACATAATATCTATCATAATGGTTGCTGTATATTCCACAATCTTGTTTTTCGTGTCATAAATATACAGGTGGGGACGACAAGACTCTGAGGTACTGGGAAATAGCCACGGGAAGATGCCTTAAAAAATTACAGTTTGAACATAGAGTTCAGAGTGTGGCCTGGAATCCTAGCCCTTCGTTATCTTTGGTCTGCCTTGCTGTGTGAGTGATCTCTGCATTAAAACTATTCCGACCGCAATTATCGTCAACATTTCCAAATATGAATTAACTAAACACTGTTTTACTTCCGTAGAGACGACACAATATTAATAGCAAACACGTTCCTTGGTGATAAACTGATTTGTCAAGCCACTGAACAAGTTATATTTTCCTTTGAACCTCCCGGCGAATGTGAGTTTTTTCCTGATCACAGAACCAAAACGAACCCTTCTTCCCTCTTTCTTGTTTGTGAAAATAGTGCTGTGTGTCACTTATCCCTTTTCAATTATATAAATACATAGCGAAAGAGCAATTAGTTTTGTGGACCGACGTTAAAATTAACGAACAAGGACATAAAGACGGAATTAGACTCGCTCTTAAACATAAAAAGGTACAACTCGGTTGTGACTTGGGTTTTTTATCCACTTATCACACTGGATATGATTTCAAGATGAACAATTCTATTTCTCAGGCAATCCAACAAGTTACGTGGCATGGAAAAGGAGATTATTTCTCTGTCGTCTCGCCTGATGGTAAAATTAGCTTGTAATTTTTGTGATTATACCAATCACGTATAATTGAAATCATCAATTAAATTGGTTGATCAAAATGGTGCATTTCCAGTATTAAAAAACTACCGTAGCGTGAGAATTTAATTTGCATGATTTTCTATATTTTGATAAATCTTCATCGTAGGAGCCAATCAATCTGTGATGATTCATCAATTAAGTAAACGTAGAAGTCAGGTTAGTCATGTATATCAACTCATTTTAGTTTGTACAACAAAAATACACAGTCCTAATTGTTTCCTAATCGTTAATGCTTTGTATGTTTCACAGCAACCCTTCAGAAAATCCAAAGGTTTAATCCAGTGTGTCCGCTTCCATCCTGTTAAACCAATCTTATTTGTCGCGGTTAGTACTCGCCACATCTCGCGAATGAAGTCATGAAGATGATTTAATACAAGTTCATCTTTTGTTGAATTTTTCAACTTTCTTTTTCGCTACAATTTCAGACGCAACGCTACGTTCGTGTTTACGACCTTTCCAAACAAGAACTCCTGAAAAAACTACAATCTTCAGCAAAATGGATCTCAAGTATGGCGGTACACCCCAAAGGTAAATTCACATTTTTTTATACAAGAACCGCTTTCTCTTATATGTTTTCAAAAACGGAATTTGATATTGAGCGATATATTTTTGCTAGGTGACAATCTAATTATTGGCAGTTACGATCGCAGACTGTGTTGGTTCGACATAGATTTATCATCGTATCCTTATAAAACCCTAAGGTAACTCCCCGCATCCTTCAATATCCTTCAATACCAATGGCGTTTCCTCAGGAAAACATTTATGCTTCACTGTTATTTCGGCAATTTTCTTGATTTCAGACATCACAAGAAAGCGGTACGTCAAGTAACGTATCACCAACGATATCCACTGTTTGCCTCATGCAGTGATGATGGCACGGTCATCATTTGTCATGGCATGGTTTACAGGTCGGTAACTTTTATGCTTCTAAGTTCATTTAACGTAGTCTATATATATTGAAATCTTATAACCTATGCAATAAATACAACCTTTAATTACTTGACTTCATTTTGAGGAGGTAGTTCTAGTTTTATTTACTTGAAGCATAATTTATTTTGTTTAGTGATTTGATGCAAAATCCATTAATTGTCCCCGTCAAACTTCTGAGAGGTCACAAAGCGACAGAAAATCTCGGTTCGTATACGTAATTAAAAGTACCGCTTTCCCTGACCCTATTCTGCTGTGTATTTCGACCGTAAGCTACCACATTTGCTGTTTTCTGAAGATTTTTTGTTGTATAATTCATGCAGGCATCCTTGATTGTGTGTTTCATCCAAGTCAACCCTGGATATTCACATGTGGAGCAGATTCAACGGTCAGGTTATATACGTGAGAAAGACAGCCGAATTTCGATTCGAAAGCAGCCAGTTGTACTTTACGAGAAACAAAAATATTTTTACGATCCCAAGTACAACGACAGTCGTGCAAAACAATGTGTCTATTCACTGTATTGCCATGGGAGTCATTTCAGTTTTATATCATGTAAAATATGGCCTCTAGTTTGTCACGTGGCATATAGATACAATACAAGTGCCGAAAGGGGTCAATTGCTGTTCGAATGATTACTAACAAGACATGCAATCACACTGAACTCTCCGCCAGTCTCCGGTTTAATTGTGTCATTTTATAACATTATATTAGAGCTTTGAACTGGCTTTGATCATAAGGATGCTCTTGTAAGAACAAGTAAATTAAATCAAATATTATTGGACTACAGTAATGTCGCTATAATACTGTACGGATTAGTGATTTGCTTGGTACCGACACGTGTGGTGGTCTAAATGTTTATACCGGTGAATTAAATTGATTTGAAGCGAATTTCAACTCAAATTTGACGCAAATATATCTTCAGTAACATTGCAATCTTCTTGTGCAATAATTGCATCGTTGGTTTGATCAATCTTTGCTCAAATTCGAAGCAAAAATTCCCAATTCCTGGTCGAGTCTAATACTCGAGTTTATGTATGAATCAGTCAATCAATTTAATCCGACGTAAATCGCAAACAACCAAATTAAAAGAAAGCGATTACTTTATTCTCACCTCTTACTGCTTTATAGTGTCTTCACCACGAGCTTGCTCTGAAAATGAAGAAGCTTTAGACTTCATTTATTCATTTATGGCGTTTGTTTCATTGATATATTTAAGAAATATTCCGTCTCAAAATTGAGTTCACCTCACGTTCTACGATCGTTTAAATTTGCCTCGCACCATCCTGGTACCCAGGCTATTCCTCTTCAAAAATGCAAAGTTTTCATTGGCTGGAACAATGGACAAATTACACGACGTGTCTAATTATGAGTCGCATTTAATGCAAACGAGTTGAAATCAATTAAGTCATGCACTTGAAATTCGGATCATAATAAACAAAATTTCGGATAATAAATATATTTGCATTATGCCTATGGTGTGTTTTTTTCACAATTACCTGTCCAGAATATATAAGTATTTATGAGCCTAATATTTTTAAAATGTTTTCAACAGCTTGTTCGTACTGTTCTCTGTGTTTTTCTTCCCTCAAATTAACACCAGATCCTGAAACGCAACGAATAGGAAACTAAGCCTGTGTTATTCGTCCTAAATCCCCAGGAATACTTCGCATTATCACAAAGATACCTGCAGCAATTAACCCCATTCCCCGTGCATTGTGGCAAACGATTTTGAATTTCTAATGACATGCTAGAGCAAAAATTTGGATTGGGACACATGAAAGTTATTGAATCGAAACTCTTACTAATGTTAAAGATGATTATATATTTTAAATACTGTTTACAGTACCTTCTGTCGCCGTTTGTTTGAGAGACAGTTTAGAGTCTGACAATCTTTTTATAACCAAAGCAGGTTTAACAAGAATACTCTTAGCCTAAAACAAGACGAACAAGTTCACTGTAAGTTGACCATACACGCGATGCAGGGCAGTTCACAGGATGTTCATTCCAAAAGTATAATTTTGAATATGGAACGCTCCCAAATCTACGTCTCAGCCAAGGCAACTGACCTTTTGATTATTGGTAAGTAATGCCCAGAGTGCGGAGGTCGATATTGCTCTCATGTAGACGGAAGACTTATCGACGTTCTTTAAAATTATTTCCAATATATCATCTGAAAAAAAGGAACCACGTATCGTTTTAAACCAGGGATTATTTCTATCCTACCTGCGAGTACTGTATGAAATGACGTCGATTTAAATTAAGGCCTAATTGATTCTAATTGATAGTATAAGCGGTGGTACATTATTGAAACTACTGCAAAGCTCGACAACTTACTGTTTGAGAGAAGCAATGTTTTGCTGGGAACATGAAAGCATAAATTCCTCAAAAGCAGCATTGCGACTTCATTTATTTTCTTATTGCTGGAACTACAAAACTCGAGCAGTAAAGGAGTGAAGTTCTCGATCTTAACAATCATCTGCTGCCCATCACGATGGAAGGAGATATTTGCCAGTAGTTCCAACCATAAACTGATTATGGTTTTTTGCCCTGACTTCCACTTTTGGCGACTGAGCGATTTCAGGCGCGAAAATTCCACGATGAAGTTACTCTGGAAAAAGATTAAAGAAATGCTGTAAACTTTTTGTGCCTGTCAATTTGATAATTTTTTTCCATTCAGCAGAAAAGTAACACGGAAACAATAAAGAAAGCTTTAACTAGGTCAATAGGAAGGTATAGAACCAGCCATAACAGCTCGTTAACATATTACGTATGTAAACTTATAGTTTTCCTCCTGCGATAACATTTGGCAACAACTTCCACTTGCACTTTATTTCCTTCTTCCCTACCTTCCACATAATCCCCCGGCATTCTGACGTCATCGCCATATTCTTTAACAGCGAGAATAGAATTTGACAAGAGGCCTGGTTCCCATGTCCGCTGGAATTGTTCAAGAGTTTCGAGCCATATTTGGAGGCCATTTTTATGACGCAATGAACGAAGGTGTTGTTAGACGGACCTAAACGAACCGAGGATCCAACACCACTGGATGTATTTGACATGGCAACAGAAGCTAAGGTAAAGAAGAAGAAGGGTTCAAGCCACGGATTATATCCAGGACTGGTCGACATTTCTTACCAACCTTGTGAGCAACGCGCAGTCAGAGTACACAGGAGGTCAAGAACGGGTAAGCAAAGGGTTTTCACGACGGTACACCAGGACCATAGCTCTTGAAGAACTGATATCACACCTGCGTCGATCGCCTTCAGCTAAAATATGTAAACGAAGATGGGGTTAAATCGGTCTGACTGTGTGCCTACCAGAGCACACCGAGGACCCCAAGAAAGGACCATTTTGCAAGTCAATACTATCCATAATCGTTACCTTCGCATAGTTTGATCTGAAAACGAGATTCTTTAAGGTTTCCAAGACACGAACTATTTCGTTGAGGTGTTCCATTTCCTACAAGAAACAAAAGATATCTGCAATTATCTTGTGACTTGCAGTGAGAAAGTAATACAGAGTATTGTATCATAATACCTCTAAAGTCTCCTACCTTTTTTCGCGGTCCTGAAGTTTTTCCCACTTCTAAAGTTTCCATGTTTAGTTGATAATGTTTTTGTTTGATCTTTTCCAGACTTTTTGTGAGAAACCCATCTGGGAAAATATATAAATGGGATATCAGGCACGGCACCATGGCCCTCAAATTTCTAACAAAGCTATTAATAAATGATTTCAAGATTTCCACCCGCCTGGGTCCTCTTTACATAATATATAAGTGCACTAATGCTTAAATTTAAATCGTCAGGTATGTATATATAAGACACAAGTCAACACCACACACCTTCTATTGCGGTCTCTTTTGCTTTATAACTGATACATAACAAATGTCGAAGTGCCAAAACAACAAATTTTCTTTCCTCAATTCCTTCCTTCGTCTGTTTATCATCATCATCATCCTCGTACGCCAGGAGCAGGATACGACAAAGTTCAGCTCCATCGTCGCCGAATTCGTTTCTCTCCTCAGAAGTTTGACTCGGAACAACAGTTACATCATCTGCTTTTCCCGCGCCGCCGCCGTCTTGCGTGTTATCACCGTCCAGTAATCGAGTGAGCTTCAGATCAGCGTCATTTCCTGAGACCATACGCTTGCCTTCACGGAGTAGCAAGTGTGATAACAGATGTAGGAAGCTGCTTTGTATTTTTAACTCGTCCGTGAGCATGACATGTCTGAAGGCAACTGGCAGGGAAAGAGACAAAACATGTCGATAAGAATCGATATCGTACGATTGTTCTTATACCATCGTTTGTTATGCGTCAAAAATGATTATATACCTCCAAATATTTTCCAGTATTTCAACATCATTCCCTCCAAAGTTGTTTCCAAAAGATGGTTTCCTTTAACTGTTTTTATCAACGATATGAACACAATCACGACACTATCCCACATTCGATGGCAAGATTTTTGAACCGAACAGGCTGAAACACAAAAATACTCAAATGGTTGGTTTGGGTACTTTTACCTCGCAAAGGCCTTAATCAGTTTTTAACCACAACAAAAAATTCGATATTTACGATGGATAAACCACTTGTCTTCATATCGTGTTTATTCCCATTTGAACTACATCAGCTACATGACTGACAGTCATTCTTACCCAACGTTGAGCAGTTCACACGAAGCAGGAGAACGATTCTTTCTAAAACTGTAGTGTTCTGTTGTAAAGCATGCAAAATATGCGGGTCCTTTGAGGCACAGGTGACCAACAAAACACAAATCTTTTTGTACATCTCTAGTATATCCACCAGGTTCATCTCAAGATGACGTTGTTGTGACGTCATATTGACGTCAGCATCTTCCAGCGACGTCACAGCCCCAAGTTGGGATATTAATGAAAGCGCGTATTTGTTGTCAAGATGCCTAGAGAAAGTTTAAAGAAAAATCTTCTGTTGTTGTTATTTAGGAAATCAGAATGTTCTTCATCTTTAGTTTCTACAGTACCTGACAAAAAAACTCAACACGTCTTCGTTTTTAACTTTGTCTAAAACAGTCTCGGGGGAAACCTGGACCAAGTTAGTTACCACGTCACTCAGCGAGGCCACGAAGCGCGGGGTTGCCCACGCGAGAATCTCAAGGGACTCCACGGTTTCAGGTGAGGTGGAGAATTGGTTTCCATTCCTAGAAAACAACAGAACAAAGCAAAAGAGAATCATCCCAGAGCGTAGCCATGTGTCCCCGCACGATCCCCTGACGTTCCTGCTTACTTACCCTGTGCTCGTCGACACCACCCTACTCCCCGTTAGTAACGGTATTGTCGACGATGCACGAGTCGATTCTCCGGTACTTGTAGAAGTACTCAATGTCTCCGGCGAATTCCGAAGTAACCGTTTGCCGGAATCTCCAGTGGAACTTGATGATATCAGCGTTGTCGTTTCCGTTGATGCTCGACCACTACTGCGCTGACTGTCAGTGTCAAGAGACTGGTATGGAATACCATATTTGGAACGTGTGCTACTGGTACTTAGGCTCTCCGCAAAGGTCACAGTTCCCGGTAAACGAGGCGTGTTCTGTATGACGAGGTTATGTAACATCTGCTGGAAACTTGAGTAGAATTTGTGATGGGAAAGGAGCAAGTGCAGCGCAGGAATACCGTTGATTATCTCCTTGAAAACAAGACAAGTATTACCATGTTAGATACACTGAATATCGCCATCAGTTATTAGCTTTCCACACAGGTTCATAGTCTCTTCACTCAATGATCAACTGTTATCATAGAAGAAAAACTAAACTAACTTCATTTAAACTCGATAGCTCAATCAGTCCAAAACAAATCAATCTTCCTTGACCTCAGCTGACGGAGTCGACCACTGTCTAATTTGTCTAAAAAATTACAGTTCTAGACAGAATAACCTTACTTCATCACTTTGAACCATGAGTCCAGTTTCTACGTTCGGTGTTCCTCTGTCCTTCCTCATGCAAACGAGAAGTGTTGAAAATAGTTTGGCAGCCTGGATAAAGTTATGCAAAACTTTAATGACATTGATAATTTATTAAAATCAATCTTTGATTGTCTTTCTCACCTGATCTCTGACTAAGCAGCATTCTCTACCATCCATAAGAATAGTGACAGCCAGGTTCCATAAACCACCAGCAAAGTTCTGTTTCACGCTGAGCGGTGATCCAGTCTGTTGCAGGATGTGAGTGGCGATGGACAAACCACACCATCGAACTTCAGCTAAATGATCAGTCCACATCGTGGAAAGCCAAGGAAAGTCAGCGTTGTTGTCGCTGTCAGCGATTGGCGGGAAGACCGAAGGCCAGTCCTGGTAACGAGATGATTTGACTGAATCAATTGAGCCTGGGACTAGACAGATTACCGGAAAATAATAACGAGAACTTTCAAGTGCAGTTCAAAGCAAGGGAAATTTGTTTTCAGCTTTGCCTGGCAACCAAGGGTAGAGAGGACAGGCAAGTACCTTTATTTTTAACACAGAAGATATTTCATGGACGAGATGGGTCAGGCATAAGCTGACTGACATCGTAACTCCACGACCCATGAATGACGTCAAAGCACCAAGACGTCCAGCATTGAAAGCTGTGAGCACCTTTTAAAAAGCAGAAAAAAAGAGCGAGTAAGCTCGATAAACTTCAACTGTATTAATAGTATTTCATGCAGCTACCAATTCTGAATATAGACTATAGTCTAGTAAATTATTTCCAGAATCTTTTACCTGAAGTAAGCTTGCTAAGATATTCGTACACAGCTCCTGCGGTTCGACCAATTTTGATGCGTTACTAAAGCCAGGTATTGCTGTGATCTCGACCAAACACTGCAAGGTACTCTCCAGCACTGGTAGATCATAATACTGAGGACTGTCCGTCAGGTTGAGATTCATAGTCAGGCTGAGGGTAAAGTCACCCGCATAGATCATCTCGCCCGACCATAACCAGGGCTTGCTTACATTCCGCAGCCGTCGAAGAAATATGGCAAGGAACTCCAGTAAGTCTTTCAGAAGCAATCTAAAAGCATTACAAAATTCATCTGTGTACTAAACACACGTAAAACGTTCTATGGCTGCACAAGTCACAGGAAGTTTCCAGCTCTTTGACTGCACAAGCGCAAAGACAGAAAAGGTACATTCAATACCCCCGTCAAACACGTGTACCTCTTTGATTCGGACTGGGTACCATCTCCAGGCTCCTCTCGGACACGCAGCAATGACGCAATCACGCTATCCGGCGTCATGATCACGTGAGCCAACCATCCAAGGAAACCCTCAGGAAGGACTGAATACGAGTCTGTGATCAAGTGACAGAACATCTTGAGAACATCGCCTAGGAGTTGATCATCGTCGGCACTCTTCGGAAACACCACGAAGTATCTGGAAACAAAAAAGAAACACCATGGTCGAAAAATCTCGCACAGTTTACACGCAAATAACTTGAGCAATCGACCGGATATCCATACTCAAAGAATCGACAACTAAGAACTGGTTTACCTCTCAAAGGCAGTTCTCCAATCACAAGAGAGAAACACCTCTCGAGCAAGATTCGTACTCGGTCGTTTTTCATTTATTTCCCGAGATTTCGCTCGGCGGTCTGCCAGAAATTGCATCGAGAGCCTGTGTACTGACAACCTCACAGCGTAATGAGAGGTCGCATTGATGATTGAGTTGATTACTTCAGTCACGGCTACTTTGGGAGAACAGCTCTTCAGCAATTGCGAGTCTAGAGTCGTCCACACCAATTCTTCAGTCACGCTATACAGAAAAGAAGGATGTTACCAATATATCTGCAATATGATTTAGTCTAATTAGGTACATCACTTCACCCGATGAAAGGCAAGCTTTACCCGTCCGAATTTTCTGTCGTCACTTCCGGTATGTCATCCGGGCTCTCTCGCCAAGCTAGATTCCAGGCCACTCTCAACATCGACAACATCGGTTCAGTCCTCAAGGGATCACACTCGGTCTGTTTCTCTCTTTGATAAGGATTGTACATTTCATAAATCGGAGGATTAAATGGCAGGGTATACCTGAAACGGAAAACAAAAAAAAGTAGCGAGCCGATTTCTACACAAAAAATACTGAAAAACATCAAGTACTCCTCAGAAAAGATAGACTTGGCGATGTAACTTCAACAACGGAAAAAAATTATCACCTTTTCATAACCAAGGCTGGTAAAGCAAACATGATATCTTCTCCTTTTTCCCGTCGCTCGTCTTCCAAAGGAATTCGTGCCACTTCATCAAACAAGAGCAACGTCATCAAACACGACACCTCGTACCTCACCGTGCCCCCGGCAGGGGCGAGCAGTGCATGACGGGATAACATATCGTACACAGAGGAATTCTTGGCCAACTTATGACGACATCGGACGCTATATTCCGCGAGCATGCGCAGGATTTTCAAACACGGTGAGACGAGTTCAAGTTTAGGATTAACAATGGGACTTATGTGCGCTTTTCCATCTTTATACAACGATTCATGAAGAATCTTTACCACGAGTTCATCAGCATTCTCTTCCAGTAATACGTTGTGCCAGGAAGGATCTAAAGCGAGGCAATGGCTAATAAGTAAAGCATAGAGATCATGCACCAGCCTACAGGGATAACCCAATGTGTAAAATTTGGACCTGAAATTACAGGAAATTCATTGTGTCCACAACATGAGTTCCGTGGTTAGTGGAACAACAACATAAGAATAGTGTGACATAACCGTTGTCTAACATCCAGGAAGAAGACGTTTGAATTGATGGAGGGAACAACAACTTACCTTGCAGCAACACAGCTAACTGTTCCGCTGACGATTTTCTCAACGAAAGCTCGTTCGTTTCCATAGTTAAAATATCAAACAACTTGCTGATCCTTTCCTCGTCAAAGTTCGCGTGTTTGTTTGAGCGATGTGAACGAGCCGACGACGCGAATCTCTCGACGATAAAAAGATCACAACTATTCTCCAGGCCTCCGCTCGGATAAACCATCTCGCGTTTCTCCTTCAAATCTTGCTGGACTAGACGGTGAATTAGATGACCATAACTTTTTGCGCGTAGTGCTTTGTCCTTCAGCAGCATGCAGCGTAACCAACCTCTGAGGCGTTCGAACTCCGAAAACGGGACGATATCCCCGTCGGCAGTTAGGGAACAGGGCGATTCACCCGGTGGGGCTAACAACCCCAGCAGGCACGACCCTAGTTTGGTTCGCTTGTCCAAGTACATTTGAAGAAAAGAAAGGGAGGTCACAAGATCATCTAGTAGTTTTCTCCACATTTTAGCGCCCATATTTAGTCTGCCATCCAGGAGTGTCCCGATGATAGTTGAGGCTGTTTGTGAAATCTGCCGAACACAAAATAGCTAGAATTTATAAGCTTATCCTAGTGAGGGAGTGACTTACAGTGTAGTGAGGGAGAATGACTATCTGTTAATAAATAAATTCATTGATAACTCACCTCCGGGTCGGTGTCTGCCAAACCATAAGCACTCAGAATGAAGATAACGTCACAATCTATCATAAACAACGCTCGGCTGCAATGCTTTGACAAAGGGTTAGTGACATGGCTGTGTTTCAACGCTTGCTTCAGAACCTCGCAGCAACATTTGTACGTCTCTCGTCTGGCAACGACGTCAACACACGATAACATGGATAGAAGAATATTCTTTGATAAAACCTTTGTTTCGCCATGGTTTGATGGCCGTTGATGGACGTTACTGATCAACTTAACCGCATGGAATATAAGCCGCTGGTTACGGTGATAGGGCAACCCCAGTAAACATGAATCCAACTTCAAAATATCAAGCTGTCTTGGTTCATTTCTCCCTTGAATGTATGATATTCACAATTATTCTCTATTTTCCCTTTCGACTTACTTCATTCAAATCTCCAAATATTCCTTACCTTTGTTCGAATTTGTTTAAGAAAATCAACAGAGGCGACCATCGAATCTTTGACTCTAATCACCCTGTCATACACCTCCATAAAGTCCGCATCATTTTTCAAAACAGGACAACGTTCCAAGCTTGTTCTGATCCAGGGCAGCGCCGTGGAGAGGATTTCGTTGGTGATCAAGGCTCGAAATGCCTTGACAAGATCTTCATCGGAACTTCCATCATTCTGGCGGGAAAGATGAGGAAAAGTGATACAAATTTTAGCATGGTTGTTATTAGATAAATACGATCAAACGTGGCCAATCTTTCACCTAAATTCGAACGAGTGCAAGAGATGTACATACTCGTCTTCACTTACCAGATCAGAACTTATCATAGGACCATAAAATTCTATCAACCACAGTGCTATATTAACGACTGTTATCGCGTGACGGGGAATATTATGTTTCACGATGCTTTCCGAAGCTTGAAGACCACATTTCAACATGTGATGGTTGATCGTTTTTCCAACAAAACAACACAGCTTCTGGCGTAATGGTTTCTAGTGGAGACCAAAAATGAATAACACTTCATTAAAGTTACTAATTGTCATCCCAGCTGTTGCAACGCTGGGCTCAACCAAATTACCATTACAAAACATGTGGAAAATACCATTTTATGACGATGCCACCATTGTTTTTGTGGATAACAAACTTCGAGCAAGTTCAAAGCCTCTTTCACGGCTCCCAACAATACCAGCGGGTCAGCAACATCGCACAACAACGAGAAACATCCTCGCAACACTTTTAAACAAAATTCATCCATAGACATTTGGTTTAATTCCAAAGCTTCCCGAACGAGACCGTCAGATTCTTCATCATCATACGCGGATTCAACGCTCCCAGCTCGATTCAACGATTCGCTGAAAAAATAAACGTTTACAATGCAGACACTTGTGATCAATTGTTCGCTGGTTCTCGCAACGCAAAACTACCGACCATCGTGTCTCTTGAATTCTCACAGCGAACAGGTTGTTTCAAGCGAAATGATAAGTTTAATTCTAAATTAAAGACGTAGGTCTTACCTCGATCTATCGCCTTCATGAATATTTGTTCTTCAAATCAGACATCTCGCTTGTCGGTGAGACAACTGCACTTGACGGGACGAGTCATGCTCAGCCATTGTCGCCAACAGTCTACAAAAAGACACCATGCTTTTGGAAACTGAATCCTAGCGTTGACCAAATTGAGCTTACGTCAATGAGCTTTCCATATAACGACCTTACCTGGATGAAGACTGTACCACTGGGGATCAGTCATGAGGAGATAACGATGCTTTAAGTGGATGCAGAGTGTGGATAGACAAGTTACCGCAGACATACGAAGATTCTGATACTCTGACGATTGGACTTCTAACAGATTGTATAGAGTCTAGAAAGAATTTGAAAAATCTACATGTAAGGCGTTGAGAACATGCAGCCTCGAACACAGGGAAGCCAAGCTGGACACTTCTAAAAAGGTTTAAACTGAGGTGAAAACACACCTGGACGATGCTTGGTCGCTGTAAGAATATCTCTGCAGGAAAATCTTTGAACAACACGTCGCTCAGAAATTCGCACGATTTCTTTGCGAGGATTGAGTTATTGCTCTGAAGTCGCGTGTTTGTGGTCGCCAAGACGTGACGATCACTATCCGCTAGTTGGATCCATGGAAAATGCCAGTCAGCTTGGGTCCTGTGATCCTCAACTGTCAAATGAACATTAAGATATAGTTTTCTCAAATTGTATATTATCTACAGTACAACCCCCTGATGAATCCGTGTTGAAACCGTCTGGTTTTCACACTTTTATGTGGAAACCGATCTAGTTTTCCTCTCACTATAATAAGAGCACTAATTCTTTGAACTTTTGCCAGTTGTGTTGTAAAACTCTTAAAACCCTTCACATCACATCTTAAAGAGGACGTAGGATCATTTTACCTGCTGCTTCATATCTATGTCCTGCAGGATTTATTTGATTGTCATCAACTGGTGATGCAGGTTTCTCTTGTATGGGTTTTCTTTCTACAAAGATTGTTAATCCTTTGTATATACAAGCAACACATGCATACTGATTGTATGGTTAGTTTTCAGCAGCAAATATCTGTGTACATACCTTCCACCTCTTGCGAGGGATCAGCTCTAATTGGTTCCTCACTGGGTTGGGAAGAAACAGCCTCCATGCCACGCCCATAATGTAGTGGTTCTTCCTCAAACTCAACAACCTCAGGTAGACTAAGAAGGCTTGTTAGGACATTGTCAATATATTGATACAATGATGGATCTATGTCACGACGTAATTGAGACAAGAAATCGATGGCTCCAAGGCTGACCAAGGTATCCAAGCCTGAACTGTGCTGTTAAAAGTGGACAACAAGAATATATATACTGATTTCTGGGGGTAATTCGACAGACACTTTCAATAGATGCCTCCTGGATTTGCAATGTGTGAGTTAATTAACCAACAGGAAACATCGCTTGCCTCATTTTCAAGGGTGTATTCGTAATTAATAGTATTAATAATTTAGAGAGCAGAATTTACAAGTGATGCATAAAATCAATAAAAAAATCAACCTTTGATAACTTTTCCAGCAATTGGAGGACGTTTTTTTGCTGTGAACAAGGCTCGAAATTAAACCATTCTAACAGCTTTACAAACAGTTCCTTCTTGTGAACAACATCGCCAACACAAAGTAGATCATGGTCAAGTTTGAATACGATATTTTGAAGAGCACGCACACGTATTTCTTCGACAGAATGAGCTAGATGATATATAAAAAGACAAAAGCGATTGAATTGCAGAAGAATCGCAAAACCATACCAGCTATATGCTCGACTTGGCGAGTCATTGGTGCACCTACCTAGTTTTGTTATCAGTGGCTGAATGTCAATTTCGCCATCAGATGTCAACGGAGACCCATCACTCATGATTTAGTGAATTTACCGCAAATATAACTGTTTGTAAACACAGTAAACACAATTTTTTTGTTTGTAAACATTGGAAGAAGTGAGCGCCAACATTTTGAATTTTTGAATTAAAGGATAGAGATGGATAGGATGGATATCCTAGATTATCCACAGTAATCCCCTTTGATGCACATATATCCTAATATATCCCTCTTCTCTCTAAGTCGCCATTTTGTAAATTCGTATTTCTTTCCGAATAAAAAATGCTCAGTTCAAGAGCAATGTCGCCGAGTATTTCTCGGGTGCTTTCCGCGACTGTGGTGAACGTATCAAGCACAGTGAGAAACCCGACAACAGCGCTTCCGAGTAAAGACAAAGTAAAGATTCCAACCACAGGATATGAAGCTGTATTTCAGTCAGTGAATGGTTTTGCCCCGGCATCAACGAATAAAATGTTTGGTTAGACTTTTTATTGCTTTATTTTGAAATAATTGAGTAAATAAACTTTTTGTGGTTCCGTATAACTCTCTGAAATGCTCTGAAAACTGTAGTATTTACCTCTTAAACGTGTGGATATTAAGATTTAACAAGAGTACTGTAATTATATAATTTATATTTACCTCGAAGGTATTATGTTTTAGGTAAAACTCAAATGAGATTCAGCCATACTGATGTCCAAGTGCCTGATTTTTCTGCATATCGACGACCGACTTCCAACGAGAAAGGCCAACCGCTTGATGCGGACATGGGTCGACGTGCATTTACGTATGTTGTGATGGCAGGCATGGGTATTACAGGATTGCATGCTGGAAAGAATGCTGTAACAAATTTCCTACAAACAATGTCTGCCAGTGCTGATGTTTTGGCCCTCGCTAAAATCGAAGTGGATCTTACCACAATTCCAGAGGGGAAGAATGCCGCCTTGAAATGGAGAGGTCGGCCTCTATTTGTTCGTCATAGAACGGCTGCCGAGATTGAAGATACGAAGAGTACCAATCTTGCCGAGTTAAAAGATCCACAGCATGATGATGATAGAGTTCAGCGACCAGAGTGGTTGGTCTTGCTTGGTGTCTGCACCCATCTCGGCTGTGTACCCATTGCCAATGCTGGTGATTTTGGTGGTTATTACTGCCCATGTCACGGTTCCCATTATGATGCCTCTGGTCGGATCAGGAAAGGTCCAGCCCCATTCAACCTGGAGATCCCTGAATATAGTTTCACTGATGAAACCACGCTTGTTGTTGGATAAAGATAAAACATAATTATTTAACTTTTATATGAAGTGACTTCAATTATACATATATACAGGATCTAAAGATTGCGGTATTTTAATTTCAGAATGTTTAACAAGGCTTTCCACAGTTTTGTCATGCTATAAGATCTTGGAAAATGGTTATTTAAAAAATGAAAATACGTTTTAAAGTAGTGTGTTTTTTGTGTTCAAAATAATGAAATATTTGTTGTATTCTTCAAAATAATGAAGTATTTGTTATACATATCTCTCAGTATGGCCAAAAATAGAAAGATGTTCAAATTCATTGCAATATAATTACAAATCAAACAACATTATATTGAATCCTCATGATAACCACCGAAAACGTGGGCGGAAAGCGCTGCTGATGAGAATAGAGTATCATTAAACGATGTTTCCAAAAGAATTGAGAACTTCCTTTTGCATTTGGGAGGCTACCAGTTCGTACATCCAGTGTCGTGACAATTTAAAATTTTCGACGTGCTAATTAATAATAAAAAAATAAAACGTTTTCAAAGTAAAAAATGAATGAATAACAATGTTTGAAAATTTAAATTGCTTCCCATTGGAGATGCCTCCCCGGTTGCCAGATTAATTGCATTGACTGCGCTAATGTTAGAGATCTTTTGAGAAAACATCTTGTCTTATTAATGTCGATTGTCCACCTGCCTTGGCCTGGTAAAAACAAAGCATTGAATTAGTTCATATTGTGTTTAAAATTCACTGTCTGATATCCCATACAGGTAAATTGTAAGTAACACCAAAGGCAATGGTAACAAATAGTTTTTACACCCAATTTTGACACCTTTTCTTCAGACTCCCAACTTCAAAGTAAACTTTCGTGATTATTCATTCACCCCCAAAATTAGAAGCCTTTCTATTAGGACACAGGACAGGTGCCGTGAAAAACACTATCGATCACATGTCAGTGATCAGACTTATTCGTTTTTCTGCTATTATGAAATATAAATTGTCTCGTAGAAATGGAAATAAAATGTTAAATTTATCCTTTGAAAGTTATAAAACTACCCATTCAAACTACCTATATTCATGCACAAAATTTCACATGTCTTTGAGTATGGATTTATTCTTCAAAACATTAGCTCCGTACCCCTTATCGTGACGACGTGAATTTTTAATAATATATTAAGCAATATTAATTCGGAGGATGCATGTCAGACTTTATGCATGTTCAAATAATTTTAATTAAAAATTTTTTACTCATTAAAACTACAATTGTTATTTGCAAGACTAAGCCGCTACACCAATTATTTGTTACGGAACCTCGGCAGGTTAAGAATGGCGGTAGATAAGACTTCTGTTCCAGCGAGTTCTTGTCGCTTGCTACCTCTAAAATCCACCCTTTCCTCGTTGTATTTACTAACATCGTTTTTTGGCCACAAAAATTGTTTCCATCACAAGTGCTTCAGGCTGGGACTAGGGATTTGGGTGACAAATATATTGATACATTTTGTGATGGACTTTTACGAAGCATACGCGATCTTTGGAACTGCCTGGGCGACCGTTATAGGAATGTATCTTATTACTTTTATCGTCGCAAGTAGCACCTTGGCAAAGACCACTTTACCATGGTTGGAAAACAGCCTGATTATGTTGCATGAAAGTGGCCACTATCCTGAGACCTTGCGTTATATGAGGATCATCTTGAAGGTAGGTGTGATGGTCCTGAACTCTGAACGCTTCTATGGACAGCTCCGTTATGGTCTGTCCCACACAGATCAAATTTTGTTGGACCAATTCAGTTCTGGGGTATAGAATGTAGTCTGTTATTGATACAAGCAGTACTGCATTGGTTTTAATTGATTTTGCCCATTTGCCGAATTGCCCATATACATTGCAAGTCTATGAAACTTCCATCAAACATTTTTTAGCAAGCACATGTCCCATGACTCCCATTGTGGCATTGTCTATGGAAGGGAATCTAAACTCTCGATTCTGGAGTGGATAGTTTTAGTTTGTTTTAGTCTGATAGTCTGTTTCCAATCATCGCATTCGTGGGTACATAGATCAGGAGATAGTCGTCATCGTAATAACATATCTTGATTGATTACCCCCAGGTGGCTCCAGTAGTTGTGATTTGCATGGGCTGCGCTGGTGGTGCAGGTCAATACACCTGCTACTACGTGGATGGTGCAACGCGTTTGGACTTCAACGACGCTCTCCCTCATTGGCTGGTCATTTTTCTAAATATCGTGAGATTTACCAGCCTTCTTCACATGTTCTGTGGCTACTCTCTGTTCCTCGTCATCCCAGTTTCTGTTGCAATCATTTCACATCTCTCCATGAAAGAGTTCAAAAGTATAGTCCAAATTCTTTATTTAAAATTCTTTATTAATCCTGGGTAACTGTGTTTAGTCAAGTATTAGAATATTCGTAGGGTAACACTTTCCAGCAGATATCTCGAAAACGTTCCCTAGTTCCCTTCTCTTTTGTAAATAGACCGATATAGAAATGACCATTGCTGGAAATGATGATTGAGTGCCAAAGATAATGAAGTTATTTTTTTTTAAACAACAGGTTATATGGATAAAGAATTGCAGAATCTAAAGACGAACATGACCTTTGGAACAGCAGTGACGTTGTTCGAAGAACGTGTTTGTTTTATCAGTGAGTCATCCAAATCATGTTCGGTAAGTTGATCAGTTCATTCTTGTGTCAATGGTTTCGCTGCCCAGGAAAGGAATGTTTCACAACAATCACACTCACTAACCAGCCTTACTATTACATGAGTATTAATATACTGGATGTTCCTAATCGTTTACAGATGCTGTTGGTAATTCTGGTTATGTCGTCAACACTTTCCTTCACATTGAACGTTTACAACTTTTTGTTTGTCCAACGCCTCGCGGTTTATTTTTGGTTTGCTGTCCTGCCATTGCTTTGGATTGCTATTCCTCTCGCAGTTGGGGCATGGGCGACGGACACCTACCAGACATTTGCTGGAGTAGTCCTCAAGAATTGGGCCCGGACGTCCGGGGATAACTCTTCCGATTCCTCGCAAGGAATGGTGACGAGTGATGTCTCGCCAGAGATGGCTTGTATCACGTGCCGCGATTCTGCACGTGCAAAATTATCAAACAAAATCTCGGGTTGCCACTATGCGAGCAAAAAATTTCGAACGAATTTACGGAATGTAGTTGTTCGACCATTGCAGATCGAGCCCTCTGCTCAAAATGCTTGCACCGTCCAATCGGAGTTAACTGAAGATATAAAAAACATGCCTTGTGTTGATATGGTCGAGCCTGCTGTAGCCAGCAAAAAGACAGATCAGTGGACGTGCGAGGCTGAGGTGCTACAACTTAGACCAGAGTCTGTCCTTAGTGGGGAATCAATTGGTCTGCGAAGTAACCCAGGCTACCCAGCAGATAGGTTTGATTTCGAGAGGTATATTATATATCTACAATGTTTGTTACCAGATGTTGGCTTCTCTGTAGCTGGGTGCCTTTTGACGTGGGACAAAGTGTTTGGGTTGGCAGTCTTCATGATATCATTAGCAGCAGTGTTTATACAGGAGGTGATGTTTGGTAGCAGAAAGAACACGATTGGTCGACCATAACTTTGACTTGATTAGAAACAAACTACGATGACACCATACCATTGCATGGCGACCCGTGAAATAATTAAAAAGTTTTAAATAATCAATTCTCTTTTTATTGCACAGCAATAATAATAGTTACCTAACGATATTAAAAAAATCTACATTACTACATATGTACAGTTTGCGTGAGGTCGCGTTTCACCTCAATACCACATTCGACTCAGCACACCTAATCTGATTCAAAGCACAGATCAAACACACAAGCCCCGTTCTAAAAACTACTTGGAAAGTCAGCGTTGAATATGACCTATGTAGACATCAGTTTCGTTCACCTCGTAGTTGCGCTATTACTTCATTCTTTTTTCTCAATTCAAGCTCCAGTTTTCGGAGTTTTTCTCGCAGCTCTTCATTTTCTTTTCGTTCGTTTTCATATTTCGCCAGCAGTTCTGCGAAGCACTACAATGCCAAAAAAATCTATCATTTCTGAATTCCTCACAGATCAATTCTTGAAGGAAGAAACTCAGTGTGCGCCATATCAACGCTTCTTTCCACCCCACTTCCCAAATCCTCTCCCATCCAAAGACCCCTCTTACCTTATTCTTTTCACTAAAAATATCCATCGACATAATCTCGTCCGCTGTTGGTCTGTTTTCTGGATCTTTTGCCATCATACGAACAATTAAATCAGCCTATAAAACACAAAAGATTGCCAAAAGATTAAAACAACTGGTTGTACTCCCACAATTGAAATGACAATAAAGATCTAGACCCCTTGCCTGTTCTGGCCAAAGATCCCTAAACGCCTGTGGGACAACGCCCTGTCTTAGATCTTTAATACACCTATGTTTCTCCATCTCTGTACCAAAGGGCTGAAAGAACTCGAAGAGAACTATTCCCAAACTGAAGATGTCCGTTTTGAAACAATAATCTTTGTTGTACAGTTGTTCTGGGGATGCGTATGTACACGTGCCAACACCAAGGGTCTGGCTGGTGGAAGATGGAAAATTTGGGGCACCTGTGCAGGGAGAAGGATGGTAAATAAATGAACTCTGAAGGATCGTTTACAATCGTTGCTGATTTGGGGTATTTTCATCTTTTGATAGATGTGAAAGAGCGAATAGTTAGGAATGCTCTGATATATACGATTCCTTATTTGACCATACGTAACTTGTCTACTCATTTAGATCTATCGAATAGAGAAAATCGCAATTACCTTCAGAGAATAATGGAGTGAGTGGTTCAATCAAAGAATTGAATTCTTTGCCGTTCGGTGGATCCGCGCGAAATACGTCGGTCCGAGCCAACCCGAAGTCGCCGATTTTCACCCGATATGAACCATCGTACGCATCGCGATTCAGGAATATATTACTGGGCTGATGAAATAAGTTGAAAAACATGAAATAAATTTGTTTTAATGTCTCAAGGAGCACCAAAAGAGAGTTTTAGAACACTCAAATGTACCAACCTTCAAGTCTCGATGTATCAATCCCTGGGAATGTATATAATTGCTTCCAGCAAGAATTTGTTTAAAGATGTTCATGTTCTCTTGTTGGTTAACTTGCCCGCCTGAAAAAAAACGAAGAGGTTTTGTGAGGGGAACTGATTTGACTTTTAAAAAAATTCTCAATCCTCTTGCTTGAATACATACCATGCTTAGCAATATCCTGGTTTCTTTCCAATAACCATTGTGTAAGAGTCAAATCACACAACTCCATCTGTATAAATAACACTATGCCCAAACCCTGAAAAACAAACGTTGATATCTTTCCAATCAAAATATACTTTCTGAGGCCAGTTGAACGAAAGCTGGATAGCGCTATCAACCGGATTGTGGTTCTTCCAATCGCTCTAAAATCGCCCGTTGCTCGGTAAAACCTGAACTGAACCTGGCATTCTAAATTGGCGGTTCTCTTTCGTAATTACTTTTAGCTTCAAATATGAAACACAGACTTTACCTTGCTGCTGATAGAGTCACCAGTATTAGAACTATCTGAACCTTTACTAAAAGTATTTTTCTTGATATTATTTGGAACATGGAGATGACTATTTTTGTACGACTTGGAGGCTGTAAAGCGTTCGAGATTTGCGTCGGATGCAGATCGCTGGATTCCTAAACTATTCATTGACATGCCGTGAAATGGACCAGCCAATGCATTTCCTTAAATGATCAAGAGATGAAAATGAGATGAAAAATGAAACTCGCCATAATGTTTGATAGAGAGTCGCTGATAATGATGTACCTTTATATACAACAGGGGACGTTGGTGGACTAACAACTTTTTCATTTGGTTCAGATGAATTCTCACCCTCGTGACTTGTATCTGATGCGGTTTGAAACACTATATGACTACCATCGCTCTCCAGTGACTCTGACCTATGAAAAGTGAACACTCCCGATGAACCTTAGTGAAATATATCGTTACAGAACTCTTAAAAATAGTCCTTTAGTTTATAATACCTGTGAAAAAGACTTGGGTTCGAGTCAAGATCAACCAATCGTCCAGGATGAGTTGATATTCCTTTAAGACAATTAGAGGATTGTACATATATCACACAACCATTTTATTTAACCAAACTTCACACAAAAAAAAATGACAGTAACAAACGTATTCTGTAACAAACGTACTTGAAATACTGTTTTCCCAAGTCACAAACTCCAACCATGCAGTTTGGTAACCAACAACATTTGGATGGCGTAATGATGCCAGAACTTTCACCTCTCTTATCACCTATTTTGTGAGGAAAATATGTTTTACATTCCTTGAAAGGGGATCCCCAACCATCTGTTTTCATCCCATTTTATAGACACTCCTTTGTAAAACCTTTATATATAACATACCTTTAAACAATCCGGAATATCTTTTTCCCTTAAATATACTTTCTTTACTGCATATTCACGGCCATCCAGTTTGTTCTTTACCTATTTAAGTTAAGAATTTTTGTGTGAGAAATAACTGTAGCCACTACACATAGTTCAAACATTGTTGGTTTTCCATTAAATACCTTGTAAACACTTCCAAAACCACCCTTTCCTAGTTTTTCTATCTCCTCAAATTCCTCCTTATATCGATGCGTGTTGTACTGAAGAAGTTGCTGCACCTTGAGCAGTTCCTTGGATACTGACGGATACCTGAGGGTAAGGAATTATTTGGCTTTATATTTTCATGAAAGGACTATTTGCCCTAAGCAGCATAAGACTGAGGGTTCCAAGATATGGCAGTGCTTGAAGCAGCCTTCTTTATCCATATTAAACTCAAGCATCTAGTTCTATCATCCATCCCCAACTTACCTTGTGAGCAGGGATGTTCTTCCGTCAATCTTATATGGCAACTTATTGATTGGATTTACTGGATTGTCCTGAAATACAAACCATCAGAAAAGCAATGGGGGTTTCATTGGATTGCTGTCTATTGGTTGAATGCTTGAAAACTTATGGCACAATAGTCACACACTCACATTAACACCGGCCGCTGTCAACAGAACATTGTGGAAAGCTACGACATATTTCTCCCGCACAGCATTGAAATCTTCATGAAACACAAATTGTGGCAGTATCTAGGTACCATAGAATGCACCATGATTTATCTTAACCATTGAGCATGCAGTTGACTGAACATGGCATTTTTAATCACTTAATTTTCTCACCTTCATCCTAGCCAACTGTTCACAGATAACTAAATGAAATAAGAATACATAATTATGATACAATCCAGTGACACAAGTTTAAAATAATTGAATGCAAAGAGCTGAATGTTTATTGAATCTCTCTTGAAATCTTAACACAATGGAATACAGTACCAATAAATGTCTCTTCACATTTTTCTTGATCCTCAATGTAAAGTGAACAAAGTTGTTTGATGAGTGCTACAACCAGGAAATGGTTGGGAATGCGTTTCTCAAGTGATTGGATCACATCTGTCTGTATACCCGAGTCTAAAATTGAAGCAGAAAATGCTCAATGTAATTTTGATGGGAGTTTCAATGCACAAAGAATTGCAGATTCAGGTAAAAATGTACTCCATGACCATGGAACAATTGTTCATTTCACACATTCATCCATTCTCTTCTATGTGGAACATTATTGGTATCTTCTAATCTTTATCAAACTGGGTCATTATTTGTCCAATACAAAGAGTCTTATCAATGTTTCCGGATGTTAAGAAGGGTAACCCCCTGCCCAACCTATCCTATCAATCATTCATCTGTCATATTCTGTACAAATGACGCAATCTCAGGCCATGATCAGGTCATGAAACACGAGATGCATAATTACAGACGATTGGTATGATAATATGTTACAAAGATAAAAGATTAACAAAAAAATGCTACTTTTTATCACTATTTAGAATGACCATCTATCATCGTACCACTTTTTAGTAAAAACTCGTACAATTACATTAAGAAATTGTCATTTTACGCTTTAAAACGTACAAAATCAGACAGCAACCTATTTCGTCACGGGACTGATGCCCTGGAGCAAATTGCAACTGTCAAACGGTAATAAAGACATAATAAAATTGCAAATTTAAGACATTAGCGACCGAATCAATGATAATTTGCTACTGCAGGATTTCAGAAGATTTAAAACAAAGACGGGTACAGTACCAGATGAGAAATCGACTGTACTTCACAGTAGGAAACTTACCGTCAAAGTCAGAATAGGTTTGGGAAGATGGCTTTTCAAATGTTGTTTGGGTCCGTTTTCGCGAATTATCTCGCTCCATGAGCTCATTTCAAAGTCCTGCTAGACGAATATTGGTCTACAGCCAGCAAACACACCCGGTTTTTGGAACGGAAACAATTGTTGATGACAGAGCAGAAATGTTTAAAGGTGCTTCTTCACTCTCGTCTGTCGTCTGTTGGTAGGTTTTATTTACCTTGGCTGTTCTTCCCATGATTCTCCTCACACTGGAATGACGTCATTTTTATTTTGTTCCGTAACCTTCCGAGTCCACCACGATCGTAACCTGTCGGAAAATTAAACATTTTCAAAAAAACAAGATGGCGGCGGCGACTTTTTGTTTGCGCAAAGGATCTTTCAAGCTGTTTTCAAGCGTGTCTTGGAGTTCGTTTAGGGAAATGCCTTTAGAGGCACGCTTGACTGTACGTTTAAATGATATGGGAATAGAAAATCTCACTGAAATTCAGCAAAAGGTATCCAATTTAATTATGGCATCGAATTTATTGAAAATGTCCAATGGAACTCTTTTTTGGTACAACTTTTTTCATCCACGTATTCACAGTTTTCCTTTAACACATACTTTAAAAATATTTCTCCCAAGTATGATAGTAAAATGTATTGCAGATCTGGAAATTACATACCTCGATTTCTTTTATTTTTAGTCCTTGGGTCCGATTTTGAAAGGCGACAACGTAATCATAAATTCTGAGACTGGAAGTGGAAAGACGTTGTGTTAGTGAACTGCGGTCGTAGTTCATCATTTATATTAGGCTAACTTGGATTTAGAAACCATCCTAACAACATTAAAATGAATGAAAAATAACTATGCTTTACCCGTTCAGGTTATTTGGTTCCGGTGATAGACAAAATATTGAAATTTCAAAGAAAATTTTCAAGCCCCTATTCTGTGGTCCTTGTCCCAAATATGGATCTTGGAAACCAGGCGAGTCTTCAGAAAGTCCAGCATTCAACCCACTGTCTGGATGATTCGGTTTGACATCTATAAAGATTTGTTTTTGTTTTTTCATCAGGTAATTGAATTTGCCAACAGGCTGTTTGATCCAGGTTTGTTCGCTCAGCCTATTCATCGCGACTCTCAACTCCGTGTTAGTCCCAAATATCCATTAATCGTGAGTACGCCTCAGGCTTTGATGCAATACAACGTGAAATCCCTGTCCTCAATACAAACTATAATCATCGACGAAGCAGATTTGGTCATATCAAGTGACGGGAAGAGGTTTTGGAAGCTTTTGCAATCGTTTCAAGACCAGATGAAAATAGCAAAAAATGGTCCCCATTTTGAGGAGGTTTTCAGCTCCAACTTAACGGAAATAAACCAGTTTGGCGGAGACAAACGGAGTATACAATTCGTCTTTGCTGCGGCAACGCTTCCACAACGTGGAGAGCAAAGTGTTTTCCGCAAAATTTTAAATCAATTTCCAGATATAAATCACATAACGTCAACCAAAACGCACCAATATGTACCAGGTTTGACATGCGTGGATGTTTTCCTGAAGGATGAAGAGAAGTTGCCACAACTATTAAAGTGCTTGAATATTTTGAACGGCGTTTTACCGTCGGAAAACATCGAGAATCTGCAAGACTTTGAGAGCCGTTCGAAATTTACAGAACTTCCGACGCCAAGCAAAACCGGAGCTAAGGTCTTGGTGTTTGCAAATTCTGTTGAAATGGCGAATAGAATTTATGAGTTTTTAAACAGGCAAGAAGGGGAGACATACAAGTTCTTGGATAGAACATGCAAAGATGTAAGCGAAGAGGCTTTTCATGATTCTGTTATTCTACATCAAATCTACAAAGATAAAATAAAGACCATTCTTTCTAATAAAGGAGAATTTATCACAAAAACTGGTCCGACTAACTCCTGGCAAAATCAAGTTGGTATTTTGCACAAGCAGATGTCGAGAAGTGAGCGGCAGGAGGTTTTAGAACAGTTTGCTTGCAATGAGATTCCGCTGCTTGTGAGCACGGATTTAGCTTCGAGGGGATTGGATATTAGCGATATAAGCCACGTGATACAAGCTGATTATGCCCGAAATGCCGCTGACACGTTGCATCGCGCCGGTAGGACTGCCCGGGCTGGCAACTCGGGGACTGGTAAGTGGCATGATTTTCCTCGAAGATGAAGAGATTTTATAACATGGCTCAATCATTTCTTTTATTTTAGTCATCAACTTTATAACCGATCAGGACAAGGATCTTTGGAGAGCGATGAAAATAGCTGATGAGAGAACTGAGGTCGAGGGACTTCAACATATTTTTAGTAGAAAACGACAATTTAGTCGACGAATAAAGAAAAGAATAGGACTTATTAGTCGATAATCATCGTCGTGTGTTGACTGACGATGTTGTTGTTTTCGACAATAATAAGTATCACCGATAATGCCAATTATAATCAACGATAATGCCAATTATAATCAACGATAATCCAAGACTAGAAGTCCATTTCATTTATAAATGTAATAAGCATACTCAACTTAATTTCATATCTTTTTTTAATGACTATTAATCTCCTCTACTTCAAATCAATTTCATTCAATATCGGCAGAGGTATAATTACGGCATTATTAGTATTTATTAATAATGTTAAGGTGTCCCGTTACACGTATTTTTGCCTCTGAAAACTCGTTGTTTCGATAGAAAATGTTTTGGCTACTGCCAGTATATAATATAATTTAAAAATGAACTTTGAAAATTTAGCGAAAACTATACTTTGGGATTTAGAGAAAATATTTTAAGTACTTTTATCATTAAAATGGGATACTACAGTATTGGGTTTGGGATTAGTTTTAAAGAATAACTTTTTGACAAACCAGAGCGCTCCTATTTCATCATAAAGGCGAGAAAGTCCTTAGACGAGAAAGTTTGTGACCTGCACGAGTTTCTTTTGAAACCATTTACATCAACATTATTCTTGTACTGTTTGACAGAGAGAAGTTTGATTGCAGCATATTTCTAACTGCACTCTTTCAGCTTTGTATCCGAATTGCCTGGATGGCAATTTGCTTTGTGCATTTACGTTTGAATATGAAAAAAATGATGGTGAAGCTGGGAGTGGCAGTTAGGATCCGAAGCCAAAAGGTGTGATCCCCATTCAAATTTCCCCAGGGAGCATTAAATAAAATCTGTTAGCTTCTCAAATCTGTTACAGTCTGGTGGTTTCGAGTCAAGTGCTCAATCAATATCACTGGTACCATTATTAATATATCTTCCTTCCTCTCTTTCTGAATGCTACCTTACTGCTTCATAGTCAAATAAACCCAGCATCCCCCCCGGCGATAACGGCCTTGTGTCTACATCTTCATTGGAGTTCCGCACAACGAGAACACAAACCGGGGGAGGTTTCTGAATGACCATTAAAGTGTTCTTCTCGTTCGCATCCGAGATGACCAGCACTCGACAGTGATTCAAGTTAAAAACGCCAGTTTTAAAAATTTTTGCAGAGAAAGTCAGTTTAATGGTTTGCGATGGTGCCATGGTTACCTTGCGCGATCTCTTGCCAGTCCAAAGAAAGGCATTGTGGTATTGCATAGGATGACTCGGGATACTGGGTGGAATCTGGGGTAATTTACCCTGTCCTTTTCCCTCTTTTCGAGAAGCGCTGCCATCGTTATCACTAAACGAAAACTGTACGATAAGCACTAAGCTTAAGACCACCATCAATAGTTATATTATGATCTTCTTACCTTTCCAAACGATGCGCTAACATTTCCACAAATGCCACTAGGGTCAACGAACTGCAGTTGTGCAATGTAACATTTACTGTAACCTCACAAAACCTTCAAAACGGAAGAAAAGACTCGACCTTTATAATGTTGCATGAGTATAATTTCCCGCAGTCCATCTCATCACGGGGAGTCACAAAGAAACAGCTTACCTTTGCTTCTTAAAATCATACGTGACTGTCCCTGGACACTGCACTGTATACTTGATGTAAAGCTCAGTATTGCCGGGTGTTGTTACATCGGCGGAAGGCGATATTAAACTCAGTCTCTTCGAAGGCTAAAAAAGATAAGAGAAATGAGAAAATGTGACAGCCATAACAACAAGCCTATCTGCATGCTTCTATCCAAATTTGAGTTTAAATTTGTGTATCATTTCGCGTGTTTATTTACACTGCATATAGGAGAATCGGACATTACCTGTGCCAAGATTGGTGCAGAAATGGACTCTGCCAACGTAACAACGGCTACATCGCTTTGACCAAGAACAGTGTGTTTGGAAAACTGAGAATCGATGTAGGAAGACTAGAGAAGGTTGAAATATAGATCGAAACATCAAGCGGTTTTCTTGTATATTTCTGAGTGTTCATGGACTGTGGTTTGCTTACCTCCCACAGTACAACGAGAGCTAAATCAACACTCATTGTGCCGTCTGTTCGTGTTTCAAACTCGTTCAGTTCTTTCCACGTATTGGAACGACGGAAAAACTCCCAGTACGGCAGACGCGAAATATCCTTCTAAAAACACGAATATACTTTATAGAATATACTTTAAGTCCGTAAACATGCAAAACTCTGGCTGGCCTTACCTCTTTGTCAGTAAAAGATAAATTATTTATGCCGATATCAGAAACTAAAAACATAAAGTTATAAATACGATTAATTCAGATGTCATATTAGGTCCATTCTCAGGGAGGATGTCAAATGAAAGAAACGAATGATTAAATTGACAATTTACGATTTTAGAAGTCATTCCATATACCTTGAGGTCTTTTCACAGCTTTAAAATGCGTCATAACAGTCTCGCCTTGGTTTATAACGATCAAACCATCTGAATGATAAACAATCAATCAATCATCAATCAAGGTGAATGATGTAATTATCATCATCATCAATCATCGACTAAGGATATCGTTTTCTGGTTTTGGAAGTCTAAAGCTCCTATAAACCTACTGGAGCAAATTGAATAAGAAAATTAGCATTTGATCTTCTCTCCAAAGACCAAAGATCACGTACCTTGTTCTTGATGGCTCAAAGGTTTCAGAAGCCATTTTTTGCTCACACACGACACTTGCAACACGGAGAACGTTCGGTACTGCGCGTCATGCTTCATTTAGGAAAACAAGGATATCAAATATCGTATTGCATCCAATTTATGTAGTATACTTTAAGGCGATGAAAAAGCCAAAAGCGATACTCACCGAGGATAAATTTTCGACTTCCAATGTAACCACAAGTTGATTGCTTTCTTCATTGCTTCTGCAATATAAAATATCCCAGACGTTGGGTCTGGTTTAGACAGCTTTATTTGCTTTGTGCCTGTCTGCTACACTTCTTCAAAATAAATTTCAAACGAAGAGATGAATACAGCTACAAGAACTAAACATGAGATCAACACTAACCCTTGTCCGTTGTCCTCGTGTGAAGCTACTTTACATCTCTTAGCAGTCGCTCGGACTACGAGTGATTTGTTGGTCTTTATAGTGGACTGATGACGAACCGTCCTGTGACTGATACAAAAGAACAAACTTCAAGATTACATCATTTTCGCCTCAAAAAGCGAAGAAGAAATACCACTGACCTCATACTAGGATTTTCATCAGATGATTCATAGTAAAACAGTAATTTTTCGCTCGAAATCCCAGATTTTCGTCCGCCCTGAATCCACATAACATATTCAATTTTATCATCTGCTTCAAGACGACCGTCAGGCAGGGGTATCTTAGAAACACGTTCCACAGATCGTGTTTGTTGCTTTTCTTGAAATTCTGTCATAGTAATGTCTTCATTATTCGTATTAGCACCGTCAAATGTAAATAAATTAGCGTTTGTGGAGGCCAAATGTAGTTTATGAAGTGGCCCTTCTCCTTTGTTTGAAAATGTTACGTTGACTTTCTGAAGTTCACAGCAGAGCAGCGAGCTGGGAAAACCCGAGAAAGTTACCTGGATGAAGAAAAAAGTTGTTGAATGAGAAAGATTTTATATTAGATGACATATCGTTTGTACAAGTGCTGCATGGTTGCCATGAGGAAATATCTATCCTGGGAGAATAGTCAGGTGTGAAGTTTTTCTTCTGTTGTAAAACTGGAACGGTTATTGATAGAAAGCTATTTATCCATCAGCACAGTTTTAGCACAGTTTCACATACCTCTAGTCTTGGCATTGGTTCGACAATGATAATATTTAATCTATTGTCTTCGTCGTAGATAACCGAAGATCTCTCAACCTTAGTACCGTTCAACCTTGCTCCACGTACGCTGATATCCAGTCTTCCAAGAACACAGACTGCAGATATCTGATCAGCGGTCGCAGAAACCTTTGTATTGATTAGATCCACAGACTCACTTAAAGTGGCACTACCAAGACTGTATCTAATTCCAGTAATCTTCAGGTTACCACTACATAGAGGCACTATGGAGAGTCGAGCCTGCAGAAATGTATACGAGTATGAAAGCAAAATCACTCAAGACGTTTCGTACACAAAGTGATGTACGATGCATGAGTACAAATGTAGCTGTATTTTCTTGTGAAAGTTGTCTAACAAATGATAAAATAAGAAAGGGAAAAAGAGTTTATACAAACCGGTTTCGTTTCATTTCCTGCGATTGAGAATTGTTTAATTACTTCAGTGTGGACAAAATCAACGTGCATCTCGAGCTAAAGTAAAAGAAATATGAAATGAATTGTTACCATGAGCAAGAGTTCAGACGACCAGAGCAGGTTGCAGGAAAGAAAATAATGTTTCGTTTAAATTAATGACCTCATTTCCAATGCGTTTCTCTTCGTTTTCTCCTTCAGGGATGAACGTCCACAGCAACGTCATGTTACTCAATGTCAAAGGTATCCGTAACTCATTTTCCAACATCACTTCCACGCCAATTGTTTCTAAGAATTGAGAGAATCGATAGGAGAAAGGTAAGAAAGTTCTCAAATGATATAGATTTACAAAATGGAAATGAGTTGCGATATCTCGGTTTTACTTCACCGATTCACGACAAATTCCTGCAACGTACAACTCATATTTTGATGTTGAAATACCTATTGATACAACTCACCATTTACAATGCTTCGTGGTTGGGACACGTTATTTGTTGCGTTCGTAAGACATGGCGTAAAATGCCGAAAGTTTGGCGGAGCCTGGATACGACTAACTCGTTCATAAGTCTCCAGCTCAATCTGTTCCCATTTCGTAGCGTCGAGATTCAGTATGTCTTGAAACGAATGTAAGCCAACGACGTGGATTTTATCTGAATTCTTCACCGGTTCAAATGGATTACCGACCAGAGCTTGTTCCAGCAACGGTCGTGCAGTGTTCGTGTTTTCCGAGGAGTCCGCGGGCGATGCCGAAGGGTTGTATGTGAAGATTATTCGAGCTGAGTTGGTCGTAAGTTTAGGAAGCGGTAGAATTGGAAGTTGTTTCACTGATGAAGTAGTTTCCTGCTTTTGTGCGTTGAGTTGCTGCAAAATGAAAGATGTCAGGAAAGATGTTAACATTGGCGCATTTAAAACGCTAAAAAAGTGCTAAAACTTTTAATGCACTAAGGTGCCTAGGAACAGAATATCTTAAAATATTTCATCCCACCTGAAACACGAAGAGATATTCCCTCAAGTATGAAGCCTGTTGGTCGGCAGTTTGTAAACTTTCTCCCAGCAAAAGTTCTCTGAATGCCAGCAGAGCATCTTCGAGCTGCCGAAGATTGAACGACTGACGGCCGATGATGAAATTGATGTGGTCCTGTGAATGATTGAAACTATTGTGATTGAAGTATTTTAGAGATGTGTTGAAGTCGACAAGTACCGTACCTCAGCCATTCGCCATGATTTATGATAAATAGAAAGAGAATGTTTGTAGCATCTTAACGCATGCTTTCGCTGGAAATGAATGAAAATATTTTAATGAAGAGTTTACCAAGACTTGATTTACTGGATTTTCTACCAATAGTAAGTCAGAGGAAGGGAAATCTCTCGATCTATACAGTCTTCCCTACCTGAGAGGCTTTGCTAAAACGATGGCCGGCCAGGATCATGTTGAATGCATATTTACGAACGCGCGGAGGGTTGGTACGAAGGAAGCAATGCGCGGCTTGCTCAAGGAGAATGGCGCTGAGTAAATCTGATTCCTAAACAGAGAAAAATATTAATTAAAAAATTTTCTTCGTTGGGATAGAATTTCTAGCATGTAAAATCTTACCTCTCCTGTCATTTTCAAAAGGGCAAACGCTGCTTCTGAATACATCCCACGACTTTTAAACGCCTCAACACCAAACAACGTCGCCCTGGTGGCAAATTGGTGTTGTCTGCAAGCATCGATATATGTGGAGATTGACGTTTCCATATAATGCGATGGATACTGCCGCTGACCACCAGCCATGAAAGCCGAAATTGACGCCATTTCCTATACGAAAAATGAATATAACTTTTGTCTTTGTTAGTCTAAGCAAATGATACACATCAGTACTATGGCTTTTCTAAACGTGCTTCATTCTCCGTATGAGAGATATTTTGGTTAAATAGTTACCAGTGCTCCAGCAAAATACAGCCACGCGTGGTTCGTGTTGTAATCACGTTTGGCTGCGTGATAGCAGTTGTAGGCCAGCTCGTAATTCTGCACCAGGAACGCAAGGTCGCCAAGTTTCCGCCACAGAAGTTCGGCAGAATCGCTCTCGTATCTTGAATAAGAGAAGAAGTTGAGAATGGATACCATTCGAGAAAAGTTCAAGAAATACAAAAAGACGCACATTATTCCTGGGACAAGACTTGTATTCGTCTGTCCAACCGGTTTCCCTCCACCAAACCATTTCTTAGTCGCGTGAAAGAATGACTTGTGAAGACCTTTTCGCGCGGTTATCTGAAGAACAACAAGAAATATAATTAACTCTTTTCATTGGTTCATTATCAATAGTTTATCATATTTATGTTTTAAGATACCAAAAAACACAGAACTCCATGTTTATGGTGTAGTCTGATACATTCATTCTACCAACCTGCTCATAAAGAAATCTCATTGATCGTTCTATAAAAGGTATAAGACCTCGTATTGCAAGTTCATGGATAAAAATCTTTATTCTATCATGGTCACTTATTGTCAAGCGAGCCCCATGCTGTCCACTGGCACTCCCAACTTGACTCAACAATCCCCCTGAGAATTGTCTCGTCCCACTGTGGACAGGTGAGCCTGTTTTACGACCATCAATGTCATTCTCCTCAAGATGGTCATCCTTGATTTTCTTCTCGTCCTCATTCTCAAATGATAATGGACCAATCAGAGGAGGGGATGTCTCGTTACTGCTTTTTACCGCAACCAGAGGGTCAAAATTCTCATCAACAACAACCTCATCTTCTTCAATTTCAACAGCAATTTCACTGTCTGTTTCATCATTCATCATCTTCTAAAGTGATGGAGAAAATTAAATATATATTTTGCCATATTGCATACTTATTTAGTTATGAAAAAACATAGCTAACAAACAATGGAATTTGAAGAAACTTTTGCTTTAGTAACTCACCAAAGTATCTTCGCCGGTTGAGATGATAAACTGAGACCAGGGATCAGGTAGATTTGGACTGTGTTGTTCTGCACTTCGAGAATTGATCATGAGCATGTGACATATACTTGAACCATAATATGACTTCATACTTTGATAAATACCCTCAGCCCTGAAGAAAGAGTCATTTTGATTAGAACAAAGAAAAGGGTAAGATTTTAAAGAGAGTGATTGGAACTCAGGAGGATATAAATAGACTGGCGAAAAAGACACAGAAAGCTTCAAGGTTTTTCAAAAGTGATTTGAGTTGACTTACTTTGTCTGCACTCCATCTGTCACATCATGAATCATTAGATAATATTTAAAAATATGTGTTGAAAACCATTTTGAATGGATGCTATCAGATGGTTGTTGATTATCAAGGGCAGAACTCAGTGATTGAAAGGCGTTTAGTGGATCTGTATTATTGGATGAGACCACGAACAAACCTAAACTGATGTTAAGGAAAAATAGAATATGTGCGTCATTGTTACCAGCAGATTGTTTTGGTTGCAATGTATAAAATAAAAAGCTTTTAGAGAAAGGATACAACCCAGAAAGTGACGGATAAATTCATGATCAGATGGCTTGACCATCTGAATAAAGCAATCTCGAAATGCCTCAAACCAGGGGGTGGATGCTGAAATAAAACATCAAATGATATCAACATGGTGCATTGTTATATATATGAATATTATGTGCAGTGTTATCAACCACTGACCTTTCATTTGATCCATGACTGACAAGGCTCCTGGTTTGTCTGGCCCCCGAGACTTTGAAACAACATCATTCAATAGCTGATTGACAACATCTTTTGATGGAGTTGGTGCAGACAGTTCAACAAACCGAAGTTTCCAGCCTTTTACTGGGTGTGTGTTGTTTAATGGATCTCGGATGTGAGCTGAATGGTTGAAATTTATATTCACAAATTAAACATAAGGCAATTTACCCCCATTTCCCTCCCCCCTCCGAGACCCATGTTTGGATTACATCCTTGGTGATGGTTAATGATAAAAACTTCTCCTCAATGTGGCTGGTATAGAGAATGTATATCACTTTCTCGTTGAAGCACCGTATAAGATAGGTTCTCTAATAATTTATTGTCAAGTCATTCAGGCTCGTATCATTTTTTCACCCAGGCAGACAAGGTGAGCTCAATATTGGCTACCAATCAACAAACTATACGTAAACCTTAATCAAAAACAAAACGCGAAAAACGAAAAACAATGTGCTTTACCTTCGCTTGTTAACTGCGAGAATGGTCGAATAAGCTCCACAAAATTCAAGTTATTCTTTTGGCACACAATTTCTGCATCCTCGGTACATAATACGGCGATCATTGGCCCGTAAGCTCCTTGTATAAACTCGAATGCTGTTTGAGAACACTGTGCCATGTCTACGGTGGTATAAAATCACCTGGATGAAGCTAGCTCGCGTGAAATTCTCTCTCTATTCTCCCATCTTTTTATTCAACCAAACTCCTCCAAAAACAAGGATCGGGCAGCCATTTTCTTCGAATTCACCCTAGTTCCAGATCCCCTGGAAAACAAATCGCAATCGGTGTCGTATCCAATCAATGATAATCAATGAAAATCAATGATTGATTGATTACAAACTGCAAACAAACCCGTGAAATAAATGGCCGCGAGAAGCCTAAGCTAGGCTAGAGAAAGTTGTTTGTTGCAAATTAAAAAGTTCTATAATTTTCTTTATTAAAGAATGTTATGAAATGCGAGTGTATTTGTGATGAAATGCCTTGGAAGTCTGTCTAAGTTTTTGGTTCAAGTATCCTGTCTATCATTTTCTCTTATATCAGAGGTAAAAGATACTTTCTATTGAATCAGTTTATATTGACCGTCGCGTGCACAGAGCTCTATATGGACACTTGCACATAGAAACAATGTCTATAGTCGCGCATTGAATTCCAGGACATCCAGGTTTAGTAGACTGAGCAGAATGATTGCAAAGATCCTATATTAAGGATGTATTGAGCATGCATGATCTTGCTCAAAATGCATTTATACTTATATTATTAGCTGGGGTGATACATGCACAAAACTTGACAGCATGCATGCATTGACATAATTTATAGTCATCGTCATCCCTGCATTGCTCAAGAGAAGGATCAAGGTTGGTCAGAAAGGTTCTTGAAAAGGTATCACAATACAAATGATTATGCTGGATAATTATTTCAAACTAATTATTGCACTATGATGTTATACAAATGAACCTGATGGTTTTGAATTCCAGAATTTTTATCCAATATTTGATCTTCATGGAGTGAACACATCCGAAGAATGTCCATTAAAAAGATCTCGAGATTTGTACCACATTCAAGAGGCATACAAGCAGTTTGAGCACAATGCAAGATGGAGTTGTGAGGCTTGTGGAAAGGCTTTCTATAAACAGGAGTTTCTAGATCTTCATATGGAAAACAAACATCAAGATTTCTTGGTCAAGGAAGAGGTCTGTGTACCATCATCATCTTAATGATTATTGATTCTTGATCATTATCATCTTCGTTGTGTCAGGATAATCAATTAATTATACTGTCAATCATTAAAGGTCATCTCTAGTATCTTTATCATCATCATCATCACTGCCCTCATCGCCATATACTGCCATTAGTATTATCATAGATAATCATTGATTTGATCATCAAGATCATTATACAGTCATCACTAACATATTCATTTTGTGTGCCATCATCATCATCATAATCTAATGCATGACATGATCAATTGTTGTTAGTATATCCTCCCACCTTGACTCAGTGGTTAAGGTTGACACTAGAACCTGCAATATTTCCTTCAGTTTTCCCCAATATGCCTGGCTGACTACTGTCAAATGTTTCGTTGCGAAGCTGTGAGGAGAGAAAAAAGGAACAAACATTTCTGGAGTAAAGCATTATGTAATGCTGAGAAGATGGCAAAACAGAAAAAGAAATGTTTGGTGAGAGCTTGAACAATGTGACTGTTTATTTAACTTTGGCTGTTCTTTGGTAACTTACCACTTGTATCTTGGCTGTTTAGCATCTTATACAATCTTGCATTCCAACTCAGGAGACACCAGAATTATACCAACAAATTTACAGTAGGTTTCATGTTTCCATCTTAACAATCATGACTGATCCAAGTTCTACAGTTGATCCATGGTAGTGCTGCAATCAATTGAGTTATTTGTTCTCCCAGATGAGATCACAGAAGAGACATGCTCCCTTATCAACTGCAAGGATTATTGGAAACCACTCCATTATGAGGTAAAATACGCTTTCTTTCAACTTCTTTCAACAATGAAAAGTTTGAAACGTATATGCAAGAACCTCGTACGCTAGGTTTAGTGTATGTCTTCCATTATAACAAGTGCTTTTAGGTGCTTTTAGAGCTGTGAAATTATAACAGAATGGATTTTTATCTTCTCTCTAGCTATCACCGTTCGAAGTGCTTTATTATCTCACATTTACGCCAATTCTCATACTCGCTCTTGGTATTTATTATTACAACATCTGGGAGCATTATTAGTAAGTAACTTCGTCCATTTTGATAATGCAATTACCGTAATGCATTGCTGAGAAGCTAGAAAAGGCTTTTCTCGTTGTTATATCAGTAATCTTTTCAGTTAATTTAAATGTTTTCTGTCTCCACTATTGCACGTGCTCTTCTATTATAGCCACATTAAACCTTTCAGCGGGAAATCAACAAAAGCTTTTCAAATTATAACATGGTTTGAAATGTTTTTCAGTGGAGATGAACCGGAGCAAAGGGCCGTTAGCGAAAGCCAAAGTGGACCGTCGAACGACAACAATCTTCCTGGATTAAGAAAACGATACGGAAACAGCAGATTTGAATACTGAAGAGGGGTCGTGTTGTGACAGTTGAAATCAGTGTTGTTTGGGTGCTGAGTTAGGATATCATGCCTCGGGAATATAATATAAAAAAGTCTGCTTTTGGACTTTGGAGCAAACTATCAAGACTCCGTCAGTAGGAATGTTATAGCAAGGCGCCTTAACTGTTGATCGAACAGGATGGTTGTTTCTGTCAGTTTTGGACACGTACAATGGAATATGTCGACAACCGCATAAGTCTTTATTGAAGGGTCAGGCACTGAGTTTGTAACTTTGGAATAAAATCGTAAATTTTATAGTTTCAATCGTGTTTCGTATCAATCTATATTCATTTATCGTCTCATACAGATGTCTTGTTTTTTCGAAAATTGTTTTTTGTGCTCTTCCATTCTACAGGTACCCTTATGCTTCTAAGGCTAGGCTAGCCTATAGGATAGGTTACGAGATCTTTCCATTTGTAATTTAATAACTAGATACAGATGTTTCATTTGGTTCCCTCAATGTTACTGGCTCAATGTCGTAGCTATAAGTACTAATTTGATTATTTTATGACCGACAGTGCTCACGCGGGCCACAGTGGGCCGAGAGTTTCATTCATAGTCAGAAGACGTTTCCTACTACACGTACCGCCGGTACCGGTGGCACATTGTCTTCTAGACCAAATACACAGGTTATATACGCAGGATATCTTACAATATTGAATATAAAAAACTGCCGTATAAGAGGAAATATTAACTTATTCGGACTTCTGTCGTTTCTATCGAATGAACTCCTCTCTGGCTTTTCATGTTTCATCTAAGGCTAGGCGAAAAGCATGAACGATGACGGTGAGGTGTTGCTTCGTTTCGACACTATTCGTTCTGATCTTTCTCACGAGTGCCCTGGCAAGCAAAACCAAAGGTCGACTGAGATTTGTAGTTTTCGGTGATTTCGGAGGTATTCCTATGAGACCGTATTATACGTGGAACCAGTGGCGTATAGCGAAGCAAGTTGCCAAGGTGTGTATCTTCATTGTTTTCAAAGAATGTTTCTCTGTAAGACTGTATTGCGCTGTAATGTCGTCCAGATGTCGACGCCAGAGTACTGATTGCGTGTAGGTTGTATACGTACGTATATTGCGTACGCGGTTCTCAAACATCCTCAGTTCTGTGGATTAAAAATTGGATTATTCGTACTTACATATATACAGTTATAAAACCTTGCCGGACCGAGTAGTTCTAGTTTAGGAAATTGAAAAACGTAGCAAACCTTAGGAATATCTGACCTTCGTTCCTGAAGCAGGCCTGGTTCACATGCACTTGTCCTAAAAATCTGGGACTCCTTTCGTCCGAGAACCGAGATCAATAGTGCGTAAATGCTATGGGAAATAAGACAGAACCATAGGGACCTCGATTCTTGGGAGCTAGTGTGAACTAAACGTGCTGCCGCAGTGCTCTAACCAATGACCTTGTCATTTCTGAGGCTAAGGTCACTTATTTCTCTTCAAAAATCCCACCTCGTGCCTATATTAACTGCGGTGCCTCGTAGGTGAAATGATACCGCATATACCCTGGTTTTGATAGACGTTTTAATTAGTTTCAATTGATGGCTCGATAGTTTTGAGGAGCCATTCAAATTTTGTGTAACATCAAACTTTCCGCATTTGACGTCAATATAAGAAAGATTTACTCGTGAACAAGTCATTTTTAGCAATGAGAAATAGTCCGGATGTGAATATGTCTTTATTAGATTTCTGCATTTAAGTCTGTCGTTATTGACTGCTCTTTCGGTCGAATCTGAATTGGTCGTTAGCAGCGGTGTAAATACGCCTGGATGCAATGCGAAAGGGAAAGCCTGGTGTTTAGCAACTTCTCCTTTCACTCTACTATGCAGACAACAATCTTTTTCGTAGATTCCAAACGTGGACTTCTTCGTCAGTGTTGGAGACAACTTCTACTACAACGGGGTGAAAGATGTGAACGATTTTAGATTTTATGCGACCTACGAGCGAGTCTACAACGAACCATCGTTTCAGAAGAATTGGTACGTGATTGCGGGCAACCACGACTACGATGGCAACGTCTCTGCGCAAATATTGTACACGCAGAAGTCGAAACGGTGGATGTTTCCACATTTTTATCACACTAAAAGTAAGATCATGAAGATTTGTGGGTGCCGAGTTGCAAAAAAGCTGCAGGTATTCTGCAGAAACATTGGCAGATTAGCTTTATTATAACAACCATTCTTAATAAAAGTTCACAACATTTTTAGAGTTTTTTATACCCGAAACGAATAAAAGTTTACAGATAGTTATGATCGACACAACGATATTATGTTTCAGAAGGTACAGCGGATGTTTTATGGAATTTGATGTTGTAAATAGAAATTTCACATCAGTAGAATGTCACCAAATCTTCATTCGTCATGTTTCTCATAGTGGAAAAAAGAAGTTCAAAAATACACCTTCTGTCGAAGAGCAAATGACATGGATCAGAAATACTCTAAATGAGTCGAAGTGAGTAAATACTTGATTCATTATTATGAGTGATTTGAAACCACGGCTAGCTACAGATAGAATCTTTCTTAGCTTTGTTTTATTATTGCTTTTTTAATATTTTTTTAGAGCCCATTTCTTAATTGTTGTTGGACATCATCCTATGTATTCATCTGGATGGCATGGCAGTAGCAAGTGCCTTCAGGATAAGCTGCTAAAAGTTTGTTCAAACAACACAAAGTTAACGCTTATATCAGCGGTCATGATCACAATCTACAGGTTGCTGGACATCTCACGTGGTTATCTGCAAGCCTTAAACCTTAAATGAGGTTTCTATCCTCAACCTTGCAACGTATGTGCCCTGCGTTTATAAAGTTTTTTATTTTTCTATTGCTTAGCATATTGTTCCAAGTAACTCGTCGCTGGAGTACTTTGTATGTGGCGCTTCCAATTTTTACTTCAATTGGTACTCAAATCGTAGCCTAGAACCTTTTAGTTTAAGGTACGTGTATTACATGCTATGAACCACATGTGTGGTCGATCTAGAATTCCATATTAAAACTATGCACAGCAATTGAACATTCATTGAACACAAATGTATAAAGAGAAAAAAGGTTACTTCTTCTTAGTTCCGAAAAACAAACTGGTAAGGTAATCAATTTCAATATAGATCACCGCCTAGTTTCTATCCCTACCAATGCATTATCATGCACTAATGCATTCTTACTAGGGCAAAACTCTTTTTGTTTTAGATATTTTATGGGCAATCTTCCTGGTTTCCTCCTAGTAACTGCAAAAGAAGACAGGCTGAAGCTCGAACTTCGAACAGCTACACCGAGGCAAAAGTACAAAAGATTTCTCCCGCCTAGAAACAAACTTCCTGACTTTAGTGAACAACCACAAAAATATCCAAAACTTTTAGAAGAGTTTTTTGCGTCATTGCCAAACGGTTAAACTAAAAGTGTAATAGGCAATTTTTATACGTAATTTAGAATAGATTTTTTTAAATGTTTTGTAAATGTAGAAAAATTTTGTAATACGTTTTATTATAAACAACACAACCTCAGAAACTCTCAAGAGTGCAAATCTTATAGTCATTTCCGTAGATTAGAGGCAAAAAAGTGAAGCTTTCTACTGTTGCAAAGATATATCCCAAATACAGGAAGGAAACGCCCTTCCTTCGACGTGCTCGTTTACAATGAGGCTAAAATGCATGCCTTTGCCACGTTTTCTTTTTCGCATCAGCATAACCTGCGGCTATAAACAATGACGTCATATACGAATATAATAGGTTCCCTGGAGATGGGGATTTACACTGTTTATATATAATATTAAGACCTGCAATTTCGTAATCTGGAGACATATTTCACAAATACGCTGCAAATATCGATACTTTTACGCTCTATATCAACCCAGACTTCCACAAGGTAACTAAAATCTAAGTTATACAATATAGGAGATGTGTGATTAATAAAATGTGTGTCGCTCACTATATTAACATGCATATATATAACGGTCTATATTAAAAAGTTCCAATATAACCAGGGAGCAGCGTGGCAGCGTCTTCAAACAACTTAGCATCAAATGTGGTATAACAACTGCCTAAAATAGACAAAACACTTCTCGACAAGTATCATTATTTGAGTACCAATAAATAGATCAAGATAGACAGATTATGTTAGCTACAACTCTTAATTATATTTCGAACACAGAAGTTCGATATAACTGTGTTCTCATATAATCTTGACTTTACTTCGGGCGCTTCGCGCCCTCGCAAAATCCTCAATTAACTCTTACATTAGGTACAACTCTCTCCGTATATAGTAAAAAGATGGTTGATGTGCCTGTTGTGATCATCGGTGGAGGACCTATTGGGTTGACATTATCATGCATTTTGGGAAAAAACAACATTGAGCATGTCCTACTGGAGAGGAATGAAACAACCTCGAATTGGCCTAAAGCAATTCTTACTAATACTAGATCAATGGAACTTTATCATCATTTGGGTAATATATTGACTGCAATTTCTAACATGATCAACCTGAATCTTAACCAGTAAAACTAAATGTAAATCCAGAATATTATCATGTTCATAACCATGTTAATATTATATACCATTACTATTAGTACCATTTGCATGATAACCATGATTAGCATCACCAAAATACAGACAACCGCAATCAATTCACTCACACACCCTTCGTCAAAATATCCATCATGTTTATCTCAGCATAACTGTAATTCCATCATTTATCCCAACTCACTGTTCTACTGGCTCAGCCGAATGAACTAGATCCGCCTAATGAATTGCCTTTAGGTCTAGACATAGCTCTCCGCAAAGAGGAATTGTTGGCAACCGACAATTTTGTCACATTTGGAGATTCTTTAATAAACAAAAAACCGCTTGTGCAAATGTCGGTTAATGCCCAGATGATGGGAAAATATCCACGAAAAAATCCAGAAGACGCTTCATACACGTTTGAGGAACAATGGACTTCAGAAAAAGTACTTCAGCTATCTCAAATCTACATTGAACCAGTACTCAAAGTAAGCATTTGTTATTGAAAAGTCTGATCAACATAAACACATCTGCCCAAGTCAGATTTATTAAAATTGTGAGTGGAGTTCTTGTGAGTTAAGAAATCAACTAATGGTCCATCTGATCATCTTAGAAAACTGCTAGTGAATATGCATGTAGCGATATGAAATTTGGTTGGAGAGTAGAGGAGATTTCTCAAAGCGAAGACAAGGTTACAATAGAAGCTATTCATGTGAAATCAGGGGAAAGGAAAGTTTATCATGCTTTGTATGCGGTTGGTTGTGATGGTGGGAAAAGTTTTGTCAGAAAGTCATTAGGTAAAAATGTTTCTCTAAATCCCTAAAGATATCTCTATTATACATAAATGCAATCACCTTTTTCCTGCACACCATAATAATTAATAAATTATATAAGTATGTCTTCTGTCATAAGGCCTATCCTGTCATATAAGGTTTAATCACCTTCTAAAAAACTCCTCTTAACTTTCCAGGTATTCATTTTAAAGGGGTATTTGACTTGGCTCGTATGAAAACAATAAGCTACGAGTCACAAGAGCTGAAGGAAAGACTACAACTGGACAATCTTTTACTGTCGATTACACTGAAGTCCAAAATACAAGCCCTTACGATACCCTTGAATAAAGATGGTCTCTTCGTTACGAATTTACTTTATTACGAGGGACAGACAACGCCGGATGATTATTTAAAGCAATTGTTCGACGACGAAGATCTTTCATGTAAGATTGTATTCGCCAATGACTGGCAGGGACACTTTGCATCAGCGGAGACATTGCAAAATGGTCGCGTTTTTCTTGCAGGTAAGAGGGGACACTATAAATGTCCTCCTGAAGATGTTTATATATTTTTGAACCGCGCAGACTTCTTCGTATCTGCACTGTGTTTAAGGATCAGGGCGTTGGAATTTCGATGGGGTGAGGGTGAACTCCATGGGGTGAGGGTTTATCCCCAAGGATGGGGTGGGGGGTAGCTAGCTGGGGCGAGGGTTCCTCCGCAAGGCTGGGGCAGTGGGGGTAGCTAGCTAGCGGCTTTGCTGCGGATTGATATTGGAAGAACGCTGGTGTGATTGAACTCAGATAGAGTTCGACCATTTCCCTTCACAATTATAAAACTCGTCGTGCAATAATTAAGTCTACACGTGTTTCAGCTTAGCACAGAGTTGACCGAGTTTTAATGTTTCCAGGCGACGCTTGTCATGTCATGGTCCCAATAGGTGGGTTCGGAATGAACACTGGCATTCTTGATGCTTACGATTTGGGCTGGAAACTGGTCGCCACTCTCAATGGTTGGGGAGGCGAAAGACTATTGGCTTCTTATACAGTACGTAACAATACATAGGACGCACGAGTTATTACGCCCGCCCGTCCGCATGGGCAGATTTCCCAGGCTTGCTTCACCCGCGATTTTATTGGCCTCAATGACAATGTTGACCATATTGGTTGTCTTGTCGTTTCTCTCTCTGGTTTTAATTAACCAAATGATTGAAAAATGGCTTTTTTTGTTATCATTGTATAGGCAGAACGTTTACCATTGATTAACAAGCTGTTGAAAAGATTAACAAGGCTATTCTCTGTCTTCAGAAACTACGCCGGCATCGCTGCCTTTCTTTTCACAACCCGACCTTTTAGCTTTTTCATGAAACCACTCGTCGGCATTTCGAACGCGAATGTTGGTAGTTCTGGTGAGAAAATCCTGTATTTTTTGTGCTGTTTCAATTCACGAAAATGTAGTGAAAAGGCGGATTAATTAGTTTTGATGGTGTAAAACCAGTTCGGTTCTGTCTTGGCTAGGAAATCTGAGCAATTCTTTATAAAAAAGTAATATTCCCCTTTCTTAAATCAGACCGAAGTGTTTGTAAACATATACCCATGTCCTTGCTGACCCGGAAAGCGATTTCCCTCTAATATTATGCATATACTCTCATTCACTGTAGGTATTCTCTTTGGCCTTATGTTGGAGTCCTCACCTCTGTGTATCCCGAGTAGTACACCGTTACCCCCACAAGATCTTTTAAACTACACACCTACAGCCTTACCTGGATGTCGGGCACCTTACTATAAGTTCAGCGATGGCAGCGTACTGTATGATAAACTAGGTTGGTATTGATGGAGTTCTTAGATCAAAACTGCTTGAAATATGTCGAAAATTCACGGTCTTGCATGTTCTAAATGCCCAAGAAAATATGTTTAAAGCATGGATACAAACCTGAACTATGTTTTAGAGAATATACTCTGAGATAAAATGAAAGGAATATGCCACAACGAAAGAAAATTTACCTTTGGTAAAATAATTCCCGCTGAATTTTGGAGCACTTTTTTTCTCAGGTTCTGCGTTCACACTTCTTCATTTAAAACCGTCAGAGCAGAGTTATGACCCGCTCATATCGGCTGCTGCACATTGTGGCATTCCGCTAAAGGTATTCTTCATATTGTTTCAATTGTGACGGTCAATTCCCATCACCACTGCATGTCTTTCTTATAGAGAAATGTCGCTATACAGCCTCCACCATTTCATCTTGCCTGCATTGAGCGTGTTTTTATATCACACAAGTCTCAGAGAAGTGGCCATTTTATTTACTTGCTCTATCCTTTCATTGAAGGTTGTTACACTTGAAGATAAAAAATTGAAAGAACTTTACCGAGGAATGGTAAGACGCTAAAATTAAAGTAATAAATACAATTAAAAAATAACATACTAGCAAAATACTGGAACTACAGAAACGACAGCTTTATAAGAAGCTACAAATGATACAAAGTACTCAACTTATAATTCAAATACCAAAGACTACTACTTTCCGGTACTTCGAAATTTTCCCGCCAAAGTTTTTCAACCAATCGGCATGCGTCAATGCATTTGACAACCAATCAACGCTCGCTGGTTTCTCGCTGGTTAAACAGGAGACATCAGGACTTACGACTGTTTTAAGCTCGTATTATTTCCTTGTTTATCCCGGTCAAATGGGCCTTAAAAGCCCAGTGAAGACGAGCGGGATTATTTTGACAGGGAAGCCCTGTTCAAAAACTTTCTGTCTGTAATCTACAGCAAAACTTTGCATTTCTTCTCAGGACTTCGTGTTAATTCGTCCCGATATGTACATTGCCTGGTGTGGCAATGAAATCCCTACGCTATTGCATAGCGAAAACATCAACGAAGGCGCTCGAATCTTGATGAAAGTTGTGACGGGCGCAGCAAGTCTACCTTTGGAGTGGCAAAAAAACACGAAAAATAGATACACGACGTATACGTGGCGATGTTCCATGCTGTTGGGGCTTCTTGTGGGAATAGCTGCAGCATCTGTGGTCTTTTTACGTCGGTATAAGTGGATAGATTGAACAATTATGGATAGAGGAGGGGTTATACCCCAAGCACGAACATGTCAAACGATCATCAAATTAAGTTGGTGTGCAAAAACTTATCGATGATGTAAATATGAGTAATGATTCAATGACAATGAGTTAAAATAAAACATCTTTTACTGTAACGTAAAGTACCCGTATTTTATGGTTTTCGCGTGATTCTTGTCCCAGCGTATTTTACAAAGCGATTTCACCTAGTGTTAGTATGCTATTGGACGAGTGTGTTTGGGTATTTTACAGTATTCTTGATTGTGTATGTACCCTGTACAGTACAAATCGTTGAACTGTTCATCTTAGCGACTTTGGTTCCAGTTAACTGCACAAACTTACACACCATAGCAGGCGAACTTACGTTTACCAACCACAATGCACCTTGCACGCTAAAAATGTGACGTCACCGTCTCAATCTCCATCAAGTCGTCCAAAATCTACATAAAACGAAAATTGGATTACGTCGACTGATCTCACAAATAAATTGAACGGTCCTACGCGTATTTGCTCGTCTATGCAGATAACGAAGTCTCCGACTGAATTGTTTCTGACTTTTCAACATTTTTTAGTAACATTCATGAAAGTGCCCTAGAAGCAGGCGAAACTTATTTCGTACCTGTGCGGGCGAGACACCAATCTTGCGGGTTACTTCTAGCCTCTCAACCGCGCCAAGGTGAACGAACTTGCTAAGAAGCTCAAAATCCAAAATATGATGTTGTGGGTTATCCATTGGTCTGTGCTTCCACCGCAGAAGCCTGCAGAAAAAAATGATTGAAGGAACTGGCTTTTTAACACATTACTCAATGTACTCCGTCTATTTAATCTATTCTAATTGCGTAAATATCACAGTAAACTCCTAAAAAGGTTGCTAACTCCAGTAACTTGTAGAGTATTACCTGAAAGCTTTGGGATTAAGTCCTGCATGGTGGGGAATACAATGAATTAACATGTTTTGAACCAGATGCAAACGGCGAAATGTCTTCTCTGGAACGGGCAAGACCAGGCCAACACCACCATCCAGAGTTCCTATATAGAGCAAGCATAGGTCGAGGGCTTGGATACACCACGGTTAGTAGCTACGTGTCTTATATTTCCTTACCAAACCACGAAGCTTGTCTCAAATCTTTCGGCTTATCACCAGTCTTTTCTGTTTTCACACGACATCTGAAAAATGACGTCACACAACTGCTGATATTGATGTCAGCAATGTGCAGCAGTTTCTGACCGCCTAAGCTGACTGGATCTGTTTTAAACAAAAGAAAACAAACGAATTCACAAAGTACAGTTAATTTTCTGGCTTCAGCCAAGGAAACAGTTCCGAAGTCCACAATAAACTTCCGAATCATAAAGATGTTTTCATCCATTGAGCTCACCTTCGGGTTTGTAGCGATATATGACAAGATTCATATCATTATCTGAAACTGAGATAAAAGAAAGACTAAAGACCGTGGAAGATATTGATCGATGTTTTATATCCCTCGAAGAAGAACAGTTTATAACTCGGAAGAACAGTTTACCAGTGAAAACAGATTGAGAGCATCATACCTAGAAACCCAAGTTGCGGTCCATCCACGAAAAATTCTGTTCCATAAACTTCCAAAGGACTTGGATCCTAAGAGAGAAACAAGGTGTTTAAGAATGACTTTGAAAATTACACTCAAGTCAAGTTCAACCGTATTACTGATTTTAACTGACCGCATGCGAACCTACCCTTGACACAAAGGCTAGCGTCTTAGTCTCTTCCTGCAAAAAAATAAGTTCATTTGTCAGTGTACATAAAATCTGTCCCTCAACAGGAACTAAGACTTGAACAGTTAAGCTCTGTGTACAATCGTAGCCAAGGAAGCTTTAAGCGTTACCTGAAAACGTAGAAGTGTAACACTCTTGGCAATATCTGCTATAAATATCAAATTCTTCACAGATATCGCGGTATGAATGTAAAGTTGCGTGTCAATAAATGCCACTCCAATAAGATCATTGCAGTTCTTGAAATCCCAAATGTAGATCTACGGATGAAAATATACCAAATGTGTGATTGAATGGAATGATGATGACAAAGAAACTAATACTGAGTTACAAAACGATTCAATACGATCAAAAATACATCAGCAATCTTACTTTCTGTCCTATTCCTGTCAACAGAAACCCGGATATTTCACACACTGCAGTGATTGGTCCTTTCTGCTCTTTGCGGTATAGGGGCTGAGAAAATACAATTTTAAATTTAACGTACGTGTACAAGATTAGGGAGGCATTTTTTACGACATATTCATTCTTTCGTACCTTGAACTTGTTTTTGGTCAACGGTTGCCCGGGTTCAGGCACGACTTCAATAATATCAAATATCAAAATCTGTGTCAAATTAAAAAAACAATTAAATATCCTTTTTTTGCTTTTCCGTGTGCAAACGTTGATGAACGACGCAAGCGAATACATGGAATTAGATGAAAGCTATGAAATGAAACAAGCGAAGATAGTTATGAAATTGGAATCTCTTCGATGTCTCACAGTTTTTCGACTTATTTGACTTCAAAGAGTTCTGACTTACTCTTCCTTTACAAGGCAAATCTTCTCCATAAACGTAAGTCGTACCAAGAACGATGAAGCCTTTCATTCCTGAAACAGTTTCCTCGCTCTTCAGCGTTATATTCTTCATCGTTGTCACTCGCTCGTAGTCATCCATTTCAAACCTGGACGAGAAAGAGTTCGGAGTAAAAGAGTTGACGCAGTTCAACCCTGGTCTAGAAGGCTAATACAGTAGAAACAGTAGATCGTCTGATTAGACGTCTTACTTCGTGTTTGGGATCATCTCCCAGCTGAATGGTGACATCAACTGTACGGTGAACTTATCAAGCAAGGGATAAACGTATCTGGGATCTAAAATAACACCAAAAAGCCATAAATAAAGATAATTGCGAGCGTTGCTGGCAGCATTCGAAGAAAAAGAAGCTCGGACGGTCTACGCAAGAGCAAACGGAAACGCTGTCAGACGAAAGAGTTTTATTGACTGACCGTCTTCAGTGGGAATAAATTCTCGATCTTCTATGCCGAGTCTCGTGATCACTTTGACCGGGTCCAATTGACTTGTGACAACTGCGTGTGTCTAGAGCGATATATACAAGCATTTACACATGGCGAGTGCTTCTTTGGTTTGAGGAAGGACGTTGAAAATGAAGAAGAGATGGATGACAAGATGATGACATTGTGTGTTGATCATGATTCATTTTGTGTAATATATTCACTAGCTTCTTACTGTACCTTGCTCTCTCGATTGTACGCAATGAAATGGGGGGTGCATCGTAGCGGAACTTTGCGTACGGGCCACGGGGCATCATAACTCAGGTGGGTGGGTAGAACGGACACACGCAGCTCGCCCTGGAGGGAGGAAAGCAGAGGGGAAATGAGATTAACCCAAACACTATCACTAGGTGCACGACTCTGGTTCAAAATTACCTGTTTATTAAAATACAGAAATCCTTTGGGACAGTTTACATTGCGGAAGGGCGCGAACGAGAGGACTGGGCCATCGATGTTCATCGGGTGAGAACGAAGAGCGTTTCGGGAAGATTTGAACAGCCAAAATGGATTAGCACCGCAGACGAATATCTAAGAAACAATCAATTAAAATTCATAGAATCGTAGAGGAATATCTAAGATACAATCAATTAAAATTCATAGAATCGTAGACGAATATCTAAGAAACAATCAATTAAAATTCATAGAATCGTAGAGAAATATCTTGGATGTAAAACTATAACCGACTTTGTCTTACCCCAGAGTACGTGGAGATATCATGGAACGGTCTGAGTCTGCCAACGATTGGTTCCGAGATATCATCAAGTCCTGAAACAACATGAAATATTTTCAGTTTTTAAAACAGCACAGTAACCTAGCAAGACTTGTACTTTATGTTATGAGCCCCACCTTGTCCCGAAGAAGATGTCCTGGGCCTTATCTTGCTCTTTTTTTCCCTCACCAAGACATTGTGCTGAAGCTGTTTTCAGAACAAGAAAAAACAAAGTTTGTCATTTTGATCGCTGTTGCAGTGGTATGGAAATGTTTCTGAGTTACTGAGCAGGCGAGCAAGTAAACAAGGAAATCATACAAACCAATCATCAAGCTAAGGGGTTAACTACATAAATGCAGTAACTCAGGGATGGTCAGTTCATCAAACACACCTTTTTGAATCGAATATTGAGATGTCCCTCGGTGGAGGAGTCGCTATAACTGAACGCATCATACAACAGTAAATCTTGATCAACTAACGCGGCTAGTAGTGGTTTAGGGTTTTTGTCAGGTGAACCCGTCAGAAGAATTTCCCTAACAACCAAATTCTCGTCTTGGTTTTGGGAACTGCCACCTGACCTAAAAGAATGAAGACGGCGCAATATCAGACGTTGAACTGCGTAAACACTTGGCAGAGATGTAAACGAAGTACCAAGAAAGCGCTTACCCAATACTACCGCTGTCCACGAGCACTTTAGGTGCAACAGCAAAGTTCCTTACACAGAATGCAAGCTTGAAATCTGGAACTGAGTAAATCTCTAACGCTCCATTTTCACGACATATCACACACCAATACGTAGGTTTTATATCTTTCTTGACGACAACAGGAGGATTAGGCAAACTATAAAGAAAAATTTCAGTATAAAAAATTGATATAGAACTCTTCATCCTCGGTTCTGTTTAGTGGAGTTCAACTCAGTTCAGTTCATCAAACTAGACCAGTTCTCCTCACTTTCTTTCATTCAGTTTGGTTGTGCTTAATAGAAAACCACGAGCATCAGAGACATACCACAATTACTCGAGAGCAAACCACATATGTATACAGTACAGTACATTACGTACCTCTCTGGAGGTTTAAATGAAGTGGAAGTGCTTGGGAAGAATACATCAGAGCTATCTGTATCACCGTACAACATTTCATCCTCGTCATCCGTAGTAAGCCTATAAAGAGAAGAGAAACCACTGGTTGAAAAACGTATCAATTCATGAATGTCTCTCAAACTCTCCTTGCTTACACTGCAGGCGGAGGCTTTTTAGGTTCCTGTGGAGTGATTACTAGCTTCGGCTCGGGTACGGGCCCCGTCGACTTCTCTGTTGTAAACAATCCACTCGTGTCCTTGTAGACGCAGCAAGCACAAACCACAGACCACTGCAAGCAAAACAATAATTACCACCATCAAGTCCCGGTGATTCAACTTTCAAAGAAATGGTTGTACAAGACTAAAAGGACGAGTCGCTATTGTAGGGAACATTGTGTACAAACCTGGTCAATTTTTACCCGGGCTACGGTCAGGTTGGGTGTGGAATTCTCGCATGTAAAGGTCAGGAGAATCAGGGTGCCATCGGCGGTCATCATGACAGCATAAGGATCGGCAACTGAACACCAAACAATTGAGGAAAATCCAGCATCCATAGGAATGTGTTGAATCTGAGTTACTAAAACAAAGATCGACCAAGTGTATTTTAGTTTCCTCTTGTAATAACAGCGGATGACACAATAGAAAACTGAGATATTTGTACAGTACTTACTTCCATCCAGAAGTCTCACGCCCATCGGAGTAACCTGTAAAAAGTGTGTAAAATCAATTAGCTCTTAAAACCTTTTTGTCTTTTCCTACGACGACTCTTCAGCGAAAAAACGTACCTGTAAAATGTATCTGCCATCGCCAAGATTTGCGGCGCAGACTGTGGGATACTGGGTCGAGAATCCTGAATGATCTAGTTCCATGATTTCCTGTTCTGTGCGAAGCACCTGCCGAAGGTCGAAAAAGCAGTTAGTTCAAGTTGTTTAATTCACAGCTAGGTGAAAAAGGTTATATTGCAACCTCAATAGTCAATTTAGAGTATGAAGTCTAAGTAGTTTTATCCAAAATACTGACTTACCATGCTGGAGTCTTTTCGACTTAAAATCAAAAACGAATGATTGATTGAGCCATCTTCGTCGCTTGATTCATCTTCTGTTTCCATTTCACCCTCCTTTTTCTAAACATACAAACAACGATTTGTTAAAACTCGACAAAGATCGATTGATTATGTCATACTATAGACTTAAAGTTCTACGTCAGAAGGGCATACATGATACAACTAGAGTATACAACTAATATAATAGATTGTAAAACGAAGGCCAACCTTTGGTTCTCGTGAAGTAACAGTCCACATATCTACGCAGCCAGGAAGTTCAAAAGTGGTGACAACTTGAGGTCGGACGCATTTCTAAGAAAATATAACAAAAATTTACAAAGAAATTCGCGTTGTTTTCACGGAATCGCCTTCAGGGCTATGATCAAAGGCGATCCAAATCTGCGTGATGATTTGAACGCGAGAAATTTTTCGAGAAAATTTTGCTTAATATGATTTCAAAAATTGCACCTGTAAAACGGAAATGGCTCCATTTTTGCCAAAACCAGAGCACGTTACAATCTCCATATCAGGAAACGATGCTTCCGCAAACTAAAGACGAAATAAAATGAAATGAACAAACTTATAATACCAACTTTCACAGCGACTAAACGAAAAAAAAATTGCTATTAAACCCAGCATACCTCTTCCTATTTTTCAAATCATCATAATATGAAAGAAAAAGCATTCAGAAAAAAGATTAGTAGAAACATAGCAGAAATATATTGTATAATGATGAGTGAAAAAATGCGAAAGAGGGTGGTACTGTATGTCACTTACTGAGAGGAAGGCTGGTTCTCCCATGTCAACGCAGGAACATGGACCAATATTTAACAAACTGTCACACACCTATGCAAGAATGTAGATGATTCAAACCATGTTCAACCTATCTCAAAACCCTGCACAGAAAAATTACCTCAAAGGAATAGGAAGCCAGTTCTGTGCCCTTGGTATCAGCACCATACACCTCCAATTCATCCAGGTCATCTAAAAGATGGATAAAACAGATTAGATACAAGCTCATTCATTAACTGTACGTATTTCAAAAAAAGTGATTTAGTGGTTATAATTAACCATGGATACTCAGAGTCAAGCTTTCTGCGTTTCATTTGAGGTGGCAAACCCTGTTAGCAAATGAGGAATGAAGGAGAAAACAAAATTAAAAACAAATGGTACAGTCTGGCTGGTGAGTTCACCCTGCCCTGAAAATTTCAGCACACCACACCAAGCTCAGAAATAACAAGTTTCTATTTGCTGTACCTCTTTTGGAATGGTGGGATTAACACCTGAAATTGAAAAAAAATTGTACTCTCCTAATTTCACAGTTAAAGAATTAAGATACTGTTGATTCTGCAAAACATACCATTTGGAAAGAGTTCATGAGCCTTTTGTGTATACTTGAGTAATAACGAATTGCCCAAACGAGAGCCAAGAAATAAATAACCATCCTCACAATAACATATCTGAAGAAAAGTGTAAAGGTCAAGTGAATTCCAAAACAAGATGGAATTGGAGAGCAGGTTACCAAACTATACAGTTTTGGATAAAGAGCAGTAACTTACACATGAGGTCTGAACACTGGATGCAGCTTTATCAAAGTTGAAACTCCTGACACTTTTGATGCTGTCGGTTACCAAAGTGAGCACGTAACTAAATGAAGCATTAGAGACATGTATGCTCATACTGGAGGAGAACATAAAATACAGAAAAACAACAACAGATACTTATGCTTCACATACATTTCTCCTCCTTTGAGTGAAATGACAACACGATCACTTGAAATGAATGTTCCATAGGCATCATCAAGAGTTATTGCCACATTTTCTTGTTCACCTAAAGAATATTACCAGTGAATTCATATCAGGTAACTAAGCTATACAACTACCATGCATGTACATTCAAAGAACAGAAATGCCAGTCACTCCACACAGTGACCCTAACGCAACTGAATATGAACTTAATTTGATGCAACTTTACAAGTAATTCGGCACTTACGTAATGGGAAAGAAGATGATTTCTTTGCAATTGAGTTGAGGGACACCCCGTATGCTGGTACACTCTGATTCAGGTACAATAACGAATTGGTGGCAAACAGAAGTATGCCTCCTACAATGATCAATATATTAACAAACATAGCTAGATCATGTATGGATGATATGACCAAACTGCAGCAATTGCCAAAGTGGATGAACCCCAAAACTCACCAATGGGTTTGGGAATCGGTAAAACTTGTGAACAATCAAATGGGAGATGCTCTACAGACCAGATGACCGGATTCACTTTTTCAGTTAAATTCAATGAAATTGCAACCATAGCGCATGTGTCTTGACGAACAGCTAGTCGTCTAGAATATAGAAATATTTCTGGATTTAGTGGTGGAACAGGGTAAAAATGTTTTCGTGTATTGAAAGTGTGATATATTTGTATTTACCCTGGCCAGGTCTTGAGTGGTTCATACAGAATTAGGACTGTTGGTTCATAATAACCATGAAGAAATTGAATGTCAATGATATTACTGAGTCTTGCATCAATATGACGCATATTTATTGTGTAACTAGGCAGCACTTGTGCTTTGCTTCTAAAAAAAAATTGAACATATGTTTACAGTGATATTTAGATATCATTGTCCATTTGTCATAATACATCACATAAAGCTACAGCATTGATAGATTTTAAGTGAATGAAAAAATGTTAAACTATACCCGGACATTAGAGCAGGTTCATGCTCATCTAGGAAGCCCTCTTGTTGAAATGGCAAAACAACCAACCAATGACTGTATATCCACATGGCTGCACAGCGATTCCCAGGATCAACTCTAATTGTTGGATCATTAAAATGAAATCTCATCCCACCCTGAAAAAATGCAGTCAAATTTTAAACATTTTTCTGAATCTTCAGAGTGTTATCCAGAACATATATATTCCTACTCAATACAATAATTCAATTTATTAAACCTCTGAAACTTCAAAGGTTACCTTGAGTTCATCTTCTTCAAAATAATGAAGTGATGTTGTTTTAAGATCATGCATGCCAGGATCATATTCAACAATAGCAAGCTAGAGTAATAAAGTTAATAAAGATATGATGAAAACTGCTTGCCACAGTGGCTAGGCGAGAGGAGGGGATCCATCCATACCTTGGCATCATCAAAACTCAGGAGCAATGAGTCTCTAACATTTCCAGAAAGTCTGACAGATTTCATGGATTTGACAGAACCGAATAGAGAATATTGGCCAACCAATTCCAGCTTTTTCTTGCTTGAACTTGCATCTTTATAAAAGCAATATCATAAGCTGATTATAGTTTTTTAATTACTGATGTATTTGTAGAACCACACAAATCTACTCAATGTCTGTAAAGTTGAAAACATGTAGAGAAGAATAAATATCTAAAACTCTATCATTCTTTGCAGTACCTTTTTGTTCAAGTTCCTCCGAATGAACATTGTCACCATTCTACACAAAAAATAAAAGTACGTACAGTAAACAACACGTTACTGACGCAGTGTGCATTGCTAGAAGATCACTCTGACACGGTGAAATGAATGCAATGGTTCATCTTCGCCTACCTCGTCTTCAACCAGTCTGTACACCCTGACCAACGAGGTTCCAGCAACCACCAAATTGTTTTCACTTGGGGAAAAGAAGTTGCACACCAGGCAATGCTCTATGCCCGATGGTGGATGAGCCTGCTTAAATATTGCATACAAATCATACATTTCTTTCGTTGTGCGCCAAAAGATCACGGGAAAATATTAAAAAGAAATACACACATCTTCATGCTGTTTCTGCTGTCTTTCAAAGAGCTAGACAATATCGTTCCTGTTTGGGGAATTCCGCTGAAACCTCTTCTTTTTTCAGAAATCCTGACTTTGCACTACTGCGCATGCGATCGTATTATTCCAATTATGACTAATGAACTCAATTAAACTCAATTATGATCCGTTGTATCAATTATGTTCACTGATAATGATCTGATGAGGGATCTGATAATTAATTATGATCTTTAGGAATATTCTAAATAGATTATCAGATTATTGATTGATATGAAAATTCCAGGGAATTTCGTTGTGCCAAGTGGAAAGCTCATGGGTAAAAAGTTCCCATCGGGGAGAAAATTGATGGAGGTTCAGAGAAGAAGACTTGAGATTCTTTACCAAATTTTGATATATTTTAGCTTTCTTGGAAGTGCATTCTCATCGTTAAAAGATGTAACAAGTAGCATTGGACTTGGTGGGGATAATTTAGGCAGCCTGGCTGCATTTGGGGATTTCAATGCAGACAAAGAGGCTGACCTGTTTTATATAAATAATAGCAAAGGTGAGTGACTGAGTGGTTGACCTGCACAGGTCGTACTAGTACTGTAGTGTTATTGGTTGCATCTGGAAGTAGTGTGTAGTGTGTCGGCAGTGCCATGTAATCAGTTGTCATGACAAACTAAACTACTTGCTACAATAATATTAAATATATGGTAAACAAGTGGTTTGTTTCAATTTCCAAAAATACTGAAATGATGGTTTGTGTTTTTATAAATAGACAAGAGCAAAGCAGAAGTTTATTTGTATGAGTCAAAAAATGATGAGTTTCAGAAGACATCACAGGCAACTATTACACTTGAGTAAGTTGACAATTGCATTTCTAAACTGCACGAACTGGTTGGTACTTGGAGACCTCACAATTATATATATTTTTTGCCACTTTCCAATTCTCTACAACATTAGCCTCCGAAAAAGACTAATTTATAGAATTTTGCCGGGCTATTTCGTACATGTTAGTACACTTTTCGTACACTTCGTAAATTTAGCAAATTTCAATCTTTTTTCCGCAGGCAAGTTTTCATAACCAATGTAATACCAGGAGACTTCAATAGTGATGGACATCTTGATGCTTTAGTTTCTTATTACAACACAACATTATCATCTTACTCAAATGAAACATTTGTAAAAGTATACCTGGGAAGGGACAACCAATTTGGTATGCAAATTTAATCCATATTTCTCAAATTTACTAGAGATTTTTACTACTAATCTACTACATTCATCTTAGATTTAAAAAATGTTATTGATCTGGGTGATGCATTGAAAGATCAGCCAGCCATTGTGGAGTAAGTTATGAGTAATTACTTCATTTTGACTTTTCCATAGTTTTAAGATAGACAAGCTTTGTACGTATTAAGCTGCCATAGGTCTATATGTAATTTTAATGAAAATTTTAGTTTCAATGGAGATCTTCAACCTGACCTACTAGCAGAGAAGATATCTGATGGTGAACGATATTGGTGGAAATATAATTCTGAGAAAAAGTATGTGTATATATTGATATGCTTAAAATGAAAAGATGCTTATATGTAATATTAACTAATGAGTACTGCAATTTATTTCCATGCCAAAATTTTTGTTTCAAATCCATAGCTTGTTTTCAAGTGAATCGTTCAACAGCACTGTTAAGAGGTTACCATTGACTAGACCACATTCCTGTGCTTTCCTGGATGTCAATGGCGATTACGCAGCAGGTAATTCGCTGCTTGAGAAAAAATCAATAAATGGCAAAATATCATATTCCATCAATGCGGAACATTAGTTTTAGAAGCAATTAGGTTTGACAATGATGATGTTTGCTGGTCAGAGAATCCTGGGCATAATTTTTGCAATTATTCAAATTACTAATATTTTTAGACATGGTCCTGACCACTAAAGATCCGTCTTCCCAATTAGTGAAATATGAAGTTTGGTTAAACAAGGTATAAATGCTGGTGTATACTTACAAACACATATATATAGCATGCCATATTAATCATTTTTGTAATAGGATTTTTGCTTAAAGAGCTTGCCATAAATTGATAGAACTATTAATCTGTCTTTTCTTAAATCACGTGTTTACAGGATGGCATTCTTACCACTGAGGATAAAGAAGTGTATTCTCAGCCTAAAAAGGTGTTGCAAGTGGTTGGACAGTCCACTTTTGCTGATATTGGTATGAAATTATACAGTAATACATAATTCAATAAAGCTTCATAATAAAGCTTGTTTTAGACCCCTCATGGATGATTGTATTTCTTCTTTCTGTTGATTCAGATTCAGATGGAATTGCTGATCATATTCTGCCAGTGTGTTCTGATAACAAATGCAAAAAGAGTGAAGTGTATGTATATTCACGAGCTAAAAACAAGGTAAGCTTCAACTGGATGTGAAAATCCCTTGGTAAATCCTTTCCTTATTTGAAATCATTCCTGGTATTCTTTTCAGTGGAGCCTAATATTACAAAATTTAATAATTGATGGTGAATGGAGATTTGTCAAAGATGAACCTGGTGACAGCATTCCTTTGATGACCATCCGTATTGGTAGGAGTAATTTAGAGTAATTTCTATAAAAAAATGACACAACAATCATACCAGACTGTGTCTGCATTCCTCCCCAATTCATCCATCGATTACTTGCCTAATTCCAGGTGATTATAACATGGATGGATTTCCAGATGCAGCTATGGTTGTGGAGGTGAAGATTGAGCAGAAAGGGTAGGCATACTCAACTATAGATGAAGGTACATCACAGGTTCTTCATACAGTAGCATTTGGTGAAGATCTGAAATAGGTTCCTGTTGGGTTTGTAGAGATATTTATGAAAGAAAAGTTATTCTGTTGGAGAATGTTGAGTGTAGTGGTGGAGATACATGCTACAATGGTCGGACATTTAGTTTTGATAGGGTAGAGTATGTTTCTCAATTGAAGATGCCTTTTCTGTCACATAAACTGCTACCAGTTTTGAAGAATTTTCTTATACATTAAAGAACGTTTCAACTATCGTTTTTATAGTCTCTTTATTCCATTGACAATCCAGTTATTGTCGGGTTCCTAGATCTTTACGACAATGTAAGTGCGCTCAATTTTATTAGCATGACTTCTAGAATTTTACAATTTGTTTAAAACCCTTTTGTTGCAAATTGTTTAAGGGTGTTCTTGATCTCATGGTGGTCAGTTTTGACGCGACAACCAATACTTATAAGACTCATGCAATCCAGAACAACGTCTATTCTGACACCTGTTTCCTCAAAGTCATTGGTAAGATCTTTGCATGGTTGAACCATGGTTCAAAATTTTGCTAACAGTATTGGTGTCTGGTACCCCATGCTATGGAAGGGTACATATATAGTTACCTGAAAGACCCAATGCTGATTAAGAGTGCATCTGGAAGGCGTGATGGATTTATTAGTTGATTTTTTTTGTGGTTATTCAATGTGTTTTTTCCCTCTGTAGTTCTTGGTGGCTCGTGTTATTCTGACTGTCCCAGCGGTGTTACGGTGAGTCAAAAGCTAGCACTCAGTGTTGCAATGAGCAACTGACATTACTCTCAGTGTTGCAATGATCAATTGGCATGACTAGACTAGACGGGCTACATAGTGTTGGTTAGAACAGTCAGAACTCATTTAGACTGCATGGTGGTACTGCAATGGTCAACTAACATTGAGGAATGCATTTATATGTAGCCTTACGGTGTGAATCAAGCTGGTCCATTTGTGAAATACGTGACCACAGGTCTCCACGGAGACACAAAGGAAGCCAGTGGTATGTTCACGTGACTTTCCCGTGACCAGAAAATACTGGTTTCCATCAGCTAAACGAACATTCCTCTTGTTTTAGCCACTCAACTATCTCAAGCGGCATATTTTGCCCTGCAACCCCCCTACACAGTATTTGGCCTCGGCAGGACTCCAAACTTTGTGGAAGAACTGACTGTAGGTCTACCACGAAGCTCTTCTTCGGTACGATGCGTTGAAAATTGTTTTATTTTAACATCCAGAGGGTTAAATTGCTTATCCTATCATGTGTAACGTTGTCTCCACATTCTTCTCCCAGCCTGAACGAAAGCACACTTGGACATCAATCATTCCTAATTCTCAAGTTATAATTATACCTTATCCACCTGACGACCCTGGCGCGTAAGTTGAGAAAGAGAACTCTGTTTTGCTTTAACGTTTTTAAGTCACTCCAGATCTATACGAGACCAGTTAGAGAACAGGACATGCTCTCTAACTGGTCTTTTAGATTCTGGTAGATTAGAGTTCAAAATTTTACACTAATCGTTCTGTTTGAATTTACAAATTAAAATAACATTGGTCCCGCTAAAAGTGATTTCCCTTTGTGAAAAACTCTTGACACTCAGAACGGATACTCTGATCAGAGATTAAGTGAAACTAGAGTTATAACTGTCATGTGGATTCATTCATTTTCTAACTAGATGGAAATCCGTGTTGCTTGTCACTCCGAGCAAACTGGTCTTGTTGACTGGAGCCGCTCTGCTTGCAACTTGTGTTTTCATTGGAGCTTTAGTCGGGATTTTACATTGGAAAGAAAAGGTAAGTGAAGAGTTCTGCCCGGTCATCCCAGCCGATATACGAGCAAGCTTTGAGATGAACCTAGTGCTTACTGATGGGAACCTCTCGCGACCAGCTTCAGATATGAAATATTTTACTCTTTCCAGAAAGAGGATCGTCGAGAGAAACAGGAAGCCGCTCATAAGTTTCATTTTGATGCAATGTAACGACAGAACGAGATTTGCAACAAGTGTCGTGTCGTTTTCACTGATGACTGCAAGATCTAACATGAACATTTATAAATGATAACTCATAACATCTGCACGCATATAGTCTCTTGTGGTGCTGTTAGAACTGAGGGTCCGGGTGTTCAAGACCTGTATATTGTAATAACCTTGTAGTTCAAATGGTTTCTTATAGATCATTGTAAATTTTATTTAAAAGTCGCCCCAAACTGGCGAAAATATTTTGTCACCTTATTTATTAGCTTGTAGAACAATCACTTCGAATCAATTTCACACCCCACGAAAAATTTTCCAGAAAGCTTAGCTGAAGAAATACTTAGTTGTAAATATTCTCCGGAATGCATTTTTCAAACTTATTAAAAAGTTAACAGAAACTGCACAGAAGCTAGTTTTGTTTATTCATTGTCAATTGTGCATTGTATCATATGGATTGAGAAATCTAAAAGCCGAGTTGATTTTGTGCAAATATTTGGAGTGGTGATAACACGAGAGCTATCAGCTGAGCTAAAGACCTCGCGAGGCCCCCGAAAACCATCCGCATACGTGAAAGACATGCCTCTCGAGGCGAATTCCCCACGAAAAATATCCGTCCACGAGAGAAACTTGCTGAGCTAACAGCCTTGCCAGGTCTTCAGCTCACCTGTTTGCTCTCGTGTGCGGCGGGCTTTAAACACAAAGCGCCTGGGCACGAGGCAAGTATTGTAACACGAGCCATAGTATCGTTCATAGGATTAATAAAAGTATCAGTTTACTTCATCTGTCTCGTACTAAACTTGTTCCCTATAATCGGCTTTAATACATACCGTATGACCAGTGCCCCCTACTGAAGACAAATATTGCACTGATACACACTCAGAAGAATTAATGGCTGTGTGGAGAGTTGATTTTGTCCTCTCTCTCTGTCTTGTGCTTTTCTCTGTGCTAAGACAAGCAACATGTGAAACAGTCGAGTATCACATAGCAGCGGTTGAGATCAAGTGGGACTATGGACCAAGTGGCTATAATCAGATCAATGGAAAAAAACTGGATGAAGACAGGTACCAGTACAAAAATACCATACTCGATTGATATCAGGGTGATTCCGCAGATACCCAATGTGAAATTCTATGATATAATAAGGTTCAGGTGATAAGTGCAGCCGTTCAAGTAGCGCGTAAGGAATGCAAACATGAAGTTGCGCAACATGATGGTGTGTCCACCAGCTTTCTTGGGTATCTCGTGAGAAAGTGCTCTTCTTAACGAGTGACTGTTACAGTGAGACAAATTTCACGAAATAAAGGAAACGCAAACTTAGCTTTTGATTTACTGCATGCGTATTTCTGAAATTCACGGAGATGTTTGAGTCCAAAGTCAATAGTGTATTTGTAGATGTCTCAAAATAATGCAAAACAACGCGCATAGAAACAATTAATGAAGATTTAATGAAACATTAATTAGCCTAACTTATATTCAAACAGATTATTATAAAATAGTTAATAATGCGACTCATAAGTCACTAGACGATAACACCCTGGTTAGACAAACCAACTGAAGTTATATAAGAAGCCAAGATTCATCCACCTCACCGTTCTGTCCCTAGCCTACGTCATAGACCAGGCTACTCTGTCCCCAGACAGTGGGTATGTACAATAGTCAGAGCCCTGGGAGCAAATCTGACACATAGGCGTCCCTATACCAGGGAACTATACTATTTGTATTCGTGGTCTTTTTTAAAAGCGAAGCTAAGATTTTCACGAAAAGAAGCCAAGAAAGAATTGGAAGAATTTACAATAAGATTGTCTACCGCGAATGCGCGGATTCGTCATGCAAAGCAATGAAAAAGCACCCAGATAATCTGGGAATATTAGGTAAGACGCGAGGCCCTTTCAGAGGCCCTTTCTCACCAACAACGTTCAGCATTGTTGAACTTCACATCAACACAGGTAGTCTGAACTGTTTGTGATGTTTTTCAGGACCAATATTCCGCGCTGTAGTTGGAGATGTGCTCAAGATTCATTTCACAAATCGTGCCAATAGAAATTTTTCCGTTCATCCTCATGGCGTGTTCTACCTGAAGGACTCTGAAGGTGCTTTGTATAACGATAATACGGCGGGGAGAAATAAGGTATCTGTCTCGACATCATCGATATCTCTGATGAGTCTGATCATATCATCATCAACTGACAACATTGTCTTTAAAATTCCTCGTTCACATCGTAATCAGAGGATCTGATTCCCTCTCAATACATATGCAGTAAGCATTGAAGACAAAGTGATTATTTTCTTTTCTCAGGAAGATGACGGTGTACCTCCAAATGGTAAACACACTTACACTTGGGAGGTGAAACCAGAACATGGCCCTACAAATAATGATTCAGACTGCCTCACCTGGGCTTATCATTCTCATGTCAATCCAAGAAATGACGTTAATACTGGACTCGTAGGTTCGTACTTCTGGGAAAATATTTAAAAGCTATCTGACGACAGTGATTGGTCACGTCATGACATCTATTTTACATCATTTCCAGGTGCAATGATCATTTGCAAAAAGGGCACGTTCATAAACGGGAAACATAAAGATATCGACAAGGACTTCGTGCTTCTGTTTACAGTTATGGATGAAAACCGAAGTTGGTTATTGAAGAAGAACATCAAGGAATATTGTGGACCGAATTTTACCATCCCGCAGGATGAAGAGGAGTTTAAGGAATTCAGAGACGGCAACAACATTCACATGATCAATGGTTATATCTTTGGAAATGTTCCTGATCTTAAGATGTGCGTTGGTGATGTCGTTGATTGGCACCTGTTTGGTATGGGAAGTGAAACTGATCTACATTCTGGTGGGTAATTGTCTACATAATGTTGTGGCTAGACCATAGGGCTGGACCTCAAGGACGTAACGGGTGTGAGGAAGTGTTAATCTTAATCTTAGGAGATGTTTGTTTAGTGCATGTGCTTTTCAAATGTATTATATATATCAACTACCCAAGGTTTGAAACTTCTAAGTTTTGAATGGATCTACTTGGTCCCCCACCCAGGGCACGCACTAATTTACACCTATTGTCTCATTTCCGTCACGAGCGTAAAGTTACGTTTCTTTTCCTTGTAGTTACGTTTCACGGTCACACAGTGAGAGTTGACGGTCATCGCTCGGTCAAAGACGCCGTGTTTCCCGCCAGATCATCGACCGCTCACATGACCGCATGGAATCCCGGGAAATGGCTGCTACGCTGCCTCGTCAATAAGCACTACATCTCCGGCATGACCGCATTATTCGACGTCGACTGGTGCCCAGGGAAGGCCGTACCTGCAGTTGAGCCCGCACGAGGCAAAACACGAGAATACTTCATCACAGCCGAGGAGACACTTTGGGATTACGCTCCTTCGGGAATGGATAAATTTAACGGAGGAAACCTTGCAAGCAAGGATAGGTAAGACCGCACTTTGTCACATTGCTGTTGATGGTCCCAGACTTGAAATAAAGTTGAACTGGGAATTGCGTACATATTGAGACAAAAATGTTTAGACAAAACCACGGCGAAACTCTGCTTTCCCAAGATCTATTTAATTGTTTCCAATTCTCAATCATTTTAGTAAAGGTCATGAGTTCTTTGTAAAGTCCAACGACTCCATCGGTGGACAGTATTGGAAGGCACTGTACTTCGAGTACACGGATGAAAGTTTCACAACAAAGAAACCAAAACATGAACATTTAGGTTTTCTCGGACCCGTCATCCGAGCTGAGGTCGGGGATACCATCAAAGTTACATTTAGAAACAAGGTAGTTCTCATTATAAAGATTATCATAGTACTGTAGTTCATGTGTGAACAAATTGATTACATCAGAGACATGTTGAAAAAGTGCTTAACGCCTTTACCGTTTGTCTCAGGATCATTGGGAAACAAGTTGTTGTAGAAGACGTGGGGATATAAGCTCATATAACAAGTATTTTGAAATGCATTTACTCTTGACTTCTTTATGTACGTAGGCATCGCGTAACTTCAGTATTCATGCCCAAGGCGTGTTTTACAACAAGTCTAACGAAGGTTTGCCCTACCAAGATGGAACAAACGGTTCATCCAAGAGAGATGACATGGTGGAACCAAACATCACCGTGCTGTACACGTGGACAATACCTGATCATCTTGGGCCAACAGAGCAAGATCCTGATTGTCTTACGTCGGTGTATACCTCCTCTGTTGATCCCGTGCGTGATGTGTACTCTGGTGAGTGGAGAGATCTTTTAAATAAAACTATCCAAGATAACTTTAAAGAATGTTAATTTACTCCCCCCGTGATTCACTCGTTCGCTCTAGGTTTAGTTGGGCCGCTATTGATTTGCAAGAAAGGAACGTTAGACGCAGGTGGAAAACAGAAAAACTTTGAGAAGGAGTTTATAGTATATTTTACTGTGACAAACGAGAATAAAGCCTGGTATATCAAACGAAATGCACAGAAGTTTGCTGGAAGTTCGTATGAATACGGTAAGTTCAGACTTCAGACAGTGGTGGAAAGTGAAAACTCTTAAGATCCTTTCTCACAAAATATTGAAGCTGTTGCTGTTAAAAAGTTTTCGACGTATATTTTGTTTAGATGATGATAAAGAAGGCAATCTGATGCATGGAATTAATGGATACCTCTACGCAAATCTTCCTGGTCTTGACATGTGTTTGAACAAGAAGATCTCCTGGCATATTATCGGCCTGGGAGACGAGGTTGATATACATGGGGTGAATTTTCATGGACAGACATTCGAGATGAACAGTAATCGGAAGGATACCGTTTACCTAATTCCAGGTGGTTTTATTGTTACAGACTTTGACGTTGTGTGAATTGTGCCAAGTCATTTATCTCGTAAGTTCACTTTAGGTTCGTACCAAACCATCTCCATGCAACCTGATAATCCTGGGGAATGGGCGCTAGTATGTCGAACCAACGATCATTTTGATGCAGGAATGGTGGCGAAGTTTCGAGTGAATGGTTGTAACTCTGAAGTGCCTGATATTGCTGTAACCAACACGAAGACATACTACATCGCCGCGGTTGAAGAGGTCTGGGACTACGCTCCCACCGCCATGAATAACATACAGGGGACTGAACTGGATAAAGACGAGTAAGTTTCATTCAATTTCAGGAATTACCACATGAGGTACCTCAAGGCTTAGATCTTTTTTAATCCACTCTTTCAACTCAACATTCCTTGTCGTGAGTCTGGTACAAGCATGGTACGCATAGCATTGGCTATATTTTATCAACTCTCATCTTTATGCTTCATCTTATTACAGAGAGGCAAAAGTGTTCGCAAAATCAGGACCAAACCGAATTGGTCGTAAATACAAGAAAGCAATTTACAGACGATACTCGGACAGCAGTTTCACCAAGAGAATGTCTCAGCCGGATCATCTCGGAATACTTGGACCAATGATCAAGGCTGAGGTCGGAGACAGGATTAGAGTTGTTTTCAAGAACATGGCATCGAGGAATTACTCCGTTCACCCGCACGGCGTGTTTTATGAGTAAGTTTTCCGATTACTTCGACTGCTTCAAATGGTGGCTAAATTTACAGGGAATTTCTGTACCTGTTTTTTAGCAAGCAGAACGAGGGAGCTTTATATTTGGACAACACCACTTCTAAGGCCGACGACGCTGTCCCACCTGGTCAGACATACACATACACATGGCGTGTACCTCAGAGGGCTGGGCCAAGCGAGACTGACAACGAGTGTATCACGTGGTCTTACTATTCCCACGTCAACCCGACCAAGGATACCAACACTGGACTCGTTGGTCCGTTGATTATTTGTAGAAAGGTGAGTGATATGCAATATGTCATAAAAGTTAACTTAACTACAGTCAAATACCCCACAACTTGTACAAGGGGAGAGTTCACCGCCAAAAGTTTCTCTCCTCCATTTATACTACGGATTCAGAGAGTAGGACTGGAGCAGCGATAACTCTTAATCAAAATTACCACAATTAATAAAAAATATCATTTTCTGATCTTGGTATAGGGATCTTTAGATGGAGACAAGACGAAAGGAGTTGACAGAGAGTTTCCCCTCTTCTTCAGTGTAATTGATGAGAACCAGAGTTGGAATTTGAATGAGAACTTCAAATTTTGTTCGACCGCTAATTGCGGGAATCAAGAAGGCCATTTTGACTTCGTGGAGAGCAACAGCATGAATGCAATCAACGGTCGTATTTATGGAAATTTAAAGGGGTTGGAGATGAAACGAGGGGAGAAAGTTAACTGGTATTTAATGACACTCGGCACCGAGATTGATATGCACAATGTTCACTTTCATGGGCAGACAGTTTTAGCCGTAAGTAAAGGCAGATAAAATGGTTATCAAAGCGAAACAACTTGATACACGTTATTGATTCGTCAAACCTAGTTTGGATTGATAGTTTCTCATCGTTGTCAGTTGTACATTTTTAGGCTTGCCAATTGATATGCTTAATAAATTTAAGTTTCTAAAGTATCTTATGTAGCACCCCTTATTTACCTCCCTAAGTTAAACAAAGGTGTATTGATAGCGGAACAATATTCTAAGTGGTAATATTTCATCTGTTGCTTTCAGAGAACAGTTGCTGACCATCGCGAGGATGTTGTTGATCTTTTTCCTGGTGTGTTCATGACCGTCAAAATGGTACCAGATAGTACTGGCAGATGGTTATTACATTGTCACGTGAATGATCACATGGCACACGGGATGGAAGCCCTTTATGACGTCACAGGTATGATGGCGAATTTTTCAATTGCCTGCATGTTTGGAAGGGAACTTGACGTGATAACAAATTTTGGTCTTGTATTTCTAGGCGAAGAAGACACCTCAACTCGAAAACCTCAACCAACCAGTTTGGCTGGTTACATCATGCCAAATATCGTTGTTTTTGTGCTGGGATTTCTTAGTTTGATTATAACCTAATTCATGCATTCATCTTGTAACAGACTACGTTACCATGTTAGAGATCATTCACAGAACACAACTCGTAGTGACGCAATAGATAAATCGCATGCCATAGATAAATTGACTGTCAATTAAAAACATGGAATCAACTCTTATTTACTTTTTCAAAAATATTATTTTCCAGGAATTTGTCTTCATTTTAATGTTCTTTACAGCTTAACAGGCCCTGACGTAGAAACTTTAATCTTTATAGATTACATAAATGCAGAACACTTTATAGATTACATAAACACATGCAGAAACGAAATACACAATGCAATGGCTCAGAGAATAGTGCAAGGCAAAGAGAATACACTCAATACCGAACACTCTTCCACTCATCACAGCCTAATTAATAGTTATTTAATCCTCAATGACACAGCTTTTCAGCAATAAGAGACATGCAGCCAGTAGTTCACGGCAAACAGGCCCAATTACCTAATCATTCCACACGTACTTGTCTCCTCATGTTCAGTACCGTACTTAGAAGCTTAATTGGATGGAGGGGGCAAATATTCATGAATATAGAATTTTTGTTCCCCCCCCCCCCCCCATCAAGCTTTAGGTACAGCCCTGCTCGTGTTTTCAGTTGTCTTACGACAGTGTTCTGGGAATCGAACCCAGAAGCCAAACACATGCGTTTTTAACAGTTCATGTAAAAATACTAATAATAGGATTTCGCGATTTTGTTTTGGTTTGGCCCCAGACATGGACACTGTTTTTAAAGCCAAACGAAAAGGAGGGAAACCGGAGTGCCCGGAGAAAAACCCTCCAAAGGTAACCTGAATTTCAGGTTACCCGACCGGCGGTCCGAATTTGGTATTTTCATTAGAAATTGTCCGCAATGGAGACAAGTACATAACAGTTTACATTTTATCAATTGTTCACCGTTTGAGTTCCGCTCATTCGATCCGAGTCCCTGATGGTGATCTAACGTGCGCGGCGCGCATATCGTTCTTTGCAAGCGGTTAGACATTAGACTGCGCTTTGTCCGACAGTGGCAACAAAAATTATTTCAGTCATTCAAATTATTTCGTTCATGCAGTTTTGGAAATTTGGAAATTTGCATGCTTTTTCATCTCAAACCGATGTAGACAACAACACTCTTCTATTAAGACATGCACATCATGCACTGTTTTTATTTCTTTTTTATACGTTCTGGATTTGGGTTGACTGGGAATGGAGGAAATAAACGTAATCGGGATAAACATGCAACTTAATTAATATCTGGTATAATATAGTAATCAATAATGTACTTTACCTTTCGTACCGTATAATTACCTTTGATATAAACAATGTACTGAATTTCACTTGCTTCTTTGCTGCATTCCAACTAGGTTCTTCTTTATCATCATCTCGACGGTGGTGCGTGCAAGGAATCAAAAACATAGTAAGTGTGTCAAAATACAAAGGGGGATTTCTTTGAAAGGTGAGCTTTTCAGGCAAGAGGGTACTTTACAATATTATCCCACAGTTTAACAGTTTACCCCCAGATATCCCACATCATACAAGTCCAAAGGGTAAGCTTTTTAAGCAAGAGGTACTATACAATATTATCCCACTGTCAAAAAGTATACCCCCCAACATGCAAGTCCTGTTATCATGCAATGCAATGTAATGTATCATGTAATATAGGAACTATATTTTCATTCTTATACAAACTGCATCAAGTTAGTCAAAATGATTAGATTACGTTTATTTCCTTCATGCTCGAGGTTAACCGGATTTCTTAAACTGCAATCCGAAAAATTATTACCAAAAAGGGAAACAGAAGAGTGCTGGTGTCTTAACATCAAATATTCATTTTTTTTTTCATTTCAAACTTCAATAATTTCATGCAAAAGTATAATTTTTGATGCCACTGACGGACTGTTCTTCGAAGCGGTCGCATTTTATAACAAGCTGAACAGAGAACTTATATGATCATATAAGTACTCGCGATTTCCTTCGTATTAATCTAAAATTAGGCCAATACGAATTCGATGATATTTTTTTTCGCTGCGAGCGCGTCGCGCATGCTAATTGGATTTTTCTACTTTCATTTCAACGCTTTAAAACCATCATGCATTTTCCCCAGCCGCAAAAGTGGTCTCATACGAAGGATCGATATTTAATCATGGCACTTTTTAATAACTTTTCACAGTTCTTCAACTCTTGAGCAAGGACTTATTACAGTTAAGTGGATAAAATTTTCAGGGTCGTCTATACACATGCATATTTTTCTCCGATAAACTGAAAACAAGAGTTGCTTGACAGACTTTTGGTATTTTACTATGTTTTTCAAAATAAAATGAAAGTTTTTTGTATAAGACCACTTTAAGTCGTTAATATTCACACGCAAGTGACAAAAACGAGGAAGATTTCATCGAGAGACCTGTGAGAAAGAGCTGTGAGAATTTTTCTGTTATCATGCATTGTCGAAAAGGGTGAAATGTCACTTGATGTGTGAATATACTTGGTTAGACCACCATCAGGAATTCATCCCGGAATAATCATGCACAAACAACCATGCACAAACAACCATGCACAAACAACCATGCACAAACAACCATGCACAAACAATCATGCACAAACAACCATGCATTACTCTAAATAGTATACCTATAGTATGTACCTCAACCAGCTTCTACTTGTACACCCGTCGGCGTCGTCTATCATCTGATCCTGCGACGATCGGCGATCTTTCATCATCTGACCAGCGACGATCGGCGATCCTTCATCATCTGATCCTGCGACGACCGGCGATCCTTCATCATGTGATCCTGCGACGATCCCACATCCTTAACGTAGATACGAAAATATTATTTTTTTTTCCAAGAGAGATATTTCACTATGCATAAAGCACTTAGAATAAAAAGATCACTTATAGACCTTCGACATCTTCTACGTCACTCGTCCAAGGCCTTCGCATTGCGCACGCAAATACAAATTGTCATGCACGTTTTGTAGGAAATGTTTATCGTTTTCTTCATGCTCCTGAGAAAATTAAAACACTCCACTATTATCTCCTTCAAGAAATACAATCCAGTTCTCATGCATTTTTATGTTTTAGAGGCTCCGTGAGCGATATTTTTGTTCAAGATGGAGAAAATACAAGTGATGGGGCCCCAAATCACTTGTATTTACTCCGCATGCGCTTGATACGACCAGACCCATGCAAAAACCGCAATCCGAAAAGTTGAAAATCAAGGAGGTAAACAGAAGAGTGTTCAGCATATCTCAGTAAAAAAAGCCAAATCCCATGCAATTTTACTCATGCATATTTTCACCGAAATCGAATTGAGTTTTGTATTTGCGTGCATAAATGTCGCCCAAGGCAGCTCCAATTAACATTTCTGGACTCCGACGATTCTTTCAATCTAAAAAAAAGAAAACCTCGGTAAAACAAACAAATTCACCGCCGTATAAAGCCTAATAAAGTGACTTGCTTGCATGCAAATGCCGGAAAATCAGTATCAGATAAGGCTGGTACTTTGTATGTTGAAAACAGGCTTGGAACATTAATCTACAGTGGATGGGCTGAAGTTACTCAGCACAAGTGAAGTTATTCCATAAGGACATACAGGTATAGATACTTAATATATAGGCAGTCAATTTCAGATTGAATCCGTCTTTCCCCTGTGTAGAACTAACATGAAGCGCCGAAGGACTAGTATTCACCGTGGATACGAAAACCGTGTCAAAACTTGCATTGTGCCAGCCGGGAAAGTCAGTTTTAACCATAAAATCCCGAAAAGTCATCGAGTAAACTATATTCTAGTTTATGTGTTATTTCAAGTCATAAGTTGGAAAATACACATATATTAAAAGAACAATACCTATTATTCGCCGGCAAGCAATAGCTTTGTGTTTCCCGTTTCCCATCCTTCGGCGCCGTAGTTCGCTCTGAAATGAAATAAGAAAGGAAAAACAGAATCAAGTTAACAGTTCACTTGTATTTCACATTTTGAATCGAAATATAGAAGATATACAGTGAAAATCAGCAAGAATATGCCTCCTGTCGCTAATGATTCTGCGGGCTATTCAAATCATCACGACAATGAATGCAATCACAAAGACCAAGCAAGCAAAAGCAAGCAGTTCTCTAAACCAACCATGATCATGTACCTGAGCAAGATCCTTCCAACTTTCCTCTAAGCTCCTTCAAGTGATCCTTTCTTCTTCCTCGAGACTGCCAAGTTTGAGTTTTTTTAAAATTCAACGACCTTTTATTATCTCAAAGAACATTCCAACGGACCATGCGCTTTATGCATCGATGAACTTACGCATCATCAACAATAGTTAATGAGGCATCTCAATTGTTATGAAGCTTTAATCATGAGTTACCAGTGTTTGATCACCAGAGTGACCAGACGTGATGGTATCGTTTAAAAAGTTGAATGGTACAGATCAAGGAAAGCGCTTTATTTCGAGTTATTATAATTATTCCTGTCTTTAGAAATCTATTGTTTTCACAGTCAGTGAACACGAAAATATTAGAATAGCGGGACAAATCGACAGGCTGGCTACGCTACTGTTTATGTACAGGGTTGGTAGATAGCTGCATATTTAAGGCCAAACAACATCACACTACTTTGCCTTTTGTTTTCTTTGTTTTCTTGATAGCACTAATGACAATTTGGCCTCAAATATTTGCATATCTACCAACTCTGTTTATGTACATACTTTGCTTCCTTCATGAAATCTCATTCGTCTTCGCACGGTATAACGCCTATCTTGTCAACAGACTACGTTACCAAGTCAGAGGCATTCACAGAACACAATTCGTCTATGGTGACGCAAGTCAAAATTCACAGAATACAATTTGTCAATACAATAAATACATCGCAAATTAATGTATCAGAAATACAGGGTGAGTCAAAAAAAAAACGGACACCTTTGAAATTCAAATTAGTCGCATAGCGGCTGTAATGTGGCAGAAGTTGCTTAAAATATTTCATAGGTATACGAAGCATATCATATTAATTAACCTAAAGCATAAAGTTTGTTCCCATTGGGAGTTAAAATGCATTCTAAGCTCTGTAAATACAAAAGAACAGTTTTATCAAATTTGTTGATTGTACATGGGTTTTGTCATAAGTTCGCAGCTAATTTGAATTTCAAAGGCTCAGGTTTTTTTGACTCACCATGTAGAGCTAGTGCTCCAGAGTTTGTGTCGGAGTTTGTGTCGGAGTTTGTGTCGGTTCCTGGACTCAAGGGACATTTTATGTAATGTAACTTGAAGTATGAGCACATTTAAAAAATATTCCGAACTCAAAATGGCGACTTTGAGGAGCGTGCGAAGTTTGTTTACGAATTCTCTAAACTCAATGCGCTATGTTGTATTTGGTGAGTGCTACAAGAGTTTATTTTAACCCTTGTTATTACGTTGAAAGTCTGCATCATTCTAGTCTTGTCAACTTGTTAATTTCTTGCACTGTCTAGGTTCACAGGGAATGAGATGGTGTCATCACAAAAATAATGGTAGTGATGGTGATGATGTGATATCTGGAACAAAGTTTGTGTTTATATATTTGTCTACAAAAGCTCTTTATTTAATGAAAATTTGAATTTAGTCCACATATCAGCCCGTCCAAGTCCTTCTAAATCAAATTACAAATCTGTTTTCCTCCAAAGTGACCATTCAAAAATGAAGGACGAGAAGGAGAATGAAGATATGAATGATTACACATCTGATGAGGATTCTGACGAAGGGCTTGATGATGAGAGCATTCGCGAGCGAATCTTGACCGCTGCCCTGCAATTTGTCCCTGAATATGGTTGGACCAGTCAGGCCATAGCTGAAGGTGCAAAGATTGAGGGATTCTCTGGCATGGCTGAGGGAATGTTCCAGCGAGAAGGTGGAGATCTAGTGTTGCATTTCATAAATACGTGCAATCTTGATCTTGGCGACTATCTCCTTGGCCACTCTAGGACGGAGGAAGAAAACAAAAAACACATGTAAGAAAAAAGTGAGCTAAGAAAATCATATTGTTTGAAAAGAGTAATTCAGTTCAATATTTTAATTCAGTGGTCAAAGTGACTTTATCAAAAATGCTGTTGAGGTTCGTCTCAGAATGATAATACCGTACATCGACACATGGCCTCAGGTAAGCAAAAAATGTTCATCTTCTTACGGATATTTGGGGGTTTTTTGTTACCTAATGTGCTGATCCACACTTGTATAGGCAATGTCTTTAATGGCCTACCCATCAAACGCTGTTGATGCCTTGCAAAGTGTTGCAAACATGACAGATGATATCTGGTATCATGCAAATGACACTTCAACAGATGTGAGTATGTTGTAACTGGCTTTTCTGAACATGGCTTTATTGTTTTAATTACCACCCTTTGTTTTGCACTTCTCTGCATCAGCAAATATTTGTTGTCTGTTTGATCACAGAAATGAAGGTTTGGTTGGTGGTATTTTATTGTAATACAACATTGTAACCTTCCTGATTTTATAATCCATAGATAAACTGGTATACAAAAAGGACATCATTGGCTGCTATCTATGGTGTAACAGGTTTGTTTCATTATTTGGCCCTTTAATTAGGATGATCATTCAATTTTGGAAAACTCAGCATTTGTTATATTTGTAGAATTGTACATGTTGCAAGACAGATCTGAAGATTTTCAGGACACTTGGATGTTTTTAGATCGTAGATTTCAGGACATCAAAACCACTATCAATATGAGGCAAAATGTGAGTTGGGGAAAGTTCAAATTTATGTCTTGAACAGTTGCATTAGAGTTTTGACTTGCTTGAATTTGGCTCATGTGAAAATTTAAACATAATTTCAGTGCATCAAAGCTGGCGAGGATGTTGGAAATCTTGCATGCTCTGCATTGACTCTGGTAGGAAAAAATAAACAATTTTTTTAGATTATTATGTACAAGGCCTGCTAAGATGATTGTGTTACAGTACAGTGTTGATATTAAATGATATAAATGTTGATATTTTAAAGGTCCGAAATATCACTGGATTCAATAAATGGAATCGTTAAGGTAACATTGCTTGTATCATCACTTTTGAAGAAACATGTTGGGAGTTGTGTTTCCCTCAAGCTAATTTTTTGCTGATGAAATTTTCAAGTTCTCTTAAAAGTACATTTAAATTGGTGGTCATATTTAGCTAATTGGTGTCATTGTGCATAAGAATTGTTGTCATTGGTAAGAACTGGTCCTATAATAGACACTGATACTAGATGAAAGTTCTATAATTAATTAGTATGCACCTCTATAGAAACTCAGGCAAGGTGTGTGTAGGAATACCCCATGTGGTATTGAAAATGAAAAAGCAAATATATTCATTTTTATTTATTATAAAGAGGGTGTCTAGTACTATCTAAGACTTTTCATAAGACTTGTATTTTGTGTAACAATTCATTAGGTCTAAATGCTTTTTATATTTCAGTGTTAGTATGCAATTACCCAGCCAGCCAGGTAGCCAATTAGATCAATCTTACTACAGTTGTTAATTTTAGTTGACTGTTTCTTCCATTCTACATTTTCTATTTACATTTATCACACAGCTTAAATTGCACTCGTCACACAACATTTATAAACACAAAGTTTTGCAACACAAGTTATTCATCATTTGGCTGTGCATCAAAGTGGTTCTTTCGAAGGTATCGTTTCATTATTCCAGGTAATGGCATTTCGCTAATATTCTCCAGGGTAAAATGCTGACGGATAACAAATCTGCACAGATGTTGCAAAGTACATACATATTCAAACCGAGAAATAGGTTTTGTTAGTCGTACTGGAAAGGTTGCCCCATTGCGTGCACGACCTTTGGTATAACAGTACACTCGTTCTTTGGACGTTTCCACACAGTTCTCCACAAGTTCCACGACAGATACAAAACTCCCATTGCTGATGAATGGAGCAGAATAGAAACTGAACTTTCCTTTGCAAAACTCTATTCGAGTATGCAATGTTGTTTGCGCTGATCTGAAACTCAGACTCAGAAGATAACGATTATCATTACTGTCCCTAACGAGGAATGCACCATCGGGTTTCCCATGAAGCTTCACTTCTGCCTCCTTGCTACTTAACGGACCCCAATACCAACCACGTTTGCAGAGATCATTAAGCCCTTTAAGGAATTGATAGTTGAGGTTCAACTTGGATGGTGAAGGCAGTGATAGTGATCGCAGGTCTGGTTTTTTAACTGGTGCCTTCTGCACGGACTCCTCGTTACTGGAGTCCTCACTAGACGTGTCACATGGTACGGAAACACTGCCTGATGCGGTGGTGGCACCAGGTGGCGGCGCAAGAGGTCTTGACGCAGGAAGAGACATTGATTTACCTTGAAGAAATCGTTCTTTTCTGCTTTTTGCTGAGCTGGTGTTGGTATGTTCTAGACTTCCATTTAAACTGCCCACATAATGCTTAACTGAGCCATTTTGTCTACCAGGGACCTCTGGAACATTCCTAGTAGGCGCAGTGTATCTTGTGTAGTTCCTTTGCGATGAACGGCTATGATTTTTACCCTGTTCCCCGCTCTCAGACCTACCGTTCGCCATATCTCCTGCTTCCCCGCTGATGTTGCGAGCACTGGAATTCGAGAAAGGAACTTCGTAGATATGTTCCTCAAATACATCGTCTTCCTCAAAGCTATCCGGTCGACCGTTTACGTTTTCTTGTCTAGAAGCCATATCGCATGCTTGTTGCCTGCTAAGTCGTCCGCTTTTACGCATTATTTTCTTTTTAAAACGTTTCAGAACCGTATCATGTTGACTCGTCGTGCATGGGGGGTCGTCTCTGCTCGAGTTCACTGCCGTTTGATCGCAAGGTTTTTTGTCGTCTCCTTTGAATCGATAGCGATTTTCAACGTCTCCGTCTTCTCCTTGACCATTTCGTCCTTCGTCGGCAGTATTGGACTCGTCAGAGTCGTCTTTATTTTGCATTTTGATTTTGCTCGATAGTATGACATAAAAGGAACTTTCGCTTGTCGTTTGTTTTTTCTGTTTCCACGAGATTACACCCCGGGGAATAAACCCTATCTACCAGCATTTAAATAAATAACAAACGCCGCTGGGCGCCTATTAGAGTAATCACCAAAAATTCCTCTGAATACGACTTTTTTGAGCTCTGATCACGAAATCGTGGATAATGAATATCGGTGTTTCACTTGTGTTAAGTGGCCTTGGCTCTCCCTGCACGGAATAGCCGGCGTGGAGGAAAAATTTTCACATTCCTGTTCTCTATGCACTAGATAGATACGTGTCATATTTTTTAGGATGTCACAAGGTCACGCGGAACTTGTCAAGAACTTAAAATAGATCTGGCACACCAGGGTATATTGACTGCCCACAAAAAGATAGCTTTTTATACCCTAGGTGTGTTTTTTATCCTTTATAAAATAAAGGAAGCTCAAATAAAATAAAATGAAATTTGATTAGTTTATTAACTGTGCTTTTCAACACGAGCAAAATAAACACTGACACACCGCGTAGAAACTCAATAATATTTATTTCATATAGATTTAATACAATATTTCCATTTCATAATTTAATATATGGGGATATGCCATTGGTGATATGTCGAAATTGTCAACATTCACCTTCGATAGCATATGGGGTGTGTTGGTATGATATATACCAGGTTGGTACAGCAAAATCTGGGTTAAAAACTGGGTCACAGAGACGGGAGCACCTTTTTTGTGAAAATCACTACAATGGTGCCTTTCGGAAAGACACATTCTCGAACGCAGCAGCATTATATAACGATGCCAACGCATCAAGCGTTACGCAGCAAAAAATTCACCGCGTGCTCCAATCATTCATGGTTTGAATTCTTTGCTTGCAAAATTTGGTCGAATTCTTAGAGAAAAATCTAAAAAAAAAACGATAATTATTTCCGTTGTCAAGCAATTTACATATTCTGATAACTCGCCTTCCTGATCGTTGTTATGATAACTAGCATTATGAAAATCGCTGAAAATGAAGGACGCAAAGTTTGTAAGAAACTCGCTTTAGTTTCCGCATTTTTTAGTCTCCCCCGTACACGAGGTTCGTTTGGATGGAAACATTGCAAAAATTTGTTCAGGTTATGAGTTTGGAGACCGTTTATTCAATTACAAAGCAGTCAAAGCTACTGTGGTTTCTTACTTTGTATAGTTTCCTTCTCGTAGTCATCCTCAGATAAAGCACAGCCTATAAGGTCGCAAGAAAATGGGTTTTAAAAGTAACATCAGTGGATGATTCTAGCTATGGACTAAATTTCGATCGAGGCAAGAAAAATGGAATCAGTCTAATCCAATTTGGGTGTTTTACTCATGCTAAGATTGCTCTCGCTAGCTGGGGTGATGGGTTTCATCCTTGGCCCATCAAAATTTAGTCTATAGCTAAAAGCCTATAAAATAACCTATTGTGAAGCCTTGAACATCCCTACACTTTCTAGATTCTATTTCAGAGAGATTTTAGACGAGTTTTGATCTTTGAACTTGGGCAGCCATGCAGAAAAACATAAACATAATTCATTCGGCTGCATGGTGCATATGTACCAACCATCAAGAGGCAGAAAACCATCGCTACTCTTTCGTCGAGTTCGTTTCACGTCACGAACGCCATCTTCTGCGTCACGAGAGCTGGCTTCGTCGAAGTATCGTTTACCCGGTCGTTGCAACTTCCGGCGATGAATCAACTTACACCTGCTTCTGTTTGCACACTGTCCTGTCGTACTGAACTCTTCGCATTCAAGTACGTGCTTCTTTTTACACTGCAGAGCAAAGAATGGAAGATTGGAGAAGCATGCAGTGGATATGATGAAGCTGGAGAATTAGGTGTTACAAGATTTTGGGGTAGATCCGACTGGTTCCCACTTAATTTGCGATCATCTTCATGACCGGATCAGATAGTTCCAGACCAAGCTAATGGCTTCGACACAGCAGAAACTTTCCTACCCATTCCAGTCTTGAAAGTGGGTTCAAAGTCATTTTCTGGTAAAACCCTGAACGGCTGAAATAGACACCAAGATATACCTTGAATCCAAGAGCACAGTAACCTTTGAGAAAGTCTTCGCAAACATCAGCCTGGCGACCAACGTTTACATGAGAGTAGGGACAGTCATCACGATTACACTTGCCTTTGAGAAAATACTGACAGATTGGCATCTGAAGGAACAGAAAAGGAGATGGTGTTAAGATGGTTAGAAGTACCTGGGAAAATATGTTGTGGATGTGTCATTAATTGATGGAGATGATTATCAGTGGTTGGTAGAATAGACATTAGAGATCTATACTCTGGGACAAACGAGAGTTTGGAAAGTAATTTGGCGTGGAAACGAATTAGATTTGGATACGAATTAGATTTAGAACGGATGACAGTATGGATGGGAGAAAACTGAAGATGGAAGAAAATGATCCATAAGAATTCGACAGAAGATAAGCTGAAACGTTGAATTGTGGTAGAGATTGGTCCAGCAAAATACTGGAATGCGATGTTCACCTTTTCCTTGTCAATTTTATGTGAAAACGGACAAGTTCCATTCAGCTGCTGACATTTTCCACGGAGGAACCTTTGCAGAGAGAAGAAGGATTCAAGGCCGTAAGCGCATGAGTAATTGCCTCAGAAATCGTGAAATTGGATCGCGTGCATGTAAACGTGGATTGAAAAGTTGACATTTGATCGCTGGTCTTGGATCATTCTTACCTTGTGCATACTGCGATTTTCGTTGGATCATGAACGTACGGACATTTTCCTTGTTCCTTCTTTGTACATTTTCCTGTCACAAGAAATATTTTGCATGTCGTGCATATGAATCTCTTTGATAATTACCCAAGGCGCGTTAGAGTATTATACTTACCAAATTTATTGAAAAACATGCAATACTCCTCAGATTTAGACTTTTGTTTCTTCACTCTCTTCGCAATGGCTTGAACAGTTCGCTTCAAAATTTTACTGTTAATACATAGGAAAAGACGGAAAAACTTATCATGACACGGTACATATATTCATCTAAAATAGGATATCCGAGAATATCTCTCGGTGTCCAGGAATGTATTCTATTTCCAGGAATGTATTCCATTTCCGGGAATGCAAACTTACTTGGCTTTTCTTGTCTTGTTCTTGTCCACAGAGTTTTGCCTTTTGAAGATCTTCTGAACAGCATTAGTGAACGACGATGGGGCAGTGCTAGGTCTCCGGTAGATATGAAGTGAATTCCTCCGTAGTGAAGTTGGATAACTGCTGGTTTTATCGTATTTTAATGGTACCGTCTTCTTCAAAGTTTTGCCATGGGAACCAATAAGATAAATACTCCCGCCAATTTTCACCTTTCTTTTCAACGGAGTCTTAGCTAAAAATAATAGCGGAAAATTTTTTAGACACGGATAGAGTTGGTACAATTTATCTTGTATTTTTTATCTTGTATTTTTTTAACATGATATTTTACAATACCGTATTTCCTGAGTGAGTATTTGGATTCGAGCCTGGAAATGTGCTGACTTTTAGAGTCATATGCTATATACCTCAGCCTCCTGTTGAATACATAAAAAATTACCAGGTTAAATACCACGAAATTTGATTGGCTCGTTAAGGCGGATTTCCACTTACAGCGAAATCGTTCGCTAGCGAAATATTTGCATATTTTCTTTTGAATTTTAACAGCATAAAAAAATTAGTTCGACTTGACTGTTCTCAATTCAAAAGAAAATATGCAAATATTTCGCTAGCGAACGATTTCGCTGTAAGTGGAAATCCGCCTTAAGTTTGGCGGAGCCAATCAAACTCCGTGTAACATCAGGCTTGTTTGACGTCATTATGAGAAAGGTCTATCGTAGGTGACGAAACAACCGGCTTGACTCACCTCGCCAGAAATCCCTTGTTTTGTGATTTAACTTTGCCTATTGCCCCAGTCCTATAGTGGACACGTCTCGAGCCTAAATAGTCCCCTGCTAACACCTTTCTTCCATCGCTACTCCTCCTTCTCCTTAAAGAAAACCTTGAATTATGAACAAACTTTGGCTTGTCTGACTTCGAAGATGACTGCTCACTTCTTTGAAGCAAACTTGTTTGGGAAGAACTTTTGCTCCACTTCAAATTCGAGCGCCTCAAATGCGGTACAGTTCGCAACGAAGGCATATTTTTTGCATGCCGCGTATGGAGCAAGTCCGCTCTTGAATGGCGATTATTTGCAATGGATATCACTTTTTTTCTCGTGAGAGAAACCGGTTCCGCCTTTCGCCATTTCGATTTTAGAGCAAGGCGCGTTTGAAGTTCATTTCCATGCAAATTTTTAGATCTTGTATTTTTGCCTGCCGGGTCGTTTGTTAGTTGACTCGCACTTTTTCGCCTCCATTTCAACTTCGCTCCTTTGGATACAGCAGAGGACTGCAGGGTGTACGTCCCTAGCCTAGGGTTGGTTGTGGGCAGAGGTCTTCTGTCTAATGAGGTGGAGCCTTTGACAGCAACTTTCCGTGTGTTACCAGAAACTGTTCTCACATTGGATGCATCAGTTGACGACGTTAACTTTGAGCTTGACTTCTGTCTTTTTCGCAAATTCACAACTCTCCTATTTGCGAAAGCAGATGTTGGTACAGTATCTTCATTCATACCAGTCAATGCTTTCGAACTTGTGGTATAAGTTTTTGGCACATTAGCCAGACTGCGTATCGAAGTGTTGGTACTTTTGGTGGCTCTACCTGTTAGCGTTGGGGCAGCTCTATCGCTTTTAGGTAAAACCACAACCCTTTCCTCTGGTGTGGCTGTCAGACATGTAGTTTTTCTTAAAGGCTTAGGTAAGACTATGGTTCTTTCAACTGGTGTTAAAGTTGTCCTTGGATGCGCGCTTGATACGTGCTTCGTCACAGATTGTTCTCTCTTGTTTTCTGTTTTTGATCTCGAAACATTCAATGGCGAATGACTTTCAATCTTTGCCCACTTAAAATTTCCAATTCGTTGTTTAGTTAAAGTAGCACTACTCTGTTGTTTTGAGTAGCCATTAGACGTTCTACCAATCATCTTCAATGGCGTATTAGTGGCAGAGGATGGGCCTGAGGTTTCTGACAGGACATTTTTATCAGGTTTCTTCATTGAAGAAGTTAGTGGAATCAATGGTGGTGCTGATTTTGAAAGAACTGGATTTCTATGTAATCTATATTTTGTAGCAACATGGCTTTTTGGTTGGTTTGTGATGGGTGGTATGTAGCTCAATGAAGTAGTTTTGGAATTAGGTATATGTAAAATCTTGCTATCATTTTTCGATGCTGTTACATTGTGTTTGCTGTTCTGCCTGGTAATTACATATGAGTTTCGAAGTCTATGACTTGATTGAACAGTTTTATTGTTGCTGGACAATTTTCTATTGAAATAAATAAACCGTATCAGTGAGTTAAACATGAATTAATACCACTCGTCACTGTATAAACACAATAATGGAGAGATTAGTTCATATACATACCTATTATCCAATACAATTTGAGCACTTCCAGTATTTTGCTCTTTATGGTTAAACTGCCTGCTTCCAGTCTTCCATCTTGACCAGGTTTTATTTTCTTTAGGATTTGGGATGACAGGGGTTTTATTCTGTTTTCCATTTCCATTCTTGTGGGAATCAATTAAATCTTAAAAAACACAAACGTTTATACGACTATTCCTGAAGAACAAGCCTCTATTAATATACCCTTAGTTTTAGGCATTGCTGTAGTTAAGACTACATTTCTGACAACAAAGACTCTGCCTTTACGGGCTTTACCATTTTCTAAAAAATACCACTATGAGTCTATGACTACGACAACAAATTACTTTTAATAAGCTTTCATTTTACAGATTTAGTGAAATACAGATGAAAAACACAACAATGTAAATAACATGCTTCACACAAAACTGTTTTCAAAACTCACGTAAAAATATTAACTTACTTGAAAGGAAAGCAATTTGTTTACGAAGATTTTCAGCACCATCGTCGGCCATCTTTAATTTTGAATGTTTATATTTTTGTATGACGTCAGAATATATAATTTATCATAAAATCACATGACCAAAAACAGCCAATCAGCTTTTTATATACGATACAACAATGGATCAATCAAAATGACAATTTCCAAAATTGAAGATTGTTCCATTGGAATGGCACAATTGTAATTTTACTCCTTTGACTGCAAAAAACGTATTTCAGATTAAATCTTTAATCATGAGTATACCTTTCTTAATCTATCTTTCTTCAATTTGTAAGAAAACCAACAATTTTAAATAATTTAATTACGTTTTGACCTAACTTCGGCCATACTTCGGCATAACCCGGACGATGAGCGTTCTCATTTTGAGTGATCGAATTTTGTATTGTCATTCCGCACGTTTGCAAGGAAAATGGCGTGCAGATGGAGCTTGCGGCCATTTCGAATGTCATAAAAAAACCTGTCTTATTTTTACCTTGAAGTATTTTGTTGGCCTTAAAAAATAACTCAACCATTCTTCAATAGTTGGCAAAGAAGGAAAGGTGAGAACGGCTCCGTGTGAAGAGAAATTTTGTACTTAAAATGTATATGTAATTTTGTTTTGTATTCCAAATCATGCAAATATGAACTTCATTCTCGAGTTTACCCCCGTAAGAAACATAAAAGATGATCGAGGGTTAATCTCGTAACGTGGAGTAGAAATTTGACTTGCAATTAGTTCCTTTATTTTCACGTTGAAAAATCTCAAGTGTATGTACCATCCACACCCGGCGAGTTTGTTTCCTTAACTTAATATAAATACAATAGTTTTGTAGAAGCAGAACAAGGGTCTTCTCTTTGATTATTATTATTATTATACTATGTTCCCCTTGATGATACAAGTTTTGTCCAGTGTTCAATGCCAGAGTTCAAATCCTTTCAACTTTCACAAACTGCTTTATGAATTTTAAGATGTAATGATAAATGTGTTCTTTACACCAACCTGTCAATGGTAGTGAGTTTTAAAGTTCCTGGGGTGAATTATTCTAAATTGCAGGAAACAATCCAAGATGTCTGAACTATTGGAACAAGGTGTGACAAATTGTGTTGCGATGGAAGCTAATCCTGAGAAACTTTCTAACAAAAATGGTCATAGCTTAATTAAGGATGTTGGAAAGTCTTCGTTGAAAGATAGTGGCCTTGATGATGGAGATGAAGGAGAGTTAGGTGGGTTGTTTAGAGTTTGGCTATCATTATAAGTGAGGATTAGGGAATAGCAAGCCATACCATATGTTTTCCCATGTATTTAGACCGAACGTTTGTGAAGTGTAATCATAATTAAACTAACATTCCTTTGTATCCTTTGATATCCTTACAAGATATGACTGAGTGACTCTTTCTATTGTTCTTGGTAGGTAGTATTTTCATACCTAACATGCCTTATGGTATTATATCACATAGACTATGACGAGGAAGAGGGTGAACTTCCCGAAGAAAAACAATTGGAAGTGGAACAACCGACGGCTGCGGAAATCAACAATCTAAGTGACAAATTGGGGAAAGTGATGGAAGAAGGGGAAGTGAAACTAAGCAATGCAGAGAAACCTACGGAGGAAGGAGAAGTAAGCGATACGGAGGAGGGAGAAATGAAAGAGAGCGATGTTGAAGATGGGGAAATCCAGGAGGAAGGTGAAGAAGGTGAAATATTATCAGATGATGAGGTGAGATTATAATAATGTTTCAAATAACAACCGGCCATAATGGTTTCATTAAAGAAATATTCAATGTATTTAAATTTAGGATAAAGGAAAACAAGATGGTAAAGTCACAAAGGTGTGTTGTGATAGAGTAGGATTTATATCAGCTTGCTTAGTATGGCATGAAGTTAATAGATTCTTGTTTTTGTTCATGTGTTAGGAGGGTGAACTTGAAGAGGGTGAAGTATATGAACCAGGACAACAAGGTAAAACATCAATAAAAAGCACCTGATTAGACACAGGCTGTGTTCTCTGTTTGATGGGGTACATAGTCATACATTTTGTCTCACTTTCTTCTTGGTGAATTCTTAGATTTTACGCAAAGAAAACTTTGCAGATACTACAGTAGTAACGGCAGCTGCGCCTGGGGAATGGGTTGCAGGTTCCTCCATCCTGGTCAAAATGACAAAGGTAAGCTTAATAATAGTGGAGTTCTCACCTCCTGACGAAGGCCCTCAGGTTGAAACATCGAGAAGTGTTTTGTCCATTTTAGGCAGTTTTTATACCACATTTGTTAATAATAGAGGAGTTTCAGCTATGGTTTAATTTCAACTTTCATCTTAAGAAAAGTTAAGGGAGTTAAGGGAGAAGTCAGCGTGGAGAGGTTGGGGGATTTTAAGGAGGGAAGAGGGGAGAGTTTGACCTAAGGGAGTTCTTTATTGCCTTAGTACAATAATTTTTCTCTTGCAGGTTCCTATGTGATGTTACCTGTACCTGGTATGTACCCAAAACCAAATGTAAAGACCCAGACAACTGATGAGAAACACGCCAGGCCACAATCTCCGACACAGATCTACCCGGAGGAACCTCGTGAGGATAATACGGTAAAAAACAAACTCCTGTCTGCACCATGATGTGGAACAAACTGTTGCTTTAATTCAACACGCGACATTTTCAGGTGACCACACCTAGTGAACGCCTTGCGACAGAACGGCTGTTGCGAACTACAAAAGAATCCCCCTGGGAGAAAGGACTGCGGTTGGCAAAAGAGGTGTGCAAAAAAATACATGTGTAGAGTTCGCTGTGCAGTGCTGGGGCCGGTTGTATCAAGCCCGTTTAACTTAAACGGTGGTTAAGTTCAAAATACAAAAGAAAGTCTATCGTTTTATTCAAGAAGCAAACTAAATGTTTTTAACCTTAATACAAAGATACTGTCTAATGTCAAAGATACTGTTGACTCATTCAAGAGAGATGTAAGAGTGTTATTTAATTTTGACTTATCCACCGTTTAAGCTAAACGGGCTTGATACAACTGGCCCCTGAATGTTTGCATTCTTTGCAATTAAGGCTTGATTCATGTTGTTGAATCAGCTCTGGCATAGATTTGAATCTGTTCTTAAAACATTTTTCTTCAGCGTAAGAAACTTGCACAAGAGAAGCGAGGTTCTGACGCGGAGTTTGAACAGAAGAAGATGACTTTGGGGATAACTGTTGATATACGAGAGCAGGAAGGGAACAAGGAGAACGTGCGCAGGGAGGCACGTGATCTACGGAATAAATTACTAAAGAAAGAAAGGACAATGTCGCAGGATGATCAAATGCGACGAGGAAGAGAAGGCGACTCACGGTCGAGACCAAGTGATGAGTCAGCGTACAGAACAGCTAAGGTGAGGATGATTAACGTGTGTTTGCAGAGATTTCTCTGGTTGTTGGTCGTTGGACGTTTGTTTGTTCTGGTGCAGTTTGTGATGCGTATAGTAGCATCCAGGCTATCATAAGATCAATGATGATGACGTAAACGAAAAGTTGTGATCGGAGTGATAACTCGTATTTCATCCAGGTATGTTGTAGATCAGTTCGTGCCGGTGGTTAAATGAAACATCGCTCTTTATGTTAATTAGGAAAAAGACAAGAGAAAACGACGGGAGCAATCAGGGTCCCCGGATCGGTAAGATATCCCCTGTGTACCACAGAAGTTCCTCCTTGTTGCTCTGAGATGCCCAGATCAAATTTGGTATTTCTTCTTCCTTTACAGGAAAGAGGATGATCGTCGACGTCGTGAGAAGGAGCGGGAAGTTGAGAAGGAGAAACTTCGCGAACAGGAACGAGAGAAAGAACGAGAGAAGGAGAAGATAAGAACGAAGGAAAGAGAGGAAAAAGAGAAGAAAGAACAGGAAACACAGCGAGAGAAAGAAGAAAAAGATCGAGAAAAAGATCGGGAGAAAGAGAAAGAAAGAAGACGACAGCTTGCCGCGGCCGCTGCTGAGGTAAAAATGCGTGATGACGAAGTCACAGAGGTGTACACCCTGCCCTCCGCGTCCCTTATATTTCCACCACTGGTTCCAACTATGTATCCATCTAAATCCTCACTGATATTATCGCCTTATTCTTACCTAGGTCACAAAGACAACCACAAGATTCGGTCAATCAGGCGATCAATGGGTCGACCCATGGCGTCGGGCGCCGTCGCCCAAAACCCGAAGGCGATCTTCGTCGACCTCGTCTCAGTCTTCTTCATCTTCCTCGCAGTCTAGTTCCCAGTCCGGCTCGCGTTCTCCTTCGCCGTCGAAGTCGAAGAGTTCCGAACACTCGAAGCATTCGGCGACGGAATCCGAAGCTAGCGAGGACTCGGAGAGCAGCTCATCGGACGAAGAGGAAGAGGCTGGTGATGAGGAAAGAAAAAGCATCGCATCGCCTTCGCTTCCGCAAAGTGAAATTCCCGAAATCGTGGCAACAAATGTCTCCCCTCCAAGAGCCAAGCGCGAGGAGGATAAAAGCCGTAAAGATAAGTCAATCGAGTGAGTAGCTACTTCAGGCCGATTTTTGCTCTGTGAGGCCCGTTTACACTTGCCTTCCCCCCCCCCCGTTTCGATTTCAGATGTGACTTTCGGCTTTTGATAGATGTGAACGAGCAAATAAGTTACTGATGTTTAAGTAAGAGCACTGATACATCATAGCTTTCATAACTATTCGCGCGTTCACATCTCTCAAATGGAGGAAATCAGAGCAAAGAACGCAAGTGTTTATGAAAGCTTAACTTCGTCTTTTGTTTAGTGTTGAGTCAAAGCCTAGCAAGAAACCGGTGATCGAAGCTGTTGATATTTCACCACCCCGTGAAACTCAACGTAGTTACAAGCCAGGGCTTGAAAAGCCTGATGTGAAATCCAAGTCATCTGAGATTAAGGTAGGCTTTGTGCATGAGACTTCGTACGAGGTATAAATTTGACTTACGTCCACCACGGCTACCTTTGAGGGAACATGAACCAATCGAATGCGATAACTCTATCAAATTAGCCAATCACGAGCGCGGTAGGTCAACCAAAGGTAAAGGTAGCGGAAGTGGATCAGAACAACGGTAATAATAAACTACGCTCCCTTTTTCTTATAGGAGAAAGTAGAAAAACAAGAGTCTTCGTAAGTATTTTTCTGGATGAATGTTTTACTTGTGAGTGAGATTGTTATACTCAAATTCGGTTATAAATGGGTTCACATTCCAGGTCGCGGGCAGCGAGTTCAGAGGCGAAGATTCCGACGGTCCGCGACGCGAGTCCGATCAGCTCTGCCAGCAGTGATAGCGAGAGTAGCGACGACGATGATGATGATGAAAGTGATAGTGATGAAAGTGGAAGCGATTCTAAGGACAATGAGGACGAAGAAGATGATGAAAAGAAAAAGAAACAACACAAAGTGGAAAAGATGGAAGTTGGTGAGAATGAAGTTGGAAAAAAGGTAATATAATAATTCTGGCTGTTCGCATTCACATTCACGAGTCTTAGATTGTATTCTTATTTTCTCCTCTTTCACTAATTCAGTCGGATGTCGGTAAAAAGCCGGAGCCGGCGAGGAGAGAGAGCAAAATAGAAGATATTTCCGATGACGATGAAGATGAAAAGATGAATGTTGATGAAGAAAGTGGTAGTTCGAGCGAAGAAAGTTCGAGCGAGGAGAGTGAAAGCGAGGAGAGCAGCAGCGAAAGCGAATCGGAGTCTGGGAGCGAGGAAGAAAATGAAGGGAAAATGGAGGAAGATTCTCATGCACCTAGGGATGAGCGATCTGCGCATAAATCATCTTCACGAGCTGTGGAGGTTGATAGAGATAGAGAAAAACATGAAGAACATAGATCGTCCAAGTCTACATCATCATCAAAGGTACGTATGTACATCTGGCTTCTGCATTCATTACTCTTTAGTCCGCAAAATACTAAGTACCCGCATTTTTATTTAGTCATCAGATTCCCGGAGATCATCGGATCCTAGAAAGCAATCCGATACACGCAAACATTCCGATTCTCAAAAGCAATCCGATCCCAGGAAGCAGTCACGATCCAAACAGCCCTCGCCCGGGCATTCCACTAGTCTGTCAAAAAGCAGCGCCGTGCATTCTAGTTCATCCAGAGACAATCATGCGTCCAACCGCCCGAGTCACGCATCGTCATCTCGAGCTGGCGAACAAAGTTCCAGTTCGAAAATCAACCATATCAGTAGTTCCGGTTCGAAATACGAGTCACGCGACAAGACACGTGAACAGTCGGGTGATCACAGAGAACAGTCACGTGATCGCAGGGAGCAATCACGTGATCATCGGGAACACACACGTGATCATCGGGAACAATCACAACGAGAACATTTACGTGATCAGTCACGGGAGCAACCACGTAAACAAACCGGTGACCCGCGGAAGCGCACACGTGATCAGAGCGAATCGGGCAATCATCGCGCGGACGATCATGCGCAAAAAACGTCAGAAAAGACTAGCACGAGTCGGAATGGTTCGAAGTCGCCTACGGGCGGGTCCAGCCGGCGCGAGGAACTCTTGCGAGAACTAAGAGCCGTTGAAAACGCTATAAAACGCAAAAAACGCGCAAAGATCGAGTAACATAATGCAATTTTTCATCATTTTTTTAAATTACGTGCTGCTTCCCTCTGTGTGAAGCAATATCATCTACACTTGTACTGATATGATGGAGTTTGAATCCCCTCCATTATCACCTGTTTTCTAAATGGTTACACCAGGGTGTGCGAGGTTTCACTACATTCTGCTTCAAAGTATAACGCAGAGATCCCTTCCAAAGTGAAGTAAAACAATTTGTAAACATATAAACTCTAAGAAGATGTTTTTCACCTCCAATTCAGTGGGTGCATTCTACGGAAGGTCTTAGAAAACAGGAGTGTAACCTTGGGTCCTGGGTGGGAAAGGCTTGTGTAAAGCAACAACACTGTTCATGGCAATTAAATAAAGTTATTTATTGGTAATGCATACAATAATATTGCATTGGGAGCGCGCGGTCTGTGTATAAAATGATGTAAAAATTGGTTAAAAATAGTGAAACTTTTGGACATTAAAAGAATTGAATGATCTGTCTATTTTGCATTTGGCATTGTGAACTGAAAAACCTTTAAAAAATCTTGTCAAAAAGGATTCCACTTTCTCTGGGAAATCCCCGGGGGACGAAAGGCAAGTGGCTATTTCAGTTAATGCAAAATTACTGAACTAAACTTGGCAACTAAAATGAAAGAATGAACATTGTGTTACATTGGTGTGAATTCCTCATACTTTGAAAACGAATTTCAAATCGTGGATCACGCGCGTGGGGAACTCGAAATTTCTGCGGCGGGAAAATTGCAAGAATAAAAAGTGTGAAATGTGAAATTGAAACTTTGTAAAGCAACGAACTTATATAACTTCTAGTATGAACTTTATAGTGTTTATGAAAGTATGCACGAAGGTACGGGTTGTTCTTTATGTTTTATAGTCTGTATTGGTGTTAAAAATGGTAAATGACGTATAAATATTGCAATTGTTGCCTATGATTTGTAACAAATTCAGTTGGAAAGCTTTGCACGTGTTATATGTAACGTTAACTAATAGACGAATCGGAATGCACGAATTAAATAACAAAGAATTCACTTCTTTGGGTCTCCAGAGATTCACTAACTCTAGCTTAGTTTCTGGGTAGAAATAGTTGCTTTGTCTAATTGTCTATTCAGCTGCTTATAACCTCCCTTTTCGGAAGAGATTCTCTCTCTTCCCACATCAGAACTACTGTAGATGCTTGGAACGCTTCCAAGAAGGTTGAAGAGTCTGTCAGCTGGATGCTTTGCCTTTTGATGGTCAGGTGTTGTTGAAACCACTTGACTCACCATTGTAGCAATTATATGGAGAATAGTGAGGGTCTAGTGAATACTGACCAACACTTTTGCTTTGGATAACCATCATATCAGCCCAGTGGGTGAATTGTTTTGGAATAAATATGAGGTTTTTCATGATCCCCTCCTTTTATCTATCCGGTGTTTAACAACAAGTAATTAAATTGTCAAAATGTAGGAGGATTGTTTGAATTGAAAACTTGTACATAAAAAAGCAATGCAATTTATTTTATTCAAGACACAACAAAAGGTATTTATCTTTTTTAAAACACAACAAAAAGGAATTTATCAGTACGCTTACAACAAATTGAAAATTGTGTATGGAATATATAAATGAATAAGCGCGGTTTCTGGAAAATTTGATGCCATTAATTGAAAACTAGTGCTATAAGTACATTTACATTGCACATTAAAATAATTGAATAGACCCATTTCTCTTTTGAGAGGGGGTATAAGTATATCTCTGGAAATTAAAAGTTCTCCGGGGGGTTGGGGCTGGGCTCCCTCCCTCAGTAAGATTTCTCAGGGGTCTCGCTGTGTGAGTGCCCCATACTCAATGTCATGATAAATACCCTCAAATCAATTCATTCTCAATGCGTATTTATTCTCCAGCCAGAGATTGTGCATTATGTAGTGCATGATATATTCCCTTCAAGGCCAGGAGCTGTTGGTGTGTTCCCCGCTCAACAACTCTTCCTTTGCGAATAACGACAATGGAGTCAGCGTGGTGGATTGTTGAGAGACGATGAGCTATGATTAGTGTTGTACGACCAATGCTTGCCTTGTCTAAAGCTTCCTGTACAACCTGGAGAGAGATTAGATCGCTTGTAAGTGGAACACAACTGACAGGGTCCCCATGAACTATTCTCAGACGCAAAATCTTTTCCCTGGGTTCATTGCTGTTCATTGGAGGAGATCAATAGATTGTTATCTTTTACCTTTTCACTCTCAGTGTCCAAGGCCGAGGTGGCTTCGTCCAGCAGAAGTATTTTAGGATCACGAATCAAAGCTCGGGCAATGGCGATTCTTTGTTTCTGTCCACCTGATATCAGAGTTCCTTTATCGCCAACGATCGTGTCATAACCCTGCAATGAATTGTGCGTTATTATTCAGCATCGGCGTATGAGGAACTGGCAGTAATTCTGATCTAAGAGAAGCTAGTTCATTCTACTTGCTGACTAAGTGAAATGAGTTCATTAATCTGCACTCATGACTATTCTGTTAACAGTTGTTTCAGAACTGGAAGTAGTCACTGATCATTACATTTGGTAGTGATGAGATGAAATCGTGAATGTTTGCAGATCTTGCAGCCTGTTCAATTTCTTTATCGCTGAAGCTTCTTGTGGTATCTCCGTAAGCAATGTTGTCTCTAATTGATCGATCGAACAACACGGGTTCCTGTGAAACGATGCCAATCTGACTGCGAAGCCATTTCACGTTTAATTCCCGGACATCATTGCCGTCGATCATCTAAACATGAGTGAAACTACTAAATAAAGGACTATTGTAATATGGCCATGTTTGGGAGAGTGCATGTACATGTGTGGAAGCAATCTTCATTCCCACGTACAACTGAGACAATATTTAGACACCTGCATGAATTAGGAAACCCCAGAGGTATTAACACACTTGCGCTTTCATAAATTCACATAATTGAGTAAGTTTACTGGCAGATATGTAGATCGATATTATGTCCTGACCAAGGTCATTCTTACCAACGATCCTGAATTGATATCGTACAAGCGTTCAACCAATGACACTGTTGTGCTCTTGCCGCACCCACTCGTACCGACCAATGCTACAGTTTGTCCAGGTTTAACAGCCATTGTGAACTTTCTCATTACTTTTACATCACGTCGGGTTGGGTACCGGAAGCGAATATTTGCAAGCTCAATTTCACCTTTGCAGGAACCCTGAAAGATAGTTTAGTTGACCCTTATATTTCCTCTCCTAACAATTTAAATCATCTGCCATAACATAAAATTAACGTCGGCCATCCACCTGTTCTGTTCTAAAACTTCATGATAACCACGCCCATCACCACTGCCCCACTCCTCTATTTTACATAACATGAAGACTATATACACCCATCACTGCTGCCCCCATTTCCCTATTTTACATTACACGAACCCCACGCCTATCACTACTGCCTCCACCCCCCTATTTTACATTCCATGAGGACTACACCCATCACTTCTGCCCCCACTCCCTCATTCTGTGTCTTATAACCTTCCTTTTTGGACTGAATCTCTCTTACCGGTTTCTCCCCGACATCAGAATAACTATCAATGCTTGGAACACTGCCAAGCAGGTGGAAGACTCTGTCGGCTGCACGCTTTGCCTTTGCGTAGTCTGGCGTAGCTGAAACAGCCTGACCAATCATAATGGCCGTTAAAAGAACGGTGACGACTGATCTGTGCAAAGGAAATTTAATGAAATTCAACTCGTAACATTTCATTGGTTTAGACGTCTAGTCTGTTATGCACGTTATAAGGAAGAATGACTATTGGTATATGGCTAGGGAAATAATGGTTAGAGTTAATGGGGTACCATTTTCTTCATGATCTTATCTCTACGAGAATTCTAGTACACTAGTACATGGTTTTGTGTATGCCTGTTGTGTAACTCATGTGTACGTCAGATGAATGCTTACGTCATCATTTCTTTAACGGTGACATCACCTGCCATGATAAGGTAACCACCATATCGAAACACAACAGCATCTGCTATCGCAATCGTTCCCATCATTGAACCGGTCGCTATGCCTGAAAATTGGCTTGTAAGTTTGGCCTTCCTGTTGGTAATTACACAAATGTAAGTCGTTCGAAAACTATATGCGGGGGCAGTCTTGATGGATGAAATAAAACATCCCTGCCCACTACAGATAATGCTACGAATATTGATTGCCGGATAACACTTAAACTGCCTTTGTTTTTTTGTACCTGTATGGCTCGTACAGGGCAGCACGATATCTCTCAAAGAACTCATCCTCTTTTCCCAAACATGCCACAGTTTGAATGTTTGAAAGTGTCTCTTCCGCTACCTAAGAGGAATGAAAATATCACAGAGATTGGAGAAAGATATATTCAATATTCAAGAGGTATAAGACAGAACAAGAGGGGTGTCGGTATTAGAGCTTTCCATATTGATGAAAAGGGTGACGTTTGTATTAGGAGCAGGAGTATTAAGGTGGTAGCTGTATTAGAGAAATGTCTGTGTTGCACAAATGATGATGTATTAAAGAGAATAGAATAGAATAGAATAGAATAGAATAGAATATATTTTGCACACAAAAGATACAACAATTTTCTACAAAATTAATAAGCTTTTTTATAACAGTAGTATTATGTGCATAACCACCTATAAGTAACCTTAAGGGCTAATCGAGACAGGTGGTTATTTTTATTGTAGTATATTTACAGTAAGCAGTTATTAATCTGAAGTGTACACAAGATGGCAAAATTAGTATTTAGAATTAAACATAGATACATAGTATTTAGATATAGACATATACAGACATCTCTATGTATATGTCTATATCTAAATACAGACATCTCTATCTATGTTTACAGATACAGACATCTCTATCTATGTTTAATCTGATACAGACATCTCTATCTATGTTTAATTCTAAATACTATAAACATAGTATTTAAAATTAAACATAGATAGAGATGTCTGTATCAGGGGTGTTTTGTATTTGGGCGATGTATGTATTAAAAGGTTTTCGAATTAGAGAAACGCCTATATTAAAGAGGTGTCTGTAATGGTCAGATGTCTATTAGAAAATCGTTCGTATCCAAGAGATGCATGTACTTCAGAGGTGGTTGTATTAAAAAGATTTTTGTATTTTAAAGATATTGTTATCCAAATGGTGCGAACACTATTGGAAAGCGGGTTGCATTGGAGAGATGTCCGTATTAGAGCAATATCATTTTCACAAAAAACCTACCTGTCCTGCCGAGGTAATCGTTTTACCTGTTGAATAGTTCTCTTCCCTCCCGTCATCGCCAATCGATTCGTTAGTTTTCCGCCTATGAACAACATCGGCATGAAAGCCAACATAACGAGTGTTAATTTCCAAGACCCAGTGAAGGCAACGACAATTCCACCCACGAC